GTCTATTGGTAATCTTGGCTTTTGTCCGTAGACTAGCTCGAATGGGGAGAATCCCGTCGTACGGTGTGTGCGAACCCGCGCTGCCATCAGCGCTTGGGGAAGGAACAGCGGCCAAAGCGTTGGATCGCCCGTGTTGTTCATCTTGTAAAGGTATTGTTCGAGGATACCGTTGAAACGCTCCGTCTTCCCGTTTGTCCTCGGGTGGTATGCCGACGTCTTGAGGTGTTTGATTGACATGAGCTTGAGTAAGGCGCCGACGTAGGGGGCTAAAAAGTTGGCCCCGCGGTCGGAAAGCAGCTCGTCGGGGGTTCCGTAAGGTAAGATGATATGGTGATAGAGGACCTCCGCGACTCGCTCTTTAGTTGCCGAACGCATGGCTATAGCGACCGGCCAGCCTGTTGCGTGACATACAGCCGTGAAAATCCACCGCATGCCGTTTTTGTGATCAGGCATTTTTATGAAGTCTATTCCCCACCTTGAGAAAGGCTTCGTCACCTTTGGTAACTCCACGGGGACTGCGTGTTCCTGATGCGCTTTGGACGAGCTGAAGGTTTGGCATTCCGGGCATGAGCGACAGTAGTTGTTTACGTCCTCTCTTCTTCCCGGCCACCACCCGCGACCTTTCAGTAACGATAATACTCCGTTCTCTCCCTGATGGCCGTAGTTTGTATGTACCGCGTCTAGTAACGCACCACGGTCCAGGAACGGTATGAACGGGCTTTTCTCGTTTGCGTCCGGGCCTATGAAAGTAATGGAACTCCCCTCGATGAGGAACTCCGCTTCATGCCTTGCTGCTTTGTCCTGCGCCTCCTTGGAAAATTCGGCCAGCCGTTCGGGTCTCTGTATCCTGTATACGAGTGGCCAATCGCTGGGATGTGCTTGGTCGGAAAGGACATTTAGCTGAAGGTAGTCGGCCCTCCTTGAAAGCAAGTCCGGTACCGTCAAGTCGACTCCTGGTTTGTACGTAATCTTTGCGTTGATGGCGGCTACCGCATCGAGCCATCTCTCCATCCGACTTGACAGTTTCTTTTGGCTGTGTAAGAACTGTAGCGGGTGGTGATCGCATTCGATTGTCACATCCTCGGCACCATCAAGGTAGTGCGACCATTTGGTCCATCCGTAAAGGAGCGCGAGTAACTCCTTCTCAGGCGTCGGATAACGTGTTTCGGCGGGCAGTAACTTTCTCGATTCGAACGCTACCGTCTGTAGAGTTCCGTCCGCTTGGCGCTGTACCAGCTCGCATCCGATGGCTGCGTTTGAAGCGTCCGAACGCATTATGAATGCACCCTCCTCTCGTACAGCCGCTAGCGTTGGTGCCGACGTTATTGCTGCTTTGAGCGAGTCGAATGCCGCTTCATGTACTGGTAGCCACTGTAACACCGTGAACTTCTTCTGGATCCCCTTTGTTAGGTCGTAAAGAGGCGCCGAGAGATCCGCAAAGTTGTCCATGAACCTTCTGTAATATGCTGCGAGGCCCAAGAACGACCGTAACTCATGTAAGGTGCGTGGCCTGGGCCAGGCCGTAATGGACTCCACCTTTGACCTCAAAGGTCGTATCCCTGTTCCGGTGCCGTAACCCCCGATAACATGGTGCCCGACGAAGTCTATCTCTGTTCTCCCGAACTCGCACTTCTTGACGTTACAGTAAAGATCCTCCGCCTCCAAGGTCTGGAGTACTAGACGAACGTGTTTTGCGTGTTCTTCCTCGGTTTTGGAAAATATCAGGATGTCATCCAGATAGACTACGACGAAGTCGTCGATGTACTGCGATAACACGCGATTCATGAAGCGCTGGAACACGGCTGGGGCGTTTTTTAACCCGAATGGAAGGACTTTCCACTGGTATTGACCGTATCTGCAGACGAATGCTGTCTTGTCCGCATGTTTTGCGCTTACCGGAAGTTGGTGAAATCCTGAGCACATGTCGAATTTGGAGAAGAACCTAGCGCCGCTGAGCTGATCGAGGCATTCCGTTATGCGTGGTAACGGATGTCCGTTGCGGACGGTGACTGCGTTCACCGCTCTGTAGTCGACACACATTCGATATGACCCGTCATGTTTGCGTACGAAAAGGACAGGCGACGACCAAGCGGAACGCGAAGGTACTATAAACCCCTTCTCCAGTAACTCCCGTAAACGATCGCGTAACTCTACCAGCATGGCTGGCGACATTGGTCTTGTAGCGCATCGTCTCGGTATAGCATCACCCGTCTCCAATAATCCATCTTCCGCCGCCGTCTGCGTCTTTGCAGGTCTAGGCACTCCCGTTCTGAAGCGATCTTTGTATTTTTGTAAGATTTGATCGAGTTCGGACTTCAACTGGCCCGTGGCGAAGTTAGGTGGCGTGAGGGAGACCTCCGTGGCCTTTGACCCTGGTGCCGGACCTTCGAACTTTGTCATCTGTCCGTTTTCATCAAGAACATTGATGCTGAGCGTAGGTCCCTCCGTAGTGACGTCTAGGACGCCCATGTGACTGTATTGCTCACTCTTCAATAACGCCGTCATTTGCCGGTCGGATAGTAGGAACTGGTTGTCCTCGACCTGTAACTCCGCTAGATGCAGTTCTGGATGTTCCGGCGGACTGATTTCTTCTCCCCCAATAAGCGTGACCTTCCCTTCTTGTATGTTCATCTGCTCGACTTCGCTCAACATAAACGGCCTTCCCAGGATGAAGTCGTAGGACACCAAAGGCGCGACCTTGAATTGCACCTCTCTTGTGGCACCCGGTAGCTTGACTTCCCCGGAAAATCCCTCGCTCCTGGTGAGTACCTCTCCGGTTGCGGTTTTCACCCTGTAAGACGGAATTTGTTTCAACCGGAGACCGTGCTCCTTTACAAAGGATTCGGCGATGAAGTCCCCGGCGGAGCCAGAGTCGAGTAGTCCTCGGGCCCTGTGGCTTCCTAGCTGTCCGGGAAGGTTGAACATGTTGTGGTTTTGAGTGGTGCGAGCTTCGAGCTGCGCGATGTCGAGGGCGATGTTGTGAGCGGTGTCGAGATTTGCGGAAGAGGGGGCAATAGGGGTAAGGGATGGATTGTCGGGTGCGAATGTAACGGACTTGTCAGGCGGTTGTTTTGAAGACCTGTTCAGGTTTGAGGGGACCAGGACGCCTTTCACTGATCCCCGCTGCCTTTTGCCTCCAAGCTATTCAACCTTGCGACGATTCCCTGTATGCACATATCCGAACGATGGCCCTTCTTGCCGCAACTCTCGCAAGGGGGGTAGTCGGCGGCTGGCTTCTTTCTTTGACCTTTGTCGTAAGCCATTGCCAGCAATTCCTCCTCCTCCGAATGGTACTCGTCTCCGTAATACTCCTCATCCAACTCGTGTACCGGATAGGTCTGTCCCTTTTTCCCCAATGAGCTACTCTGCGTCTGGCGTCCGAGGAGCTGATGGCTTTGCATGCCGGCTTGTGTAGCCAGCTGGGCAACCTCCGAAAAGGTCCACTTGATCCTATCCTGCCTCTCCGCCATCCTTCCCAGGCAAATTGACCGCAGATCGGAGCTTAAACCTGCCGTGAAGACTGGGACCGATAACTCGTCGCTGACCGATCCGATTTTGTTGATAGCTTGCTGGAACCTGTGTATATAACTCGAGATCTGGTCTGAGCCTTGTCGAACCCGCAGTAGGTCGATTCGATCAAAGACCCAAGAGCCCGGTCGAGCGTAGTCTCCAGTAAGCCTTTCCTTGAAGCGATCCCACCTCTCCGTGTACTCCCGCTCCCATCCATTGACCACCATCAACGCGTTCCGACCCAAGCACCCTTTGGCGATACCCAGGAGTACGGAATCGTCGTCCATTCCCCACCTCATTGCCTCCGCTTCCACCGATTTCAGAAAGTCTCCCGCGTTCTCTGCCACTCCCCCGTCAAAGTATAGCTTCTGCGGCATGAGCTTTATGATATCTCTCGCCGTCTGTAACGCCTCCATCTTTTGGGAAGGGGTCACCGGGACGGGTACGTAGGTTTGGTGTAGTCTCTGTGCCGAGGAAGAACGGTACGGTTGTTGGAGGGGTGGCTGGGGGGGTGGATAGTAAGTTGGAGACGGGCCGAGGTATTGCCAGTTCAAGCCTTGTCCGGCCGGCTGAGCTGTAGGAGGTGGTGGTGGACGTCTGGGAGGGGGCGGTGCAGGAGGAAAAGGCGTGCCGTGCAAGGTATTGTGGTGGTTGTAATAGGATGTCCCAGGCGGGGTTTCCGTACAAAGAGTACGCGGTACCCGTGCGCGTTGAGCGTTGTTGCTGTTTGGACTGAAAGGAGGTACGGTACCGTCGTTGAAATCGAACCTGCGAGCATTTTGAACTCGACTAAGATCCGGAGGCGGTCCTTGTCCTTGGTTAGGAGTGCGATTCATGTTTGGGAAGGTAAAAGGAGTGTTGTTTTGATTTTCCGGTTGGGAGTCGTCGGGAAACGTTGATTGTTCCGCCGCGTTGATCGACTCGTTTTCGTCGTCGATGAGGTTTCCGGTTCGATTCTCCCGACCGTGTGCAGATGTGTTTGACCGACTCATTCGCCGGTATGATATGAGATTGCTTGGTGTATACGATAAATGGAAGCACTCCCGGTGTTCCTGAAAAGACCGGGCGTTGATCGAGGCCGTTTGCTTTGATTCTGCCGCTACCAACTGTCAGGCCTCAGGCTAACCCCAAAAGGTCAGATTTAGAGATATTAAAGGCAAATTGATTCATTGTACATACCTAACCCCAAAAGGTCAGATTTAGAGATATTAAAGGCAAATTGATTGCCTTATTACAACATAGTGATTATAGTAAGATAAAGGTGATTTTTCACCTTATGTAGAGACCTCGCGCTAGAGGTGAGACTTCTCGCCGACAACTGCCCTTCGAGTCTGCGAAACTCCCCATGCTTCCCCAAGCGCTAGCGATGGACGCTTGCCCATCAGAACGACCCCAAAGCAATGACTCACTGCCGCACGTCGCTATATGCATCGGAAATGTACAAAGGCAATGCTATATAGATGGATACAATATGCTAGCGGGTACGCGCCTCAATTGAGCCATTTGCCGACCTTTTCCATCGCGTTCCAGTCTCCTTTGGCCAGACTCTCGTCACCGACGACTTCGGCCACCATCTCCCACGGATCCTTCCCGCCTCCGTTTCGAAGCACCTCGTTCCGGAACTTTTCGCCGCCTTCTCGCGTCAGAGGAGCGTCTTTGAACAGCGTCGACCAGACCTTCTTGGCGATCGCGCGGTCAAAGAGGTACGAGTAATAGGTAGCGCCATACCCATAGAGGTGACCGAATTGCGCCTGCCATGCCGTTCCGGGCACTGGCGGAATGACGCCCATCTCGGCCTGGAGATCGTGGTAGATCCGCGTCGTATCGATGCCATTGGGATCACCAGCCGCAGGCGAGTGATACTGTTGATCGAGCGAGGCCATCATAATCTGTCCGTTTGTCTCCAGGTTGGTCAAGATATTGGACAGACCGATATGAGTCTGGAAATGCTCGAGGGGGAGTGGCATGTCCGTGCGGTAGTGTCGTGCAAAGAGCGGCAAGACGTCGGGCGACGAGACAAACGACTCCATGAGGATCGAGGGCAACTCGACAAAGTCGGTGGCGCATCGAGTGCCCGAAACGTTGTGGTATTCCGTCCTGCCGAGCATGGCTGGAAGAGAGAACAGGCTCTGTTAGCCTCGTTGCCGGTAGTATCGACCTGACCTACTCACAATGAATCGCGTGACCCATCTCATGGAACAGAGTCTCAACTTCTGGCCACGCCAGCAAGCTCGGTCCATCCTCCACGGTCGGCCGCACAAAATCGGTAGTCAAGACCACAAGAGGAAGTTGAAATCGACCCTCCTTGCCTTTGACCCGCACGCCCTCAAAGTCCTCTACGCCGGTCATGCCTAGCGACCAGTCCCATCCAGATGGCAGCCTGTCTCCAACAGCATCATCATTGTCTATGCGCCGAGAGCAACGGACGGTATAATGAGCGGCGTTCGGGCTCTTGTTGGGTCGATTGAACAGGTCAAAGTAGATGATACCGACGAGACCCTCGACATCGTCCATGACATGGACCTTGCGGACATCAGAGCTCCAGGCTTCTCCCGGTCGAAGCTCGGCTGGGACGAATCTTAACCCATAGAGGCGATTGAACAGCCGGGAAAGACCTTGTACAACGGTTCCGGCCGAGAAGAATTGACCGATGGGGTGCATCCTCGCGCCAGGTGCCAGACTAGCGGCAAGCTTCTCGGTGTAATAGTCCCGATCCCAAGCATAAACTTTGCTCCCCGTCAACCTGCCTAGACTGCTCGACTCGGCGCTCTTCATGTTTGCCAAGGTCGCCACATCCTCCATGGCCCGTGGTCGCAGATTCTCGGCCAACGATCCGAGGAATCCCATGACGTTCGAGGGGTTCTTGGCCATCTTGTCGGTAAGCTGAACCTCGGCCCAACTCTCCTTGCCGAGAACGCCAGCGAGCTCGCCCCGCTTTTGCAAGAGATCCTCCAGCACGCCGACCCGTTCGGAATCATAAGCGTTGCTTCCCTCGTAGATCAACCGCCTGGCTTGGCTATTAGGCGCATGACGAAGGATCATCTGAGCTTCCCAGCTGTACGTCGGTACGAAACGGCTGCTCCTGGGCTTTCCCTTGACGGCTCCGAAAGCTCCCCCGCGTGGCAAAGACTGAATGAACCTCTTGTCCATCCCTGTCAACAGCTCGTCCGCCTGAGGTAGCTCGATCAGGGTCGTCTTGCCCACTCCCGCCGCCTCTGCATTGCCATTCTGCCCAGCAGCTACGTCGCCCAAAAAACGTCGACCGAGAACTTGGATCTCGTCCGACAGATCCACGAAGCGTTGTCTTCGTGCGCTCTCGAGGTGAATCCCAGACTTTTCGAAATCGTTCATGAAAGTCTGTATCAACTGCCGCTCCGAATCTGTCAGAGGTGGGTCGTGGGCCGTATCGCGGCACAACTTGAGGGCCTAGATATGGGATGTGAGCGTCTTGCAAACGTCAGCTGGTCAATTATCGAAACAGGGAGAAGACGCCTCGTGACCCACCTCGTACAAGCCTTGATGCGTATTCAGACCGTTCATGTATCGGCCCAAAACTTCGTAAACTGTATCCGCCTCTTGCACCCACTTGTGATCCGGATGGACATTTCGCACAAGTTCAGCCATATCCATCACCAAACACAAGACGTCACTCAGCCGATCGAGTAACTTGGGGGTCTGTCGCAACGCCACAGCGTATTCCGTCGAAGACGGGTGAAGGGTGACGAAAGGTGAATCGGGAAAGGTGGGTTCATAATCCGGCAAGACCCTTGTTATTCGGTCGACCAGGTGATGAGCATGCGTCAGGGTCTGAGCGGTGAGAACGGTAAAGTACTGGGCGTCCCGTAGGTTTGGATGGAGAAAGAGTCCGGTTGGAGGAGCTGAAGCGGACGGAGCAGCGGCGTAGGGGGAGTCGAACATTTGCCTCAAAAAGTCATCGTCTCGTGTCTGCGAGGCTCCCGAGACTCCGGGCAATCCGTCCACGCCCAAGACGCCGGAGCGATCGACCTTTGCTGTCGCAGCGGCATGATTCCTCCTCGATTTACTGCGGAACGAATCTCCCGCTGCTCTTTGCCTCTCGACAGCACGCTCCCCATCAAAGCTCGATAGGCCATGTAACCATGCGGTCGAGGACCTCTCATAGGTCTTGGTGGGACCCGTAAAGACGCTCGCTTGCAAATTGGGTTTGGCTAAAGACTTGGGCGGCCTGAACGTCCGAAACGATGTCGTCGAGGTGCATAGGGGTCGAGTCGAGGATGACCTGCTAGATTGCAGGGATTGGTATGAAAGTCGTACGATCATGACGGTGGCGATGCTTGTTGCTATGAAGTGATTATTATACTGGCAGTCGGGTGTGTTCGATTAAGGAGTTCAAGATGGATGCAGGGTATATGTGTCGGTCGATGCTATCCTGAGGAGGAGGTGGTGATGGTGGTGATGATGATGCTGATTCAGCTCGCCTTATCGTGCATGTATGGCGTTATGACCGTGATCCTGATGTGATGAGTTGGAAATTTTCGATGTCGATCGATTCCTCTGTCCCATGCGGCAAGGGAAGCGACGATATCGGGACCGCCGATCCTCCCCTCGAACCTTTTCTCTTCTCTTCTCTTGTTAACGATGACCTTGACCCTCCTTTGGTCGCAAAACACGAGGCGAGCGCAGATCCTGCCCTGCTCTCTCTCTCTCTCTCTCTGCGCCTTGACGACGTTGATCTTTCAAGTGCTGTGTAAGAGTACTATACCGGGCTGGGGTCGCTCCTAGGCTGTACGATAAGGCCAGCTGAAACGGGGGTAGCCGAGTCCGTGATCGCAATCGTGCAGATCGGGGGTTACCACCGGGTGGGTACGCCGAACAATGGCCGATGCAAATGGATATCGAACCTGAGCGCCGGGAACCTCGAGATTGGACGCTGAAACTAAGTGAGGAACCTCTAAATAACCCGATCTGGGCAAGCTATTGGCCTTGGATCTCCAGACCAACGTCTTTCCGAGTCGAGGGAGAGAGATCAAAAGCGATTGCCGGCGGATCAACCCAAAACAGCTGATCCCAGGTCAAAAGGCGACGCCCGCCGGAAGAAACGGGGGGACACGTCATCGCGAACCCGAGGTCAGGCAGTGTCTGATCACTTCAGGAGCAAATGCAATGCAATAAATGGTGTGTGTAGCCGCAGGTTCGGCATATCTGCCCTGTCGTATATACAACCTCGATGATACTGTCTGGATACAAATAAAAGAGCACGGCGACCTCGCCCTCGATCAATCCTCCTGTTCGAAATACCCAATAAACATCGATTCATGCCTCAGCTTGGAACCTTGTACGACCGAGTGCACGTGGGTGAAGAGGGTCGGGAAGCGGGATGTAAAGTAGTGCAAGAATCCTGCTGGGAGTGAACCCAGGCGTCGTTTGACATTGTCGGGCAGGTCTGTGAATAGAGTCAGAGCGAGTCGGTCAAAACAAAGATCTTCCGGTTGCAGAGTATTGGGGCATGACTAACCTTGATAGTGGTGTTTCTAAGGATTGGTGGAAGCCTTGTGAGCCATCTAATACTGCCCGGCGACCAAGAGCGGCACACACCGAGGCGCTCACCTTGTTTCTCAGCGCACGTAGCAGATCTCTCAGACTCCTCGAGTCGTATTTCCTATGCTTGCCCAGATTGTCCAAAAAGACCGAATCCAGCCTCTTCTGCCACGACTGGCCGATAACCTCGCCAGCCTTGCTCTCTAGCTGACATAGCGTCGGCTCAGGCGGTTGCAATTCCATGATCTCGAATCGATCCGAGGCATCGCAGAGGAATGCGAGGCGACGAGCGGCGGTCCAGAACATCGGATGTACCATGCAGACGGATGTATCCGGCCTACCCACAGCGAGGAAGAGTCAGTCCCCTGGCAGAACGTCATGCCTGTTTGTCGAAACTCACCTTTCGCTCGAGACCGGAGACAACAGCTTCGTGACCAGACATTTGGCTTCGTATCCATCCTCCCCATAGCTGTCTAGCTTGTCGAGTCCTGTAATCTGTCCTCTGACAATGTTCATCTCCCTCTCGTACCGATCACCGTACGGATGACATCCCCCTGTCATGACGTAAAAGTACATGCACCCAAGGGAGAATAGATCGACCGCTTTCGTCAGTCGAGCTTGTCGGCCGGGCAAAGAACCGTCACTCGGATGTCTCGCCGTGTTGCTGTTCAAAAGCCCGAGCGAGCTTTGTGACGAGTCCTCGAACAGGTCGTCCAGCTGCACTTCGCCTCTCAGACATTCTGGGGCGCGCCAGCCGATGGACCCGACGGCGTGGTTGGCCGTTTGTGCATAACTGCTCTGGCCGTGATCTAGCCGTTTCGCCAATCCAAAGTCGGATAGCAGCATGCGCTGTACCCCTTTGCTGTTGACGGAGACGAGCACGTTTCTGTAGTGAAGCTCGATACTGTTCAGGTTTCGCTCATCGTCAGGTATGAAAATTTGGTTCGACCCACTGAGGTTTGAGGTCACGATGTATAATCTTCAGGCTGTGCAAATGTTTAAGACCCGAGGTGATCTGATAGATGGACTTCTTCCTGTCGAATCCAATCGCCAAGTCTTGGTGAGCGGAAGGGTTTTCGATGATATCGGCGAGCGATGCAGAGCACAATTCGAGCGCGATGAATAGGAAATTGTCCCTTTTCTCCTGGTAAAAGTCTGATGTGTCCTAGAGATGAGCAGGGATCTCACCGCTTGGCAGGATTGACACGATACTTACATCGAATCACGTTCTGATGGTCGTCACTGGCCTGTAGTAAAGCGACTTCCTGTGAAGCGATAGAGACAAAGTCTCGTAATAACCTCTTGACCGCGACTGCTCGACCTTGAAACACGCCTTTGTACACGACCGTGCCGGCAGATCCGTAGCCTTTTTTTTAAGAGTCCCGAAACCGAATTCAGCTGCCTTGCCCAACTGGAATACATTTCAAAGTAGCTTACCGATGACATCCTCAGTGACCGACAAGCCGTCCACCTGGGTAACGTCGTGGCCTCTAATCACGTCCTCCGGCTTCTCGCCTGATTCCGGAGCCGCGACGATCATGTCCCCTTGACCCCCCTCCTCTCCCAACGGCTCTACTTCAGTGATCTCGCCATCCTCGTTATCATCTTCATTACCCTGGTCATCGCGCTTCCCCCGGTTCTTTTTTCCTCGCTTGCGCCGTCGCCCATTAGATTTCTTGCCAACAGGCTGATCTTCGACGGCCTCGGCTTGAGGAGAGATCGTGCTATCCCGAGTGGATTCCGAGTCCTCATCATCTTTCGGAATTGCAGGAAGAGCTTTATCGAATGCGATAGATGTCGTTTTATGAGTCGTTTCGGCTTTCGTGGCCATTTCTATGGGGCTTGGTGATGCGCTTGCTGACTGCCGACGAGCCGAAGTGAAGATCCAGAGCGAGACCATGACTAACAGCCCCATAATACCCAAAGAAAGCCAATCCGGGCCTCTCTTCCAGCGCGCTGCCCATCCCGGTTGCATTTCGCGGGCGGGTTCAACCTCGTCGACGCCTTTCTTCTCATGTGGTTGTCGAATTTCTTCTCGGGCCATAGCATCATCGGTCTCTGCCGGATCGATGAGAGGCGGTAGCCTCTCGCTGACAGCCTCGTGCACAGCATGTCCGCCTATAAGTGATCCCTGTTGCGCGCGAGGCGCGTATCCGACTAAGGGGTGATTCGCGCTCGACATGACGAAGAAACCCTGTTCCTCGATTGAGCCATCGCCTTCTCGCGCAACAGGCAGCTCATGCACAAGTGCAGATGGAGGCAGGCCCATCAACTGCAGGTTATTCTGAGCCTCCGGAAACAAAGTAGGTAGGTATGCCGGAGGCTGAGGTAACAATATCGGTTTTGATCCAGGCGCGGCAGGCAATAGTACGTCAAAGACCGATACCCCCACGCTGCCCAGATCCGCGACCCATCTCAAGCCTTGTTCCTGCAGGAAGCCCGCGACAGTACCATCGTATAGCATTTCCACCCTCCATCGATCCTCGTATTCGGCCTGGTCCTTCGTATTGGCTGCGTTGAACGATCCGGCATATCCACCGTATTTACGCCCGGGTCGGATAAAAACTTCCCCTTTGGTATGACCATGTCTGGACCAGTAGTCGGCCAGGTCTCGATGAACAGCATTCGGAACCATACGCGTGTACAATAGGTCTTGTATGATCTCACCCGTATGAGATCGCATGACAAGGTGGTAATCTATCCATGGAGGAGATCCCAATTAGCCTCCGGACCGAATTGTGGATTTTCTCGGCCATCTCACCGGTCTGACCAATATACAAGAGGTCCTCTGGGCGATCATCGATATCGCTCTCACACTCCCCGTCCTCCATACCGTGCAATCCCTCTCCATCCGGCTTACAAACTCCCAAAGGGGTTGACCTATTCGTGCCGAACGTCCCTACACTTTGGCCTGTCTGCAAGTCGAGCCCAACCAGTGAAGTAGTCTTGCTTCCAATGAAGATGTGCGCCGGGTCTTGAGGGAAATGGAACGGTGACAGGTCGATACTAGGTATAGGCGTAGCGATAAGAGGAGAGCCAAAGGGATCGGCGGATTTGGAGTTAGACTTACAGCTCTTCCAATTTCAGAGGCAGCTTTTGCATTGCTCCACCAGATCCTCCTCGATCACCATCGGCTTTGATATGAACATAGAGTTGGCCATCATGCGGGTCAACGATATAATAAGCTTCTCCCGAGCTCTCGTTATATCGGCTCTTGATAAGCCTTCCACCTCGGTCTGAGCCGACCACTCCGTTCTGCGACCAGATTTTACGCCCCGTCGACCTCTCTACGGCGTGCAGACCGCCGTCGATTGTGGTGATCAAGACGATATTCAGCAGTTCCAGGTCCTCGAAGCCAGGAGGTCTAGCCCTTTGAGCGACCCCGCGAGCTCGCTCTTCGTCGTTCAGCAACTGTCTTCGAGCTTGTCCGGACAGTGCTAGAGCGATATTCGAAGCGGCCGGCGAGTTCGATCCATCTTGGAATGACGGATGAAGAAGGGCAGGCAAAGCTTCTGGCACAGGTTCTGCTCGAGCTGCTCCGAGCGGATATTCGCCGTTTGACAAGAGGATTGTGCATAGCAGGAGCAACAAGGCCGGTAGGAAATTGTTCAAAGGCGGTCGTCGCCGGTGTAGCAGCTCTGATGGCTTCATGGAGGAAGCATGAATTCCCGAACTATCATTTGCCTCGTAGAAACGACTATGAGGATGGATACGTGTGACACTAGTCTACTGAGCTAGTGACGTTACCGAAAGTGTCTAACGACCGTCCCCAACCACAAAAGTCAATCGTTCCCCCCCCCCCCCCGCAAGCCGAAGCTCATGTCGGCCGACCCCTCCACGAATCATCCCCCAACAACTATTTGTTACACGTCATCACCCAAAACCCGTTATCAAAATAATCACACGTTAGGTCAGCGCCGATGAGGATCTGGGGTAGAGTGATCACCTTGCGACTGCTTGAGATCAGCAAAGGGTATATGAATCGCTGGAAGGATCGAAGCCAGCATCTAGCCAGTCAGCCGACCGAAACGACGCCATAACTTGCTGTCACGGAAAAGCCCACGCAACATGGCCGACTCGATGGACGTAGACAAGCAACCCGCTCCCCAAGCTTCCGGAAGCGTGGCCAAAGGAAAGGGCACTGCTGGAAACAAGGACGAGCCTCGATTTGTAGTGAAAAAGGTGAGTGATGGGAATGCTTAGGTATCCATGTCTTTGTATCTGACCTAAATCTATCCTATTGTGAAAACAGTGGAACGCTGTCGCTCTCTGGTCGTGGGATATCGTCGTCGACAATTGCGCGATCTGCAGAAACCACATCATGGACCTCTGTAAGTGTCGATTACAATCAACTATCTATACGACTTATTGATGATATCGCCCGTTCTCTCGTAGGTATCGATTGTCAAGTGAACGCTTCCGATGAAAGCAAGTCTCGATATCTATCGGCAAAGGATGTGACATGACGAATGATGACTAACCCGTGACATGGTAAACAGGCGGCTGCACCGTTGCTTGGGGAGTCTGCAATCACGCCTTTCACTATCACTGCATCAATAGGTGGCTCAAGACTAGGAACGGTAAGCTTCTTGATCGTCGCAATAGCCGCGTTTGACCTTGGCTAATCGAGATGTTTGTGCACAACACCAGTTTGCCCGCTTGACAAGTGAGCTCAATCGGATCTCTCAATTCGAGAGGTTTGTATGCTAATCCAATGTCTACTACAGTCGAACCTGGGAACTCCAGCGTTACGGACGTTAAGCCGACACCATCCACTTTCCGGTTGCACGAAACCCTTCTCTATCCTATCTCTTACGACCCGACAATACTCTCGCCACTACTTGTCCGACTGGCCTTTACGACACACTCTCTCTCACAACTCTGTAACAGTAATATCTAGAGCAATATGTGCGCGGAAACGTGACAACCGATATCCATATTGAAACTCAGAGCTGGAGTCGACCAAACCAAACAGGTTGTCGTCGTTCTCAAGCACAGGATATGTGCGAAAGTACAGACTCTGGACATCGAGTGTCTCGAATACAAGTAGGTCTCAAAACATGGATAGCAAACGGGAGAAATTCGTCATGGTCGTAGATACTGGTATCGTCCATTGAGGGCGGGTGGTCACGGGCACTTCTAACAACATTCCTACACTACCCCAACCTGATCAGCTAGGTATTCTTGGCCGCGGCGACCAATTGCACTCACTCTAGGGCTTCTGGGAAATCGAGGCGCTCAAGCCACTCGGCTCCCTCTCGACCTGGCCTGCATCCAACATGCCCCGGCAGCGCGAACATACGCCCTGTTCCAATATCGCCAGCTCAGATCGTCTCTCCCTCTCTGCCAGCGAGGACGCCTGGGCTTCTTCTTTGGCCAACGTCATGGCATCTTTCAGCCGACCGAGCTGTGATTCGAGGTGGGTGATCTGGGAGTGCCACGCTCGTCTTGCAACGAGCAGCTGAAGAAAACACAAAGGGCTGTTCAGCAACAGAACATTGTTCACGTGGTTTTTCGGACCTCGTCCTTACCTCTTCTTCCAACTTTCTGATTCGAGCTTTGTCATCGGTCTCACTTGTCTGCTCGAGTTCGGACTCGTACATCGACACGTTGCGACTCTTTAGCGCCATCAAGGAGACCGGTACTGATTGATCAGCAGGCAAGGCGGATCGAGTCGGACTTTCACTGTGTGTCATGGGAGACTCCCTAGCGTCTCTATCGGTAGGACGAGGAGGCGTCTCCTCCAACATCGATGCCGGCCTGACCCGCATAGATGCCGATCGAGTCTGACCATGTCGATCCTTTGTAGGGGTAATCAATTGACTGACTGTCCTAGACGGTCTAGCCTTGACATTTGGCATGGTCATGCTCCTTTTCTCCCCTCGGACATTCTCCCTCTCCGTCGTCATCAAGTAAGCCGCTCTGATCCTCTGCGAGTCCGACAACCCGTCCGGTCCCATCGTCTCGTCCGTCATGTTCCGCGACAACATCTTTTCCCTGAGAAAGCTCATAAATCCGGATCGTTTCGGCTTGATCACCTTGATAGGTTCGTCCAACATGTTCTCCTTCTGCGGCGGGGGAAACGTGTAAAGCGGGGAAGGTCGGTGATTGGATTCGGGTAGGTCGAATGGTCTTTCCGGTTTCATTTTGACCGGCGTAATAGGTGGCGTGGCCGCGATATCCGACAAAGCTCTCGATTTCCTCGTCTTCACCCTCTGACCTTCCTTCACCTCGTCGTGCAAGCTGCTCATACTGCTCGTCCCCCTAGATCCAGCCGTTTCGCTCCTAGACCTCGCCGCTCCCATTTCACTCGTCGTCCTCAACCTCCTCATCGTCGGATGCACCGTCTCCTCCGATCGTTGACGCTGTCGAGTCTCGTCCCGTAAATGGCGAGACCCACCACCCATCATCATCGTATGCACGGCCGACTCCATACGAGCCTCCTTGATCGCCGAATCTCGTCGACCGATACGCCTCCTAATCGGCTGATCGTCCTCGCCATATCCACCGAGGCGCACCGTCGTGTCGCCTTCCTGAAATCCTGACCCCCGCTGATCACTGAAGCGGTAAAACTCCTGATTTGATGGTAAAGTGTTGTCCAGAAGATCTCCGGAAGGAGATGGCGAAATCATGGGTTGTCGGTACAACCGGTCCGCGGGACCAGGGGGCGAATCTTGCGGGTAAGCTACGTATTCAATGGGCGAGGCGGCATAGGCCTGCTTCTCGCCCGTGACGATCTCCAAGCCTGGCAAGAGACTTTTTGTCGGATGTCTTTCAGGTAAGCTCGGAGAAAGATGACGGTGATGATGAGGGGGAGACTGAGGATCCAGCGGCTCAGAGGGGTCGGTTGTGAACGATCCCGAAGTATCGGTTTCGGTCCGCGCGGAGGAAGGCTCGCTGGACTTTTTGCGGTTAAGTCTTCCAAGCGGCCTGATGACGTCCTGAACGATATTGTTACTTTTCGTAGTAATCCTCGAGATAGTACTACTACCTGTCGATGGTCGAGAGAGTTTGCGTCTCATCGAAGGCGGGGTGGGGAGAGCATCACGTCCATTGACGCTGACGTTGGCCAAACGACGTGTCGCTTCAATGGCGAGATCTCGGCTGTCTGCTACTTTTGACCTTGACTTGTCCGCGTTGTTCTGCTCGCTGATGTCCATGAGCATGGCGATTCTTTGTTCGTTCTCCTGTCTGTCGACATCCGAAAAGGTAAAGCTTGTCTTTCTCAGCCTCGGTCCAGCATCAAGAGACGTGACGCTGAGATCGTTCGAGGGTCGTTCGGGAGACAGGAAGATGCTCTCCTCGTGACTCGGACGTTGGCGGCTCTCGTCGAAGACTTCGACCTTCATCGTTCCCGAGTTGTATGATCGTAGTCTGTGTTGAGGCGTCGAAGTATCTGGAACGGCTGGCAAGGGAGCGTCCCGGAAACGAGATTGATCTGAGGGCGATGGAGCAAATCCCGTCGAGAACATGGTGCCGAGGTCGGGGTGGGTCACTACCCGTGTGACGCTAGGAGAAAACGAGGATGCTACGTGTCGACAGGAATTTTGTTGGGCTATCTGATGGTCTCGGAGATGATTAAGTGCAGCGTGCATAACAAGTTGCAAGTTGCAAGTTGTGGTTGTATCGAGTTTGCAAGAGTTGTAAAGTCGAGCGAGGTCGTGGTGAAATCGTTTCTCTGGCTCTGGCTCGCTCGCTCGTTTGTTGTGATGATGATGCAGGGGGAGTTTGTTTGTTTCCACCTCGATCTGTCAAATTTGATCAAGAGCAAGGGGCTGGGAGAGGAATTTTGATCAAATTGATGGGAGATTCGCCCCGCGACGAGCCAAAATGATTGATGGCGCAACTCTGAAACGTATCGATCAGCGTGCATATGTGACGTAATCGAGGCGCGACGCGTCCCTTGAACCTGACATTTTCAAAGCGAAACGAGGAGCTCGGTCACCGTCGAACGATCAATTCAACTAGACACACGACGACAACCAACTAGCTCAAAGCTCAAGTATCTTCGCTGGCCGCTAGCAATCTGGCCGACCTAGTCAGACGAAAATTTCCCAGATGTGGACAGGCTGGAAAGGACCATACATGCTCTGTGTGGCTCTGCTGGTCTTTCTTACCGCTGTACATGCCAACACCGAGATCATCAACTTTCACACGAGACGAGGGCTCGAAGATCCCAGGGCAGCCAGGGTGTTCTACTCCCATGACCAGTGAGCCACAGGTCAAGAAGGCCCTTGTATATAACTTGCTAATCTCATTGCGTCTCTTGTCAGACTCGATGTGATCATCGGGCCGAACCACCCGTTGAGACTGAACACTACCTCTGCCGAAGAGGTGCAATGGCGTATCGGTCTCCTGCTCGATGGACCCGCCGCCGCATCTTCTAAAGCCTCATGGACGGCTCGTATCTCTTGGCCAGCTACGGTAAGCTCGGTTTCATCGAATCGAGGTGGGTTCACCACATGATGGAAGTCCTGATCTCAGCGTAGCTTGTTGCTCGTCGATAGATGCCTTCGGATTTCGATATCCGCGTCGTCCCCTGGAAACCAACCGACCACAAGACTTCCCTTTCGTCCACTCACGATCGACTGCTTACCATAACTCGCCGGTACACTGGAGTATCTTTTCCATCTCCCAAAGGATCCATCCTCTCGGCAGGGCCAGGTGACCAGCACACACATGCAGCGGAAGAGCTCACAGGAGTGACCTTCGACCTGATCGTCGAGCCTTTGACGTTCGGCGTGATCCCCTTCACAGCATGGCCGACGATCCTCAACGTGGTATTGATGGCTTGTGCAGGGTACTTGTTTGCGACGAAGATCGTACTCCCGCGATGGATCGATCCTCTATTGGTCAAACGAGATGAAAAGACGGAGTAGGCTTTCGGCTTCCTCTCGGTTTCGACAAGGTTGTATCTGGGTGCGGATACCCTTTATGATGAGAGACATTACTACTCCGAGCATATAGACCATATTTCATATTCTATCTAAATCCCGTTCTGTGGTGGCTACATGCGACATCGTCCGTGCCGTGTCGTCTTTTCGGGCGGGATAAGCGAAGATACAAAAGCGAACAAGGGGAATCGTCTTAGACAAAATTCGAACGACGTGGAGATGAACAAAACCGAGGCCACGAAACTGGCATATACCGGAACCCCCAAACAGACCCGAGCCCATAAAGGTTCAAGACCGACTTCTCACCGGATCCTCGCAAAAGGGTTCAGTTCGCTATCTTCCCTCTTCTTTTCCCTCAAGGCGACAACGGCCTCTTCGCTCGCCATTTCGTCCCTGGGAGCTTCCCCGCTCCTTCCCTTTTGGAAGGCGTTCCAGAAACGCAAAGTCTCGTCTCCAGCACCAGTGACGATCGTCTGCCCATCGGGGCTCATGGCGAGGTAGAGAACTCGCAGGGTATGACCCGTCAGCGTGGCGACCGGGTTCATGCTGGGGTACTTCCAAAGGCAAATCTGGTTTGATACAGAGCCGCCCGAATAACCGTGCGTCGAGACGATCTCGTTCGAGTTCTTGGCCCACATCAGGTTACACACCTAGATCCAGAAGAGAGACAACGGCGGTGAGCGAGATTGTCGTACATGCAGACAGATTTGGCAGCCACAAACTTACCTGAGACCCGGTGTCCCATTCGCTGAGCAAGTTGCCGGTGAGCGTGTTCCAATACCTAATCTTCTTGTCGGCCGTGCCTCCACCCGTCGCCAACAGACCATTGTGGTGAGGGCTCCATGCAAGCGCCTTGACAGCTGCACAGTGCTGAGAGAACTTGTAAAGCGGCGTCGGGTTGGTGCTGTCCCAGATATACAGCTTGTTGTCGTTTCCGCCTGAAGCAAGCTGGTTGGTGGCGGGGTTCCACTTCAGTCCACAGACTTCTTGACGATGCGCCTTGAGCGTCTCTATGTAGTGTTCCCTCACTCGGGTATCGCGATGTAGAATAGTACGATCTCGAGATCCGGTAGACAGTATGTGACCGTTCCAGGCGAGCGCTCCGACTCGACCAGTATGACCGGTCATGGTTCGTATCCGTCGGTTGGCTTCAGCGTCCCAGATTTCCACCTTGCCAGCTCGCGTGCCTATAGCCACGGTACTCCCCTGCGATATCGGCACAAGAGTCAGCCTTCGAGAAACTCTCAGAACGGTTATGCTAACTGACCCTATTCGTCCACTCTAATCCTGTCACCTCGTCTATCGTCTCGTGCATGCCAGCGCCGTCTGCAAAATCGCACAACCTAGAGACGTCCGAGGTCGCAGCCGTCCAGATGTATACTGAACTCCTGAGACCGACGGCGAGTAGGTTACTCGATGACCAAGATACCAAGTTCAAGTAAAAGTCATCCTACATTGATAACCAAACTCGCAAGGTCAGCTTGAAAGAACGAAGATGTTCGTACCTGCCTAGACTTACGGCCAGCTCAGGCGCATCCAGGACCTTGAACGGCGTCTTGCTGATCCACCTTGTCGACTTTTTTGTGCTTAACAACAGTTTCTGGCTCTCCCTGCCCATCGGACTCAGGCTATACTTTTCGTGCAACATATCGTCCAGACCCATGCCGACTCCCGTAGCGGTCTTGTGACCTAGGCCTATGTTGCCCGGGGAAGCCTTGACGCCCCCACTGCGAGAGTTGGGACTGGACTTCATGGCCGAGGTGGGCGAAGAAAAGTCTAGTACACGTCTTTTGGTCGGCGTGACGGGTGGCTCGCCATGAACTGGTGTCGACCGAGATATCCTCGATCCTCCTGACGCAAAGGCGCCAACGGCAGAAGTTCTGGGCGTGCTAGGTGAATGGACAGGAATGGGCCCGAGCAGGCCGTCTCCGTTATGTGAAGCTTGATGACCTGCAGCCGGCTGACTCGGACCTGTATGGCGAGAAGGGACACTGGGTGCCGAAGAGGTATGCGTCGGTGTAGGTCGATCAACCAGACCCGATCCGAAGAGTTCCGATTTTAGCAAGTTTGAATACGTCCTGTCTGCCTCGTCTATAAAGAACATAGTGATTGCGGTTGTCAGTACGGTATTCATGCATTCTAGGCCGACCCAAAAAAACATACCTCTGATGCTATCCCCTTCAACCATCATCGACCTCTTCTTGCTCCTCTCTAGCTCTGCTCGCCTAGCGATAACAGACGCTGCCAACCCTTCTCCATAGATCCCACTCGGAACAAAGCCTGACGTCGCTTCCGGGCCATCCGGGAGCAACGTATAGGAAGCGTGCAAGTCGTTGTTCGAGCGTTGCGGGATGAACCTAGAAAGACCCCATAAAACCCGGCTTAGCCTGGGCTGTCACAAGATCGTCTGTCCCTCAGGCGGTCTACTGACCTATCACCATAATCCACGCCTTTCCCCTTGGCATTTCTCGCGCCCCCATTCCTCGTCCCTGTCAATCCACCCTGCCCTATCATCCCGTTTGCGTTCGTATTCACTCTGTCCGCCCCACCGCTCTGCATCAAGATCCCTTCGACCGACAAACCCGCCCTGTACTTGGCCGTCCCCGTTCCAGGACCCGGGAGGTCCCGCTCGGGGCTCTTTGACAGGACGGGTCCGAACCTTCGATTCCTGTTCGGCGTGACCGGCCTCGCTTCCCCCGTCGATCCATAGACGATGGGCTCGACGATCTCTGGGAGACCGGTTTCTTTCTGGATGTGTGAATTGCGCTGGTGAGTGTCCCGTATCCCTGCAGGTGGACCGATCACGGGGCTTCCGGCCGGACTGAGGAGGACGGGGGAACAACTCGCACTCGTGCTTCCGGTCGTCAAGTTTGGTGTCGATCGGGTGTGATAAGGTGAATAATGATGAGGATGTGAAGTCGCATGTGGTGATGATTTAAGGTTCCCTCCTGACTGCATGCTCCCGTTACCGGCGTTGTTACTGTTCACGCTGCTGCTCGCTCCGGAACCAGAAGCCGACAACGAGCCTTGCATAGACACTCCTCCTCCAACGATCCCCAACCCGCTCGCCGTCATACCCATCGAGACAGGGGAATGGGCGTGTGATCCCTGTCCATTTGAAGACAGGTAGCCGTGAGCGCCCTGATGAGAGATGGTCGAACCCACAGTCCTCGTCTCCTTTGGGGATCCCGAGTAACGTGGTCTCGATGGAGTTGGCTGCCCGTTAGGCTGGTTACGAGTAGTAGACGATAGGTGCCGGGAAGTCGACATGGAGGAAGATGCAACATTGTTGACGTGGTTGTTGCTAGTGGGAAGGTGACTCATGGCCGTCGCCGTAGACCCATGGTTTCGTGGAGACCTTCGAGCGTTGGTCGACATGGCGAGGGGCTATCGCCTGGTCGTCCGATTGGCAGGTAGAGTGGGAGAAACGGATGTAGAGATATGGTGTGGTGGTTGAGATGAAGAAGGAAGTCCACGGGCGTCAGGAGCTCGACGGCCGAATCGTCAAGACGTATGACCTCGTCAAGACCTCTAATATGTCCGGTCGTCTGATGACGTGATGGCGAGAAGTGAGAGGGAGAGTTGCGGAATGATAGACCTCAAGGCGATGTCCAGCCTGTTGTCGTGTGTTGTGGTTTGGTCGGTGGAGGTGGAGTCGACAGAGTGACCCGATCCCAGTTGCGACGAAAGGAATGTTGTGACGACCTCCCTTGCGTGTGAGAGAAGGGAAAGGGGTCGAGCGTTTCGGATTCGATCGCCGTCTTTTGTTTGTTTGTTTACTCGTCGTCTTCGTTTCCAACCCCGAGAGAGAGAAGAGAGAAAGACAAAAGAAGGAAAGGAAACACTTCGCTCGATGATCCAGACCGGATGACGTAGAATGTGGGAATGCGGGAGATGGGCGATGGAATGATGGTGCGAGTTAGTTGATAGCGACGAAGGATTGTGTTTCGGTCCTTCGAGTGGTTCGCCCTCGACCGCAAAGCGTCCGGTCTTGAACGTCGAGCCTTGTCGCACGTCGTCCTCACGAAGGGTGTATCCGGATCTTCTAGCAGCTAGATTGATTCAAGCGAGACTGCCTGTCGGGGCTGATCCGATATGAAGTGGGAGATATGGATGGGTGAACATGTGTGAACGGGAAACGTCGGCTCCCCCTCGGCCCCTCGGTCAAGAGCGAGCGATTTGTTTTGACCTGTCCGCGCGAGTTTTGATCAAAAGAAAGAGACGGCGATGGTGATCAAGGTGCATCGCAAGACCGGCAAGACCACTATGTACTATGTGAAGCATTTCACAAAGACCACTTTCTCAGCCCGGCATACCTCTACACCTCGATAGTATCAAGTGCGTGCGATATCCTGTGATGTCCATTTTAGCCAGAGATAGTCGGTCATCAAGATCATCAAGGATCATTCCCCGTCGAGCTGAATCGGATTCGACGCGTCTTCTCACGCGCCGTAAAGTGGCATCGCGCTACTCGAACACAGTCGTTGGAATGAATAGCGTCGAGGATTATGATACTTGCTCTTCATTATGATTCGTCGAGTTTGATACAAAAATAGTCATCATAGTCCTGTTCACAACCACCTTCGACCGTCAACCATGCAACCCTCAAACGTCCTTGACCGTACCCCTCCTACTCTCCTCCCAAGCCTGCACGACCCCCGGATTGATCAACCGTCCATCGTCCACCTCCCACCCGCTCGCATCGACCCAACTGGACGATTGCGCCCGACAGGCCGAATGGAAAAAGTTTTTCAGGTGAGAAGAGTAGGCAAAGACGTTGCTAGGAGGTGCACCGCCGGTCGGGATGAGGCCCCGAGACTCCGATTTACGGATCTGTCGAGCACGAGTTTTAGCGACGAATCAGTTGGTCGAGTATCGAAGTCTCTGTTCGCGACGTCCGGACTAACCTGCTCGATCGTGGTCGAATTGAGGAACATCAACTACAATTCAGACGAAAGACATTCAATCAGTCCAGCCTTTCGTCGAGATGGCCCCTTTGAGATCCCCGCCGGTGCTCACCCTGAGATGATACGCCAGCAAGGCCATCACCGGCCAAACAATGATTACACCTATGGCGAAACTGACCGCGCTTCCCGGACTGTCCCGCAGAGCGGCTCCAAAGGATATGTTCCGCCGCGACGTCATTATTCGGTAGTGAATCGCCGAGAAGACGATCGTGTAGATGACGCCTAGGACCTGTGCACGTCCGGCAAATATCAGCAGGGCTCTCCGTTAGGATATGTCAAGGGTGCTGGAAGGCCTCGTCTCGCACTTACGGCGGTGATGAGAAACGAGATGAAGCTGCTATAATTCCGTTTACCTACGCAGTTGTGCAGGTAGGAACAATGATGGTCGATCCCCTCGACACAGTTTCCGCACTACCATCATGAGCAATTCATCTTGTCAGCTTGCCACTCTCATCACTGAGATGCATGATAACCTATGGACTGACCAAGCGACAATGACTGCTCCGTGGCGGTCTGTAGAGTTTACACGTCTCGCAGTACTTGACCGTCACGGTCCCGTTCTTTACACGCAGATCCCGGGTATAGGGAACTAATGTTCCTGTCGAAGAGGTATGGGACACGGGGAAGGTTGGGTCGAGGTTCCTAGGTAGAATGCCTGTTCGAGGAAGAGAACGAGAAGGCTGGGTCAGCACATCACGTTCTTTGAGCGAGGTCAGGGATGCAACCGGACCGACCTGGATCTCGAAACGCCGTGGCAATCATGGCACCCACACAAGTCCCCAGTAAGTACCCAAAGATGATCACCGCCGCCTTTCCACCTGCACCTGCGCCTCCGCCACCCAAACCATCTCTCCACATCCACACTCCGGTCGTACCCAACCACAGACCTCCGAGACCGAGCACGATGATGAATGACCCGATGAGAGGCAAGATCGAATCTCCTCCTGTCAACAATCGGCCTTCAGCGAAGTAGGTCGTAGATTGAAGGGGTTGGGATTCGAGGCGTTTGTATTTCCTGGTGGACGTCTTGCGGCGGTAAGGCTCCGAGCTCGAGCCGTAAGCTGGACCCGCTGTGACGCCCACATCCCGACGGGGGAGCTGAGGATCCAAGTCGGCAAAAGGCCTGCCGTGCGTCGACGGTCGATTCAGGTCAATCAGACGTGGTGCGGTCGGAAATGCCGAGTCTGTTCGCGTGTGTGGTGGGTACTGATGTATACTGGTACGATACGTCGAATCGGACGACATCGGCCGATGCCGAAACGAGGGGGTTCCTTCCCAACCATCACTGGTATTTGCCTCAGATTGATTCTGGGCAATGTCCCCCGACGAGCCGAATCCGAGAGCCTGGACCAATGATATCGGTACTCCAGGAGCAACGGTGATCGGACCTCCTTGACTCTTGGCGACCAACCTATCCGTGCTCGCCCAATCTTTCGGCGGACTAGGCCATCCGATCGCTCCTTCCCCTTCGAGCGTGCTCCTTCGACTAGGACTAGCTCCCAAGTCCGAATCGTCGCGAGGGATGTAAGGTAATCCACCCGGGCCGGAAAGGTCGTGCAACTGCGCTTGCGATCTAGGAGCATCGGTATCAAACGAGCTCTTCGTGGGTGTGGTATACGATCGTTCTGCTTGTTCCCAATAACCCGATCTTGATGCGCTGCGTTGATCTGCCGATGAGCTCAGAGGCAAATCCGATCGACTGGTCGGTCGCTGTTCGCGGTAATGGCTGTAGCCCTGACGACTGCTATCTGGCGATAAAGCCCTCTTCATCATCGGCGACAGTCTCCCTTGCAATTGCGATTGCCCTCCTGGCCTGCCCTCTCCATCAACTACCCTTTCCACAGCGGGTGACATCATGGCCTTCGAAAACGCCGAGTCTGGTCGTTGAGCTTGTATCCTGTTGGCACGTACATCTTTCGTAGGTGTAGTCATGCGAGATCCTCCGAAAGGGTCGTCTTGATCGTCAAGTCGTAATGTCATGATGGAAGTGCGTGTATCGTACGTCGACTTTGATGGCCGTAGGATCAAACGAGTACTAGTAGTGGCGTCATAATGGGAGCATATCGGAACGAGGGACTTCTAGTAGAGTATTGACTTGTCCATAGCAAACGATTTGTAGTATACTCTCAAGGATCTCTGTGATCGTTTGGCAATGATTTTGATGAACAAGAAGGGCGATGGGAGTCTTGTTGATTTTGTGCGACGGGCAAGCCATTCAACTTACGCAAGAGCATCCGTGAACCAGTCATCCGATCCGACAAGGGGCTCGTCGACTTTACCACAGCCCAGCCTTTTCAGATCAGATTCTCTCTACACCTCAGCGACCAGACGTCAGAACAGAATCAATGCATAAAGACAAAGCCCAGACTAGACAGACATATCACAATTCGAATAAGAAGGTAGCGAAAGAGGATAGAGTTGACCAGAGCGTAGATTGAGATGCCGACAAGACCACCGTCTCCGTAATTCCCTTCGATTCCCTGGGCAATCCGGCGCCCCTGGAGGAAGGTGATCCCAGCGAGGTGATGCAGGTCGGGTCCAATCGCGGTCCCGTTTCTGATCCTCTCATCCTCGCATTCCGGATTTTTGATTGTTTCGTTACATGGTTCCCCGGGCGTCCGAGTGAAGAGCCGAAAGTAATGAGACTGGCGTCGACGGTGAGAGTCGAGAGAAGAGGGAAAAGATCGAGTTGTTCCAGGCGATCGCGATTGGATGCGATTCCGGGCCTGTCCCGTCCACTGATATCGTCGCCCTCCCATCGAAATCCACCCTCGGTTCTCCTTGTGCTCTCAACCTAACCCCCGCTTCTTCTTCCGCCCGCCTCATCCCTCAGCTCCCCGTTCCCGTACTCGTTCCCGCTCTTCAGACCAAACCCTCCTCCCTCGTCCTCCTTGTCCCACACCCAGCTCCATCCCATCCCACCCCGATCCATCCCCAGCTCAGAAACCTCGACCCCTGCCCCTGCCTCCTCGTCCCCTCGCCCTGCCCCTGTCCAAGGCTTGACTGGCCTTGCCTCGGCCCATCCCGGGGTTCTTTCCTTTCGGCTTGGGAGCGTCGTCGATGAGAAGGTTGTCCAGCGGAAGCGAGTCTGTAAGAGGTGAGAGGCGATGGTAGGGTGAGGCAAGGTGAGGTGGACAGGAAGCAGATAGTGATGACGATAGTTGATGGCGAGGTGATAATTATAACAAAGGAAGACGAGAGACGAATCCGAGTCGAGAATCGATCCATCCATGAAGCGCAGAATGACGAATGCCTCGTCAGCTCAATCCCTACCGCCATACCCGAACTCCAATTCTGTTCTGAACTCACCGGGTAGGACAAAGTATCTGATGTTGGGTCCTCGGATGGCCAGCGTATCCACGGTCACGGTCGACCTGTTCTTCGGGGTCATCTTGACCGTCTTCAAGTGGGTGTTCATCTGCGGGTCGACGGCTGTGGGTAGATTCGTGGTGATGATATTCCAAGTAGAGGTATTCGAAGATTCCGAGTAGATTTGATATCGTTGATAAGAGGGGGTTCGATTTCAAATGGGATTGAATGCCATGTTGTACATCGAATTACGTTCATATGGCCGTTAGCTCGTTTATAACCCGGCGTTGTACACGAAGCTGCAGCTCCGGACTAACCGGTAATGGTTCCATGTACCGTAGTCCCGTTCTTCAACTCTATCGAGACCGTCTCATTCGAGAGCTTCATCAAGAACCTATAGGAGCGAGCGAATGTCGAGTGTACAAAAGCATGAGATTGCGCGAGCGATCGTCGTGGTCAGCCGGGGGTTGGAGTCGAGGCGGGTCTGTCTGGCGATTATACTCACCTGACGAGCTTCATCTTGGCAGGTTTCTGATGGTGATGTTTGGCTTAGTGCTAGTGATGACTGCTGGATGCGGTTGTCGATATGGGATGATGCTATCGAGATGTGAATTGAACATGAGGTCTGACCTTGATCATGACCCTTGGTCCCAGGGTGATCGTCTCTCGCTTTCTCACGCGTCGTCGCCCGTCCGTGTCCTCACCGAGAGCCCCGAGTCCACGCGTCAGAGAGCGAGCATCAGCATCAGCAGCAACGACCATTGCGAAATGTCATGACATGACCCCCCAACATTCTCTCCACGGCGAGCTGAACTCTCAACGAATTCATCCAGGATAGTAGTAGAAGGGTGGACAGTCAACTCCCCGTCCCAGTCTCGTCGTTCACACAAAAAAAAACAGCAATTCCAAAGGACCGCTGAACGACCTCTCCACGTTTCGCTCGTCCACGACGACCTTCCCCTTGTCCAAGCAGCCTACTACGTGCTGGCCTTACCTCGACGAGTTCCGCCGAGGTATCTTACGAACGCCCGGGATCCAAGGATAACAGCCTAACCTCACCAAATTACCGACCATCATGTCCCAACCCGCTCTTCCCGCCGGCTGGGCAGCTCAATGGGACGCACAAGCCAACCGTTACCTTTTCGTAGACACGATCAACAACCGATCTCAATGGGAACAACCTACCGGACCCGCTATCGGTGCAGGCGGACCCGGAACGAACGGGATCGGTCCGGGATCGTCTTCCACTCCTATCCCTCAGGCCAACGCTCAACAGCAACAGCCGGTAGCGAGCAGTAACCCGAGGAGACGACAGTACCCGACGGCTCAGATGGCTCAAGCTTATGCCGAAGGGGGAGCTGTGGCCGCGACAGGAGGACATGGGACGGGTTACGGTGCTGGTGTCGGAGGAGGAGTCTCTACCCCGGGCGTCTCTGGGGGTTACAGCGATCTATCCCAGGGTCAGGGGCAGTACCCGCAGATGCAGGTCCCGCAGAACCAGGGCCCCGCACAGCTGTTCACTCCCGGAGCGGCTCTGGCAGGCGGACAAGGTCAACAACAGGGAGTCGCCGGGGGATATTTCGCTCCGGCCAACCCTGGGTTTGCGGACCAAAAGGCCTTTTCGGTCGCTGGCGGTGTTGACCCCAACCAGCAGCAACAACAGCAACAAGGAGGTGTAGGTGGGATGATGGGGAACATGGTCAACCAGTTTTCCAACATGGGCATGAACGGCGGGTCGACCCCTGGTTACGGTCAGGGACAGGCTCAACAGCCCATGTCTATGGGGGGACACGGCTCTCATGCCTTGGTCAACCTGAACCTGATCGGTCTTCAACCCTCCGTGCCCGACCTCGCTCGTGATCCCCCTGCCCCGCTCTTACCTCAGGGAGCTTGCATCTCGAACAATCCCGCGGCGAACGCGCATCATAGCTATCAGAGGTCGACGATCAACGCTATCCCGACGACAGCGAGCTTGTTGGGAAAGACCAAGATCCCGTTGGCTCTGATCTTGACCCCGTATAGGAGCGTACAGGAAGGTGACGTGAGTCAGATGCATGAGCTTGTTTGCTAACGAATAGTATCACTGATTTCGTGACCTCGACACCTAACACGCCCGGCGCTGTGTAGGAACCCGTGCCTGTTGTCTCGGACACGGTCATTGCGCGATGCCGCCGCTGCCGATCCTACATCAACCCCTACGTCACGTTCATTGAGGGTGGAGCTCGGTGGAAGTGCTGCATGTGCAATTTGAGCAACGAGGTCCCGCAGCTGTTTGACTGGAACAACCAGACCAACCAGCCGGCGGACAGGTGGAGTAGGGCCGAGTTGAATTGTGGAGTCGTAGAGTTTGTCGCTCCGCAAGAGTACATGGTGAGTGAGGTCGAATCGTGTCTTGCCTCATGGAAAAGCAGCTGTTGACCAGGCGTCGTGATTCTGCTCGTGTACGCCAGATTCGACCGCCTCAACCGCCGGTTTACGTGTTCGTTATCGATGTCTCGCAGCACGCCGTACAGTCAGGTACGTCGTATCTCGAGGTTGTAGCTTGACTTGGTTTGCTGATTGATGTGGATTTGGCACAGGCATGGTTGCTACGGCAGCACGGACCATCTTGGAGACCCTCGATAGGATCCCCAACTCGGACCAGCGAACAAAGGTCGGGATCCTTGCCGTTTCGGATGCCATGCATTTCTTCTGCTTGCCTGTATGTCTTCCACTTATTTTTCTTTATATAACGAAGTACGAAGCTGATAATTCGCTGTGCACTCAGGCTGGAGAGTCGGAACCCTCGATGCTCGTAGTCTCTGACATTGATGACGTCTACCTTCCGAAACCGACCGACCTGCTGGTCAACCTGACGGAGGCCCGTCCAGCTATCGAGAGCGTGTTGGGCAGGTTGAGCGACATGTTCAAGGAGAGCGCTACAACAGGGAGTGCCTTGGGACCTGCCATGCAGACCGCTCACAAGCTGATCGTGAGTGTCCTGCCGACGTCGGGCTGATATCTTGGAGAAGCTAATACCCTGTTGAATGGTCTGCAGGGCACTATCGGAGGAAAGATCATCACCTTGACCGCGACCCTGCCGACTCTCGGAGAGGGCGCCTTGAAGGCGAGAGATGACCCGAAAGTATTGGGAACCAGCAAGGTGAGCATTCAAGGTCGAGTCTGCTCGTACGAAACCGAGACCCATCTCTGTCGGACCCCTTGCAGGAATCATCGCTTCTCCAAGCTGCCTCCGCATTCTACAAGACCTTCTCAATCGAATGTGCACGAAACCAGGTCACGGTCGACATGTTCCTGTTCAGCGCATCATACACCGATGTTGCGAGCTTGCGATGTCTGCCGAGGTACACCGGTGGTCAAGTCTATTACTATCCTGGATTCAACGCTACCCGATCGGAAGACGCGATCAAGTTTGCGACCGAGTTTGGAACCGTGCTGGCCAGCCCGATCGGTTTGGAGGCTGTCATCCGAGTGCGAGGATCGCGAGGTGCGTTGTGTTTAGCTTCGATACATGCTCTGTTCTGCATTGGAATGCTGAGCCTTTCGTTTACGTTCTGGTAGGTCTACGCATGTCGGCGTTCCACGGAAACTTCTTCACTCGATCGACCGATCTTCTATCGCTACCCACCGTCCCCATCGACCAGTCCTACGCCATCGAATTGCAGATCGAGGATCCCCTCACGCAGCCTTTCGTTGTGCTCCAGACTGCCGTTCTTCACACCACCTGCTACGGCGAACGTCGTATCCGTGTGATGACCACCGCCTATCCTACGACGACGAGCATGTCTGAAGTCTTTGCTTCGGCCGACCAGAACGCAATCATGACCCTGTTGTCCAACAAGGCGGTCGAGCGGGCCATGTCCTCCAAACTAGAAGATGCTAGGGACGCCGTGATCAACAAGGTCGTGGACATCTTGAAGGTGTACAAGGACACGATGACGGCGGCAAATGGTGGAGCAAGTGCCCAGTTGACGGTACCGGAGAATCTCAAATTGATGCCACTATTGGCATGTGCTATGGTCAAGCACGTGAGTTGGCGATGGCGAGCGGAATGCGTGAATGAACAGCTCTGACCAGCTCCAATGTCGGCGCCTCTTATAGGTTGGGTTCCGGGAAAGTTCGCAGATCCCACCAGACCTGCGAGCATACGCTCATGCCCTGCTCAGCACCTTGCCCACGCAATCCCTCCTTCCTTATCTTCATCCTCAGTTCTACTCTCTTCACAATATGCCAGCAGAAGTGAGTCTGCAATCGATTCAGAATGTGACCCGGATTGCCAAAGTTGACGACTGACCCGTTTGACAGGCTGGAACCGTAGGCGAGAACGGTGTCGTCCTCCCTCCTTCGCTCAACCTGACTAGCGAGCGATTAGAGCGACACGGGTTGTTCTTGATCGAGGACGGTCAAAACATCTTCCTTTGGGTCGGCCAAGAGGCAGTACCCCAGCTCGTCATGGACGTGTTTGATCTGCCTAACTATCAGGAGCTCAAGGGAGGCAAGGTGAGTCAGGAAGCCCTGATGAGCATGTGCCGCATGTCATATCGCTGAAAACTGGAAATATCTCTTCTTCTTCAGTACACTCTTCCCGTGCTCGAGAACCCCTTCTCGCAACGTGTCAACGCGATCGTCGCCAAGACGCGTGAGATGCGACGAAATCCCTATTGGCAGCACCTTTACGTCGTCAAGGCCGACGCCGAACCGGCTCTTCGGAACTGGGCATTGAGCTTGTTGATCGAGGACAGGGTCGACAAGACGGCGAGCTATTCGCAGTTCTTAGCTCTCATCAAGGACAAGGTAGGTGTTCGGCAAACGAGATTTAGAAAGTGACTAGTGACTCACGTTGGTCTCGCCCGTCTTCCAGGTGAACGGGTCCTCGTAGTTCCACTCTTTGCACGAATCATGAGACAACGACTGTTTTCCGCTTCCGCGCGTTCTTTCTTCGACGACACACCCATGTTCTCCGTCACCTTGTTTACACCAATGTTTGCCGCTTTGGGCGATGTACCATGATACGATGAATCATCGATGACTGCTTCTTTCTGCGACGATGACTATCTAATCGAGCGACGTCGTCGCACTAGACCGAAACCTAGATGTCGAGATAACAGATATCCCGGGTAACGCCAGATCCGAGCATGTCCGACGCGCTCTACATCCGTTGGGACCCTTTCGTCATCCTCTTGCGCGGAACTCCGAGCGGTTCGTCTCCTTTTGTTGCGAAAAAGCGGAGCTCCACCTCGATTCCAAGTCAGAGGTCATCCAGCATACACAGCCAGGGGGAGTACTTAGTACTATCAAAGGTTGGTCAACTTTACGAACGTTTGATCAGTTGTCTGTTACTCGCAACATCCATATATATATATATATATATATATCATCACCAAACCATCCCGATCAGATCGCCTCCTTGACCTCCTTCGCACATCGTAAACAAACGATTTCGCCACTCTATTCTCTTCGCAACCTGCAAGATAGCGCAAGATCGAAATCGAGACCATCGAATCATCCGAATCTTCCCAGACTTCGATACCTCGCACTACAATTCTCTCCAGACCAACATGTTTGGAGCCCACACCCACCCTGAGGCTGGACCGTCGACTACCACCACGACCGCCCACTTCACGACCGCCCTGAAACACCAAGCGCGGCCCATGTTTGGCGAGATGGAGCGCAAAATCAGCATGCTGTTGTCCGGGTGTGACGGGACACACGATTTCGTTCGAGATGGTGCCAATGATCATCCTTACAACTCTCTCGAAGCTCGGAAACAACGTGAGTATATGTCTACGGACGCATCCTCGTGGACAGCGTGCTGACAGTCCGTTTTCGTTCGCCTCGCTGCAGCCACTTCCGCACCCGAATCCTTGTCTTCCTCTCCTGTCGAGGAACCGGCGATTGATCACAAACCGTATATGCTTTACAAATCCGAGCCCATCGGTCGACCCGCCTATCTCGCTCAAACCAAGACCACGCCCAACCTGCGAGTCGACGCTCAGGGTGGCCCCGATCGGGCTAGCAAGACGATGCAGCTCTTGGCTTCCCGTCGAGCGACCACGGGACACTTCGACCCGAGCAAGGATGCCAGGTTGTTGGCCATCTGACGAGGCGGCTCGACAGTCGGTTTCTATGGCGCAGCGACGCCTACACAAAGACTATGGACAATTCCTTTCTTCCCGCTGTACTCTCTTTTTACGACCCCCCGACCTCACCATCGCACCGACTAGCAAATGTATCCAACGTCGTTCCTTCTTTGTATCTCTCTCATAGAGCTGCCACCTGCATCCCGACACTTTGACCTTGTACCTGTTCATATCCACATCGTATCATGTTCATTTATCACCGTAATGCGCGTTATTGTTGTCGTTACAGCAATCCATCGTCCGTCTCCCTCATCTCCCTGTAAGACCCTCTTTATCTCCCTCTTTGATTCCATCTTCCGCCTTGTACCACCTTCCATCGCTCTTCAAAATTCTAGCGATGGCTTCAACGCTCACCCCAAACGACTTGCTCAATATGGCCCTCGAGTACTTGACAGGGTCTTCAGCGTGGAGCCGCTTGATCCCTGCCATGGCGGGCCGAGAGATTCGTTTCGTGGGAGCCCATCTGTGGTCGGGACGCGGTTGTTCTGGAGTCGGTTCTGGCGGATTCGTCGCCGTGGTCCTTGCTATGGTGTTCGACCGAGGGTAATTTTGTGCGGTATAGTTGCCATTGGTCTGTCTCCTAGGCGGCCTGAACTGACGAGTGATATCGTCTTGCCTTTGAAAAGGCCGCTCGACCTGTAACCCCCCCGGCACCGGTACAGGCTCAAAACTCGTCTCCCTCTCCCTTACCGGTCTTGTATAAACCGCCCTCCCCGAGTGCTCATCACTGCGCTCTCGTCTGACCCCAGCTGGTCTTTCTCTTTCAGACCACGACCTTCGCCTAGCCTCCCGCTTGTCTCGATCGTATCGCGCATATTCTTTCTCGGAGGGCACCCTCCAGTCAATCCCATCCTCGTCTCCGTTCCCTAGGGCAGACCGCAAGATGAGCGACGAATGATACCCCCTACTTTGTGTATGTGATGGTGATGAGAAAGACGGTAATGTCGATCGTTTTCGCAAGACGGCGGAGTAAGCGTCCGTCCGGTCGGTGCTTCGCCGTTCACGAGGGGCTTCTCGTTCAGGCTGTACCCGAGAAGATGGAGATGGGAGGTCGGGGAGGAAATCGAAATCCTCCTCGACAAGAACACGGCCTTCAGCCTTCTTGGGATCGGACCAGGATGGCGAGAAAGCGGGGTCGAGGTGGGCGGATCTTGGTTCAAAATTCTCTCCGCGCTTGAGGGCTAAGATCGTGATCAAAGATATACCACACAATCAGTTCACACCGTTTTGGACCAAGAAACCCAGCAGAAGACTACACGCGACTCACTTGCACCGTTGACCTCGATATCGACCTCGACCCGGTTGCTCTGCCTGGGTCGGTCGGTGATCGGTCTCGTTCCGTACGTCTGCTTCATTTCAGGTCTCCGATCCTTTTCCTCTCCTCGTTCAAGTTGTGCATCTAGGTATTTGTCTTCAAGCTGCTTGGTATCTCTGGATAGCGAACGAGGACGTTTCAAGCCAAACGGACGTTCGTCCTCGTCATAAGGGCCGGCCGTCGATGCCCTGTCCTCCCCGTAGTCCCGCCCTCGAGATCCAGCCTTGAGCCCGAACGAGGTCGGGGAGTCTGATCTCGATCTTTCTTCATATCGAAACTGAGGCTTAGATCCAGATCCAGATCCGTACCTCGCTCGATCTTCCCGTCCGGATCCTCTCGACTCCTCTTGCCAACTTGCAGACCTCGATCCAGATCTCCAATCAGAGTCCGGCCTGACTGGCGTCGAGGGGGCACCGAGAGGAGGTGCCCTCCCCCGCTTGATCGCCAGCATCTTCTTTTCCAGACGTTTCCTCTCCTGTCTCTGTTGTCCCAAAGTCTGACCGGGGAGGAGGAACGGTTTCTGAGGTTTGAACTTTTTCTGAGCACATGGCGAGGTGTGGAATGGCCGACTGGGGGATGCGGCGAGGTGAGGTGAGGGGAGACGGAGTGCGAGTGGGAAGGCAAGCCGAGGCATCTTGTAGAGATGACAAGCTGGCTCTGTTCGGATGCTCGATCGGAATGGAGCTTGTCAGTATCAGTCAAGCATAGTCAGTCGAATCGTTTCATTTCCGTCACACAAGGTTTGTGACGATGATGACCGAAATCGCTGAATTGTTGGATCATGACCTCGTATGTGAAATGATTTCCACGTCATAACCTCTACCGCTTCTTATCAATTTAACATCCGGGCCGGAGGTGATTCGCAAACGAGACAACTTTCCGTCCCGATGCCTTCTTCCCATACGCCGTACGCTCGTGTTTCGTCCAACTTTCCGTCGATCTATTCTCATATCATCACCATGAGGGAGGTAGCCAAGGTAGGGCAAATGTGATCCGTGCAAGCGATCATGGGCGTGGACTGAAGCAACGAAACGCCGGGCATCCGGTGGTGTCCGAGGTCGCGTTGAGAAATCCCGTCTCTTCCGCTCCGGGTAATCTGTCGAGCGCTCGAGGCTTTTGATCTCGAGGCCGTGCGAGCTTGACCCCAGCGATACTATCCTATGATACCCAGCTGCGCTTCAAGAGCTAGGACCTGTTTGTGGCTGCATGACACCTGTCCCAGCTGGGCTTTGTGACCTCAGCTAACTCGACGTCTCGTCCTGGACTTTGTATGTGTGTCGGGCTCCCGCGGCTCGAACGTAGCGGGGGGAAAGCCATCATCGATCGTTCTGCCCAAATCGCCACGGTAGCCCGAGGCGTCACTGGGTGATCGAATAATTGACCGACATCTCATTTACCCAGGTCGTGGTCGTGGGGTCAGTGAGCTGCACGAGCTGCATGTACCATGCTCTCATCGGACGTGGCGCAAGATGCCGTCTCGCTTGCGGAGAAGGAAGGACCTTGTGGCAGCCATCGAGGTGGTTACAGTACGTTACGTCCACCGCTCCAGCGAGTGTATGCTGTTCGGGAAGGCTATGTAGTTTGTATATCTGTAGGAGAAAAAAGTCGAGCAGGTAGTCCTTGATTGCAGCTCTCGTCTGTCTTCCTCCGTACCTCATGGTCCAGCTACCTTGTCCATAGAGTACCTCAATAGCTAGAAGTGTGGACCTAAGTATTACACGCATTTACACGACTCTCTCTCTCTCTCTCGTACTTGGCGTTTTGGCAAATCTCACGGATTTATTCCCGCTTCCACCACCCATCCCATCCAACTATTTTATTATTTGCCAAAGAAAGCACCAACGACCATCACTCTCGCACCCAACAAGAAGGCTAGCGAGCATCATTCGATAGAGATCATCACAGGGAGACGACACCAGAATCCCCTACTCTGGCTGCGAGTTTCGGTCTCTTACCGGTCGTTCTCGGTGGATTGCTCGAGCAAACCCGTCGTCCCGCCTCGAGCACTTCTTCATCTCTCGCTTCGACCCTTTCCCGGGCCTGACCGACCTCTCGACGATTCCACCTTTGACATCGACATCTACCGACCATCGCCTTCTCATCTCTCTCGATCGATAGACCAAGCGACAGTGACATCGCCCTAGAGCTAGGCCGCTGGCAATGTCATCGACGACGACCCAATCACCTCCAGGCGAAATCCCTCTCCCGCCGATGACCATCATGGATTTCCTAGACCCGAACACGCTCACCGCGTTGCTCTCCCCGGCCATCTTGGAGGGCAACAACCCGCCCTTGCCCAGTGGTAGTAATAACAGGGGTAGACGGAGAGCAGGGTCTGGAGGAGGAGAGTTCAGTCCGACCGCTACTGGTACGAGTATAGGAGAAGGGTCGAAGATGGGCATCGAGGGAGAAAAGACGAGCCGAAAGACTGGAGGAGGGGTGTTCGGGATGGGCACGACTCACAACAACCATGACGATGGAATTGACCGGTGGGACAGCTCGAACGGAACAGCCCGATTGGGAGAGCCTTCCAGGCAGCAGTTACCACAGGCTCAAGGTCACGGTCAATATGCTCAGTCTCAACAACCGCAGCAAGAGCAACAGGTCCATCAATCGTCATCCTCGACGAGTGACTTTTTCGACTTTGACCTAGCAGGACCATCGTTCTCAAATACCAGCAATACCAACAACAACTCCAACAACCACGATGGTTCTCGTGATCGGAACTCTGCCAAACCGCACTTTCGGCAAGACGAGACGCAATCGACCTCACCCGACTGGACGATGCAGGGCGACCAAGATGACGGAGGGACAGGTATAGGTGTTGGGTTCATGAATAATAGCCACAACAACGCCATGGGTATGGACGGGTTGGATGCAGAGGTCGGCCAAGAGTTGCAGCGGCAGGTATGTTCGACGGTGAAGGTGGTGGCGATCGTCAAGAGATGGTAGTTGGAAGTTGACGGGCTTTCTCGATCTCTCTCCTCTTGATCGTGGTACTTTATCGGGTCTCTGTTTTCGGCTTACTCGACATGACGACATCCTTTCAATAACAACACCCCTTCTACATCCCCTTTCAATACCCTTCGATCCTCTGGAACCTCTACGCCGTCTTCGCTCGCACCCCTTATAGCTGGAACAAATCCACATGCAATCCCCCGCCATCTTTGCCTCGCTTTCAAACTCTGGACAGTTCTCTCAGACGACTCATCAGGCGTACGCCCGTGGCCAGGAGTTTGACCACCGCATCCCACCGCCTAATCGGATCGTTGGGATGGGTGTGAATACGGGCATGGGCATGGGAACGGGTGTCGGGATGGGGGCATTGATGATGGGCAAAGGATTCAGTGGGGCTAACGGGTTGATCACGCCGGGTGAGTAGTGGTTGTATCAATCTCCAGCCTCATCTCGGACGGACGACTGACGCGATCTGCTCCACCCTGCTTACAGCCCAATCATCCGAGATTCTTGCCAACATTCACGAAGGTCTCGTCAGCCCTCTCCCGATGGCGCACTCGATGCAAGAGCAAGATGGCACATTCGCCATCAATCAAAAGGGCGAGATCGTGTTCACTCCGCTTCTTTCCCCGGCCATCACCCAACCGAGCGATTCATCGAATACCTCGCCGCACTTTGCGTCGAGCGGGTCGTCCAGCCGAGAGGCTATATATTCGACGCCGTCGAGCTTGCACCAGCAGGGAGGGTCGAGCGGTACAGGGTCGTTCGATCAACACGCTCAGCTGCAGGCGTTGCAGGAGCAACAATTGAATATTCAACGGCAATTGGATGCGATACAGAGGTCTCAGCAGCAAGCACAACAAGAGCAGCAGCAAAAACACCGCCACCAACAACAACAACAATCATCACAACACCACCAACTCCACCAGCCTCAGGGTCAACTGGGCTTACAAAACTCGCCTTATGTCTCTCCCATGATCAACCCTCAGCCGAACGGTGGATTCGGCTATCAGAGTTCGAGTCGCGGGACGTCTACCAGTCATCCGACCCCGAATTCCGACTTCTTCTCGCCGTTGACAAGTCCCGCTCTGGATCCTGTGCAGATGGGGTTCAGGTCCTCTCAGAACACCAATCCGTCAGTACAGCAGGCGCGGAATCAAGGAGGACATGCGCGAGAGAGAAGCACGACGTCGGCCATGTCTCCTGGCTATGTCAACGGGATAAATAATCAATACAACGGGATGCCGATGATGAAGGTGCCGGATAGGAGCAATGTCACGCTGGATCAGACGCTCAGTCCGGCCCTACTCCCTCAACCGGACGCTTGGAAGCATCAGACCCAGCCGTCCAACTCAGGATCGCCATCGCAGGCGTATCTTGAAGAGCTGGCAAGGATGATCAATTCGCAAGAGCAGTCGCAAGTTGGGTTCATGAGTAGCGGCGACGTGGGCCAGGGACAGGCTGGGGAGACGCCGTCGTCGATGTCAGCGGTGACAGGACAAAGCAACGCCGCTTTGCCTTCTGCGGGAAGTATCGGGATCCAGGAGCACATGGCGGCAAGAAGGAGAGCCGCGACGGTCGGAAAGAGTCCCGCTCTGAGACCGTCGAGGGCATCGACAGGTCGAACGAGACCTTCGCCAATGATGAAACCTACACATCGGCCAGGTCGGGGAGGATCCAGCACGGTACCGCCTTCACCGCTGGTAGCCGCATATACCCCGCCCACGATGCCGTCTTCTGCGCGTGCAAGCCATTTCGGAGGTCGCGGCGAGGACTCTATTGGAAGCGAGTCGCTTTCGCCCGTCGACCTGTCTCAGATGATTATGCCGCCGCCTCCACCACCATCGCAAAGCCTCAGCAAGGCCAAGAATGTGATCAAGGGTAAAGTGGCCCCGATTACGCCGGCGACCCTGATGCAGATGGGTCAGACCGTGCATTCGACGAGCGGACCGCGGCGGTCGAGTGCGGTCATGAGCAATAAAGATGGTTTAGGGGTCTCCCTCACTGAAGATGATCAAGAGGAGGGACACAGCGGATCATCTTGCGGCACACCCAAATCGGGTAAACGCTCCTTGTCTGACGTGGCGGAGGAGCCGAAGACGAGGTTCGAAAGACTGGCGGCAGGCTGGAGCGCTAGCCTTAGGGCATTGAGACCGACGGGTAAGTCTGTGCTTTCGAGTCGAGCTTCCGATTCACCCCTTCTGATCTTCGTGTATGGCTGAGACAGATTCAAACAAAGCCAAAATCACTCGGGCTTCCAAAGCCAACAAGTCGACCAGCGAAGCGAATATCCCCACCGAGACCAAAAAATCGTCACACAAGGCGGCCGAACAGAGGCGAAGAGATTCCCTCAAAGCTGGTTTCGACGAGCTGCGTCTACTCCTGCCACCTATCAATACCGAAGCTCTGGATCCAGAGACGGGTGAACCCATACCAGGCAGTTCCGCGCCCCGGCTGCTACCGAAGAGCTCGTTGGTGCCCGACGATAACCCCAACAAAGGTGTGAGCAAAGTCGCCCTGCTCAAGTACTCGAACGAGTACATCGAGCGGATGCAGAGCAAGCTTGAACGCCGGAACAACTACATCGACCTGCTTAAGGATGCCATCCAGGCGATCCGCTTGCAAGCTGGCATGAGCCCAGACGAACACGTCGATGAATTGCTCGGTTATGCTTTCGAAGACGAGGACGAAGACGAAGAGCCTACAGGCGCGAGTTCGGCCAAACTCGGCAAGCGACCCTCGCTGGCGGATCTGGAAGAAGGCGAGGAGGAGAATGAGGAAATACACATGGACTGCGCAGAGGATGCTACCGAAAAGGTGTCCCAAGCGAAAGGGCGCGGCCGACGGAAATCCTCGACGACGACAACAGCTAGGCCCAAGCATCCCCGTCGCAAATCGTCGTTGATGATGACTTCGGGCGATTCGTCCGTGGTGAACAGTCCGAACCTGCTTCCGGACCAACAAGTTCGAGAGATGCAAGGTTTGGATATCGACATGATATAACACGTCCGGGCGTGGAATAGAAAGACAAACGAACGATATCCTATATTAATACACGTTACAGCAGATCATAATCGTCAACGGCATGCTAGTCATCAAGAACAAGGTTGTATACAGATACATGGTATCGTGAAGGTTGTCATCATAAGGTCTGACTTGCCAGAATCGCTACGCCCCACGAAATTCATCCTAATCGAAAGGAATCGGCTTGACGCCGGATCGAGGCTGTAATAGCCCAACATTCGGGGTCTCCGTCTTGGCAGCAGCAGCAGCAAAGGCCGAGGGTACTGAGAACGGGTTGAAATGAGTACCTGGTTTGAAATTAGACTAGCCTATGACGTCGAGCTGCCAACATACCTGGGATTCCACAACAGTCCATGCTCCATCCTTTCTCTTCTTGATTATGAACGTGACCATGCTCGTCAAAGCTGACCTCACCGGTCTGCAGATGCGAGAGGTCCGGGGCAGGTAGAAGCTTGCCGAACAAAAAGTGCTGGATGACCGGCAATTTGCCCAGAACCTCGGCCTTGTACATCTTGATCATGCCCTCGTTGACTTTCGCCCACGTCTTTACCTATGATATGCTAAAGCTGTCAGAGGCTGCCTAACACAGATCTTGAACGCAACTTACAGCCGATATATCGTCCAACATTGGTGAATGCCATCGGAGAGAGGCGGTTTTGATCTACCATTCGCACAACGAGGGTAAGCGGTGCTGTTCCCATGGTTACGCATCCAAACGGGCTTTGAAACTAACCGAGTTGATGAACTGAATACACTGCAAATACATGTAATCCTTTGAGAATTCTTCCAAGATTTCGGGATCATGGATAGCTTTCGGTCGAAGGTGACGATGATCTGCGGCAACGAAGCTCGGTTTAGCGATAGTTGGTTTTGGTGACGAGCGTGAAACACTGACTGGCTAGCTGTCCGCTACCCCAAAGGAAAGGCAGGAAGTGATAATCATCCAAGCCCCAGACTCCGTGCGAGCCAGCAGGTTCCAGCCAGTAGGTTGACTGAAGATGACGCATGATCTCGATGTAGCTGTTGCATCATAAGGAGTTTAGCTTTCCGAGGCGGATCATGGAACTCGCACGGACTTACCGCCAGAAGATGGATAACACAACATTTTGGTTGTCATCCTTGCCGATTACATCGAGTTTACGCAGACAAATGCTGTCGAAACGAAGTATGATCAATAGCCGTTCGATAGCTGTCAATCTGCAAGTTGGACTTACAGCCAACAAAGGAAGTTGAGCTCCATTCCGCTACCGTAGTCTATTCGTGTCCGGTTGCCCCAGCACTCGTAAAAGTACTGGCAAAGCTCCGGCCTACTTTCTTCTGATACCGATGAGAGGTACTTAGAGTGTAATGCAGGGCATACCTGGAATGACAAGATAGCTGAATATCAGCTCAGATCAAGTCGGAAGAAAGGGAGCTTGTCGACAGGCTCACCTCTTGCACCTTGTCGTAGAATGTTTTGAAGGCAGGGTTCCCAAACCGAGATGCAGAGTTGTCCACGGGCGGTATGGATTTGGCAATTTCCTCCACCTCGTCCAGCATAGCCAATATACTCTTCACAGCCTGTGTAAAGCATTTCCTGATATGAGCGCCGCCACCCCGTCAAGGCTTACGTCGGACATACAGGTGACGCTTCTCCGGCCTGACCAAGCTTGATTCCAACGATGGATGTGTTCAGTTCTTCAACGGTATCCACAACATCTTTGTGCGTTTGAGAAGCTTGGAAAGCCTCCAGATGGGCCTTTGTCAAGATGTGTTTGCTCAGAGGCGTAACAGGCTGCTCTTCCGACAGACCCAGCCTTTCCATCTGAGGTTCGATTCCAGTCATGATGATATGCGATTGGTTTTTCTCTCCCCGGAAGAGGATGTGGGATATGGGATCTTGACGAGAAAGCAGATAGGTGCATGAGGTGGACCATATTATGATCATATGATCGACACTCGAAGGGTCGACCGTACGAGTACTTGACCTCCACTTCAATGTAGCGATCGTCTCATCACGTGACCAGATTCATATCGTTCGGACAGTTGGCAAGTAGCTGATATCGATCGTTACGTGTCGTCATGGATCTACAACGTAAGGCTCATGGGAAGTTGCAAGAAAGTAGTCGTCACATATGAGACTTTTTGGGACTCGACTAGGCGTCGGTGACTGTGAATGAGCGATATATCAGCTGAAGAGCACAATCATTGGCGTTGTTGTCCAAGAATAACGCACCACAACCCTGACTGGCATCCGAGACGAGCTTGGTGTACTTGTAGAGGGTCCCCGAAGTGACCTTGAGGGGGGGTGCCTTCCAGTCCTTCCTTCGTCGTTCGAGCTCGGCATCGGTAACATCCATCGAGATCGAGTTTGCCTCGGCGTCGATGTGGATCATGTCACCGTCCTGAACCAAGGCGATGGGACCTCCAACCTGGGCTTCAGGAGTAACGTGTCCGATGACGAAACCGTGCGATCTGCCAAGTGGGAAGGAATGCTTGTTGTCAACTCTCCCTTCGCGTTGGCTAGAGCAAGAATATAGCAACTTACCCTCCGCTGAATCGACCGTCAGTAAGACAGGCAACGTCGTATCCCAAACCAGCTCCCATGATCAGAGAAGTAGGCTTCAACATCTCAGGCATACCTGCAAGAAGTCAAGCGGGTCAGGTATTGCTATACGGACTCGATAGCCCATACAAGCTTGACTCGCCTGGTCCACCCTTAGGCCCCAAGTACCTCAAGACCGCCACAGTCTTCTCGCCCTTCTTGATGCTCCCGCTCTCGATAGCCTCGACAAAGTCGCTCTCCTGGTCGAAAGCTCGGCATTTGCCGGAGAACTTGAGACCCTCCTTCCCGGTGATCTTGGCGACGGATCCGCCAGGGGCCAAGTTTCCCTTCAAGATTCTGTTGAGACCATATTCACATCAGGTTGACGCCAGTGGGGGCTAAGTGATGTAATCGACCTCAGACTTACCGGATGTGACCGGTCTCCTTGATCGGGTTGTTAAGGGGTCGAATGATCTGCTGTCCTTCCCAAGAGTGACCTCGCTCGACCATCCACTTGTCGACGTTCTCTCCCAAGGTTTTTCCGGTGACGGTGAGCTCATCACCAGTCATAAGACCCTCCTTAATCAAGAAAGCCATGACGCCTATACATAGTCGCATTTAGACTCGGCTCATCGCGTATACCCGTCAACACAACTCACTTGGAATACCTCCGATGGTGTTGATGTCCTCCATGACGTACTTTCCACTGGGCTTGAGGTCCGCCAAGAAGGGGATCCTGTCCGAGACCTTCTGGAAGTCGTCAATCGTGAGATCGACGCCGACGGAACGAGCAATGGCGAGGAAGTGGAGCACGGCGTTCGTGGATCCTCCAAGGACCATGGTCAGGACCATGGCGTTCTCGAAAGCCTTGCGGGTCATGATATCCCTAGGCTTCAGGTTTAGCTCCAAAAGGTTTCGCATAGCAGCACCGACGGAATCACACTCGGCAAGCTTGTCAGGGTATTCGGCGGGGAAAGAAGAGGATCCGGGGAGGGTCATTCCCAATGCTTCGGCAGATGAGGCCATGGTGTTGGCGGTGTACATCTACATGGGCAAGCGGGTCGTTTAGTCGGATAAGCTAAGATGTCCCGGCCATATGGATCTCGCATGCCTGCTCACCCCTCCACAAGCTCCGGCTCCAGGACAGGCATTCCTGATGGTGTCGTATCGCTTCTTCTCGGCCTCTTCGGTCTGGCCGTCTTGTAGGTATTGCCCGTAGGCCTGGAAAGCAGATACGATGTCGAGCTTCTCGCCACCACACTCTCCCGGCTTGATGGTACCTCCATAGACCATGAGACCAGGTCGGTTCAGTCGACCGAGAGCCATGAGAGTTCCCGGCATGTTCTTGTCGCATCCGGGGACGACAACCATACCATCGAGCCAATGACCTCCGGCGGCGGTCTCGACCTGGTCGGCGATGAGGTCTCGCGATTGCAAAGAGTAGCTCATGCCGAAAGTTCCCATCGAAATGCCATCAGAGACTCCGACGGTTCCGAACTGGTAACCAATCAGACCAGCACCGGCCATTGAGTTCTTGATACGCTGACCGAGACCCAGAATGTGCTTGTTGCAGCTGTTGGCCCCAGCTCGTCGTCAGAATTCCTGCAAGAGGGAGGTTCCAAGATCCAGATACGCTACTTACGGGTTACCCTCATACCACACACTGGCCACACCGACCATGGCCTTTTGGAAATCGGCATCCGACTCTACACCGTCGGTAGCGAACAACATGGCCTGACTGGCTCCCTGGCTCTTGTCCTGGGTGACATTCCGAGAATGACGGTTCAAGCCCTCTTTCGCTCGAAGCTGGGTCGAGGTATGGAGGCTGCGCTTGGCAGCTTGGGTATTCCGGGCAAGGATAGAACGGGAGAGCATCTTGACAGCTTTGCGATGCTATAACGACGTTGTGGTTCCGAATAAATGTTGAGTGGCAACTACTGTAGCTCGTAGCTGTATATCTGAATATATTTCCAACTGACTCGCCATAATTGGCTTTCCCAGCGATTAATTGACCCGAATCGATCGGGTCAGAGCTCGGACCTCTCGTACACGCGGGGTCAGACCCGAATCTATCCATCAGCACCGCACACTCGAATCATGCATATTCTCGTTATCATCATCCGTCCAACCGTGAGAGTATATAGACGGCAACGTCGGCGTTACAAGGTAGGGACGATTAGATTAAACCTTCGGCGCATTACATGTCCATGTCGTCATCCTCGGCAGCTTCGGCAAGGGCCGCCTCGATGTCGAGCTTCCTCTCCCTTGCGAGCTCCGAGTCCTCGCCAACTGCAAATTGAGAAACGATACCACGTCAGTGAAGGATTCTTTCAGAAGATGAATTGAGACGTCATTGCACATACCCGGCTTGTTCGCGTTCAAGGGGTACCTCATCGCCTGCGAGTGATGAATCCGGAGCATAGTCAGTTGAGGCCTTGATAATGTATCCCGGTCTTTCGACTCACCTTGACGCTCTCGTTATGCAAGTTCATGCAAAATTCGATCCTCTGCTGGAAAGCCTTTTGCGGCTCGTCCGTCTCGTAAACATTGCCTCCCTCGCGACTCTTCATCCACCCTTGCGCGTGATCCACCTCGGCATCGATAACTCCGTCCCGGATGGCCTTGGCGACGATGTATTCGGTGTCCTCTTCCGAATCAAGGTGCAATTTGAGACAGACGTCTTTGAGCGAGATTCGAGAGTAGGCGAGGGAGATCATTCGGAGGGCGGTCTTGATGACGTTGTGTCGAAGACGGACGATCAGCGAGTGCGTCCCGTCTGAAGCGAATTTCGAGGCGTGCGTGGTGAGCACGGTCTGGAAAGCTTCGAGATCACCGATTCGAACGGCTACGAACGGGTTCGCGAAAGAAGCAGAAAGAGATCAGTTCCGAGACGTCTCAGCAAACACCAGCTGTGGGTCGATCTCCGCTCGCACTCACCTTGAACCAACTGGAAGTAAGGACTCAAAGCCTTCCGTAGGACCGGACGTCGGAAGACGGATCGCTCAGGAATATCACCCATCAAGAGCTCGACAACGACAAAGTACTTGTAGACGGTCTGCATGAATCCAGGTGCGACCGTCTCGGACGGAGCTCGTCGGATGGCGTGTTGTAAGTGAGTGTGCGCTTCGGTATAGTTCAGCTGAATGGCTCGGATTCGGCCTACAAGGAAGATGAATCGCGGAGCGAGTTAGTGATCCCCGTGATGTCGAACGGGTAGCAACACCCAACCTCGACTCACCCAAGTAAAACAAGTACCTCGCCAACTGAGGGTTCCCCGCACTCTCCGGGAAGGACGTCTTGCTCAAGAGCTTGTCCGCCTGGTCGTAAGCTCCACTGTTGAAGTAATTGCGCAAGAGTGCGTTAAGAAGGGTGGCCTGTACGTCTTCGTCGTTTCGGAGGGAAGCCGTCGAGTGAGCCGCCAAGAGGAGTCTACAAGGACAAGGTGCATAGAAGCGAGGAAAGTAAGCGAGGTGGTCGATAAGGTGGTCAACGGGCGGGATAACGCAAAAGCATGGCGTATACGTACGATCGAACCTCCTCGTCCCGTTTCAAGAGCTCTGCACACCTCGCCAAGTAGAACCAAACCTTGGCGGCAAGGTGATCCATGCTCCTCCTGTTCAATGACTGAATATATGTCGTCGTCTCCTTGGCCAGATCAAATGCCTGGAATATATTCAAGAGTGGATATGATATTAGCCATCCCGCGTGTCGATTGATCGCTAAGAAAGGATATTCGAACTGACCTTTTCAACCTCTTTCACGTCGATCAGCCCGAGGATGAGCAATAACCGCACATACACATCCGACTCGGGCAAGACCTCTCCTGTCGGCTTGGTCGCCGCTTTCGAATCGCCGGCCGTAGTCGTTGTGGTCGTCTTTGAGGTCTCATCGATTTCCATAGCCTGAGTACCTTTGGTGATGGAGGATGAAGAAGCGGCGAGCTTGGAAGATTCAGTAGGGAGAAGGGAGATGAGAGGGAGAAGCTGAGCGGGCGATTTCGAACCTATTCCGAGGCGCGAGCGAATGTGAACATTTCACGTCAGTACGTTTCGATATACCGATTCAATAGAGCCGACGACTGACTCTTCGGGTAGACATCGTTGACGACCTCTTGGAGGGCTTCTCGGTACACCTTTTTTCGAAGCCCGGTCAATGTCCTCAATACTCGTGCGGTGAACCTGGGCTCCAAGTTGTGTACGGCCCGGTTGATCAGGGTCAGGTTTTGCTTGATCTCTATCGTCGTAGCATAGATACACGTTAGATGCAAGGGGTTCGTCAAGAGGCTTGTGTAGCGAGACAGTAGCTGGACTGACCTTGAGGCACGGTTAACGGTGTGGGCTTGACATCCTTGGTAGACGTCTCTTGCTTATCCTTTTGAGCGTCTGTCCGGGTGTCGATGCCCTGCGTGACCTCTTCCTTGCTTGGCGGTGCTCCCGAGTCCATGTCTAAGAGTTCTCTGATGTGTCTTTCAGATGGAATGGTTATCTCGAAAGAGGATGGGGAGGCGTATATCTGTTGTAGGAGGAGAGTAGGTAGTAGTATTAAAGTGCGATCGATGGGTCTATCCAAGATGTCCAAGTGATGACGAAGTGTCTGCTAACTGCTAGCTGCTAGCTGCTAGCTGCTACGGTTGGACGCGTGAGAAAGCGAAAAAGGGGAAAAGGGACCCGCGACTACCCTACCGACTGACCACCGACTCACCAGGGCGGCCAGCAAAGTCCGTGACCTCACAAACATCTCGACATTCTCTATACCAGAGACTCCCTCTCCCCCCTCCTCTCACCTCGTTGATACTCACATAACAACAAGTCCATTCATCATGTCTACTTGGAGGTCCTTCTTCAGGTGAGACGCCGTCGGCGCGAGGACGCCGGGGTGCCAAGACCCAGCAACCATCGACCTGGGAAGCTAACCCTCAATTTACCGCGACATATTTCCGTTCCACGTCTTGGTAGCTACAACAAGTACACTCAGATCGCCTCGAGGGCCGTCCGAACCGGTCTCAAGGAGTCCGAGAGGGTCGGAGCCGAGAAGAGGGCCAACATCGGAGTCAAGTACCAGCAGTGGGAGAACGGCAAGGGTGGTGAACAGGTGAGCGGGGCTTTTCATTCATCGGGGACCGAGTTTAGCAGGAGATGGTCGAAAGGTCGGGGCGGGGATGGACACTGAAGATCCAACAAAGAAGAGGTTCGGCGCAACGGGAACTTGACATGAGGACCGCCAGATGATCCAGCCAGAATCGCAAACACGCAGCGCGACAATCCGTATTCCACCTAGCAACACCTCCCTCCAGCCAACTCCGCCTAATTTCGCAGCTATCTCATCTTGCTGTCATCAAATGAACGACCGTACTGTGTGTTGAGGACAAAGACAGCTTAGACCTGCAGGCGATGACGACCCAACCGTCTGCATTCGCTTGGGCGAACCAGGGGTTCAGATGAGAGACAGGGGATGTTGGCTATACCCCCGGAAAGACCGTTCCTATTTCGGTACTACGGCGGCTCAGGCGATACACATGAGAGCGGGGACACAAATACGGATGCTTCCACACGGATCGGTTCCCGTCGGATGCCACCCTTATCGCCCAAATTCCAGCACGGATCTCCCGCCCTGCCACGATCTTACCCCTCCGATTCGTTAAGACCCCCGACGATTCTGCGCCATGTGTCCAGGATATATAAGCTGACATTTACATCTTCCCCCCGGCGTTTCCTTCGACCTGATACAGAAATTCATCGTTCCCCCTACCGAACCTATCACCCCCGGCAAACCCCCTGTCTAAACACCTTCCCCCCCACAAGCACAAAAGGATGGAGAGAGCATAGAGCATGAATACGAAGGGGAATAAGAGCGGATCCACACGCCGTCAGCCAAGGATGTTGGCGATGGCGATGTCGATAGGGATAGGGAGAGGGAAAAGATGAAATGAAATAGAAAAGAAGCTCTTTATCAGTGCGGGTTTGGGTTCAAGATCGAGGCAGGTTTCGGGTCTTTGGCAGGTGACGGACAAGCGGAAATCCTCTTTCAACCAAACATGGGGGTGGCTCAGGTTGCTTATAGAAAGGCCTGGTTATCGTTTGCATCGCTGCTGCTTAGACCGAATGCTGTCAAATGACCGAGGCGATAAGTCTTTATTCCGCTTTGGCTAAATCTCGATGCTAGATTTGTCGCGCATTCGGCTGAAAGACACCGGCAGGAGTAATGACGAGGGCCATCGTACGTTCAACACCGTTAATAATGGATCGGCTGTCACCCCTTAAAAGCTTCATCTGCTATTGAACCGGTCCTACGAAACTCCGCTATCGTTCCCGAAAGACATGCTTGGCATAATGATACAGCTTCTACGTGACGACCCTCGACAACCGTGCAACCCGAAGTACCTAACCCGACCACCTCTCAAACCCAAAGTCCGGAATCCATTCAACCTTGCGCCTCGTCTCGAGGCTTTTTAGCATCTCCTCCTCGCGTTCTCTCGCCATCTGACCCCCTTCTTCTGACCCCGCTTGCCCAGCATCCGCGCTCAGCCTGATGGCTAATCTCGACCGGTAGGTCTCCAAGAACAAGGGACACGTATCTAGCGCTTCGTTGAGGATCTGCACCGCATATGTCCGCGTCGGAAGATGGTTCATCGATTGTCCGAACACGCTGCCAACTTCTCGGCAGAGCGCTTCGACGCCCAACAAGGCCCATCCGGCAACGAGTACCAGAAGGACGCTCCACCGGCCAAGAATCGGCATGACCTGCGCCGGAATGGCGAGTAGGTAGAGCATGACGAGGTGGTTAAGGTGGATACTCAGAGACAAGGGCGGTGGATCTTCGCTCAGCATCTCGGCCTCGCCCAAGAGTTTCGACAATGTCCGGAGCGATTTATGCAGTTTCTCGGATTGGGGAATCGTGTGCCCTAACTGGAATCTGGGTAGACGTTCGAGCGGTTCCAGCGAAGACGCCTTGACGAGCTCGACATCGATCTGATTGGCAAGGTGGAGTGAATTGACATATGACTCGATCATGCGCAAGATGTCGAGCGGGAGGTTGGCCGGGATCGAGCGGGAGAGGGAAGATCGCGTCGTCGGTATATTTTCCTCCGAAGGGGATCGCGCCAAAGGTGAAGACGCTGGCATTGGCTTGGGTTTGAATTTCGGACCGGGTTGATGATCGATCACGTAAGTATTGAAATCCGTAGTTAACGATGGCGAAGAGGGCGCTACGTTGAGTTGTTTTATTTGAGCGTCGTGTTCGAGCGTCCGTGCGATCCTGCCAGCCGACTTGGAAGCCGCCCGTCGGGTCTTGGTGACGAGGTCGTCCATCTCGATCCCGTCTTTTCCGTCCACCTGTGCCTTCTCGTCCCCTGATTCGGATGCATCGCTTGTGCTGCTGCCGCTACTGCTGACTTCGATATTGCTAACGTCGGCGAATTCGGCTTGTTGATGTCGTTCCCCAGCGAATCTGACCCGGTTTCTCGTCCGGGACTTGCTCGCCAAATAGCCTTCAGGGAGGATGTCACACAGGGGCGCTCGCTGAATCAATGGCCGTGTACCTGTCAAATGATGGCTGTAGCGAAGAAGAAAAGGCGATTCAACTTCGCTTTGCCCGTTACGTACCGGCATCAAAGGCGAGTTTCCGATACTTACTGCAACGCGAAACCAAAGGCGACGAAGAGACAAGTCAAGTCACCGGCCTTTGCGTCCAGCTCTGTCGCCCGTTCTCTACGTCGACGATGAACGTCTGTTTCTTCCTCCTCATCGCCCTTCATGTTATTAGTGTTGACCGGATGAGAAGCCGACAACTGATTTGTAGGTCTGATCAGCACTCGGTATCCAACTTCTATACTTACATCTCCAAATTCTGACCTGACGTAAGACATCTCTAACCTCTCCCTTGATCCCACCCCAGGCCGCCTTGCCCTTGCCCCATTTCGCCAATGCCGAGCTACTACGATAACTCATCAACAACCCCGTCGTCATGCTCAATGCAGCCGTCATTGTCGCTCCCGTCTGTCCGATCAGGTGAATGGGCAGAAGTGAAGTTCGAGTAGAGACGAGATGGATGAAGAGGGTCGCCAAAGTGAGCATGAGAAGCGATGTTTTAGGTAGCCGAGATCTGCGCGTCAAGGTTCGAGTTTCGTCAGCACCTAAATCATTTGCATTGACCATACCAGTTTGTACATACAAGACTCCGCGCCTCATCGTTTCCTCGAGCAGCACCTCTTGCTCGTGAAACAGTCCTTCCAACCATCTCTCCCGTGCTACTGCAGCCGTCGAGGCTCCCGTTGCGGATTTCGTCGAACCCGATCGATGATGATGACGCGCGAGGGTTGATTGTTGGTGTTTCTGAATCTTGCTGCGACGGGATGAGAACCAGGTCATCGTCGATCGAGCTAGCACGATGTACTCGAGGATCTACTATACAGTACAACAATATCGTTTATGGCGATTGCGTCCTGTCCGACTTGTGCTCCCTTGAACAACATGGTCACGAAGCACGATGAACAAGTCTTGAACGACGAACAAGCAAAGCAGACGACGGTGGACGACGGGGGGGAGCGATGCGCGATTTACTTCCGATCAGGGCTGAGCCTTATCGAGGATGAAAGTGATAACGGTTATTAGCTTCCGACCAAAGCCCGAGCACGTGATAATGATGCCGGTCGATCCTTTCTGTCTGATGTCTTGGGCAATTTGAAGTTCGGATAGATTTCCGACTGATTTTTATCTGTATCAACTTGCAGCACTGAACTCGATAGGGTATCAATGATCAATGTATGCATGCTTAGAAACGAGCAATCGCGTGACCCTACGCAAGAGCAGGATCGTCGGGTTTTGAACGAAGCGCGACAGCGAATTCCTACCACCTAAACAATATCTGCTTCCAGTCCGTTTCGAAACGGGTGTGACAGCCTCGCATGTACTCGAGAATTGCTTTCGGTCGGCTCTTGGTTGATGCCGCATCGATACCCTGAGTCGCGATCCTAGCTGATATCACACGTTCTGGCGTACTGAACAGTTTGCCACATTTCCGTAGCGATCTCGTAGAATGTCGGTCCAGTCCACATGGGAGAAATCCTCCTGCGTCGTAACTACATCCAGTCGATCGTGCAGTCGTGATCTGTAGGGAGCAATGCTCTCCGTCCCATCATTGCCACGTGGGCTGCTTCGTCTGCGCTTCCTCCCAGCGTATGAGATGCAACTCGCACGTCCAGCTACAGGACTCATTCAGCTCGACAGAGAACTCGTGGTACCTTTCGCTTATGAGGATACTTTGAGGATGCGCTCGAGCGAGTGTGGCAAGTGACAGCTCTAGATCTCTCGCACCAGAATCTCGACCTGACGGGCAATCCTCCTTGGGTAACCCAGGTGGACTCGACCGCATCAAGGGTGTGATGGTCGAGGCAGGGAGTGTATGCTCATATGGTTGTTCCTGATGTAATGCCAAATCTTTTGGCTGGCCGCTCACTGTCACGCGCAATGAAAGATCTCGCCCTCGTATATTCGCAACCATCGCAACTACTTCACTTTGAGTCCAAGTAGCAAAAAGGGTCTCGATGGTTTGCTGAAGGTGCGTTCTCCTGCAAGCCGCACGGACGCAGACCAACATGTACAACAGTACAACAGCACAATAGAGTCTTTCCCGCCATGGATCCCGTGTTGTCGGGCAGAGGTGAACGAGTGGGAAGACGATGACACACACGGAAAGAACCGGAGAGAGAGTGGGAGCGTGAGGGGAAGAGGAGGATGATCTGCGGTGAAACCTTGAGCGAGGGAAAGTGGTGAGAGTGTGCAGCTGGCTTGCAGCTTCCAGAGGGGATGGCTGGCTTGATCGGATGGTATTCTCAGTTTCGGCCGGGGGGCGCGGGATGGCGATGCGCGCGCGTGTGTCTCTCGCTTCCGTCGCGTGCGCGCGCGTGCGAGGGCGGCGGGGAGGAGGGGAAAGGGGGGGGGGGGGGGGGGTATCGCAGAGACGGGAGAGAGAGAGAGAGACAGAGACAGAGACAGAGACAGAGACAGCTGCGTGTGTGTGTGTGTGCGTGCGTTGATCGTGCTAGCGTGGGCGAGTGTCATTTGGCTCTCTGCCCACTGCATGTCGCATGTCGATCCTCACGTCCTCACTTCGTTCTCGACATCCCATCGACCCCCCTCGTCCGATCCCTGGCGAATCAACATTCAACGTTCCACACCGTCCTCGCTCTTCGTTCATCGAGAACACTACTCCCCGCTCCGCTCTCGGTTCCGACCACGGATTCGCTTACCATTCTTGAAATACCCGGATTACTCGCCCAGGAGAGCAACCGAGCCACACAGCATAAGTGCTAGAATTGCTAGCTACTAGTCGCAAGAAGCGTACCCGGTGCTTCGGCGTAGACTTGCAGGACTTACGCCAATCGTCACAAGCCTCAACATTCGGGTAGAAACGGGAGACTCGAAAGGCGATATCAAAGTTCAGAACGACTCGGATGAAGATCACACGCTAGACAAAGACTTCGAGTAGCGATCGGGTGGTCATCCTGCCTCTCTCTTGGTCCTTTCCTCCTCATTCCATACACTCGTGGAATAGCCATCAGGTCTATTCTCGTTCTCGAGATTGCGGTCGACCGAGTGGTAACAGAAATCGCAGTCAGAAGCACAGGAAGAGGAAAAAGGAACGTCAGGACGTGCACCGACCATGCCTTCTCAACATCGACCTCCTCCGCTCTTTCCTACCTCTTCCACCAATCCCCATCCGCTTGCCTCTTATACTCCGTCCCACATTCCCACTCCTTCGACCTCCCGCCCTTCTTCGCCCGTCTACGACTTTCTCGTCGTTCTTCCCTCTATCACGCGAGGCTTCAGACCACCGGTCAGCAACAATGGTAATAAGGACCACGGCAATGGAGGACCGTTGGGGAGATCGGTGAGGTCGAATTCCCACCAGATGGGGGGCACCGTAGGTCTACTTCGCTCGGGTGGTACGAATGGTGGAGGACATCGGGCCAGCGTACCAAACACCGCGCTCGGGGGAACTTCGTCCCGTTACAACGACAACGACAACGAGGACGAGCTAGAGTCAAGGTCCGTAACGAACCCGGACATGAACCCGAACTTGAACGTGGATCCAACGTTATACAGACCGAATGGAGGTCAGACGGTCGTACCTTCGCTCTTTCCCCGTGTCGCGGCGTCCAAGTCTGCTTCTGGCTTCGAAACCACCCTCGGAATGCCCTTCGGCATAGGACCTTCCGGGCACAAGTCGGGGTCGTCGGCTTTCGTTCCTGTACCCCTGTCACCCGGGTCTGTGGGGCCGAGAGGTCCTGCTCAGCGATCATTTCCCAGCGCTACAGGCGGTACGACTGCAGAGGCAACGAGGACATCGACGATATCGAGCTCTGAAAAGAATTCCGATACGAACCGTGGGTCGTCTTCAGGATCTGCAAGTAACGACAAGGGCAGAGTCGCACACGACCACAACGTCAACGACCCGACGCAGCAATCCCGGTGGAACATGATGCTCGTGCAGCATCCGCACGCTCGACGGGCCAGCATTGGGGATCTCGCACCGAGTGGATTGGGCGGCAGACGGACGGGTTGGTCTGCGTCGGAAGAGGACGAGGCCGAGCAGCATCAGGAACATGTCCAGGACGATGTGAGTAATGGGAACAAGCGGGATGAGCAAGGAGGGATTTCCGCATCGAGGTCGAGGCCGAGCGGGAGTGGGTTGAAGCGGGATGTCTCTCTGAGGGAAAGGTCGGCGATGACGTCTTCCCCCACCCGGTCAATCGAGACAACATCAGTAGCACCCGGATCGGAAAGCGATGTTGCGATACCGACAAGTCCTGCCGGCCTACGGTCGGTATCTTCCACTGAGACTGGTGGGATCAAGAGAAGCAGACGTCCGCAAACGAGCGGAGCTGCGTTGAGCGGCACCCAGACCCAGTCCGGCAGACTTGGTTCTCGCGCGAATGCGATGAATCTAAGCGGTCGAGGAGAGCAAAACGAATCCGGGTCGGGGGAAAGGAGAGGGTCCATCAGTCCTGGAACAGTTGGTAACGACATTGCCGATCCGATGAAAAAGACTGGACAGCTCGCTCCTGCCATGGACATTTCAGCAACGACAAGGTCGGGACCCTCGGCATCCAGTCTTTCAACTGGCGAGTATCAGGATCGTGCTCCTCGACCGTCGCCCGCTCGAGGACAGTCCAATGTGACTTCGGTTGGGTGGGGTCACTTATCGTCGTCTTCCGGCCTCGTCTCGCCGCCTGCAGAATCAGCTGGTCAGAGCGGATTCTTGGGCAAGAGGAGTCGAGGCACGGGTACGGGAAGGCCAGGGTGGGAGGGCGAGGAGGTGGTCGGGGTTTTAAGAGAGGATGGGATGCCAGGTGAGTTCTATGGGGGCAAAAATGCGATTCGAACTGTGCTTGATTCTTACTCATGCGACACGTATCTTCATAGTCACGACATTCAGATCAACGACGCAGATGTCGAGGCATCTCCGGAACCAGTCGGCAGTTGAAGAAGCCGCGGGCTCGCGTGAAGCAAAGACCAACGGAGCCTCTGCAAATCCAGCTGTGCCCTCATTTGCGAATCAGCTCTCACGGGTTCTGCTCGTGCCCCTGTCCGACTCTCCGACTTTGCCTTCGCTGTCCTTGCTCTTGGCCCAAGGGACTACACCGTCGGCCATCTGTTTCCAGCAAGACTTGCTCGACCGAGCCAGACGGACCGAGGCCGACTGGCTACCTAGTGCTTTACAGATGATTGGGACAGCGACTCGAAGAGGTAGCGAAGGCTCTGTACAGCAAGATTCGGACAGCAAGGAACGTCACATACACGTCATCGCCTATTCGGCCAACCCGGCGCTCGCCCCATCCGTCGTGGATGAGTGTTTAAGAGCCGGAGCCATCGGGGTTCTCCAGCCGCCCTATGACAACGAGGTTACACTGAAGAAGATTCGCAGGATGATCATGTGGGCCGAGAGGAGTCAGGAGGTCAGGCGGTCATTTGACGCTTCCCAGGAGGCGGGTTTGGCAGAGCAAGAGGAGGTGCAAAGGTCGGCCGAGGCGTTCGTCAGGCGGGAAGAGCAAGTTTTGGAGGACGCTGCCGCTGTTCCCTCGATTGTTCCAGAAGCAGAGTGTCACGATGACGAAGGGAAACTGGACGCAGATGAGCCGACCGAGGCTGAACTCACGACGGGCCCCGCCAAGACGCTCTACAGCCATCTAGCCGCCTACGACTTTTCCTCACGCCGTCGATCGGTCGACAACGGTGGATTGTCGCTGGCGCTCGAGCGAGCACATCAGGCGGCCAAACAGAATCGGTTCAAGTCGGCCGCCGACATTCACGCCCCACCTCCTGCAATGACTCCGCCTATCAAGCAGGATAGATCATCGTCTCTGGCTGGACTCGAAGGCTATCTCATCACGCAGCAGGAGGATCCGCAGGGAGACGCAACTATCATAGCGGAGCTTCTGGGCGAGATGTATCGACAGACTCGGATCAGCATCGAGATCCAGATGATTGATTATGCGGAGTAGGTGGCGGTCTTGCGATATGGCTCACCGTGATCTAGCTGATTTGTTCGTTTTCAAAGATTTTCGGCCCCGCTGGAACCTGCTCATCGTGCACGGCTCGTCGAAGCGCTTTCTACATGGAACTTCCGGCCTCACATCCTGGATGAAGCGGATCTCTTCCGATGTGCTTGTCTGCTGTTTGAAGCTGTCCTGCGCATCAAGGGGCTTGCCGAGTTGGGCATAAGTCAAGGTTAGCAATCCATCTTCTCTCGACGACTGGGTCAACGAGAGACTGATCAGTCTTTGAGCTGCAGATCAAATCAACCGCCTGTTATTTGCTATTCGAGCGATTTACCATGCGCCTAATCCTTATCATAACTACATCCACGCCGTCGACGTCTTACAAGCGTCATACACCTTTCTCGTCGCCGTCGGCGTGGCTCCGCCCCCTTCGATCTTGCTCGATACCACGAGTGGCCCTTGGTACAGAGCCGAGATTGTCGACAATGGCAACACGGAAGAGTACAACGCCAAGGTCGCGACTCAGAGTATCCTTCGCCCTCAAGACGTGCTAGCTGTCATGCTCGCTGCTATGGGTCACGATGTCGGACATCCGGGCCTCAGCAACGTCTTTATGGTAAGTGGAAGCGTCTGCAGACATCGTGTTCGCCGACAACCGCAACTCACCTCGCTACACACGATCGATAGAAAAACGCCAAAACCCCGTTGTCACAGGTCTATGAAGACAAGTCCGTCCTGGAAAACATGCATTGTATGTTGATCGTGCAGTTGCTACGGAAGCACGGGTTCGGTTTCTTGCTCGAGCGCTCCCAGTCGACTGGTCTCGGGACGGCTCTCCCTGTCTCCTCACACTTTGCTGGACCTTCGGAAGACATTTCACCAATGAGTTCTGGCTTCCCAGACGCACCGTCTACAGCCATAGGCACGTCTTTCGACAGAAACGAAAAGGATGGAGCAGTTGAAGATTGGAAGAGTTTCAAGAAGCTTCTCTACTCGACTGTACTCGCGACCGACATGAGCATTCACTTCAACTGGATTAAGCGCTTTATCGATTACGGCAAGCGGATGCGAGCCGATGGTGTCCAGTCGTTAGCCAAGCCGGAAGAAGAGGAGGCGAGAATCTTACTCTCGCAGGCCATCATTAAATGCGCAGATATCAGTAACCCAGTGAGTGTATCAATGCAAACGACATGGAAGTGAGAACCAGTAGCTGATGACCGCTACGGATTGCAGACCCGTCCGATCGAAGTGTCGGAACACTGGTCAACCGTATTGCTGGCGGAATGGGCCAACCAGGCTAGTCTGGAGCAAGAACTGTCTTTGCCCATCTCGGTCGTCGCCAGCGCCGATGCTGCTATACAAGCAAAGGGTCAAATCGGGTTTATCGATCTCTTCACCCTGCCTCTCTTCGATGCGGCTGCAGACGCCATGCCTGGTGAGTGGATCTTGCGTTTCTTACTGGCACCGCGTCACATGCTCAAGTCGCCTTCATTGCATGCTCAGGTTTGCGATACTATGCTGAGGCCTGCGGAGAAAACCGGGCTCTTTGGCAAGATCGCTTCGATGCGATCAATGCTCTGGCAGCCACCACTCCACCCCCGCCTATCAAAGCGCTCTCGATCAGATCGGAGAATACCGCCTCACTCGAAGCGAGATATCGAAACCTCTTCCCTCTCTCACTCCCTCGATCAATGTTTCAAGGAGCTTCTAGCGCTACCGGCTCGACAGCCAGCTCACCATCTACTCAATCGGTTCATAATCTCGCCATCGACGAGGCCGCTCTCGCAGATAGCCATACCATGAGGTCCGCCTATATCGAACATACCACTCGTCGATCGAGCAATACCCCATTTCGAACGCCTCGTCTGAAGCGTTTCCAACAATAGCACTTTGTAAAGGTCTTTTGGGCTAGAAAATTCACGTTTAGCATACTCTACACTGTATACGCATCAAGGTAGTCAATCAGCATTTAGGTCTAGAAATAGACACGACCTCAACATGACTTCGTCTTTTCTCGACATTCGTTGTACAGGTTATCACGATCCCATAAAAATCATGTATGCATGTATACAAAAGGTTTACAGACAGTGCGAGCTCAACAAAACGGACAAGCACAATGCGCTCATGCTTTTGCCTTTTTCACGACCTTCACCCCCAAAGAGCCTACTCCTTTTCGCTTGACACCCGAGGGCAGGATCGGCTTCGGTCCGGCCGGCTTGATGGATGGTGGAGCCATCGTGGCGATCCCCTTGGCTTTGAGTAGGTCCTGCACCGTAGGTTCGCCCGCGCTCGATCCCATCGGTCTCCTTTTGACGGTCACCGTAGGTTCGGCGACTGGCCCAGCCGACTTCCCCTCGTCGTCGTCATTATCTGCCTCATCATCGTCGTCCGACCCAGAGCCATAACCGCCCATCAATCCCATCCCTCCTGCTGCCTTTCCTTTGCCCTTGCTAGGTCCGGCCGCGGGCGCACCGGGCGCCTTGACCTTGTAGAAGAACTTGTTGACCTCTTCGTCCTCCTCCTCCAACTCTCGCTTCCGTCGCTCCTCGGCTGCCTTATCTCTCGATGCGTGTTGGGTTTTCAAGATCTCTTCCATGTCCCGATCAGATCTCTCCATCCGTGCGTTCCGCTGTCGTAGATCTGCCAAGGCGTCTTCCTCCTCCATCTGTCGTTTTGATGCGGCTTGGGACTCTTCCAAAGCCTTCATCGGGTCTTCCTCTTCCGAAACATTGTCCTCGTCGTCTTCCGCTGCGTTGGGCATTCGAGACAAGGCCTCGTTTGTCGGCTCGAAATTCCGACTGGCGCCGTGTTCGCAGATGTAATCAGCGTTCTGCGGATCCGTCTTGAATGTGATCTCGGCGCTACATCTCGTGCATTTCTAGCAAGAAGGATAGAAGACGGTGGCAAGTTAGCGGGTGACGAGTTGACAGGTCGTGAAAGAACATCGCCACTTACGATGTAGAACCGGAAGATCTTGATGCCATAATACGTCTCGCCCAGAGCCGTCTCCTTCTTTGCGTTGAATTTCTTTCCCTTGTCTGCAAAGTGACTCTTGTCAGCTACAGGCCGTACTCGAATGTCGCCTTACTCGATGGAGCGCCGAAAGGACTCACAGATGAACTCTCCACACGTCCTGCAACACATCGTAAACGGCGCCATCAGACGGACGACCTGTTGCGCATCCTTGTTGACCTTCTTCCTGGGGATCTTTGACGGGTCAAAGTCTGTTCGAGCGGGACAGCAAGGTAGAGGTCAGCAATCTGGTTAGATGCAAAGCCAGAGAGTTCCGGGGCAGGCTTACCTGGAGGGAAATACTTGTTGAGGACTTTACGCTCGGACATCTCGTCGAGTTTACGATCAGAGCGTGAATGGCTAGAGACAGAGGATTGATGGGTTTGGGTCGATCCAGGACCGGGGCACTTTGACTGACTGCCTTTCCTGAAAGATTCGACCTGTGACAAAGAGCAATGTCAATCAGGCTCGAGGTCCAAGTCGAGTTCACCGAGGGAAGACGAGAAAGGTAAGGTAGGAGAGCAGGAGGGGGGCGACGCGCAAAGTCGAGGTCGACCCCCTTTGGCACGGAGTAGTCCGACGACGAGCGAGTCGGACCAGATAAAAGTTACTGTACTACTGTACCAGGAATGTCTACCGAGCTACCGATGTTCATGACATTGCACTCCGCCGTAGAAGCGAATACGCACCCTCATCCGAGTCCAACATAGACCAAGCATGTCGAATAAAAAACTCGGAACACCCAACAGCGGTCAAATGACCCAGGCGAACTGGGACGTCCTGTTCAAATTGAAGACTACTCCCTGTTCTTACCAAGATATTCGAGATGCTGTGGACGAGTTCGAAGGGAAAAGCAAGGGCAAGAAGCAGAGAACGTGGTAAGTTTATCATCCTGTTCCTGTTTAAGATGACAGCGCGAGGCCAACCAGTGAACCAATCTTTGCAGGACCCGCGATTGTTGGAGTTTGTCTCTTTCTCGCAAAACAATCAGACTCTGGCTAGCAGGTATAGCACTGGAGGCAATTTGGATGTGGGGCTTCACCAGTAAGTCGATAGCAGGATTGGTGAAGACTGATCTAGACTGATCAACTGATGCCTTGCACACAGGAATGGGCCATGTCCAAGTCATCATCCCGGGCCTGATCATCAATCTTGCTCAGTGGTTATGGCCTATTCTGGATGCAGATGAGAGGGACTATGTTATCTTGGAACAGATCTTAGTCACTCTGTCTATCCTTGGAGCTATCACTATTTGCCAGGTGTACTTTCCTGATGGTGTTGAGAAGGTCATGATCCTCATTGCGGGAAAGGATTAGGGACGGACGCGAGACGGGGACCTCGACGACGATATCACGATTGACACGAACGCACGAACATACTACTACGAGACTATCACGCATGTCATGTAAATCTGTACACTATCGCATATACCCTTGTCAACCACTGAGCCAATACTACTAGTTCGTGTCTCTCTCTGTACCTCACTGTTCGAGTGAGAATCGGAACCTACGACCACATCAGGAAGCCGACCCGCAGGATTGATGATTCGCGACTCGACCTCATCGATGCTCGCCGACTGCACCGGTGGCCGTGGTGGTCGCTTTGCTGGCAAGCTCACCGAGGCTCCTCGAGATTCTGCCGTATTTCGGTCTATCGCTGTCACCTATACATACCCAGAGCCCGAAGGATGGTCCTTCTGGCGAACGCCCAGCGTCATCTATCTTTCTTTCGTTATACGGACGCCTTCAATCGAGGTGAGGGTGAGAAAAGGGTCGCCTTTCCGCATGAATTGCGAACCTGATAGATCACGGCTACTCGAACAGAGACCGATCTATGTACATCGTCAACATCTGATCTGGGCTTGGGAATATCTGCGTCAAGTCAATCGAAAACGATGGAGCCTTTTTCTTAGGTGTCACGATGAAGATGTCAGGAAACGCTTCCGATTCACAGCTGAAGACATGGCCGTGATGTATGAATGGGAGGAGGAAGTAAGCAGTTTCCCTCGCTTCGCAGTCTACATAGAGTTGGATTGACGCTGACGATCATGACGCTTGTTGCCTTGCACAGTCGCTGAGACTGTTTAGTACGTATTGTATCGAGATGATCGTTCTCGAATTGCCCACTCTGACAGTAACCCTACCTTTCATCATTTGTGGCCTCATAGATACCTTTGGAGCGCATCTGGATCGTCTTGCCGACTTTGAGGAAGCGGGCTTGAAGCCCTGCTCTTTCGGTCAGGGATTGATGCAAGTTCCGAAAGATAACTTATTTATCCCCACCATCGACGTTCCTACGCGCCCGGAATATTTCCCAGCTGCCTTCTTCATCTATGCTATCCGGGTCTTACAAGGTCGGGCAGGACTGAGTGACCTTGAAGATGTTCACCTTCGACGCAGAGTTCAAGAATGCATCTCCTCAACGCCCGAGGCCGATTATGATATCGGCAACGAGGCGAGTTATCTTGTATCGGTGAAGCTGGACGAGGAAATTTTGGATCCCGTGGATGAGCCGGACGTGGCAAGGTTGATCAAAGTTGGTGCCGTCCCGGAGCAAGTTTGTCGCCATGAGCCGCTAGATCCCGATACCCTGACGAAGCTCTTCAGAGAGGTATGTTCACTCAGTCTTTACGTCTTCCCTGGATTGAGCTGCTAATCCGCTCACGATCACGCTCAGGAGAGTCTCCGTGTATCTGTTCAAGGCTCTCGGCCAATACAACCAGCAGGTAAGGATGAAACCGACACCGCCTTGCCACTGGACTCGCAGTCTGATTGCAAACTTGCTGCACGGGGCAGATGACGGACTTCCTGATCCTTACGAATTGTTCGAGTCTTTCCTGCATTTCGAACCGGTTGAATGGTTGGTCAGCAAGGCCTCATGGGAAGCCGAACCCCTCTCTACACACTCGTCCCCACCAGAGTCCGGCGAACCGAATGAAACCCGCTCGGTCTAGCCGAGAAGTTTCAGGAATCGAAAGAAGGGACGGCCGGGTCGAACCACCAATGAGGACGTCCCGTCAGTCGCCCTTCCATACATGAACAGAGTTCTTGTACAAACCGAGGTCGTGGATCGGCTTCCTCCTATCATATCCCTGCTATCGGATCACTCGATAGGTAACTTACGGGTCGCGGATTGGGCAAACAACTTTCTGGCCCGACGATGTCACCACTCCGGACGAGATCGGCCGTTTCTCACACTTGTGAGTAAGAAGACGCGAACCCGCCAGATCTACCAAGCGTCATTTCCGATTATTACACTCTACGGTGCAAACTTCAAGGGAAAGCTGTGCTGCGGAATGATTTCAAGCAGTCCCAGGACTATCACCCGTGCGAGCGAAAGAAAGATAGGCTTATCAGGCGGGCTGCTCTATCGTTGTATCATGATACTGCAAATATCCCTTCATGTGATGAAATACTCGAGATACGCCGCAAGTCGCTTCTTAGTCCGTCTGGTTATTTCGTCACTCGACTCGGACGTTGTCCAGCAAGCTTAGCCATACGTCATCGATGGCACGTTGACGGACAGCTCTGATAGAACGAGAGCTCGCAGCGATCATCTTCACGTTCACGATCAGAATACATTTGGCGTTATCGTACATCATAGACATAGACTATTTGATTACAAACGTGGGCCTATGCGCAGAAAGAGTGCCCAAATCATCTCGTTTCACTTAGGTGTACTTCTTCTTGAGGTCTTTCCAGATGGTTTCAAGTTGAATATTGGAGGTTCCCTCGTAAATCGCTCCGATCCTGATGCGATATGTAGCAATTAGCCCGACTGATCAGCTTGGTCTCGCTTGACGAAGAACGATGCATGGTATAATCTAGAGAAGAAGGGACTTACATCGAGTCTCTCCAGAATTTCTGGACGGGCAGGTCTCGCGTGAACCCGACCCCTCCGCACCATTCGATCGCTAGCCCAGAAGCCTTCTGCGCGACCTTGGAAGCGTGGTACTTGGCCATGGCGGCGGCGATCTTGAACTCCTTGCCTTCCTCCTGCATGTACGAGGGTCTTCGGTCAGCCGCGAGCAACCCCTTGTGCATGATTCACCGGCATGATACGGAGAAGGAAGGTCAGACTTGCCTTGAGCCTGGCCGCATTGTAGGTCAATAACCTCGCCGTTTCGATTTCCGTAGCAACCTCGGCGAACTGGAAGCCCATCCTACAGGCATCGGTTCGGTTGACCGCTATCAGCTATTGCCTTCCTCTACCTTCTCGAGTATGCCAAACCTCTCCGACTCACCCCTGGTTATCACCGACGGGTTTTCCGAATTGTTTCCTCTGGAAAGCGTAGGTGACCGCATAGTCGAACGCCCCCTGAGCGAGGCCCAACATTTGCGCGGCGATCCCGATTCTCCCCTCATTCAGGATCTCGATGGCGATCTTGTACCCCTTGCCGACCTCGCCGACGACGTTTTTCGCCGGTACCTTGACGTCGTCGAAACTAAGTAGGCAGGTGGACGAAGCCCGGATTCCGAGCTGTAGTTGGGTGAACGTCGGAAGGCAAAATACATCAGCCTCATGACAGATCGGAGAAGTCGTCCTGTCGCCTAGCCGCCGTGCCGCACCGACGCACCTTTTTCTCCTTTTTCGCAATTTGCACGCCCCAATCCTTTTCCACCATGAAACACGTGATACCCTTGTACCCCTTGCTCGGATCGATATTGGCAAAGACCAAGAAATAATCGGCCTCTCCCGAGTTGGTGATCCACATCTTGCTCCCGTTCAGAATGTAGTGCTCGCCGTCAGGCTCTAGCTTGGCCGTCGTCTGCAACGCAAAGGCGTCCGACCCGGAGTTGGGCTCTGAGAGACAGAACGATCCGAGCTGCCAAGGGAATGCGGACGGATTTTAGCGTTCCATTCTCATTCATTTTGCTCTGCTTGTCGACTCACGACATTGGTGGCCAAACCGGGGAGGTACTTGTCCTTGACGTAGTCGTTTCCGAACAACCTCAAGGTCGAGTTGACCAACGTGTTGTGTACATCACAGCACACCGAGACGGACGGGTCGACCTTGCTCAGTTCTAGAATGTCGATGAATGTAGATTCCGGAAGAGATGGAAGGCAATGTATGATCAACATGCGGATCATGGAGAGGAACGAATTTTTAGGCTGTTAGCGTAAAACGTTTGACGACAGCAAACACCGCTGTTGGACTGACCTTCGACGGCGAGAATAGCGGCCATAAAGCTCATCTCCGACCCTCCATGCTCGGCGCTCGTCTCGATACCCATTAGGCCCTGGTCGAAGAGACCCTTGATGATCTCCTATGAACGCCCGATCGGCAAAAGATCGCCGGTTCAGTACAGCAAGCGGGAGACTGAACGGGTCGAGAGGCAACTGACAGGGTCCATGACTTCGGATTCGTCCATCTCGGTCACTTTCGGTCCGATGACCTCCTGCGCGAATTTCCTCACTATCCTCGCAATCAGGCGTCAAGGCGAATGCAACGAACCCCTTTGTTCAGCTCTCGAAGCGACACGACATCAGATTTCCCAGGAATAGTTCATGAGTGGCTAGACTTACCGGTCTCCCGCAACATCTCCTCCTCTTCGGTGAAGTTGTAGATCGAGGGGGGCGTGTTGATCTCTGGACGAGTGTTGGGCTCTTCGACCTCGCTCTTCCTGACGGCCGAGACGTGGAAGTTCCTACCATATGCGCTGGTGTTCGCAGGTTTCGAAGCGGATTGATGAGAAGACAAAGGCAGCGAAGAGGAGGAGGTGGAGAGAGATCGGGAGAAGATGGGGGTGATGGCAGGGGCGAGACGGAAAGGTAGAGACGAGGCGGGAAGGTTGGATCGTAGGGTACGGGCGAGCATCTTTAGTGTTGGTTATGTATCGGCTTTCGAGTGGTTCAAGGAAACAAGAGTGAGAGGTGCTAGCGATGCGGGTTGCAATGAGCGATGATATGGTGAGATGGTTGCTTGCTCGAGACTGGTAGCTGGTTGTTTGCTTGTTTGTATATCTTTGGTGTCCATGCTCTCTGTTTCGGTCGTCACGGTCGATGAGCCAGTGCTCTGCTGAACCATGACCACCTGACCCGAGTTAACCGGCCACTCCCTTGCTTGCTCGTTAACCGGATCATCACGGCCGGGGTAGGCGCGCGCGGGGAGAGCCGGCCGTCTAGTTACATCACGTGATGTCGTTATTGCATGCCAAGAACGTTCTGCACCAACATGTGCGTAGGTCATGCACGAAGACGAGCAAAGCATATAGATAGAAGACTAGTAGAAATACATCGATAATGACCATACATCGATCCTCACACAAGATGAGCCTAGGCCAAGAAGTGAGGGCAATTAGATGTCGAAAAGAGGCGATTGATCCAGGCCTAGGGAAGGATCAAAGAGATTGTCTTGACGGGGCAGCAAGGGAAAGAGTTCTCAGGGGGGGGGGGTCTAGTAGACGTAGGGGATCAAGACGTAGGGGACCCTCTTGGTGTAAGCCTATAGCATAGAGAATGGATGATCAGCATGCAGGCTCGACGGGTATAGGTCTCGTGAGAGTATCGAGTCTGGACGTACGGCCCACTGCTCCTTGTATTTGGAAGCCATGTGGCTGGAAAAGTCGGGAATCGAGCTGAGGGCGAAGATTCCGTTCTGGAAGAGGAACGTCAGGGTGGCGTTGAGGATCGAGCCCTGTTGGTCGAGACGAGTAGCAAAGTGAGAACAATGTCAGCAAACGAGCGAAGACGCGTATCCTCGAGGTCAATGGCGCAGGAGCTCACGGTGGCGAGAGCGGTTCCGACACGGTGCAAAGTGTAGAACGCGTAGTTGGGGTGACGGACAACTCCCCAAGCACCTAGAGAATAGCAAAAAAAAACAGAAAAAGACAGTCATATCAGCTCCGACATGCTCAATAGCATGGCCACTGACCCCGCAACGCACCCTGGTCGTAAACCTTGCCAGCGTTCCTCTTGTCATTCTTGAACGCCCGCCTCGAGCTCTCGATCACGATCTCTCCCACGTTCCCGACGACGACGGCGAGGAATCCGAGGTACTGCATCCAGTTGGAGGCGAGGGGGTTGGTCTTGCCCCGAGAGACACGGTAGACAAAGACGAGCGAGTTGATGACGGTGTAGAGCGAGTTGAAGCCAGAGACAAAGGCGCCGGCAGAGACGGGGAACTCGGAGCTGCATTCAGCGTTGGCCCACCAGATCTGCGGTGAAGAGCGGATATTGAGCAGCAGGAGAGTGAGCTTAGCGTTCCTATAAACTTGTACAAACTAGATCGGGCATGGACCTACGTGTCGCAACGCGGTGATGGCGTTCATAGTGAGCAACATGTTACCGGGCTTGTCCAACAGCCCAGCTCCGAAAAAGTCGGTATTGAGGCCGACCCGGGTGACGAGGGGCAAGGTGATGATCCTCTTCAACCCGATGGTCTGGAGGAGCTTGCCAGCGACTCCATTTCGCAGGAGAGCGTAGGCGAGGGTAGGGTCGAGAGCACGACCGATGGTCATGGCGAGACGACCTGCGAGGTTGTCCGAAGGGGACGTCGCCGGGCGGCGCAACGGGTTGTTGGACATGGTGTTGGGTGTGTTTAGGACTAGGACGAGAGACGTGGGAGGGATGTGGTGGGTTAATTTCGAGCTCGAACGGAAGTCAAGTTGATATTGCAATCGCGATATAAGACCCAAATGGCAAGAGAGGTCGAGAGCTCTCCTCGGCAGGTGACGCTTGTTCGTTGATTCGGTCCCATGGCCCAAGGTCGCGGGTCGGTGACGAATCGTTTCCAACGAAAACATGTCCCAAAGAGGAAACCATGGTGATCGGAAGCATTTCGGAGGCAATCACGGTCGATGTCTTATCGGCTCGCGTTCGGGTAAAAAGATGGCGGCGGGTAAATCTCGAGCTCGGCGAGCTCTCACCTTCGATCAAACCATCAGGACGAACAGGTCTCGTTTCACTTGGCGACAGTGCGGCTGCTGGTTTCAAGAGCGCACAATTGCTGGCGGCGCTCAAATGGATTCATATGCATCTCTCATAATAGTATGATCGAGAATGAAAAAGCCGAAACAGCACTGGGCACGATCGGAGCGGTGCTCTGGACGATCCAGATTATACCCCAGCTCGTCAAGAGTTACCGGACGAAAGATGTGGAAGGGTTGAGCGCCATGCTCATGTTGTGAGTCCCTCCGTTCGTCCTGTGGCGTGATTTGGACTGCCACTGACTACAGATTTCTGTACGATCATAGCGTGTGGGCGGTCTCGAGTCCATTCCTAGGAGTCTACGCCATCGTGCAAGATCTCTCGGTGCCCATCATTCTCCAGCCGCAGAGCTTCGGCCTGCTCTCCTCGATCTCGGTGGCTCAGTGCATGCATTACGGTCAGAAACGGAGCAAGAGCGTCTGTATCGCCTTTGTGCTAGCGTTCGCCGTTATCATGGCCGGCTTCGAGGTCGGAATGGTATATGCAGTCCGGGTGAGTCGGTCGGGACGACGTGATCAACGGATAATACGCACGAAGAGGATCTGATATTGGCAAATTGACATTGTGCTTCTAGGCGGGGATGGACAACGGAGTCGACTGGCCTGTTACGCTTTTTGGGAGCATATCCGCGGCTCTGCTGGCCGGAGCGCTGATACCCCAATACTATGAGATATATCGCCTGAAGGAGGTAAAAGGTGAGCGCGATGACGCGAGTCGCCAACCATCCGGATCCACTTATGCCTTCTAACGCTCGAACAGGTATATCTTTGATCTTTATGGGAACAGATATGGCAGGAGGCGTCTTTTGTACCCTGAGTCTCGCATTCAGGAGTAAAGTCGACATCATCGGGACGGCAAGTCACAAAGTTCCGAAGCAGGACACTCCATCTCGCAGAAACCGCTGACCTTTGCCTCTGAACGGTCATTTCGAACAGATCAACTACTGCTGCGTGGTCGTCCTTGACCTCGGTGTCTTGATCTTGGCCATGATCCTCAATCCGAGGGCAAAGAGGAAACGACTCGAAGCCGGCCTACCTGCCAACGCCGATGATACGATCGAGATCGACGATGCGCGGCAGGTGCAGATGTCGACAGCTACCTCTAGGGCTGTCAAGGACGAAGATAGGCAGGATACGTTGGATTCTACCGGTACTACGAATGTGAAGGATTTCTCGGTATGAGGGCGAACTATGGGGCGTTTGGCAAAAGGATTTTACGATACGACGCACTAGAAGACGGCGCTGGAGAGAGCGCATGTCAACGTCGACAGCAGCATATCATATATGGAGCAAACACATAGGGAGCTAGAATCGGTAGAGTTCCTCGAATTCGATATCTGTAGCCTAGTATCCTCGAGCAGATCGATTCACTGTATCTACAATAGCAGATCATTCACGGAGGCACGCGATCTGACGATATGTGAGAAATCTTCCGGCCAGTCAAGATGATGAGCGAGGGAGGTAGTAAGTTTGAGTATGAACCACTGCGATGCTTCATCACAAAGAGACGGACAGAAGACAGGCGATCGCGGCTCTCCAAAAGTCGATCGAGGTTCGGGAAACCTTTCGCATATCGTGTATCGTGATCACGATAGATGAAGAGCGGAGCAAACCCAGATCGAGAAACTATCCAATCGAGTGCGCCGCCAGGACGCCTGGCCAAGGAACCGATGGATGCACCCATAAAAACCCACTTCGCCCATCACGAGTCAGATTCGCGGCGTATGACGAACGGTCTTTCTTTTCTGGGCGGTCGTCGATGTTGTTGCCGAGACCATCGTCAAGATACACCAAACCGATTTGATTTATCAATCCCCAAAGATCCATCAAAGCGGTCGCTGCTATCCCCAAGTCATCGGAGGTGTCTGACATGTCGATAATGTAAGTCCGGACTCGAGAAGAGGTCGATCCCGGCCGAGTGCTTGGTCGGCCTTTGTAACTGATTCCAACCCCTATTCTCGTTGAACCGCCTGTTGACATGCATCGCATGATATTATGTTACAGTCGACTATCTCGTGTATAGTACAATACAGAAATGGCGTCCTGGTGTCATTCAACAGAACTCGTTTCTTTCTTGGTGTCTCGTACGCTCACATGATATATTGAGATTCTCATTCAGAAGTCAGTCGCATGCTTGAATTTCGGTCGTAGGCTGATCGCTTTACGATTCCTCCAGCGTACACAACGACTGTGTCTTTCTCCGATGCGATGATGACAGTCCCTGTGATGTAGGTTCCCCGCTACCAAAAGCGCATTTGCCACGACATCTGAGAGCATCAGGGTTTCCAAAGTCGCACACGGGAAGTGATGTCGGCCCGTAAATGCTTGAGACAGCAAGTTGTTACCAGTCTGCTGGCCCTATTGTGATGTGGAATGTCAGGTAGGGTTGAGCATACACGACGGGAGAATGCGAGCGATTGCAGAGAAGCCATCACTCACCTTATGAGAATAAGCGTCGCCCAAACGTCGGTAATGTGCAGCCTTGTCTTTAGCCTCCACTTGCTTGCCGTCCAATCCGTCACATAAAGGGGGAAAGAGACTGCCCGAGAGACGAGGTCAGCAGGGCGGCAAATCGTCTTCTGAGTTTGGTAGAACCCGCGATGAGATATGCAGCGAAATCATCAGCATTCGACTATGGTACCCCCTCGACTGCCCATGTCAATTACCTGCACCGTCGCCACCGCGTCCACCGACCGCGATCTCATCTAGCGGTTCGGCACATCCGGGACAAACAAAACCTCATAGCCGTATACCTGCTTGACAACAGAGCCCACGGACAGGATGAAACGGAGCGTATACAGCTGGTGCAAAGGGGGCCGGATGTCGTCGTTACATCTTTGTAGCTCGCATCGCGCATCGCCAACTTCCTTGTTCTCATGGTCATTCCGTCGGTCGATAGGGTTCGCCATCATCAGGCCGAGGGTGATATGACTGTTCTGTCGGGTCGGTGATGCAGACTGAATTAGCTTCCGATCAGATGGCAAGGAAGGGGGGAAGCAGAGGGGGAAGAGGCTCTTGGCCCTGAAGATGCGCTAAAAGTGGTCGGGACCTTCGCTTACGGCTTTGTCTCTCCTCGTCCCTCTGCCGTGATTTGCTCTCCCTTCGCCGAGGGGGAGATCGCTCCCTGTGCTCCTGCTCCTGCTGCTGCGCCCGATCACACAGAGAGCGGAAGGTCAAAGGGACCTCGACATCCCATATCCCATCCTGATATCCTGACCTTCATCATATCTCTCGTCTTCTCATCCTCACTCACGCACTCAATCGTCGACAACAATCGGAGCACCTCTTTCTCCTCTCCTCTCCTCTTCTTTCCTTCCCACCACGACCTGCCAACTCCCTATTCTCCCCCTCACGGCCAAAAAAGGGGACGCCAACTGCGCGGAATCTCGAAAGGATGGAGCTCGATTTCGACGACATCGACATTCCCATCTCGGACGCACGACTATCACACCTCTCCCCCGTCCCATCTTCAGCCGTACCCGTCAACGCTGCCAACAAGCTCTCTTCCTCAGATATCGGTTCGAAGCGGGGTCACAAGGCTGCCGGCCGTAAAGGAGCTGGGGCTGGGTCGAACGTGCTCGATAAGCAGCTCCAGGGAGCCGACCAGGACGATCACGACCTAGACGACGGCTTATTGATAGGAGATGACGATGTGATGGATGGGACAGGCTTGATGGATTGGCAGTCGATTGATACGGGAGGTGAGTGTATCAGACGAGGTCCTGAACAGCTTGACACAGCAAAGCTGATGACGTCTTTCCTCATCGGACTCCTTCTCTTTTGTTCACGTAACCCCTTCTCCTCGTGACCAAACCTCAAACCCTGGTCCTCGCGATCACAGACTTTGACTTTAGCTCGACGTTTCCCTCGACGACACCACAGATGCACGTCCGGACCGACCTCCCTCATCCGATCTCTCCCCGGTTGTTTCAAGATGGCGCGGACGAGGAAGACTTGGCGACCCCTTTGACCGCCAGGCCGATCGTGAACAGCTCGTCAAATGCCCCTGCTGAGGCTGGTTTTACCGGATTCTCCAACCATGGATTGCAGGACGATTTCGCTGCCAGCTATTCGTCCTCGGTATCCGGATTCGGCATGCTTCATAATCATCTCGGTCATAGTCAGGGTCTTGGAGGAGCTCCCGGACATACCTTTGGGATGAACATGCCTTTACATCCTTCACAGGCGAACACTGGTGGGATGCAGTTCGGTCTACCGCAGCAACAGCAACCGTTGCAACACCAGCAAGGATATCCTCAGCACCAGCATAACGGGCAAGGACACGTTCATTCGCAGTCGTTTGCCGGCCCTGGTCTGAGCATGTCGATGATCAATCCTCCAAAGTTGTTCGGACAGGAACACGGGCTACCTATGCACCCAGGACAAGGCTTCTTGAATCAACCTCTTCCTTTCCAACCTCAAGATCAACATTCGCAGCACCTGCAACAACCCGGTTCGCAGATCCAATCGAGCGTGCCTTCTTCGGCGCTCTGGCCCGGGTCGGCATCTCTCCCGAACCTGAACCATCTAGCCGGATCGGGCTTGTCGTTTTCGTTACCAGGATCTAGCTCTGGCAATATGACCGGAAAGAAGGCCGGAAAAGCTGGTGACAAACGACCGAAAAAACGGGCGAGGTGTAGTGAGGGGAGCGACGAAGAGGGACAACAGGTCGCCGCAGGGTCTACTTCTGGTTCACCAAAGGAGAAGGAGAAGAAGGTTGGCAAGGACAAGGAGTCCAAGCTGGAACAAGGAGGTGATCTCGACAACGAGGTCGATGAGGATTCTGATGCCGAGGGGACCGAGCTGGGGGAGATCAACGACGAGGTCGGGTTGAATGAGAGCGGAATGATGGGCATGTCGTCCTCGATGACCTCTTCGGCGGGTTTCGTCCCCGGAATGCTCGGTTTGAGGGATGGGAGCGTCCTAGACGTCGGCGCGGACGGAATGAGCCCGGGAAGCACTGGATCAGGGTTCGCCAAGGATGGCAGTGCTGCTGCCGGTGGTGGGGATGGGAACGACGACTCTGTCAGTGACCAAAAGGACGGAAAGTTTCGATTGAAGGGCGGGTTGACAGTCCCTCTGGGCAAGAAGAAAAAGGTTCCTCCTCCCGGCGGGTTCAAACCATGGAACACCTCGCCTTCATCTTCCCACTTGCCCTCCGGATCAGCTTGTATTAACCCGGTCACGGGCGAGGTAGAATTGCCTCCGATGGACAATCTCACCAAAGAGGAGATCCGCAAAGTCAAGAATCGAGCGTCGGCGCAGCGGAGCCGAACGAGGAAGGGCGAGTTGTTGGGCGGATTGATGGACGAGGTCAACAGGTTGAGGGAACGCTTGAGAGACGTGACGAACGGCGCAGAGGGTGGGGATGGTGACGACGCTTCGATGGGCGCCGAAGAGTTTCTACGCAAGACGCACGCTGCGAGAGCAGCTAGGGGCGGGAGCGTGATGAGCTCGACGGGTTCCGTCGGGAGGGACGAGGAAAAGGAAGGGATGAAGATGTTGATCGAACGTTTACGTGCCGAGGTGGAAAACGAGCGTAAAGCGCGAGAGGCCGCCGAGGCTCAAGGATGGATGTGGAAAAACAAGCACGATCAATTGATCAGCAGTATCGCCCTCGGAGCCGGGGAGACGATCAATCCAGGCCTCGTCTCAGACCCTCCCGCCTCGGTTAGGAACGCCAGGAGTGAAGAGGACATGGACAAGACGACCCTGGGGCTACCCGATCTGGACAAGATGGGCGGCGATGACGACGAGGATGAAGACAGGCAAGACGCAGACGAGGATCAACTGATGGAACTGTCGTCTGCCGGTCATCTCGATGCCGCCGCCGCTCCGGTCAAGGTCGGCCGAGCGCAACTTGAAACAGTTAGTGAGTCTGAGGACGGCGGGCGAGACTTGGTCCAGGCGAAAAAGAAGGAAAAGGCGGTCGTCAAGGGAAGTCAAAGGGATAGCAAGGGGGTCCTGATGATGGTGAGTGTCGATCGAGAACATGTGCCAGGACCGATTCTGACGTTGCTTGGCGTTTGTTCCAGGTCGTCCTCTTCTCTTTCGCCCTCTTCTCGCTACCGCCGCACATGCGGACGCCCGGATTTAACACGTCGACGGCTTTCCACATGAGCACAAACGGTAACGCTGAAGCCGCCGCCTTGTTTGAGAAGCTCCTGCCCTATAGTACCAAGGCCTCGTCATCTGGGGACATGGATGTCGAGGGCGAGGACGATACCGACGCGTTGTTGGCCATCGCCGATGCGGCTTCCAAGGGCGTCGTACCTACCTCTGCTCGTCGTCAACCCGTCAAGGGCCGCAAGAGCTTGTCGTTCACTTTGCTCAAACCCATCGACGAGGAAAAGGCGGCCGAGTTCGAGAAGGCCGATCGCAAGAGCCCTGGTGAACCCAACGACGGCTTGAACGCTGACGCCGACGCAACGCTTGGTGGCACGGTCGAGGATGTGCTCGAAAAGTGGCTCGGATTAAGCCTGTTTGACAACAAGAATGGCGACAGGTCGGCCAAGGACGCCAATCCTGAAGCTGATACGACTGATAAAGGCATACCTGGTGGCTGGATCGTTGTAAAGTCGAGCCTGACCGACGAGGACGGCAATGCGATCGACGCGGGTCAAAAGGACGACAAGAGGTTCGAACGCGCCAGCGAGCTGTCGAGCAGGTCCTCGACCGCTTCTCCGCTGACGACCGGCTTCAAGGCGCTGACCGCTTGGGATGGTACGCCGATCGATCCGATGCAGTTGGACGAGGACGTGATGTCGGTTTCGCATCACGGGCACGAGGATAATGACGACCATGGTGACGGGTTCCTTCGAGCTTCGGTCCACGGGGACGGGTTGACGATGCCGTTCGCTCCGGATAGACGAGCCAAGCCCGACGGCCCTAGCCCCACTCTCGCTCCCGAGTTCCAGGAAGACCCTCTGGATGATGAACAGCGTAATCAGCGTGCAGCTTCGGTTCCTACCCATGGAAGTGGAAGTGCTTCGGGGACCAGCGCTCGTCGACTGCCCCCTTCGACCAGCTCGACCGATCGACACCGTCGGCAGTCACTCTCCGTCCTCGGCAACGGTTTCCCCGGAATCACCCCGAGTCACCTTGCCCCGAACGCCGCATCCTCCTCCTCGTCAGCGACTCCATCTACCGCACCCTCGCCCTCGGTTTCAGGCAGCATTTCGTCCTCCCGCACGCTCCCCTCTTCGCCCAGCTCGGCTTATGCGCCGACCAGGGTCCGATCTATGCCCTCGAGCGCGCTCATGCGACTCGAAGAACGACCGGCTAACGAGAAATACATGAAGCTGGAGCTCGAGGTCGATTTCGAGGTAGAGCTTACGTGTCGCGGAGTGAGGACGAGAAGCGGGACCACTTCTACGCCCTCTTCTGCAGCAATGTCGATGTCGAGCTCTCTAGACGGAGAGACCATAGGGCGATCCGACGCTTCAACCTTGCGTGCTGGCCCTGACCGTGGAGTCAGCTTGGTTGACAAGGAAGAGGTCGGGAGGTTGCTGAGCTCTGGGCTGAACTTGGGGGACAAGGGAGGGTTCTTGAATCTGGGACTGTGAGCTGGGGTCGGGGCTTGCTTGACGATCGACTGTGATGAACAACGAGATTACGAATGGAGAAGGACTGGGGATCGACTCTCGATATGAAAATGGACATAGAAGAATCTCTATCGGAACGACTTGTGCGTCTAGGACGGATCTTGCACTCTGAACGGGGAAAAAAAGGATAGACGGACGTGTCCTCCTCGACGAAAGGACGATCGTATAGACGACATGCAGATGGCCAACTCGTGAACATTCCACTAGATGCAACGTAGAGGTGAAAACAGCAGACGACATATACGACACGGTGTGCGGGACATGAGACAAAGTAGGAAATCACGGACGAGTAGTGTGAAACCAAAAAAGCGTACGAAACCTGTATGCGTATCATCGGAACCGGCGGCGAATACCAAAAAGAGGGGGGGGAGTGAACCTATTTCGGGCGTTCTGCGAGACGTCTGGATCGGAATTGGTCATCCCTCTCGATGTTGTTGTACACTCGATAGAATAGTAATATAGTAACCTTTCTTGCAAACCATCATATCAAGTCTCGATTGATCTTGACACTGTCGTGATCCCGTTGGTCATCCGAGGTTTGAATGCTTTCGGGGCCGACGGCGGGGTGAACGGAAGCAATTGTTTACGTAATCTCACAAAAAGCCCCCGTTGAACGCAGGGGGTTCGTGCCGCCGGACGGACTAGCGTCTTTGGCTTTTGGTTTGACAGGGATGACGACGACGTGCGACGTGCGATGGTTGGGACGGGGGACATCACAGCAAAACCATATAGCATATACAAGTTCCAGGTGTATCATTCGGCATAGTTTGTCTCAAGAGGCTCGGTCACGCCTACTGGAAAGCCACAGACTCCGGCACCCGATGTCGCGCACAGTGCACAGCAATTGAGTCTAGCCCTTTTCGAACGGGTCGTCGTCATGCTCGTAAGTCGCTCGCCCGTATAGCTTGGTCCGTATGATGCGACTCATCGGTACATACCCTGACATGGTCTTCATTTCTACCAGGACCCTCTTTCCAGACGGGGCGTAGCCGAGACGGGGGAAGGGACGGACGATCTGACGACGTTACCCAGCTCGCTTTCAGAACGGAGGATATCGTCATCACTCGATCACCGGGTCGACCGTCGACCATCGACCATGATCGAACTACCTCCTCCCGCTGGTCGACCTTCCATCTCACTCCATCTTGACCATACCGATTCTACCGGGAGCAACAATAATAGTAACGATAAAAACAACCGCAACGACGAGACGGGGACGACCGACGTGGATTCTCCGACCTCCCCCTTGTCACCAACGACCATGCAGTATCCTCATCCGCCGAGCAATGAGGCCATCGAACAGATTATCGCCAATGCCATGGCGCTCGCCGGATCAGGACCTTCTTCCAATTCGGGTTCTTCCTCCACGCCAGCGCTTCCAGGTCAACATGCGCACCCACATCCTCAGCCGCATCAGCTCATACAACACCACGTCACTCAAGCGGGTGCTGCTGGCGGACCTCCAGCTTTTCCTAGGTCGGACGGGAGTTTCGGATCCAACAATGGCGCTCCAGGTCGACCGGAAGGACACGGCTTGTCGGACCTGGGGTCTCGGCCGGGAACCGGTCTGAGGACGGGCTCGGATGGGTATGTCGGTGGAACAGGGACAGGGTATAGCGGGCAGCTTCCTCCGCTTGGAGGTACCGGTGCGAGTGTGGGCGGTGGGACTGGTATGGGCGGCAGGTTAGGAGGTACCATAGGAACGTTTCGTAAGTTGATCTGGGCCGCGAATTCGAAATCGTATGCGCGATACGGTTGGCTGACAAGTGGGAGATCGTGTTATTCTACCAGAGGGAAGGTCGCATACGCCCATCATGTTTCATCCGGCTGCTGTTGGAGTGGACGGTCGGGTCAACTTGTTTGTCGGCAATGTGAGTTATCTCTTTCGCTGACTGAACAGTTCTGCTTTTTCGATGTTTAGACTTTTGCATCTTTTCCATTCTCTTCCCAGCTGCCCTACCGCGTCCGCTGGCAAGACGTCAAAGACCTCTTTCGTCGAGCAGGAACCGTTCTCCGGGCGGACGTCGCTCTAGATCCTCAGTCCAACCGATCCCGCGGTCACGGATCCGTCCTCATGGGTAGCCAAGAAGACGGGATCAAGGCGATCGAGATGTTCAACGGGTATGCTTGGCAGACGAGGGTCTTGGAGGTCCGACCGGATAGGTTGCCACCAGAGTATGAACCTCATCCTTATATTCCGCCGAGCAGCTATGGAAATGCCATGCCAGGGAGAGGAGGTGCGGGAGGTGTGCCGCTGAATATGAGTGGGATGGCAATGGGGATGGGCGGGATGAACGCGGGTCTCGGAGGCGCCGGTATCGGTCAGGGGATGGGGAACAACATGAACATGGGCATGGGTGGTCCTTACTCGCAAGGCATAGTCAACTGGAACAATGCCCAGATGAATTCGCCTATCCGGTCAGCCGCCCAACCTCGAACGGCGGGATCGCAGCTTCGGCACAATGGAATCGTCGACCAACAAGTCGGAGGCTATATGAGCGAGTCTCGTCTACCCATCTCGCCACCGCTTGCTGATCGACGCACTCCGAACCCGAACCAGGGAGGTCAGATCTCTCCCTTCGGCGGCGAGAGAGAAAGGAGGACGTCTTTCTTCAACTCTGGTGACGATGCGCTCAAAAGAACCGACTCGAGGGCGACGATCGGGCCTTCGGGTCTCAGTCCAAACGTTGCGCAGAGGATGCCTGTCGGTGCGCAGACAGCTCATCAAGGGTTCCAGGAAACAAGAGGGATCGGACCTCACGGGCATCTTCAACAACACGAGGATGACGAACAGCCCTCTAAAGGCGACTTTTACGAACATCGAAAGAGTTCGACTCAGGCGTCGACCATTGGAGAGTCGCAGTACGTGTTTGACAGCCGGCGGGGATCTCTAGTCGGAATCGGTCATGGATTGGCTACGAGGGAGAGGGGAAGTGAGGGTTCTTTGTTCGGCAATGGCTCGGGAAGCGATCCTGCTCAGAGGCCGACGTATAGTCGTCAGGATACCGTAGGAGGCAGGTTACTCTATGTCGCCAATGTGAGTGACAAGTGCAGAAAGGATAGACTAATGCAATATGGCAGCTGACATGGGCTGGTCCTGGGTGAATTTAGTTGCCTTTCAACGCGTCATGGCAGGAACTCAGTAGGTCCCGGGTTAGGCGTTCTCGAGTCGCAGGAACGATCGACTGACAGTCTGATGTGGCGCACAGAGGACCTCTTCCGTACTGCTGGAGGCAATGTCGTCAGGGCAGAGTAAGTTCCTGATACATCAAGTAGATCATAGTCTTTCGCTCAAATCGTGTCACTCTAGCATCGCGCTTGGGCCAGACGGCCGGTCAAAGGGCTTTGGCAACGTGCTCTTCCAGAATGAAGAAGACGCTGCCGTAGCCGTTCAAGCGTTCGACGGGTAGGTGACCGTTCTCATTGTGGTATCTACTTGACGTCCGGTCCGGCTCATTATGGTTATCCATACTGGCAGTTTCGAATTCAACGGTCGAGCCATCAAAGTACGACAAGATCGCAACAGTACTGGCCCGGGCATCTCAGCTCAGAGCGTCTCCAGTGGCGTTCAGTTGGCATACGGATCAGCTGGACCGGGCATCGATGGCCTTCCAGGCCACGCCGATCGACAACCCGCCCAGACCCTGAGGCAGGCCATCCATCTGAGGCAGGACCGTATGCTCGACAATCAGCTTGATCCGCTCTCTGCCTCGAGCAACGGATTAGGATCGTCTCCGAAGCCCGTCTCGCAAGAGGATCCGAAGAACCAGGTGACCGCTTCGATTCGCCGGGGACAGATCGGCACGAACGTCAACGCCAACAATGGATCGTCCAGTGGCAGGTTCCGGAATGGATCTCACCCCGGGCGGATCATCATGCCCAGCTTCAACGGGTTTGGTCAGCCTAATCCGATGTCGCCCGTTCAGCAGCGTGGCATCCCGATGACTCCCTCTGTGAGTCGCTCGATACAGATGCGAATTCGAGCGATTCTCGAATCTGACCTCGTTCACCTGTTTGCAGATGCCCGGCTACAACTTTCACGCGTATCCTGTAAGCCCTCTGTATCGAGGCCCGTGCGAGTCCCGCCCGACTAATCCATCTCCTTATTCTAGTCCACGCCTCCACTCCATCCCATATCGTTCCTGTCGCCAGGTCTTGGCCCGTTCTCGCCCACATTGAACAGTCCTACGACGTTTGGTTTCAACCCGTTCCATGCTGCGCCGGGTGCTCCGCTCATGACCCCAGGGGTTCCTCATCCGATGAACAATATGGGCAACGGTTACGGCCCTCCAGGAGCTCATAATATCGCCCATACGCCTGGTCACGGTCACTTTGGCCAGCAGACTTTCCCTTCGACTCCTGGCGCGCCTATTGGTGGACGAGGCCAGGAACCAGATTACTTTCCCTCCGTGCCTTCTCGAACCGAGAGGAGGGGCTCCGACCAAGGGTTTCCTCTGCGAACCTCGTTCGGCGCGCTAAGTATGGAAGACGATCCAGCTGGACTCGGTCTGGCTCCGATTTCCGCTTCAGACATGCAGCGTCTGCAGAATGTCACCGGATCATCGCCCTCGGGCCCTTCAACCGGAGCAATTCGGGAACAGATCGAGTCGCTCGTCCTCTCAACCGACCCGGTCCCGCCCTCAAACTCCGGCAAGCTAGACACTGCTATTGTTGACGGACCAGCGGGTATGATCGGAGCGACCTCTCGCGCGAGCTTCGACTTTGGGCTGGCGAGCCGACAAGCATTGAACGCGATGCTCGATAGGAAGGGGTTGGGCATCGAGCAGAACGACCGGGAAAAGGAACGTCGGGCAAGTATGGACGACGGCAAGAGGCCATAGACGTATAAAATCCGGGGTTCCGAACGACAACAGATTTCTGCTTGCCACTTTTTCCTTCTCTAATGGTATCAAAGATAGAAGACTTTGTTGGAAGACTTTGTTAGGTGGAATGTAGCGGGGTAGTATCAGCATGGATTTGGGTCTTCAGGGTAGCAAGCGGTCTTGTAGCATTTTCAGGACATCTGGGATTGGGAATAGATTTACATATGACAATCGGAGAATATCGAACGTATAGACTTACGATCGCTCAGATGTGATCAAAAGATCCTTCTTGGACTCCTATGTCAAGAACCGTCCGTTCAAGAAAATGTCGGCGTCTACTGCACAAATCCTCAGTTGCGTCCGCCTTCGACGCACAGATGCGATCTGAAAGACCCCTTGTCTGTTGAACAATAAGATAGGCACAGCCATACCCCTCTTCAGTATCTTTGAATCAGGAGAACGAACCACATGTTCCCTATGCTGGGAATCAGTATCTATTTTGGCAATGGTTGGAGCGATAGGTTTGACATAGGTATCCTTTTTGCTTCAGAAGTTTCAAGTAGCAGTGGGCATCACTTGCTTCAGCCTACCTGTCTTGCGATTGGCTTTTGTAAGCGCGGTATCGTCAAGGTCGTCCTTCAGGAATATGGCGAAAGGAATAGAGGCTTGTTGGTATTGGAAGAGACAAAGGTGGTGTTCTCGCTGATGAGCTGCCAGCTCTTCTCTTGACTTTGGTATGATCCTGTAATGGGCAACCCCCCATCATGTCGGCCCAGTTAAGATCGACTTGGCGAGTGTTGACGGCAGCCTGCCGCAACCGCTTTCGTCCGATTGCTAAACCTTCGCACAAGGTAAGCTCGATGATGCTCGTTCGAGCAACTCGCTATGTACTTGCAGGCAGTCCGCCTTGCACAAGCCTTTACGACATACGATTCCGCGGAGACGCAGAGTTTCGCACTGGTCCTGACAACCGACTAGCTGATATCCTGCCTTCGACCAGTATGAAACTTTTGCAATCGCACGAAAATAAAGAGCGTTGGGCATAGTTAGTACGATTCGTTTGAGAACAAAATGACACATAATGGGTTTCTCTCCATCGTATTTCAGTATGAGGGGCACCGTAAGATGGTATAAGCGAGCTACATTCCGGTTGCAATTACGACGTGCGATCACTCGCCCTTGTCGAAAGCAGCGTCGTACTTTCCAGGCAGAATCTGGGTGATCTGCAGGGAAGCGCGATCATATGCAGGACCTTAGCGAGAAGCATGAACAGGTGTGTATTCATTCACGTAGAAGGAAGTATCGAGTGTCAAGTTCGTTGGCCTCAAGAGGTGCAAATTGATCGCTCATTGAGCAGCAGAACTCGCCGCAATACAATCCCGGCAGTTCTCCTCCTTCGCCATGTATTTCAGCTCGGGAGGCTGTGCAGACAGCGCTTACATCATAGGCTTCCGTACTCTCTCCCCTTCAGGAGCTTTGACGTGATCCACGCTGTTCCGAGGGTCACCAAAAGCTCTTGCACTCGTCATACCTGAAAGCCGTTGATCATACTGAAATATGTACGCAAAATGCCAAGGACCCCAGCCACTCACCAATGCCCTCTGAGAATCACCGGCGCCAATATCCCAGCCATTCGCAAGCACGCAGATATTGACTGTGGACTCTGGCCGAAAGGTGTAAGACAACATCTATTCACGCAAAGCAACATTGCGCTTTGTAATCAGGCTCACCTTTATTCAATCTCAAAACCTTGATCGCACGGACGCCGCAATCCACCGATCGGACTTCTGCTGACATTCTGATGTCTTATGTCTCGATACGTTGACGAATGTTATAGAAGGAAGAGAGAACGTTCATATCGACATGGCTTCGAGCGCCAATACTCGGTGTGACCAACGATGACGGAGGATCGAGCGAGATCTTTTGTGGTTGAGCTTCAACATGAAACGGACTCGAGAATACCTCCGAGATTTGTTTGACGCGCCCTCCTCGACGCGAAATCCGTCTTTCCGCGAATTTCCCGATGTCTCTAGCGATTCTGAGGAGGACGTTCAGTAGGTTGCATTGTTGGCTAACGACCATACATCAGCGACAGATCAACGAATTGCCGCTCAAGAGACACAGCATGAGGTATCGGAGACCATAGCATATCCCATGACTTGGGAAGAGGTCGTACTCAGCGCTGAAATAGCGGTGCTGCATAGCCTCGAACGATCGACCGGAACCAAATTGATAATCTGCTTCCGAAAAGGCTGGAACGTCATGGCCGAGGGGAACAATAAAGTCGAGGTCTGATGGAATGCAATGACGAGCACATGACAAGATTTCAGCGACAAATGTCAGCGTCTTGTACCAAACTCGAGATATGCAGACCTAAAGCGGCTCATCTAGAGGTCTGGAGGGAAATTCGTCTCGTCACGGCGAAATCCATCGCTTGTGGTTGCCATTCGATCAACCAACTCCCATCAAAGGAAGGCCGCCAAGATGAATCCCCACGGCCCTCAGCAACGTTTCTCGATCCAGCCGCCCTACCCGGAGCCTCTACCTCAACCGCAAGCGGGACCATACCCTCCTTTTCCACCCATACAACATTCGCAATCGATCGCACCTTATGCTTCCACCTCGGCGGACCAGGTCTACTCGCTAGCACAGGGAGTCGGGACGATCAGCATGGACGGGCCAGACATGGGCTACGTCATGGTCGACGAGAAACGCTCTTCGGGATACGACCATATCAAACCTCGTTCCCCTCCTACCGCAGAAACGATGTTCGTACCAGCAGCTGATCCGGAGCTGAACCCGGGGATCGCCATGACCTTGCCGACTGCGGCGTCGTTGACGGCTGCCATGAGTCAGATCGATTACTTCACGGATGGAGACAAGTTACACTGGGCTCAGGATGTTGTCAGGCTGCTAGACAAGCTCTGGAGGCTGGCGAGGTCCAATAAAGCAGTTTCTGTCGGTCAGCCCACCCCGCCTCAGATCGTAGCGATCTACCCTCTCGTCTCCTCTGCCGTCGCCATCATCATCAGCATGTTGGACTGCCCCATTCCGAGCCTAGCCGCTGCGGCGTATTACATACGGGGACACCTGCTCAGCACGGGAAACGTTCCTGACGAACTCGAACTCGGCATGAGCAAAGACGCTAGGCAGGCCTTCAAGGATTTCGAGCGGGCTGCGAGAGGGGGAGAGGTCAGGGGTTGGTTCAGGTTGGGAAGGGATTACGAGGTGTGTGGAGAGATGGAAAGGGCGAAGACTTGTTACGAGAAGGGAGTGGCCAAGGGGGATGGCGAGTGTCTCTACGTGAGTGTCGTGACAGGTACTATTGCGTACTTTCGACTGACACGACATCTGATTGTTGCCGTTTGCAGCGTCTAGGTCTGGCTTATCTCGGTGGTCAGCTCAACATGGCATTACAGCCATCGGTCGGATTAGACTACCTCCGTCGGTCAGCAGATTTAGCTACCGTCGACTGCCCGCAAGCACCTTTCTTCCTTGGTATGCTCCTCGCTGGAGAGAATCACGACGTCCCATTCCCTACCGGTTTCCTACTCCCAGCCTCGTCACCTGCCTCCCCTCAACTCGAAGCCCAGCACCGGGAAGCCAAGTCGTATATCCTCAAATCCGCTTACCTATGCTTTGGCCCCGCCCTCCATAAAGCCGGCTACATGCACGAACATGCACAGCTCACTTGCTCATATGACCCCTTGTTGAGCGTACAGTATTGTGCGCTGGCGAGCCAAGAAGGAGAGATCGAGGCAGACATGGCCCTGAGCAAGTGGTTCTTGGTCGGCGCGGAGGGATGTTTCGAAAAGGAGGAAAAGTTGTCGAGGACGTTTGCGGACAAGGCGGCTCAGGCGAGGTTGCCTACGGGATTGTTTGCTTTGGGGTACTACAACGAGTATGTGCGCGAGGCGCTTCTTTAAAACTCTTGAATGGTCGACTGATCGGGTAACGCGTCATACAGAGTCGGAATCGGTGGCCCTGTTGATATCGAACAAGCGAAGAAGTGGTATCACAAGGCGAGTCTTGCTTGTAACGGGATTCGCAATAACGTCTTGATTGATCAAATCCGATATGCTATACAGGCTGCCAAAAGAGGCAATCAGGAAGCCTCCGAACGGCTCCGCGCCCTCGAGAAGCCTATCCCGACTGCCCTATCCGGTGACGATCACATGTTCGCTCTGAACAGGACTCTTGTCCGTAAACACACTACGGCGAAAGAACGATCGGATCGGTCCAGACTGGCGGCGGGAACGCGACAAGAATCGGAGCAGGAAGCTCTAAAGCGCCGAATGCAGGACGAAGCGAGTAGGGCGTCGGGTATACAGCCACTTGGAACCGGTCGAACGGACGGCATGTCTACGGCAGCGCGAACCGGTTACACGCCCGCTCTGCCTCAACAGGGACCTTCGCGTCTGCCTATGCCGGTCCCCCAAAGCAACGGAGACTGGAGAGCAGGCAGCCCGGCTCGACAAGGAGTCTATCCTGCTCACTCTCAGACTGCTCTTGGTCCATCGGCTTCTGCTTGGGTACCCTTCGAAGCTCCGCAGCAAGGTGGGAATCATGGTCGGACCGTTTCGAGCTCTTCGATGCCCGCTTTTCAGGCTCAACAACCGCCTGCACACCATTCTCATTCTCAACCACCTCATCCTCGAGCTCCGTCTACGCATGCGAGCTCAGCAAGCGGTCAAGATCTTGCGGGAGGCTTGAACAGCTCAGACAGCTGGGAGTTGTTGTCTCCTCAACCTGGTCGTAAGCCATCCGGGACCTTTGAGAGCATGCCGCAACCGCCACGATCTTCCAGCCAGAGCACAAGCATGACGGACGATTCTCGAGTACAACATCGACAGTCTTATGCATTACACGATCCTGGTGCGGCTCCAGTCCCGGAACGCAGTGCTACGCTGCAGTCAGGCAATCCTACCGATCAAACAACCAAGGCGAAGCGGGACAACGAGCTGAGGCCGCCAGGTCGGGTCCAGGGCGGAGCATACAAGGGCGCGGATACGTTTGAACAGATGGGATTCGTCTCTAAACCCGTCTCCAGCGACAATGATTGTCGGATCATGTGATGGGCTCGTTGAAATTGGTGGTCGTGGCATGGTCATCTAGCTGTATCCGAACCTGGGCAAGCACTTTGTAGCTCTTATCAAATACGTATACCCGAGACTGATTTTCACGTGATCGGGTTGTTTACTTTGTGAGCAAACTCCGTTCAGATCGGGAATCAGGGAGATTCTGACATCGATCGCTATCTTCGTCCGTTCAATGGGGCTCAGGTGGCATCAAGATCTACTTCAGTCCTCAAGACCTGTCATAAGCCAGCGTACTTTCGGCTTCTCACAGCGCGATTCCTCAGCCTCTTGATCTTCCATCAACATTCGGTTCTTACCATTCGCGGATCCGACTTGCTCAAACATGACCGACGCCGGACCTGACTATCGCCCGTTCCTCGCGGCTCTGCCGAAATGCGAGCACCATCTCCATATCGAAGGATCTCTATCCCCTAGCCTCTTGTTCTCGCTGTCAGCACGTAACGCCATCGCTCTACCCTCAGCGATCTCGGATATCGCCTATGCCAATGTTGCTGCTCTCGAAGCTCGTTACAAAGCGTTCACTTCGTTAGACGATTTCCTGGCATATTATGATCGCGCCAGTCGGGTCCTGATCAAGCGAGAGGACTTTGCCGATCTGTCATATGCCTACATGCAAAAGGCCAGCGAGGACGGGATCGCGCATACCGAGATTAGTTTCGATCTACAGACGCATACCCAGCGCGGGATTGCTGTAGAGACGGTCGTCAAGGGCTTAAACGATGGGTTGAAGAAGGGAGAAAAGGAATTTGGAATCACCTTCAGGGTTATCATGTGCATCCTTCGTCACGAGTCGGTGCAGTCATGTGTGGACCACGTCGACCTAGCCCTGCCATACTACCAATCGGGAGTTATACACGGGCTAGGAATGTGCAGCACGGAAAAGGATCAGCATCCCAAAAAGTTTCTCCCAGTCTATCAACGAGCCAAGGAAGTGGGAATCGAGTTCCTCACTGCTCATGCTGGCGAAGAGGGTCCCGCCGAGTACGTGCGGTCCGCTCTTGAGGATTTGGGAGTTACCAGGATCGATCATGGAGTGCGGAGCGTAGAGGACGAGCACGTCTTGGCGATGCTCAGGGAGCGGAAGACGATGCTCACAGTCTGTCCTCTGAGCAATGTCGCCCTCCGAGTGGTCAAGCACCTAAGCGAAGTTCCCTTGCGAAAGCTACTTGACGCTGGAATCAGGGCAAGTCGTCGAGGGTCACGGAATGACAAACAACTCGTCTAACGTCATCTGACCCCCATACACAGTTCTCCTTAAATTCGGACGACCCGGCGTATTTCGGAGGTTATCTGCTGGAGAATTACTACCAAGTACACGACAACTTCAACTTCAACCGGACCACCTGGGCTCTGATCTGCCGGAACGGTATCGAGGGAAGCTGGATCTCAGAGGCTAGGAAGCAGGAACTGATATCGCAATTGGGTCGGGTGACGGAGGAGTTTGCCACTTTGCCTTGATGGGTTATGCTTTTGCAAAACGCGAAGCTTTGGGGATTTTGAATTATTGTTACAACATGAAATCTAGTACAGGCCTGAATGGGATCCGACACGCGTATATAATACAATGGCTTCTATCTAACCTTGAAGCACCGCATCTACTTGTATCCCGCGCCTTGCATGGGGACCGCGCCGAGGAGACCGGTGGGTGTCACTAGCTTGGGAACGCGAGCTGGACTAGCCATAGATCCTCCTGGAATACCCCAACTTCGCGATGAGTTGGGGTGCGGCAAGGCGCTACCGACTCGAACCGCCGATGACGGATGAGACCTGGCTTCAGGACTGAGATTCTCAGTTTGGATGGGTCGAGGTTGAGATGCAGCGGGAACGGCGACAGTGCTTTCGTGCTTGTCCATGAAGACAGGCATCGCTGACTGCCGTCTCCAGGGCGAAGCCATGCTTCGGCCGGTCGTGTTGCCGTTGCTTTCCGCGATGGAGGTCATCGTGACAGACGTCATCAGCGAGGAACTGCTAGGGTTCCTATTCATCTGAGGTCTTTTCGCCATCGGTACATCGCTCTTGTGAGCCCATCTAGGCAGGTTGGGGGGTAAGGCGCACAATGTCGGTCTGGAAGGGATGTTGTGGCCGTTCTTGGCCGCGACAGATTCGACTGACGACAGGGGCATGTTGTCGTGTTCGTCCGTGTCGGAGCCCTCGGCATCGATCTTGACACTGATCGACGTTGCAACCGCCTGTGTAGGCTTCATGGTTTCCATCCGATCGATCGTCGGCCTTTCAGTCGTCGGCTCTTTGACTATAGGCGTCGTGGACATGACCGGCCGCCCAACAATCGCCTCGGTAGCCATGTTCGACAGACTCGCAGGGGTGTTGGTCGGCACAAACTCTTTGGCTTCAGGGCTCAAAGCGTCCTTCATACCGATCGGTTCCTTCTTCGCACCCGGACCCATTCCGTAGAGGTTGAGCGAGGCGAACGTGATGTTGATGGGTGGCTCATCATCCTCTTCAGGTGTCATAACCTGCATCTCTGAAGCAGGCCTGATCAAGGACTCCAAGCTCCCAAACGTTCCCGTCGGGGTGACTGCCGACATCCCTCCCATGTGACGGGAACCCCAGCCTCTGCGCATGGTACTCTGTCGCCCGGTCGAGTCGCCTTTGATCGATTGACCCATGGACGCGGGGGAAGGGGAAGGTCCGGCGGTGAGAATGTCGTGATACTTGCGCAAGCGTTCGGGATCGGGAACGGAAGAGACCGCTAGAGGAGAGCCGGCCAGACCCAGTAGCTTGTCTCGAGGGTAAGCCGAAGGAGCCGCGGCTGAGAGCCAATCTCACATCAGTATCGCCACCAAGCAGACGTGAAACGCGCGTGGTGGCTCAGCTCACTTTTTGTGCCACGCGCCAATTTGACGTTGGTGTTGATGCTGGGGACCGCAGCTCGGACCCCCATTCCCTTGGTGTCGAAGGTGGAGATGTTGGGAGACATTCTTGGTGATGAGCGGAAGTGCGGAAGGAGCGATGTGAGAACAGGTATGAGCGGATGTTAGGAATCGAAGACTAGGCCCAGCTAGGTCAAGAGGAACGTGGTTGTGGCTGCGAAGGCTTGCTGAAGTCAAGTTTGATCACCTTCATGTCGTCGATCATATTTCGAACTTGCTCTCTTATACCACCAAACCTGACCGAAACCTGATCAACACGTCCGAAAGAAGCAAGAAAGGGATCTTGCGACCCTTGAGGAGATCAAAGGAGGCACGGTTGAATACCCCTGACTGTCAGGGGCGAGCTGACCGACCCACTTCAGGGACCTCAGGGGTAGCGTGTCAGATTCTAGGAGACGCCCCGAATCCGTATCCGTAGCGGTGCTGCAGAGTCTGAATGTAAAATGTTGGCATGTATACCAGAGTTCGCTATCCCCTTACGTTTGGCGTCGCAGGTTTCCCTTTGAGCTGACGGACGTCGGGTAGATTTCTCTACAACTTTTCGCTCAGGCCGGCAGCGGACGATCCTGCGTCCCTCCTGCTGTACTTGTGTACGCTCTCCAAGAAACACCTGAAATCGTCTACCTGGACCTGAGGAGTGACTCCGTGCCCCAAGTTGGCGATCCATCCGCCACCTCCGGCCAAGAACCTCTCGCTCATCTTCTTAACCTCTTGCTGGATGGCCTCTTGTCCTCCGTAGAGCAACATCGGGTCGGCGTTTCCTTGAAGAGCGACCTTGCTCCCGACGAGCTTCCTAGCCTCAAGAGGGTCGATACACCAGTCCAACCCGAGGGTATCGTATCCGCTCTCCTCGGCCAATACAGTGAGCGAGGTGTTGGCTCCCTTGGCAAAGAGAGTCATGGGGACGGGATCATGCCCGAGCTCTTTGAGTTTCGAGCGGACTTCCCTGGCGATGTATTGACAAGGAGGGAGGGCGAACTTTTGGTAGACCGAGGGAGGGAGTTCGTTGGCCCAAGAGTCGAACACTTGTAGCATCTATCGAGGTGATTGGATTTTCGGTCGTCTTGAACAACAAGTATATTATCGTTGTGAGATTGGTTGACTCACCTGAGCTCCGGCCAGGACTTGTCCGACCAAGAGGTCGACGCAGACTGCTGCTATCCGAGACAGAAGCTCCTCGCTCGCCTCGGGCCACCTGTAGAGCCACTCCTTGGCCTTTTGATAAGTCTTGCTTCCACCTCCCTCCACCATGTACGCCATCAAAGTCCAAGGCGCTCCACAGAACCCGATCAATGGGACCTCTCCTTGCAACGTCCTCCTGGTCAGGTTGACTGCCTCGAAGACGTATCCGAGCTCCTTGTTGACATCGACGTGCTTGGGGAGCCGGGCGAGGTCTTCGGGTGTCCTGATCGGGTTGGGAAGCGAAGGAGCGGGATTCATCTCGACGGTCAGACCCATGGCTTCGGGAACGACGAGGATGTCGCAGAAGATGATGGCAGCGTCGAGGAGGCCCTTGAACCGACGGATGGGTTGCATCGTCAACTCGCAGGCGATCTCCGGGGTCTTGCAGCATTCGAAAAAGGTGTGGTCTTTCCTTACGGCCAAGAATTCTGAAAATGTTACGAGTTGTTCAGCTTGCGATTGGGCGGCGACTTTTATCTGCAAGACCGCCTTACCAGGAAGGTAACGACCAGCTTGCCTCATGACCCAGACAGGAGCCCGCTCGGTTTCCTCACCTGGATGTGACCGTAACGATGAGGAACGAGTTAATGAAACATGGTTTTCAGGAGAACCGGAGTGACCAAGACTGACCTCGAGCGGCTCTCAAGATCAAATCGTTCTTCATCGGGGCGAAATCGGTAGGCAGTTCGATTGTGGAAGACATGGTGACGGTGTAGCGATTCTTTTTGGCGTTGTTCCGGACGATGTGAGCAACGAGGTAGGAAGACGAGGAGAGTAATACCGCTGTGACGAACGAGGCTACAACCAATGGCATGCCCTGTTTGTGAGGAAAGTCGAGAGATATAATGATCATTGCGATTTAGGTCGATCAACGAAGAGACCGGTTTCGTCATTTCTCTCCCTCCCCTAGCCTGCGAGCGTCGATCTGAACTTTCGCGCTTTCAAGATTTCTCAACGTCGACCTCGATCCATATATCATCCTCGACATCTTCTTGGCAACTACCACTTCAACCCACCTGTCTATCTCACAACGTACTCCCTCTAGCATAGCTTTTTAATCGTCTAAGAAGAGCATTCCATACGCCCATCATGTCGTCATTCTTCTCATCCGGAAACGCTCAGACCGCCTCGGACATGCAGACCAAGAAGGAGGAGGTCAAGCAGAGGATCACCCAAGAATTGGCCGTCGCCAACGCTCAGACCTTGATCAACGTGAGGAACGGGCCGTATCTTTTCTTGTCGATGGCAGCGAGCTGAGATGTGGTGGTGTTTTCGCTTGCGGGTCGGACAGAAAATCAATGAGAACGTGAGCCCGCCACAGTCAGGAGGAATCAGCTGCCCTATGGCCCGCTAATCCTAGTCCTGCTTCGTTGATCCTCACAAAGTGCTTTGCTAAGTGCGTGACCAAGCCTTCGACGTCTCTCGGATCTTCGGAAGAGGCAAGTCTTACCCCCGGAATCGCTCGTGAACCCTGGAGTTTGCAAGACCGCAAGGCTGACCTCGAAGTGTCTCTTCGGATGATGTAGACCTGCCTCTCCCGATGTCTCAGCCTGTACATGGCCGCCTTCGACCAAGTCTCTCGATCTTACGTCTCCAGGATCTCTAAAGAGCGAAGCTCGATGACGGTACAACAAGGAGGGCTGGACCCGTTGAACTTGTAGTAACCGTTTAAGGAGGGCAATCGGGACTGTCGACCACATATGCTACACATCACTCTTCGTCCTGAAGGTCGCATCGCGCTCATCGTTACAAAGAGGGCCAGATTGCATGGCGGGAAGTTGGCACAGCGAATATGAACAAGGGTACCAAGGGTGTACAGGCTTTTTATATGACAAGGCCGTGATTTACATCTAGAGTGGGCAACAACATGATACAACGGCATCCAAAGCACCGTTCGAGCTTCTGCATAACAATCGAGCTCGTCTCGTAGCTCGTATGCGTCCCGCATACCTCCCAGTAATCTCAGTACTGGTAAGGGTCTTCCGCCGAAGCACCTTGCGTTGCACCCATCGACATCCCTCCGTACCCAAAGTCCCCGTCCATCCCTCCATACCCGCTCGGCTGACCCATGCTGCCCAGATTCCCTCCCTGGCTCATGTCCATGCCCATGTTCAACCCCACCCCAGCTCCGATCTCTAATGCCTTGCTCTGTTCCTCGAAGTCCTTCTTCAGACGTTGAGTGAGGAGCATCAAGGTGGTACATGCGTTGAGGAGGGCTTTGCGAGGGGAGACGTAGGGTCGGTCTTTGGGATTCGGGTCGGTAGCTATGCGGAGCTCGACCTTGTTATCGAGAGGATGAGGGATTCGGTAACCGGCAAAGGTGACGTTGGGGTCGAGGAGAAGTTGTCTAGATTGTCGGACAGGTGAACAGGAAACGAATGGGAGGTGACCGATAGAGCATGGCAACCCAGGAGAACGTTGTTCGAAAGACATCGTGAGTTGAACCTCGCGGGAATACGATTACAGCTCCTGCCAGCCCGGTCGAAGGGGGACACTCACGATCTAATCAGGTTCCCAATCGTGTGATCCTGAGCGAACAGTATGACCTTGATCGACTTCCCCAATTGATTGTCCACATCCGTAATCTCCATTCTTTATCGGCCCATAAATATACCTTGAGCGACTGAATTCCAGCTCCTTCCAAGGCTTGTGAAACTCACGGCAACTGCCCCGTCTCATCAGGATCCACCAACCATGCTGCTACTCGATCTGGGTGATTCATCTTCCTTCGCTTGGCTTCTTCGAGCTATGTATCAACGGGCCAGAGTAGCTGATCGGCAGGATCCGTTGATGGTTTTCCGTTCGACCGGAAAGAGAGCCACGGTAGCTGCCTCGATCTTTTTTGAGCCGGATTTTAGTTGAGGAAACGAATGTCCTGCTCGCTAGTTTCAAGTAATTGCAGGCTATACATTTAATTCTGTGTTCGTTGGTACTGGATGACCGAGATATAAGTTCCTATAGCAGCTTGACCTGCTGCTCAGGATCAACTCCGGTGCCGGCATCCTTGAAGGCGACGCGCATTTGGCGAAAGGTTCCAGGCGTTTCAGGTCGGGCCGTTGTAGCGCTATGTACGGTCTTGACTTATTTCCCAAAAACGCTGCGCGTTCATATCTGGAAGGGGATCCGGGGGCAGGTATATTTGCATCGCTCATCCATTTCACCTCGTTTTTAGAACTTCCCCGTACACACAATAGCTGCCCGCACTGGAATGACGACTTGCCTAGTATATGGGACCATTCGGTCATCAATGATATGTCGGTATGCGTTTACGAGTCCCCATCTGCGACTGGGAACTGGCGACCTCGAGGCCCATTGGTACCCGACAGGGCCCTATAAATTCCTCATGGACTAGCTTGAATCTATAGAGAATTATCGTCTTCCGCACGGGCAAAGGACCATTCTGAACTCGATCCAACACAATGACATGTTCCGTTGTTATCACATTCACAAGTTTAATGCGAAGTACTTTATGTTCAATCAGACCCCTGTCTATCCATGAAGAGAGGCATCATCTTGTATAGCGGACGTCCGCTTTGTCGACAAAGATAATGCACCAAATAATAGAGGTGAACGTGTCGTTTGCGGTCTGTAGGTGTATTGTATTCAGTCACATACCTCGTGCACATGATTATCTTCATATAACTACTTCCTCGGGCCCTCTTCTTAGCACATCGTCTTGAAACAACCAACGCTCAGGGGTTGTCCTCTGGAACTGCGTTGGACATTGAAGACTATACTAATTCACCTGCAGACGTTATCATCGCCCCAAAAACACAGCCGACCATGATCGCTTACGATATAGTGACAGTGCCAGATGCCCCGATGTCTACGCATGCTACCTCGCTTGAATTTCTTTGTCCGGTGATAACGCTTACGCATAAACGTGCAAAGCAAGCGGAACGATGGGCAGAAGACGCTTTGATGAAATGGAGCGGAACAGGGGTATAGACGTCTCATCATGTACATATACAACCACAAGCAATGATTGGCATACAACCACAAGCAATGATTGGCACTCGTCTTGACATATATCTGCGGCCAAATCGGGGCATCTCGCCTCTTCAATAATATCTATATGCCACCAGAACCCGAAATCAGCGAAGTATTTCGCTTTGAAGCAGATACAATCCACTTACTCGATCTCCAGCTGAATGCCGATATATCACTTCAACATCAGCAAAACGAGCGCTGATGTGGCCCCTAGCGATGGCAGCTCACATATTGTAAGGCGACGTCTCTCGGACTAAGCACATTCAATCCCTTCGCATTCCACAACTCGGTATTCGCCTGCTCGATGATCTTTTCGATATTCCTCATCTCCCTCTCGAAGCGTGGCGTATACCAGATCAAGCTCGTATGCCAGGTCAGCACTGCGAGTAAGTTCTCCCATACGGTCGATCCAGTACTGTTGGCCAGTTGAAGGTGATGGTTGATGGTGTTGATCAGAGCTTGGAACTGAGCGGGGGTCACCTACAAGTCGCGGTTGTGGTTTCGTTACGGTCGAGGGACAAGATCAACTCGAAGTCCGATATGGGCGAAAAGGTCGCATCGAGCCTTACCCTGCCTTCGAGCTCCATGACCCAGCTCGTATAAAACTGACAGACCTGTCCACCGGCCGGTGTACTCCAGTCCCGCTCGATCCTGACAATCTCTTTGGGATGGTGCACGCCTAGCGTACCCGTCGGGTCCGAGCCGTAGTGCATCATTGAGGACGGGTTGGCGCTCAAAGGGTAAGCAGAGTGAGGGGGACTGCGAGTCGAGTCAAGGGGGAAGAAGTCGATCGCAGACGAGCGGACAGAATGTTTGACAGGTATTGAATGTAACATGGATGACACGAAGCATATACAAGCAAGGCCATGGAACTTCACTCAGCCTGCCGGTCTTGACTCACTGATGGCACAGCTCGGAGGACGGGAGAAAGGTGTGCCTACCTAAACACCTTGTCCCGCCCTCCTTCCGCAAACGCTGATCCGACCGCAGCCCGGTTCTTCTTCTCCACCATGGTCCTGTCCGTATCTCGTGATTGCTCGTCAGGCGTCGAACCGCTCGATGAAGGTCGATGCGGGTTGAACGTCTCCATTCCGTCCAAAACTTCTGGATTCCCTTCCGGATCGTGTGTTTGTCGTTGCATGTTCGTAAAGTCGTTCCTAGTCTGAAGCATTAACATCAAATACGATGATCAGCCAAGCCATTCTCGTGAACAATGTGGAGCCACAAAGAAGGTCGAGGATAGTGTCTATCAGCTAAAGGTTGTCGAATCAAGACCCTTACTCCTCCTTTATGGGGATGGATGTAAGGCCCACTTCTGAGACAATAAATATAGAACATCATAGATCGTAGATCGAGCAAGGAGAAGGGGCAAGGGAAAAGGAGGAAATGGACCCAAAAGAGAAGCGCCGCTCGACTTACGGTTCAGATGAGATATCTAGTGATGGGTTTAGTCGGCTGTCGTCCGGGTCATATCGTCCGCCAATCGATGTGGAAAGCGGACACTCCGAACCCAAACTTTGGACACGACGATTCGAATGCCAAACCTCGTACAATGTGGTTGCGTGGTTGAAAGGCTGTATGGATGATCTGTTACGAGCATTCTGAGATAGAGAGTCGATCAACAAAAGAAGCCGGTCGGTAGATGCGAATACTAGAATTAGGTTACGGCAGGGGGAGGATCCCACATGCTGCCCTGTTGCGATCCGCGGATGACATAAACTGGCTGATTGTGATTGCGCGCACGTGGATCCGCCAACTAGAAGCGCTTGCTGCCTATATTCCTCTCCTCCTCGTTTCTGCTCTCGCGCTTCGGGCACGAACATTGCAAATTCTCCTCACCCCCCACCCCGCTGGACCTCGCGAGCTCTCGACCTCTCCTCTCGACGGACGGTCCCGCATCCCGAAGTCGACCTCTCAATTGAAACCTCCAAGAGTTCGACATCCCACTCGCCCTACTCTCCTTTCTCACCGGACCGACAACAAGGAATAGTCAACGTATGTACCACACTCATCTATCAAGTCCAGGTTCGACTCGGCGGAAAGGAGAAGGAACAGGTCAGAGGGATGCGATGGTGGAAGGATCGGTGCGAAAGCTTGTGACAAGTCCTTCGCACCGAACGGGACTGCATGGGGGAAAGGGTCATCATCATCGCTGCTGCTGCTGCTGTGTCTGCTGCTGTTATCTGGATCTATCTTCAAGAACCGCGTATGCCGTAGAAACAAGGATGGCAGGGCAAAACGAGATATCAGAGGACCGACAAGTCGAGCGTAGACCAGGGGTCGTAACGGATCAATAGGTGGTCTGCATCGACAAGCCAGAAGAATCACTACCCTAATCATCGATACGGCTGCAGGAATGATTCTCGACATTCGAAAAGGAACGCTGTCTGTTACTTTCACGGTCGATTACATCTAAACTTCGCCTCGGAGTACAGCCAGCAACCAGGTCGAAAATCATCAAAAGAGCCTCAGAATCGCATGGACGGAACGAAGATCACAGATAGCAGCCAGCAGCAGCAATGACGATGACCCGATCTTCTCATCTTTCTCGTCCGCCCACCTTGATCTCCCTTGCGCACTTCTCCTTTCTCCGGTCGCCAGACAATAACATGCGACCCACCCAACTGACACACGCCATCTATATTTCCGATACCTTGATAGAATGCCTACCCGATTCTCCAACACCCGAAAGCACCGAGGACACGTCTCGGCCGGTCACGGTCGTGTCGGAAAGCACAGGAAGCATCCGGGAGGTCGTGGTTTGGCCGGTGGTCAGCACCACCACAGGACCAACTTCGACAAGGTGAGCTTACGAGCCGAGTGGCAGCATACAGTTATTCAAGTTGGATGCTGAACATCATGAACGTTTCTTCCGTTTGTTGGCTATATAGTACCATCCTGGTTACTTCGGTAAGGTCGGTATGAGGCACTACCACAAGTTGCCCGCCCACTCCTTCCGACCCACCATCAACCTCGACAAGGTGAGCTGCGATCCCGGGAGATAGCCGCTGCGTTACGGGCAGAAAGCTGATTGTGCTCTGATCAACGTTACAGCTCGTTTCGCTCGACGCTGCCAAGGTTGATGCCCCTGAGGGCACCGTCCCCGTCATTGACTTGTGCCAGCTCAACAAGCACAAGCTCGTAAGTGACCTTTTTGTGCCATACCGTTAGCCGGCCATGTTCTGATCCGTGCTTGTCGTTACGCCTCGCAGCTCGGAAAGGGCCGAATCAACAAGCCTTTCATCGTTAAGGCCCGATTCGTCTCCAAGTTGGCCGAGCAGAAGATCAAGGAGGCTGGTGGTGTCGTCAAGATTGTCGCCTAAGCGGACGGAAGCATCCCATTCTGTTTTCCCTCTCAGACGATGATTCTTGTTTCGATGGTGTATGACGAGATGACATGACAGCATCTACCCCCAAAAGTCCTCGACCGTGTTGCAATGCCTCCATGTTCCAAGACTTGTTGGCTGGTTGAGGATGACGTTTGCGTGACATCTGGTCGAACTGACCTATAGCCCGTCTGCCGTCTGAGAGCCTGGTAGATGACGTCTGAGATGTGCTGTTTGGGCGACGCGTATCGCTTGAGCCGGGCTCGGATGAGTGTGATATCGTCACCGAACCATCTGATCTTGCGTTCAAGCTCGTATCTCCAACCACAATCAAGAGATTGCAACACCTTTCAACCATATCTACGTAGCTGATCCACCAAAGATGTCGAACAGTGGAACAGCAAAGGACCGGACTCTGATCGCTGTGATCGGGGACGAGGTCCGTTGTCGGGCTAGTCGACCGCTGTGAGACGGGATGGAACTGATCATATGTGATCGATGTATTGATAGGACTCGATCACCGGATTGCTTCTCGCTGGGATTGGACATGTGGATAACCAGCAGAAGAAGAACTTCTTGATCGTGGATGGCAGTCAGTCCAGCTGTTCTGAACATGACGTCTCGCGATAATTGCGGTCAACTGATGCTGGCAATTCGATCGTGCTTCACTCGGGATGTATAGAGACGCCGACCGCCGTGATCGAGTCGGCTTTCCAAGAATACACGGAACGACCCGATATTGCCATTCTTCTCATCAACCAGCACGTACGTTGACTCGATGAGCGGAGATGGAGGAGAAAGGGGCCTGGCTGATACACAATCCTAATATCGACCTCGATTCTGCTGAGAACAGGTCGCGGATAAAATCCGTCTCACGGTGGACCGGTACCAAGCTGCTTTCCCGGCATTGTTGGAGATTCCTAGCAAGGACCACCCGTACGGTGAGTTGTAAAGAAGGATGGGCATGTGCAGTGGGAAAGCCAATCGTCGGCTGATTGTGATGGGATTTGACCAGATCCTTCGAAGGACTCTGTGCTCAAGCGAGTACAGAAGCTGCGAGGTATGTCAAAGCTTACCAGATAGCCCACATCTTGTGACAATCTCGCTGATACCTCCTGTCTCTTGCAGGCGATTGAGTACGGCCTTCAACACTACCGCTGATGTTCTATCGCAGAAGCCACCTTGTATCACTTCTATCACCTCTTCGGTTCATGCTTATACCAACAATCAGTACAATGTCGCGACCCTCCATCATTTCAATTATCCTGGCTACCGCTGTCGTGATCGAAACTGGTAAGCCGTCAATCGGATTTGACGATCAGCTAAACCCCGCCTATTTCTGTATGGCATGCGCGTGGACAAGCGCCATCGTCATACCCCTCTGAAGGTAAAGGTTTCCTTTGTTCAGATAAGACACGCTGGCCTGTCATGTTCGAATTAGCGTATATACAGCAACCCGCACGGATCTGTCTCTTGGAACGCAATATTGACACGATCGATCGAGCTGTTGATCAGCATGCGCTGTAAGAGCGCCGAAGACCTTGATTATGCTTCATAAGAAATCCAAGCCATGCAATCTGAGGCCAAGGCTGGCTTTTATCATATTACCTACCATAGCCCCATAGGTGGCGGGGGAGATAAATTCTGAACATACCACTCTTTCATCCGCTGTCTATCTTGGCTGTTTCAGCCTGCCAATACAGCTTCGCAATATCGTAGTCGCTACAGCATCACATCGGTGCTGCAGTACGGCCAAAACCGACGTCCTGCCGTTTCGCCGTCATCCTGAGATGTAGCTTGCAGATAACGAAGGCGAAACTGAGGTTGTTCTTCTTGTTCCACTGCGAATCTTAATGATGAATGAGATCTTGCAGGCGATGGATGATCTCATGACGGTTTCCCTTGCTTTGTACATGTAGACTGATCTGCTGCCGGTAGGACTGGAACGATGACTAGGACCAACCGATAACGATGCTACAAAGCAATTCGAAATTCACACTCAAGCTGGAGCGAATGTATGGGAAAAGATTTGAATTCTTGCCCTGATTAACATACAGTCTGAGGCTGACGATCTTAGGGGTGATCACATTATCCAGCTGATCCTCTTCAACCCCTAGCAATGAAAGGCATGGCGCTAGATCTATATCCCAGTCGAAGAGCGAGCAAGTAAATACCAGGAATCACGCAAGCAAGCGAGCTACAGGGACTCACGTGAGAGTCACGTTGAATGCATTGGCACCCAACGGCAACCCGGCCATGAAGACAATCGCATCTCCCACTTGTTGGACGTCGAACACGGGTTCAGGTTTCTTCGAGCCGTCCGCCTGAGTAACTCCGTTGGCAGCTCCGCCTCCCATCTCGGTCGCAGCGTTACCTGATGAATGTCTACGTGAGCGATCGCGCTTCGATCGCGCCAAGTAGAGGGCGTACTGACCGATATCAAGCTGACAGCATGCAATATCGTACTTCCGTCCGTCAAGCGAAGTGGACTTGGTCAGACCAGAAATCGCGTGCTTGGAAATAGTATAGGCAGCGGCATCTGCAAGATCGACACACGCGCTCAGAGTCGGTCCTGAACTTGCCTTGCGGTCGTTCAGCGGGCTTACCAGGTCGTGGTGAATAGGCAGCAATACTAAGCCATTGCCGTTACGACATCCAATCTCAGTACGAGAGCGACCGGCTGAGAATGACCGCGATCGGCTCACCTGCCGTTATTGATGATCCTCCCGCCCTTAGGCTGCTGGCTCTTCATCAGTCTCGTAGCGTACTTGGTACAAAGTACGGAAGCCGTGACGTTGATACTCATCACCGATAGAAATTTCTCGATCGGGAGGTCTTCGATCGGGGTCTCGGGGAGGGAAATACCGGCGTTCTGTAAGAGGGATCTTGGCTGTTCAGTATGAGGTGGGGAGATAATGGTTTTCTTCTTGGACTGACGTTGAAGAGCATGTCCACTCGGCCTATGGGAGAAATGACAACGGTAGTGACAGGGGCTTGAGTATCGATGTCTACCGATACGAGGGTGCCCTGTAATAGCCTTACCGTACGTCTTCTTGATCGCATCAAACAACGACTCTACATTGCTTTCCTCGCTGACGTCCCCTGCCACTATCAGCGTGAGGTCTTCATCGCCGTTGGTCGAACCGGCAGCATCCCGACACATCTGAGCCGTCTTTTCGAGCTCTTGTTCCCGACGACCAGAGAGCACGATACGCCATTGACCGGTCTTTGCCAGGGCGACGGCAGAGGTCCTGCCGATTCCGGAGGAGGCTCCTGTGATGCATGCAATTCGTTTCTGCATTGTTGAAGCGTTTGGGAGGCGATCCAGATATGTTCGAAGAAGGGTCTACAGTGACAATTCGAGTTGTTAATAGCACAAAGTGATTGCGAGAGGTTGAACCGTATACAAAGCGTTGCAGGTATTTCTACAGCTACCCGAGTAATGGCAGGTGTTCGAGACCCGGTCCGACGTGCCGAGGGGGAGATTGTTTAGCTTCCGTAGACGGATATCTCCGACGGGAAGCGAGAACAAGGTGATGTCCGCGTGATGTGGAGACCCCGTGCCCCTCGCATTGACCCCCTGCAATTGCACCGGAGAGGCTGAGAGAACTTTGTCTCTTTTGTCTCGAAACGATTCTTTTGTTCGGTGGGAAGGGCAACTCTTTCAAGCAGACTAGCCTCCTTACACCTTCATATTCATACCGAAGATGTTTTCCGAGATTAACATCGAGATAGATTGCTGTCGGGAGATCGATCACTACAGCCTCGCGCTGCACTCGCAAACATGTCGCTACTCACCGACTTTATTACCAAGAACCCGCTCCTACCAACGACCGCGCTCGGAGTAGCAACATGGCTGCTCGCTATAGGAATCGCTCTCGTGGTACGATTAGTCTACTGGAGACCTTGGACTAGTCCACTACGTACACTTCGAGGACCCGATGGAGGAACCGGACCTGCGGGTCATTATCTGGAGTTACTCGAGTGGGTTTCCATTGGGCCAAGACAATCGATTCATGCCCCAAAGACTGACTAGCGAAACGCTATGAACAGTCCCGAGCAAGCTCCAGGATACTTCAGAAAGTGGACAGACGCATATGGTCAGACGTTCAATACGAAGGGTCCGTTCGGGGTAAGTCGTCCTAATCTTCCTTACGCTACACCCGCAACCTGACACAAGCAAGGTCGCAGCTATGGGATAGGCTGTGGACGACCGATCGACGTGCACTGCACCACATTCTCAAGAACACGAACACTTGGGAAAAGCCCATCATGCTCAGAAAGACCCTCGGAAGGTACCTTCGTTCCGGGCTGATCAACGCCGAAGGGCCCCGACACCGTCTCGTTCGCCGGATCGTCAACCCTCTGTTTAGCCAGAGCAATATCAGGGGGATGATGCCGACGTTCAAATTCAAGTGTTCCGAACTACGAGGGATCTGGTTCGAGAGGATGAACCAAGCTATCGCTCAACAGGATGAGGCGAAGGCGCCGAAGACGGCGGTCTTGATGGACGTCTTGGACGGCTTGAACAGGTTGAGCTTTGATATCATCGGCTTGACCGCTTTCGATCATGCCTTTGATGCTTTACATGGGATCGAGGGCAAGATGCATCCCACGTCTTGGCCCGGCGAACAACAGGTCGAGAACGGAAGTGAAGAACCCGGTCAACGAGGTTCGTACTTCTCGAAGAACGGGTCTTGAAGCGAAACGTGTCGTAAGCTCATTTTGGTATTTTCCGGATAGCCCACATCGACTTTGACCTTCAATCCGCTAAAGCTCGAGCAGCCGCACATCACCGACAGACCCAAGTCACGCATGCCGTCCAGAAGGGCCACGGAGAAGGTTCCAGGATCTACGAAGCATATGATCGGATGTTCGACGTCTGCGTAGGGAGGACGGGCCTGAGGGGGATGTTGAGCGTCATGATCCCAGGACTAGATAAAATTTGGGTAAGTCGGAAATGTCGCTGCGATATCGAAACGACCGCTTACGAATCAATCATGTCCACTAGCCAACCGAAAACTCTCGACGGGTCGTAGAAGGGATGGGATACATCGACAACCTCACGGAACGACTAGTCAAGGCTAAGAAGCTGGAATTGGTGGAAGCCGAGAAACAGGGTCTGCAGGATCTGGATGGCAAGAAAGGCAGGGATTTGCTTACGCTGATCGGTAAGTCTAGCTTGAAGCTCTGATGGAGATAGCGTGCCATCCCTAAGTATAATGGCTGGTTCTGAACGTCGTCCTTTGACAGTCAAAGCGGATATGGCTATGAAGCCGAGCGAAAGAATGACCGATCTCGAGATTTCTGGAGCACTCGCTACGTTCATGGTGAGAATCTGTCGGTCGAGACTTTCCTGAGCGTCCTCAAGCTGACTGTGTTTGCGTGTTTTTAGTTTGCGGGTACCGATACGGGATCGTGAGTCTACCTCTTCCAGTCGGAACCTGACGGGATTCTTACTGAGATCGTGTTTGCTGCATCAACAGGATCGTGATGGCATGGTGCCTGTACCATCTTGCGGGATCTCCTTCTGTGCAGAATCGTCTCCGGGAAGAATGCTCTGCGTACGGGGAGAACATCTCGCTCGAGGATCTGGACACGCTGCCTCTGCTAGACATGGTCGTCAAGGAGGTTTATCGGTTGAATCCAAGCATCCCGACGACGGTGAGCAGTTGGTACGAGGAATAGATCGCTCTACCGAAAGCTCACGCTTTGCCGCATGCTTGCGATATGCTCAGATTCGGGAGGCTAAGAAGGACGACATCATCCCGCTCGAGGAACCTATCGTTTTGAAGAACGGCAAGACTGTTTCTGAAGTCAAGATCCGCAAGGGTCAATATGTAAGCCGTGGATCCGGGATCGTGGAGATCGTGGGGCCTGGACTGAAGTCGGATGCCGTTCTACAGGCCTATATACCTATTGAGGGATTGAACTGGTCGCACCTGTTCTGGGGTGATGATGCCCTTGAGTTCAAGTGAGTGATGCAGTTTCGATTGTCATATGAGCAGACAGCTGATTCCTACCGTCGTCTATCAGGCCCGACCGGTGGGCAGATTCGAAGGTTCTCGCATCTACCGGGCTGGGCATAGATCAAAACGTTCTCACTTTCATCGACGGTCCGCGAAAGTGTCTAGGATATCGGATGGGCTCTATCGAGTGAGTTAACTTGGTACCCGGAACGATTTTACAGGAATATGCTAAACGTGTAACTGCAGGGTCAAGTCGACGCTGTTCAGTTTGGTTCAACAGTTCGAATTCAGGCAACCCGAAGGTATCAGGATGTACAAGTGGAACATGTGGGTGTCGCAGATCAGTGCCGCAGCTCAGTCGCAGGTCCGATATTACAGCGACTGACGACGATCTGTTCTTCAGGTTCACCAACCGACCTTATGCCTGGGACAAACGATTTCCGGAGGGGTCCAATATGCCTCTGATCGTCAGACCGTTTCAGGGGTAATCTGCGGGTCAGATCGCGCCGGATCTACTTGTTACGACTGGCTCCATAGCTTTAGGCCGACTTGCACCTTTGTATAGATTTGACGTCTTATCAATATCAATTCACCTGCTCCATCCTATTCACCACCACAAGTCGTTGTACCTCGTCTTCGTGAAGCCACGCCGCGGCCCGACCCGAGGATTTAGTCGGGCTGAGGGGGACATCGTGTGATTGGGATACGTGGAAGCCTGACAAGCCGTAATGCCCGAAATAAATTGATTGCATGTGCCATCGATATAAATGCAACATGGCTAGTCCCTCATGATCTCTCAGCTGGATCGAGTTCTCTTTAATTGGGACTGAACGCACCGGGCCCTCTATGGGCTTCGAGTGGCAAGCTCGGTGCTGACCACTCTTGGTCTGTGGTTCTGGTAGGAACTCAAGCAAAGCCACGAGTGTTGTGTCATCTACGTGGGCTGGGGTGAAGAGGTACTGCGCTGCGAAGACCTTGCCCTGTAATCCTCGATCGAGAACAAAAGGAGAAATCACGATATCGCTCCGGGCGACGCGCGCGTAGAGGACTTGCCACGGGAGGGAGCGGGAGGGATCCCGGATCCCGCCTCCTTGTTTCATCACCGCGCGTACTACCCGCACCGTCTTTTGTCCTCGATCGCTAACCCTCGCCGAACAAGAACGCAGGCACTCGGCAAATCGCTGGTGCGGGCTATGAGATATGACAGGGGGCTTTCAGTGTGATTAAGTGTGCGTTTGATCTTTGCTCTCAGGATTTGTGCGGTCGAGAGGGAGTCAGGGCGTCGCTGCGTTACCCGCGCTCAGATCCCGCGTTTTGGCTTTTGTTCTCTGCATGTTGAGGTTGCTCTCGAGTTTGTGCGATATAAGGCGGCGAGGCAGGGCGAAGAACAGGTTGTACCCCGTGATCGACTGCTGATTCAGTTCATCCTATTCAATCATTCTACAGCAGGAGAGCTGCGACACATCTGGCTCGATCAGTCTTTCTGACACTACACAACTACACTCGTTTAGCATTTCTGTCCTTCCCTCCTCCCCCTCGGACATCTCTTAGCGCGATCAATCGGATCTCCCTTGCAACCCGCGTCCTCGTTTCCCCAATCCATCCAGCCATCCATCCTTTCCCCAGCGCATTTCCTCGACGATCAACGACGACAACGACCCGACTCGATCAATCCGGATCAACACCGACACCCGCAACCTTCACCGAAGCGGTCAGATCCACAAGGTCCACAGACTATCGACATCACGCACCACGCACGACTTGCTGCGACTTGACATAACGAACGAACTTTTGGACTAAACGACATCCTTTACGACAAAACTACGACTTTGTTCTACAACCTACCACATACACAGCGCACACAGCATCTGTCTTAGCCGTGAACAACGAATCGCAGGTCTCAAAGGTAGACCATCAATCCACTTGATACTCTCCTCGGCTCACATCGTCTCTCCGGCCCGTCAATCGAATCGGTGAAAGGGACTTCTCCCCATCGTAAGCTCCTGCTATGATCCGTCCCGCCCCTTTCAACGGGTCCCCTTTGATCGTGTTCGAGTGATGCGTACTAGGCTGACCTTTGTCCTTTTGCGCTCGTTGCCTGGTTCTGTCTTATAGCTCGAACTTTGGCATTCCATCTTCTTGTCGACGACAATCACCGCACCGAAAGTCTAGTCGTCCACCATTCAAGGCGGTCGATCATCATTGCCTACCTCTCTTTCACGAACCCTTGGAATACCCTTCAGCACTCCCTTTTCTTCACCTCACCACGTATCAACATGGACGTTAAACCCGCTGTGTACCAAGCTCCTCTCCAAGGACAACCCGGAATGAACGCCGCTCAGATGCCGGTTCAGCAACAACCCGCTGCCGTTCAGAAGCCTGCTCAGAACAACAGAAACGCTCCCCCCGCCAATGAGCCGAGAAAGGTCAAGTTCAGCGTCGGCAGGGACTATCAGGTGATGACTGTCATCGGCGAGGGAGCTTATGGGGTCGTCGTTCGAGCCGTTCATCGAGCTAGCGGGAGAGAGGTCGCGATCAAAAAGGTGAACTTGTGGTAATGAACTCGTGTAGCGGAATAGCTTTACTGATCAGTTAATGGTATTACGGCTCGAATCAGATCTCTCCCTTTGATCACGTCCTCTTCGCCCTTCGGACCCTGAGAGAGCTGAAGCTTCTGAAGTACTTTTCCGAGCAACAAGTCAGCGAAAACGTCAGTAACACATCACTGATACATCATCGGCCGGAACTTTTCGCTGATATCGAGACTATCTCTCGCATGCTCACAGTTGATCACGATCCTTGACATCTGTAAACCGAAATCGTTCGACGAATTCAAGGAAGTCTACGTCGTCCAGGAACTACTGGAGACCGACTTGCACAGGGTCATCAGGACTCAAGATCTGAGTGACGATCATTGTCAATATTTTGTCTACCAGGTAAAGCGGGATAGAGAGGATGAAAGCGATAGAGGAGATCGTCAGGCTGATACAAATCGGGCTCATCGGTTTGCATAGACTTGTCGAGCTCTCAAAGCCTTGCACTCTGCTGAGAGTCAGTCCCGGCTCTTATATCATGCTTGAGATGTCAACAGAAAGGCTGACATCGATCATTGCGAATAGTCGTCCACCGGGATCTCAAACCTTCCAACTTGTTGTTGAACGCCAACTGTGATCTAAAGGTCAGCTCGATAAATCCGCTCTCCGAGCCCTCAAACTGTCGATTACATCTGTTACTACATTCTATCGCCTTGACAGGTCTGCGATTTCGGTCTCGCCAGGTCTACCCAGACCGCCCTTCCCAGCGGCAGCAGTGGCAACGGGTACATGACGGAATACGTGGCCACTCGATGGTACCGAGCGCCCGAGGTCATGTTGAGCTTCAAGCAGTACACCAAGGTGAGAATCAGCCCGTCAATAGACAAGGGGTGTAGGATGCTGATGGCTAGCGGGCGTGGTGCAGTCGATCGACGTCTGGAGTATCGGATGTATCTTGGCGGAGATGTTAAACGGAAAGCCTCTCTTCCCTGGAAAAGACTAGTGAGTTTCGCTTGCTAGATGAGAGTAACACATCTCCAGCTGAACCGCAAACTTGTCTTACCAGTCACCACCAGCTCAGTCTGATTCTCGATGTGCTCGGAACACCCTCTATGGAAGAGTACTACGACATCACCTCGAGGCGTTCGAGAGAGTACATCCGCGCGCTGCCTTTCCGCGCCAAGAAGTCTTTCGAGAGCTTGTACCCCATGGCCAGTCCTGCCGCCATTGACTTCCTCAAGAAGACTTTGACCTGTAAGTTATCTTGCTTTCGCCTACTAGCATCATATCCAAAGCTGATCGCCCGACGATCATCTTTACAGTCGGACCCAAGAACCGAATGACCGTGGAGCAGTGCCTCTCGCACCCGTACCTCGAGGCTTATCACGACCCGGACGATGAGCCAGACGCGGCTCCTCTGCCCCAGGACTTTTTCGATTTTGATCTCATGAAGGATCAAGTCACCAAGGAAGAGCTTAAGAAGTTGCTGTAAGTCGGTAACAGTCCCGTTGGCTCGAAAGTATAAAGCTCATCTGGATTCCATCGTTGCAGCTACAACGAGATCATGACTTTCAACCCGGTCAAAGGCTGATTGTTAGCATGCTCCATAACCTCTTGCTAGATCATTTCTGCGACTCCACATCTTATGACCCGTCACGATACCGCATTCTTCTGTACATGTTCTGGAGCTACGTTGTCTCATGTTATATCTATATATGATCTGTCGTTGTTGGTCCAATCGTCAATACGTTACAAAGCAGCTCGGCTCGACTTTTCTACTGATCGATGAATCGCTTGACCTTTTCGAGCCAGGTCATGTATTCCTGAAAGAGCCGCAAGTCGTCAGAATTGCAGCGAACTCAAACGGACGACGGGGAGCTCTTGACTTACCTTCTGCTCCTTGTATTCGCAGTACAAGGGGATGAACAAGGCTGATCGTGATGACAAAGTGTCATGGATTCAGCAAGCGGGTCCGATCGATGGCCAAAGCTACACTAACCCAAGTTTTGGTTGATTGCTCGCTCGTCCAAGTAGTTCTCGAACTCGGTCTGAACGGTGCTGTCCAGGTGGTCAAATCCTGGTGGACAGAGCGGAACTAGGTTAATGACTGTCGTGCTTGTAGGTGGTCACCAGACAGAGAGCACTCACGAGGTCCGACATAAGTCGCCCTACGCTTCCAGTCACCCTCAGCGGTCATATCCTCTGCCAGCTTTGCGTCCGAGTAGAATTGAGCGCTGTCGATGACGAACGCCTCGTTCTCGACCAAGAGATCCATGACTAGTGATCCGCCGGAAGGCTTGGTGATCGACAAGGAACATCGAATGGGGAAAGTGTTCTCGGCCTCTTCTCCTTCGCCCTCAGAAGGAGTCAAGTCAGAGGTGTCAGGAGGGTTGTCGAGGTCTTCGATCGAAAAGGTGAGCTTGAGCCTGCAACCGAAGCGCGGGGATGCGTTCAGCGAGATTTACATCCTGCTTTCCTCGACAAGACATACTTTTCGTTGCCAAAGCTTCGGGTAAGCACAACCTCGCCGTTTCCAACCCTGTCGTTGACAGCCCAAACGCCATTCTGGTTGAACTCCTCTAGCCACTCGGGCTCTTGACCGGCCATCGCCGCTTGCGAGTCCTTCTCGAAATTGAGCTCCTCTTGGAGCTTGGCCGAAAGAGCGGCATCGGCTGAGCATGCGTCGCAAAGAAAGTCTGAGTATCATGAATGACGAGCGGCCGGTATAATACTCACTCTCGCCTCCGCCGAGCCTTGCCGAGCTGGCCGTAAAAGTCCTGGAGATGGGTTGAACCCAGGCGGCTCGTGCCACAACGGGGCGAATCGCAGGCCGGGCAGCGGCGATGATGGTGCGGGAAGCAGCCAAAGATGCTCGAATGGTACGGGCAGCCATATTGATAGTCTATGCGAAGTCAAACTCGGGTAGATGCAGTATGATTGCGAGTGATCGGCTCGCAAGTGGGAAATGTAACCCAGTGCTGATCACTAGAAACCGACTTCGGAGGGGTTCGTAATCAAAATAAACACGTTCTCACGAAATCCAATCTGACGTGTCATGGATCTCGACGGATGGACGGATTAATCCCTAAACATCGTGAATCGCATACGTCTTTACAAGGACACGTCACATGTTACGAAGGACTGAGGGAGTTAGAAGCCTGCCTTGCTTCACGTCGTATATTCGTTAGATCGTTCCAGGTCGATCTGGGCAATTTGACCTGGTAATCGTTACTAGCATTGTAAATCCTGGTGATCATCCTGCCGATCCGGTTGATCTCCTCCGGGGAAGTCTTGCCTTGAGACCAGGCCGTCAACTGATTCGCACTCATCCGTATTGCCAACGACAAGAGCTCGCTATCAGGAAGAGGTGGTGACCGAATGCTCCACTCGAAATCGGACGACTTCTGTTTCATCGTTTGAATTTCAGCCTGATCGAGCTTCAGTTGTGCTGCAGCGTCTAGTACGTATCGAACGATTGACCCAGCAGACTGCCACGCCGCGAGCTGAGGGGTGATAAGACTCTTGGTGGAAGTCATCCCGACAGCTTTGTTATAGTCTAGCCCTCGGAACGGGCTGCTGGACTGTTTCGCCGAATTGCTTGACAGCCCGTCTCGCTGCTCTTGTGAATAGAGTTGCAACATGGCTGTATGCCCCTCGATTGGCAGGAACCAGGTGTCCGGATCACTCGATTCCTTTCGGACGCCTCCGGATGGCCGCGCCGAATCCTGTTCAGCTCGCAAAGCCAAGAGATATAGTCGCTCGGCGAGTGGCGTGCTTCTGGTTCGTTGCAGAGCATTTAGGCAGGCAACGAAGATCCAGGGCGACCGGCGTTTCGCCATTCCGGCCAATCTCGTCCGCCGGTGCTGTTCCCGATGCAGAATGGCATAATCCGCATCTTTCGGTAAAGTTCGATAATTATGCACGTCCAGGAAAGGGAAGGCCTTGTAGACGATCGATTCGATCTCGGCCTTGTTTCCATCCTGAATAAGCCGCAGCTTGAAAATGACGTCCTCATCCTTGAGCGGAGGCTCGGGGATCTCCACCGATCCGGCGTTCCGCTCCATGACCTGCAACTGTTCGTCGATCTTGTTGACCCGAAAGAATCCTTTCCAATGTCCCGCTTGCTCGTCAACTGGCGGACCGAGCTTTTCCTTGCTCAGCATCCCGATCCCAAATGCCGACTTGATATGCCGAAAAAAGTTGACAATCGTCGCTCCGCTCGGTAAGGCCTTGACTGCATAGTGCAGCAAGACTCGAGTGGAAGTCAATGTCAAAGGCGGTAGCCGGTAAGACGCCCATCGTCCATGCGGAAAGTTGAGCGAAGGAGGCGACCACAGCAGCGACATCAACGCGGCGTGAATATGTGTTCCCGCGCTGAACTCGGATCGATTAGCGATCGGAATCCTTTGCCATTTTATTGTGGTCGGGTAGACGGGAACCTCGATCGACATTTTCCGCATAGCTTGAAAGAGCGATTTGAGCGCCGTAACAGGTAGCGTGCGGGAAAGGATCGTGTTTCCCAGAATGGCTAGCGCTCGGGCTGATCGACGATATGGTCGGTTCTGGGACGCCAAGACGGGATCTTGCGACCTTCCCCCTCTTGCACTTCCCCATGAAACGGCCGGATGGTACGTCAACGAAGAGATGATGATATCCAGCATCTCGGCGTTCGGTGGCGGTACAAGCGAAGGAGGCGATGTCGGTGAGGGGAACGGGAAATTCTTCATCTTTTCTTGCAACTTCAATGTCTTGGGATGCCATAGCTTGAGCTTGTCCAATGGGGCCATCCCTTCTCCTGGCAATCTCCAGGTCCGTACGCCCTCAAACCACCCATCGATGATCTGCTTCATGCGCCTAGTCCGAGCCGCCTGTTCCACAGCTGCGACCTGAAGATCGGCTGCAGTCGCATCCGTCTCTGAGCCTCCTGTTCCGGCGGATTGTTGAGGGACCGCGGGTACCCCTCCTTCTCCGAACAACGTCGTATCCACCCCAACCTCGGCCACCCTTCCTTCGAGGATCCACTCCTCGACCAACCCAGCAAGAACTGCCGCAGCCATATCTGGTTTCCCGACATGCACACAATGCCTCAAGATGGTCCTATACATCTCTTGGGTCCTAGGTCGTCTCATCGTCTGTAGTTGTGACAGCAGAGCCAGCGAATATCGAAGTGCTCTCTGACGTTGTTTGCGGCTCCGTTGCATTCCTGTTGACGAGGCATTCTGATCGACTTGTCGGAGTTCAGTGAAGACGTCTTCTCCGTAGAGCTGGCTGAAGATGATTTCGAGGTGTTTCGTCTCAAGACGATCGGCTAGAGGGGAGTCGGCTCGGAGCGCTTGCATGGCGAGAAGCGCCGTCTTGCGTGCAGGGGTGTCCTGCAAAGGTGACAAATTGCATATATTCAGCATACAAGACTGATGAGCCGACGATGTCATGTTGTACTAACTGCTTTGAGATCCTCGATGGATACGCCATCGACCGAGTAATACTGCGCTGTGGTGGGCGGACCCGCCAGCTCTCCGTGCGTTAGAGAGCTTGCAGCAATGCTCTCGAAGATGTCTTCAATTTCACTAAACTTATCTCGAGCTACTTGCGAGCTTGAAGGCTGATTCGCCTCTGCCTCGATTAAAGAAGTTGGTCAGCGAAACCTCAGGCCGAAAAATCAAATAGGGTGGACTTACCCGCTAACATGGCTTCGGGAACCCATCTTCGATCGTCAACTTGCAGATCGAATTCCGCATCCTCTTCGTCCTCCTCGATCCTGGCTACCTTTACAGAGCTCCAACGTATAGACTCCTGCTGTATAGGCCTTCCCAGACCTTTGGTCGCTGGGCAGCATGGTGCGCAACTTCTCGTTCGAGCCCTGGCGCCGATGAAGATGTATCGCGAGAACGGTCTGATCCCGATTTGCACAGCTCCACTGGACATTATCCGAGACTGGACAAGAGAGGCTAGGTGTTTTACCTATCACGACGCTGGAGCTGTAATGATCTGTGCGTTATCTGTTCGATCTCGATGAACCAAAGTTGTAATGTCCTTGTACCCTGTTCACTCCCCCTCCCTCTCTCCCTCTCTAAGGTTCAAGCGCGACGCGCTTTTAATTTCTTGGCCCAAGAGGGGTCATTGCGATACACAAGTACCGCATGCATGACGAAAGTGTGATTGTTTAGTATATTCTTGAGACATCCACAACATCTTGTACGTCCACTACACCGCAAGGCACGACCATCAGTTAATCGTCTCGTACTAGCGATTCTTTCAACGCAAAAAAGCGCGGACGAAACCCATCCCGGACTCGCATATACGAAACGATGAGCGGCTGGCGAGGTGGAGGACGAGGTCGAGGTGCTCCTCGAGGTGGTCGTGGTGGTTTCCGTAGAGGTCCGTACCATCTGTCAAGGGCCTGTTAAGCGTTCGATCGAAGGAGGCTGATATTTGAAGTATGATATGTTCGGTGATCAGACTTTCCACCTACCCCTCCTCGAGCTCGAGACCCAGCCATTCAAGCTAGAGAAAACATCATATTCTTGGCCGACCAAGAGGTGCGAGTGCTTTCTGTATGCTCCTTCCGCCTTATCTATCTTGCTCACCTTATTTCCGCTGCTTGATCTGTCGACAGGACTTTAATGTGTCGACTGATGTACCCATGCTCGCTCGATACTTACGGGATAAATGGCCCGTGGGTGCCGCGCCCGGTATTCTAGATGGGTTCGCTTGGAGGTAGGTGCCATGCCTCTGTTTCCATTCCGCAGGTCTGAACCCTCGCTGACTCACATTATCTGGTGCCATGTAGTATCAACGAACAGGCTCACAAACTCCCTTACTACGCTGCCCTCCTGCTCGTCCTCTCGAAAGAAGAATTCCACCTGGACATCGCTCCCGAACGCCGACCACAGGACCCTATCACCGACCGGGTCAGGGCTCAAGCGAGCGCCTTGGCATCCAACGATGATCCATTCACTTCAGGACCTCCGGGTGGGGAAGCGGAGGCCGAAGTCGAAGCTGCTTTGGGCGGGGATGGTGGGGCGGACAAGATGGTTGTTGATGGTACCGCCGAGGGTGGAGCTGGAGAAGGTTCGAATGGGGTAGATGTCGAGCGGGAACAGGAGAGGAGGAGGAAAGAGAGGTGCTTGTCGTGGTTGATCCTACGGGATCTTGGGATCAGATTCAGGGAATGGGTGGATCAGCGCAGCTGGCTCAAAGTCCGGTTGGCCGTAAGTCTCAAAACGCAACCCGGATTACGACCTTGATACTGGGCTGAGTCTTGGTCCTTTATGATCTTCCAGGTCTCATTCTTCGGTCATCTGGTACCCATCGGTTTGGTTTCGGAAGAAAGCTACCTTGCCACCTTGCGATCGTTCATTTCGGTGCTCGAAGAGTTGGGAGGTGGTGGGAAGCGAGCAGAAAAAGTCATCAGGGTAGTGACGGAGGGGTTATTGAGGGTCAGTCACATTCTCGAGACTTTGCTCTCAGCACATCCTGAGCAGAACTGAGCTATCTGCACTCATGGCAGGCTGGGCCTCGATTCTACGAATCAAATAAACAAGCCGTGGACGAGATCATCTCGATCATCTCGAGTAGCGTGACCTCGAGAGAGCAATCTAGGGCTTTGCACAATACGTTTTTCCTTCCTGCCGAGGTTGCACGTGGGGACATCACTCCGGAAGCCGATCAGCTCGACAACATCCTCTCGACCCTCAGGATGGCTCAGGACGCTGGGTTCATGAAGGTCACCTGGATGCCAGAGCCCGCTCGAAGATTTATGCGGGATCCGGAGGACACGGGGGTCATGGATCTTTACAATCTTCCCGAGATTTCCGTGCCGCCCGAAGCAGAGGGTGGACCGAGTTTGTCCCGTGCGCTCGAAGGAGAAGGACTGATCGGCACTTTCACCCTTGGAGGCAAGATCGGGTTGACAGACGGACGAGTCCCCAACCCTTCGACGCCAGACGGATGGATGATGCAATCGATGATCCTGGACATCCTCTCCATCTACGAAGTCAACAGGGTCAAATGTGCAGAGCTCTTGCTCAAGCTGACGGACTTCTGCCTGCTAGATGTCTTCAGGGGCAAGCCCGCTCCTGGCGAGGAAGAAGCGAGTGATATCGCCGTACCTGGCGAATGGATCCTCGCCTCTACCCTGATCTCGATCATCCTCTCGGCCATGTTCAAGCTGCCAAAATCGCCGCATCATGTCATCTACTTGACTTCGGTTATTCGAGAGCTGTGTCTCGCAAACGGTGCTATGATGGCACCCCCGGTCGGTCTCGCTATGCGGAACATCTTCTCCGACTTGGGCAACGGGCTCGATATTGAAATCGCCAGGCGTACTGCAGAATGGTTCTCGGTGCATCTCAGTAACTTTGCATATCAGTGGATGTGGAAGGCCTGGTAAGCAGTCTCTGGCCAGGTTTAGGGGGCTAGTGGTACTGATGAGCTTGCGAATATGCAGGATTCCGGATCTTCAACTCCCAATGACCCACCCCAAACGGGCCTTCATGCACCGTCTGGTGGAGCTGGAGATTCGTCTGGCTTACCAGGAACGAGTATTGGAAACATTACCCGAGGAGATGCAAGACGAGCGGGACGCACCCGCTCTGCAGATGCCCGACCCAGTCTTTGTCTACGAAGATCCCAGTAAGTGACCGTTTACGTTGAGGCTGCAATACATACAGACACTGATGCGGACCATTCTTCTGATAGACCATCCTGAACACGAGAACGCTACAGAGATCTTGAGCATGCTCAATGCCAAAGCCTCATGGGAGGACGTTCTGACTCGACTGCGAGAAGTCTCCGGTTGCACCGGTTCGACCGATGTCATCCCTCAGGAGTATCGTCGCATTGCAGTACACGCCGTGCTTCACATCGGTTCGCGGTCGTTTTCGCATTTCTTGAATGCTACCGAACGATACCTCCGGCTCATTCAAGAATTGGCTCATACGCAAAAGGGTCGACGCGAATTGCTGGTATTCGTCCGGGACTTTTGGCAAAACTCGAGTCAGATGCGGGTCATGGTCATCGACAAGTACCTGCAGTACAACCTGGTCGATTACGAAGACGTTGTGGAAGCCACATTCGGAGCCTTTTCCGCCCGGCCTGAAGGGGTCCGACCAGATTGGCCGACTGTCTGGACCGACTACCACGCGTGGGAGCTGCTAAACAACGCCTTGATCAAGAGTAAGGGTCGCTTGGTAGCGATTAGCAAGAGGATCACGGAGACGGAACGAGAGGACGAGACAATTCGTGCCAAGAGGAATGCAATGGTAGACAATGCCACGCCGATGAATATTGGGGAAGATGGGGATGTCGATATCAAGGAATCGAGTAAGCGAGCCCAGCGGGTCAGAGTTCCGAGGGGTTCTTAGCTAAGTCCAGAAAATGCCCTTTTCAGCCGACAGCAAACCGGAACAGGTCTCGCGAGAGGTTCAAGAGCTGTTGCGCCGGAAATCCGAGCTAGAAAGCGATCAAACAAAACTCATTTCGAAAGTGGTATCGAGCTTCGTCAACAGCCTGGTACCGGGACGAAGTAGCGGTGTGGCTGTGCCTTCACAACTCGACAAGGTCATTGATGGCGATTACAACGACCCTCTGGTATGGGACACCGTCGCACGATTGGGTTTCTATCGAGAGTTTATGCGAAGTGTGAGTGAACAGAATCTTGCACTCGTTATAAGAGCATCTCGACTGACAACTACCGTACGAATCATAGTTCGGCAGCGACGTGAAGGCGAGCGCGTCGGAACTCGAACCGTTCTTCAAGGACTTGCCCGCTGGCGTGGACCCTACCGCGGAGTCATCTACTTTGGGAGCTCACCTCGTTCGTGTCATCTATGAGCAAGCAGTTACTCTATAGTCAAAGCAACTGCCATATTCTGTAGCAACACTATGAGCCGCATTACGACATGATGATGTGGTTTTGATCGACGCCCAAAAGAGCCTGAATACGTGGATACATTTTTTCTCAATGACATTTGGCTTCTTGGCCGGAACTTGATGTTTTCATTCTCACTTGTCCTCGTCATGCTTCTCCTTTTCTCCCTGAGGCTTGCCGACACGATCCAAACCGAACTTGTCCTTGTTACCCTTGCCGTACGCTCGCTCCCAGGCGTCACCCGCGATAAAGATCTCCATCTCGTTGTACTTGGCGGCGACGAGCTGCAGTCCGACGGGAAGACGGATATGACGGTCTTCCTCGGTCCAGACGTCACCGTCGCTGGGGGGGCTGAATCCGACCGGGAGGGACAAGGCAGGGTGTCCCGAAGCCGAATACGGGTTCGTGTTGGCCGACATGGCACCTAAAAGTCGCATGCAAATGAAGACGGGTCAGATTCTGGTAGCGCGATAGTCGACTAGTCGCGAAAACGTACTACCGGCATCCATGATCCCTTCGATACCCTTGTCTTTAGGGACGTGGCGAGGAGGTGGTTTGACGCAGGTAGGCATGACGACCAAGTCGACCTCTTCGAACATGGCATCGACATCGGCGCTCAATTTCCGGATCTAACAGATATCAACAAGGTTAGCCGGAACGTGAACTATGAGCGGGAAAGGTGCAACACGTACCAAGTTGGAAGCAATGTCAAACGCCGTCGGGAAGTTGTGCGCGACGTATTCGGCCGAGATGATCTCGAGCTTGAGCATCGGTTCGAGCTGTAAGGTTCCGAAATCGATCATTAGCAACAACCCGGCAACTCGTTTGTAGTGAAAAGACAGGCTGCTGACCTTTTCCCACTTTTCCGGCGTCCAGGGCAAGATCTTGCTCCAGAAAGATCCCAACCTGAGGTGCTTGCTCCCCACGCTTCTTCCGACGAACGGCGCCGTCCCGCTCAACAACGTCGCCACGCTGTTCGGCCCGGAAAGCTGAACGTGACTAGGACAGCTGATTTCCTTCACTTCGGCACCGAGTTTCCTGAACCCCTCAATCGCATCCTTGGCAACCTCGTATACCCGCTCGTCACCCTTGGGAACGGTGAATCCTTCCTTCAACATCCCTATCTTGACGCCCTTGAGAGGCTGATCCGGATGCTCTCGCTGAGCCTTTTCGCGAGCTTCTTTAAGCAGTTTCGTGTACCTGGGCAACGGGTTCGGCATCGGTCGATCGGATGTACGAAGGTCGATCCAGTCGGGTCCGGCGATAGTTTCTAGCAGAACGGCGCAGTCCTCCACAGTGCGTGTCATAGGACCTGTTTTGACCAAGCGGAATGACTTTTAGCATGTCGCATTTAGATAGAATGCATGAAGCCGGCGAGATGGTAACTGACCGATGACCTCCTTTTCGGCTTCATGACTGATCACACCGGTCGACGGTACCAACCCGAAAGTCGGCCTCAGTCCTACAATTCCACAAGCACTAGCCGGCTGCGTAATGCGTCGCAAAGGTTTTATCAGTTACCGTTTCTCAAACGCTACCCCAGTACGTCACGACTTACGATCCTGATACTTCCGCTCTGATCCCCGCCGATGGCCAAGTCGACCTGGTCACTGCATACCAAAGCCGCGCAACCGGAAGAAGATCCTCCAGCCGAGAATCCTTTCGCATGAGGATTCTGTATGATGGATCGGGGAGCCGAGCAAGAGATCCAATGTCGGGACCAGGCGTGTGGGCTTGAATCAAGGGGTTCGTATCGATATAGGCAGTTGGTTGAAGACACAGCATGGGAAGGAACAAACGAGAAAGCGATGCGAAGAGATGATGATGTCAGCGCCGAAACATCCTCATTAGAGCTGCATAAACGCCTGAAGACTCATCTCGCAATTCGCCTTTCCCAGAATGACCCCACCTTCATCCAAGATCCTCGTCACACACGTAGCGTCCATGTCGCTTACAAACTCTCCTTCGTCCTGTACCTCGGCTCCGAACAAGCAGGGCACGTCTTTGAGCATGACCATATCCTTGATGGTGACCCTCTTGTCCTTGATCAAGGGGGCTCTTCGAGTGGTCTTCTTGGAGGGTTTCGAGCCGCCGTTGTGAAGAGGTTTAGCATTTCCCTGGACGTCGGGCTGGTCGGCAGGGTCCCGATTGACTCCACCTTCCTTGGCTTGTTCGCCGGCGGTCTGCTTGTCTTGCTTGGAAAAGGCGTCCCCGGGAGTATGCGTCATGTTCAAGATGGCCTTTTCTTCGTGGCTATCCACATCATCCTCGTCGACCCATTCGACAGGAGGCTCCTTCCTCACCGTCGCCTTGTACGCCCAACCCAATTCGAGCTCTTCCTGCGTGGCGGGAAAGTGGATGTTCGTCCTCGGATAAGTCGGAAGATGGGTATGAGGGATATAATCCGGTTGACTGAGCGTAAACTCGGCGGCCTGATGGATCCCCTTGATGGCGTTCATGTAGATGTGTTTGAGATCGTCTTCCAAGGGCATCCCCAGCTTCTTGGCCATCTGTTCGAGGTCGGCCTCGGTAGGTTCAGGTCTGAACTGCTTTTGATCCGAGGTTCCTGGTTCCGGGGTGTAAGGCGACCCGGATAGGAAGGGGGTCGACCCGGAGGTGAACGAGGTCGGTGCGGCCGTCATCGTTGAGGAAGAAGAGTGGTATGTGCGAGGAGAAGAGAAGAGCTGGCTTGATCGGTTGAAGAGGTGCAACACGGGTCGTCGTGTGCACGATCTGACGAGGTGCAGCGAAATGATGGACGTAAAGTGCAAGGATGCACGGGAGAATTTGGTGAGGCGGGTAAAAGAGGATCTGTGAGAGGGCTGGGCAGGTGCTACTTGCGAAATGTCGATGTAGTATGGAGCTTTGATCGATGTCAAAGGGAGATTCACTGGGAGGGTCGAGCCTTTTGCTACTATATCGTCGTTACCATCGAGAACTTCCCCCCTTCCCACTCCCCCTCGCTCGCTCGCTTCCTTCGAACTGGAATCGCTCATCGCGCCCACCATCGGGATCGAGAGAGACAGAGACAGCCTTAGCGCCCTCTTACGTCACACTCACTGTCCCCCATCCCCGATGCGTTTTCGTCATCACCGGCGTCGGGACCACTTTGTAAACAAGCCACAAGCTACGAGTACAAGAATTGTCTACATGGATCATGGAAACTCAGGGCTACTGCGAGTCGGCAAGGCACGCGAGAGTGAGAGAGTGGCAGGAGAAAGCTCCAGAGAGCGGTCGTTCTAGCATGATGGACTTCAAAAAGGTCAACCTGGGAATGAGAGGGAGCCTCATGGGTCGCGAGGTCAGGAATCAGCAGCAATCCTGAACGAACCGAGCTTCATCGCAATCTTGTGGCCGCTAAAGTTTGTTCAATCGTATCATGCGCCTCTTTGAATATACTAAATGGTGAGGGGCAGTCAGAGCCACCGGGGCTGCTGATCTCCTAGAATCTGAGCATTCGCTAGCGATTGACGAGCAATCTTTACTTGGGTGCACCGCCAGAGCAAGCTAGGTTGATGGTCTTGGTGTCCAACGAATCCTGGTCATACTGGGCGAAAGAGACGCCGGGAGAAAGATCCAGACCGTTGCAACTCGAAAAGTCCGACCCATATTCAACCCGGATCTGGGGTTTCTTGGCGTCCAGGAAGGGCTTGTAGACGTCGCACTCCTCCCAAACGTACTATCCACCGGACGAGAAGGTTTCAGTGCTGTTCTTACGCTGCGGAGTTTGATATCATGGGTACTCACGCAAGACTCGATGACGCTGAAGTCGAACATCTCGACGATCTGAGGGTAATCCTCCAAGATGTCTCCCGAATTCTTCAAATCGATATAGAGACCTAGACCCCGAGCGGTCTGAGACAGCCAGCTGCAAGTAGGGATATGAAGTTAAAGACAGCAACTCGACGGAGAGACTAGCATTATCCGCTCACGTAAGGTAAGCCGCTTGGTTCGCCTTGGTCGTGCCGTACTTCTGGCTGTTGATGTACTGTATAATACCGCGGCGCCGAATCATCAGCTTCTCTGGTCCCTTGATACGAGAGCCTAGCAAGTCTCGCTACTACCCACACTGTCAACGTTGTCCGGATCGACCCCATCACAACCCTTCTGCTGGAACTTTCTCATCCTCGCCTCCTGGATCGCCTTGATGTTGGTCAGACAAGCGGGAGTACGGAGGTCCAACCAGTACTCGTCCCATCCATCCATCTTGTTCTTGTTGGACGAACATTTCTCGGTCTTGGCGTTGTAGGTGGATCCTTTGCCGCAGAAACAGTCCGACTTGAACAGGGCGGCATCGTCACTGTTAGTGACACATGGTATAGGGAAGACATCGTGAGAAAGGGATGCCAATACACTTGCAAATCGGCTGGTCGATAGACTTACCGGAAAGGCTCAAAGGATCCGGCCGAGAAGTAACACATGACGGTCTTGCCGGCAGCTAGATGATGGCAACGTCTACTCGGTCAGCCTACGCGCTTGTCAATCATGTTTGTAAAGGTGTGTGATATACCTTTGTATTCCGCACTTGTAGAACAAGGTCGATTCATTGTCAATTCCACAAGTGATCCATACGATACACTCTCCGAAGGACTCACATGGTCTTGTTAGAAGTATTATCTCCATCGACGATGTAGATGCTCGAGGTCACACTGATCTGATGGTTCGAAGTCACGGTAGGGTAGGAGATCTTCGGGTTGTCGAGATCGTAGATGATCGTGTCAGACAGTGTGAGATTCCTCTTGCCAGAAGAGGGCTTGATTTGTCGCGACTATGATATGGTAGGAGCGCTTAGATCAATCATGCGATCTTGAAGCGGAATGACGAAGGACGAGCACACCTCGAGGTCCACAGGACTAGCCTGACCGAGTCCGGCGAGTAGGAGTAGGACGGAGCACAGCTCCACGGGGTTTCTTTGAAAGATGTTGAGCATCCTGACGAGCGGTTGGTATATGCAGCGGACTTGTGACGATGATGTCGACACCCGTCCTCACGTCGTAAAGACCCAAGGGGGAGTTGTTTTGACCTGGATGTTATATACTTTCAGCCCAACGGGCGAAAGTAACTTCGGGCATAGGCCACGTGCCATCAGAGCGCGGAAGGATTCGCCCTCGCGCAACACACAGCCGAGAGGTCGGGCATGCGGTGCGTGCGGGGTGATAATTTAGTCCCTTCCGAAGGTGTTCCCCTCCTTTCTGTGCTCTGGGTCCTGTGCTTCTTGCTCACTCCTTTCACGGAACCGCGTTCCTCGTCTAGTTTCACTTGCCCCTGAGCCCCCCTGGTCGTCCCGACCTGTCCTGAAACGCCTTCTTGGCGCTCGTGCCATCGACGCCCCTCATTACTTGCCGCCCGGTCGTGACTGATCGTTTCGAGTGCTTCAACGCATCTCGAGGCTCAGCCGTAATCATCCTTCGACGGCGGTATGGGAACGTGTATCAGGTGCAAGAGCTTGGCGTTCTGGCTGCGGCTCCGCGACGTTGGTTTCGAATATCATCATCCTGCACGCTGTCGGTCTAATGCGATCATTCTGCGCTTCGATATCCTAGGGGACCACGGGCCGCGAATCGATTTATTGGCGATCTCCGCGGTCCAGGTGTCTCGCATATGTTACGTCAACCCTTCTGCGAGTACGATCGGTTCCTCCGTTCTCTATGGTTTTGCCCTTAGACCGGCAAAACGGTAGCAGACGCAGAAGACTCCTTGCGCGTTGCACGAGCGATCGAGCGATGTTTTCACGAGCGATGGGCTTTAACAGCGGCTTAATATGATGACACATTGTGAATCGGTGGGGAGTACTTGGATCATGTGAGTCTCTGCCCCCTATTCCCTTTCCAGACGCTCTACCAATCCTCGGACCTGAATCTCTGGTCGGGCACTATACTTTCTTCAGCTTCGCTGGTTGATACCACGGTTGTTGCAAAGTCTGACCTGGGTCAGCGAGGCCGGCTCAAACTTTCTCTGCCTCAGGCAAACCCTTGACGGCTTCTTCCCTGCTTCCGGATTTGGAGGCCTAGTCGATAATCCTATGAGACCTTGCGTCTGCATATATATCGAAATACGACTTGGCTTGTCAACCTTGCTTCGGGCCTCCAGCACAACGTTGTCGTTCACCATCGAAACGACTTCCACAGACGCCTTGACCTTGGACGTCTCGCGGTCGCGCGCGTTCTGTTCTTCTTTTGTTCGGCGATGCCCGTCCCGAGTTGGGAGAACAAAGAGGTCAAACGAAAACGACGACGAGGGAGTGAGAACAAGAAGAAAAAGTGTTCATGTCGAGCTCTCCATGAGCTCCCACCAGGAAGACTGCATGAACATGACCCATAATCCCGGCGGCCATACTACGTTGAGATCGCATCGTCATGGACACCTATACGAGGGAACGTTGGACGAGTTCTATCGATGGAGATCGAGTCGATATAAGCGTCGACCTTTCGGTTCATCAGCGATCAAAGAAGAACAAACTCAAAGGAAGGGTAGATTGGTTGAGTCAACTTCTACATCGAACGATTCGGACTCGCTTCTCCGTCATCCACCCCCACCGAAGTGATGGAACACAATAATATCGATCGCATCGATGGAGTGGGAGCTGAGGGGATGGATCAGTATGTCGACTATATTCCCGTACTCAGGGCTCACCAACACGGTATACCCCTCATCACCACGACACCACCCCCTTCGACCCCAGCGACACCTAGAAATCGAACACCTTTGCTTCAGGTACACTCTCCTTATACCCCTTCGACCCCGTCCGACCTACATAGACGATACGATTCGACTGTCCTCAGCTCTCCGACCCCGTCAGACGCAATCGTCTCGCGTGCTTTCAAACAAGAACTAGTACGGAAATTTGAGGATCCAGTACAAGAGGAAGACGTCGAGCTGAACGAAGTCGGACCAGCGACGCCTCCTGCGCATGCTCTACCGGACTCTGGCAAGACGTTGGAAGAGAGCCCGTTCCACAACTCGCAAGCCTTGTTTGTAGGCAAGAAGGACTGGTACCCAACGACCACCGCTGGAAACCGGAAGAGTCAGTGGGCAACTGAAGGACCAAACCCGTTCAGTCCAAAGGAATCTGACGGGATGGAATCGGCACAGGCGGGACCCAGTGACTCTGGGAATGGGGATGAAACCCCCAAATACACCCCGCCGAAAGGGACGATCAAGCTCCTCTTTCACAACTGTACGACACAAGATATCCTCTTCCGGGTCGTTCCCGCTATTATTCTCGCCGGAGCAGCCGCCATCGTCCCGATGTACATGACCATCCTCGTCGGAGATGCCTTTGGAGCCTTTTCCTACTTTCCTCTCGACTACCGTCAATCCACCTCGGAAGATAGGGCCAACCTGATGGCCAGCATCTCGCATAGCTGCTTGATCCTCACGCTCGTCGGTGCGGCCGGATGGGTCGTCAACTGTATCATGATCGGTCTTTGGGTCCGGGTTGGGGAACTCATTGCCCATCGGTTGAGGTCCGCGGTGTTTGATAGCGTCATGCGTAGGGGGATGGAATGGTTCGACTTGGGGATGGGATTAAAGGTCGAAGAGTTTGCCGACAAAAAGGAAGCTGGACCGGGAGAGGACGCCGAAGAGAATGTCGGAGCGGGAGGGCTGATGAGCAAGTTTACCAGGTGAGTTCTCAGCTAGTCACCTACTGCTGGCGCATAATGGCTGACTACATGTGCTCGAACTTAACCAGGGAAACCGACGACGTCCGTTTAGCTTGTGGCATGAACATGGGTCAATCGATCCAGGACATTTCCACTTTTTTGGCCTGTTTCGTTATGGCGCTCATCAAGTCCTGGCGTTTGACCTTGGTGACCACTTCGGCCATTCCACTGCTGGTCATCTGTCAAATCATCACCCAGATTTTCGTCAACCCGATGTTCGCTGCCGAGCGAAGAGCTCTTGCCGAGGCGTCCACCAATGTCGAACGTACCACCAGCGCCATGCCTACCGTCAAGGCTTTCAACGCGCAACAGATCGAGGTCGATAAATTCGAACACGGCGTCGAAAAGGCCAGGTCCAACTTTGTCCGCCAGGCCGTCGTCTGGTCAATATCGGCCGCATTCGGAAACTTTGTCCTCATGGCCATGTTTATCGCTGGCTTCTGGTACGGAGCTGGTCTCGTACGAGCTGACGAGGTCTCGCCGGCCACGGTGATGACCGTCTTCTGGGCTTGTTTGCTGGGAAGCGCGAGCTTGCAGCAATTCGTCCCGCGGCTCGTCCAGATCACCCATGGCAAGGAGAGTATGGCCGGATTAGTTGCTCTAATGCAAGCGCCTACTACCGTTAAAGGCAGAGTCCGACCCAGTTCGGCGGTTTCCGAAGCGACTTTAACCAACAACACCGTCTCGCCCACATCGCCCACGTTTCGATCGAAACCTTGGATGCGATCGAAGCCGAGAGTCAACAAGACGGCTTCGCTTGCTTTGCGCCAAATCAAGCCGAACAACGCCAAGGGCGAGTTTAATCTTCAGGGCGTGACTTTCGCCTACCCATCTCGACCGGATACGTTAGCGCTGGATAACGTCTCGCTGTTCTTGCCGGCTGGCGAGACGACGTTCATTGTGGGAGGATCTGGATCAGGGAAATCAACGGTCGCTCAATTGATGCTACGCCTTTATCCTGCAGACCACGGCGAGGTCACGTTGGATGACCAGGACATCCAATACCTGGACCTTGGCTTTACTCAGGAACACGTCGCTGCAGTACAACAGGGTTGTATCCTCTTCGACATGAGCGTGCACGACAATGTCGCAATGGGTCTAGCTGGATTGCCCAAACGCAAACCAGCAGATGCGACTCGAGACCAGGTCATCGAAGCTTGCAAGATGGCCATGATGCACGATTTCATCAACGGACTTCCTCAGGGCTACGAAACCAAGCTTGGGGCAAGAGGAGCTAGTCTCAGCGGAGGACAGAAGCAACGTTTGGCGATAGCTCGAGCGCGGCTGAGAGATCCGACTGTGTTAGTTTTAGGTGAGCACGAGTTCGACTCGTTTGAGCGATGTTACTCAGGCTGACAAGTCATGCCATTGTAGACGAGGCCACTTCGGCGCTAGACGCGGCATCGAGGATTCTCGTATTCGAGGCGATCAAGAGATGGCGAAAGAACAGGACGACCATCGTCATTACACACGACCTGTCCCAAATACAAAATGAGGACTTTTTATACCTGATGAAGGACGGCCGCGTGGTGGAACAAGGCTTTCGATCAGACCTCATCATGAAGGAGAACAGCGAATTCGGCATCATGGCTACCATACAGGCTCAAGTGCCATTCCCCTCAACCGATCGGGATCCATGGGAGACGGCGGACGATCTTGAGATCATGCTCGAGGACGATCTCAAGATCCGACCGGGATATCTGAGTATGCGACCTATCTCTCGTCAGAGCTTCCGGGCGACTTCCCGTCAGAGCGCCATCAAGAGCAACGCATACTCGACGTACCTTGAGATCCTCTCGGATTACCACGGCACGACTGGCTTGGCTCCAGGCGACAGGAACACCAAGCGGATGTCAATGCTGCTAGCTCCCGGCAACCGTTTGAGCCACCGACACAGCATGGTCAACATGCCGGACCGGCTTCAAGCTCCGAGCCCGCTTCATCTAGCTCGGCCCGCTTCGAGTATGGCGCGGAACCATTCACTGCGGTCCGATATCGAGGGCGATACCGGATTCGTGACGATGCTGGAAAAGTCGGCCGGCAAGTTATCCCCCTCCACGGCATCGCCCTTGTCATTCGATAGGCGACGATGGGACGAAGACGATGACGCTGTGTCACAGCTTCAGATCAAGGTCGACGCAGACGGAAAGGAGTTGTCAGCAGGAGAGGCGGAATTTGTTCAGCCTTCGACCGCGCCGCCGTCTATCTGGCATTTGCTTCGTACGCATTTGCCCAACGTTCCAAACAAGTGGTTGGGAGTTGTCGGTCTGGCCGGAGCCATTGGTCATGGTATCATAACCCCTCTGTGGTCCAAGGAGATTGCACTCTTGATGGCAGCTGTCAGTGCAGGTGGAGACAACAAGGCGTATATTACGTACTTGTCTGTCCGTATCCTCGGCATCACGGTCGGGGACGCTTTCGCCCTTGGCGCTCAATTCTTTTTCCTCGAGAAGATGGCTGGAGATTGGATCAAGATGCTTCGAGCAAAGGCGTTTGGACTCGTCATCGTTCAACCTCAACCTTGGTTTGACCGACGCGAGAATGGCTCAAGCCGACTGGTCCATACGCTCGTCAAGGATGCCGAGGACATGAAGCCGATGGTTTCCACAATCATCGGGCACTCGACCATGGTTGTCGTCATGATCGTAGCCGGTATCGCGTGGGCTATGGCAACGGGATGGAAGTTGACCATGGTTGGACTGGCAGTGGCGCCAATCTTCGCCCTTATCGCTATCTTGCAATCGAGAATCATCGGATTGCTCGAAGCCAAGAACAAGTTTTCTCGTGAACAGGTGTCGAGGACTTTCTACGAGGTGAGTTTGCATCTATATGTATAAAGAATGAGTCAACAAGGCTAACCAAGGCTTGTCGACGATGAAGAGCGTCGCTAATATCCGAGCCATTCGCGCTATGGCTCTGGGTAATACATTCCACACGCGATTTACGGACGACCTGTCCACCACGCTCAGATCTGGTAACGTAGCAGCCTGGGGAACCGGGATCGGGACCGGCACTGGAGCGGCATTGCCTTATTTCGTTCAAGGTGAGTCATCAGTGTTAGAACGTTCATTGACAGACCGAAGCTGAGCTCGAGAATCCCACACAGCCCTGTTGATTTACGTCTCGGCCATCTTCATCGTCAAGGGTTACTATGATTTCTCGACCATGATGCAGGTCTACTCGTTGGTTCTCTTCAGCGTGACCTTTGCTTCTCAATTTATGGATTTCAGTGAGTGATCAAGTGAGTCTGTAAGCTAACGCTGAGGCTGATAATCACAACTCTGCAGTCCCCGAGATCGCCAAAACCAAGATGGCCACTGCAGACTTTGATCGACTACGCCAGCTGACGACTGATACAGTCGAGGAAAAGGGAGATCTCAGGTTCCCCATCACTGGACATGTCAAGTTTGAGGATGTCGATTTCGCCTACCCTACACGACCGGATGTCCCGATCCTGACGGGCGTGAACTTCGAGCTCTCACAAGGCGACTGCGTAGCTATTGTCGGCGCTTCAGGAAGTGGAAAGTCTACCATCGCGGCTCTGTTACAACGACTATACGAGCCCGACCGAGGCTCGATCCGGCTGGATCGGTTTGAATTGGGTCAAGCCGACGTTCGATGGTTGCGTGACCATGTCGCCGTCGTCAGCCAGCAAGCCAATCTATTCGACGCGACCGTTGCGGAGAACATTGCCTACGGTACCCATGCTGTCCCGCTAGACGAAATCTATCGAGCTGCCAAAGCTGCCAACGTGCACGATTTCATCATGTCCCTCCCTCAAGGGTACGAGACCAACCTCGGCGAGAACGCTTCCCTCATCTCTGGCGGTCAAGCACAGAGACTCCAGATCGCTCGAGCCCTGATCCGACGATCCAATATCTTGATTTTGGACGAATGCACCTCGGCTCTGGACCCGGAGAATCAGCGGGCGGTTTTGGATACGATCATGAAGGTCAAGGAGGGCAAGACGACCGTGTTCGTCACGCACAAGGCAGACGTGATGAGACGATGTGATAGGATCTTGTGTCTGGACAGCGGCAGGATCGCCGAGCAAGGGACCTGGGACGAGTTGATGAGGAGAAGAGGGGTATTTGCAGGGCTGATGCGAGCCGGAGAATGGGAATAAGCCAGGTGCGATGACGAAAGTAGGAACAGCTACTGTATCTTAAGGAATGCAAATACAAGAGTTTCTGAGCGCGAGCATGTAGGGCTGGGCTGAAGCGCCATCTGATCTCCTCACTCTCCAGCGAAGGTAAGACCTCCATTGGTTTCTAGGTACTATTCGTTGGGTCTGGGCGCGGACGTGGATTCGCTTCACCGCATGGCGATAGACCTGGACGCCGGTGATATATCGAGACATACAGCTGCCCTTGTAACATCAGCTGGTCAAACTCCAGTAGTATTCTGAACGATCAAGCTAAACATCTTGCTGCTGACTCCACCTATGTTTGGCAGGTCCTCCGTCATAGATTCCTCTGCGATGTTGTGCCAGCAGGCAAGCACAAAGACACTCAGAACTGGCAGACGAGTGATTGCGGATAGAGGTATCTCGCGCTAGCTCGATGGCAAGAATTAGGAGTGTACGAGCACGTGAAAGGTTTCCCTGGAGAAGGAAGAACATGGCTTACGTCATGCATCATTTGATGTCATATCGGCTCCTGAGTTGTCCGGTACTTGGGGTTTGCCCTTTGTGCATCGCTTCCAAATTCCTCAAGATCCACCGGAACCGCTCGGTTCGTCGTTGGCGCTAAAGTGTGATTGATGAAACCTTAATCATCCCGCGCGGCTTCTACCGAGGGAGGGCGGGGGAGATCAGCGGGGTCAATCAGGTTTCATTGTATGTGGCGTCGACGATCCGGACGACGTGAACGCCGAGCACAGCGCGGGACAGTGACAGCAACAGTGGTGGGTCGTCACCCTGCGATGTGATACTAGCTACTAGTGATCTAGTGATCTAGTGAACGCTCGGAGAACGTCAGCACCCCGGACTTGGCAAATGACGCGACTCTAAGCGATCGCCGATTTGTCGATCGAGGCTTTGTCCAATCAGTCAATTCTCGTATAGCAAATGACATCTCGCATCTCGGTTCCTCTAGCATTGGCCGTCGGATCATCGGTGTTTTGAGGGTCAGCAGAGCCTACAATCGCCCTACATCGTCTTTGATTTGTAGCTGCATAGCTGATGACTCTCGGATTGGAAAAGCAACACGTGACTTGTATTGGGTTGCTGAGTACTACATTTGACACCATTCACTTAGTTTCGATGAACCCGATGGTTGGCAACAGGGAGATTCAAGCCGGACAGAATAAGATGACGTGAAGCAGAGAGAAAGAGCAAAACGCTCAAGTCAAGATGGTAGATCTACGGTACTGTAAATGAAAGAAATGCAGCCTATCAGCTTTGAAGTACTTTGACATGCTTTTACGTTTTACAAGGCAGTACTCACATCCGATCAACGGCTCTGTTTGGCCTGATGAATAGCACGGGATGCTTTGGCAGCGGTCACTCTCGATCTGACACTCATAGCCTAGAGGCAATACCAGCGAAGTGGACAGAGAAAGGTATGTTGAAGGTAAGAGGCATTTTCGACGGACCGAACTTCGATATCCGTCTTACCTGGTTGAAATCAACATCTCTATCTTGACCGGCATAGGAGGGTTCAGAAGGTGTAGGTCCGCTTTGTGTGATCTGAGGAGACGCCTATATGAAATCATTCGTATGAGGGAACCCACCGGCAAAGCCCGCTTCATGTACTTACGATGCTGCGAGAACCTTGATGCGAAGACGGTTGAATGCGATGAGAGGCAGTCTGGTGAATGAATCGATTGTGGAGCAAAAGCTAAGTCTGCTGGAGCATGCGGTGGTCCGCCCCACGAAGCATTGTTTTCTGAGCCGCCTGGTGCAGTTGCCGAATCATCTCAGTCGCTACCTGAAGACGATATGCTCAGAAAGTTAAAAGAAGCGAAGCCGGAACATCCTCACGCCTTTGAGCGGACTCACAGGTACAGTCAAGAGATCTTGATCCGGCCTAGTCCGCATGTACGTATTGATGTTCGGAGTTGAGATGTAGCAAGGAGTCCCTTCACTCTGGACGGACTGACCGCTCATAGCAACTGACGCCAAGTTGGATGTGAGGTGGTAGATACGATTCATCCCGGCTGAAACATTCTGGTCGACCTGAATCGGTTCGAGTCTGTGTTGGAGGTTGTAAGACTTCTCCAGAGACACGCTGGAGTTGCCGTAGTGCGACTGATCGATCGAGGTCTCCTCTCTACCGAATAGTTCTTCGTAGAAGTCGTCGATTCGACGAAAGGCGGCACGTTCGCGAACTGTAGTATTGAACCTGACCGTTTCATGGTCGGCCTTGATAGTGAGGAGAAATCGGTCCGATACCTCTTTGAACTCTGCTTTGGTCGCTTCGGCGTCGTTGGGGTTCTCGCGACGAAGCTCTTTGACACTATGAAGCAAAGAGAACGATAAAGGACCGCAAAGATATGTACCCATGCTCCTGGACAACACTTACGACTCTTCGTAAGCATCAAGCCTGGCTAGAAAGGTCGTCTCAGGTCTTTCCTCTTGCGGAAAGTCGACCACATCGTCCACCGTGGTTTCAACCCGCCTCGCTAGGCCATCGGCAGTTCCATCCTGATAATCTCCTGGTTGAGAAGCTCTGAGAAGCTCCAGCGGGTCGCGTTGCCTCGAGACTCTCCCCAGCTATCCGTCGCATCAGTGGAATCTTGTACCATGTGCTGTTGCTGATTGTGTAGCCTTCGTTGCTGGAAGATGGTATCGAGAAGGCGGACAGCTTGCATGTTCGCTCGACTGTTGTCGAGATTCGCTCGGCTGTTCGCGATGTTCGCTCGGCAGATCATGTTAAATCGGTGTAGCCAGTCGTCGTGAGGATTATGATGCGACATGATTGTCGAGAAGAGAGGGTATACACGTATACGAAGTGTGTCTGATTTGGACTGATGGAAAACCCCGCGTGTGTTGATCTGTTGCTTATGCTACCTGCGTACCTAAATATGTGTGATGACTGATAGCTGGTAGTCAAACGATGTACACGATATGATGGATAAGATGACAGGAGTACAGGAAAGTATCATCAGCTCATCAGTAGTAGTACTAGTAGTAGTAGTGTAATGATCACGGTGTGCCGCCCGCTATGGTCTGAACCCGTCGGCGCGCATGAACGTATGCGGTCGGGCAACGAAAGTAGCTGATCTGAACCCGAAAGCTTAGCCGGAGGCGGGTTATCATCCCATGAATGAATGTCTTGCAACTGATCGGAGATTGAAGTTGAATACCACAACACGACTGATAAGCAAACCATGAATTGACATGCAGGAATTACAGAGGTGAAGCGACGATCGATGGGGGCCACAACCGCCCTGCTCGCCCCGCTTGCAGTGACTCAATCGAGATGATCCTGAAAGTATCTAGATGGCGATCGTTCAAGAAATGTCCATCATTGTGAGGGAAACGTTGCCTGACGACTAACCTAACCCGATACAATTGATTTTATCCTTGACTTGAATCCTCTTACGATGTTGAAGCCGTGTTCAGTGGTAACGTCCAGGGGTCGTGCCGGCTGTCAAGGGTCCTCCGTAGCGAGCACTCTACGTCTATAATCCGCCTATCTCCGTCATCGATTTGCCGGCCATCTAGCATGACGGAGGTTGCAGGTGTGGCTTATGTTTTAGGAAAAGAGTAGAAGGAAAAGAGATCATGCGGAGAAGAGCTTATGGAGGAGGGATTCGGACCGAGCAATCGAAAAGAAAGAAAGAAAAACGGGCAAATAATCACCTTGTTCTCGGAATGCACGAGCGCCCAGTATGGACGACGAGACTGTAATAATGTCCACAAGGGGACATGAGTAGAGGTAAAAGGGCGGGTGGAGAGGTGATTGTCGTTGAAGGTGGCAGGAATGGAAAGAATAGGCGACGTGACGTGAAGGAAAGATACTGAATGATTGCGATGACGATGGCAGAACGGGTATCAGAACACATTCTGACTCTTGAGATGTCTCATACTGGTAGGAACTCACGGGTAGAAGAGTACGCCGAAATTGGAATGTCAGGTTTACTTCGATACGAAATGCATCTGAATCTGTCAGAACAGGAAGGTGATTATGAGCTCGTCGCGATCAAGTGGAGTGAGTCTAAATTTGACTTATCGTAATCGAGAGGTCTCGCTGAAGGTATTGTCGGATGGCGGACGGAGAGGAAACCACCGACCAACCAGGACGACGACACGCTCTGGCGGATCAATACGATACTGATCAGGCTGCCCCCAGAGGTCGCCCATCACTGATCGGTCGCCAGGTTCACAAGCGTCCTCTCCGGTGACGTGGGCTCGAGATCTTGAAACCAGGCCAGAAAACCCATGCATCAGGGACTCCGGTGAAGGGGTTCACCATCATTCGGCATGGGAGTTGTCCACTTGTACGAAGATTGAGCTTGTCGACGTTGTGGTCCAGAGTCAAGATCATCCGAGTCCCGGCCAAGGGCGAACTGGACGCCGATCAGCCCGATCTCAGCGTGTCCACATGACACAATGACGGGGGGATTGATCGTCCTCTGGATTGGCGGGGACCCGGCCTAGACGTCCCCCCTCGAGGCGATCATCGGGGCGCATGCTCATAACCGAGATGACAACCCCAACGACCACCGAGCCGGTTTCGACCTAGACCAGGTTATTGAGATCCGGTACAGATCGGCCTCGTAGAGCGGTTGTGTACGGGAAGCCCGAGGCCGGGACAGCCAGAAGGGACGGCCGCAAAGGTATCGCGACCTTTCCCGGATTGGGCGAGACGTCCTGAGACTATTTAGGTAGAAGAGCCGGCACAAAGCTACGATTCAAAGGCTGGTCAGCGGGGATTGGTGTTTTAGGTTGCGTCGAATCCATGTGACTTACTAAGAATACCGAGTAAGGATATGTAGATAAGCACGGTCGAGAGGATACCCATCCAGGACGTGGCGATTAGCATGGGCGATCGAATGTGGAACGGTGACATAGATGATTCGGACTGACTGGTCAGCTTGTTGACTGTTCCTTTTGCCCGCAGGTACATGGCGTGAATATCGAGGCTCCCCCTTTGTACATAGAAATGAAGATATCGGTGAATTTATCAGCCTCAGTGCTAAGATCGTCGAGATGTGATCGAGAGTCTTACCTTGACGACTGCTGTGTCAACAAGATTTGGACGATAAGAGGCGGCACATCAGCATTCGAACTGTGGCTATGAGCAGTCTTATAGCACGACAGCCGTGATGAAGTCTTTGTGAGCTGCAGCCAGAAGTGATATTCCAGCTCTCAACACGAGATGGAACAGCTGGGTCGATGCTTGTCGTCGAATTCGTCGAAGGCACTTTTGCGAGGTTGGGGTGGGTCTGGCGGTTCGTCGCGCTATCACTCGACCCTCTTTGCGCTTTTTCTTGGTCAGCGCAGGGACATTGCATGGACATTGGGAGCATCCGCGGATTCTCGGTGGTCAGACAAAAGGCAGTGTCGTCGATCTGAATGATCCACCTTTCGAGTCCCGAAAAACGCGTCATGTTTGGAACAGCTGATCACGAGCGAAGCGGGCTGAGGAGCTGATGACGTTTACGTTCACGAGCGTCAGTTTCATGCGCGACGGTAAGCCGGATCGCTCGGCAGATTAGTGGCAAGGCGCAAACACGGTCTCGCCGTGTTCGCCCGTTGCGCTCACTATGAGATCTCGGCATCTCACTTGTCAGATACCCCCCGAAGTACAACCAAAGGAGTCTCCCTTTCTCGAACCGATCAGAAGGCACAGCCCCAGGTCGTCCGTCATTTGTCGTCTGAAACAAAAGATTGATCGATCACGCGCGCCCACCGCTCCACCCGAAATGTAAACAAAATGACCGGGAGGCAAGGAATCCACTCAGTCGCTCCTGAGGTCAGATCCGAAAGATGTCAAGACGCAGAACGAAAAAGGGAAATGAGATACGAAGAACGAGAAGCGGGAGATGAGATGCGAGATACGAAATGTGCTCACTCGGTTCCGGTGATAACCTGCTTGCCCGTCTCATAGGACCGGTTTCTCCAGGCTTCCTAGCACTGTCCGAAGTGCTAGTCCCGTGACTCTCGTCGTGTTGGGCAGGGGCGAAATCGGAAACGAGCTGAACGACAGCATTGGGAACAGGGTGCTTGGCATCGGGAACGGGGTGTTTAACGAGGGCATCGGCCTTGACAGCACTAAGATTGGTGATGAATGTTTCGATATCGAATCCGTTGATGTCAAATTCAATGAGGTGCGGTTGATGTTCCTGTCAGATCAGATGTGAAGCATAACAGTATGAGCTCGTGATGGACGTCCACCTTGAGCTCGTGATCGACGCCTTGAACTTACGCTTATAGCCTGGCTATTGTTCTTCCCAAACTGCCCACCGGTGCCGCTGTTTCCCCAGTCACCACCGTCAAATCCTTGGAACAGTTGGAGCTGTTGGATCGGTTGTTGCAGCTCATGCTGTTGCTGCTGAGGGACTTGTCCGTGCGACGTGCCGCTGTGTCCCCAGTCGCTGCCATCGAATCCTTGGAACAGTTGGAGCTGTTGGATCAATTGTTGCAGCTCATGCTGTTGCTGAGGGACTTGTTGTTGCTGGTCCACAATGCTGTTGCTGCTGAGGGACTTGTTGTTGCGACGTGCCGCTGTGTCTCCAGGCCGCCATCGAATCCTTGGAACAGTTGGAGCTGTTGGATCGGTTGTTGCAGCTCATGCTGTTGCTGTTGAGGGACTTGTCGTTGCGACGTGCCGCGGTGTCCCCAGTTGTTGCCATTGAATCTTTGGAACAGTTGGAGCTGCTGGATCGGTTGTTGTAGCTCATGCTGTTGCTGAGGGACTTGTTGTTGCTGGTCCACGATGCTTTGAAACAGGCGGACGACCCAAAGGTTCGCTTGTGCCTGCTGGAAGTTTGCTCAGCTCTGTTCAGCGGCCCTTGAGCGAGGCTCGAGAAAGCCTCCAATAAGAGACGGTCGTATTGCGGCATATCGAATTGAGAAGGAGCAGGGCGAGAAGAGAGGAAGGACATACGTAATGTAGGAGATAGGAGTGCAATTTTTTAGTCGTGATCGTCGTGATCGTCGTGATCGTCTATCGTCTACTTGTATCCTTGCGTACGTGCGACTTTTGGCAGCTTTACGGCACAATCGTACCAAGCGTGACGATGCATCTGACGACATGATCGACATGAACGGCTACAAAGCTACAGATTTGTGTCTACGCGTCTACGACGGCTGTCTCAACGCAGTCGACCTCGCTAGACTTTACAACGCAACCCCGTCGCAGACATTCCAACTTGACTGATACCATCGACCCGGCAGAGGCTGCCGCTGAACTCCTGCATGTACTTGGCTCCCGAATAAGGGGACTTGACAGAGTTCGAGCCCTTCATTATCGGCTTCAGGCTGGCGGCGCAGATATCGAACTCGCTAAAGTGATCGTAGGAGATCTCCACGGCGTTTCGTGGGTTGCGATCGCCGGCGGTGATGACGGATCGAGCCTGTCAAATGGACGTTCCGCTTAGTGTTCAATCACTTCGGCATAAAAACAAGTAGACCACTCACTTGCGAAACGACCTTCGAATCGGCAGGCTTCATGTCTACTAGCCGGCGTGCGAACACGGCCGCAGTAGAGTTGTTTCCCGCCTTGGCGAACACACGCATAGCGGATCGCAGAGCGAGCTGAACGTGTGCGGGCTGAAGCTTGCAATGCGTAAAGAAGGCGGCCAGGTCGAGGTTCCTGCTCAGAGCGTCGGGCTCTTCTGCAACAAGACGTTGACGTTCGGTTTCCAACATGAGACCGATGACATACTCTCGGGCCAGGTCGAGCAGGTTCGAAACCTGTTTGGCAAGCGGACAAACGTCAGGTCCGCATGTCCGGCGGCGCGAATTGTACCAGAGAGCTTACCTCGGCGACCTCGGTATCGGTCTTCACGACCAAGAACACTAGTTTACGGAATACCCCACGGAACGCCTCCAGCGACTCGACGAATTTGCCTCGAGTGAAAAGCTTGAGACCTTCCGCAAATTCGCCTTCTTTGATTGCTTCTAGCGTATGCGAGGTGAAGGGCAAGGCTTCGCTCTGCTCTACGGTGTCAGGGTTTCGTCGTACGTTAAACTGCAGTGGTGACAGCGATGGGTTGGCCGCGACGTGGATATGCGAGGACTGGTACGCCGCGAGGAAGTACGGTTTCAAAGGCTCGAAATTGACGGCTCCCACTTGACGGTTTAGGAGCTAGATGAGTAGTAGAAAAGCAGCGCAGGCATCGATGTCAGTCGCAACTTTCTGAGCCGCGATTCATAGATCCCCCGCGCGAACTCACCTGCATGGCCGATTCGAAGGATCCCGCAGCCGCATGATCGATGGCGAGAGGGGAATTGCGTGTCCAGTGCTCGTCTTCTCCGACACCAGGCGATACGTCCGTTGTGAGATCGACTTGTTCGTCGACAGGCACGTTGCCCTGAGGCTCTTCTTCGGGGACCAGGACGTCCTCATCTAGGCCCCACCCATCATCTTCCCCGGCTTCATCGGCTTCATCACCAGACATCGCCTCGTCGGCCGAAAGCCATGTTTGCTCCGCATCGGGATCTTCGGTATATCCGTTGGCATAAGAGGCTTCACCGTCAACCGCCCCGGCTGCAAGAGCTTTATCGAAGTAGCTCTCCCCGAGCGATTTCGTAGGCCAGGTCTTCTCGACCTGTCCCGTGATGACAGGCGGCGGTCGGAGGGTACTAGGGCCTGCAGTGGGAACGACGGGAACGTCCTCGTCCGTCATACCGGCTTCGACGAGAATCTCTTCGGCCAAATCGTCGAGACCATTCGTCTTTGCGGTATGGTAAGCGAGGGCGTCTAAGCAGCTTGAATGTTAGTTACAGATCATGCTCTGGCAAAGGAAAGGGGAACTTACGCATTCCAGTTTCTTTCAAGACTGCGATGCGGCTCTCGACATCACCGAGATAGAGAGAGTTTTGGAACCGCGACATCTGGTCGCCTCGCTTGATGGAAATCCCGTGCATCATGCCCAACTTCTTCTCGTTACCGGTAACGAGGTAGAGGAAGGAGAGCTTGTCGAAATTCTTGGTCTTTTGATAGGCCAATTCGACAATCTGTGGCAGCCATCTGATTCAGTTTGCGCGCGTGCCATCTCGCTGCAATCCAGACTGGACATACCGGGTGATTACCCTGCTTTAGAGCCTGCTCGCCGAGACGCTTCCAAACGTCCGCCTTGTCGAGTTCCTTGGCCATCTCGAGAGCGACAGTGAGGTTTCCGCATTCGATGGCTAGGTCGAAGCGGGTAGTAGGGTCTTGGACGAAGTGAAGAGCGATCTCGGGATACCCTTTCTTTTGCAGGTAGGCGATGATGCTCTGTCCGACCAAGTTCGAGTTGCGAATGATTTGCAAGACCTCGTCGTAATTCTTCTTAACCAAGGCCAGCTTGAACCGATACTCGGTGGGGTCGATCTGAATGGTGCGAGGGCGAGCAGTGCGGTCAAGACAGTATACCGTGGATCCCTTGACGCGGGTAAGGTACACTGGTTGCTCCAAAGTCTTGATAATACCGTTATCACTGTGTGCATTGCAGGATATCAGTTTCGTGGTCCTGAACCCCGCACGTTGACCCGTTCGACGAACCCTTGGAAAAGAGCGTATTTGATGTGATTGAGGGTGGTGTAGATCAGCACACCACTGTCATCCCATGCTGCCGATTTGATTCGGATCGTCTCGTGGATCAGGGAACTCTGGGTGAGGGACTTGTTCGCGATGGTAATGGCTGCCAGTCAGATGTAGAGCATTTAGTAAATCGCCGTGAGGTGATCGTCAGGAGGATGCTGGTGAAAGACGAGACTTACTATGCTTGCTCAAAAGAGCTACGCTGTTTCCATCAACGCTCCAAACAACATATTTGACCGGCGGCGTGGCCAATTCGGCCAATGCCTTTTGCTGCTGGATATCGAACAGGACGACGGAAGTCGGAGTCGACAGCAGGAGGGAGGCGGTACCACCATAGAAGATCTCGCTAGTCTGGGTAGGAAGCTTGATCGTCTTGGTCAAGGAATTGTTAAGGTCTCGAATTTCGACCGACTACCAGAAATCGATTGCAAACTTGTTGAGCACTCAAATCCGGACAATTAACACTTGCCCTCAGCGAGACTTACCTGAGCTGTCTTGTCGAGCACGGCCAGACGGTTCCTCGCGACAAAAATGGCAGAAGATCCCTGGCCGCGTTTTCCATCGACAGCCGAATCTCGGACTTCGCTGGAAGCTTCACGGGGTAAAGCGACGAGTTCGTAGATCCCGTTGTCCGAGGTCTATCATTGTACGAGGAAGGCAACCCGAAAGCGGATAAGCATCCCATGCTCTTGACTGAATATTCTGAACATTCTGCAGATGGCTAAACTCACACTCGTAACAATAACAGCTCTTTCGGCAGGGTTGTAGCTCAGTGCTCGAGGCTGGACGTATTGAGAACCAAACTTTCTGACGCTCATGACGCTGGTATCGGTCCCGGCAATCAAGTCACGCATCCGAATGGTCTTGTCTCGAACGTAAAACAGATTGTTTCCAGACAAAGCGAAGGCAGGTCGCTCTCTTTCCAACTTGAAGACGATGAGACCGTTGTCATGTCCGGCGGCGAAGAGGTTGAGTGTCGGATGAGCGGTCAAGACCCAGAAGCGGTCGTGTTCCCTGCGGAAGGTCTGAACGGCAGTTCTCTTGGTCATATCCCACACACGGATCGTCTTGTCCTCCCCATCAGACAGAATGAGCTCGTGGCGAGGGTGGAAAATGCAGGACGAGACGTTGTTGAAGTGTCCCCTGCAGGTGTCAACCTCCCAAGCCTTGGTGTCGGACATCCTCCAGAGCTTGATTTGACGATCGTCACCACACGAGACGATCAGCGGCAAGGTAGGATGGAAAGAGGCCCAGTTGATACCTCGGTCGTGCTGCATGCCGAGAAAGAGAATAAGTCGGCATTTTCTAAGACGGACGAACAGAGAGACCTACTCCTTCCAAGACGTATTTGACCTGATAGTCGCTCGCCGCTAATCAGCCTGAGTATCTGTATGGGAAACGCAGGACGACTGCTCACGACGGCATCGGTGTTTCCAAATAAATCGGCCTGACCCTGGTTGGCTCGCGACAGTTGCTCCTCCATGCTCATAGGTGCTTGATGAGCCTGGTGCTTCTTTTTAAGCCCGGTAATATCCCAAACTCGAACGGTCAAATCCATCGAAGCCGAAACGATCAAGTCTTCGGTGGGGTGGAATTGGGCAGACCTGTCAAGAATTTTTCAGATCAGAGCTGAGCATCGGCGAGTCCGGCCAGCTTCTCAGGGCTTACATGATATAATGGTTGTGGCCGCTAATGTTGCAACGAGACGGAATGTCAATGCTTGTACATACCATGATAGCAGACAATATCATACTCACGTCAGGATGGCAATACACGTTCTTGATTGCCAGTTCCAGATCCTGATGGTCTGATCGTCGGAGGCAGACAAAATCCAGGGGTACTCCCGGTGGAAGTAGGTCGTCCTGACGTAGTCGAGATCTGCAGCGTGAACCGAGCGTTAGGTTTTCCTTTGCGTCTCAACAGACCGTTCCGAGCCGGGAGGGGAAGACTTACGGCCAGTCAAAGTGAACAGGCACTTTCGCTGCTTGTAGTTCCAGACCTTGATCTTGTAATCGTCTCCCCCGGAAACGAAGATGGGTTGGGTCGGATGGAACGAGATTCCACGAACAGGACCTGTCCAACGACAAGACACGACGAGTCAGAACAAGCTCGCTCATGCCAGGACGATATTCAGCTCACCATCGTGCTCATCGTAACGGTCGACCAAGGTTCCCATCTGGTAGTTCCATAACTGAATAGTTCCATTGTGGAGAGTTGCGGCGAGGAGAGGCTGCTTGGGATCTAGGAGAGAGCCAACATAGATCATTCCGTAAGCATAATCTGCAGTGACACCGTGTGATCGCTGTCAAAGGCATCGGTACTTACGGAATGCGATTCCCTTCACCCGGGGGCTCTTGGACTCGAACTGCAAACGACCATTGCGTGTCAACAACTTTCATGACAGCTCGTCTCGAATCATAACGGAGACTCACCTTGGTGAGCATCTGCATCTTGGCAGTTCTGTAGTCCTGTTGTTATCTGATTTGTTGCTTTCTGCTGTTGTTCACGTCTGTACCGTTCGCGTCCTCTGAAGTCGGTCGAGGTTCCGGCTGCCGAGTCGCTCGGGATAGGGTTTCGCGATCGAGTATCTCCTAATGCGATTCTCTGACCTAGACGAGATTGTACTTGCAGGCCTTTCGATGGGTGCTTCAGACGATGAAGGCATATAGGTTCGGGATGACCGATATCATTCAGCAGCTCAGCAGCTAGTATCGGCGCAGCGACGTGTGAGGGTCTCCCCTACCTTCGCTGCTGGATACGCGGGAAAGATGTCAGGAGGATGATTACGTAACTGAATGACTGAGCACAACGTTTGCGACCGAAATGGTTGAAAGACCTCGATCGATCGAATATGCAGTCGGCATATTACTATTCGACGGCGAGAGACTGCAACAACATCCTATCGTATAATCTTCATTCATCAGCAAGACATACAAAATCTTCAACATGTTCGCTCGTTCAGGACTCCGCACTCTTGTCAGTGTCCCGCATCGTGACGGCTACAACTCGACCTAATGAGCCTGCATCTGCCAATCGAATAGCGTTCATTACCCGCTCGTCAAGTTCAGGCTTCGGTCAACGTGCTGGCTCAGCGCAGGGCCTTGTCGGATCAGGCTAGAAAGTTGATCGATGATGTGAGTGCCTTTGCAACGCGCTGCTTGCCATCCGGATGGACCTGTTGTGGAACAAACTCGGAGCGCTGATTGCCTCATGGTATCGCTTCCGGATCGATATTTGTTAGGCTGTCACGCAAAACCCTCTAGTCGTTTTCATGAAGGGTACTCCCGATGCTCCTCAATGCGGTTTCTCTCGAGCGGTCTGCCAGATCCTCGACGTGCAGGTAAGCTCGTCATCAGATACGCATCGCCACTCATACCCCCGTTGGCTTACTAATCCGTCATTGTTCCGGGTCTCCAGGGGGTCTCTCCTGACAAGCTCAAGAGCTTCAACTGCCTTGCGGATCAGGAGCTGCGAGAGGGAATCAAGGAGTACAGCGAGTGGCCTACTATCCCGCAAGTCTACGTCAAGGGAGAGTTTGTCGGTGGTTGCGATATCATCCTGAGCAGTACGTTTCCGGGCTTTGTGGATGTGAGGATGCAGGAAGTATCAGCTCATATACAAAGTATGCTTCGCAGTGCACCAGTCGGGAGAGCTCGAGAAGCTGTTGATGAAGGAGGGTCTCGTATCAGAGTACCTCCCCGAGGACGCCCCCGAGCCGAAGAAGGATTAGATCTGAGATAGGATTGTATCAAACAAAATCGTTCGAGAAGACTTTACGATGCCTCGATTTCCGATGCAATATCTCGCCCATCTATCGAATCAAACAGCCGCTATTCCGAGCGATTCCTGTTGAAGAACTTCACAGTGGTAGGGTGAGCGATGTGATACAGACATTCAAGCTATCAAGCGATACATCCGCCTTTCGAGACGCATACTCGACCGCTAGATCAAGAAGCCATGTGATGGGTGCGATTTAAGCGGGCATACAGTTTTCAAATCTTCAGGCAAATATGTTGATACAGTGTAGATCAAAGGCTTGACCCCCAACCCGAGTGTCAAGCGGCTCAGATCTTGGCGGCCACCCTGATCGCCGCTCTACAACCTGCCCCGACGACAGCGCTCAACAGTGCATGGCCCGGTGTCAACTGCGCCTCATTTTCCACTGCGACATCCAGGTGTTCTAGCTCGTCGTCCCTAAACTCTTGCAAGACTTCATGCAGCAACGGGAGCGAGGGATGTACCTCCGACGTCGGCAAGGAGGTGGTGGTGAATGAGGATGGTACGCCAGAAGAGGTATGGTCGGGCTCAACGATGGCCGTTGTGGAGGATGTATGAGCTTGAGGTGGAGAAGAGTTCGATGTCGAGGGCGGAAGCACTGCCGAGAGCGCTTTGATTTGGCTTTGATGAAGGTATGATAGAGCGAGCCTTTCTATCAATAGATCACGACAAAGAGCATCTCATGGCTTATCATGGCTTACTCATCATAATGCTCCCCAATGACAGTCTCAACAGCCTCTGTACACGCCATAATCGCTCGCTTGCCCATCAAAGCCGTTCCCGCTCCAAGTCCCATAGCCATAGCCTTCCAGATTGGGTAGAGAATTGTCGGTCGGACGCGATGTTGTTTCTGGAGACGCAGAAGGGTTGCGAGATGATGCCGTTCCGTTGCCCACATTTCCTAAAAACGATCGGAAGGAGGCGGGTCAGATACCTCAGAGGTATGACCCGATCCGAGACATGGACTGACTTCGACTTGTTGAGCCGTCTTCTTGTCACCCTTGACCTCGGAGACAAACTTGGTAGCTTGATAGATCCAGTTTGCCGCAGCCTCTCCAATATGATCTACCCTGATCGTCTCCTCCAACAGTTTCCTCTGCTCCGGAGCCAAGTTGTTGGGCGTTGCAGTTGTTGCTTCGATCGGGCGTTGCTGGATCACCGGGGGTTTCGATGGTCCTCCCTGAGCCGGAGTGGGCACCCCATAGATATAGGAAGCGGGCGTAGCTGAATGATTGGTCGAGTGGTTCCTAGAGCGACCATACACAGAGCTGTACACCTGCCGAGTGGCCTTGCGTGACGTTATTATCGCCGTTGATACGCTTCGAGTTGAAAATATCGCCTGCATGATTCTGCGAGGTCAACGTGCGTGGTCAGGCTCTCTTCCATCGGCTTAGAGACTGGCATCCACGTCAAAAAGACTCACAACTAGCAGGTAGACGCTCCCTATGCTGGCTTCGTCTGTATAGCTGAAAGATGTCGGAAATTGCAAAGTGGGTGCGAGCTTACTAGTACTTGGTACTTGGTACAAGCAGGTCATGGCGATCGAGATCGACCGGGGACGAGCGATGCTAGATCACGTGATCAGACCAGCCGCAGAGAGATATTGCCTCGCGGATATTTCTGAACGACGACCGGTATCGAAGATATCATCGAGGTGGATCCTGACTGACCTTACAATCGCACCTCAACCATACAACTCACAGCCATCACGTATAGAAGAGAGAGCGGCCATGTCGATGCTCAGGACTATGTAGGCCGAAAGTCCTCTCTGTTCGACCACGTGAAGCTCACAAAAGCGCTTTGGCTACTTCGTTTGCAGCAAACCCAAGAACGCTCGTGCAAAGCGAGCCCTCGCAGCTAGGGAACCTCAGCTGGTAGAGAACGAGAAGACGGCGATCTTTGTGCGTGGGGAAAAAGTCAGCGAGAGCGTTCGGGATGCCATGAAGGACCTCGTAAGCCCGAGCCATATCAAGTCTGGTGCCGGAATTCTCATTCAAGCTGATCTGTTCTATCGCTTTAGCATGCTCTCAAGCTGCCCCACTCCATCAACTTTAACAAGAAGAACCCCATCCATCCTTTCGATGCCGATCCGTCCCACGGTGTCAACTCGCTCGAGTTCTTCAGCGGAAAGAACGATGCCTCGCTTTTCGTGGTGGGATCGCATAGCAAGAAGCGACCGAACGGGTTGACCTTTGTGCGGACATTTGATGGGCGGGTTCTGGATATGATTGAACTCGGAATCGACAAGATGGTTGCCATGAAGGATATCAAGGTGAGCTTGTCAACGGAGGTCTTGAGCCAGCCGTTCTCGCTGATCCGACGGTGTTCACCTTGCAGTCTCCCAAATCTACCCCAGGTCACCGAATCCTCATGTCCTTCCAATCCTCTCTGTTCAACACTCACCCTACCTTCCAACTTCTCAAGTCCATGCTTCTCGACTTTTACAACGGTCACGAGCTTACGGAAATTCCTCTTCAAGGGCTGGAGACCGTCATGACCGTGACGGCGGGACCTATGGATGGAGATCAGACTGGAGCCAGTTCGGCGGCTATGGCTATGGAGGGTGCCAGTGCCGGTGCGGAGAGCAAGGAGAAGCTACCTTCGGTACACATCCGTGTGTATACGGTCAAGATGCTTGCCTCCGGTACCAAGGTGCCTAAGATCTCTTTGACCGAGATGGGACCCCGGATGGACCTGTCCACCCGGAGGACTCAGCTTCCCGATCCGGAAATGTGGAAAGAGGCCATCAAGCGACCCAAGATGGACAAGAAGACGATCACCAGTGGACAGGGAAAGAAGAGGAAGAACATCGAGACGGACGAGATGGGAGACCTGGTCGGACGTATCCACGTGGCCAAGCAGGATCTCAACGCGATGAAGGGGAAACGTCTCAAGTCGCTCAGGGATCCTGCTACCGAACGACCGGCCAAGAAGCAGAGGGCCAAGGTCGCTGAGGATGTCACGATGGACTAGGACGAGAGGAGGGAATTGGTCTCGGTTTACGCGTAATAGAGCTCTCGGTCTCTTGTCTCTATCAGTTCCGTTCGCTTGTACATGGTCTTCGAGATGTTGTCATTCATAGTTGCTGGGGTACTCGTTTGTTTGGCCGAACGGGTCAGAGCGGTAGAACGGGCGGTCGGTCTACCTGTTCATCAACTAAATTGCCTGTGCAGTTTAGTTGGTTCCGAGTCAGTCCCGATCCCGGTCGTGAAGGCTCAGGTCTGGTCTTCGTCGACCGACCCTCCGAGGGGGACGTGACGATATCACGTATGTTGACGTTCGTCCTTCCTCGACCTAGAGCTCGTGCAAAGCATTACGTCTCGTCAGCGACTTCAAGTGGAACGGTGCCTCGTGTAAACAGAGACTTCGGCTCTCGTGAGTACGATCGACCGGTCGCGTCGAGCTGCACTTGGCTGATCTCTTGATCTCCAACCATCTACCTCCCTTCACGCGACGGCTTGACCTATCGAACCTCTTTCGACCGACGATCCCGTACCCGCCAATCTTTGGATCATCGTTGGAGGCTCAGGAAGATTTTGGTGATCCTTTGGCTACCATCTGCCAGGTTATCGTAGCCAGGAAACCATGGCTCGGACAGCACACAAGGCTACTGCCAGGAAATCGACGGGGGGGAAGAGGCCTAGTAAAAGGTTGCCTACAGGAGCCGGAGAGAAGGATGGTGAGTCACTTGGCTGAACCCGGACTGTCTGTATACCAGGGAAAGCTGAACATGTGTCCGTCTCGCTGGTAGCCGGCCCACAAAAGGTACGGCGGTATCGGCCCGGGACTGTCGCGTTGAGGGAGATCAGAAAGTACCAGAAGGAGACAGGGCTCTTGATGCAAAAGGCACCCTTCGTTCGACTAGTGAGTCACAGGAACCTCTGCTGTGTTGAGAGAGCTCTGTAGGCTCGAGCTGAAATGTCTCTAATGCCCTCGCCAGGTTCGCGAAATCACGCAGGAGGTAGCTCCACACGCTGGGAGCGGTCTGCGATGGCAGGGTGCGGCTCTTGCGGCTCTTCAGGAAGCTACTGGTCAGTCTCTCTACAACGAAGGAAGTGTCAGCTCCTCGGTGCTATCGGACCTGACATGCGATCAACGTTTTGCCCTCGTATACAGAAGCCTTCCTGGTGCATCTTTTCGACGACTCGTAAGCCATTCCACACCGAATCCCGCCGGCTCAGCTCGGTCCGAGTTCGGCACGCTGCTTACCTGTGTTCGGGCTCTCCTCGCAGGAATCTCTGTGCTATTCACGCCAAGCGGGTTACCATTCAACCCAAGGACATGCAACTCGCTCGACGTCTCAGAGGACCATGGTTGGGGATGCCGATCTAGACGCTTGCCCGTTCGACCATTCACTCGAGTACGGACTATCAGTTCGAACACAACGGTTCTTCTTGCGTTTCATCGCTTTCGACATTCGTTCTACTGGACTTTACGACTTCCTTTCCGTCTGGCTGGCTACTTCTTCCGTCCGGACACCCGACCTGAGTACTACGCTACTCCACCGTGTCGTTGAGCAGGAGGTGGAAGAAGCCTGGCTGGACATACATCTCATTTCGCTTCTCATTTCGCAGCTTGTCACGCGGCAGTCATGCTTCTTCATATAGCTGCTTGTTCTTTGTATAGTTGTAATTGGTAATTGAAGGGTGTTCGTTTGAGAATCAAAAATAGACGCGTGAGAAAGCTGTTTTTGAGTGAAGCGGGCTGCCTGCTGCCTGGCCGATACACTACAAATACTACTCAGTAGTACTCATTCCGACCCCCCTTCCTCCCTCGTCGCAATTCACTCATACACTCACTCATATACACCCCTTAACTCATACATCATATACCACACTACCGCAATGCGGAACAACCACGACAAAATGATCAGATTCGTGGACGGTCATCTCCATATGGTCCAGGCCCTGCGTGACCTCCTCGTGCAGCAACAGCATCAACAAGGGGCACCCAATCCGGTATGTACGACGTTGAAGCTATCGCGGGCGGTTCTTATGTTTTATCGATCCGCCATCTGACTACAGCAGCAGCAACAACAACAACAACAAGGGGTTCAACAGAACCAGTCGGCTCGGCTCCCCAATCCGGTATGTGCTAGGTTGTATAGGTTGAACCGATCGCGAGCGGTTTCTGATGTTTTACGATCCGTGACCTGACTACAGCAGCAGCAGCAGCAGCAGCAGCAGCAACCTCATCAACAACATCAACAAGGGGTCCAACAGGATCAGCCGGCTCGGGTCCCCAATCCGGTAAGTGCTATGCTGAACCGATCGCGGGCGGTTTCTCATTTCTTTTATCGATCCGCTATCCGACTACAGCAGCAACAGCACCAGCAGCAGCAGCACCAGCAACAGCAGCAGCAAACCCAACAACATCATCAAGAAGGGGTTCGACAGGCGCAAATGGTCGTCAAGGCGGGAGTCCCTGGTCCTGTATGTACTACGCCGCAACGAACCATTTCGATCCGATCCTGAGCAATGTTCCACCCTATTGTTTACACTAGCAGCATCAGCATCAACAACCGGTCCAGCAACAGCCAATCCAGCAACAACCGGTCCAGCGGGGCTCGCAGATGACTGGACCCACCCCGGTAGGTTATACATTGTAGCTTTGGGAATCGACTACTCATAACAATGTTCGCAGCCCCCCAATAGGATGCTTGTTCAATCTCCCGCCGCCGGACCTTCTTCGAATCTTACCGCTCCTGATGCCCCCAAGGCCAAGAGGACTAGGGTTTACGACAGGCCCAAAGGCGAAGGTACGTCTCAGATCTCAGGCAGGTCTGCATATCGCATCGTGCTTACACAGTGACCTATTTGCTTACGTAGATCTTACGTAATCAAGCGTCTTGCTCTGTCGTTCGATTCTCTGTCGTCGTCGTCCGTCGTCCGTCGTTCGTCGTTCTCGGTTATTTTAGTAGCTAGTTGTTGTTGTCGTTCCTTTCAAACCTAATCAAATATCATGGGCGATCGGTGACCGGCGCCGCTGCTCCTACGCCTTTCGCGCTTCCGAGCGATTTGTTGTTGATCCGGGATCCGCGCGCGTATCCGGCGTTTCAAGCCTCCGGCCAGAACCAGTCGCCACATTCCGAGGGCTATGCTCCTCCCGATCCACTCAAAGGAGGGTGGATCGGCTTGTTGCTCGACCGGCCTTCACTTTTCGGTGGGCGAAAACCACGTCGCACGTCGAAAGAGGCGGTCACTCGATCTCGACCAGGAACAAGCGACAGTAGCTCAGTAGCGACGCTAAGCAACAGGCAACTGGCCAACAGGCAACAGGAGCATCGTCATATCACGCGCGACATCAAAGAATTGCCGAAAGTCCTGATCGCACCGCGCACCGATCACCGATGACGTCGAAACATTCCATGACGTACGCATGTAGACATTAGTCCAGTAAAGTCAACCGGTTTTCAAGACCCGTTGTCGAGTCTCGAGCCCACGATTCACAGACATCGTGAATTTGCCTTCATGCACCCATTATCAAGTGGCAAAGACTGGCCCAGGGCATTGGACCGATTTGAAAGCGATACGAGACCAGCAGATTAGTCAGCTGTTTCCGATGACGAGCCCTACAGCGACCGCGGTCAAGACGCTCCGTGGCCCAAATGAAAGCGCACGAAGGACTGGCCGCGCGCTCCGGTCACGAGGGCCTGCTCCCCCCAACACGCTGGCCCGGATCGTTCGCCTCTCTTCTCAACAACATCTTCCACGTTGATCTCCTCCTTGATCGTACCAAAGTCATCAGCCTAGTCAACTAATTGATCTCATTTCGCTAGTCAAGCTTCGATTCTCTGTTATGTCTTCTTTTGCCTGTTTCGGCGTGGACAAAGACAGCCAGTGTATGGAGACTGATACGGTTACGTTCGGTATTCCACAGGATAACCGTTGTAGACTCGGCTCGAAGAGGAATCGAAGGCGAGTCTGCAGCCTCCCAATCTTCGATAGCACGATACTGACAACCACTTGATCGGCTACAGTGCCCTGACAGCCGCAACCACCACGTTAGGCGGCGTAAAGAGAAGCTAAGTTGTCTTGCACTGATTGACGTTGTATGATTGATTTGAACTGACCCTAGCGAGGATCGGGTAATATCCCAGCTGCCCGGTCTTCGTGTCCTCTGGCATCTTTTCCAGGTTCTCCCCGCTCCTACTAACGGTCGGAAGCGGGTCTCGCAGCAGCACCAAGACATCAGCCACCATCGCTACGGGAACTTCAAGTCTCGACAAACCGATGCTCAGTAGAGCGGGAGGACAAACCGATGTGGGGGGTCGTGATCCCACTGCCGTGATCACGGGTCTCGACCGATCGGTCTTGACCATGGGGAGGGTCAGTCTTCGACTGGCACGAAGCTTTCCCCCCAAGTAGGCCCTTCGCTTCGAACCCGCATCGGTAACACCTTTACAAAGCACCTTTGCGTCACTATCCTCTCTCGGAAAGCGGACCGGTAGCATATCAGACTGGTATGCGGTCTGACTGGACGAATGCAGGAGGGCGTATTGGGGCTCGGGACCGGCATACAGAGTCATCGGGCGATCGACGGCGCTTCCTGGCATACCGCGGTGTCATAGCGCCCTGTCTTATAATTGCCTGCGAACTCGAAGTGCCGGACGCATGAACTCGATACGGAAAAGGTTTGTCAATGTTATTTTCTTCTCTCGCTCCTCTCAGCCTTCGCCTCTTTGCATATCCCTCTCTTCATTGCTTCACGGTTTCTGGCATCCTTACCCCGTCCCCTCTACTCGACTCCTGCTCATCTTACGTTCTCATGATGACAGGATTACTACCTCCGAGCCTCCGATCAGGACTCCGAGCTTGAACAGACGAAGCACCGGATCTCGATGTGTCGAGCCATAAATCGAGACAACAAACACGGATACGCCAAGAATCTTGTCTCGAAGTATCGAGCCTTCAATCGATACGTCAAGCACGAAGACGTGCATTACCACAATCTGCAGCTCGTGCTGTTTGTTGACGGGGATATAATCCGTTGCAAGGAGTCTGACTTTCATCAGGCCCAGTATGGTATAGCCATACCGATAGGGCCGTTCATCAGGCTCAGTATGGTATAGCCATACCGATAGGGCCTTTCATCAGGCTCAGTATGGTCCGATAGGGCCTTTCATCAGGTTCAGTATGGCATAGCCCTACCGATAGGGCCTTCATCCGGCAGCTCGAGATCGCAGAGCAACCCCCTTCACACTGACCTGTTGGGATCAGGTTGGATCCTCTGCCGGGCATCAACAATATGTCCTAGTGGCATACCGAAGGCGGGACCGGGACAGAATCCAATTGGTCGACAGGACGACGCTACGGATACTCTTATAGGCCACAGGAATTTCGACCCACTCCTCCGTGTGTAGGCTGCGACCCGGAGTTGACAAGGCGACCTCACAGTGCCCTCAGCGAAGGTGAACTCGCCGTATGGACCGAGCCCCAGAACCGGTCAAGAATGACTAGGCTGAGCTTTGGGAAATGAAGAGCTCCTTATCTGGCATATAGCGCTGCTGGGTAGGGTCAGCTGGGTCGTCCCAGGGCAAGACGCTGGATCATTGCTGCCGTCCAACATATTTCCGCACTTCAGAACGTAATCCAGGTAAATCGCCTTTTCTTCTTCTTTCTATTCTTTCCATCCATCTATCCCTTCTCCGGTCTGGTCCTCTTTGAAGTCATGGTATCCAGCCGATCATTTGCTCCCAGAGCTATCGCAATCACGGTAGAAGGGGGGGGGGGGAGAGGGAGCGTTCCCCGAGGCACACACGCTTCTCGGGAACGACCTCTTCCGAAGGTTGACGTCACCGATTGCCATACTGATCAGGTGGACGCCTATCGAGGAGAGAATGAAAGGGCTGCTGGTAGATTACGGTATCGAGTCGTTTTAAAATCACTTGAAGAGCACATGGGGTTACCGTAGGGCGTTCACCGTAAGTAGCCGCTACTGAACGGTAATCTATCAGCGAGCTAACGATGGACCTCCTCTCATACTTCCCTCGGTGGTTGGCTTTTTGTCCCGTCCTGCGCTCGTCTCGACGATGGACGAGAGCACGCCGAGTTGAGGTTAGGCGCAAGGATCGTCAGGAGGCGAATCATCGAGAGGTATGAGAGGTTTGTTCGCTCGTCTAAAGCGTATTTCTCTACTGCTAACAATCAGCTTCCGCGACTGACCCCTTGCCGTGTCTACGAGCTCCGTTCGACAAAAGCTAGCCTATGGATACTGATCATACGTGCCTTTTGCCTGTTCTCGCTGTAGTGTTACTCCGCCCTATCTCTCATATGACCGAAACTAAGTCCTCTTCTATCTTAATCTCTGCCTCGTCACTCGGACTGATATACTGAAAAGTCGTTGCGGTGATAGGTCTATATTAGGTGTAAAATAGCAAAGCTAAGTGAATCGTTACCGGCCTTGTCTTTTGAGCTGACGATGAGTCAGAATATTCCCAACTCTAGCGAACCTGGAACCAAGGGATATCATACCCTTCTCTCTATTCTCGGCAGGATCCCTTGCCTAACGGGGGTTTTCGGACTCGCCATCTGGACGGTTGGCAAAGTCCACGTCGTGCACGATGTGTCGTACTGAGTCTCGAGGTTGGCGTAGGATGAAAACACCTGGTTAGAGGCTTCCGGAGGACTCCTAGACTCCTGTCTCCACCTGGCGGCTAGCACTCGCACCCGCCGCCGGTGGGCGTCATGCTGCAGTCACATGGGCATGATTGTCTCGAAGTTGGTGCAACGAGGCGCTGCCTCGCGGTACTTCCTCGTGGTGCTAGTCGTCGGAGGTCCTCCAAAAAGCTCAAGTCCACCTGACCTGGCGGACAGTGGGGTCTTGCTAGCTGCCGGTTGGCGATGTGCCCTCACTGTTCTGGGCACGTCGTCTCGAGGCTAGTATAGACCCACGCTGTTCTGCTAGAGGCTCTCCAATGCGCGTACTGCCGGTCAAGACGTCTTTTGAGCACATAACGGTGCAGACGTGGAGACGACGGGGGAAACGTATTGGCGGGCTGGCACGGATGCAAAGCGACACAGAGGTTTGCCGGAAAACTTTGGCAGGCTCCGGACTTCCTATTAGAAAGGTAAATCAACTTTTTGTTCTTCTTGCTTTGCGGGCCTTCCCTTCTCTTTAGTTTTCGGCCGTTTCCAGCGGACCGACGGCTGAAAAGGCCGGCGGTCCAAGTCGCGAACGGTCGTCGTAAATCGGCCAAACAAAATCTCGGGACACACTTTCTTTCGGATGACGGAGTCACTTCAACGTTTTCGTACGTACATCGGAACGATCATCGGTCCCGATGTTCTGCCGCCCGGCTTCTGCTCGTCTACTTGTCAATCGTCTTCTTCAAACTTCTACAACAACTTCGTTAACGGGGACCTAGAGAATCTAGACGTAGCGGCGGGATTCACGAAGTATCAGCACGTGCGAAGACTTTTTACGAATTTGAAGGAATTCGAAACTCTTTGGAAACTCGATTTCTAGGCGAGCAACAGCACATTCCGCTTGCTTCAGTAAGTAATCAGGGAAAGTCATTCCGTCGACCAAGCTCTAAGACTTCGCGATCTTCGACAGGCTGCGTCTGGAACCCACCGTTAAGAGCGTAACGGGTGTCGATCTGTTGGCGAGAAACAGTATAAAGTCGTGAGTGTCGCTATCGGTTTATGCGATCGATCTATACTGAAGATTTGTCTCTTCTCGATACACACAGATCTTATTCAACAGAGAGAGAGCGCCGCGGTACGGCTACCGCAAGCAACTGAAGATTCTGGAATGGTCGATATGGGTGCTTCGCCTGTGAGCTCGGCATGGATGATACGTGGCTCAACCCCCTGCTGATGATTAATTTCGGACGATTCTACAAGACAGAGCTGGCATCGGGCAAAGCGAAGAAGGTCAAAGGCAAAGCTAAGGTGAAAGCAAAGAAGGCTGAAGCTAAGGCCAAAGCCGCTCAGGACGACAAGGCTGCGAAGCAGAATCGATAAACTGCAAGGTAAGCAGATTCGACGATTTCATGCAGCGCAACTGAATAGACACTAAAATCAGCTCCTTCCTTCGTGATCGTCTTAGAATTTTGTAATTTTCAATCAAATGCAAGATGAATCGGAATTGATCGTACATAGCTTCCTGTTCGTAAAGGGCATTCATGAGACTTTGTGATATGATGTTGAAATCTGGACCCCGTGCCTCGGACCACCGGCTAGACTCGTTTACATGACTTCAAATATCGTGGACGGGAACGTCTTGAAAGTGTCGAACTTGCTGGTCACCTTATACAGAAATCCACGCGTATATCGATATGATGACCAGATATTCGAAGTACATTCACAACGTGCTACAACACTCTTCCGCATCATCCCTGAAGTACCCCTTCCCTCCGATTCGTGCTTCAGGGCGAAAGCGCTAGGTCCGACCAGATGTGAATGTCGAAGTTTGAGGGCGATCCCGTTTGCTGAAGACGTTGTCCGGAGATTGACGAAGACGTGGGCGTTGACGAGTTGATGAAGTCGAGACGATATGGAAGAGGGATAGGCAGACACGAGATCGAGAACAAGAGAAGAAGAAAAAGAAAACAGAACAGATAATCACCTTTGATCTTGAGTATGCGTTCCTGTGTCGAGGTCGGGGAGTAGGGATGAGGGAAGGATTCAATGAGGAAGGGTAACGCTGGAAGGGTGACGCTGAAGGGGGATCGAGGAGGAAGGATGACGCTGGAAGGGCGATGCTCGAAGGGGGGAAGACGGAGGGATGACGCTAGAGGGGAATCGAGGAGGAAGGATGACGCTGGAGGGGAATCGAGGAGAAGGGTAAAGCCGGAAGGATGACGCTGGAGGGGTGACGCTGGAAGGATAACGCTGAGGGGGAAGACGGACTGTGACGCAGGAAGGAGTATCGGTATCGTCGAACGAAGGAGAGGTAGAGGATGTCGCGGGAGGGAGAAGAGCCGAGGATGGGCGCAGGAGGGAAGTCGAAGGAGAAGAGGTAAAGGTTGTCGCTAGAGGGAGAGCAGGTCGAGGAGGTTACCGATAGAGAAGAGGGAACGTGTTCGATGAAGAAGCTTGAAGGGAGAAGGGCCGAGGGTCGTTGCCGGAGAGGAGCAGATGAGACGTGTCGCGAGGGAAGAGAGGTGGATGGTGACGCCGGTGGAGAGAGTTGCAGGGTATTTGGAAGCGGTATCAGACGAGGGATGCGATCCCCATCTCCATGACCGTCACCGGGAGCCAGTGCTCTACCAGATCAGTAGGATCAGGGGGAAGGTTACGTTCGTCGGCGACGTATTCGGCTTCCGAACGCAACCCATCGCATCGATCCGACTAGGTGATAGCGTGGTCCCTCGTGAGAGGCGACCCCGAAAACCAGGGGAGATTGCCTCGCCGCAGGCAGCTCTCGCTACACTACGCACCCCGGACGTATCACGGCTACCGTTCGGTCCGCAAAGAGAGTGAGAGAGTAGATCCAGACAGAGTTTGGTAAGGCGAATCAGTCATCTCAATCAGAATGAGCAAGGCAGAGGTGTTCGACTCACATCTTACTACAACACGACCTTGACACTGGAGCGATAACAGACGTGATCCGAAGATGATGAATTCGATGCCCCATGAGGGGCGACCAGCGGAAGTCTCGGCCGCACGGGAAGTAAACTACCGGGGATAGGCGGATCCGATGAGCGGCTTCGAGGTTCAATGGGTCCGATTCCAGAGGGAGGTAGAGAAGAAAGAGGAACGGGTAGTCGATGGGACTTGGTCAGATCGTGTACGCGGTACGGCGGTCAGAAGGAAGCGTACTCACACTTCTGCTACAACTTGACGATCACCTGTAGAGATGATGACGTCCACTCGTCAGCTCCTCCTATCTACCGATAAAGAAGTATGGAAATAAACTCACATCGAGGGACGAGCTGTTACAAGTTGGGAAGCGAAGCTGCGAACGAGAACCCGTGAAGATGCGATTGGTGTCAGCGTCCGTGTAATGGCTAGGGGGCGGTACGTCAAGCAGAACACGGAAGCCAGAGGGGGTGAGAGATGATCCGTGTAGAGCTATGGGGCGATGTAGATGTGACTGGTACCCGGCAGGTGCGATGATGCTATAGTAGTGATGATGATGATGATGATGATGATGATGATGATGACGAGAGCGAGAGATTTTTCACTGGGGGAGCCCGGAGGAGCGCTTCCCCGCAGCGCTTTTTCTTGGCTTCACAGTTCACTTTTGGCACGAACGTGCTACGTAATACAACTGCGTACAACGCTGACTTGTCAAGATCGTCAAGAACATGTCGGAGATGAGGAGACGGGAAAGTGATCGCGAGTATCTACTCTAGAATAGAGGATACGGTGACATCGCGTCTCGCGTGATCACCTCCTGAACGCAGGATGGATCAACATGTCTTTCACTGTGGAACACGGGCTTTCAGCTCGCTCGACTCGACTGAGGGCTTTAACTTGTGCTACTTACAAGTCTCCACCTCTTGAGTCACGCGAGCGTTCTGCCTCAACAGATACTCGTTCTGCCTCGACAAGTACTCGTTCTGCCGGATGAGCTCGGCCACTAGCAGACGTTATGGGCGTGTTAGACAGGTTCGAAGGGATTTCGAGCGATACCCAACTCACCAATACCGTTCAAATCGAGTACTTGCTGCTGCAACGCAGGCAGACCGTAATCGATGTCGCCTTGTAAGTGCTGGACTTGCGAGGCGAGGTGGGAGAGGGTCTTGGCCTATGTTCATTCACGTCAGCACAACTCATATCGATTCGAGTTGCGAGTTGCGAGTCGATGCTGATATCACTGACCTTGTGACCTTGTTCCGCTTTTTCTCCTCGGGTGGAATCCATTTTTGTGTTTGGTGTTTGAAAGGATGATTCGGGAGGATAGGGGTATGTTTCGTGAGAGGTTTGAGGAGTCTTGATCGTTGGTCGTGGAAATGATGATATCAAACACACCTTTCATTCCTCGTCACCATGATCGCTCATCGCCCTTTCGCGCGTATGAGCGAGCGAGCGACTGCGGAATTTCCGAGATTCGGTGGATCGATCGATCACGAGGAAGAGAGGAAGAGGGGGGGGGTCCTTTGGAAAGACGAACCTCGATCAAACACCGCCATTCGATCAGGAAGACTCCAAATAACAGAATCATGCCACTCTTGACATCGCCACTTCATCCTGGACCTCGACAACATCCCCCAGACCGTCAGAAACCACTCGATTCGACCGTTTAGCGCTGCTAGACGGCTTGGGAGGTCAAGCCATCGTTACGTCAAGAGGAAATTACGTGAGCGGGCAACGGGGGAAGAGTCGTCAGGCTCGGTCGGGGGTGAGTGCAGGTCTGCGGGGGGACAGGACGATTTCGTGACGAGTTATCAGTCGAGTTCAGTACTGATCGTGCTTTCCACCTAATCGCTCTGGTCTGCAGCACGCTCGAATCGAACTAGTAAACATACCCGGACCTACGAACCCTGGCCAACATGTCTCGACCCGCTGCTGGTCCTTCGAGGACGTCGACCGGGCTGGGAACTTCTGCTCGACAACCTAGTAACCCGAGCGGGACTGCTGGACAGCCTCCTCGTCGAAGTGCCGGACCGTTACCAGGTGAGTCGGAAGGCGTTATCACACGACATCTTCACGAAGCGGGCTGATGTGGATACGACCGGGTTTCTGGCTATGTGCAGGTCTCGCACGAGCAGCTTCTGCTCTCCGTCAACACTCTCCAGCTCCTCAACAATCCGCCCTCCTCTCCATCCCCGCTCACCTTCGAGCTTCTACAGCTCCTCGGATACCGTCCCCACTCGGCCGAGGCACTCCGTCGAAACCTCAACCGAAACAGTCGTTCCCCGTACGGACGTCCAAGTTGACACAGAAACACGTTCTCTTGCCCGAAGAGATCCAAACCCGACCTCTCCATGTGGATCCGTCCGCCGCCCCGGCCGCTCCTCCTCCTGGACGGGTCAGATCGCCCCACGCTTCGTCTTCGGGGTCCAGCTCGGATGGACAGGGTCAAGCACCTCCCGCTTACGACGAACACGAACGGACCGAAGCGGAAAAGATGAGCAAGGCGCAGAGGCAGGAAGCCGGGTTGCCCAGGTTGACGGCGTATGCGACGGCGGAGAGTTATCGGATCAAGCTGTTGCAGGCGTTTTTGAAACGGGAGCATGGGGTCGGGGTGGTCAGGGTGTTTGATGATGCGGTGTATGCGGTGAGTGACACGGGTCGAATTTGATCGGGGATCAGGCTGGGTCGAGTGATTGTCGTGGTCGACGAAGCCGGGACTGATATGAGATGCTGCCGGTATTTCTGTGGGATTCGGCAGGTATATACACTACCTCTCTTACCGGGATACGGAGCGGGAACCAAAGTCAGATCCAGCCCAGCGGTCAAATCTCCAGGCGGCGTATCCCTCCTCGAACGGATGACCGAAGCGGAAGAGGTCGGTTACCACGACGGCTTCTTCCCCCAACAAGCTCCTGAAGATGGGAGCGCACCGGATCATACGCATTCGAACGAGTACCTCTTGTCTACCAGCCCGAACGCTCAGACCGGTGACGATACGGCTAGGTCTCCGGAGAATGCGACGTTTGACGGGTTGAACCCGCTGCCAACGGTACACGAGGAGAAGGAACCGAGGACGGGCGAGTCTTCACCTGTCGAGCCGGACACGCCGAATATCAATCTCGACGAAAACAACAATCCGATCGAAGGTCTTCCCATTCTCAACCAGGACTCGAACGATACCGACCCCTCTCCGCAGGAGCATCTACGGATATCCAGGGAAGCTGCACTCCGAGCGAAGAACGAGGACGATGATCGCAAGATCCGCAAGTACAGGGATCAGTACCGACGTCAGCGTAGACGGAAATCGTCCTCCTCGATCAAGGTCGGCGAGGTCGTCTTTTTCGAGTACGGTGTCACCGTCTTTTTCGGTCTGACGGAACGTGAGGAGAGGGACATCTTGGAGGACTGTGAGAGTGCGGGGGTTTGGTCGAGGCCGCTCAAGGAGGACGATTGGGAGGTCGAAGAGTGCCATCATGTGAGTCGGATCGAGCTTTATGGCGGCCGTACGGGAATCGAGTGATAGAGTACTGACGCTCGAAACCTGCGTTCTTAGATATACGATCCGGATGCGGATTACCCGAGGATCTATAACGACATGTTCAGTAAGCAATCGGTTCGGTTCGGCTCGCGATGCGGCAAGGCGTATAGTTGATATCGTATACCGCCCTCGCAGCTTTCAAATCGCATTCACATTTGCTCAAGGTAAGAAGCTCTTCCACCCAAACCCACCCATATCGATCGCTGACTGATACACCGTATCTAACCGCTCGTCTTAGCTCTCGGTCTCCCACGCGATCGCTCAATCAACGAAATTGAGCGTGTACGAGAGCGTCATGCAAGAGTCGTTGGCATCGACGGCATCGTTCCCGAAAGAACTTGCCGAAACCGGAGAACTGTCTTTGGCAAGGAAAGAAGCGTTGAAGATGACGGGACGGTTGTTCACCTTGAGGATGGACGTCAACTTGAGTAGCGGGATCTTAGGCAAGTTGCAACAAGGCCGGATTGGCGCTTCAAACGACCAGCGCTGATCGCCTTCCTCAAACGTACAGATACGCCGGACCTCTTCTGGTCAGAAGCATCCCTTTTGCCCTTGTACGAAGCCATCCGGGATTACCTGGAGATCGGACCTCGGGTACAGGTCCTGAACGACCGACTTGCCGTGTCGGGTGACCTCTTGGTCATCATCCACGAGTATATCGACCAGGGACAGATGAACAGGATCACCTGGATCGTCATCATCCTCATTAGTGAGTCTCGTCTGAATCATTGCTGCGTGGGAAGTGGTTGCTGATATGATATCTTTACCCAGTCATCGCTGTGGTGGTCGCTTTCGGAGAGGTTACGGCGAGGATCATGTTTTATCGGACAGAACGGGAAAAGGGACAATCACTCCTGCTTTACGGTGTCAAGGCCGGACTCGGCCCCTTGCTCGCCAAGAAGAGTGTCCCGATGGCCGAATACATTGCCATGTAGAGCTTGTGTCTGGTGACTGCCGCATATATATAATCTGAGAGAAAACAAGCACTCTCGTCTCTACGTGTATCTCCCGGTCCTTTGTCTTGTATCGAACGCCATATTGAATTAGCCCCTTTGAGCACGTCATGTACTGCGATCAGACTGACTCAATAGGCTTAAGAGTACGCGCTGTTCAAGGCTAGTTTTGCATAAAGCGCCAGTGATAAGTCAAGTCGGCGGCCCATCGAGGTAAGCTCGCCTTGAGGACCGAATGCACTATTCTCGCCCGGATGCTAAATCGGTGGTACGAAATTAGCATCCGGGCTTTGACGGAGGTGATGCTCAGTTCAAGCCGCAGTGCTGAAAAGGCAACGTGTAGCTCAGATGTTGTCAGCAGTACAGTCTTACCCCCCATCTTTATCAGACTCCTCCGTATGCACCTCATTATACAGAGACCTGACAGGAAACTCCACAAGAACCGTATAATGTCGGGGTCGGTCGAGAGATGATCTCAGGAAGGATTGACTGTCAGAAAGTTTGGCCTGAAGTATCTTATCAACGCATCTTGAAAGCCAATCGATATCTCGGCTTAAAGATCGTCACGAGTCTGGCAGCGAGATCGTTGCGCATCGTTCATGCCATAGTTGCTGTGCCACAGACTAGGAATACAAAGAGACCCATTACGAGTGAGTCTCCGGGCCGAATTAAGGAAGAGGATGGTGGTACAAGAGGGAGTCCGAATGACGTCGCGGGTGGCCATGCGAGTACCATTCGAACGAAGGCTACTTTTGCTAATTCACGTATGAACGCTTCTATGCGAAAGCGGCCTGATGCGAAGCGAAGCGATCGAAAGAAATGGTCAGTGAACTTGTTCGATGTATTAAACATATCGGTACCACCTGGCTCACCTGCGAGTTGCCGCTGTCCTCGTCCTGGATCTTGTAGTCTTTTGTCACAAAGGCCTTGGTACAAGCCGCCATTGTTACCGAAGCCCTGGCGATCGGGTTGGTCTGGTAGAAGTTGGCGACGGGCTTCTTGAAAGCCTCGCCTGATGCGGTCGCCTGAACGTCGGCCAACGACTTCAAGCCGAGCTTTTGAACCTCAGCCGAGGGGGTCTCGACGTTGTCGTATCGAACCAAAGTGGGCGAGATGTCCCACATTCGATCTCGGAGGTGGAGCACGTCATCGTAAGGCAGAGGAGTTCCGAGCACCTCGGAAAGCGCTCGCAAAACCTTCCAGTCCTCCCTGGCGGCGCCGGGTGGCGGGACGGCGGTCCTGCCCATCTGACTTCTTCCCTCGGTATTGACCCAGGTGGTCGACTTTTCGGTGTAGGCGGATCCAGGCAAGCAGACGTCGGCGTATTGAGCACCGACATCACCGTGGTGACCCTGGTACACGACAAAGGCGTTCTCGGGAATGGACTTGGGGTCGAACTCGTCGGCGTTCAAGAGGTAGACGAACTTGGGGGTGGCCTTGGACGACGAGGCGGTAGGGGTGAAACCGATGTCGTAAGCGGCGGATCGCGAGGCGGCCTAATAAGAACCGAATTGTATCGCAATTAGCATATGTTCATTGATAATTCACGCGTCGATGAGCCCAGACTCACCCTCTGCAAGACCGAGTATCCGTTCCACTCGGGGGTGATGAACTTGTCCGAGTTCTTGCCGACGTACTCGGCAACGGCCTTCAAGACGGCCTCTCCATCCTTGCTCTCGAGCACAGCGCTTCCGACGATGATCAACGGCTTCTTGGCGCCAGCAAACGCCTTGGCAAAGACGCCGTCGGCCGACTTGCTGTTGGACAAGAAGCTAGCGACGTCCTTGGCAGACGAACCGAGCTTTTCGTACTCCATTGTCGACTCAAAGTCCTCGCCGATCAGACCGACCTCGAGCCCGGAGTGGAGGTAGCTCTTCCTGAATCGAGTGTTGAGAATGGCAGCTTCGTGTCGAGGGTTGGTTCCGATCAAGAGCACAGCGTCGGCCTCTTCAGCCCGAGCGATCTGGGTGTTGAACAGGTAGTTCGATCGGACATCGACCCCGGTGACGATGGGTTCATCGCCACGCTTCTGGTCTACGGTCAAGTTTTCACTGCCCATCCTGTTCATCAAGTCCTTCAGGGCAACCATCGACTCGGTATCAGCGAGTTCACCAGCGATGGCCTTGATCTCGTCTCCCTTGGCTCCGGTCTCGGCCAACCCTTGTGCGACCCTGCTCATAGCGGCCTCCCACGAGGCAGGTACGAATCGCTCTCCCTCCCTGATCAACGGGGTCGTCAATCGCTGGTACTTCAGTCCGTCATAGGCGTATCGAGACTTGTCGTTCAACCATTCCTCGTTGACGTCGTCGTTGATCTTGGGTTGAATCCTCATGACCTGGACCTGCCTCGAGTCGATCCTGATGTTGGAGCCGATGGCGTCCATGACGTCGATACTCTCGGTCTTCTTCAACTCCCAGGGTCGAGATTGGAAGGCGTAGGGCTTGCTCGTCAAGGCTCCGACGGGGCAGAGGTCGATGATGTTGCCCGACATTTCCGAGTCGAGCGTCTTTTCCACGTACATGCCGATCTGCATGTCGTTCCCCCTTCCGGTCGTACCGAGATCATCCACTCCAGCGACCTCGTTGGCGAACCTCACACATCGGGTGCACTGGATACAACGCGTCATGTTGGTCTTGACGATAGGGCCGAGGTCCTTGTTCTCGACGGCACGCTTTCCGGTGATCTCGTGGAATCGAGTTCGGTCGGATCCGTATCGCATCGACTGGTCCTGCAAGTCACACTCTCCACCTTGGTCACAGATGGGGCAGTCGAGAGGGTGGTTGGCGAGAAGGAACTCCATGACTCCTTCCCTGCGAGAGTAAGCATGATCGAGATGGGCCATCAGCATGCTGTGCTCAGGACCCCGAATATCCGCTTCTGATTCGCAACTCACCTAGCCTTGTGAACCAACGGCGTGTTCGTAAACACCTTGCTTCCCGGCATAGCGGGCATAGCACACGACGCTACCGGCTTGGGAGATCGCTCGACCTGCACGCATCACCACAGCGGGAAATTAGCCCGACATTCCCTCTTTCCACCCTCGCCCGGAGTGACTGGAGGATCTGGGGCTCAGTTGAAGGGAATGATGAAACTCACCTCGACAAGGCACATTCGACAGTTACCCGCAATGGCGAGTCGGTCGTGGTAACAGAATCGGGGGATCTGAGCTCCGGCTTGTTCCTGCGTTCATGGTACGGGGATAGTTGTATACGATGTCGAGAAATAGTTTATGGCATGGAATGGAGTGAAGTGAAGAGCGAACAGGTGAAGATGTCAAGAACGATTCAAGAAGGATGAAACAACAAACAACAGGCCAAGTATCAGCAAACCTCTAGTCAGAAAGCGGATCGATACCTTTAGAACCAAATGCGAGACTCACACAAGCCTGGATCAAAGCCGTCCCCTGAGGTACGGTAACCTCCTTTCCATCGATCGTCAGGGTCACATCGGCCCGTCGGGGTGCGGTGGTATGAAGCAGACGGTTGCCTGTTTCGTTTTGTGTCCGGGTTTCAAAGGTGTAATCGTGGTCGCGAAGCGTTCGAATTGAGTAGATCGGGATCGGGATAGACGGGTTGTAGCGTAATTATTGCAAAGAATATAGGAGAGTGAAGCGGGTGGCAAGCCGATATGGGCGGCGACGTCGTTGAAAGGCCGATTGATGCGGTTCATATCGGTATTTGAGTGGTAAGGCGTCGATTATAGGTTGTGACCGTGGCGATATACGATTAGATGAACCGGTAAAACGTAACGTAACGATGTTGCGAGAAATAACACATGGAGATCAGCTCGACCGACCTCGACCGAACGCAACCTCATCTCTCGACCCGATCCATATCGATCCAACGATGGCAAGATCCGGATCGAGAGATTGCTACTACTGACCCTGCTTCAAAGCCCTGGTCCTCTGCAAAGCTCGGAACATCTTGCTCGGATTTTGTAGGTCGTTATAGGTTTAGTGAATATGGGATCGAGCTCCGAGATAGGTCGTAACGGAAAGGTGAGCCGGCGTCTATTTCGAGGTTTATATCTCGGATTCCCTGCCTAGAGCTAGATGCTAGATTCCAATAAAAACGTAGACGGGGCGAAGGATGATCGATGTCGTCGACCTACTTGCTCGGTTGTTCTCTGGCTGTCGACCGCCACAAACCACGAACCACGAGCCAAGGATGGGTGAACCTCGACCAATGACGGCGCGTGAGAAGCGAAGCATCAACGGACATCGCGTCATCCTCCGAATAAGAAATGGTTAGATGTCCGCTGGAACGAATCAGAGGATCGCGATTACTCATCATCTCGCTCTTGAACCTCCGAGGTTGTCCCATCCGCGGTTCACACAAACTCGCAAGTCGATCTCCCCAGCTCGTGCCGTTGCCGGTGACGATGAATAGCGGCGACTGACTTCCTTAGATAAAGATATAAAGATAAACTCCGAGCAACATTTCAACCATTTCGATCAATTCTCTTAACACAACCACTAAAACAACCCAAAACAATAGCTACACACAAATAATGTTCAGGACAGCCATCACCACCGCCACCGCCTCGACCTCGCGATCGACTTCTACGGTCGCCCGACGAGGACTCTCCCTCCTCGCCGCCCGTCCCACCGTCCTCGCCTCTTCTACCAGGTCCACCGTTGGAGCGGTAAATGTGGTAGCAAAGAGGGGATACCACGAGAAGGTCATCGATCATTATGAGAACCCTAGGAATGTGAGTGCTGTCATCGGATCTGGTCGAATGTGAAAGAAGTGCGGATTTCGGGTGGATGGTCTACGGGTCGATCGATATCAATCGGACAGAATGCTAACGAGCCCTTCAATCATACATCTTCTTCTTATTCCTCTCATCTATAACCACATCGAATCCTCTCATCTATCCCTTTACGAAACTCGAACCGAACCTCAACCTCAAACCTTGCAGGTCGGCACTCTCAACAAGAACTCTCCCGATGTAGGAACAGGCCTAGTAGGCGCCCCGGCTTGCGGAGATGTGATGAAGCTCCAGATCCAAGTCGATGACGCCGGGATCATCACCGACGTCAAGTTCAAGACTTTTGGATGTGGGAGCGCGATTGCCAGTAGCAGTTACATGACCGAGAGGGTGAGGGGGTTGAGCTTGGACGAGGCGGGCGGGATCAAGAACACGGAGATTGCCAAGGAGTTGTGGTGAGTCGATCGTGGCTTCTCTTCTTTTCCTGGCCTTTGTTTTGCGTGATGCTAATGCCTACTCGCAATGATCGTCCCCTCGCAGCCTTCCACCCGTCAAGCTCCACTGCTCGATGCTCGCCGAAGACGCTATCCGATCGGCCATCAAGGACTACAGGTCCAAGCGAACCAAGGCTACCGGAACCACCACTGCCAACGTGAGCCTTAAATCTCTCTGTCAAGACATGATAACGTCAGGTCGGAATGGTGATGCTAATGCGGTTGATTGTCTATGTTTGACTTTGGGGTGAATGTTCAGGTCGAGAGCAAGGCTGCCTCTTCGGCACAGGGAGCGTCGGCTTAGAGACGATCGTCTCTCGAACGACTCGATGTGATTTCGGTTTAGGACTTTGGATCAGGCCGATTACTTCCGACGATCCCCGACCCTGATCTCCCGACCAGGACTCTTCTGCGCCCCGCCCTCGACTGCCCCGTTGGCGACTGTGGGGTGTCATCGTGAATGTGAAAATGGGGAGACAAGAAGCTTTAGGATGGAGAATTCGATACCGGCAGACAGGAGAGAAAGGGCGGGAAGGCTCTTGTACGATTTCTCGGTTCTGGTTGTGGTCAACAAAATGTATTCATATGTAACCCTGTGTGACGAATATTGATATCCTCGTGCTTGCGCTTGTCATTCTCTTGCGTGGGGTTTCGGACTGGGCGATCTGAAGATGCCTTGGGGGTGATGACAGAGATTCAGCGGTCAGAAGCCTGATTGTCAATCTCAGTTTTTGCATCGTTCGGCACAAGCTCGGTCTAGCCGATTGGCATGCCGCTCATGTGGAGAAAACAGTTTATAACCATCGATCACTACGTAATACAACCCCGAGCCCATACGAAATGTCGAGCATACACCATTGAGACAAGCTTTTCAGGCTTTCAGACCCAGTTGCCGTTCCACCTATCACCCCTTCCTCCAGGTCCGTTCCTCCTCATCCCCGATCGCTGCGCGGGGAGATTGAGATCGAGCTCCCACTTGGCCTGAGACGACGTGGACGTCGTCGTCTCGACCTTGACGGAGATCCTGAGTTGTTGAGGCTCGTCGACGAGGGTCGAGGTCAATGAGCAGGTGGGGCTGACCGATCGGGGAAAGGTCTGGGTGGGGAGGTCCGGAGCAGATTGGGTGCGGGTAGAAGAAGGTCGGAAAAGGCCTCGGACGTCCTTGGCGCTCTTTTTCGATCGAAGACCAGATCGAGTGGTCGTCTTCGAGTTGGTGTTCGGGGTGTGGTAGTCGGGCAAAGAGATGACGGAGCCGGAGGAGGAGGAGGAGCTGTAGCTCGACTCGAACTCGGACTCCAAATTCGATGAGTTGGGAGAAGCAGATCGGCTGCCGGTCCCGATCGGGCGGGACTCGGGCCAGGTGATGAACATCGAGTCCGCCTCGGTCCCTTCGTTGTCCTCATCGTCGTTCTCGTGCTTCTCGTGGTAGTGTTCCCCGGTTTGAGCGGGACGACGGGCGAAGATGGCGGTCCTGGGCTTCTTAGGCTGGCTCGACGAGGAAGATGAAGCAGAGTTGGAGGAACAGCCGAAGAGGTAAAAGAGGTCTTGACCCATTTGAGCTCGTTGAGAGTGGTCGAAGAGGCTCAGAGGGGAGCTCGAAGTGGAGGTCGATCGGGTGGTTCGGGGAAACATGTTACGGTTTTCGGAGATGGTGTTCGAGATTGTGGGGCGGTAGTGTGAGGGTGATCGCTAGGAGAAGCTCTTGCGTTGTGTTTGGTCGTGACATCCTTCTCCCCCTCTCATCTCCCAACTTTGACATCGACTCCTGGCCGTACATATACTCGTCCATATCGTTGGGACGTATCACCAATCTACTCACCTCGCATTCTCAACGCTCACATCGATACTCGAGTAGGTCTTTGAATATGGACGATCTGAACAGCGAAGTGATATCTGAGCATCGAGATGAATGCGATTTGACGAGGATCGTCGTTCCCGAATAGCCGGCTGAAAAGACAGGTTCGGGTGAGGAGAGCTGGGGAGGCAGAGGGCAAGGGTTAGGGAGACAGCGACGAGGGTTTCGACATGAAACGCCGCGCGGAAGAACAAAGAGAAGAAGAAGAAAGAAAGAAGAAACGCGTCGCGCAAGGTCTCTTTGTCTCTCTGAGAGGATGGGATGAGCGTTTCAACACGTTCACCCCTGCCTTTGGCCCATGGTCCACATGTTTCAACGGTTTACATTCGTGCTATACTCATTCGACGAGGTTTCGGGACTTACAGCTGCCAGACATCGAAGAGCCAAGTGATACAAGTCAGGTCGAGGCTGCTGCCAATTAGAAGCGCATGAGGATGACGTGACCCCCGTGTGCGCTTGAATTTCCCGAATTCTCTTCCGCTCTGACGTGGATCCCCTCGACGATCGACCAACTTGACATTCCATCGCAACTCCAACACGAAACCACCCAACGACCGACCCCCTATTCCTGTTTAGCTCAACAACTCGATGCTATCAAGGACAGCTCCTATTCTCCGTTCAATCTCTAAACGTACTTTTACCACATCAGCTATCAACATGGGTGTTACTGTCGAGCGAATCGCGCCTGGTATGTTCGGTTCATTCCGCTGAGACATATGGTAACTTGGTCAACTTGCTGATCGGTCATCGACGTATTTCCCGCAACTTATATAGGTGACGGCAAGAACTTCCCCAAGAAGGGAGACACCGTCTCTATGCACTGTCAGTCCTAGATAACACTAGTGGTCAGGAGCATGCTTGTCGAAAACGGGTTCGCTTACACGGAATGGAACCGGTAGACGTCGGTACTTTGCAGTCCAACGGAAACAAGTTCGACTCTAGCCGGTAAGCCCTTCTCGTGAACCTACCTGCTCATATTGAGTTGTATCTGATCGTCTACCTTTTTGATACTCTCGATCTCGAATGCATGCGCTTTATCGGACCGCACGACAGAGACCGAGGTCAGGCTTTCGTCACCCCTATCGGTGTCGGCAGGGTCATCAAGGGTTGGGACGAGGGTGTCCCCCAGTTGAGGTAAGCCCAGCATCGCCTCGCACGCTCTCGTGTATCTCATGTGGTATCAGCTGGCTGACATGGTGATCGCTGGTCTTCTTGTAGCTTGGGAGAGAAGGCCAAGCTCATCTGCACCCCCGACTACGCTTACGGTGGTAAGTCCTCCCTCTAACCTCCCTCGTTCCTGTTCCTACCGAGTCAGAAGAGCTGATCGAGGTGTTCGTTCTCGACAGACCGAGGATTCCCCCCTGTCATCCCCCCTAGCTCTACCCTCGTCTTCGAGGTCGAGCTCTTGAAGAGTCAGTCGAGTGATGACGATGCTAGATGCCGGCAGGCGTATTTGTTTACTGATCAGGGTTTCGGTGCTGTGTGAAATCACAGTCAACTAGATGGAGATCAGCAAGGGCTAACGGGACGGGCTGCTGGTCCGTCCGGGTCAAATGAAGTGAATATCGAGTCTTATAAAGTGGACCGTGTGTTGACGTGCGAAGACGAGATAGAAATGAAAAGAAGATGAAATGGAATGCAACGGAATGTTTGTCGAGAGGCATACGGGTACAACAACGCCAGACAGGAACTCGAAAGAAATGTCCTTGGGAGCGGTTTGGCTTTTTGGTCTTGACCTCGGCGAAGCTTCGGGATGAGACTGGATCGGCGATTGAGGCGATTGTTCATGGAAATCGCCCACTGGGATGCCAATGATCACATGCTGGAGCTGGGTTCGGGAGGGTCGTGCAGCATGACGCTAAGAGACATCGGGTTGTAGGGCGAAGTCCTGCCGGCACTGTTACGCGAGCCTCCTTGAATAGACGACGGGTTTGTCGAGATTCCAGGCTGAAGGTCAGTAGAGGCGCCCTGAGTGATTTGAGTGAGCACTGTTTCATGATCACTATGTTCGGTTCCGGTCGTGGCAAGATCGGTAAGGCCAGCGTCGGACGCGGTCTATTGTGCTATATTATCAGAAAAGAGTCATGCGAACCCGGACGTCCTAGAACTGTTATGTTCTTGACTTACCTGTGTCCCGGCCACGGTTGCAGTTTCATCTCCACAGGCCATGTCGCGATTGTGGCGTGTGACCGAATCACAGGCCGTCTCAAATAGCCTCTTCCATTGATAATTCTCCTTGAGTTCGGTTTGGAACCATCCCGGAAAGTTGTCAGGAAATGATTCTGCACCATACTTCTGAACTAACAAGCGGGCCGACAATCCATCTGGAAACCTCGACAACGCTCCTCCGCGTATGTCCGTCATGGGGAGCTTTTCCCCAGAAGAGACCGCCTCAAGGTAAAAGGCCCAACCCGTCCCATTGCGCGTTTCATTGCCGAGAACCCATCTGGTATTGACGCCAAGGCCGGTCAATCCGGTTTCAGGATTTTGTGAGCTAAAAATCTCGCCGATAATACGCGATTCGTCCGGGGTGGGGGTGTTTTTTTTTTGCGTAGGCGCGCTTGTGACCCTCGGACCTGTTGAGAAATTCTTCTTCCGATCTCTGGAGTAGTCAACCATACATCAGTCATGTTTCAAACGGATCCAATCAATAGGATGGCGTCGATACGCGTACCTTTTTGACTGCGTTACACATGTCAGCGCTCCACCAAGTCGGGAAAGAGCCATCCAGGAAGATCCGACTCAAGTCCTTGATCTTCGGGTTGCCTTGTCGATCACCACCATGAGCGGCACCTCCATGAGTGGCAAAAAAGGGAAGTATGTCGTGCCGTACGACCCAGATGTCCCCGCGCTTCACCTTGAGGATATATGGTGGATCCCAAGGTGTGCTTCCGGACGTTTGTAACTCCCATGTGTACTCGATCTGCTCGTTCAGCTCCTTGTGGCGATACCAGCCGGTCTCCATTTGCATAAGATCTCTACAAGCAGCGTGCGAAGTCTTTCGACTGTGTTCGGGATCCATGTTGATCAACGATCGAATGGATGTTAGAGGGAAGGCTATGTTGAATTGGTTCTTCGGTGATGTTTCGATAAACCGCTGGCCAAATCTGCCATCTCGAGCTGAATCTGCTGCTTTATATAGACATACAGATACAAAATTACATCATTCGGATTGCTGATGGCGGGATGATACAGGAGACTCAGCTGAAAGGAACGTCTCGGACCATCAATCGGCTTGGCTGGTCGTGTTATTACACCAGTCGGTACCGATTCATCGCATAACAGCTTTCTTCGAAAGGCATCATTACAAGTCAGTTCACTATGGAAGGCGAGCTCCGCTTGAAAAAGCATTGAATGACATCAGGTGATCATAGATGCCGCTCCCTACATCGACAGCGAATATTCGCGCGGGTAGAGAATGACCGCAACTATAGCGCTTTCTTCCCTTTTTTTTTTGTATCATGACACGACGGTCTCGTGGTCACAGACCGCGTTTGTGCCCATTATGTATATAGGCGATACGGACAGATACAACTATTCATTGGTACTATGCGATGAGTTGGGCGTAAAGTCGAGAGCTATTTTACATTTTGAAGAGGCCAAAGGGCAGGGATTAGTTGTATATCTGAATATGATCCAGCATTAGTGATTCTCCCATATGTTATAAAAATCCCAACAGTCACCCCTCCTTGTTCATAGCAATATCACGTCTACAACGATTTCGGAAGTTGCTTGATTCGGGAGGGCTCGGATGGGCCAGGGCTATCATAACAAGCGGAAACGAGGGCCCATAGACCCAGTTCTGTCTGGTGCTGTCGATAATCGTTGATGAAGACGATACAGCTCAAAAGGGTGAGACAAGCATAGGGAGCCAAAACATTCGTTTGCTTTCCGACAATGCTTCAAGAGAGTGGCCCCTCCTGCCGAGAAGTTTAGGCGGGAATGATGAATCCAAGCGCATTTGAAGCGACTAAGTATTGCCATATATCGTCGTGATGTGTAGATCAGTGCATACACTCGAGTACATCTCGGTGAGTTCGAGTAACTTTCTTCTAGTGAGAAATACAAACCCAACGACAGATACAAGCAGGAAAAGTCTTGGTCTTTTTTCGGTGAAAGCAATCTGTAATCGAAGAAGGTGCTACGGATAGAGTGAGGCCTGAGAGTCTTTGAAGTCGGCAGTTGCTTGATGAAGCGAAGAGAGCACATCTATTGGAGAACGTGCTGTAGCGACATCGTGTCGGACAGAGTGCGAGGGTTTGTACTCGAGCCTCCAGAATTGACGGCGGTTGAGATACTAGGACCGGTCGCCTGTGTAGTTTCGTGAGGGGCTTCATAAAGGTTCCGAGGTGCAAATGTCCAGAAGCTGCCGACTTGAGCCGATTGATCAAATACGCTGCCAGTGTTCAGTGGAGCTTCCAGAGAGTTGAAGGTCCCTTGTTCAAATGAGAAGTCAGTACTGGGCGCACTAGCGGAGGTCGGTTCCGACGCGATTTTCCCTGAGGTTTTCCTCAAGTTCTCCCTGAGACGCCACTCGTTGGACCCCTGTTCATCAGTCAGTGGCCTTATGGCATTGTCGATGAGGTGTTGGATCCATTCTGGCCACTGGTTCTCTCGGCGCGTGCGAACCACGTATCCGGTCGGCGGAAAGATTTTGCACATAGCTTTAAGAGTTATACCGAAGTATCCTATGATGTCCGGATTATCATACACGGGAACGAAGAGAGTTCCGTTTCCGTTTCCTCCGAAAAGTTTGGTATTTTCCGATATTGTCAAAGGTGGCCGGATCTTCCATTGCCCTGCGACACGCTGACCTGATGCATCACACCATTCAAAAGTTTCCGAGACTAGAAGTGGTCTCAACTGCTGTATCTGTTCTTCCGTTGGTTCGTTACACAGAGTGTGTATGGGTAGCCTCTCGCTAGCACGATTGGCATAGTGGCATAGTCACGGAGAAACTTTTCAGCCAGTGGTCCCCGATCTCTGACTAGTGGGGTAGTGGACTTACCCGTCTACGAATATGGACCCCGGCAGCAAAAGATGCGAGAGATTCTGCTTGTGCATCGAGGTCTGTCTACTTGTACCGGTCGTGGCCGATTGCTGCGATCCGGAATGTTGACTGATGCTTGCTGTAGCAGCTATTCGTTCTCGTTCCTGTCAAAAGCGACGATATCAATTTCTAGAACGAAGATCAAAACACTTGGTGAGGACATCTCGTGCTAACCTTTCTCATACGAGTTCTGGCACTAGATACGCTCTGCCTGAGTTTGACAGGCCACCATTTTGGCAGCACTCCCTCGTAGAGCTGAGCGAGTTCCCTCGTTGTAGGATCCTTGCCGTCAGCCAACAACCCAAACAGATTTGACCGAAGCTGCCATTCTTGGTCGACATAGACCTGCAGCTCGTATGGGAACGTCCTGTCCTCCCGATAGACTTCCGACCATCGTATGGGTACCAATCGTTCCGACGTATCGATCACCTGGACAGACTGCTGCTCGGCCATGAATCTCAAGAGATTCTCTTGATTGTCTTGAAAAGGCATGATAGCTGTTTGAGAGAGTGCGATTGCCGTTGCGGGACTATTGGGCGTAAAGGTGATATGGGGGAGATTGAGAAGTTAGCAAGGGACTGTAGTACTTTGTCGTATGACGCCGTTCTTATCTATAAGTACCTGTAGTCCACTCCCCACCGAAGAGAAAGCGGAGAATCGGCTCAAAGGAAGGTGCCATGACGTGCAGATCACGGCCAGTGCCGCCATACTGCGCAGTCAAAGTATGCATCGTTGTGTCCCCGTTGCTTGACACAAGCTGAAATTAATACAGTATGCTGTCACACGCGTGACGCAACGATGTCGTGCTGGTTTGCACTGGCCGATCTGCCTTTGAAGGACATCTTGCTTTGTTCTCATGTAAACACGTACCATGAACCGGGCCGAAGGCTATAGTCATGCAATTATTTCGTAGATCTGCGGGAGTTGTTCTGTGGTTGATGAATCGAGCGGGCATCGGTAAGGATACTGCGACCCAGTCAGTATCCACGAATCAGCCCTTGACTGGCGACTCGTTCCATAAAGCCTCAAACGGATCGGCCACGCGGGACCAAAAGACCACAGCCACGCGATATTGACTAATATATGGCGGATCATTACGACAGGATATGCTCAAAAGTCCACCTTTGCACCTACGTTTCAGCCAAAGATCTAATCAAGACTGATCTCGTCTCCAGCAATTCGCTGTGTTACCTCGGCCTTTGAAAACTGACATGCTCTTCATCAATCTTGCAGAGCGCGGAGCGCTATCGCGGTTGCGACGGACTTTGCCTGAGACTCGTCTCGCACGTGATCTGAGATACGGGCGAACCAGTTGGGTTGTCCTTGGCTTGGTCCACTGTTACTGAAGAAGCAATATTACGGGCACGGCTATAGTTGTTCAATACTCTGGTTGAGCCGGGATTTCGAACCGTAAATCAGTGAGGCGTTGAATCGTCACATGTGAAATAGGTATTCGTATTCAACAGCTCCCTAAGGCTCTCAAATCGCTCTACGTCTCAAGGGATACATGTCTATCGAAATCATACGACAGTACAAGCAATGAAAAATGATAATTGTTCAAGACTATCTCGTACAAAACGATACTCCTACGTTATTGATTGCTGTGGACGGGAAAGAAGGTTTCTGATTGCTTGGAGCCAGAAATGAAGCTTTCGTTGACCACTGTATCCCTCTCCTGAATCTTCACGGGATAGTCAGCGTGAAAGTAAAGCAAAAGAGAACAAGACCAGGACTCTTACTCCCGTTCCGAAGTTCTCGGAATCTGCAACCTCGCTGCCGTATTCTGAATCGACATCCATCTGTAAGGTCGTTGCGCTCGACAGGGTGAGTCATTGTGACGTCCGTCAATCACTTCTGCGATCAGCTACAGTATATTCCGACTTACTTCAGTCTGCTCTTTGAGGAAATGGCACCAAACGCTGTCTATCAACGGTCTCGGCCACCAAGAAGGCAAACAATCCGTACTGCCCGAGTCCCTTAGATCTTCCCGATAGAGCTTTGACAAGTCCGTCGTATCATACGTGCCAGTTTTAGCCGGGAGCCAGCGACAATTCCGCAATTCGTTATCGCGCTGAGGGTCAGCCCTCTGCATGACCACGCAACGTTTCTCCGGACTCTTGGAAGGTCGATATATCCATTGGAGTTTGACGTGTCCATCGTCCAAGGGAATCGTAAACTTCTCTTGCCTCATCCAGCTTCGTATCTGTTGCAGGGACTCGTCGTCTAACTGCTCTCGATCGAAGACCTCTGATGTGTCTCCTGCCTGGTGGCCTTCTCTTAGTATCATACTAGAGCCGAGACGCGAGCCCGGCGATGTTCCTTCAGAGCCTTCTATGCCGACCGAGCTGCGAATGGCGGTGGTACCGGTTATTCCCTCGCTTCGGAATGCACCTGATGATGCATCAGGAACATCATCAAAAGTGTTGGTAGGTTGTACGCATTCGGTGCTCTGTACTCCTTCCATCGGTTCTGATCGTGAGGGGATTTGGCTTGAGAGCGTATCGTCGCATTCAAACCCGAAACTCTAATCGATGAGGAATCCGTCAGTGGCCGCCTCAACAAATCCTAGTGTCTGATCGTGTGTAACATGTTTGCCTACATACTCTGTCTGTTTCCGATTGACCCTGAACTATGAGCCCTTGCTGCCAAATACAAGGCCCTCTGAAATCGAAATTCCTCGGAATCCTTGTTCCTATGACTATTGCGACCGATGGCGTTGATCCATTCTGGATAGTTGTACTGCGGGTACTTGCGCGACTTAACCCGACTTGGTGGAAAGATATAAGGTAATGCGCTTATCGCTACGGCAGAGTATGGCATAATGCTGTGATCTTTATGCTCTCCCGTTATGACGAAGAGATACTCTCCCTCTCGTCTCTTTCCAGCTAGCGGCGATACTACCTGCCATTGCACGGTGATTTCATTCTCCGGTGGTGTGTGCCGCTTGAATGTTCCCCTTTGTTGTGCCATAAGGATGGCTAGATTGTGTAGATCACTCTCCGTAGGCTCTCTGCATATTGTATCAGCCGTAAAGGGTTTGCCACGATCCCTATAGATTGACGATGTTAGTTGTAAGCATGATTACACCGGCTCGGCACTATGATTCCCACTCACCTGGCAACGAAAATCTCTGAACTTGGTACTGACAGGGTAGACGACCAGTCATAGGATTTGCTTACCTCCTTAAGCTGATATGTCGTTGTAAACGCAGTGTTTACCATGCTTCTACTTTCCTCGTGCCAGTTTACCAGTGACGTAGGGGCGCTGCGGCCGGGAACATTGAAAGTTGCAGTATCTGTGGTCTGCATGTCAGAAGATCCATCGTGAGATGCAGCCTGGCTCCTGCACTTGACACCCGACCAGGCGCGCTCGAACTTTCTAGCCATAGCGGCCATGCTGACTGTCTTCGCTGTTTTGCACATCGACAGGAACCAAAGCGGAGAGGTACCTCGCTTGCCCTTGGTTTTCGGAACCAACAAGGCTAACTCGCCGAGATACAGCCAAATAGCATGGGTACGTGAAGCTGTGCTGACGGTTTGAGGCAATAATACCATCTTGTACGGTTCTCCATCCCTCGGAGGCGAAACTTTCCACACTCTATCGCTGTCGAGGGGGTTGTCGCTAGTAGGTGTCCGTTGTTCGAGCAGGAGAACACTCAGTCTTTCCTTCTTCAATATAGACAAGCCCGCATGGAGCTCTAGTTGATCCAGAGTTTGCCTGAGATGTTGAACTTTCATAAACGCCTTGATCGAGATATTTATGCGGAAGGTCAACCTACCGGTCCACAAATAGCGGATCGTCCGCAGGAACTGCGTGGAATTCGTCCTTGAGTACGGAGGCTTTCTGTAATACTGAAAGCAAGGAAAAGAATAGCTTAATATCGACTTACCTTCGTGTTCGCCGCCGACACCATTATGCCTTTCACGGTTCTGTAGGCGCAGTTGTGCAATGAAGCGAATATCAGTTGCTGATTCTGATCATAAGCGGTCCATGACATGCTTACCCTTCTCCCTCGTACTGCAGAAGCTCTGTTCATGACATCCACAAAACACTCGTCCCACCATGCAGGGTAAGATTGCTTCTCGGGAAACACTTTTACGAGGTCTTTTGGTTCTGGTACAGCTTTCAGACTACCAAGAAGGTCTTGGCATCTTTGCCACTCGCCAGCGGACTCCGTCTCAAGAGCGTAACGCCATCTCTGGCTACCTTCCGAGCCGTTCCATACCAAAACCCAACGAATGTGCAATTTATTCTTGTCCATCTCTGGCGTCCACTCTGAATGTGACATGAGATATCGACATCGATCATAGCAATCCTGTAGCGAGAGTCGTCCTCTGACCGGTCGTGTATCGATCTCCTGCATGTCTTCGAATTGCATAGCGTTCGGAAGAGACGTCTTCGGTCGCAATTTTAATGCTAGTGTCTATCAGGTTGTCTAGGCGAGGACGATAGCGTCTGATTGACACCCTCAAGTTTCCTCCCCCATCGCTCGCATCGATATTTGTACCCTCAGGTATGCGCTCATCTCCATGCACCTGAAAGGAGCACGCATGATCTTTCCAGAGCACGTAATACCGCATCGTGCTCCGCTGACGCCTAGGCCGTCCTCCTGATTCGCCTTGCATACGCCATTTGCGCTCACAAAGGACGGCCTGCTCAAGAGGAGGTGAGGCAGGGAAGACTGGCAATGAGATCCACGCCTGACGGTCTGCTCTTCTAGAGGTTCAAATATCCATATTGCCGGCAAGGTGTTTTGGCAAGAGGACACCGCATACAAACAGAGGCATGGGAGATCGTCCTCGGAGTTGATGCGATTACAGAGGGAAGAACGGAGTAGATGGTTGACATCCAAGCCTATCCAAGCAGACCTGTGAAGAGACCCCTCGCCATGCTTAAGCAATCTCATTATACCAAGTGATATATTTTCAGGACAGGTAGTCAAACCGACGTCCAGCCTGGCAGATCATACGAATATACTGCTTCTCGAAGAAAGTCGGAAACTTTGCAACCACATGCTGCTAGAATCGTGTCCAAGTAGGGTTCGGCCGATGATCCACGCAGATGTAGGCTTACCAGCAGCCTAGTGGTGGCATGTCTGCAATCAGGAGCGATGAACGGATGCAATTGAAGACGCCCAATCAACTACTGTGCCACTACAGCGTCCCAGCGCGATTGTGGAGTTTCACCTTGCAGCAGCAAGAAATCGGAATCAAATCGGGATGTGTTTGACCTCGCAGACATCGCAATAGGATGCGATCGACCTACCTATACAGCTTACGGAGGCCACAGAAAAAACAGAACGTACAACAATGCCGCTAGCGTCCGATTACTTAGAGCTTTCTCGCCCAGTCTATTGGATTACAGCTCACTTATTCAGTAAGACTGTCGAACTCGAGCTATCACAGTGTCGCTTGAACACCTTGCGTCAACGAGCCAAAGCCAAAGACAATCTGCGACGAGCAAACTCTTTTGCGCTAGATGAAACAATCCAGACCTATTTGCCTAAGCACGAACTTTCGCCATCTCCTTTCAGCAGCACCTACACCCGAAGATCGATATTTTACAAGGGTCTAGCCGCGATGATGCCCCAAAAACGTCTAATTTCGTCCATACTGCCTCAGCTTATTTATATCAGACCCCCTTTTCCCAGCTCGAATTCGCACCACGATCTTCATCACTTTCCGGTTCGACAAAACTCTCGTGATATTCATGCTCCATGATCCTAATTCCTTGCTGCAAGGTAGCGTCGAGGATTTGCAGTCTTCGATGTCGTGTCCATCTATTCAGGTGTTTCGCGGACAGCTCCATTGATTCGATATCTTCTCTATAAACGCTCTCTGTTCTGTCGTCTGGAGTGGGTACCTGGTCGTCATACCATTCTGCCGGTGGATCGATATCATCTAACAAAGGAGGCTGTGGCAGATTGGGCATCAGTATCCCTCTGTTGCGGCACCCATATCGAAATGGTATTAGGTTTTACTCTCACTTTGGAAGGCTCAGAATTGGATTGCGCCGGATCGGGCCCGCTTGATAGAGTCATTGGCTTGGTATCGTTCCCTGTGTAGCCTGTGTCATCTTCAGTGAACTGAAGCTGCTGCCGAGATTTCCTTCTTGCGTTGTTGGCAGCGTTTATCACTGCTGCTGAGAACGCACGCCAATTTCTGTCGGCTTCCTTGTCCTTGATTTTGCTCTCTAGCCACTGCGGATAGTCTCTACCAGGAAAGATCTGAATGAGGTAGCTTGCAGTTATTCCATGTGAATACAACGGGCCCATAATTGCTTTATGGGATTCCAATGTTTCAGGCAATAGCCTATTGCCAACCTGTGGGTGAGGTTGCAGTACCCAACGGATACTGACTGTTTGACCTTCTAGATCGACATCGCCCTGTTCTTTCGTTAAGCAGATCTTGAGCCTGTCTTTGTCATGTTCTTCCAGTACAATGGTTGATTTGCGTGCCATATTAGGGTTTCAGAGTTCGACAATGTATGCAGCTGATGTATTTGACTTCCTATATTGGCCGCGTGTTTTCTTTGACCCAGAGCTAGATGCTCTTACGTTGGCAGTGAGTTGCGATCCGAGGGAATGTGAAGGTAAAGAGACTATGTCAAGAATCGGTTCGCGCGTTATAGAGTTCTCGAGAGCAAGAAGCTACAGTATACATACTGTATACTCACCCGTAACGAGCGGATCAATCGATGCCGATACCGTCCTTTGTCTTGATGATCACGAGCCATTGAATGCTTTCTTGCTATGTAGTATGTGACAGGGGCTGCTCGTGGCGTTAGTCATTTGCCTGACATCATGGTGGCGATAGGCGTCTCTCGGCAGCCTCTAATCACCGTGTTACGTCTCATCCAGGACTCCTTCTACTAGAGGTAGGGAGGAATGGTGCACTCACAACATCACGAGCCTGTAACGTATAGGACCAAGGGTAGAGACGATCGCCTCCGCTCGCTTTCGTTCCGCCTTTCATCCTTCGAGTATAATGCACGCTATCTATACCATGTCGAACGAGAATAAGATACAACAGAATATCGAAATACAAGGAATTCTAGATCTCAATTCCAGCTGGATACAAGGCAGTATAAACTAATCCCGATCAAGCAAGCCGATTCAGTCCCGGTCGCAACGCCCAGTAGGCTTCTCGATGTAGTATTCGAGGCGTCCTGGTTCTGCCTGTTGCTGGATCCGTTTCCCGTGTGTACTAACCGAATGGAAGGATGTGCAGGTCGTTCCGTCTATGCGCTACGGCAGAGAGGAATTCCCTTGGTGAAAGACCGGATTACAGTCGGAAATCAATGAGCCGTTTTCCCTATTCGGAACCATGTTTGTCAATACAGGCCGACCCAGGGGGGATTATTGACGGTGTTGATTCTATTTCCATCTTCGCCATTCCAGTATGAGTCGGGCATGAAATTCCCGACGTCGAGACGCTGCTGGTGGCTTGAAGGACCGAACTCACGGGGATCTTCAATAAGCATGATAGACGATGCGACAAGTCATGCATCGACTCCGGCCTGGAGAGGGCGAGCAAGAATTCATCGCGTTAGGCCGGCTGAAACTTGATCGGTATGTTCAGTTCTATCAAGATTCATCGATTGCATCTCACTGAGCTATCAATTTGCCTCAATCAACGCGAAGTACGCCCCGGTATATTTCTCGGTTTCTCAACCAGTTGCTGTCACGTTGATACTATTCTACGTATGATGGAAGGGCAAAAGGCACACAATCCTGATGAAACGGTAGCGAGCACTCAGAACGTTCATGCTAGACGCGTAGGTTATCTCGATCGTGGAAACTCCTCGGCTTTGGCAGCGGCATTGATGATATGTTACATGATAATGTTATAACGAAGATCACTCTGGTCTGCGACTGCTGCTGTCATCGATTTCGAGACCAGACAAGTTGGACGAGCGGAAATCCCCTCGTTCAGCTATCTAGCTCATTTCTAAATACCGATTCCACGGGTGGCATCGAAACAGGCGACCAACCGCCCTACGAACCTCGATCACTCGTGGGAGAACGAAAAGTTTGGTCATCGGCAGTCTGACACAAGCTGTAGTCGCAGTTATTTGACACCGGCACTAAGCCATAGTTTGTGTCCTCGCTCGTCCACGCATCAGCGATATCTTCTTGAAGAGGATTGTTATCAGCCGGAGAAGGGAATGAGCCATCTGGTAACGACTGCATCCCGAGTCCCAAAATACTAGCGCCGGTTGAAGGTTGATCTTTGGCGGGATTTTGCCAGGCATCCGTGTAGTTCTGGGAGAGGTGGCAGTGAAAGACGGTTGCACCGTCGTTGGTCCAGTCGTGCGACCACTGAGACGCATATCCTTTGCCCGTATGGGATGGTGAGTATCCCAGGTCATGCCCGAATTCAAGTCGTGGTTGACCTGTCAAAGCGCATGTTTCCGCAGTTTCATGGTATGAGATCGGACTGGCGGTAAGATTCTGGGAGAAGAGCGCTTAGACCGGTCATGAGATCGTCTTCGTATCGATTCTTAGGCGAGACTTACCGGCGCAAAATACGAGCTCAAGCAACTCGTGTCAACGGATTCAGCTACGTCAAGATATTAGGGATTTATGAAATACAGTAACTACATACGAGCAAGATTAAAGCAGGTCTGATCTTACCTTGTTGCGTCTGATAAGTGCAGATTTCATCGTCTGTGATTGCGACAGTCGATCGATGGTTATTCCATATCCAACCTCAAGGAAAGATCTTCCGAGATGCTTACCAGAAAGTCCAATGGCCGAATCAGAGCTAGATATGATGACTTGACTTCCATGTGCGATACGCTGTTTTATCCTCTCGAAAGTCCTTCTCACCGCGCTTTTAACATGGGGATCCGGATGTTTAGTCCACTTGGCCTCCATCCAATTAGGGTAGTTCGCCTCCGGCCATATTTGCGAAATCCAAGATAACGATATGCCTTGCTCATGGTATGCACCGAGGAGGGAATGTCGAGCATGAGCTGTATTTGGCAGAAAATGAATGCGCAATACGATGCGGCTGTTTTGGACAGGGATCAGATCGACAGCCATCGCCCATTCGACTTGTGTAGTTTGATCATCCCAGGAAACACTTTGCGGATTATTGCGCATTAGACCCTTCAAGTACCTCTTTTGCACATCGGTGAGCTCATTGGAGGTGACGTTGCAGCTCAATAGCAAATCCCCAGGCATTTTGAAACCCTGCAAAGTCAGACGGAAAGTTTCCGGCGATACAGCCGAGCTGTCGGATGTGCGACGGCGAAGTTTGTCCATTCGACGGTTCGCTGACGCAGGAGGACCTGGTAAACGGAAAGGTGAATCGCTAAAATTGGTTTGAGACGAAGTGCTCCGTTGTTTGAATGAGTTGTTTCTGGTGTGTGAACTTCTGGAGGACGAAAGGGGTGCTCTTGTTTGTATTGAAAACGCAGAACCAGTCGACTGTGAATCGATATGCATCTTTCAGCTAGGTAAAGAGGGTATATCCGACCAGCTGGCTTCTCACCTACCCTGGTGGATCGGAGCCTTCGCGCAGCTGTTCAACACAGTCAATATACAATCTCGTTGTGGACTCGAAGAAAGTCGAAAAGAAACCCACGAGAGCTGCGAAATGGGCTTCCAAGACTTCTTTGCGACTCTTCTCTAGTCTCCTGAACTGTCTCTTTGGGATCTAGTATGGCCCAGACTTGCTCTCTGTTCGGTAGTCCATCGATCGTGGCTGTCATCCAAGACGGATATTCTTTGTCTGCAAACCATTTCGACAGGCTCTTCCGAGACACTCGAGCGCATTCTATGCGTTGGTCCGAGCGATTTTCTTGACGTTCTTGAGAGTGCCTGACTTCACCTATGAGCCTGAAGGAGATATCGGGCGTCCCGGTTGTGTCAGTCGTTTTCAACTGCCATCGTAACTGGAAGGTGTCCCCTTCTTCTGTATCTGAGAGGCGGTATGCGCTGATGTTTCCTTCCCGGAAGAGATCTTCCAGAGGTGTTCGTGCGTATCTGCGGTGTAACAGTTGACCATCGCTACAGACTCGATTGACCACGAGTATGCCAATTCTTACTCACTCGTCCAATAGAGCCCGAATTTCTGGACGGTTTATAAGCAAAGTAGGCGACGATCGATCCATCAAGCTGTTCTGCAGTGAACCGATTCTTAGATATTTGACATACGCAGCACCTCCTATTTACGTCGTGATCTTGACACTCACTAAATATAACTCTAGACGAGCTGAATATATATCGACCGTTCCGCTTATAGCATGAGTGCCTGGTTGCTGGTGGACCACGGACATATCAGTTTCAACTTGCGAGAGGAAGCTTTATAAACTATAAGCTATAACCCACCTTACCACCTTGCATGTCCGTAATATGATCTGCACCGGGCTTCTTTGTGGTTCTCGATCCTCCCTCCTTTGTTCGTCCAAGTCATGCAGGTCACGAGCCTTGAAATTACGCGAGGCAACTCGGCCGACTTCTGTCAAAGTATCATCACCTTGCACCTTGACACGTGCAAAGGTTGCCATTCCGGGCCGCCACTTGACTTGCAACGCCACCAAGCTGAAATCAGATGGCAGATGGATCTTGCCCGGTCGCGGGTCGATCTACCGACGATCTCAAAGTCAAAGGGCACTTTCCAGTACTGGAATCGTGAATCAGTATGTCGTATTATTTTTATGGTTTTGCTTGCATGTCGTAGCAGGGCAACTGCGCGGCTACAGCTCACATGCAGCAAAGTAACTTCTTGACATCGTCTCTTAGACGCTGCGAGATGTCGACACCGACACAGATAGTTCAGGTGATGTCTTCCGTTGAGCGCGAGGTAACTCGACTTCAGGCTGAAGATATGCAACATATAGATTTACATTAGACGGGATGCTTTAATAAACCCAGCGAGGAAGCTGGAAGACCCAATTGAGCGATCGGAAGAACTAAAGTTACAATGGTCTGTCACAGCTGAAGATACGAGGGAAGCCTCCTGGCTTTGATCGGGACTGAAGGGGAAGACAAGATCAACTTCTCAGGAAAAACTATGCTCAGAGCCTTCTCCAAGACGTTCGTGACCAAAACAGCTCGCGATCGATGCGGGCAACCCCGGCTGTCGCCGTAAACGCACGATGTCGGTGGGACAGAAAGACGAGGCGCCCTGTATATGCTGAATATCGGTCCAATCTATCAGTGTGTAGTTGTTTTGAGATTCTTCGTGAATCTCCTCGAACGAGATGGGTGAGCGAAAGGAATCCTCATGGATCTCTAGCGAAGGTCTGCTCATGAGGGAAGCCGTCCGACAGTGGGTTGAGCCGCTAGAGCCTATATGAGCTGATCAATTCCGTCAGATAACCAATCCCAAACGTCTCACGCTCGTAACAAATGCAGGAAACAATCATCTCACCAGCTCTCCTGGCCGAAAGTTCGGATCTGGCTCGGCGTCGTGTGAGATTCGCCACCGGATTCGCCGCTAATACCATCCAGATTCGCTCCATATGACCTTTATCATAACCCTTCAACTGGTCCTGAACCCATCTCGGATACTGCCGGGGCCACCCTTTGAATAGTTCTCCGAATGTGGCTGAGTTCACTGTCTTGATCGTTTTGGGGCGCTGAATTTCTTCGCCGCAGCGTGAGAAGACGCTTTGCTCTTGCTCAAATCCGACTGTAACCTTCGTCCATGGATTTTTGAGCCCGCCCACGGTCATTTTCCATTTATATATTGCAGTGCCACCTCCGTATACCGTCAACGAATCGGTCCCTCTTCTCAAAGATTCTTTCAGAGTTTCCTTGTCAGTAAGCCCAATAGTGTTGCCCGGTTGCGTATAGGATGAGCCTATCGAGGTCGGCTCATCGCCCACACCAGTCGGACTATTCATCGTTGCTGTATTACCGGGTTCTTCCGGGAACATTTGCGATCTTTCCGCTGAGCTATCCTCGTCCATGACCTATTGTCATATAACTAGGTAAAGGGGACAAAAGCTTACGGTTGTAGTCAGTATAAGAAGGTTCGAACAGTATCTGATCAATGCCTTGCCGGACCTTTAAGTACACCATGAAGTAGGACACGAGCAATGCAGCCATCCGGCTTCTCAAAGTGAGTTCCTTTGTGACCAGTCAGATGACCTCAGGTTGGACAAGCATCACGCTAGACTCTCTCTCTGTGTCTCTCTCTGTGTGTGTGTGTGTGAAGAAGTGGATAAACGATGTGGAAAAAGGAATAGTAGTCTGGATAAAATCGAAATGCACACGCGCCGATACTACAATGCCAGCAAGCAGTGTGGACTTTTGGCAAACGACGGTAGACCTGTCCGGCTACGATCATGGACCGTTGACCTGGTATTGGATGATCATATAAACGGATTTCGAGACACAGTAATAGATGGTAATGCATGTGCTTCATACTACCAACGGGAAAGAGTCATGATCCTGTTTCGATTTTATCAGTGATCGTCTTCCTGACTTGATAGGGATCCTAGATGAGTAAACTCGTCGAACAGTCTTCGGTTCGCAGACAGATCACTCTGATCCGTGGTAACGATACTGATAATCGGTTTTCTATCAAACATGGATTGATTCACGAATCTTTCTCGAAGGACATCGTAATTGCCGCATTTTTGAAAGCCAGAAGCTTCGCGTGTATAACCGCTGATGGGATTACCCGCAACGGAAACGCTGTTGAGGGAGTCAAGATCTCTTGGCAGCTCTGACTTAGAAGCCTGCATAATGCCCGTCCATGCACCAACTGTTAGTCTACAGTATGAAACATTGGGCGAGATTGACCTACCCTGTGCGTAAGGGAGGATTGATAGTTCTCGCTGGCGAATTCCGAGTTCGGTGCCCCTCTACCTATATCAGTATCAATCGTTCGATTCGAGAGGCTGACAAACATTCTTTTGGACGACTGAGCGTTTCGATCGCAATCAGTTGTCTTTAGTATGCTACTGCGATAAACAAGCTTACTTCTTCTAACGCATCGGCTTGGGCTTGTCTTACTCTCTTCTCCTTCTTGACCTGATTTGACTTGATGGATCTCTTCGCCGCCTGGATAGACTCGTACATTTTGGAGTGATCGCGCAACCAACTGGGCAAGACAAGAGAGTCTCCCGCCTCGCTTCCCTCAGAAGAAAAGATCCGAAAGAGGTCCTTAGGTCGAAGGGGCTCTTTTCGGTCCGGCTCGACTAGGTTGTGGCATTCTTTTCCCTCCTGATCTCTGCATATGACCCTCCAGACGGTCTTTGCTTTTATTATACCCTCGTCAGATGTCCACTGCTCGATCTCCCATTTTCCGTTGAAGACCTCGCCCTGTATGTCGTGACGGATATCCACATCTTGAAGGAGACTCCGATACTTTTCCTGGAGGCTGTCGCTAAGATCGTATGCTATGTACATTGCTTTGGGAGGGGTTTCCGTTAGATGGACTACGAGCTGATGTGACAGGTCAAAGTCAACCGCCCAGAATTTCCCCTTTGTCTATAACGAGAGTCTTATAGTTTACTGCCCCTTCAACTTCTGACCCCGATCTTCATCCGCCACCCCATCTTGCGTGATCACAAAGGAATGCCGTGATCAGCAAAGGCTGACGAACGGCAAAGTCGCCTTGATTGGCATTTGAGGCGAGCTTAGGATCAACAACGTGAGATAGTCTTGCTATTGAGTAAGAGTAAAACCAGTACAGTGTCGTACTTATACTTTGAGCACAGGCTACTGAAAGTTCGGCATTATTGTTGGTATCAGAACAACGATGCGATCGATATCACGCTTGATACTGGTTTAGCCGCCGCCTTGATCTTCGAACGATAGGCCTTGCATACAGACTGCTGGATGCACCACTGACCATTGGCCATCGAATTGACTGCTCAAACTTTCGCTCTGTCAGCGGGCGCTTCGTGACAGCGACGTATCAGTCTTCATTGACAACTATCGAAACCAGTGAAGCACGGTATCGGACACGCCAGCCACGCACGGGGTAGAATATGCGAAGCTCAATGATATAATGCAGACGCATTCATATTCTTCACGCCAATGACCTGAAAGATGCTGCCTCACGGTTGCTAACACTATGTGAAAGGGTGCTCCAAGTAACTCTTGGTCCGACTGCTCAGGAAGAAATGACCTCTCGCGATCACGCTGGATAGCTTGACGAGGCCCGAAGTCTGAGTCGACGATGAGTCATGCACAAGGTGCCAAGGTCCTTCAAGACCGGGCATATGGAAGAGTGAGGAGTTACCGAAGAAGCGGGGACCGGAGTGAAACTATAATCCGCAGATAAATCAATCCATTTTCTATCGACGGTCAACATGATCAAACCAAGGCGTTCCACTCGATGGCATGAAACAGCAACGGGTGCTAAAGTCGAATCACGTGAAAGATATATCTAGCGCGGCAAGCTTGTTCTGCGCTTCCGGTTGGCTAACGGGAGATCTGATGCCATTTCGCGCACGCCGACGGCCGACCTCGAGCAGTAGTACAAAGCGTATCACCTCGACTTTCGTATCGACCTTACGAAACGCCCCGCCTGTCTTGCCCTTTTCTTCTCCACCGCCCGTTCTCGTCCACTAAAAGAACCCCCATCCGCGCAGTCATCATACCTGAGGAAGGGGAGATTCGAAAACCGGACGGCCACTCCGCCTGCTTTCTGCGGGTTCATACAAGGAGAGGTATCTTTGATTGAGAGCGGTTGGAGATGAAAGGTTTAATCACCGCATCAGCTTTCGCTGGCAGCTTGAGCTCTAGGGCTATGAAGGTAGTTCAGATAGTGGCTAGATGTACAGACCCGTTGTCGGTGTCGACCGTTGTGTTGCTTGTACGCTCGACTACGAAATTGTTTGCAACGGGAAGAGGATCCGGACATGCGAACAACTTGCAACTTGATCTTTGCTCGTCCTTGGAACCTGCCCTGTTGTCGCGGCCCGTGAATATCCGGTGCGACAGATCCGATGTACCGGGCCGTGGTCATCGTCGTCGCATCGATTCGGTCGGAATCGGCGACCTCATATGGTCCTGCTTGTTTTGGAGTTCATGGTCGTGTTATCGCTGACGTCGACGGTGGTAATCGGCTGTACGACGGCGACAAGAGAACGTCGAGCCTTGGGCTGCGTGCGGAAGCGAGCGAGAGGCGAGAGGGAATGCCACGCGCATGTGATGCTGATGATGATGATGAATTTCGTGGAGGATTCGCTTCCGTGTTGGGGAGCAGTATCCGCGCTCTGCAGCCGGACCAACGAATGTCCAGCAACACCTTCCTTCCTCTGCCAGCACCACAGAGACTCTCAGCTCCATCCGATATATACACTCGACCTACCTTCGACACTATCAACCCACTCACGAAAGACCTGCTGCCACACAAAACACTTTCTTCCCCCAAAACAACCAAAAAAACTAATACCAAACAAACTATCAAAAATGGGTGCCCTCGACGTTGTCCCTGTGAGTTTTCGGCTGGGCTGATAATTTGGGTCGAGGATAACGAGATCGTGGAACTGACGCAATTTATGGACGATTCGTGGGTGAACAGGCCGGTGTTCTCTCTGGTGAGCAGACCAGGAAGTTGTTCGAGCACGCTCGTGAGAACAAGGTGAGCGAGGCTTCGAACCAGATCAGATCAGAGCAGATCGGAAGGAGTGCAAGAGCTAATCGCACTTTTGCTCGGGTCGTACGCTGTTTAGTACGCTATCCCTGTGAGTTGAGCTCTTAGAGCTTCGGGATACCTTTCATGTCGTGTACTGAACCATAGATCCTCCCTTCGTCACTTTTCTGTCAAAATAGGCCATCGTGAGTTTTTGACCCGATGTTTCTACCCGAAAAGCCGCGATTAATTCGTGGAAATTGCTCGTCTAACCCAACTTAGAACGTCACCTCGTCCTCCACCGCCAACGCCGCCTTGGAGGCCGCTCGAGACGTCAACTCTCCCATCATCCTCCAGGTCTCTCAGGGAGGTGCCGCCTTCTGGGCCGGAAAGGGAATCAAGAACGACGCTGACAAGCAGCAGGCCTCGATCGCTGGTGCCGTCGCCGCTGCCGCTTTCGTCCGAGCCGTCGCCCCCGCTTACGGAATCCCCGTCGTCATGCACTCTGACCACTGCGCCAAGAAGCTCTTGCCCTGGTTCGACGGAATGTTGGATGCCGACGAGGCCTACTTCAAGGAGCACGGTGTCCCCCTCTTCTCCTCGCACATGTTGGACTTGTCCGAGGAGTCCAAGGAGGAGAACATCGAGACCTGTGTCAAGTACTTCAAGAGGATGGCCAAGATGAACCAGTGGCTCGAGATGGAGATCGGTATCACCGGAGGAGAGGAGGACGGTGTCGACAACTCTGACGTCGACAACGCCAGCTTGTACACCCAGCCGGAGGACATCTTCGACGTCTACAAGGCGTTCGCCGAGGTCTCCCCCAACTTCTCCATCGCCGCCGCTTTCGGAAACGTTCACGGTGTTTACAAGCCCGGTAACGTCAAGCTCCGACCCGAGATTCTCGGAAAGCACCAGGAGTACGCCGCTCAGCAGTTGTCGAACGGCGACCAGAAGCCCTTGTGAGTCCATCGTCCTTGAGCTGGGGAACGATGATAGCGCGGAAGAGGAAAAGGGTTTGCTCCCGCGCGCGTGGACCTTGTATCACGTGACTTATCCGACTCACGTCATGTTTCAGGTTCTTGGTCTTCCACGGAGGATCCGGTTCGTCCGAGGCTGAGATCCAGGAGGCCGTCTCCAACGGAGTTGTCAAGATGAACGTCGGTAAGTGCATGGCTGGTCACATTGAAACGATTGAGGCGCGATATCTGATTATCGACGCTGACTTGCGTCTCTAATCGCTGTCCACAGACACGGGTATGTACTTTCTTAAAGAGGAATGGGAATCCTGGTGACATACTGATAGATGCGTTCCTCCTGGATGGTGCAGACGCACAATGGGCGTGAGCATCCGCTAGATCTTCCGTTTCTGCTCGAGCATGCTCACTGAAAGATCGTTGCTGGCATTTTTTGCCCTGTGATAGGTACCTCGAGGGTATCCGAAACTTCATCACCAAGAAGATTGACTACTTGAAGACTCAGGTAGGAAACCCGGATGTAAGTCCCGACCCTTCATTACGCGTTGCAGGCGTTTCGATGCTTTCTCGGTCTCGAACGCGTTTTTGCTCAAACACCTTGAGATGATGTTGAGCTGATCTTTCTGGTCTTTGCTCGTACAGGGAGCTGACAAGCCCAACAAGAAGGTCTACGATGTTAGTCATTGCGATGAGAATCGGTTCCAGAACCACCTGCTGATTTTTTCTTGCGATTTGTCCGCTTTTAGCCTCGAGTTTGGTACGGAGGCACTTGCCGAGTTGGCTTATCTGCATTTTCTCACAACGCTGATCCTTTTTCTTGTATTTATAGGGTCCGAGAATCCGAGCTCACCATGCGAGACCGAGTCAAGCAGGCCTGCAAGGACCTCAACAACGTCAACACTTTGTAGACGACCCGCCTCCGCATCTCCTTCTCGGCCGCGTATATCGCAGACTTCAATGTATCAGCCGTCAACAGAAATCGTTAATCATCATTATTACGAAAGTGATGTTTCCCCCTTCCTCTTGCTTTCTCGACTGCTGCTATGATACCTCGAAACGACGACTGTCAAGCCTGATCGCAACAACGCAGGTCGCTGATCGGGCGTAGACACGGCCGTAGAAAGGGACATCAAGGTTCATCGAGCTGAATGTTTACATTCAAATTCAGCAACTTGGTTGACAAAACTCACTTGCGAGTATCGCAGATCTTTTCTTTGACGTGTGCGCAAAGAGTACATGACGTCTCCCGATCTGGCTCTGCCTGAATGTAAGAGCATATTCGAGTAGACTAGGGTCCTCCCGTGTCGGCGTTTGATACTGCTGCAAGACAACTCGGCCTGCTCTGCTGCACTGATCTCTCGGTCAGAAATCTCAACACAAGACTTGGTATCGATCAATGGTGTATGTAACAAAGAAGTCTAGCTGTCAATGCAAGCGTCCACAAGTCCGGTAGCCCTCTTTAGGATGATCGTTCCCTACTAGGCACTAGACCGTTCCCTGATCAGACAGCAAAGGTTCCCCCTCCAGGGCCGCTACCACCTCATAAGCAAATTCATGTATTGCATTCCATATGATGCATCTTCTTCCTGCACAGACTATCGGTTTTGTACAAATAAGAGCGAAGGAACAACGGGTCCGCCCGGCACATCATGTAAAGTTCGATCGGTTGTAGTTGGCGCCACTACAAATGTCACATGGTATGTTAAAGCAAATTTGTCAGTCCTCCTGATTTCAAGGTTTGGAAAGAGTGAGCAAGAGCGGGCTTACCCGGCTTTCCTGAGCTGGGATACAACGTCGCTCTGTAGACCCTCCGACCAGATCCGTATCGATTTCGACGTAAATCCAGAAAGATCAAGTTGAATCCGATTCCCGTGTCCAATTCAAGTGATCACACAGCCAAGCACAAGTCCGAAGGGGTCATCAGCCTCGACTCCAATCGACTTCTTTGACGCTTCACAGCTAGAGGAAAGATGAACAAGCTGAACGCACCTCCTTGAGATCGTCCTTCGAGCTCGCGTTCACTTCGATGCTATACGTCCGGAGTACGTTCTTGACGTCGGCCGCGTAGACGGAGACCTGTTTGGTTCGTGGTACAAGGAGCAAAGGAGAGATAGTGGATAGTGAAGAAGTTGAGTAGATCATTGGAAGGTGGATCAGCAACCCTCAGCGGGTAGATTCGATAGGAAGCAGAGGTGGGGGACTGACCCTTGCTCGGCGCATGACCTTGACTGATTGTCCCGATAAAGAGGTACAGATCTGATCAGCTTGCACAGGTCATGCAGAGTCGCACCCCGCCGCAAGACTGACCATTCGACCCGATGAAGATCACCAGCACAAACTTTTCCCGGAAACTCTGTTCATCGTTCTGGTACTTTACCCTGACGTACCCGAAGCTGGCTTTATCGTCGCTCAGCTTGGCGGCCAGCTCTTCGATCGAGTTGGCACCTTCTCCGGTCTTGGTCAAGGTGAGCTTGTTGGATGTGGGAGAGTCGTAGTCGAGGAGTAACCAGGTGGCCGGGTCCTTGTCCGAGCGGACCTTGTCATAGGCTGTGGTGCAGTTCGAGAAAAGGGTAGGTGAGGGGTTGAGCGCTGTGGCCGAGTTGGCTAGTGGAAGAACTGGATCTCACCTTCCTGAATAGCGGTGTTTTTGGCGTCGGCCATGTCTGTGATCTAATGCTGTCTGATGAATATGTATGATCTGCTCTTTATGAGCAAGAGTTGATGAGTTTGCTAGCATGCATAGACATACGATCAACTAGAGGATCGTCCACGTCGGTCCGACAGATTTGCTTCCGATAGATAAGCATCCGACAGAGCCGGCGGGGGAGAATAGGTTCCGAGGGTACTCTCTGCTCGCGCTTCCATGAGTCACCTGACCTAGGCTAGCCTTGTGGGATTCCTTATCGAACCATCGAGCACAAGAGCACAACTAACTATATCAATCACACCATCACCTCTGACCCGTATACACATCTTCACTCCTCTCCACTTCACCCAACCAACTCTCTCACTCTTAGACTCTTCGTACCAACGCTTCAACATGCCTGGACCTCGACTCGCCAACAAGGTGAGATCTACCGGTACTACCTGAGCGACATTCCGCTATCTATCAGCTGACGAATCGGTACGATGGCTCAAATATCGTTAGGTTTCGATCATCACCGGTGCCGGATCGTGAGTTCCCCTTGTGATATGAATTTGATGATATGCCCCTGGCTTACAGCCTCGTGTGAACGCTTCTTCTTTCCTGCAGCGGTATCGGTCTCGAAACCTCTCTCCTGTTCGCAACCGAAGGTTCATCCCTCATCCTCGCCGATATCAACCTCGAAGCCGCCGAACGTACCGCCACCTTGATCCAGAACAAGTTCGAGGGCAAGATCAAGGCGATTGCGGTCAGGTGTGATGTCAGCAAAGAAGACCAGGTCGAGGCGATCGTCAAGCGGGCCGTGGACGAGTTTGGCAGGCTGGACGTCATGGTGAGTGCCTGGTCTCAGTCTCGTTCCCTCTATTCAGCTGATATCTCTATTTAAAACCTGATTTGACAACAATGTGACAGTTCAACAACGCCGGAATCATGCACCCGGCCGACGACAACGCCCTCGTGACCGAAGAAAAGATCTGGGACTTGACCCAGAACATCAACGTCAAGGGAGTCTGGTACGGATGTAAACACGCCATCATCGCCATGCGTCAGGTGAGTCACGGATTCGCTCTCGAGTCTATCTTTTAAAGGCTATAGGAATGATTGAAGAAGGAGGCTGATACCAGGGATGCGTTGGCAGAACCCTACAGACGAATCGAAAGGATTGCGAGTGGGAGGCAGCGTGATCAACACCGCTTCCTTCGTAGGCAAGATGGGAGCTGCGACGCCTCAACTGGCCTGTACGTTCGCTGTTCGATTCCGTTTCGACCGATTTTGCAAGTGCTGATGACATCGATGACGTTGGTAGACACCACCAGTAAGGGAGCCGTCCTCGCCATGACCCGAGAACTGGCCATGATCCATGCTCGAGAGGGGATCCGTTTCAACTCTCTCTGCCCGTCAGTCACTCGTCTCCTTTACCGTCTTTTCATATCTGGAGGGACTTACTTATCTTGATGCGATGCGATACGCTCTCTGTTTCGTTCAACAAACCCGTAGTGGCCCGCTCAAGACCCCGCTCTTGATGGACTTCCTGAACACGCCCGAAAAGCTCAACAGGCGATTGAACCACTTGCCCATGGGAAGGTTCGGAGAGGCCATCGAGCAGGCCAAGGCCGTCTTGTTCCGTGAGTACCTAGGCACTACCTCGCAACCATGATATGCGAGATCCGGATTTGGCTGATCGAGTGTGTCCCGGTGGGGTTTCATGCGATATAGTCGCTTCGGACGACTCATCCTACGTCACTGGACACGACATGCTCGTCGACGGAGGTCTGACTTCCGCTTACGTCGTGAGTCTCTCCACCCTTGCTCCTTTACTTAATGTATATATCGCTCGGTACTGAGCCCGAGCTCCGCAGACCGCCGAAGGACCCGTCCTCCTCCCTCCTCCCGTCAGCATGACCTCCCAGTTCTGAATGGCGACGCAGGAAGGTCTTAGGAAATGCACGAAACACAACGACGATGATGAAAACAAGACATACATAAGGGAGCCGCCCCGGCTCGTTTGCTATTTGCGGGGAAGTATATGGAAAATCAACGACATGGCATGGTTCTGGAAGATTTTGTCAGCATTATTACATGTTTCTACTCGTATGATAAGTGACTTGTTAAGACGATCGCATGTGCGCGATGATTTCCGCGGCGGGCAGTCCTTCGCCCTTCAGAGCTTTCGGTGTCAGCATGACCCAGCAATATCCGTGGACAACTGAAGCGCGATATAAGGCTTTGAGTTAACATCCTTATCACAGCCAGAACCTTTATATTATTAGATAGAGACCGGCAGATGCGCAAAGTCGCAGGATCAGTTTTAGGTCAGCGGGAGGCTTGCACTGAGCCGAACGTGAACATAAATCTGGGGGCAGTGCGCAGAGAGCATAGCGGGCGTCAGGAGGCAAAGCTGAAAGTCAAGGAAATCTCATCTGAAAAACGGTGTCGCTTCCCGATTCTCGGCATCGACCTCGATGCTGGCTCCATGTATTCTCTCTTCACCAGTCTTGTTTCGGAATGAGCGATCCAGCCAGTCGCAACCGTAACCAGCCCACTATCCGGTATGATAACATGTTACCTATTTTGCTTGGTTTTGTTACAGAACATCTTCTAGTAGACATCTATCGGATTGTCTTGATGACCCCGTCCGTCAGCTCGATAACCTTGTCAATATCCGGTCGCTGCGCCGGGTCGAGGATCAACATCGAGTCAATTAAGAGTCTGCCCAGGTCGAGCAGTCAGCGTCGTATCCCATTAACGGCGATCTTTAAGCGCGCTCACTTGAAACCCTTGGACCACTCGCTATTCGTAGGGTGCTTGTACCTCCCACTCCCTACAGCCATCGCAATCGATCCACCGCCTTGAGATGGATCCTCGAAGGGAGAATAGTCATAGGCTAGAGCGAAAAGAGTACAGCCGAGTGACTGAACCGCAACGAGATGATTTCAGTTCAATTCCATACAATACAGCATGCTGAGACTAGAACTCACCCAGACATCACACTTTTCGTCCAACCAAGACCCTGTCTTGACGTCGAACAATTCTGGAGCTCTGTAAGGCAACGTAGAGTGCTCTGCAGCCACGTCTTGCTCCAGTAAAGCTTCTTGACGCGTGTCGATATGGATACGAGCTCTGTAGGGCATCATCCATAAGTCAGTAGATGAGCCATATGAAAGTGAACTGTGAGAGGGACTCACTTCTTTGCCGACCCAAAGTCCATTAGAATGGGCTGCCCGTCGTCCGATATGATGATATTGCTAGTGACCCAGAATACCAAAAAGACGTAAGCGACGTGGCAAGCACAGGAAATCGCAACGATGTACCTACCCTGGCTTGATATCACGATGAGCGTACGGGATCAATTCCCCCAGATCATCATCGTCCTTCGCCCTCCCCTTCCCCTTATCAGGCCGAGTCGCCCTCTCGTTCTGCTCATCCACCAGCTCTTCGTCACCATCAAAGACGACCTGTCCATCGTTGATGAGCGGTTCCAAAGCATTAGACGATTCTCCTCGTTCTAGTGTGGGAACGTCTAGTTTCGATTTCGGTGGATAAGAGGCTGTGGACGGGTTGGAGAACGGGTTCTCCGAGTCGGCGCCTGACGACTGAGGGATATTGGGAAGTCTATACTTGTGCATGGCTCGGACGCTGATTTGTCGTTGTGGAAGTCGCTAACTTAGAAACGTTTTTGAGCTGACCTGCGAACGCATCGACTCACGCAAGGCAGGTGCCTTTGAACAGTCGAAGCATCTCTTTCTCTGACATTCGTTGATTGGTGATCGATTGATGCGAAATGACGTCCTGCAGATTTCCTCGCTGCCGCACAAACAAGAGATCGTCAGAAGGAATGCTGGGTTTCATCGATCAATGAGAGACCAACCTGGTAATAAGGCAGAAAGCTGGAGGAGCGAAATAAGCGATACTGAGGCATGAAGCTACACATCAAGATGCTCAACTTACAGGTAGACAACCTTGCCGCCACCACCATCCTCATCACTCTGCACAACGGCGACATCCAGGATCTTGATGATATTTGGGTGCTTGAACCGTCTATACGCTTCGACCTCCTTCATGACCTCTTTCAGCGCTTCCTCTCCTCCACCTCCTCCCATTCCAGAACTTGAAGAGATCAAGATCTTCTTGAGGGCATAATGTCGGAGAGAAGAGGTATCCTGGATCAGGTAGACGAAAGAGAATCCTAAATGATAAGCGAAAGGGCACCAGTTGAGATTAGCTGGCAAGGTTCAGAAGAGCTCGTAGCTGCAGCTTCGAACTTACCTCCTTCACCGAGCAGCTTCTCGACCTTGTACGTCCGGCCGTTAATCTTTAGCGTCGCATCCGGTTTGCAAAGGCATTGCGAGATTGTGGACACGGCGTCCAAGGCGTAGTACCGAGCTCGGTCGAGGTAGATGAGAACGGTATCGGCGTTCATGGCCGGATGACGAGCTGGAACAAGCGAGGGTTCTCGATGTCGCCTGATTTGCGTGACAAGAAAGGAAGACAGGCGCTTCAAGGGGTTCGATAGTCTGGTGTGACGAGTATAAAGGCTGGTGTGTAGAATGCATCGAAGGTATTGGAGGTGTTGATATATATTCCCTCACATTCGCGCTGTCAACCCGAGCCGAGCACAGCCAAGACCGAAGCCGACCAACTCGCGCTCAAGCATCTTCTACTCGACTTACTCAGTCTTGCCCTTGCCTCCCTCGTGAGTAGCTTAATGCCAGCCTTTCAACCGCCTGAAACCCTCTAACAGCAAGCTAGTAGCAGACAGTCATCATGTTCGTCGTCTTGGTAGGAACTCCCGGATCAGGGAAAGATACCATCGCCCGTTACCTGGAGAGCAAGCACGGATTCCTCAGAGTAGGAACAGAAGCCACCGGCAAAGCGGTAAGGGTCTAGGTTTCATGTACCCTGAGGATGTGGACGTTCATTGATTCCCGTTCTTCTCCTCAGTAGGGACAACCATCGACTGTGACCACCAAAGAGTACCCTTTTCCATCGAGAAACTATCTCCTCAACCACATCACCCAGAACTGGAAGTCGGATTTTGTCACGACATGCCTCACTACCGAGGCAGAGCTCCTTCCTTTCATCAAAAGGCCGTCGGTACTCGTCGTAGCCGTGGATGGTCCTGTGATGGCGAGGTGGAAGCGAAAGAAGAGCAAGTAAGTGTCGGTCGCTCTCGTCTGGCTATCTAGACTGACAACTGATGTGCAATCTAATGAGATAGAGCTACCGAGGATGAGCCGTCGATCTCGCTGGAAGACTTTGTCTCACAACATGACGATCTCATGAACTCGGCTACATCCCGTGAACCGACTACCTCGGAGATCCCAACGACCACGCCGAAAAACTGTCTTCGAGCGCTCATGTCGCACGCACACTTGACGATCATGAACAGCTTCGAAACCATACCGGACCTTGAGAAGCATCTGGACGAGATCAACCTGCTCGATCCTGAGCGGTTGAGACCGGGTTGGGATGGGTACTTTATGGCGAGTAGAAAGAACCTATCCTTGCGTTGCAACCTGTACGCTGATCGGTCTATTCCCTCTGTCATTTTTACCTTTTAGACCCTGGCTTGCCTAGCATCACTGCGATCAAACTGCATGAAACGTCGAGTCGGAGCCATCCTCGTCCGGAGCAAACGGATACTGAGCACAGGGTACAACGGAACGCCGAGAGGGGTTAAGAACTGTAATGACGGGGGATGTAAACGGTGCAATACGGCCAGTCGGGGTGGAGAAGGTCGTGAGTGCTATGATTGACGCAAAGTCCAAGTACCGGACTGATGGACACTGTTTTATGTTGTCCTAGTCGACGGCTGTTTGTGTTTACATGCCGAGGAGAATGCCCTTCTCGAGGCGGGCCGAGAACGGATAGGTGAAGACAGCGTGATCTACTGCAATACGTAGGTCCAGACCATAATCCGCATCTGTATCTATCTGCGCCGAATAGCTTACAGCTTGCACTTGTCTCAGATGTCCTTGCTTGACCTGCTCCGTCAAGATCGTTCAATGCGGCGTGAGAGAGGTTGTGTACAACCTGTCCTACGCGATGGAAGAGGCATCGGCCAAGATTTTGGAGGAAGGCGGGGTGAAATTGAGGAAGATGGAAGTGCGGAGGGAGGTTGTATAGGGTATGATCGTGTTGTTTATATGGATCATACCTCGTTAGTTATCCCAGCATTCGAAACCAGGCTTGTTTCAGGTGTTGGCGATACTCAATGAGCATGTCCATCTGACCAGTATACTACAGCTTAGACTTGGGTCATGAACCTCGATCATCCATCCGTACGTATCTCAAGAAGGCGCCAAATTGAGCCGATCCGTGGCCATGGATATCGATTCAGCACCGGTGGCTCATCCTCCCACCATTGATGTGGCTATGGATATCGATCAAGCACTGGCGGCTAACCCTTCCACCATCGATGTTGCTATGGATATCGATAAGGAGGCCCGATAGAGGAAATACAACAGTGACCAGGAAGGGACCCAAAAGTGCCCTCGACCGAGCCGTTTCGGATGCCGCTTGTTGTTGTTTTTGTGTAGAGGATCGGTTACTGTACCTTTTGTTTCCGGTTTTACTTCCGGTGTGCAACGATCCACCAGAAATCAAAGTGGCAAAGTTGATTCATCTCGTGCGCATTGCATGACATAGATTTCTGATCTCTGATCAATAATGACCCGATGATCGTCCAAAGTAATAGGACTCAGCAGAGAAACTTCAGAAACCATCTGAGCGACGTACGGCTCGAATCTTCCAGCTCATTTGATCCCTGGTAGGGGTCAACTCGAGTGGTCGATCGCAACGGAAGCTGCGCTCACGGCCAAACCGCAAATATGGATCTAAACTCGACTTTGCGATCTGGTCCGACCACCACGAGGTCGTCCTTGTCATCTGCGAACCAGAATCCTATATCAAGGTCAGATACATCTTTATTGTCCCCTACAATTTCTTCGGCTGCGAAAAGAAGACCTGCGGCTGGCCAATTGAAGAACGATGTACCGCGAGCGCGACCGATCGCGTCGCATCGCAATAAATCACGAGCCCCACCGTATGTCGTGCGAACGTGAATCACCCCGTTGTTCACAGTGCTGATTGTGGATGTCTTTCTTAGTGAACCGCTTAAATCATTCAAGACTGTCGATGTCGGCCAAAGCGCGAGTCCCAACAAGTCGATCGGCAAGCCGCGAACCTTATCGAAGACCGTCAATCTCGACGTCAAACCTGAACACGACAACGCAAGCACATTGCACGCCCGCAAGACACAGCCAATAAATTCACTCACTCAAAGTCGCATCGACCAGCAATTTTCACCTATAGCCGCCAAACTAGGCTGCGAGCCCATACAAAACCAGGGCAAGGCCCATGGCCACATTATACTCACAAACAACAACGCCTCTACCAGCGAGGCGCTACGGTCATCTAGCCCGCTTGAATCGGATCAACAGCAGCTACAGTCCTCTATATCGAACTTCAGCGTCTACGACCGAGATGCGTTCGATGACACGCCCGGAGTGTCGGATTCTGGGAAATCTCCCAGAGCGTCGGTCTCTGGGAAAACCCCGACAGCATCTGGTTTGGAGGCGGTGACCGAAAACTCGGCGACTGGGAAGACTCCCGCTGTCAAACCGATTGGCCTTTCTCCCAAGTATCACAACATCAGCGATACTATGACAAACAAATGTGAACGTCTCCTACTACAGGCCGTCCTCGAACAACCCGATCGACCTGTTGCCTTATCGCAAATCTGCTATGAATTGTCCGAGGATCATCTAGAATCTCTTGAGAAGGCTTTCACTTCCGATTCCGGTGTGAAGAATTTCACGGACCCGGCGGTATACCACGAGGACGAGACCAAAGCGGTCTGGCAGAGGATCCTTGCCAAGTTGATATTTGTACGTCTCGAAGTGCAAGATTTCTGAACTGTACATTTCAGAAAACCATAGAGCGATCAGAGAACGCTGACGAGATCTTGCACAGGATCTGTCTGGACTACAGTACAAGATTGCTTACGAGTATGTCTATGCTCGATTGGAACGCGATGAGTGAGATTGGAACGCCATGAATAGTTAACTAAACAGCGTTCCTTTATCGCATGTAGAAAATTGGAAGCGCGCGGATTCTGGGACCGAGTCGACTTAGTCGGATACCGCTGGCAATTGCATCGCGCTCTCCAGTGCATGACTGCTGTTTGCCTACAACCGGGGTCTGGGGTGAACATGCGGACATGGACCCGTCCCAACGAGCACGAGCACGAGCGCCTTTTCAATCCGCTCGACTGTAATAACTACAGGTAAAGTTCACGCTCGGACATATTGAATGGCAATATCACTAAGCGAAGCGCTCCGTTTACATGCGAATCTCCCTTCACAGAAGGAGAATCTACGCGGCGTATGGCGCAGCAGAACAAGATGAGGAGGAAGTCAGGATCGATGACGACGAGTTCAGTCTTGCCACAGCGGGCACCCAAAGCGTTGGGGAAGAAGATCCAGGCGGGAACAAGACCACAAACCATGTTCAAAGCGATCTAAACTTATTTTGTCAGAGGGATCAAGTTCGCGATGGTCGCTCGTTGCGAGTGCCTAGAGTGGCTGCTGCGATCGAAGCGAAAAAGAGTAAAGGATGCGTTGGGCATACTAGCAATAATGTGAGTCTATCTCGACCGGAACGCGTTCCCTGTACTATCTTATCAAGTGTCTTTTCCAGAGCCATACTCAGTGTACTACTTACACTCGAGTTTGCCATGCTGCCGATGGGTGTTTATTTGGAATGGTAAGTTGTTTCTGGTTTCGTTTCTGCCTTCGAATTGATTCAATTTACTTTCGTCATGTTACAGGTGATTCACGGACTCTCCTTTCGCATCTACCAGATCACCCCAGGGTCCGCGGGAAACGAAATTACAACATGGATCCCGACAAGCGCGAAGAGTGAATTCTCTCGACAAAACAATGCTACCTTCAGCTTCAAGTATAAGGACAGTTACGAGAAGATAAAGAGTAAACCTACATGTGGAGCTTGGCTGGTAGCACTGACCGGGATCCATCTCGGCACAAACGGCAACTTGCGGCAAAGAATTTGGTATCATTCATCGGTAAGTGAAATTCGGATTTCTCGAGTATCAAGATAGCCCTGTTTCAACTTCGATTCCTTGCAGTCGATCTGAATGGGAGAGTCTATGCTGCACTGGAGATTCAAAGGGGGAATGAAGATATTATCAATTTCATCCAACCCAATGATCGCTTGCTGCTTCAGCATGAATCTACACCTGTCACCTTTACTGAGGTCACAATCGAAGCGGTAACACCGCGCCTGCCCAAAATCCAGGACAAAGCGGCGAAACCGACGACAGGTGGGAATAATGACACTGGTTCGAAACAGGACGCCAACAATCGGAGTAAAAAGGCGCAAGGAGACGGTGATAATCAGCGCGGCAGCGGGCCAGTTGGAAAGCAAAATCAGAAGAATGCAACTAGCAGCCAGAAAGAGGCAGGGGTAAACCAGAAAACGAAAACAGTGGACGTCAACTGTGAGCTGCCGTCAGGCTCGCCCGGCTGTTAAAGCAACACTTTGGATAAAGGCTGATCGCTTCATCTGTCAGACAAATCTGCGCCGGCTATCTTATCTTGGACGCATGCAACAAGAGCGAGAGAAGACGCGTATTGAAGAATATCCGATGATTACTATACTCAAGTGTTCTGTCCAATCGCAGCCTGTACGCATTTTACGAAAGCATATCCCGATGACCAATACGACATCTGATGAAATATAGTATGCGATACAACTTATCACGCAGACAACTCGGGAATTTGGGTCGACGTTTTATCCCTGGTCTTCGTTGTTGTACGCATTGCTCTTGTGCTTGGGCACGAAGTTGAAGCTGTCAGGCACCTTTCCGAGGAACATTTCGGTAATCTTGACCCAGTCTCGGCTGTCGCCCGAGGCGAGCAAGGTCTCTAGAGCCGGAGAAACGAGTTCATAGTCAGCGGGTTGAAGGTGCCGCCGTGATAGACTATCAAGACTGACCAAGCTCGTTTCGGCCTCGGTAAGCGGGAGGTCGCTCGTTGATCTGAGGTGGCATCCTCTCGAGCAAGCCGATAGGCACGTATCGGTGTTGAAACGACATGGCCTCGCAGAGGAATCGACGCGTGGTATTGACACCTTGCGTGTCGGTACCCCAATGCGTCAGTCCGTATTCGGCAAACTGTGTAGCGCAGAAGCCATTAGCACGGATCTCATCCAGAAGATAAGTCTCAGATGAGGACTAACCTTGCGCATGCCATCCAATCGCTCCGTAGCACTGATGTCCCATTCTCGCCTTTCCTGAATCTCGGTAAAGATCCACGGCTTAATCAAAGCACCCCGAGCGACCATGATCCCGTCAACCCCACTGTTTTCCTTCTCTTCGTAATATGACTGAGCAGAGAAACAGTCTCCGTTTCCAAAGATGGGAGGAGCTGGAAGACCGGCATCGACGCAGGTTTCGCGAAGGGTCTCAGCGCATTGCTTAATATAGCTCCAGTCGGCCATCTTGGAATAACGTTGTTGTCGAGATCGTCCGTGCAACTGCACGAAGAAACACTGTTCAGCGAAAGCTCAGACGCAAAATTGATCGAGGAAGCCCAGCGTACCGTCATGGCAGAGATACCCCATTCGGTAGCGAATCGAGGAATAAACTTGTGCGCCACGTTCTTGTCTTGCTTGATACCGGTCCTGAACTTGACTGTCAAGGGAATCTCGCCCAACATCTTGTTCATCCCGACAAGAATCTTGCCGAGCTGTCCGGGTCGGTCGAAAACTGGCAAGATCGATACTGTTAGTCACCATATGAGAACGTTCCTGGGTACACAGATTGACTTACGAGCCGACCCAGCTCCTCGCTGGAAAACCAAGTCGATCGGACAACCAAGGTTGATATCGACGAAGTCCAACCCGGAGCCTTCCCGGTCATTGCAGTACTCTTTGACGATCTCGGCAGCGGGAACCATGTACCCCTGCTTCCCTCCACAGAGCTGGATGCCGAAATTCTTCTCCGAGGGGTGTCTGCGCGTGAGCGACCATTCTTGTTTGGCCCCATTCACGATAGCATTCCCCATAGCCATCTCTCCGCAGGTGATATCGGCGCCGTAATCGACGCACAATCTTCGGAAAGGCTGGAATAATCAAATTGTCAGAGCTGTTTGAACAATTCCATAGATCCTCAAGTCGAGGCGTGCTTACCAAGTTTCCAACCGTAGTCAGTGGGGCCAAATACGTTTTTCCTCTCCAATCCAGCCTCCTCTTCTCTACCGCACGTATCGGCACATCGTCCTTGTCAACCTCGGCTCCCGTCATTTTGGCCAACTCTGGTTCGGTCTTGTCATTCAAGGCTTCTTCCTCGTAGTCGGCGGCAACAGGCTTGGCATGACTCATAGGTACATGAGCCGCCAATCCGGTAGCCTGCGCTTCCCCCGCGTTGGCCAGAGCCTCTTCGTCCATATCTTCCGTCAAGAAAGCAGGACGAGGAGTAGGAGCCACCTTCTGCTTGTTCTGGTTTGAATCCTGCTTGTTTCGCTGGTTCTGACCTGGTAACTTGTCGACCGACTCCGGGTCATTTTCGCGCAGATACGGGATGGTTTTCGCAAACGGGAACTTTCTGATATCCTTCTGCCAAGCCCCGGAGACGTCGTTGAGCTCGACATGCTCCCCGCTAGCAAGAGCTTTGGCTTTCTTCTCTTCATCCACAACGAGGGTGTAACCCTCGAGAACCGAACCGGTAGTCGATTCGGTCTCCGAAGTCAAGATCGGCTTGACATGAGCGCCGAGGAAACGACACTTCCAGCCGTGTTCGCAATACCCAAAGATAGAGAACAGGGGGCATGTCGTGCTCGTATCCAGAGTTCGAGCTACGTCGGATGTCTGGGCGTCTGCGCTCGGTTCCATAGACGACGTGGTCGCCTCGATAACGAAAGGAGATTCCGACTTCAGCTCCTCGAGACCGCGAACCAGTCGAATATCCTTGGGCTTGTTCTTGAAGTATCCCTCGAGATCGTGAGACCGCTTGCAAGTGTCTCCAAAGTCACAATGTTCGCCTCTCGCAATAAGCGAGCACACGAAGATCTCGTCTTTCAGGTTCTTAAACTTCCTCCCCTTGTTCTGGCCCGACTTGGCCTTCTTCTCGGCCTTGGTCATCTTCTTGAAACCAGACCTTCCGTCTTCTCCTCGTTGCTTCTTCATTGCTCCACCGGCTTCTGCAGCATCGTCATCGTTGGCGTCATTGGCGGCTTCTGCCTCGCCATCCTGGACATCCTCTCGAGCCCGCTTGTTGGACGATTCGGCCGGGGCTGCAGAGGGACCGCCAGAGAGGAAACTAGGAAGACAGGAGACTGAAGCTTCTTCCTGTTTCTTCTGTGTCGGTTGACGGTCTTGGTAGATTCGGTATCTACAGAGCGGTCGCTGTAACAATCAGCATGCATATCTCGTCAATGATGTTCGTGTGACGTAACTCACTCGGCCTTGATCGAGGCGATGCCGGCTCCAGGTCGGGAGACAGGCAATCCGGTCTTCTGTTCGGCAGTAGACATGACTTTAGGCAATGGTCCAGTCTGCTTGAGCTTGACGTTGAGATGCAATTCGACTGGGCGAGATCGTTCAACTTGGAATTCGAGCATGCACCGTGCTGAATGTAGGCTCCGAAATCTCAGAACGCTGAGTACCGGAAGCTAAAAAGATGCCGATCGCTGACGAAAGCGGACATCGTCTCATTTGTCTTGAAACGCTTCTATGTCCGTCTCAGTGCACGAGTGCGAGTACCTCGACCCTGCACCTGCGTCTGACCCGGGCATCTATCTGAGCTATCTGTATGTGCTCACGATCAGCCCAGCATATAGCGAAGTAATAGCCTAGATACCTTCGACACTGTGCTATAATACAGATACGAACCATCATGATGAATCGACAACGAATACAATCGGCGGACGAGAAAGCTAGGGCATTGCAGACCTCGAGGACGATCTTTGGTAATTATCTCGCCGGTCTCTATCCCCTTTCACCAGCTGGCCTTGTCACATCGGCTGTATGATCGTTCTGGCTGTCTAGGGTATCGCAAGATCATCGAGCTGGACTGTTCTAATTGAATTCTGCATCGCCGACTGGTACATCATGCTGATCATACTGCAATCTCGTTCATCCTGTGTTCAATCTCGGATCATCGACTGCTCGCTTTCAGTTGCCAACATCCCTTAGTGAGATCTTGTGCTATCCCTTGGTTGCCGTCTATGAGCACCGTCACTCACCAGCTGTTGCCATCTGATTCGTGTGCGCGCAGCGACGTGACAGAAGAGCAGCTCGTAGGACTTTTCAGCGAAGTTGGGCCGGTACAGGAATTCGTGTAAGTCCCGGGTCAATGCCCTTGCTCGATCTCGATCAAACGTGGCGCTGATAGGTACTCTGTTCTCGGCGTGCCTTTGGGAATCGAAGTCTCAAGTTTGATGCCACGACAGGCCGTCCGAAAGGGTTTGGCTTCTGTCACTACTTCGGTAAGCCCACTCATGACCGTCTCGAGTAACCTAAAATCAGACCCACTCATCACATCTTCATACTATGCTGTTTGTCCACGCAGATCATGAGACCGCCCTCTCCGCAGTTCGTAACCTCAAGGACGTACATATCAGCGGCCGATCCCTTCGAGTAGAACTGTCCACGGACGAACCCGGTCCCAAAAAGGCTGGAGCGCCGGGAGCAACGGGTGGAGGACCGGTCGTACCGCCTGGACCGCCTGGGAGACTTCCGGGAGGACCTGGAGGTTTTGCAGGTGCGCCCGTGCCGGGTCTTGGACAGGGACAGTTCGGAGCGCCCCCAGGACCTCCAGGGGGTGGATTCGGGTTCGGCCGGGGCGGGCCTGGCGGTGCACCGGGGTTACCTCCCCCTACCCTGCCTCCTTCTGGACCTGGACCTGGACCCGGAACAGCGGCGCCGGGAGTGAACATGAACATGTTGCCACCCGGGCAGGATTTGCCGATGGGAGAGCGGGCGACGGATGTGATCTCGAAGACGTTGGCGTCTATCCCGCCGGGCAAGCTGGAAGAAGTCTTGATGGGCATGAAGGTGAGTCTTCTGGTCACGAGCTTTGATACAGGGCGAATTGAAGAGATGCTGATTGGTATCTGTGGACGTTCTTGTGCAGACAATGGTCAAGGAGAACCCGGAAGGTGCAAAGGCTGTGTTCTTGCAACATCCTCAATTGGCGTATGCGTTGTTCCAGGCGATGTTGTTGATGAACGCTGTTGATCCCAATGTACTGCAGGTAAGTCTACAGATCATCGTCACAGAAGCTGGTACTGTGAAGGGAGACTTACTATGCGGTTGGCGCTCATAGCGTATGAAGCCTGTACCGCCTACTCAAGCAGCTGCGCCAGCCCAACCTCCCTTTGTACCTCCTCCACAACCTTTCCAACCGGCTCCCACACCATCAGGAAACTACGGAGCTGGATACGGAAACACGCAATCTCCCTATTCGAACCCCGGTCCATCGGTTCCCGGCCCCGGACCTCGACCTCCTCTGCCTATGCAATCTTACGGCGCTCCTCCTCCTCCTCAACAACAACCTCCTCAACATCAACAGCAACAAGGGCCTCCTCAGGGTTACCCGGGACCTGGACCGAATAATCAGCAGAACATGTACGGTCGGCCGGGTCCGCCTCCCCCACACGGAGCGGGGACACCCTTGGGCGGTGGAGGGTACGGCGGGCCTATGGGGACGAACAGCCCGTATGGCGCCGCTGGTCCAACTCCGGTCGCACCACCCCCTGCAGCCACGCCGCCCATTAATCCGGCCGTAACACAGGCTTTGTCCATGGTCAGCGAGGACCAGAGGGTAAGACAGTCAAGCATTCGTACATAGCCTACATCCTGACTGATGTCTCTGTCGGGCTGTTTGTAGGCCATGTTGCTTCAAGTGCTCTCGTTGACAACGGAGCAGATCAACGCATTACCAGCAGACCAGAAGGATGGAGTGATGCAGTTGGCAAGTCGGCTTTTTCGTATGCACGTATGCAGGACGACAGCTAACAAATACGCTATTCTGATTCGTAGCGGTCACAATTCGGAATGTAATTGGAGCTCCTTATTCAGCACAAGGAATCGAGATCAGACAGAAGTTCATATCCGGCGCATTCGCGATTCGATTGCTGGCTAAGGGAGATCAATCGGTTGAATGTGTGGATTTGAGCGTTGTCGGCGTATACATGATTGAAATACTAAGACCTTGTCTAATTCAGTTCATGTTTGTCTCAAAATGTACAAATGGCTCTGTGCAAGCGGTCATGTCGTTAAGGTCGTGATTGTTTCCAAAAAGTACGTATCTAAGCTGGCCCGACAGCAGAGCAAGCTAGTCTACCGTCACCCCTTTGCTTCGGAGGTCGTCTTTTGCTTGCGAGATTTCCTGTCAAGCGCAATCAACGACTGGGTCAGTTCATTGAAGTTGACGATCAAGAGGCGCTCAACATACCAGCATGAGCGACCGGTAAGCTTCTGGGCAATCTCGGAACCTGACCAGTCCCAATCCTAGTGATCCTAGCGAGTAAGCTCCGAATGTTACGAGTACCCAGAACGGTAGCTACTCGCAATATAACTTGTCGTCAGCTTGACTGGCGAGTTCAAGGAGATGCTGATAGGCTTACAACGGGTACGAGAGCGTCGGAGGCTTCTTGCGACATGAAAGGGATGTTGACGATCCCGAGCAGAGCAAGGAGGTAGTAGACGACCAAGGGGGCCAGGTAAGCGGCGAAACGGGTTGCGCGGGTCATGATTGCTAGTTTTGTCTGCTCTATAGGTTGACTTGAACTAGATTGAGTGGGTTGGCGGCCCGTGGAAGGATATGATGTTGATAGGCAGACAACTGTCAACACCGCTATCATGATGGTGACGTTTGATAGTCGAGTAGCGCGCTTGATCTGCCAAATTGAAGCGCACCCCGAGGTCTACAGTGTAGTATCGATATGTTCACAAGGTCGATGGAAGGTAGGTAAGATCGAGTCAGATCAACAGCTGCAGCTCGTAGATCATCCCAAAAGCTCGTCATCACATTGCGAGTCAAACACATAAAGAGCCCCTTGAATCAGTCTTTGCCAGTTCATGCTCAGGGAGCTAGGACGACAATTCCGATCGAACATCTACTGCAACTCGCTACGCTCAATATCGACTTTTAGAAAGAGCAATAGTCTCTCGCTATCTCTACCTCGGTATACCACAAATACCTCGACACCTTCAACACGACAGACGCAATTTTCCATCCGCAACATGTCAGCTGATGCAGAATTTAAGGAGAAGGTTGCCGAGACCCTGGCGCCTCAGACGTTGAACGAAGGACCTGCTGCTCCTCAGCTTGGTCCCGACGGCGAACCCGTACAAACCAAAAGTGCCGGTAAGTAGGAGATCTGCTACTTCAATCCGCATGATAAGATACAGCTCGCTGAATGCGTCCTCCGTTGATTAATCTTGCCCGATTTAGCTAAGAAGGCGGCCAAGTTGGCTGAAAAGCAAGCCAAGCTCGCAGCCAAGCAGACCAAGCAGGTCGTAGCACCTGCAGCTGGTGGAGCCAAGAAGGAAAAGGCCAAGAAGGAGGAGAAGGTTGAGGAGGCGTTCGTCAACACGACGCCCAAGGGAGAGAAGAAGGGTCAGTCAAATCGTTTGAAACGTAACATCCGCGATATTAGAACGCTGAAGCGGGAGCCACTGATAGATGTTTCGGGTGACCTGCCGAAGACGGCTTACAACCCCTTGGCTGTCGAGGCTGCCTGGTATGACTGGTGGGAGGCCAAGGGCTTTTTCCAGCCTCGTTACAAGGAGGGTACCGAGAAGCTCATCGAGGACGGCCGAGGCGTAAACTACACCGGTGAACACCGAGACGAAGGGACTTTCGTCATCCCCATTCCTCCTCCCAACGTTACTGGAAGCTTGCACACCGGACACGCTCTCGCTGCTACTCTCCAGGACACTCTGATCAGGTATTACCGAATGAAGGGGTACACGACGCTGTACCATCCTGGGTTCGACCATGCCGGTATCTCCTGTCAGGCTGTTGTGGAGAACAGGCTGTTGAAGACCGAGGGTAAGAGTCGGCATGACTATGGTCGAGAGAAGTTCGTCGAGAAAGTCTGGGACTGGAAGGAAGTCTACCAAGAAAAGATTTCTTCCCAATTCAAGAGGATCGGTATTTCGGCCGACTGGAACAGGTCTGCCTTCACGCTCGACGAGGTCAGTTACGGACGATTAGGTAATGCACGGCGGGCTGCTGATAAGCGTTCTGTATGGATCTGAACAGCGATGCGACAAGGCTGTTAGAGAGAACTTTTACCAGCTGCACAAGAAGGGCCTACTTTACCGTGCCAACCGATTGGTCAACTGGTGTGTTAAGCTGAACACTACCCTATCGAACCTTGAAGTAAGTCCTAAGGTAGCATCCTTACCAAGACATAAGGATCATTAGTTAATCGATTCTTTTCATTTTATCGCCACATAGGTCGACCAGAAGGATCTTAAGGGAAAGACGTTCTTGAACGTTCCCGGTTACGACATCAAGGAAAAGTTCGAATTTGGTACCATCACTTCGTTCGCCTACGAGATTGAGGACACCGATGAGAGGATCGTTGTTGCAACCACTCGTATCGAGACCATGTTGGGAGATACCGCTGTTGCCGTGCACCCGGACGACGACCGATACAAGGTCAGTTGTCGGACATCCTTAGAACTCAAGGTGATTGGCTAATACGCCCATCCTCGACTCTGCATCGTTTAGCACTTGATTGGGAAATACATCAAGCACCCGTTCGTCGACCGCCGATTCCCTATTGTTGCCGATGACATCACCGTCGACATGGCATTCGGAACCGGAGCCGTCAAGATCACCCCCGCTCATGACCCCAACGATTATGAATGTGGAAAGAGGAACAATCTCGAATTCATCAACTTGATGAATGATGACGGAACTTACAACGACAACGCCGGGGAGCAGTTCAAGGTAGGTCGATATCACCCGTAGAGGTGATTGCTTTGCTGCCAGCTAACCGCAGTGACTGCAGGGAATGAAACGATATCACGTCCGAACGGCCGTATTGAAAGCCCTCAAGGAGAAGGGCCTGTACGTCGAGACCAAAGATAACCCGATGCAGATCCCCATTTGCAGGTAAGAGCCAGAAGTGTAGTTCTGAGGCGTTACGTAAAGGGAGTTTATCGGGGTACTGGTTGCAGCAAATCCGGCGACATTATTGAAAGCATCATGAAGCCTCAATGGTGGGTCAACCTGAAGGATGCGGCCGCCGAGGCTACCAAGGTGAGAGCAGGATTTAGAGTATCTCGAGACAAATCGCGATAACTGACTTGTTTTTCGTAGCGTACCGAGGCTGGAGAGTTGAAGATTTTGCCGAAGAGCTCCGAGGGCGATTATTACCGATGGATGCGAGATATGCAGGATTGGTGCATTTCCCGGCAGCTCTGGTGGGGCCACCGATGTCCTGCCTGGTTACTGATCATCGATGGCAAGAGGCCCGACCCCTCTGATGACAAGAGCTGGATCATCGAGAGATGCGAGGAGGATGCCATGGAGGCCGCGAAGAAGATTGCAGACGGACGACCGTTTACCATTGAGCAGGATGATGACGTTTTGGACACCTGGTTCTCCTCTGGTCTTTGGCCGTTCGCCATCCAGGGTTGGCCTGAGAAGACCGACGATATGAACAGCTTCTACCCCGCTAGCTTCTTGGAGACAGGTTGGGACATTCTGCCCTTCTGGGTCGCACGAATGGTCTTGCTGGGTATCGTTTTGACCGACAAGATGCCCTTCAGTGAGGTCTACTGTCACGGTCTCGTCCGGGATCCCGAAGGCAGGAAGATGTCAAAATCGCTTGGAAACGTTGTTGATCCCATCGACCTGATCGAGGGTTCTACGCTAGATGCGCTGCGAAAGCAGTTGGAAGGAGGAAACTTGGCCGATGCCGAGATCAAGCGCGCGGCTGAGGGCCAAAAGAAGCTCTTCCCCAAGGGAATTCCCCAGTGTGGTACCGATGCGCTGCGTTTCGCTTTGTGTAACTACACTACCGGAGGTGAGCTACGATCGTGCACGATATCACTGTGCCAGACATCCCTGACTCTAGGTGTACTTGCCAGGTCAAAACATCTTGATGCAAATCAACGACGTTGAAGGATACCGAAAATTCTGCAACAAGTTGTGGAATGCCACTAAATTCTGCATGTTCAAGCTGGATATGGTTGACATCGACGGAGCCAGGCTTCAATCGAACTTTATTCCCAACAAGACCGATGCTGTATGTTATTGTCGTTACACTGTCCCGGGAGAGACAACGCTTACTGATGGCTTCGAACTTGAAGAAAACCGGGAACGAGACTCTGGCAGAACGGTGGATCTTCCACAAGCTTAACCAAGCCGCCATCAAAGTCAACAAAGCCTTCGAATCGAGGAATTTCCATGATGCTACCGAGGCGGTTCACGGATTTTGGCTTTACGAACTCTGCGACGTCTTCATCGTAAGCAATATTACCGGCAAGCGTAACGTCAATGAGCTCATTAGAATTCATCTCGGCAACGTCTCTAGGAAGCCACCAAGCCGTTCACGACCGACGAGACTCCTGCTGACGTCAAGAAGTCCGTCCAGAACACGATCTACACCGCTCTGGAATCGGCCTTGCGTTTGGTCCACCCGATCATGCCCTACGTCTCAGAAGACTTGTGGCAGAGGCTGCCTCGAAGACCCGACGAGAAGAGCGAGACTATCATGCTTTGCGCCTTCCCGTCTGAGGTGAGCAACCTTCCGCTTGCTGGGTATGCGTATATATGGATTGTTAACACCGCTGGCGCTCTCCAGCGAGCCGATTACCACGATCCTCAAGCCGAGAAGGACTTTGATTTGGTTTTCGACTGCATCCGAGCCGCCCGATCTATCATTGCCACTTTCGGTCTACCTACTAACGGAAAAACGCCGGAAGAGAGGCACGAGAGTGAGCACGACTTGTCTTAGCACTCCAATTCCAATGCTTCCAACTGATTATCCGCTCTTTCAGTTTATGTCCAGGTTGACAGCGAAGAGACAGCGAAGATGATCTCATCGCAGGTCCCCATCTTCGAAGCCCTGATCAAGGGTTGCAGGGAGATCAAAATCGTCACCAAAGCTGAGGATGTTCCTGCTGGATGTGGCACCGAGCAGATCAGTGTCCAGGCCATCGTCCATGTTCCTGTCAAGGTATGTCTAGCACCGGATGAGCTACAACTACGTCAGGGATCAATGTTGAACGTCGCAACCGTTTCATAGGGCAAGATTGATGCCGCCCAGGAGATCAGCCGACTGGAGAAGAAGGTCGTACTTGCCAACACCAACGCCGACAAGATCAAGAAGCTCCAGAGCCAGGACAACTACGAGACTGCTCTTCCCGAGAATGTGCGACAGAAGAATGCTGACCAGGTACGCCGACCGACTCTCACATACGCCATTTACGATTTCGGATTCGCGACTGACCTTGACCTGCGACGCGTCACGCTCATCTTCATTTCCCTCAGCTACGCGGTATCGAGGCCGAGATCGAGACCTTGCGACTGGCCATTGAGAAGTTCCAGAGCCTTGCCTAGAACCTTCACATATATCAGACCACGCATATTAGGCTTGTATAGGCATCATGAATGACTTCTAATCGATGTAGGAGAAACACCAAGATTGCCATAGCGATCGGCGGCGATGCAAGTGCGCTTTTGTCTGTCGGACCAGGGCGACGCGCTTCGAGAGCAGCGGTGTCCAGCAGCCGGGTTGTACCGACATCGACAGCGAATGTAGGTGATTGAAGCAGAATTGAATGGGTCAGGGCCGCCTTTAGTGAGCTTCGGGCTCTACTCAGCGACACTGAGATTCTCGTTCAGTCTTGGAGAGTAGCACAAGGTTACATAGTCAAACTCGAACACCACAGACGGCCACACCGGAATCTCGCACAATCGCTGACCTTCAAGATGGGGAAAAAGACTGCAATGTCTGCCGAGATCGGCCCAGATACCGTATATCAGGTAAGAGGATCTGCCATCTGACAAGCTCTCTTATAGGGCTGCTAGCTGATGGAAAGCATGACGTTATATTGCGATGTCTGATCAGGCAACGTATAGGTATGCTCCAGCTTATGACGCTCATCTCTTGCCCTGCTAATTCGACGCGTCGAGCTGACCCCGAGCTTCACGTCGCGTGTCGTTGATGATCCCCGTTTGACAATCTATTCAAGTGGAGTGTGAGTGTGATAACGTCGGACGTCGAGCCATTTCGTTCGTACACTAAAGGCTACTTCTGGCATGATGTAGGCCGGTATACGAGTTGATCGTTGGCAAAGAGCTGGTGATGAGAAGGCAGAATGACGGATGGTTGAATGCGACACAATTGCTCAAGGTCGCGAATTTCGACAAGCCGCAAAGAACCAGGATCTTGGAGCGAGAGGTGCAGAAAGGGGTCCATGAGAAGGTGCAAGGTGGATACGGAAAGAGTCAGGGTGATTGCGATTAGGAATCTCGAATGACCTTGAAAGAAGAATTCGCCTGACAGATCGCGTTCGTGACCCGCAGGCACCTGGATCCCGCTGGAACGTGCCGTCGCGCTTGCGAAACAGTACGAGATTCACGAGCTCATCCGACCTATAGTCGAACTAGACGCCCGAGCCGGCACCCCGCCTCCAGCACCGAAGCATTCCATCAAACCGTCTCAGGCCAAGCTGAAGAAGCAGGATCTCGCGTCGCTGTCCGTCAAGAGCGCTAGAAGCACGCCCAGCCTTTCGCTTGGACCGCCCATCGGTCAGGGTTACTCGCTGCATACCGCTTTACAAGCGGGTCCTAGCGGTTATGGCGGCGATGGTGGTGCGCCTTCCTCGGCTGTCGGGGGAGACGGAGCGGACGGTTCCGATGGCGAAGGTGCTGCTACTGCATCCCCATCCCGATCTTCGTCGTCTCGTACCCCTTCCCCTATTCCCGCTCCAACGAACATGCTGGGAACGCTCAACGATCATTTGTCGGGAATATACTCGGATCAACAGCAGCCTAGCTATAGTATCGACGGGATGAAAGCTGGAGCTGCTATGGCGGGACAGAAGCGTAAACTTGAAGAGGATTACGAGGCCGCGCCGTCATCTTCAAGGACGAGGCTTGACACGGACGCCGTTTACCTTGTCAACGGGCATCCGCCACCAGCTGGGCCGGAAACTTACGCCAACATCATCCTCGACTACTTCATCACGGAAAAGGCCAAGATACCCGATTGTCTGGTGAAACCCCCGCCAGACTTTGATGCCAACGTCTCAATTGATGACGACGGTCACACTGCATTGCACTGGGCTTGTGCGATGGGTCGACTTCGAGTCGTCAAGCTGCTATTATCAGCCGGTGCCGATATATTCAGGGTCAACCACGCCGAGCAGACCGCTCTAATGCGTAGTGTCATGTTTTCCAACAACTACGATGTGCGGAAATTCCCTGAGCTGTACCAATTGCTCCATCGTTCTACCTTGAACATCGACAAAGGTAACAGAACGGTGTTTCATCACATCGCTGACGTTGCCCTCACCAAGGGCAAAACGCATGCCGCGCGGTATTACATGGAAACGATCCTCGCCCATCTGGAAGATTTCCCTCGAGAATTGGAGGATGTCATCAATTTCCAAGATGAAGAGGGCGAGACGGCGTTGACATTGGCAGCTCGTGCTCGGAGCAAGCGCCTTGTGAAAGCGCTTCTTGACCACGGAGCCGATCCCAAGATCAAGAATCGAGACAAGAAGAGCGCCGAGGACTATATTCTGGAGGACGAGCGGTTTCGATCCTCACCCAACCTAGGCGGGCAGCTTCGATTAGACGACGGAGAGAGCTCGATGCGAGCTGGATTCGGCAGTCTCCCTCCGCAGCTTTATCACTCGCAGTCCGCTCAGCAAGCGGCGGGAAAGTATACGACGGACATGACCACGATGTTGGATGATCTCGCACGGTCATACGACACTGAACTTCAGCAGAAGGAGAAGGACATCTCGCAGGCAGAAGCGCTCCTTGTTTCGCTACGATCGGATATCGAGGAAGCGAAAAAGACATTAGCGGAATTACAAAGCAGAAGTGCCGGATTGCAACCGGAACGAGAGAAGGTGGCTGGTTTGCAGTCTTCGTTGGAAGAGAATATGGGTCGACGGTATCGAGCTGGGTGGGAAGCCTGGCTGGCTCACGAAGAGGCGCGGGAGAATGCATGGGAACAGGCTGGTCGACCCGAGACGGCGGAATGGCAAGATGTCATCGCCATTGCCAAGGTGGAAGGATCGACTGACGCGGAGGAAGCGCAACTTGTTGATGAGGTTGAGCAAGGAAAGCGGAAACGGATCGAGCTCTTCAAGCGATATGTGCGACAGCAGACCGATGTAAGCTGGCTTTCCCATGAGAATCGCGCGAGACTATGAGCTAAGATAGGTTGTCGCTACAGGTCGGAACCGGGGAAAAGATGGCAAGCTACCGAAAGCTGATCGCCTCTGCTTGCGGAGGAATGCAGCCTAGTCAAGTCGACCGATTTTTGGTGGAGATCTTGGATGTGAGTTGGGCAGCCTTACTCGTATCGATGCATGCGAAAATGCGCCTAACCATCATCTTTCACTTAGACGCTTGATGGAGACGCAGCCGAGGGTATCAACTAGTCGATACCCATCATCAATCTCATAATTACGACCATGTCTTGACATCCGCTGTGTATAAATTATATCGTATCGCCAGAGTGAACGATGATGATGACTTTCGCGATAACATGATCACGTCTATACCGGGCGGTTTGGTTCAACTCGCGAAAAACGCATATTATGCGATTTCGCGTTTCGCGCGATATCTTACCGCTACTAGTGCTGGCGAGCGATATCATACCGGTTGGAATCACAAAAAGCAGCTCTTCATCCCAGTTTTTGATAGATTGGTATGAAGTTATCTCGGGCCCAGACCTCTCGTCACGGCGTACACCTCGACCTAGCCCTCAGACGTACACCTATACCTATACCCATATCTATACTCTATCCTCCACACCGTTACATCTAGCACCTCTTGTACCTTCGCCCTTAGCACACCACGTTATACTATACAATTCAAAATGTCTGACGCCGCTCGACTCGACCGCCTTGAAGCTCTCATCATGAAGATGGTAGCCCCTAATCGACCTGCAGATGAACCTGCTCCCGATACATCAACATCAAGCCGCCTTCATGTCATCCCTGAGCCATACCGACGACCGAAAGCTCCAGCCCAGCCCGTGTATAGCGAAGACGAGGCCGAAGAGGACTCATGGGATGGAGAGCAAGACGACCCCGAAGACCCAGAAGCTACCCCTCCCCCCCTGCCCAGACACAAACCAACCCGAGGTGAATCATCTGGATATGCACCTAGGTCGACTCAGGCCCGTAGTACTCGTGATTCACCAGACGTCGGCCCATCCAACCTTGCTCGACGAGCTCATGCACTGGTACAAGCCAACAAGACTACGCCCTTCATTCGCGCAGAGGGTATAAGGTCTGCAGGTGCTGGTAACTTCAAGCAACGAGGCCATGGTGGGGGCTACGCTTTTGGAGGTCATCCTCTGCAGCAGACCTCTCGTCCTCCCAAGAAACCTGGCAAGGACGTCAAGGCTTGCAAAACCGGAATGGTCAGTACGCGTACGCTTGGTGGGCCCTCCGTAGTGATACCACACGTCAACTAACTTGCCCTCGATCGTTTACACAGGTGGTCTATATCCCAGACGGTTCTTTTGTCAGAGACAAGTTGACCCTTGTTTCTATCTTCAAGAGCAAATGGGCCGGTACCAAGGAGTACCTGTCTACAGCTGGCTATATGCAACCTCTCCATTTCAAGGCCCACATGAGCGCGAAAGACATGGTTGAACACGTTGAAACGATCTTCAAATCAAGCCGACCTTTACCCCGCCTCTGGTCTTGGGCCTTCCTTCAACCGGCTTCACAGAGTCTCAACCCTGCCGCTGTGTATTCACCCTGGGATACGACCCTCGACAATCTCCGTGCGCGTTGCCTCGACACGCAGTTCATCTGCATCATTCCGGAGACTTGGGAGACCCAGCACCACTCAGGCTTTCGGCGTGCTGTTGCTCAAGCAATCAGCCGTGATCCTGTGTCTTGGCAACCTCTACCCAAGACCCCCATGGGCCCTCCCTTGAGCCAGGCAAAGAAGGGAAAGAGAAGGGCCGTACGCGAGACGTCATCCGAATTAGACCGGGAGGAACAGCGATACCGCGATGCAGAAGCGTTAGAGATCGCTATGGCAGATCCGACATGCCCAGGTTGTGGCAGATCATACCCTACGGACCGGCTAGAGTGGCATGTCACCAGCTGTGCCAAGGCTATTGCCCTGAACCAGGTGGAGAGCTCAGAATCGGAGCCAGAAGGGGTCGTTGATCTAGACGCCGTTCAGCGTGAAAACACGCTCGACACAGACCCAGGCGATCGGGATGTCATCACGATCGACGATTACGACAACCTGGGCAAGATCACTGAAGACTTCCAGGCCGTGAGTGATGTGGGGGGAACGCCTGAACCGCAAGGCCCAAGCATATCGGGTCAGTACTCAAGCTAGCGTTGGTACAATATAGTTTGCTCACACCTTGCGTCTGATATACAGATCTGCTGAAGACAAAGCTGACACCGGAACAGTTTCGGGCCATATGCGTTCAATTTATCGAAGACCATGGCCGAGAAAACTTCAATATGCATGTGATGGTGGCCAAAGGTGTACCTTCGGATCAACCTGCCATACCATCAACGCAAGCTGCTCAGGAAGAGGTTGTAGTCGACTGGGAGTTAGGCACACATCTCAACGGCGTAGAACAAGACGGAGAGTCTAGGCTATCTGAGCCAGGCGTAGTTGAAGAGCCAGCACTTATGCCTGGGGTCGAAGTTGCGGTTGGCAACAAGAGGGCAAGGTCTAAGTCTTCTCCAGAGAAAAGCGGCATTGCTCATGCACGTCGCAGACTCCGAAGCCACAACGAAGCCTCATCTAGCAATGCGTAGACCTTTGTACTTGTAGACCGCAACGGTATAGATAAAAACATAATTTAAAAAAAGAAAATACATGTATAAATAAAAAAAAAAGAGGCCCGACTACCTCCTTCGCCCACCTCGAGCAGCAGCCTTGAGCTGGGTGCTCGTAGGCTTCGCTTCTCGGCGAGACGAGTACCAAGGGTGAGTGACATACTGGCAGTTCTTGCCGTTACGCCAGATGCACCTCAAACACTTGCCCTCCTTACCCGGGATGACCGAGCACTCCGCATACCTCTCGTTCATGGCAATCATGAGCGCATCGTCTTCTTGGGGTGGGCGTGTCTCCCCACAACAGACGTTGCACTCGTCACCGTCGATCATCAAGGCGGCCCCGGGATCGTTGTACAGGGCCTCGGCGGCCTGCGAGGGATAGCAAGATGAAAGACCGATGGGGTTAGTATTTGTTTGTCAACTAATCTATCAGCCTTGACGTGACTTACAATCGCGTTGGCCCAACGGTTGTTGGACCAGGTCACCGGCTTGAACTTAGGCATTTGAAACCCCTCATGGGGCGGGATGCGTGGCGACAGCCTCCGGCTCCGCCTCTTGCTCGGAGAGGGCGAATCGACGAGGTCGAAGTCGTCGTCGTACCCATCGAACTCGTCGAGAGCCACGGGCCTCTTCGACCCTCGGCGGGGCGTCCTCACCTCGTCGGACCCCACCACCAGCTCCAGCCTGTCCAGCAAGCTGGTCATCCTGGCCTCGGTGGTGGGGCTACCCGCACCCGCACCCGCACCCGCACCTGCACCTGCACCCTCACGGCCGAGGAACGGGTTTGGGCCTTGGTTTTGCCCGGTCCGGAGGGGTCGAAGGGGAGGGACGGGAGGGGCAGGAGGGGGAGGCGGGGGGCGGTGTTACGGCGGCGAGTCCGCCGGGCTGGTGCCCCGGGTCGGTCCACCGGACAAGTGAGCGGGAGAGAGGCGAGGGTAGGAGTACACATCTATATAGTAATAACGGATGCCCAGCATCCGGTCTGTAGTGATAGTACAACGTTCGAATGTAAACAACAAATACGGCGGAGTCCGCCCTCGGGGTGGCCCGCCGGAACGCGTCTCGGCGCGTCCCGCGTCTCGGCTGCGTCGATCTCTAACAGTATCCCCCGTCTAGACACAAACTCCGGATGTGTCAGTCGGTAGTCTCCGAACCCCCTTTGCGGTACTCCGACCGGCGCGGGGTTGGCTTCGCCGGGTATTGACGATGGAACGATATCACGACGTCGTCGTCCCAGTCGAATTCTCCAGCTCCGACCCAATCGTTGTGCGCCATGTCGTACCCCTTCCACGAGACGAAGTATTCGACTCGAGCAACTCGACCCTTACGCACTCGGGAGTCTAGGATCTCCGCCACCTCGTAAGCAGCCTCTCCGTTGTCGGCGACTTCGGGCGGTGGCGGCGGATCTACCCGCCGGCTTTCCCTAGTGTTCGCCTTGTACGGTATCAACAACGATACGTGGAACACGTTGTGCACGCGCCTCATACTGCTAGGCAACTCCAATCGTCGGGCAAGGCCCGAGTTTCCCACCTTCTCCGTAATTCGGAACGGGCCGAAGGTCTTCCAATCCAGCTTCCTGCTCGGCCGAACCGTGGTAATGTGTTCAGACGACAACATCACCAGGTCCCCGACCTCGTACCCCTCCGCCGGCACATTCCGTCGCTTGCGATCGGCGTACTTCGCCATATTGGTCCGTGCGAGTTCTAGCGACTTCATAACCTGCTCGCGGACCTCCTCCATACGATCCCGGAAGGCTGCTGCCGACTCGATGCTCCCCGGGACTTGGCGAAGGGAGAACTTGAAATCTTCTCCTTCGGAGGCCATGAACGGCGACATTTTGATCGCCGAATGCCACGCGTTGTTGTAGGCGAATTCCGCCATGGCGATCAACTCCGCCCAATCGTCCTGTTGGAAGTTCGTGTAGCTCCGGAGGTACTGTTCCAACGTGAAGTTGGTCCTCTCCGTCTGTCCATCGGTCTCGGGGTGATACGCCTTCGACAACCGCTGGTTCATCCCGGTGATCTTGCACACGTCCTTCCAGAATCGCGACGTAAACAACGCCCCCCGATCGGTCAACAAGTCCTTAGGGTACCCATGGAGCCGCACCCATTCGTTGACGAATATCGACGCCAACGCATGCGTATCGTCGTCCTTTCGACAGGGCACGAAGTGCGCCCTCTTCGTAAAACGATCCACTATTACGAGGATCGAGTCGAACCCCTTTGACACGGGCAGTCCCGTGATGTGGTCCATAGTGACCGACTTCCATTTCCCCTCCGGTACCGGTAGTGGGTGCAACTCCCCCATGGGTTTTGCCCGCGGTCGCCTATTCCGCTGGCAGACGTCGCAGGTCGCCACATACTCGGCCACCGTCTCCCTCAGTCGGGGCCACCAGAATTCCCGGAGAACCATCTCCGTCGTCTTGTCCCGACCATAGTGCCCGACCAGCTTCTGATCGTGGCACAGCGCGAGCACTTTGCTGCGCAATACCTCCTTGTCGGGGACATACATCCATCCTCGGTATAGGAGAAACCCGTCGCTGTCCACCGTCCATTCCTCCGCCTTACCCTCCGGCGCCTGGGAGACCCGCTCGGCTCCGGCGGTCAACTCCGCGTAGGCGTCCTTGACGAAGGCGTCTTCCTTCAATTCCGCCAGCAGTAAACGCTGGATCTCCTCCTCCGGAAGTTGCAAGGTTCCGCATATGCGGAGTGCTCCTTGGCGCTGGCCCGTCGCAACGCTCCGACGGAGCGCCCCTTCGTTCCCCTCCATCGCGAGGGCATCCAGCTGCATCGGCAGCGCGCTGTTCTGCGGCCGTAGCAGAATCTCCGTTTCCAGGACCTTGGAGTCCTTCATCAGTTCTTCCCGGCGGCTCAATGCATCGGCCTTACCATTCTCCGTCCCGGGCTTGTACTCCAGGGTGTAGTTGAACTGGTTCAACCGCTGCGACCACCGCGCCTGTCTCCTCATCAGCATTTTCTCGGTACGGAAGTACTCGAGGTTCTTGTGATCCGTAAGGATCCGAATGAGTCGACCACTGTCGAGGTACTGTCGCCATACCGTGCAGCTGTACACGATCGCGAGGAGCTCGCGGTCGTGAACGTCGTAGTTCCTTTCGGCCGACGTTAGGCTCTTCGACATGAAAGCCACAGGGTGCATTTTTCCGTCGGCTCCCTCCTGGGACAGCACCGCCCCGATCGCTCCGGAGGAGGCGTCCGTCTCCAGCAATATTTCTTTATCCTCGTCGAAATGAGCGAGGATCGGCGCCGTCGTGAACGCCCGTTTCAATTCTTGGAAGGAGGCCTCTGCCTCCTTACTCCATTCCCATTTTCGACCTTTCTTTGTAAGGTCGTGCATCGGCCTGCACTTCTTCGAGTACCCTTCGATGAAGCGGCGATAGTAATTGGCGAACCCCAGGAAGGACATGAGTCCTTTCACGTTTGTGGGGGCCGCCCAGTCCAGTACGGACTTGATCTTAGAGTCGTTCATTTGAACGCCCTGCGGAGTAACGTCATACCCCAAAAACTCGGTGTGATCCGTATCGAACTCACACTTCTCGGCTTTCGCGTAAAGCCCGTTCTCCAACAATCTCCGAAGGACTTCTCCGACGGCCTCGTCATGCGACTCCTGATCCGGTGAGAAAACCAGGATGTCGTCCAGGTAGATAACCACCTTGGTGTCCAGCATATCCCTGAACACGTGGTTCATCCACCTCTGGAACGAGGCTGGAGCGTTGGTGAGCCCGAAGGGCATCACCAAACACTCGAAGAGCCCTTCCCGCGTTCGGAACGCCGTCTTCCATTCGTCGCCCTCCTTTACCCTGAGAAGGTTGTATGCCCCTCGCAGGTCCAGCTTGGTGTAGATCTTCGCCCCCTTGAGATGGTCTCACGTCTCCGATATAAGGGGCAAGGGGGTGCGATCCTTGACCGTGATGTCGTTTAACCTCCGGTAATCAATACAGAGTCGCAACGATCCATCTTTCTTCGGAACAAACAGCACGGGGCTCGCCGCCGGAGATGTTGACATCCGGATAAAGCCCTTCTCCGTCTGCTCCTTAATCCACTCCGACAACGCCGCTCCTTCCTTCGCGGAGTGCACATAGCACTTGCCAAATGGCGGGGTTGTCCCGGGGAGTAGATCGATGGCGTGGTCAAAGGACCTCGCCGGCGGCAGGGTGTCTGCCTTTGTTTTTGAAAACGCGCCTAGCCAGGCGTGGTACTTCTTCGGGACCCTCTCCCGGAGCGTCTCCATGTACTCCGGAGGATCCAAATCATTCGGGAACGAGTCCATAGGTTGGACGTCCCAATCCCACAGGTCCGGTCGTTTGGCAGGGGGCGGTTGTTCCACCACCGCGTCCAGGCGTGCTGCGTACAGCGTGTAGGACCCCTCCATTACGGCCCTGTCGATCTCCTCCGACGCTGTGCTCCGTCGGACTCTCTCTCGGGTGGACTCCTCGGGGGAGAACACCACCTCTTTCCTGTCTCGCAGACATCCGAGACCCAGGCATGTATCCCCCAACTCCACTCCGTTCGACGTCCAGTCGATGATCGGGTTATGGCGCCGGAACCATGGCGCTCCCAAAACCACGTCGTACGACCCTAGGTCCGTCAACATGAACGCGACCGATTCGGTGTGTCGGCCAATCCTCAGCCTAGTACTTGTCCGGTGGGTCACTGCACCGGAGTTGATCGGTCTCCCATCGATCACCCTAAGCATCCTCGGCTTCTCGAGCTTTTCCTCCACAAATCCGTGCTCCGCAGCGAACCCCTTGTCCATGAACAGGTTCGTCGCCCCGCAGTCCAACAGCAGGACCGTTTCTACGGCTCTCCCCTCGGGGTACACCGTACCCAACAAGGTAAGGTGTTCCTCCGGATCCGCTGGAGAGCCCAACATCCCGATCGTACACTCACGACCTGCATCTTCCGCAGGTACCTGCCTTCTCGGGCTCACGGGTTGATCCGTTATTCTGTTACGGCGGCGAGTCCGCCGGGCTGGTGCTCCGGGTCGGTCCACCGGACAAGTGAGCGGGAGAGAGGCGAGGGTAGGAGTACACATCTATATAGTAATAACGGATGCCCAGCATCCGGTCTGTAGTGATAGTACAACGTTCGAATGTAAACAACAAATACGGCGGAGTCCGCCCTCGGGGTGGCCCGCCGGAACGCGTCTCGGCGCGTCCCGCGTCTCGGCTGCGTCGATCTCTAACAGGCGGGTGGAGCGGATGGGGGTGATAGTGACTGAGAGTTCAACACGAAAACATATAAATCAGTTATACTCGATGAAGTATTAGACCCGTACACGCCTAGCTTACACCCCTCCGCAGCCAACATCTCCCTCACCAAGGCCTGGTGAGCCGGGACGTTGAGCAAGGTCCTGATCTGGGCCCTCTATACGTCAGGCATGATAAGAAATCAGTCTGGTATAGGCAAGGAAGATCGAGAGAATAGTAGTGAGATGATCATGTAACTTACTGCAGTAGCGAGAGCATCCCGCTCTCGTTGGGCTCGCTCGAGAGCGGCCTGGTGGGCGGCCTCCTCGGCCAGCCGGCGCTGCTCCGCAGCCTCTTCCGCGGCCTCCCAACGTCGCTGCTCGAGTGCCCCTACACACAAGAAATGATTGCGAAGGTATCAGTATATGCAAGCAGCAACAGCGGAAGGATATGGACGGGGAAGGCGTAGTCAAAGGAAGGGTCAAAGGAAGGGCTTACTCTCGTTCACCTCGTTGAACCTCGCCCTCTGCTCGTCCGTCAATTCGGTCATCCACACTTGATAATCTTCAAGCGCTGTGCAAGGTAAGGTCAGACGAGAACACAAGGACCCAGGTGTAAGCTAAGACTCTCAGAACCTATTGGCGTACGAAAGGTATGCTAAAGGTATGCTATGACTTACAACCGCCGGGAAAAACGGGCAAAGGCTGTTCGTTGTTCTCCATTTTGAAAATGTATGCAAAGAGTTTGATAAAGACGAGGTCGATTTAAGTGTTTGCGTTTAGAGTATAGACGTATAGACAGATGTGATAGTAAAGTAAGAATCGATGAGAAGGTGATGTAGATATATCAAGTGCGTCGGTGGCATGGGCCTACCTACCCCCTAGGCCCATGCCACGTCTTTGTTTACTGATGATGGAACACGTCGAGAGGTTCTTTTGTTCTTTTCGTATGCCATCAAATCAAAACAAACATACGCTTATGCCATTGGCTACATCACTCGTCAGCCAAGATACAGTCATGAACCCACTCCCGTACGGCAAGGTATTGCAGGGTATTGAAGAGGCCATCGTCACCTTCCTCGGCAGAGTGTTCCGTTGGGGGCGGGAAATGTTGATTGAGCGCTTTCCTAAAGCCTGGATCTTGTAGCAGCGGTGGTAACAGCTCGTGATACCGTTCGACCTCGACATAGGGATCGCTTTCACGTTCAGGCTGTGACAGATCTTCTTGCCGTTGTTCCGATACCCAGCTTAGTACGCCTGGCCTGCGTCTGGCAGAGCCTGGCCCGTCTCCGTCTACACCTTAGTCTTCTTCGTCCCCGGATAGCACCTCGTCAATGATGCCCATATCATCAAGAGCGTCGGCGGGGAAAAGATCAAGATCCATCCCTCGAGCTTTAGCCTTCAGCATGCCATCAAGCCACTTCTTGCGTGGGCTCCATCCACGTTCACCAGAGGTCGTGCTCTTGTGATGGTTATGCGCAAGGACATGTCGGCGGATGGTCAGGTTCAGCAGGGGTAAGAAGCAATGGTGTAGGCAGAAAATGTCGACTGGGTTGTCGGGGTCGAGCTCTTCTCTGAACTCAAGGTCGGCAAATGTTCTTGAGTATTTGTGCGTGAACTTTTCCCCAACTTCCTTCCAATGACGCTCGATTGGGGTGTTGCTGGTCGATTTGCCTCGGATGAAAGGTGCTTTGATGGTATCTAAGCAGGAAGGCCCATGAGCCTGCGCATATGCGGGCGGTTAAGCTAGTCACAGCCTAGTGTGCTTACTTCGAATGGCTACCATCTGCTTCCAAATGCCGTAGTTCTCTTTCCCAAAATCTACCCGTACCCGTTGAGGCCATCCCCATTCATCCGTGGCGTGAAGGAACAACCTCTCTACTGTCTCGGCCCGGTTGTTATCGCCCGCTTGCATGAATACGCAGACTCGGCTGTACCCATCGACGCCTCCATGTATAACAAACTTCCAGCGTATAAGCTTGTGCTGACCATCGATGTGCCAGAGAGAGTTCGGGAACGGGACCTTGTACACCCGCCGTTTACGCATGACTGACTTGCGTAGCCTTGAACCTTCCGGATCTAAAGCCCTGCTTAGCTCTCTTGCATGCTCTCGGGTGATGTGCACACCCACGCCTTCGAGATAGCCTTGCAGTTTGCGATAGCCGACCATGATGCCGTCTTGGCTATTCAAACAATCTTGTATATGCTGTGGCATGGCATATGAACTCAGTCAAGCGAATATAAAGATCGGCATACCAAGCCATACTGGGTCAGGTACTCACCTTTTGAATGACTTCCTCCGGCACTTGGTGCTTGACTTCCCGTTTAGATGGCCCACCCAATGCTAGTCGACGTCGGCGAACAGTACTTCGAGAACAGCCCAAGTGTTCGGCTATCTCCTGGTCGGTAAAGCCCTCTTGATCTAGCTGCTGGAACAGAGGAATGTTCAAGGCCAGGCTATAGCCACCAGTTGGCAGAGCGACGGTTTGCCTGGAGAGATGGGTCGGAGCGTTGTTCAAGATGTTTTGGTGTACAGCGGCAAGTTGCTCACGCAGGCTAAGTGTTGCCTGCCAGTGATTACGCAGTACTTGCATAGGTAATTTGCCCCTAGCTTCGGCCGTCAGCCAGGTAACGAGACCATCTAGTTGGTGTATGAACGGAGGTAGGAGGCTGTGATCCCAATCCGCTGATGGTAAGGCGAGCAGTGCAAGGATAGGGGTATGTACCTCCTCGACGTAGGCGTCGACGGCAGCTTGAATGGCCTCGTACGGATCGGGATTGTGATCGGGCATGTTTGTATAAGGCTAGGATATGCTGTACATCGATCAAGTATATGTCTAGGACTGTTGAAGTAGGTCTGAGGTAGACTTAGGCAAAGCCTGAGGCAGGCATGGGCCTTGCGCCCCCTCTGGGCCCGAGATAACTTCATACCAATCTAACAAAAACTGGGACGAAGAGCTGCTTTTTGTGATTCCAACCGCTCTGATCGCTACGGCTGGTAATATATCTCTCGCGCGGAAGCGGACATGGTAATATATCGCGCGCGACGAGACGGACATAACACGTCGCGGCGAGTTGACGCTTTCGGCTCACTATACACGTCAGATGCTGTATTCGTCATCACGAGTTCCACTCTTCCTTGGTATATATAGCCGGCATATTCGGATCATCAGTCTCATTCCCGTTAACATCTCCCCCTGCCAGCCCATCTATCTCCTGAACCCCCTGATCACCATTGGAAGATGTCTTCACGATCTGCGACTGGATACCACCTCGAGACAACGGGACAGGCGGCCAAAACCGCTGCCAAGCATGCGGTTGACAAGGTGGCCGATCCCTCGATCGAGTTTATGGGAGCATGCTTCTGTCCTTTCGTACAGAGGGCATGGATCGCCCTGGAAGTTTTGAATCAAGGTCTTCCGGATGACCAGTCGAGGAAAGCATCAAAGGTAGACTATGCATATGTCGAGATCGACCCATACAAAAAGCCGAAGGAACTGCTAGAGGTCAGCCCAAAAGGCCTTGTACCGGTGAGCTACATTCCGTCGATCTGTTCGCAACTCCGTAGCGCTGACTTATTACGGGAATTACAGGCGGCTCGGTTGGGCCAGGGCAAGTCCTTACACGACAGCCTCATTCTTATGCACTACCTCGCATCCCTACCTCTTTCTACTGGCGAAAACCCGTTATTACCTAAGGGCCCTTATGAGCGCGCAAGGGTACTTCTGGCTGGGCAGAGACATGCCGAGACGATTACTCCAGCTTTCTACCGATACCTTCAGGCTCAAGAAGCAGAGAAGCAGGTAGAACATGGAAAGTGAGTCTAGCCTCTCGAAGATACAGTTGACTAGTTAGCCGGATCGCCAACTGTTTGCATCTCCAGAGAGTTCACGGAAGCGCTCGAAGCGTTCGAAAAGGATATGAACGAGGATGGGCCGTTCTTCTTCGGCAAAGATTTAGGCTGGGTCGACATCCTCATCGCTCCTTGTAAGTGATGCTCGGCGCCACCATCTTCAGCACAGCTGACCTTCAGTCGCAGGGGCCATTCGATTCGGACCGGTGCTTGAGCATTACCGACAATTCTCTCCGCCTGTCATCTCGGACAAGTCGAGACGGTTCGTCAAGTGGTTGGATGCTATCAAATCCCATCCTGCCGTAGCCGCTACGACGAGTACAGACGAGTTATATACGGATAGCTATCATCGGTATGCCAAAAATATTCCCAATTTAAGCCAGGTAAGTTGCGGAGCACAGCCCTTGTAGCATGGAAACGACCTCGCTCCCCATGATCTCACCGAATGACTTGTTAATAGGTGGCAGATGCGATCAACTCTGGCAAAGCTCTTCCTTGAGAATGTGACGTTCTTCTACGTAGTCAGCCTTCGATACTCCGACCGAGATTCCCCAGGATGAGTCTCGATATGCCTTTGTAACCCACTGTATCAGTTTGAACAGGTCGATCTCCAATATTACACTAGGAGAGGAAGAGATGAGGTCAATACGGCCTTACTCAATAATGAGCGCAAGGAAACCAAAATCCGGTTGATCTGGGTGTTTCAGTGCTTTATGATGAAGGCTATCCAGGGGGTAGCGCACCAACGGTATGGCAAGGCGTCAATGTACGAGTTACGAGGCAAGTCCTATAGACAGGCGAACTCGAGCGAAGTTTCATCACAGTGCTTTCCCCGCTTCTGTAGCCCGCCACCCATTCAACTGGAAAATGTACATTCGATCATTATGAGATCGACCTACAAACCCAAGACCCACTCTACAAATACATCTCCGACCGCGCCTCCCCTCCCTTCCATATTAGCGGACCTCCGGCCTCCATCTACTTCATGCCCACTTCCACTTTAAGATTAAGCCATCTCGACATCCTCCCCACCTGCACCCGCACCCTGAGATTCCAGCTGAGCCTGTTGTTGTGCCCGTTTGCGATCCTCGAACCGTTCCCGTGCGTCAGAGACGATCTCGTCCACGTTTGCCGAGACGTCGTAGTCTTCTTCGGTCGTAAAGTCCCCGTGTCTGTGGAGCGAGATCGGTGGAAGCGAAAGGGTTAGTCGTATGCTCAAAGCGAATTGAGGTGTACAGCCCGAGAGACAGCGGGGAGGTGAGGCTCAATGATAAGAGGGTGTTGGAGAAGGGGAGATGGCTCACTTTAGATCCGCAGCGTATTTCGTGTCGATCGTCTTGTAAAGATCCTTCAAGTTGGACAATGCTGTCATTAAGCATGTCACCGCTGATTTCCCTTCTGTAGAGGCGCAAGATGAAGATATCCGATTGGAAGGAGACGTTGTAGGTAATCGATCAGAGATCAGTGGGGTTCAGATGAGATGAGGCAGAAGGATGAAAGAGTGGTCAGAGTAGGATGAGGTCAGGTCGGGTAGGTGAGGCTTACCGTGCATCTGGATTCGCAGGTGAATCTTGGGTTCTGATGGATGGGGAGCGCTGTATCCGCAGAACTCGACATCGTCACTGATCATACCAGAGGATAGAAGGCAGTTTCTCAATCAGCTATAGTGATAACGAGGGTGAAGGAGAGTATGACCGGGACTAACTCTTTCATGCACATCCACCGAAGAACGTTTCCTAACGTGTGGTCTTCTTCGTGCAGACAGAAGGTGACCATGTCATAGTTGGGGGTGTTGTGAATCTATCAAAATCACATGAATCGTGGTTAAAGAGGTTCAGTGTGATCACGAGGAGTGAAGAGCAAGAAGCAGATTGGCTACTGACGATGGTGATCTTGTCGAGACCGTCCGAGGTGGTAATGACCGGTTCGTTGAAATCTACCTCTTGTGCCATTGCGTAGTTGCTTGCGTTTCTGATTTCCTTCTTCTGTGGTCTCGGTTTCCTGCTGAGATCGACTAGTATATGACCGTGTCTAGAATGGTTGTTGATACAAGTTGTCAAGATCGAACATGTTGAAGCATTTCGTATTGAAGCTCGAGCCAGATTTTGTGAGAACCGAGGTCGCGGAGTCGTCGCTGACACTGACGAGATGACAAAATCAACACGGATGAGGGTGGTACTTTGTGACATACTCACGTGACTTGTGCATTTTCAGGGCTTCACCCTATTTCTCCGTCAGCCCGCGCCATCCCGCGCGACTGAAACGTGAACGGTGGCGTTTGTTCATTGTTCGTTGAAACAAAAAGGAACTCGGGCAGGTTGAACGACCTCAACAGACAAAGAGGTTCGTCACGGCGCATTCACTATTACCATCACACAACTGCTTCCTCTCACCTCGTCAAAGGACCAAAACCATGAAACCATTTCAATCCGCTCATCAATCCTTTCTTACCCCTGTCCGACGACAAAGACAACACCGGGAGATCATCTGTCCTTTCTCGGTCGCACAATAGAAACTCGATGGACACCACCCTTTCGAGGTCGTTGAACACAAAGAGATGAAAGCACAGAGGGGCGGTAACAATAGGATTGGATTGCACGTGGATTGATCGACAATGCACGAAGAACATGTGCTCTTCAACATTACGTGAATTGAGGACAGTATATAGGTTGAGCCGAATCGAACTCGGATCCCCCTATCCAAACCACTCGACATGTATCCCACTCATACAACGACACTCACGATCTTCTCAACTTACGACCCGCTTCTGACGATCCTCGGACGAGGAAATTACGACGACCTCCCTACCCCTATACAATACAAGACGCCTTATCCGCCCTCCCTCACATTGCCGTATCGGAGCTGTCTTCTCAAAACCTTGAATTCGACTCCATCCGACATCGACTCCGAGTACAGCGATTGATCCTCCTCGCATCGTCATGAACTCTCAAAACTGTTCCGCACCTCAAAGAATGGAGACTGAGACTGGAAGTCGACGATCCCACACCCGGACTCCTTCACTCAGTTCGACCATCTCTACCGCTTCCTCTTCTCCCTCATCTTCCTTCGACGATAACGACAATGACAACGAAAGCATCTCTATCACCTTCGACAACGGGGACATCAACTACAACCGCAACAACTCTAACGCCGATAACGCGCAAAGCTTTCCCCAGACCCCGCTTACTGCGCGACCTAACCTTACTCGGACGACCTCCTTGCCTCAGACTCCTACGCCTAGTCGACCGGGCGCCGTCTTTCCTAGGTTCGACAAGTTTTTCACAACCGCCTCTCACACTCACCTTGATACCGAAGCCGAACGAGAAGGAAAGGAAGGGATGATGCACAGACGGACGGTCTCCTCCATCACTCTCGGACAAGCAAAAGGTATTGACGGCGAGAGACGGACGTACAGGTTTGGGGGGAAGGTCTTTGTGCCCCTCAGGATGGGTGGTTGGGTGGAGGAAAAGCAGGAGGAGACGAATGTGAGCTTTTTTTTTGGGTTTCTTTCCCATTCTTGAGTGGTGATACGCAATACTGACGCAAGTTTGGTTGGGCACCGATCAGGTCAAGGTGGTAACCGGGGATGACATCAAGGTCGAACAACGTGGCTCTTCTCCATCGTCACTGTATGTCCAACCCCTTGACGCATATCGGATGAGCTTCAGAAACTGATACACGCATTGCATTCGCGCTTGCGATGTACAGAGAGACAGAAGTCATTGACAAGATGAACTCTTTCCGATTCCCAACTCAAGCCGGACCTGCCCGGTCGCCAAACCGGAAACCGCTTTCTCTTAACGGTAACCGGGCCGACAGGGCTCGAGCGAATTCGCCTTATCCGAAGGATAACCTTACCAAGGCTTCGGCGCGGCAACAGACCAGCGGTGCATCGGGATTCAACCCAGCAATTATCTACAAACGGGCTCGCTCATCCGCATCGACGTCGGCCTCTACACTCAGCTTACAAACTCAACAGAGAGCCGAGATGGTCCAGCCTCAACCTCTTCCGCCATCACTGCGATCCCACCTTCACGCACCCGAGCGCAAGATCATCCTCGTCGGTCCGGCGATCTGTCAGCACTTGCAAAACGGTGGAAGCGTCCGGGTCAAGGACTTCACGGGCGCCATCGTCGGTTGGATGCATTAGACACGCGGATGGTGGGAGGCAACGAACACGGTCACTGTGACTGTAAAGATGTATAGATAGCGGTTTGATGTTGTTGTACGTTATTACACGTATTCGATGCATGAGTGTCGTAAGAGATACAGTTCGTTGAAAGTGAATACTGCCTCGAGGGAACAAATTGAAAAAGGGAAGGGGTATAGTATTGGATCTTGAACGCAAGATCGTGTATGCTCGGTCAAGGAAGAAGAAAAGAATGCCGAAATCATATCAAGCCTTCTCAAGGACTGTTTCCTGGGCGTCGAAGGGATTGATCCTCCAACTCGTCCGAGGCCAAGCTCATCTGGTCGGGCGAGACTACAGGCAAGGGCATACCGCTCTCCTGACGCGGCGAATAGTCGCGGTTCGCATCATCGCCTCGAGGACCTGCGTTGATCGTCCGATCAGGAAGACCCTTACGAGCCCGAGCTGCGAGAACCTTTTCCCGCCAGTGTCCAAGACGGAGAGCTGTACTCCGGAGTCCAAATCCGTTAGCTTGCTGGCGGGTGCGCTTGCGAGCCAGCGGTTCGTCCTCGTCGTCATCATCATCCTGAATCACGCGGTAGGGCAGCGGTACTGAGGAAAGTCAAAAAGCTTATCAGTATGTGCTCAGACTGCGATCTTGAATATCAAGACATACCTTCTCGTGTCACCCGGTACTGATCGGTGTTACCGACCTGTTCAGTCTCGACACGGAAGAAGTTCCACTGCCACCTCCGGAGCATCTCCATGGTAGCAAAGATGAAACTCTTGAGGGGAACGTCGGTAGTAGGCTTGGGTATGTAGAACACCCAGATGAACCGGACGAGGACATTGGATGCCATGGCGATGTAATAATACTGTCGAAAAAGGACTGATCAGCTCCTGTGATCCCATAACTTGCTGTGAGTCTGCTCTTACGGGTCGAAGTGACGGGTAACCCAAGCTCTCTCGTAAGTAACCGGCATGGGGTCGGAGCAGACCCCAGTCGACAAGTAGGTCCCACGAAGATGTGTAGGATGAAGCCAAGACCGCCGAACTAGATTGAATCGTGTCAGTCCTGGATGCCTGTATCCATAGCTCGTGTGTAACAGACTCACGTTGCCCAAATTGCGAAACTATGATCGTGGACCCGAGATCCCCGACTTCTCCAATAGGTGAAAAGAGCAAGTTGGAGCATTGAAGCCACGTATTTCCCGGCATTGACCAGATGGATCTTCAATCTCGAGTCCTTGAAACGTTTCAGACATTGAACGAAACGGATGAAGGCCGGAATGCACACCCTGTATGTCAAGGGAGTAAAGGTCAGACAGCAGAACAAGATTGAACAATAGCATCATGTCCACTCACAACAAGCCATATACCCAACTCCCGCTAGTCCTACAGACCGATAAAGTGTCCTCTGGCCAATGTCGTTTGTAGGCGCATCCAATCGTCCATAGATGTCCGATACTATATGTGAGACTATTGAGCTCGTCGGCGACAAAGAAAGCAATGAACTGTTTGTTGGAGTCAAGGGTTAGCCCCTGTCTTTAGGTTGTCCAATGGCAAAGGACTCGCCTCGACTCGGCTATAGCCAGGGGTAAACACCCTGCCGAGAACGCTGAGGAGCCAGTATCGAGCATGTTGAAAGTACACCGGTATGGGATTGAGGAAGAACGTAACCGTTCCAACTATCCATACGATCGGCCAACTGCAAGTGCACGCCCATCAGTTTCACCTCGGCTCAACAGTCCCCACCATAGACTGACGCGTATGGCGATATTGCGGGCTCTCCAACTTGATGGACCGAGAAATAGAAGCACAGAGAGAGCGCAGCGAACAGCATAGCCGGTATCTCTAAGAACTGGCGATGATCAATGGCCGTCCGGATGTCGAGTTCCATGATGAAACCATAGTTGATCCGCGCAGCAACAAAAGCCGCCAAGTTCAACTCGAAGAGCATTCCAAACAGTACCGGTAAGAATAGTGCCGAATAGACCAGGAGTATAGCTTCGACCTGAGGAAATCTGCGACGAGTCTGATCTCTCAATGCTATGAAAGAGATCTCGCTCAGCTTACTGCAGAATAGAACGTGTTTTCTGGTCAGACGAACCTTCGACAAGAGCCAAGATCATGATGGGCAGGCCGATCCCGATATATGTACCGGAGGAGAACGTACTCAGGTGGTGCTAAAGATTGTGGCAGACGTAAGCTTGAGGAGGCATCCTGTACACAAGTATGCCCAGCAGGACTCACAGTCTTGGTGACGAACTGCCCACGCAGCCTTCCGACAGCCTTCTTGTGGTCTCCCTTCTCTGTAATCAGCGAAGCAAGAAGACCGGCTCAGCGACCTGCAAACCGGATACTGCCCATTGTGACTCACCGAACCGCAACGTAAACTCATCCTCCATCTGCTTCAACAACCGGTCCACCGTCCGTCCGTCGGCAAAGCTCCGCTTAGACACCTTGCCGTCCATATAAAGATCGATACACTTGATCCTAGCCGTCTTTTCAAACTTCTTCAAAGCCTTTTTGAAACCCGTAATGTTCAAGATCCGGTAATTCTTGAGGATCTCGAGCTCCTTGTAGAATTCGATGATGGCAGTCCGCAGCTTCTTCTTGTATCGTTGGTACTTTTCCGGATCGAAGCTCGTCCGCGCTTCCAAGGGGGTACGGTTACGGATCCCGTTCGAACCTGTGCTGGGTTGATTCGACCCGTCCTGGGACGATCTCTCCTTGCCGATGTCAGAATCTTCCCCTTCCGTACGTTTCGAACCGGTCGTCTTCGGAAGTGCGGTGGCCGTCGTGTTTGCGGTCGATCCCGACGCCTTGGGGTCGCCAATCTGGATGACGGAAGCTACGAACGGGATCCTCTTCTGCACCCCTTCCACTGCCCCTCCGATATACTTCTTCACCTTGCCCTCGTTCATCCTCTCCTCTTCGGCCTCGTGGAATATTCTTCGATGTTCCGCCAGCTCGTCCAACTGCCGTTTCAACTCCCTCGACCGTCTCAACGCGTCCGTCTCCCGGTCGTGGTAGAACGCTTCGACCTTTTCCAACTCATTGTCCAGCGTGTTGAAGAAACGTGTCTCTTCAGCGTTACACACGTCTTCCAGTTCTTGCAAGGATTCGGGGAACCGGGGAGGGATACCTCCAGCGCCTCCAAATCGACGAGCGTAGATCGTCCCCGAACTTCCGCTCGCTTGCATAGTTGGTCCCGTCCCCGGTACATCTTCCCTCTTGTTCAGCCCCAGTCCGACCTTGGTCCCAATCGACCCGAGCCGAGGTGATCGACCTCCGACGGACGACGACTTGGCCTGCAGATGAGGCGTTCCCAATTTGGAGACCAAGTTGCCATCCTCATCCCCACTCGAACTATCCGCAGCTGTCGTCCTACTTTCTGACCGAGCGATCTCCTCGGCTTTCAACCTGGACGGACCTCCCGAGTTTGGGCCGTGACCGGGAGTGGGCAAATAGTAAGGCGAATCCGATCGTTCCTGCTCGCCGCTTGTCAGTTGGGTATGTCGAGGTCGCAAGGCTGACGCAGAAGAGACGGAATCGGTATGCGAGATGGCCGACCAAGGCGGTTCTTCCATGTCGTCGCTGTTATTGTGGTTGGCAGGGTAGGTGGAGTCGGGAAGATGCAACTCGGGAGGAACCATCGGCGACCTGGGTCGATCGATCTTGGGTGTGTTCGACAGTGAATGCATTCTTGATCTGGAGGCCGAGCCGTTAGACTTTCGGCCTATCGACCCTTTTAGGGCGGGAGAAGTGCCCATGGACCCGTAACCGCCTTCACTGGTCGACCGCTGCCGACTCCTCTCGTTCGGATCGATTTCCTTCTTCTTGCCATTCCCGCGATCCTCTTCCGGGCGCCCTTCAACACGGTTCTCTTCCTCCTCAATCCCCACTTCCGTCTCGGTTCTCCTCGTCATTCCCCGATCGACGCTGCCTACAGCCTCGTGCACCCTATCCATAGAACTCGTTGCCTCCATGTTACTCGCCTGGATGGGCCTAGGCCGATCCAACCTGTTCCACCATTTCTTATCCCCCGAAACCGATCGAGCTATGTTGGAGATGTTCCTTCGCAGTCCGCCTCCGCTCTGAGATGGCGATTGAGATTGGGAGTTCTTATGGGAAGGCGGGAGAGGTCGAAGGTCCGCACTTGGTCCCAAGTCCTCCCTGTCGGAAGAATCGATATCATCTAACCCATCATCAGCGCTTTCACCGGACGAGACCGTGGTCGTCCGCTGGCGATCGCCATTGACATTGGAGTGGGAGTTTGAATGTTGACCGGGTGGGTTGGCGGAGGAAGAAGCGTTCTCGGGTTGTTGCTGCTGTTGACGGGTCTGTATGGCTTTGATGCACTTTTTCAGTCGGCGATAGTCGATATAGGCTCGTTTCCATTCCGGGGTCTGAGAAGCAAGTTGAACGGATTATATCTGATTAGTTCCAAGCTGTCGAGTGAATCTGAAACGTAATGTCAGAGAGAGAATTTACGCAGTTGTCCTCGAGATACCTGTTATTTCGGTGATATATCGCGGATCAAACGTGCATCAGCTGATGAATAATAATATTCGACTTTGGGCTACCACCACTCAACCCTGGTGCTTACCTAGCGAACTTCATCTTGACAGCTCTTCCCACTCAAGACCTTGTCTCTCAAGAAAGGTATTTCCCAATTCGCAATGTCTCGGATCCTAGATTTTACCCGTGTTTCATGCGAAGAGAAGGTGAGGGGAATGCGATTTCGGATCGGACAAATCTTGATCGACCAACGAGTGACCAAAGAGATGCCGGCGTTCACCTGGAGTAGGTGCCCTCCATACAGACTCCGGGATCTTCTAGTACTAATGACCGGAATGTACTATATATAACGAGGAGGCGAACTGGTGACCATTTCGCTAGCTTATGATCTTATGCTGACATCTCTGATCCTCGAGTTATGACGCCGAGGAAGCAAGGGGATATCAAAAGTTCCGGCGCATGGTATTTGCTTCCGGAAGGAGAGGGTTGTCCTAAAGAGAGTCACGTGACTCAACCCTCTACCCCTTCCCTTCTCCTCCCCTCCCACCTCGCACCCTCGTCGCTCACCGAGGGCAGAAGACGATCTTACCATCTCTCCTGACGATAACCCTGGCTGAGTCTGGTCAACACTTACAACTACAACCAATCTCTGATACTGAACATCATCTCACTTGTCTCTGTACGTCTCATCGCCCAGATCCTGCCACGTCTTCCCCACAAGTGACGCGACAGATTCAGTTGGCGACCGAAAAAAGATCTTACAGGCTGACCATCGAGAAAGGACCCCCTTATTCTCCTCCCCTTCTCTTTGTACCCCCGCACGGTTCTACCTCCTTGAAACTCGGAACTGGGACGAAACACAAATCAAAGGGGATAAAAACGGCATCGATCTAGACAACTCGTGCATATTATACAGGCCGAAGATCGATATCATACGAACTATTCGATAGAAAGAGAGAGAAAACGGCCACGGATCCAGCCATAACACACCACAGAATCTAAGCATGTCTTCCGAACCTACCGCCACCGAATCCGCCGCTGCGCAATCAATAGCCGGTCAGCCGCAGTCGACGGATGATCTGAAGGTCAAGCAGGACGGCGGGGTCGAGCAGGTCAAGGAGGGAGAGCAGAAGGAAGGTGGTGACAAGACCGTGTTTGATGATGCTGGGAACTTTAACGTCAAGGTGAGTCTCGGGTTGAAGTCTTGTAGTGTTGCGGATTGGTGTGGTGGGAGATGAGTTCTAATACTGATGAAAGCCTTTTCTTAACATTCTCATCTCGCCTCCTCCTCTTCTACGTCCAATTCCACTTTATCGCAACGCAAATCAACCGCCCTCCAATACAATCGCGCGCCGGATCCTGGACCCGCAGCACCCGCTCTTCTCTCAATGGACCCTCTACTTCTCCTCGCCCCACGTAAAGAACGTCCCCAAGACGCCTAGCACCGCCGCCGCTCCTGCTGGGCAGGCGAGCGGATGGATGGAGGATATGAGGAAGGTCGCCAAGTTTGATAGCGTAGAGGAGTTCTGGGGGTGAGTTGGACGCGAAGTCGGGAATTCGGGTCTGGGGGCAGATCAACGTGGAAGAGAAAGGGAAGCTGATGATGAGATCGATGTGTGTGTGTCGAAATATAGGTTGCACAACAACATCGTACCGCCTTCGACTCTTGGCCAAAAGGCCGACTACTACCTCTTCAAGGTCAGTTTAGCGAGACTGCCCTTTGTTCGGTGGGTATCGGACCTGGCAGCTGATCGCGACGAGTTCCTCTCGGTGACGATTTCGTAGGAGGACATCATCCCCGCCTGGGAAGATTCGGCGAACAAGAACGGTGGCAAGTGGAGCGTTCAGCTGCCCAAGGAGAAGACCAAGGCGACGATCGACCAGATGTGGTTGTATACGGTGAGTTTCCGGCAATCACAAATAACGCTGAAAAGCGGCTGCAACGACCGAGGCTGACCGTGATCGATACGCCGTAGATGTTGGCAGCTATCGGGGAGACTTACGAGACCGACGCCGGAAGCAAGGATATGGGCGAGCCCTCAGACGATCTCGTCACCGGCGTCATTGTCAACGTCCGACCAGCCTTGTGAGTGAGAGTTACGATGCTAGAAGACACGTGTAAGGCTGAAGCTGATGGTTTTCTCGGTCGACGTGCCAGCTTCCGACTGAACATCTGGACCCGACAAGCGCCTACCGACCCCAACGAGCCTTCCCCCTTGCTCGAACGCATCCTCAAGATCGGTCGACACTTTAAAAAGGACGTGCTCGGGTACGAGCTCGACGCCAAGTTGATGCAGAGCGGGTACTCTACCGAGGTCGAGTTTATCAACCACAAGGACGGGGAGAAGAAGTTGAAGGCCAAGAAGATCGTGCTTAACTGAGAGGCATGAATATCGGAAAGGGCAGCGATGAGGGACGTAATGAGGGAGGGCCTTTGTACTTTTGACTTCAGGGATGATAATTCGATCGGATACAATCGAGGTAGCGAAGCGGGTATGGTATACGATACAACAGGTGTTGGGCCAGACTCGAAAGTGCTCCATTTGAGTGTCAGCTGGCGGATATCGATGCAGGTCCGACGGTGCCGCTCTTCACTTCTTCTCCGATTTTCTTCTCCTTGTCGGCTTCCGTCACGACATGGTCTTCCTCTCTGAACCTCGTTCCGAAACTGTGTTGAGAAATACAAGCAATTGAAACGGTCAGAGAAAGCGCGGCTTGAGAACACAATGATGGCTATCACTAACCTGCTATCCCACCCGAGTAACTCTTGCTTTTGCATATCATCCACAAACTGGTAGCTCTTCAGCGCTTGGCGGAACGAGGGGGAAGAGGATAGTAAGGACAGGTGGTGCAACGCCGTCGGGTAACTTTCCGTGCAGATTCCCCAATTATCATCTTCACTCAAAGATCAAGACGATTTGAGAAGAGACGTACTTGATGAACTGCGCATAATCAGGTCGTCGCCAATAAGACAGGTAGTCGAGGTAGTTGATGAACTTTGGATCGTCCAGGTAACCCTTGGAAGCTAGTTCGTACAAGTAGTTTGGAGAGGCTAGGCATTGCAGGAACTAGGTTGGATGTGTCAAACGAAGCGGTTTCGGGACGTATCGTAAGTCCAAGATCAAGGTGCACGACGAGCAGGAAGAGTATCGAAGGCATAGTAATGACATGTAGAGGGGTCAGATCGACTAATCGTACAGGTTACAAAAGTAGGGAAGAGGGGATGTACCTCGAGTTCGACCTCGAAGCGGTCCTTGTTCGCCTGCCGAGCTAGATCGGATGGAAGCAATGACATAGAGAATGAAGGCAAGGAGAAGGGTACAGATACCGATGAGAGCTGATTTCTAGTTTACGTTTCTTTTCGGTTCGCGAAGAAAGCATAAACAGCAAACGGCGAAGTCAGCGATCGTGTTCCCGATACGATGAGAGGCATGCGAGGCCGACGGAAGAACGGATGATTTGGTAGGAGGTTTCAGAAGGAACAATTGGAATATGGTTAAAACTTTCTTGTGTTTCCGCACGAGCCTTTCCCCGGAGTTGCGTATATGGGGAAAGGTTTGGATGGAAAAGCTGACATCATGAAAGGGGTGGAATACGGGGAGAAGGAAGGAGACAGGAGGCAGGAGAAGATGCTCACACGTAGACGGCTCTAGGCGAGTTGCTTGTACAAACGAGGACGGATGGTCAATGTTCTGTTAGGAGTGAGTGCAGATGAGAAAGAGGTCGTTCATGATCTCATGTCGTCTTGCTTTATGGCTATGAGCGGATTGGCGTGATCCCGATCAACTCGATCCAAGAGGAAGCGCAAATCCACTTAAGCGCTTGCGTAATGAACGCGATGAGACGCGGACGCGACGCGTTCGATATGATGATCGATGGATTACGGGCAAAGGCGTCAACGTCGGCGGGGTGATAGCAGCTAGCAGATATAGCAGCAGTCAGATACAGTGTGCACTTGCACATCACGCATCCCGTAATATCGACACCGGACTGCACGTCTTGCCAATTAGCCTTGTCCCAGTGTGACCATGTCCTTCGCCCCGCCATCCGCCGTTCGGGAAGGCCCATCGCATCTGCCCGGAGTCACCCGATTAACTTACTCTCGGGATGGAACGTGAGCATATTGGACTCATGGATACATGCTGTTGTGATCTTGATCAATGTTGACGTCGATGGAACTTACGCCGCCGTGTAGAACGATCTTTACGGGAGGTTCAGACTGCATGCTCCGGTATCATAACGTCAATGAACCGGATACCGAACCGGGGTTCTTTGACGAACATCGAGATCCTATCACTTGTCTAGCTACCACGGCATGTCCTTCCCGCCTATAGCTATCTCGATGGCCTGTTCGAATCAAACTAAAGCTGTACCATATCGTCGCAAATAGTCTTCCAACCTGCTCACGGGATGCATAGATGGAACGACCCGCTCGTTCGACTACCCGGCCAACGAATTCGCCGGGAATCTAGCCCGATCTTCTGGGGTTGCTGTTAGATGGCTAGCCATCGATCAGGGTGGAGAAAAGGTGGCATTATGTTCCGAGTGAGTGTGTGGAAAATTACCGTCATAAAACAGGAAATGACTGACTGCGATGGCTGAACCGATACTCGCGATTCGATCACGACGAACAGCGACCTGCTAGTCAAGATCGTCAACATCCGGGACCCGATACAGATCAGCGTCCTCCCTGGCCTTTCTCGACCCGTCCGATCTGCCTCATGGCATACACGGCAAGACATGCTCGTACGTTGACCCAAGCGCTTGTTTCAACGAACAATGTTGGTGGACCGGTAATGATCGAACGACGGATTCCTGTTGCACATCATAGACTATAATCACCTCGGATGGAAAGATCCAGATCTACGGATTTGAAGATGGAAACGCTTCGTGCTTGAAGACCATCGAAGCGATGGCTGCTCCGGGGAAACCAGAGTAAGCACGATTGTCTGCCAAGGACCAAGTTCACGAGACGGGTGGCAATCTGAGCCTGTACGGTCTTGTTGGGGGGTATCAGTGATGAGCTACCTTGTGCTGTGGCATGGCACCCGAAGGGCGATTACTTTGTTGTACCAACACGGAGTCATGGTGAGCGATTTTGAACACGAGATATTGCACACAAGCTCATTCAGGATATTGCGCCGTCTTCGTGTCGCTGTTTTATGCAGATATCGCCATTGTGGACCGGGATACATGGACGAGACAGGGCAATTTCTCTGCTTCTGGACACGATGGCGAGATAGGGTTGTTGGCTTGGTCGCCGAACGGACTTTACCTCGCCTCCAGTGGTAAAGACGATCAGATCATCGTATGGGAGACTGAAGGGAGGCAGCCTGTAGCAAGGTGATTCCGGCGGAAAAGACAGGGACCAAGGTTGGCACGCTGAGATGACTATTCGTATTATTAGGGTCAAGGTCAACGGCGGGACCGTGACGGGTTTGGAGTTCTCACCGACAGACAATGCTCTCTCCTGGGCGTGTGTTGACGGGACTTTCAACACCTGGACAGATCCCGTTCCAGCAGAAAAGCCTCACCCGGCTCAACAACCTCGCGTTCACGCGACGAGGCAGAACGGGCTGGGCGATGGTGGCGAAGGTCTCAAACAGCTCGACGGGGAGGATGACGATGATATGGGGGAGGACCTGGCGGATTTCGATAATGACGATTGGATCGTCGATGATGAGGATGGGGGCAAGTATAGGGAGAGGGAGACCAGTCCGAATGTTGGTAATGGGGTGAGGGAAGTCGGTAAGTCAGCAGCACGTCAGACAAGGGCCGATTTGAATTCGTGGAAGGCTGAAAGATTGGCGATATAGTTGGAATTACGAAAGCGCAGGCCGCTTTTCAACCTGGTTCGACGGCCATGCGAAACAAGAAGAGATACCTAGGTGCGTTGCTTAGCAGGTTTTCTCCAAGGAGTTTAAAACATTGAGGTCGGTCTGCTACAGCTTTCAACATGATCGGAGTCGTCGATGTTACGGATCAGGATACACATCACGTGGTCAACGTCGAGTTTCACGACAAGAGCGCCGACCGGAGAGGTTATCACTTCCAGGATCACAACCGCTTCCATCTGGCAGCTGTCGGTGAGCAGATATCGTCTCGAACGCGTTTCCGCGTATTGCTCTCCTGAGTTCACGTCTTTTCGCGTATCCAGGTGAGCAGGGAATCGTCTATGGATCTCACGCCGACGGGGATCTTCCAGCGCTGGTGCACTACCGAGCGTATGATACGTGGGCATCGGGAGCCGACTGGCAGGTGTCATTACCAGCGGGCGAGCAGCCGGTCCTGCTCGCTGCCGGAGGCAAGCCATTAGCTAACGAGTTCGAAGTGGAGAGCCAGAACATGGGCAGCGTCATCGTCGCAACATCCAGAGGATTCATCCGGTTCTTCACTGGCAGCGGGGTTCAACGCTATCTGTGGCGTATGGGAGAGGAGATGGTCAGCATGGCTGCAAGTCACGAGATGGCTTTCCTGGTACACAGGGAAGGCGGGACGAGTTTGGATGGTCAGTCGTCTCTTCGTCTGAGATGCGCCTTCGCGCTAATCTTGCTTCGTCTCGCCAGGTTGCCAAAACCTGAGATATACTTTGGTCGACCTCGATAGCTATGACATCGTTCAAGAAGGCCGAATCCCATTACCCAAAAAGACTACCCTTGCTTGGATAGGGTTCTCACAAAGCGGCGTGAGTTGAAATAAGTCGCGCTCAAAGGATAGTCGAAGCTCATGCTGAATAATCTTGTCCGTACTAGGCGCCGGCGATGTATGATTCGGACGGTCTGCTGTCCTTGCTTGACCGAAGCCGGCGTCAAGGACAGGCTCGATGGTCACCGTTAGTGGACACTCGAGGGTTGGTGAAGAAGGAAGGAGGGAACCAAACGGCATACTGGCCCGTTGGGTTGACCGACAAGCAGATGATGTGTGTGATTCTCAAGGTGAGCAGGCTGAACAACGTCCAATATCGACGGACACCAATCGTTGTTCGTCACGTCTGGTGCCCTCAGGGGAACGAGCGGGAACCGTACTTCCCTCGGCCGGTCATATTAGATGTCGATATGACGATACCTCTACTCAATTTGGATATTTCGCAAGGTCAACTTGAAGAAAAGTTAGTCGATTACGGTACATGGATGAGCGACTACCGATAAACGATACTGATCATGGCTGCCGACAGACTGATGCAAGAGCAACTCCAGCTGAACTTGCTGAGAGACATGGTCAAAGAGCGCTCAGAGCTATCCTACGATATCAGCAAAATCGAGGTATCACAGGACAAGGAGCTGATCCAACTCGTTCAGGCGGCTTGCAAGGCTGACAAGTTGCAACGAGCTCTTGACATTGTCCGGATGATGAACAACGTCAAGTCGATGGAAGCAGCGGCCAAGGTCGCGCAGTTCTACCACTTGCCAGGATTGCAGGAGAAGATCGGGATCATCCGAGAGGCGACGGAAGAGAAGCGGAGGGAGAAGGAACGGAACGAACGCTACGGTGGCTATCGAATGGTGGCGAGAGAGACCCCTCTTCCCGAGAGCCCGTACGGCGTCGCTTCTAAAGCTTCCCTAGCAGCAGCTCGGCAGGACACCGACTTCGCACCCAGAACAGCAATGTCGAAGCGTACAGCAAGAGCTTCTGTAGGAGCGCATCTCAATGCCGCTGCTGTACCGGTCCCCCGATATGTGTCGGAGACTCCAGAACCGATGAGTATGCCCATACAAGACGACAAAGATGTATCACCACCGAGCCCTGAAACCAAACGGAGGCGATTGAACAATGGTCATGCTGAGGAGGACGGCTTCAAAAGGCCGCAACCGCCTAGCGAGTCGATCGCCTCGGAACCGGTACACAAGTCCGGAGGTGAGCTGATCTCAGAAGTCTGAGATGCTTTGGTCGTGCGGATACTCACCCAGCAACCTGTTACCAGGCTTGAAGAACCCATTTGCGCGCAAAGCGCCAGCTTCTAATCCTTTTGCCAAATCCAACATCGCTAATACTACCTTAGCAAAGAAGAGCTATTCGTTCTTCGACAAGGTCGAGGATGCCGAACAGGCTGCTAAGAAGAACGCCGGTATGTCATCAACCCCCAGATCGAGGGAGTTGTGCAGAGCTAATGTGAAAGCACATTATATTCAGCTAAAAACGGAGCCTCTAATGCGGCAAAGAAGACCGCTAAGCAGACTACGCTCTCTTTAGCACCCAAGGCACCTGTGACGCGGCCTTCGCTCCAGAGCGAAGATTCTCTGGCTTCGACCGTCGTAGATTCGATAGCGGATACCGAGCAGGACGACGTGGACATGGAGGACGGGCTGGAGGAAACGCAGACGGATGGCATGTCTCTTCGAGCGAGCCCTGACCCCCTAGATGAACAAGCGGTAGCGGACGACGATGCTGAACCTCTCGAAGTGAGTAAACTCTCGTCTCTCAACCATATGCAAACATTCGTTGAGCGCTGAACGAAACCTTTTGGACTTGCGCCCGCAGTGGGAAGATTCGGATAATGAGGATGCGCCGGTACAGCGACCTGAGTCTCTGGAGGCATGATCATTGATACGAATACCCTTTCGCAGCTGCAGGTTGCTCTTATGGAGCAACCTGCGTGTTCTGATATAAGTTGTAGTATTAGATAGCATTTTCATAATGAACCCCTTGTACTGATTGATACCTGACAGAAGCGCGCGCTTATATTTGGTTGCCTCCACTTTTCGATTGACGGCACCTTGACGGCTTCGACGACTTTGAGCGATGAATGAATGCAATGTGTTCCGTGAAGGCTCGATCTCAAAGACTCGACAAGGTCTCTGCAAACCTGGGCTCAGCTCGGAACGTATACACCTAGAACATATAATCTTGTCAAACGCTCGTGAAAATGCCTCCCAAGAAAGGCGGAAAGAAGGGCAAGAAGGATCTGGACAATGACGATTACTGGTGAGCAGGCAGCATACATTCCTTTTGTCCGAGTGGACTCCCAGTTGACAATCGATTGGACGATTCTATGCAGGGCAAACAAGGAGATCGATGTAGATCCGTTGGCATCACCGGCTGCTGCAGATGATGTACCGGTGCCCAAGGGCAAAGGAAAGCAGGCAAAGAGCGCTTATGCCCTGCTCGAGGAGTTTGAGGCTGGTGGCGGCGAGGACAACGAGGATGGAGCTGGTGGCGGGGGCCTCATGGTGAGCAAGTCTCCGTATCTATTCCAAGTGGCCTGTTTTGTTCACTGACTGACTCAACATCATTACATCGAGCCCAGTCGGCCATGCGATCACGAAAGGACCGGAAACCCAAGGGCAAAAAGTCGGCTCCTGTCTCGGATGACGACGAGCCTTCAACGCCGGCCCCCAAAGAGGCCCCTCAGGCTGATCTCGATGATGAGTGGCCAGAAGACGATGTGAAACCTAAAAAGGGCAAGAAGGGCAAGAAAGATAAGAAGGGAGGCAAGAAGGACTTGGACGAGGATGAAGACATGGACGGTTCGGCGGTGCTTGACGCTCCCGCCCAGCCTGCCGAGGCTCCTCAAGCGGACATTGACGATGAATGGCCCGAAGACGATGTCAAGCCGAAAAAGGGAAAGAAGGGCAAGAAGGCCAAGGGTGGCAAGAAGGCTGATGAGGAGGATGAGGAGGCAGAGGTAGAGCAGGTCGTTGCCGAGATCGAGCCTGCTCAACAAGCCGAGGTCGCCGATCTGGACGACGAGTGGCCGGAAGAGGATGTCAAGCCTAAGAAGGGAAAGAAGGGAAAGAAGCAGAACAAAAAGGACGAAGATGAGGAGGAAGAAGGTGTTGCAACTCCGGCTGCTCCTGCTACACCTGTTCCCGAGCCTGCCGCCACTGCCGCCGATAACGACGAAGATGAGGAGCCTCAGGATGGCGAGGTCAAGATCCTGTCAAAGAAGGAGAAGGAAAAGCTGAAGAAGGAAAAGGAGAAGGCCAAGAAGAAGGCTCAGGCTGAGCGAAAGAAGGCTGAGGCAGCTGCGGCTTCGGGAGGTGCCCCTGTTGAAGCTGAGAAGAAGCCAGAACCAGAGGTCGAGACCGTCGCCAAAGCTGAGGACGAGGAAGAGGATGATGACGAGGGCGGTGCTGGCGGGGCCGGTGCGGCCGACAAGAAGAAGAAAAAGAAGAAGAAGAAGGCAGCAGAGAAGGCTGAACCGGAGCCTCCAAAGAAGAAGGTCAATGCCAAGGTGGCGGCTTTGGCAGCTGCGATGGAGAGGAAGAAGCAGATCGAGGAGGAGGCTCGACGGGCAGAAGAGGAAGCTCGTCGGCTCGCTGAGGAAGAGGAAGCGCGTCTTGCTGAGGAGGAGCGTCTAGCCGAGGAGGCTAGGGCTATCAAGAGGCAGAAGGAGAAGGAGAAGCGAGACCTCGCACGAAAAGAGGGAAGGCTCCTGACTCCTAAACAAAAGGCAGAAAAGGCCGCTGCCGAGGCACGAATGAAGGCCCTGCTCGCTTCTGGCGTCAAGGTTGAGGGTCTCGACGCTAGCGGACAGCCTGCTGCCAAGCCCAAGAAGCCCGTCTATGGAAACAAAAAGAAGCAACCCGTGAAAAAGGCAGAAGCCGCTGCACCTGAGCCTGTCAAGGAGGAGCCCAAGACAGAAGAAGCAAAGCCTGCTGCGGCCGACGAGGATGACGATTGGGACAAGTCCGAAACCGAGGAGGTCACCAAGGCGGTCGGCAAGGTGGAGATCAAGGAGGAGTCCGAGGATGATTGGGACAAGAGTAGCGATGAAGAGGAGGAAGTTAAGCCTACTCCTCCCGCCAAATCTGAGAGCTCAGAAAAGGCTGCTTCCAAACCCGCCGCTCAACCCGCTGCTAAGTCCGCTGTCAAACCTGCCGGCAAGCCTGCTGCTAAGGCTGCCGCCAAGGAGGAGTCCGAGTCCGAGTCTGAATCGGAATCTGATGAGGACTCAGATTCGGATGATTCGGACGACTCGGACGATTCTGACGATTCTTCCGACGAGAGCAGTTCGGAGGACGAAATGACGCCAGCTCAACGCAAGGCTGCTGCCGAGGCCGAGAGGCGAAAAGCAGAGGCCGCTGCACGACGAAAGCAACGTCATGAGGAGGCGATGGCTGCCAGGAGCAAGGACGACTTGCGAAGCCCTATCTGTTGTATTCTTGGACACGTCGATACCGGAAAGACGAAGTTGCTGGACAAGGTTAGTATTCAGCTGGTATCGCATAATGCCGACGTCGCGGTTTGCTGATCGCTTGTACAATCAATTAGATTCGTCAAACCAATGTGCAAGAGGGTGAAGCTGGAGGTATCACCCAGCAGATTGGTGCTACTTACTTCCCGGTCTCTGCTATCAAGGAGAAGACTCAGGTTGTAAACAAGGTAAGTCAGCGCCATCTCGGCTTGGCTACATCAGAGTTGCCGAATTGATTGTTCAACACGACATATCTAGGACGGCAAATTCGATTACAAGGTTCCCGGTCTCTTGATCATCGACACTCCTGGACACGAGTCTTTTACCAACTTGCGAACGCGTGGTAGTTCATTGTGTAACATTGCCATCTTGGTCGTCGACATCACTGTGAGTGGGACGTGCAAAGGTCGTGCCGGTGATGGAGACTGATCGTGAGCTTCTTCTAGCACGGTCTCGAACCTCAAACGCTCGAATCGATTCGATTGCTTCGAGAGAGGAAGACTCCCTTCGTTGTTGCCCTCAACAAGATCGACAGGTGTTACGGCTGGAATCCGATCCCGAACGGTGCTTTCCGGGACACATACAATCAGCAGGGCAAGAACACTCAGCGAGAGTTCGAGAACCGTCTTGAGGCTACCAAGTTGGCTTTCGCTGAACAGGGTTTCAACGCCGTCTTGTACGACGAGAATAAGGACTTCGGTCGATACGTCTCGTTGGTCCCCACCTCCGCCATCACCGGAGAAGGTATTCCCGACATGATCATGCTGCTGGTTCAGCTGACTCAACAGCGAATGAGTGAGCGACTGATGTACCTGTCGGAGCTCGAGTGTACCGTCCTCGAGGTTAAGGTCATCGAGGGTCTCGGAACCACCATCGACGTTGTCCTGTCGAACGGTGTCATGCGTGAGGGAGACCGAATCGTAGTCTGTGGACTCAACGGTCCCATCGTTACCAATGTCAGGGCACTTCTAACACCACAGCCGCTTCGAGAGCTGCGAGTCAAGGTGAGTCATCGGCCTGCATGGCCGTCAATCAAGTCATCGCGACACTGACGAAGGAAACCCTCGTCAGTCTGCCTACGTGCACAACAAAGAAGTCAAGGCGGCTCTAGGTATCAAGATCGCAGCTCCTGGTCTGGAAAAAGCCATCGCCGGCTCGCGTCTTTTGGTCGTAGGACCTGACGACGATGAGGAAGAGCTGATGGACGAGATCATGTCCGATCTGAAGGGAATGGAGCAATATATCGATCAAACTGGTCGTGGTGTCTGGGTTCAGGCCAGTACACTAGGATCGCTAGAAGCCTTGTTGGAGTTCTTGAAGAGCAGCAAGATCCCCGTCATGGGAATCAACATCGGACCGGTTTACAAGCGTGATATCATGCGATGTGCTGCCATGCTCGAGAAGTCACCGGAATACGCGGTCGTGCTCAGTTTCGATGTCGAGGTCGACAAGGACGCCAAGAAGCTTGCCGAAGAACTCAACGTCAAGGTATTCGAGGCACAAATCATTTACCACTTGTTCGACGCCTTTACGGCGTACATGGCCGATATTCTGGAGCAGAGGCGAAAGGACGCCGCTCCCAATGCCGTCTGGCCTTGTCGACTCAACATCCTCGCTGTCTTTGCCAAGCGTGATCCTATCGTGCTTGGTGTCGACATCATCGAGGGAACTCTGCGAACGGGAACACCTATCTGTGTCGTAAAGACGGACAAGGAGTCGGGGAAGAAGGAGATCATTCCCCTAGGAAAGATGTAAGTGTGACGGTGGTGCCTTTTTCTGCAGCTAGTCACGTAATTGAGCCTCCGGTTCCCGTTTTGCAGTTCGTCCATCGAGATCAACCACAAGAGCTTCGATCTCGTCAAGAAGTCGCAAATTGGTGCCGGAGCTGCCATCAAGATCGATCACGCCGTATATCAATCCGCCAAGTCATACGGTCGACAGTGAGTCTCGAAACAAAGAATGCCGAAGCTTAGAGCGGGACCTGATCGTAATTTGGTACCGCAGCTTCGACGAGAAGGACGAACTCATCTCACATCTTTCTCGATCGTCGATCGATGTTCTGAGTAAGCAGCAAGCTGCACCGTTCGCCTGGCAGACGATTTTCTCACAATCATTTGTTCCATCTCGTACAGAAACGACTTTCCGAGATCAGGTCGACTTGAGCGACTGGGCTCTCATCAAAGCCTTGAAGCCCAAGCTTGACATCCAGTAGTGTTTCGCACGCATCGTCTCCTCGCCGATTCTTGTATTGTCTTTCAGTCCAGCGTAAGGGTCCCATTGCGGATCCAGCCAACTTCTCCTTAGGACCTCTTCATCGATTGTATATCATCTCATTGTTAGATCGGGGACGATCATATTCGCGTGTACACCAAGTCATCTACATCACATTCGCCCGAACCGGGAAGGCGCGATTGAAGAGAGTGCCTGCATAAGCGGCGATGGGAAAGGTATTGGGACGGCGGATTCGACCCGGGATGGAAGGTTATAGCTGAAGGAAGCGGAAGAAAATCCAAGTCAGCACCCATAGATCGTTATCCGCTGTCTAAGCAGTGTGAGACGTACGAAGAAAAGGCTCGACGATCAACCCGGTTGATCTTCTTGGCCGTCTTGGCGTTGGTCCTCGTCCGTTGACCCCGCACCGGGAGACTTGCGGCGTGTCTGGATAAACATATGGAGCATAACGTATTTAGCAAGATGCGAGACGTTGGAAGAGTCTAATCGAGCTGAATGTGACTGACCGTTTCCCTCGATAAGTCCCGATCGTCCTGTGATGAGCGATATCGCTCTGCAATGATCGTCGCAGGTCCGTCTCAATTTTCAAGGTATCCAACGGATCTTCCCTGTCCGCAACGACTTCACGCTCTTTGCCTTTGGCGGAAGGTTGTTGACCCGGAGGACAGATAGGTGTAGGGTCCGGAGAGGGGTTCGTGGATGGGGAAGAGAGGTAGGCGGAGAGCGCCGTCACTTGGGCTTCGGTCAGGTTGGAGACAGTAGCTTCTGAGTGAATCTGAAGCCTAGCTAGTAGACGATAGGAAATATCATGGCTGATACCGTAGAAGGAGGTAAGGGCGACCTGTGCAGCACGAAGAGGAGATGGTCAATTAGGCGCTGAAACCGAAGAGCTCGGTTCCCCAATCTCACCCTCAACAGTTTATGGTCCGGCAGATTATGTCCTAGCAAATGCATCTCGGCCGGTTTTCAAGTATAGCGAGGGGGATGAGTGACGTTGCGGTCCTCGAGATGATCGAGAAATCACAAAGTTAGGGTAGGCAAAGGTCGACTTTTGGGATGAGAGGTGCTGCTCGTTGAGGTTGAATCAAACGCGGACATTGCGTTGTCGATTCTAATGTCCGCGTCTCCTTTCGAACACTCGCAACCTCTCTGAGCCTCTGATCGATATCAATCGTCGAGTCGAAATTGTAGCAATGCGGGATAAGCCCTGCCTCCAGTAGCTACTCAAACTATTCGTTATAGCAATTTTCTCAGTATGAACGTGACAAAAGTTGTGCGAGGCGCATCCCGACTCCCCTTGACCTCAAAGCGGGCAAACAAGGACTACTACAAGGGTAAGCTTCAATCCGCCGTCTGAGTGGATTATGCCAGGAAATGTTGAGCTGATCAATCTTCCATCCTCCACTCTGCAGGTAGCGGACAGGCATATGTACCCGGCGGTGGTCATCGAACAGGGCCTCCAGGAAAGCATGTCATCGGAGGGAAAGCCAAGTTCAGGGTGATGGACGACAAGGTCCGATACTATGTCGGACCTGGTGCCGAGATTCTCGACTCGACCGATGTGAGTGATCCATGAGTTCAGCGCCGGTTGAAATGCTTCAAAGCAGTGATTCACACTCGCTCTGATTTTATAGCTCAAACCTTACGTCGCCCGAAGCGTACAAACACCAGAACAGCCACAATACACCAAAAAGAACCCTCCTATCTCCTTCTCCCCGAACATCCACCATCAGCCCATCTCAACAGTACACCCCAAGACGAACCAGCCTCTCCGGATAAAACCTCACGATACCAAGACGTTTGCCAAGTGGTACCGAGCATTGTCGCACGAGGATCGAACGAGGGTGGTAGCGGAGACGAGGAAGACGTGGTACGAGACGATGGTAGTCAAGGGGCGAGAGGTCGTCGAGGAAGAGGCTGCGACGAGGGAGGTCGAAGCCGGTGCACAGGCATAGATGTGGACGGATGTTACGGAAAGACGAGGTCGCCTACGTCGAATGGGACATAGCGATGACAATGTACTACTGCTACGACGACTATACAACAATTCAACCCGAATACACGCATGTGTAACAAGCGGAGGGTCCATCGACTGCGATGCCCACTCAGTACGTCAATACGGTCCCGTTGCCATTGGCTTCTCCTGCTTGTTGCTGCTGGCCGTGTGGAGACTGCCACAGCCCATACGTTGTACCCGGACTCGTCTGCCAAAGCCGAATCGTCCCTGTCATAAGTAACGATGTCAAACTAATAAGCCGACATTCAATATAGAGCAATGAAGAGAGGTCTAGACTCACCATCCTCCGAACCGCTCCCATAGACCTCTCCGTCTGGACTATAGCTGACACAGTGCACCGGTCCATGATGACCCTTGTACACTTCCTGCTCTTTCCCCGTGTCCAGGTCGTACACCCTCACCCATGGGTCAGCGGACGAACCGACGACGAATCGATCACGTTTGACCGGGTGAAGTGAGGCCGATGAAACCGGGTGAGGCAGGGGAATCGAGACGGGTGGGTGTTGTCTGTCGTCGCCATCGTCAATCGATAATTAGCATAGCTCCGACACGGTGTCAGTCTGGCAGACCTGTCGGTACGCACCCCATGATATCGAGGAAATGCACCGTCTTGCCACTCGTCACGCTCAAAGTCCCTCCTCCATGTACCATCTCCATGCTATTCACCGGTTCTCCCATGTCCAAGCAACTCGTCTGTTTCAACGTCCTCAGATCCCACCACCTGACGAAACCGTCCTCGGCCGCGCTTATTCCTACGACCCCGCCTTGACCTTCGTCCCAGACGAGCGAGCGGACCGTACCCTTGCACGAGGTGTTGCCTGGGTAGTCGCCTCCGAGGACGAGCGGTTCGGCGTCCGGTCGGCCGAGGTCGAATAGTCGGATCTTCTTTTCGTTTCCTCCCTGTTGCCATCGCAGATCGCCAAACAGATCAGCGCCTCCACTACCTACTGCATAGCGCCAACCAGTCTAAGGACGCACGGTCAAGAGGTACTGCGGTGTCACCTGCGGACTGAGCGCGACGGTCCGTACGATATGCGCATGTTGGAACGTATGTAAAGCTTCCCCGCTGTACGTGTCCCAGACCTTGCTATGTGTGGGATGCCCACCAAGTTCGAGCAAGTCAGCCTGACTATGTACTGCTTTCGATTGACTGGAACTCTGCTTACGCAGAGAAATCCGCACTGCCTGTCGCAGCGCGAGACGTGTCTAGCGAGATCTTGCTGCTCCAGACAGCCCCTTTGTGTCCTACAATAAAAACCCAGCACACATCAGCCAAGTATCCCTTAAAGTCAGAAAGCAAGGAAGTCGGGGCTTACCGAGAAAAGTTCCGACCCAGTCTCCTAGCCAATTACGGAGCATGGGGTTTCCATCTTTACAGGCCGAGATGAGGAGGAACGAGCCATCGTCCAATCTATTCAAACAAGGTCGGATCGAGTCGGATCCGGATTTCCGTCGAGCACAGAGGAAGAGAAAGGGAAGAGGGGGAAGAAGGGGGAGGTCAGCGGTCGGGCTTTCACATGAACATCGAAGGAATTAAGGTAAGAACAGCTCACTTGTTGGAAAATTGCAAATGCGTCACAGGGCGTGTATGTCCGCTGCAGAGAAGGGGCTGGATCTTTCCGCTCGACATCCTGGTTGATGTACGTCTCCTTTGTTCGAAAGTGTCGAAGCTTGATAAACAGGGCAAAGATGTTCGATGTCGAGCTCTAGATTGAGGTTCCGGTAGTGATAAGGAAGGAGAGAGGTGGAGTCGAGGGATTAAGTAAGAGCCAGACGTATGGATGTCGGTGCGTGAAGAATTGGTTCACGGGGGTGCTAATGCAGGTCGTGTTCGGATGCTTTGTTTCGTCGTCTGATGTCCGATGGGGAATAGACGTTTCTGGTGTCGTTATGTTGTATTACTTGCTTTAGACTTGAGAAGGTGAATGTGTTTCTGCTGTCCGACGGTAGTGTTTCACGGTGACGAGAAGACTAAATAGTCTGAGCCTTGCTCCTTTTCGTCCGTGCAAGCTAAGATGCTGATTTCGTTATATTCGCGTTGCTGTATACCAGAGTGTTCCTGGTTATGCTATCGTATGTATTTTTTGATGTTCTTGTGATGTAATGTGATCGAAGTGTTGGTGTAGGATAAAAGTGGGTTGAGGTATGGATGAGTGGTTGGGTGATCCTTTGTCGGTATGTGAATGTTCGCGCGCTCAGATCAGCTAGAAGCGCCTAGGGGGACGATCGAGTAAGTATCGTCGGAGGAGAAGAGCGAAGTGAAGGAAAGAAGGGAAGGGCTTTATCGAGCAGAAATGTGAGGCCTATGACCAAAAGCGATGCAACGAATGCTTGTCGGCGAGCATATCCCAACCTCGCGAAGGTAGATAGATGATGGAACAACTCCCCTTCAGCCATATCTTGAAAAGAAGAACGACCATCAGGCCAGGATCTAATGACGTGTCATTTCAATCACCGCCCCTGTCGACAATTGACAATGTCCGAGGTTGACGACTAGCCACGAGGTGAGAGTGCTGACGTACAAAGGGCGTGGATTCCAGCGACCTGAAGCTTTCCAAGTCAGCACGACCTCAACCCCTCCTTTTGACCTGCATGACCTACTATATGCTCGGCTGAATCTGCTGACATCATCATCAGCTCAGATTATCTGACGTCGGCTCGCCAAGATGCAGACTACGCTGGAATCCTCTCGAAATTCGACACGCTACAGATATATAAAGCCAGAGAGTCCTTCATGAGATTATCAACAACGATGGCGTACAGTCCTTTTCTCAGGCTATCCGCTCTTGCAGATCTCAATCAGCACTCGACAAATCCGCACCTCGCCGATCACATCCAAATCTAGATCGCTAACGACCACTCGCCATGTCCAAGAACCCTTACTATGACAACACCAAACCCACCCCGAACTTGCTCTCCAAGCAATCTATCGGGACGGCCTTTCTTTACGGGTGCGCTGCGGGATTGATCGGTGTCGGGGCGTGAGTCTATAGTCCTTGCTTCGTGCCTCTCATTGCTCGAGATCGCTAATTAACGTCAACGACATTCGGTATACTTTGCTTCTGCTCCACTTGCATTCGGGGTACACAGCATGACCTTCAGCCAAAAGATCGAACAAGCATTTACCGGCCGTCCCAACTCCTACGTCCCCGGCCATACTCTGGAAAAACTCCTCGGAATGCCCTACAGGCCCGATTCCGAGCGTTTGGGGTTGCAACACGCTATGCATTGGGGTCAGGGGGCGTTGGTCGGGGGTTTGAGGGGAGTCATGTCGGCTTATGGCATCGTGGGGTTTGTCGTGGATTTCTTCTTTACGGGGGTTAGGATCTTGACGGATCAGAGTTTGGAGAATTACGCTCAGGTTGGGGCTCCTCCTTGGTGAGTCCTGGTCTCATGATCAGGAGGATCGGTTTTTGGACGGACGAAATACTGGTTGTTAACCTGCAAATTTACTCCTTCTCGCCTTTCTCTGCAACTCTCTTCCGTACTCGCAGGACCTGGCCGTTCAACGAACAAGTCATCGACGTCATCCACAAGGGCGTCTACGCGTTTACGACCGGATACGTCGTCGATCGTTGGCTTCACTGAGCTTAAAAAGACAATGCACCGCTCGTGTGCGGTGTACGGCGGAGATAGCGATTGCGGTCGCGACGTGACAAAGACAAGGGCTAAATAATAGAGCCCTATGGCGAGAGGAAGGGATTGGGCGGTAGTTGGGTATACGGAGGCGGAAAGAAAGCGGTAAATTTTCTGGTTATGGGAGATACTCGGTACCTGAATTGAAGAAAATGATACGATATGTCCATTATGCATGGAATGCTGTCTACCTGGTCATTGTGGGTTCATCAGGCGCGGAACTCTACTTCACGAGGCTCTAAAGCGGCAGTTCAGCCTGTTCATTTGATCGGAACGAGCAAGAGGAGAGTTGATAGCATATGGGCGCGCGTGCTGAAAATCGAACTCCATCACGATAGCCCCAATATGGTCTTCAGGATCGTTTTCAATGTCGCCGCGATCCGTATCTTCAAGGTCGTCAGGAGTTGAGGCTTGCCGGTCCTGTTGCTGATAGAGCGTTGTTGCCTCAGTGGAGTTGCCTGTCGTGAAGGAATCCGCAGCAACATCGCTTGAGGAACACGACTTTCATATTTGTGTCTTCAGAGAAGAAGAGCCGATTAGAACGGTGTTTTCACCTGATCGGAGGTCTATCCTGCATGGTAACGAATTGGCAAATATTGAGACCTGGTCACAAATTCACAAAGCTACTTTCCTTGGCCTGTTCACAAAAGCACTGGCATTTCTCTTTCTTCCCAGACAAAAGTGCCTACTTACGGACGACAAGGACTGCCAGGGTTTAACCTCCTTGGAGCTTCTGGCGCATATGTTGTCTACCGACCTCATCGATTGCGCAAAAGCCGAACTGGAAGGACAGTGGCCGTCACTGAGCACAGGCACGCATGATGCCCTCGCCCGTTGGGTCTACCGCGCGTGCAACAGATTACTCGGGCAACCTAGCGATAGTAGCTGAACAAGAGCGCCATGGCTCCGATTGACCACAGCTAGAGCACACAAGCGAGCAAGGCTAGGGGCGCTCGGCGGCACGTTACTGCTAGCTGCTAGAGAGCTAAGGTACACGTCCGGGATATTCCGTACACAGATCGCATCAAAATGAATCTGAATCCGGGGTCGATGTGTTTCAGGACCACTATTGATTGTTTGATAAACGACCCGGCGTTGACGACCCCGATGGCTAATGACGTGTCATATTCTTGACTTCCTCCGCTCCGCTTCAAGACATGTGATTCAGGGGATCAGAGTTGCGTGCCTCCACCTCGCGACTAGCAACGTCCATCGTCCATGGGGAGATGGGTGGATGGATGAGCCGGACTCACAAGACAGACCTACAACGTCGCTATCAAGTCTCGATCAAATCGAACTCACTTGCATCACTGTCATAATACACACATCATCGCTCGAGCTTCATCGCTATCCACGATGCTCGACCATGTATCCATCTCGCACGAGAGTAAGTTTAGTCTCCCCTACCGACTTCCACCCGAAACTCATCATCCCAACCCGACCCTGTTCCCAACTATAGGTGGTCTCGTCCTCTGGTCCAAATCCTACAACCCGTCCTTCGAAGCCATGTCCCAGTCCTCGGCTCGTTCGCCGGTCAACACGCTCGTCAGGGATATCATGATCGAGAACAAGTCGGCCGATCCGGAAGAAGGGTTCGAGAAGGATGGATGGAGGGTCAGGTGGACAGTCGAGAACGGGTTGGGTTTGGTCTTTGTTGTGAGTGGCTGATCCTCATAGGCGCCCTCCTGGAACTTTGAGAAATCACAGAAGGTAAGGGAAGCTGATCCGCCCATTTGTGCTATACACCTTGACGCGAACAGGTCGTCTTCCCCGCCCTCCTCCCGTTGACTTACATCTCAGACCTCCTGTCCCGGTCCAAATCCCTCTTCCTCTCCCTCTTTCAACAATCCATCCAAGCCCTCGTGCTCTCCCTCTCTTCCACTTCCACCTCTCAACAGAGTCAACAAGCTACGGAGGAGGCCAACGTACAGATCGACCAGGCGCTGAGTCGATTGAAGCGAGAGCTGGTAGGAGAGAGGTGGGAGGAGATCTGGGAAAGGTGTTTGAGAGGCTGCGAAGAGAGGGCGGATGGGAAGAAGATGGGTGGGAAGACGAAGAAGGCGACCAACAATAACACTCAGGCTGCTCAGAAGGAAGCCGTCCAGCAAGATAATGACGGCGACAAGACTGCGACTCAACCGGACCAGACGGGCCTGTCAGCGGAAGAGATCGCCAAGAACGTCCAAGCCTTCAAGAACCGTATGAAGACCACCTCTTCTGGCCGCTCTTCTCCCGCCCCGAATGGCGGCACTGCTAGTCCTGGGAAGAACGGCCGGCCGGCCCAGACCAAACGGACCTCGACAGCGAATGCTGGGGCGGAGAAGATTATGAGAAAATGGGGTAACGGAACAGGGGAGGTCACTCCGGATGCGATGAAGGAGTTAGATTTCTCCGGCCCGGATCTGAGGGAAGAGCAGGAGAAGGAAGGCAAGGTCGATGTGGATGGGTTGGTGGATAGGGGCAGTCTGGGACAGGTCGGGAAGGAAGGGTTTTACGAAGTCGCCGATTGGGATGTCGGCAAGGGGTCCAACAACAACGTCAACAAGGAGGAATTGCCGTCGGAGGAAGAGATCTTGGCTCGAGGTCGACGAACAGGTGGAAGCGGTAACGCGGCAGCGAAGACGGACAATCCGGAAGACCCACAGGAACCGATCTCGAGGTTGTCCAGCCTTTTCAACCGTCTGACAGGGAAGAAGGTCCTCAGCGAATCGGACCTCGACCCCGTCTTGCGGGAGATGGAGAAACATTTAATGAGCAAGAACGTCGCCAAAGATATCGCCGAGAAACTCTGTGAAGGTGTAGGCAAAGCTCTGGTCGGAAAGAAGTTGGGAGGCATGACCAGCGTGAGGCATGAAGTCAACAACGCGCTGTCGACGACGATCACGCAGGTCCTGTCGCCCAAAACCTCCACGGATATCCTACTTGACATCAAACGCAAGGCCTCTCAACCCCTTCCTCCTTCAATCTCCTCGGACCCTAATGCCACGCCGAAGAGGGATCCGTACACGATGACCTTTGTCGGAGTGAACGGGGTGGGCAAATCGACCAACCTGAGCAAGGTCGCCTTCTGGTTGTTGCAGAACAAGCTCAGGGTCTTGATCGCCGCGTGTGATACGTTTAGGAGTGGGGCGGTCGAGCAGTTGAGGGTACATGTGAGGAACTTGGGATTGTTGGAGAGTCAATTGGGAGTCGGACGGGCTGGAGAGGGAAAGTTGGTAGAGCTTTACGAGAGGGGGTATGGCAAGGATGCGGCGGGGATCGCCAAGGATGCGATTGCGCATGGTGAGTCGTCGCGGCGCGATGCCATCAAGTCGAACTTCAATTACAGGAAGGCTAACGAACCGTACAAATGGATCGCTCGTTGTAGCCAAGGAGAACGGCTACGACGTCGTCCTGATAGATACGGCCGGCCGAATGCAAGACAACGAACCCCTCATGCGCGCCCTGGCCAAACTCGTCACGGTCAACAACCCGGATAAGATCGTCTTTGTCGGCGAGGCGCTCGTCGGAAACGAAGCGGTCGACCAGCTTAGCAAGTTTGATAGGAGTCTGAAAGACTTTTCCGCGGCGGCCTTTGGAGTCCGGGGCAAGGCGAGAGGGATCGATGGGATGATCTTGACCAAGTTCGATACCATCGTGAGTCGATTCGGAGATTTGCAATATCATATTCGAGAAGGACAATCCGATTGACAGCGGACCTCTACCTGCCTTGCTCCCGTGCGACAGGATGACAAAGTCGGCGCGGCGCTGTCCATGACATACATCACGGGTCAACCGATCTTGTTTGTGGGCTGCGGACAGACTTATAGCGATATCCGGTCTCTTCGAGTGAATCATATCGTCGAGGCTCTGCTGGGCGCATAGGATAGAACGGCATGATAGCGATTGGTTACGGTATTACAATACGGTCGAGGTAATCGATGTTGTATAGCACGTGAGGATGGTGGATGATTCATGTTATTTCCACCTGAATGTTTACACCCTGCACCCTCCGAGACACAAGGTGCGGCATTCAGGAGTCAACTATCGCAACTTCTGATCTCGGTAAGATGGACAGACGGTTCATTAACTGGGTAGACTGGAAAGATAGATCCGACCTAGACGTAACACAGCGACTCAATCTAGCAGATCCCCTTTCACCGGTAGGGTCGGACGGTACACAGCCAGCATACTGTCTACGCGAAACGCTTGTCCCGGATCAACAACTTCTACGGGAGATCGCATCAGCTCCCAACAAAGACCTTGTATAGAAGCGGAGACGGGGTATCAGGATTCACAATCTTGTAGCTCATCGCATTCTCTTACGAGATGTCCGGCAATAACATCAAGGTGAGCGGATCAAAACTCGCACTCTAGCTCACGGAGACGGCTAAACTCGGTTGATCTAATCGCTTTCGGCCGCATTGATGATGCGGCGGATATAGGTAGTCTGCCGGTATGTCCTCTCCATCCCCGTACAAATTTGAGTACGTGCTGAACTTGTTACTTCGTTGTAATGTTCCCTCTTGACTTTGACCAGTTTCCGACCGTTCAATCGCTTGGAAACGGAAAATGGATCGACGGAATGTATAGACGTCTTGGACGAACATACCGTCCGGATGAAGAACGGAGGGAATGTCAACGGTCCAGAGGGAGATGGTGAGCTGGAACATTCTATAGTTCACTATTTAGTGTGCCCCTCGGAGAGTGCTAACGGAAAGATGTCGTTGTTCGATGTGGTTGGTGATAGGGTTCACCTTTGATCGGGTATTTCCTTCACCCACGGGCCAGGCCGAGATTTTTGACTTTGGTGTCAAAGGGATCGTGGAAGGTGAGGAACTTTGATATCAGATTGAATTGTCGATGGTTTGGCTGATCAAGAGGCTGGCTTGTGGAGATAGATGTCATGGAGGGCTTCAATGGAACCTTGTTCTGTTACGGTCAGACAGGAAGTGGAAAGACTTTTAGTAAGCTCGGATTTAGCTTCGAAGTGAATACCGGACGAAAGCTCATCATGTCGAATTCTTCAACAGCCATGATGGTTCGCCCTGTCGATTGGACTTTGTGAATGAATCGCGAAGCTAATCATTCGACTCACGATAGGGAGCAGACATCGATAACGTCGAATTGAAAGGTCTGATCCCACGGATAACGGAACAGATCTTTGCCTCTATCGCTGTAGCCGATGCCAACGTCGAATACACGGTCAAGGTCAGTTATATGGAGATCTACATGGAGAGAATCAAAGATCTATTGGCACGTGAGTTGCGGCAGTGACGGCGCTTCTTTGGGCAAATGGGCACTGACGAATGACGAGCGAATTATAGCCGCGAATGACAACTTGTCTATCCATGAGGAGAAGAATCGAGGGGTATACGTCAAGGGTCTCACAGACGTATATGTCGGATCCGAGATGGAAGTGTTCGATGTGATGAAGGCTGGAGCGAGGAGTCGGGTCGTCGCTAGTACCCGTAAGTAGATAGATTTGACGAATCAATTTCACGGGTTTAAGGTTGATCAACGATCATGTTGTTTTCAAGAAATGAATGCCGAATCGTCACGATCACATTCAATCTTCTTAATCGCGATTCATCAGCGGAATGTAAATACGGGAAGCCAGAAGAGCGGGAACCTATATCTTGTCGATCTGGCTGGTAGCGAAAAGGTCAGTCGGTGTGCATGTCAAACGCTTGTCAGCCAGACGACTGATCAAGCAGGGTTCTGCAGGTCGGCAAGACCGGCGCCAGCGGTCAAACATTGGAAGAGGCGAAAAAGATCAACAAATCGCTATCCGCTTTGGGGATGGTCATCAATTCATTGACGGACGGGAAATCGAGCCACGTGCCATATCGTGACTCAAAACTCACAAGGATCTTGCAAGAATCTCTCGGAGGCAACTCACGGACGACCTTGATCATCAATTGCTCGCCGGCAACTTACAACGAAGCAGAGACGCTCGGGACATTGCGATTCGGGATGCGGGCCAAGAGTATCAAGAACAAGGCTCGGGTGAACACGGAAATGAGCCCGGCAGAGCTGAAGATCCTCTTGAGCAAGACCAAGGGCAATCTAATGTTTGTCGAGAGTTACCGGGACGCATTGCTTGGAGAAGTCGGAGTGTGGCGAGCAGGAAACAAGGTTGAGGAGAGCGATTGGGCTACAGAGGACAAAGTACGGATGTTGATGGGAAGCGGGACTGCGACGGGTACCGCATCTGCGTCAACAAGACGACCCGGTTCGGCAATGGAAACCCTTGCCAGCCCAGGACTTTCCTCCAGTGTCACGAGTCGCGCTGGAACGCCGAACCTTTTGGATGCCTTCAAGGATCCGAGCGGGCGCGTATCCCCAGCTGGTTCAGCCATGGCCTCAAGGCTTGACGCCGACGAGAGAGAAGAATTTCTGCGAAGGGAGAACGAGTTGAGTGATGCACTTACGGAGAAGGAGAGCAGTCTTGCCACGCAGGAAAGGCTTGTACAAGAGTTGAGAGCAGAGCTGTCGGGAATACGGGAGGACTCAAAAGTAAGATTCATGTCAGCGCGTAGCCAAGAGGCAAACCGATCATGTTGATCTTTTTGCGTAGGCACAAACAGCCCTACAGCTTGAAGTGAGCGAACTCCGGGCAGTGCAGGCTCGGTTGGAAGAGGAAGTCCGTGAGAACGGAACCAGTCTGGACGTCGCTCGAGACAAGGAAGGTGAACTCACCGCAGAGTTGAAGGCACTGAGGCTCAAAGTGGAAGAGTTACAGTTGGCAAAGGCGACTGCTGTCTCTGATGACCGGGAGAAACGAAAGGCAGAAATGCTGTCCGAGATGATGGCGAAGATCGAGACCGTACGTACAGCTCGACGGAGTTATGATGCTTGTCGCTCACCGTCTAGACGTACAACAGGGTGGGAAATCGTCCGAGACCGGTTTAGAGGCGCTTCAGTCGCTGCTTGTCCGTCTTGATGGTGGAGCAGCCGAGGCACGTCCGGCTGAATTGTTATCGGAAAGCAAAGATGTCATCCGGCAGCATCTTCTGGTATCCCAAACCGCTCAGAGAGATTCTCAAGACCGTCTTCGTCGTCTTCAAGACGATGTCGAAGTTCAACAGCAGAGGCGAGAGGAACTTGAACGTATTTTGGTCGAAAAGGATGCAGCATATGAGGACCTGCTTGCCCAGCAGTCGATGGAAGCGCTTGGTCCTGCCGTTGTCGATGACATCAAGGTATGCTAGGCCTTGATTACTGCCTGATAAATCGTCACAAGCTCACCCTACATATCATCTTAGGCTCAATTCGAAGCTCAGTACGCTTCGAAACAGAGCCTGATGGAAGTCGAAGAAGCCGCGCTTCGCAAGCGTATCGAGCACCAGGAGGACGAGATTGTCAGGTTGCACGATACGATCGAGGACCAAACCGCGTCTATCGACAACCTCAATGTAAGATTTGGCTATAACGATTCAGCTGGTATCAGTACTGAGATTGCGTTGACACATTAGCGACTATTGGCGGAAGCCACCTCCGGGGTTGAAGGGGGACGCGAATTCGCTCAAGCGGTACAAGAGCTCGAGCGCACCAAACGCTCCTCAGAGCTGCAGCAGGCCGAGTTCGAGTCCGTCAAGAGGAATCTCATGCGCGATGTTACTGATCGATGTGAAAAGGTACGTTGAGCGGTCGATAGCCCGGTTGATGCAGCGGTTCCTCTGATGTTGCAACCTTCCCAGGTCATCGAGCTACAAATGCAGCTTGACGAGTACAAGGAGAAATACAAGGCCATCGCCCGTTCCACCAACATCAAGGCCCAGCTTAAGCGGGCTCAGATGCTTGAGTACAACATGTCTCAAATGGAAGATTCTCAGCGAAGGGTACGGGCTCTGCTTCAAGATTGTTGAGGCCTTATGCTGATTCTGCACCCTTTTCAGCTGGTGCACCAAAACACGCAATTCAAGCGAGAGCTTAATGCCGCCGAGCGGAAACTGTCGGAACGTCGCGAGCGAATCATCAACCTGGAAGAACGCGTTGGCGACTACGAGGAGCTGAAGTCAAGAGAAGATGAGATGGTTCATCAGATTCAGCTGTTGCAGACCCAATTGGCCCAGGCGGCAAGACAGCCTCTGCTTCCCAATGCTATAAATGCTGGCAGGATCGCGAAACCCATGCGAGGCGAGTTGAATCTTGTGCTTATGTAACATTCGCGCCAGCCATTGACTGTGTTTTTTTCCTGCAGGCGGAGGCGGTATCGCCAACATACAAAACGAGCCGGCTGCCCCAAGCGCTATCGCATCGAACACGAAGCAGCGACTTGCAGATGATATTGGTGGCACAAGTGAGTGACATTTCCTTCCACAGGCGGCTCCAATATCAAGGTGTTGACGATTTATGTGCAAATTTTTCAGTGAGGCGACAGAGCTGGTTCATGCCGACAGCAAGAGGTAACAATTAGATGCACCATGACAAGATTCTTGACGACAAACACGACCCTTCTTGTAGCTCCGAACGGAACCACGTATGCATTAGAGATGACAGTTCGTGCTTCTATGCACAAGGTTGGCTCGCACGACGACATTCCGTCTGTATGGACCATGTGCCAGCTGACATGTAAACGCTGCTATAAGTTCGAGCTCATTCGAGGTGCATTGCATCAGACCCACCCATAGACATCACTCGCTGAGCAGAGAACAGGTCGAAAAGGTCGTCCATTTTTGCGAGGTGCTGCCGGCAAGATCTTCCACGACTCGATAAGCCTCGGTCCACATGCTGTTGCACGAGCGAGTCCGTTCGTCAGATTCCCTTTGGGTGCCCCCCGCTTGAGTCATGCTGAATCGACCCTCGGTAACAGAGTCAGGCTGACTGTTGTTGATCGACAATTCAAGTGCGGAGTAACGACAAAAGGGTACCAGCTTGATTAGCAGTAATCACGGGAGTTGATGGAGTAGAAATGAAATGAGAGAGAGACGGAACTGGACTTACCCTTGGGCCTGGCGTTGGACTTTAGAGGTGAGAGCGCTCACGGCGGCGGATTGAGCGTGGGCGGGAGTCTCAGGATGGCTGTTGGTCGACAAGTACACAGGACGATCAAAAGGGTAAATCTTTGGTTCCAGGGGACGTGGATATAAGGAGACTTGTCTCCTGGATGTCCCCAAGTCTCTAGCGCTACCGTCTGGCTTCTGGCTCGGAGTCCGGATGTGGCTTGCTTCTGAAACGCGCTGCCAGTGACATCCTTGCCCCCTTGTACTAGAATACTGCGGGACCTGAAGAACTTGGGGATTTGTTTCCTGACCATCTTCAGAACCCGATCGTTGGCAAAGATGATGAGAATGGAAGGAGGTGCCTTTTGGAGAATGGCACAGGTGGTACTATCTTGGTATATTGATCTGTGCGATCGAGTGCCTACTCCGTTAGCGATTTGTTCAGGAGACGTTGCAAAGCCGGGCAACAACTGCGGAACACAGCAGCCTGAAAGGCTGTGCTGTATATCAATGCAATTCGTACGACGAGATCCGCCATCGCAAGCCCAAAACGTTCAAGGTCCTAGCAAGGCAATGATTTCGGGTTAATCGAAATGATATAGGGGTACAACTGCAGAAATGTAGCATTGATACAAAGGACGTATTATGGAGATGAAATCGAAATAAGGAATATAAAGGGAAAAAAGATCGCAGAAGCCAAGCGAAAAACCATAGCTTTCATGGCGATCGAAGTCGAGCGAGTATGTCGGCGATCAAACCTGGAACGTCATTTCTCGACACGGCCACGGCGACGCTCTCCTCGATATCGGCGATATGGTTCAACAGCTACATGCCAATATCAGAGTTGAGTTAGCGGTCCTACAACTTATAAGAGATCTGGATTGCCTTGCAAACGACATGGACGGAAGGACTCACCTTGGCGCGAGCCAACGTCTTCGTTTCCGGGTCATACGAAAGCACGATCTTCACAGCATCTGCCCCGTCGGTCAACTCTTCCCTCCCTCTCGACCCGGGCGCGAGAATGTATTCGAGCAAGATGTCGGTATCGGACAAGGGCTGCATGCTCTTTACCCCGTTGAGACCCTTGTAAACCGAGATTGCCGAGGTGTACCTGATCACGCCGTATCTTCAGCTTCAGGTGGCTGCTCGTAAACCGTTACGGCAAGCCAGGACCGGAACGTACCACCTGCACAACTCGTCCACTCCCCTATCGCCCTTCTCAGCCCCTTCCCTCGCTTCCCTCGCTTTGGCCTCCTCCCTGTCCCTCTCCCTACCCATCCTCTGGACCTCTTTGGCAGTACGTGCCAACTCTGCGCTGGCTGCCTCTACCTGAGAAGAGACGGCCTTTTGGTCCTCGGCCATGTTCTGCATGTCGGAGATCTGATTGTCAAGGATCGTCTCGGCTTGTTCGATGGTTATTCGCTGCGAAATTGTGGTATTAAATCGAGATTCAGGGGTATTGCGACGAAATTTGATTGGCTCGCACTCACATCCTCGAGAGGGTATTTGCTACGTAGCCTCGCGAACTCCAGCTCCAACTCTCTGATCTCCTTGTCCAAGTCCGATACTTCTTTAGTCTCTTTGACCATCTCCGCGTAGGCTATTCCGACGGAACGTGGCATCGAAAGTACGCATGGATGCAAAATGAAGCGATAAGTCAGCTCGTCATGTCTTAAGAGACTAGGAGGACACAGCACGATCGTAGCTAGTCGAGGACCGGCCCGAAGAGAAATGAGAGAGGAAGCTTGACTCACAAGCAGAAACGTCTCTGCCTAACGCTTCGTTCTCTTTCGTCAAACCTTCCAGGTCCGCCTTTACCTGTTTGAGTTGTGCCTTCTTTGAGGCGTTTGATATTTCTAGCAAAGTGACGCGTTATGAACATCGAGGTATTTCCGAACAGTCAGGCGATAGGGCAGGAATCATATGCATCGATCAAGTGATAGTATCAGTCTTCCGGACGTCCGCGTTTCATCCCCGATGCAGAGCTCGACTTACCGAGCTTGTCATTCTCCCGAGGTGCCAACACCCTTGGAGTCTCGCCGACGATCGAATGGGTAAACTCTGATTTGGCTTCTTGTTCGAGGTATTTGAATTTCAGTTTACGGAAAAAGTCCTGCGACGTGGTTTGGGGAGGTCCGTTGAAGTAGAATCAGCATCGGTATACTGTAGTCGATGACTAAGGCAAGTAGGGCGCCGCTGCTATGGAACCCCTGAGAGAGGAAGGATGAAGAGAGGCTCACCTTCTGAGGATTGACCTCCCATTGCACCTTGATAGGGTTCGTAGCGTCCATCATGCCCCCGCTCGTCCCGACCGTCGAATCCTTGAGGGTAGCATCGAGAAACTTGGTCTTGATCGCTTGGATGTGAAAGGGACGGTCGTTGAGCTCGGCGATCAACCTGGATCACCCGTGTTCGTGGTTCAGATATAAGTGAGAAGAGTAGGGGAAAGAGATCAGCGACGAGTATACAAGGAGTTGCTCTCGAGCGTGGATTTTAACTCGCTTGGCGATGTCTTCCTTTGAGTAAGGCTCTTCCGAAGCCGATTCGAGCTGTACGGGTTTCGCGACTTCGGTCATTTCGATGTTGAGGATTCCCGCTATATGTTACTGTGCTTGTCGAGTACGATCGATCGGCCCGTAGTCAGAGAGAGTCTAGTTGATCGTTCTGAATAGCAAGTGCAAGTGAGTGATAATTGTCAACAGCTGCTGGGTTGTTTACCAAGTCGAGGGGGGAGAGAGTAAGTCACGTGACAAACTCTGGTGGTTGATCGACATTCTATCCCTTGCAACTCGACATCAAAACAATCGAATCGTCATACCATTCATCGTCATCCAGCATCCAGATACATCCAGGTCGTTCGATGCCAAACGTTTCAAAGATCTACATCTAGCTGCATTAGCTAATCGAGATCTACCAGGCATCATGTCCAACACCTCCATCTCGGTCCACGTTCGTATCCGACCACACAAACCCTCGGATGGCACCTCCCACCCGGATGATGTCCTCCTGACCGACCGTACCGTCTCGGTACCGAGCGGGAACAAGCACGATCCGACGCAGAGGTTGAAGTTCAAGTTGGATGCCTGTCATGGTCCGGAGAGTACGCAGGAAGAGGTTTTCGAGAAGGTCAAGCCGATGTGAGTTCGGGGTTGCAGGCGAAGGAGCGGGATGGAATGTGTAGCTGAAGGGGTTGGTATTTGCATGATGTACAGTGTGGAACAGGTCTATCGAGGCATAGTAAGCCGAATTTGTGCTACTCTGATCGAGAAGCTCTGATGGCGAACCTGATCTCTGGATCTCGGTTCGCGATTAGAATACGACAGTCTTCGCCTACGGCGTGACAGGTAGCGGGAAAACGTGGACGATGCAAGGCGCACCGAAAGATCCGGGTGTCATTCCAAGAGTGGTCAAAGTGAGTCCTTGGCCCCCTCTACCAGACCTGATACCCAGTAAACTACCACTGAGGGTACTGTGAGATCAGACTGACGTTATATAATCGTTCCTTTGTTTCGCTTGCCCTTGGCTTTGTAGCACATTTTCAACAAGAAGTCTCGCCTAAAGAAATCCACGTTGAAGATCTCGTTTAGCTACGTCGAGATCTTGGTAGAGGAGGTTTATGACCTTTTGGTCGCCAGGAAGCCTGGGGAGGTGAGTTTGACGTGTCCAGCTGTATCTAGACATACGACAATTTGGTCTGTAGTCAAAGGCTAACAAATGGTACATTCACTAATGAATCTGCTCGATCCGCTCGCAGACTATGAAGAAACTAGACATCCGAACGACATCGACCGGGGAGAATATCATCGCGGACCTGACCTCGCACGACCTCTCTTCGTTACAAGAGTTCGAGGACCTATATCACCGAGCGGGATTGTCGAGAAAGACGGCAGCGACCAACTTGAATAGTAGTAGTTCGAGGAGTCATGCGATTTTGACGTTGAGGGTGGAGACGACCGAGGTGGCCGAGGGGAAGAGTAAGTGCAGAATTGGATCGGGGAGCAGTCTGAGAGAGCGGATGGCAGTAGGATGATGCAAGCTGAACAGGGCTAACGATTTCGGGTGGATTGGCGAAATATAGCGTATGTGGGGAAGATCTGTCTGGTCGACCTCGCCGGGTCTGAAGACAACAACCTGACCGGGAACGATCCTCAGCGGATGAGAGAAGTCAGTAAAGCAGCATGAATAGCCAGGAATCGTAATGTGCAATAAGGCTAACTCTGTGCTTTGATGTCGTCTAGTCATCTGCGATCAACAGGTCTTTGACAACCCTAGGAAACGTTGTAGAGGCCCTAAACAATGGGAGCGGAAGAATACCTTATCGGGATTCGAAACTCACCCGGATACTGCAAGGTACGCGAGCGTCACTGTAGATACGGGCTCAGGGTTCAACAAAGGTTGGAGCTGATCACGATACCAAGATAGATGCTCTGGGTGGAAGCTCGGTCGGCATGTTGATTTGTAATCTCGCACCTGGAGACAAGTATGCCAAGGATACGCTGAGGACGTTAAAGTGAGTGGTATATGAATGACCGTCCGGATATGATAAGCAGGTGTTGATGTTCTGTGACAGGTTCGCCACACGGACAAGAGAGATCGAGAACAAGCCGGTTGTCAACGAACGAGGTGAGAACGAAATCAAGATAGCCGACAGATCGATAGGAGTCTCAGGCTGAATGACCTTGTGATATCCGTCTTGCAGACGACCGAGTCTTGCCTCGTCCGCATTTCTCTGCACCGACACGGCCTATGATGAAGACATCGCTAGCACCGCCCGTCCGACCGGGCAGTGCGAAATGCATCCCTACCAACGCCGTTGCCGGACCCAGTCGACAGCCGTTGAGACCGTCTGTCGCACCGCCTCAGCAAACGCATGTTACTCTCGGCGAGCAGGTCCGCAGGGAAGCAAGGGAAGGCGGAATCACGTTGACCGAAGAGCAGCTGAACGATCGGATCCAGACAATCGTTAAGCAGGTCATGACCGAGCAAGCCAAGGCCGAATTGAAGCCCGTCGTCGAGGTCAAGCCGATAGCTGATCCAACTGCGGCAACGATCGAGAGCGCGCCGGACCCGGTCAGGCAGACTTCAGCTCGGGGAGGTAGCACTGTTGCGGTCGACTTGAGCAGTTTGACGGATGAGGAGATTAGGTCGAGAGCGAAGGTCTTGACCAATCTGGCCAGGCAGCACCACGACAAGTAAGTTTAGACTGCCTCACATACGGGATGGGCTACCGATGCTGATTTCATCACCATTCTAGGCATGAGCTGGAACTGGCGATCAAGTATTACAAGGAAGCCAGGGTAAGCGTTGTTGATGGTGACTGCAGGCGACGTCTGGTGGCTGATTCGAGCCGCTTGCAATAGGTATACATGCCGACCAACGATCGGCTGAATCGGCGGTGAGTCTCGTGTCGGCGATCAGCAAGTCTGACAGCGAGCTCATGTGCTCGGCGACTCTGACAGGATAACCGAGCTCGAACTGGCTCTACTGGGTCAAATGCCTATTCCTGACCGGGAAGGGACCAAGCCGACAACAAGCACGGCCTCGCCTGGTCAAAAGCGTAAAAGAGGCGAGATCCAGGCAGACGACAATGACAACGACGACGTTCCGACCGGGTCTACGAAAGCGCCACTCGAATCAGAGCAGGAAAAGAAGCCCAGGTTGAAACGCTCAAAAGCCAAGATCTCGTTGTCCGAGCTGACAGACGAGACGAAGGCAGAGGTCGGAGCGGTCGTCAAAAAGGTCCAGGTGCTGGGTGACCGGACTGTCCCGAACAAGGATTCCAAGCCCAAGCCATTGTCGGTCGTAAGCGCGAATGAGAAGAACAAACTCAAGCCGACGTCGATCTCGGCCAAACCGGAGAACAAGCTACCGGGAAACGTTATGGCTGTCAAGGCAAAGGCCGAGGTCGTCAAGATGATCTTTGATGAGGACAAGGAGAATGGCGGACCGGGACCGGCTGCCAAACGGACTCGACAGGTCAGAAAGCCTGTGGCGGTCTTGCTGGACGATAGTTATCAGCAGAGTGATGACGGGGAGGAGAGCGACGAGGTGAGGACATCCCCAATCTGATCTGATGATCTTCATCGAAGCTGATTCGGGAAGGGGCTCTGATTACGATACGACCAGTACATGCCAGAGGTGGTTGCTCGACGACCTCGACGAAAGATCGGAGTTCGGGCTTGAGGCCGGAGATGCGACTGCGAAAGGCCCAAGGGGTTGTGGCAATAACGATGTTTAACGATAATCTTTTCTTTTGTGTTCAATGATGGGTTCCACTGAGGAAAGGGTGTTGAGAAGCTACAGTATCGATACATGCTGATCTTGAGGAGGCCTGTTCGTCCTCCGCTCTTTCATGGTTCGTCGTGGTTCTTGTTAACGTGCGATCGGTGGTGATTCCTCTCGCCACTTCGATAATTTTCTTCCTGTCTGGCGGCGGGCCGGCAAATCCCAAAGATTCAATAATACCAGAGAGGATCATGGCGATGATCCGAACGATCCTATCGTCGTTCACCCGTCCTCGGCTCGATCGGTCGGAGAGGCATCAACGCGGCCGCCATCGTCCGTCCTTCTTCAGCTAAGAGGTTGAAGGTCGAACATGCGTTTCGCTATAGCCAGGTTTCGTATCGTGAGAGAATCATGCAAGATTTATCAACGCAGAATGAAGGCAAATAAATAGATCATAGATATATGTCAGTCGTCGCCATTCGAAAACGCAAAGAGTCAGAATAGAGCACGAGCTGGGGTACTTACGGAGTCCATGACGTCCAACTGGATGCCTAGGGAAGAGATGTACGATCGGAGTTCTGGTGGAGGCGGGAGGACGGTCGATCCTGTTCCTAAGAGGAGGATTTCTGCTTCCATAATCGCCGGATCGAGATACAGGTCAAGACGAAAGAGCTTCAGTGAACATCTCGTTAACGGAAACGAAACGAAGTAGACAACGAGCGAGACTCACCAGGCCTGGGCAAGACGGTCTCGAACACCTTAAACCTCTCGACACCCCATTCTCTCCAGACCGGTCTTCCACTGACCTTTTCCACAGCGACCGGGTCCACGTCCCAGAGAAAAGCACGATCGTCCAGGAAGATGACCCCGCCGGGGATGATCAGGCCGTCAGAGAGGTGAAAGCCCTGATGATTGAGTTTGGCGACTTGGAGTCGGGGACGAGCAGGGTCTGACATGTTTTCTGCGTCAAAGAGGTTGGTCAGACCTCCGGATGATGCGTAAGAGCGGGTTTGGGGGGTGAGGGGAGGGAGGGATCGGGCATGGTGTTGCAGCAGGGTCGTGGTCGTCCCAGGAGGAGGTAGGCGGAGGAGAGGCCGGGCTGAGCGGAGGAGACGGGGTGTGAATGACATCGTAGTGGTCGGCTGATTCTTTTGTGTTGTTGCTAAATACTCCGAATGACTCGACTTGCACTGAGTCGCAGAGGTGGTGTTTGACGATTATCATCATCGAGAACTGAATCGAGATCCCGAGAGTGTGTCACATGGTACCATCCTTGGCCTAACCCAGGGCCGGCTTCGCGGTAAAGTTGAACAAAACGCCAAGGGTCCGATTGGGTCGGAGGACTCTACAAGTATATAACCCCTAAGCATGATATCTCGACTCATATACTAACCCCCTCCCACTTCCCGTCAATCCTACCATACTGAACTTCAGCCGTAATAAATATACCTTAACACTATGCCTATCGCTATACCCAACACCACCCCCGCCCCCGAACAGACCTCGGGGATGGAGACGCTCCAGGTAGCCGACCTGGACGTCTACCGTGATCCGGCTAGCTCGGAAGAGGCCAAGTTGGCCGAATGTAAAAAGGTCAGGCCCGTGTTACTCTGTCTAGTCTGGAATGGGATGGTCTGCTAACCAGTGTAGTGTGAATATTATTGGCAGGCCGCCGAGAGCTTGATCGTAAGCTCATGGTCATATCCTCTTCTCAGCCTAATCTAACCGAATCCTCTTCCCCTGGGTTCTTCTCACCACGCCGGGACATCTCAGCTCACTGGAGCTCTTATCGTCCGAGATTCTCGGGCTACCGAACAGGCCAACGAGACCTACCTGGACATGCTCGAGGATTATTTCGCTCAGGAAAAGGAGACGTTGGAAGAGGACTTACGGCCCGAGTTGGGTTATCAGGTGGTGAGTCCCCCCCCCGCGCGCGCGCAAAGATAGGGAGGGGGTCGGGGGAGATGGCCGAGAAATGATCTTGCGCTCGGGTTGACCCCTGACCGTCATCACGTTTCATGTCAGTACATCATCCACTGACACCCTATCTTATCCTCCCGCTAACCCACAGGGCGCAACCCTGGAAGACACCGAGAAACCCTCTTGCAAATCCGTGACCAAATGCACCGACATCATCGCCGCCCTCCCCGCCTCTGAACGTCCGTTGGACATCACCGGGGCCGACCCCAAGTGCAGGTTCTTCTGGAAGATGTCGGATCAGAGGACCACGGAGGCCGAGGCGGAGAAGCAGAAGGCCAAGAGGGGAGGAGAGTTCAAGTTGCACGACGCGCCGAACGTCGTACCGAGGGCTTTTGAGGGCGTCTGGGAGGGGAGGATGGAGGATTGGGGGGTCAAGATGAAGACGGCGTGAGTTTCGGTCGTGACCGTGCTTTCGTTGCAGGAAGGCAAGGTGAGAAAGGATCTTGGCTAACGAGCTGTCATGCATGGGCTTATAGCGTCCAGGGGGTCGGGGAGATGTTGTCCGTCGGATTGGGGTTGGAGAAGGATACCGTGAACGATGCCGGTCGATACGGGTGAGTCGATCGTCTTCCCCGCCTTGTTTACTTTGCCTTAGGACTAACCGGTGCTGAGTCGGATATTGCTAGATCGCACCTGTTAGCTCCTACAGCGACCGACCTGCGTAAATACGGGAAAGAGGGCGAGTGAGTCTGACCTTCCTCCGCATACAGAATCGGATCTTCTTGCTTATTCTATTTCTTTGGGACCCGGTTTGGAATAGGATCTTCGCTGGGTAAGCCACACGCGAGCCCGTCGCAAAGGTACCTGAGTCGAACTGGTTGATTAATAGGAATTTTGCCTGTTTTCGGGAGATAGATTCCATTCGGATATGAACTTCTTGACCATCCACGGTCGCTCTCGAGTAAGTGGTATTAAGCCTCTCCCACTTTTGCATCTGATTCGAGATCATTGGCTGATACTATAATCACGGTCGTCCATTTTACGTTCGTGCGTCATTAGTACCCCGGCCTCCACATCTGGGCCCGAAACAGCGGGAAGAAGATCGCCGTCAAGGTTCCTCCCGGGTGTTTGTTGGTCCAGGCAGGGAAACAGTTGGAGGCTTTCTCCGGGGGTTTGGTCAAAGGTCAGTTTTCCGCTTGGTATGGACAATGATTCGGATCTGTTGGCGGATGGGCGAATGGGGTTCGAAAGGGAAGCGAAGGTTGTGAAGGTCCGGACAAAAAGCTGATACGGAAGGTGGTTCGCAGCTGGGTATCATGAGGTCGTCTGTACGGCTGCTACCGTCAAGGTGAGTCGCAACGGAGACGGAACGGTAGACAAAACGACCGCTGATGGATCTGCGCATCTATAGGCCATCGAGAATATCAAGGCCAACAAGCCTGACAGGCCGTTGATCAGGATCTCTTCCACCTTCGTAAGTCCCCGCCCCCATTACTAGTATCTCAAGCTAGACCTCGCCTAATCGACCCGCGGGCTCTGAACGCAGTTCTACCACCTTTCCCCTGAATACGAGCTACACGGACTCCCGGAACTCGTGAAAGAGGCCGAGAGGCGATTCGGCCCTCAGGACGACTATGGTCGAATGACGGTGGCTGAGCAGGTTCAGAGGGAGTTGGGGATGATCGCTCTGTACAAGGAGTAGACGCTTTCGGTGTTAGTGTGAGAGGGTTGTATTTGGACGTTGTATATACTAGGGTGCGCTGTGACAATACGCAGATGTTACAAAGTCTATAGTACAAAAGTCATTCTGTTCCGATCGTGAAGTTTGAGGGATCTGCCTCCGTTGATGATCGCCAGCCACGATTGGCGCTCACCAGATGAAGCCGGAATTCGGCTTCAAGGCTTCTTCTCTTTGCGCTTGCCAATCTTCAATAGGAAGGTCAACAGCGAGAACGACCGACGAGAGCTGTGAACCCTCCTGTCGTTGTCTCCTGTGACGGCAGACGCAAAAGTGGGATCATATTCTGGCCGTTGGAAACTCTCATCTGGCTCTTCTGAGATGCTTGGCAGGTCGCGCTCAGTCAAGTCCATAGATCGACCGTCGTTCGAACTTGAATCGTAGATGTTGATCGTCCGATCGTCCCAAGGTCGTGCTATGATGATTTCCTCACGTCCAGGCATCGATGATTCCCGGAGCATGAGGCCTTGACTTTTGAGATCGTCGATCCTTGAAGTCTTGAGCGCCTCCAGGAAGTGAAGCTGTGTGGCCGGACCCAGGGCGTCTTTCGGGTTCTTGGAAATAAAACACGTCCATTCAGTCGATGGGTACGATCCGGTGAGACGTTGGGGGCTCAAAGCCATTTTGAGCTGGATCGTACTCGCGAGCCCTGTACTCGAAGAGTCCTGCTGGGTCTCGAGGTAAGTCGAATCCAGTTTTTCGGTGATGTGTGCATTTGGCCCAATCCTCGATAGGGTCTTTTGCACAGCCTGATCTTTGGAACTGCTGATCTCATCGATCCAAATCTGGAAGATCAAGTCCACTCTGTCCATGCTGGCCTTCCTGAGCACCTCCGCCATCCTCAGGAACTGATCGTCCGCAGCATACGCAATGACAAGGCACGCAAGTCCACTCTTCAAGGTGATAATTTCGGGAAGTGCGAGCATTGATGGATGGATGATTTGAGGAGGAAAGACGTTCGAAATGGATGTTTCATGCAAGCAAGAAGTTTACAGGGAGGGATTGAACTTTAATTCTCGGTAAGTATGATATATATATATGGTATAGCTTGTAACAGGAAAATGCTGAATGGCGCAACAGCGAACTTCGCTAACAAAGGAATAACCAAAGAACGAAGCTTCTCGGCCAGGTGGAGCTGTAGTCGTTGCAGTCCTACGGACCGGCTAGAACAAAGGGGCCTCAACACAATACTGATCTACGAGTGGACGATCTTCGTAGCTGATGGTATGGCCAGACACACAGCGCAATAGGGCAGAGTATGGAATCATTACCCCGTGCTTCGCGCGACCGAAGAGTCATTTGCCACGGATAATGAACAGAGAGAAGATTCCGCCGGGTTCACTCGGCTGCAAATCTTTTCCAAGTCGAGCTACGGCTTTAACTCTCGGACAGCGGCAATGTGGCCTCGGGGCCGGCGATGTAGTCTCAACATCCTGTGCGCTCGACGAGACTGCCATTTTGTAAATTAGCTGTCCTCAACAGCAGCTTGACACGATATGAGAAGGAGTCTGTGGAGGCGCCCATAAAATACCTCGTAGAACTTCCGCGATGTGATAGGTTCACCTTGAAGATGCTCTGTTTGGATCACCTCCTTCTGATACGTTGAGACCTGTATCAAACTCTATTGGTCGGAGCGATAGCTCCGCGTAAAGTCTTGAGAGAAAACGAGATCAAAAATACCCACATATCCAGCCAGCTTCCTCTCGAGCCGGATTGGAGGCGTATATGACCGCAAAGAAGGCAAACATAGGTAAAGTTCCTCTCACGACTATATCGCACGCTAAGGAGAGCCTGAGCAGTATCAGACAACGGGGTAGAGATGCGGGACTTGGTGGCTGATGAGTGATTGGGTCGTGGAGAAGCGAACAAAGAGAGATTTATAGCATGGCTATAAACGGGCATAACATCACGCTCTACGGCATACAGACATCACTAAAGATTCGTACATACAGCTCAATGAGGGATATTTCGCAGGCATATTCACTTTCAAATGACATGCTAGTCGATGCAGGAATTTGACCATTCAAGATTTCTTGGCCTTCCCCCGCATGCCCTTCAGCCAGGAGGATAAGCTAGAACCGTGAGTTACAGCCGTTCTTGTCTCTGCTGAATCAAGTACTGAAGTGGGTTGGGAACCCATACGCACGATGGAGACGAAACCAATGGAGACAGGCGAACCGCTATAGCTTGTGCTTTGAACAGGTTTCCTGACGACCGAGTCATCTCCATGCGCGAACTCGCTATGGATCGTCATGGCTGGGCGTGAGCAGGAGAGTTGGCTGAGAGCGCTTGATCCCTCCATCTCACTATCACTGTAATTTGCTGGGATAATCGATTGATTGTGGGAAGCAGCGCGGGAAAGCCGTTCATGGCAATATTCCAGAGATCTACCGAATGACCTAAGAAGCCGGGTTTGTAGATCATGGCTCAACATGACCGTAGGTTTTCTGCTGTCGATGTAGCATATCCATTGCGACCATGCGAGGTGTCGAGGAGCCTGGACTATCAGCTCGTCGCCGGCAGGCTTCTCGACATCTCCGCGAATCTCCTGCTGTGTCATCGAGATCAGCGGACCTGCGCGTAGAGCAAAGGTCTGAACCAACTCAAGTTTAATCAAGCTGGAATCTGCCTTCGGTGCTTCCCACACCCCGCGAGTATGATTAAGAGAGTAATCAGTACCCCTGAAAGGCTGCATCCGTAAATCCTCATCAACAAGCACGATCGGGCTGTCATGAAGCGTTGCATTTGATCCGTGAGAACTCAGCCAGGCGCGCGTTCTTCGAAGCGCATCTGTGTTTCTCAAGCAATCCTTCCGTTCATCGATCCAGTGCTGAAAGATAGCTTCAACCCTTTTGGGGTCTTTCGCATCCTCCACCAATCCCAGACTAGGATGGCGCTCGGCTTCGAGGACAACCAGGCACAAGATGCCGTTGTTCAGCGTGACGATTTCTTCTCGAGTAGCCATTGTCGCGAATGGGAATTCAGTATCTCGAAGAGTTTGTGAAGGAAGGGTTGTGGCCCGAACTCGAACATAAGAGAGCTCAGAAGGGGATCAGCCTCAGTAAGGCTACCATATATATCCTTCCAAATTGGATGTCTTGATCAGCTCATCAGGCAGTTAATAATGACTCCGCTCATAAAGGAGACAACCTATGAAACGCGCTTCACCTCTCCATAAAGCGGGATCGCCAAAGGGTTCAAGGGATATATCGATTGTGCATTTTGTGATTATCACGCAATGAGATGATGTAATATTATACCAGCATAGCAGCAGTATGACTTACAACTTGAAACGTTCATACAAAGGAAAACGACATACCTTACATACAGTATCTGCCTGTTATAAAGCTACGTGATGAACACCTTTCGTAATCGGCTGAATGAGCACTGTTCGCCCGTTCGTGGACAGGTCACAAACACCCCGTTGTGTTCTTTTGCCATGGCTCGTAAGGCCTGCGGGAAACAAGTCAGCATTCAGCGATTCCCATGAAAAGCTGGGTAGATTCGACTCACATTGTACGAGTAAACGTAACCGTTAGGGAAGGCCATCGGGTAATTCGTGTCGTCCATCACCTCGCCGCTGATCCGACAGACAAGCGTCGAGTTGACGTGATGCGAGAACGGGACCTCTCTAGCCAAGATGCTCAGATCCTTGGCACAAGTCGGGCAATCGATATTGCGCTGAGGATGTTCGGGGTGGTCGTGCAGCGGCGTAGGATCCGTCATCATCGGGAGTGCTGGATCGATGGTAGTCGAGTCCATGACATGGACCGGCGGAGCAGCTGCTAGGGAGGGGATGGAAAGGACCATGGCCGTGTTCGGATCCTGAGGTGGAATCTCGGAAGGCTGAGAGGGCGTCGCATGCGGTGCATTTGGGAGACATGCAGAGAGCTTCAGTGTTGACAATCCGGCCGAGACAGCGAGCGAGAGCAAGGGTAGTGATGTAATCCCGTAGACGCTGAAAAAGGTATCTTTGAATTGACTGCGCAAGCCTTCCCATCGCTCATCACTGTACATCGCCTGGAACCGACATCGACCGCTCATTAGGTTTCCCTCATCCGTTTTCGTGATCATCAGCGCGTGAACTCACCTGATACATAGTGACAGTTGTCCAACTGGGAAACGCCAACAACCCCATCATTCCCGTAATCTCCTGGAAATGCGTCTCCGCCCATTGTGAAGCCAAATGCTTCCTAGCGTACGCCAAGGCTTCGTTACGTTTCCCTGATCGACAGAGTTCGACGTATTCTTGTCTCCGAAGGTGGAATTCTAGGTCGTTCTACGCAATGTCATGGATCTCCATCTTGTCAGCTCTCGAGCAGATCGAAAATTATCGGCGTGTAATAAAGCTGACCTTGGTTTTCCTCAAAGTTCCACGGTTCTCTCCGCACCAAGCCAAAGCCTCTGAACAGCTCTTCTTGTCTACCATCGCCGATTCGATCCTCGCACATTCTGCATAGAGCGGGATATCCACATAGGCCTTAACACCCGTTTCCATTATTGTATGTAAAAGCAAAAGCGAAAGCGAGAACGAAAGTTCAGCCTAAGAGAAGCTGTTGGAAGAGAAATGGGAAGCTGACCTCGATCCCCTGTTCCCGGGCCCAGGTGGAGGCGGTCTCTCGTTTCCCGGTCCGCAGAAGGTATTCAGTGATCAGTCGATCCAGCCTCGTCTCGGTAAACCTGTTATACAAGCAACATAACAGGCGTCGGCAATAAAGCCTTTTGAAAAAGATTGCTAGGCATGTGGAGAGGAGGAAACTGGGATTCCGGCTTACTTGCGATACCCAGGATGGTCATCAAAGATGGGAGCGGTCTCTAATTCTTGCATATCTTTGAGGATTTGGAGTCGGGATTTGAGATTTGATGACGAGCTGCCGATGGATGAGGAGGATGCTGAGGGTTGGAGTTGTTCCAGCTTTCACAGAATCGTTGTATCGAAACAGAAATAGATCAGCTGGTTTGTTCGTAAAGAGCCGTGATGATGGGAGGTACCTTGCGTTTGAGGCCGCTTATACGGTCTTTGGCGGCTTGAATCGTGTTCAGGACTTCTTCCCCTGATCGTTTCTCTTTCGTCTTCAAAAGAGTCTTGAGAGACGACTATCCATAGTGTTAAAGAATCATACAAAGCGATGAGCCGTGCTGAAGGCAAGCTCGATCACAGGAAAAGCAGAGGGACTGACCTGCACACCGGTAAAGTCCCTCTCGACTTGTCTCTGTGCGGCTCGGTGATTTCGCCTCATCAGCTCATAAGGGATCTATGCCATAATCACAATGGATGTCAGTGAAGAAGACTAAGTGTAGATCTCATCTCAATATTCACCCTAATGGTAGGCTCCTCGAGCATCTCGGCAGCGGCCTTGTCGAACTTGCGTTCGATCAGGGTCGCGTGCATCTTGATAGCAGGTGGTAGTAGCCGTTCAAGGACAAGATCACTTATGTTCCGATGCAACGAGCGAATGCAAATAATGCCCGCAAGGTGTAAGCTAATGACGATAAAGACCCCAATGATCTGATTCTCAGCTATATCAGCACGTAGAATGGCTCGATGATTATAAGCTTCGCTGAATCGTCATCCTCCGTCGGACATTCCCGGGAGCCAAGGGGTAATTAATTGTTCATCCGCGGTGCGTCGCGTCGTGTCGTGTTTACGGCAGAAAAGCCTCCCTTGGTGAACTCTAATCGACATCTTGCGCCATCGTGGATCGCATGATGCGACTGGTCGTCAGGTGATCACGAGCTACAAAGTCTCTCACAGGTCGCCACTCCTTTGTGTTGGTTCTCGGTATCTCGCCACCTCTAGTCTGTGTGTTGACATAAGAGAGCCCATTCGGGAGGTGGTAAGCTGATGTCGGTCGCGTCTCCGGAATGACGGCCCATCGAAATCTGACCCAGCAGTCTCGCGGCAAATCGCACAAATGGACAGACAATTCCCCATCATTGATCCCAACATATGTATGCACATTGAAGAAAAGCGTGATTTCGATCTCGATCCCCGTCTCTGGTCTTCCCTTCCAAAGGCAATGGGCCGCGAGTTTCGAGAACGCTTGCAAGATTCCCCCACTATACGTTACGACCCTACAGAACTCGCCCGTCTCGCAGCGGTAATCAGTGAAATCCATCATGCAAAGTCTCATGTGGTGACCAACGGGATGGTGGTCGTCGCAGAAGTCGGTGCTGAACTGTTTCGACTCGGGGATTCGCAATCCTACCAGATTCGCGTTTACCTCAGTCGAAGGCTAGCAGCGCCTAAAGGAGTACACTGTGAGGGCAAGCCAAGGGACGATTGGACTGGTACACGTTGGCAATACTTCTTGGATGAGAAGTGTGAAATTGTCCCGTGGCCGGACCCATCTACATTAGGACGACTGGTACGGGTGACAGAACCGGTCGATCCGCACGGACCTTGTCTCGACGCGATTCAGAGGCTCGAAGCACAAGTCAGTAACGCTTTGACATCCATCAGCAACACATCTGAGTCCGCCCAAACTGAGGGCGGCGGAACAGTCGCCACCGACGTCCCATCCTACATCGACTATAGTGTGGGCCCTTCTGACGATGAGGCAGATCTCAACACTTCTGCGCCTCCGACCATTGGAGCTGAAAGGCCGAGTCACAAACGCTCGATCAGCAATGCTGGACAATCAGACGACGGATCTCGAAGTTCGAATGGCAAACGGCCGAAGCAAGAGGAACAGGACTAAATTGAACCAGTATGATATAGCTGTGGACGTCTGGGAAAAGAAAGGACAATTTGCTCAGAATTTTGTTGCAATACTATGATCGTTGCCCATCGCTTGTCATCCTCCTGTACATATAATCGTTGTTCCCCTCTCGTATAGGCCTTATTCAAGTCCAGTCTGGGTGCTCTGGTCGGATCAGTTTCTCAACGATATCCATGATATAGCTCAAGATCGATTTACAAGAGGTAATTAATGTCGCTACACCGACATCCAGGTCATGGCAAAACGACTGGTTCAACTCAAGATCGCGCCATAGTGCGCCATCATGAGCCGCGTCCGCTGTCATACCACACTGCGCTCGTCAGCTGATCATATCTTGTATGTCGTCGTTACTCCTTTCATATGCTTCTCAGTGGGTTTGCCACTGCAAATGCCTATAAATATATATAGGGCAGATATGGGCGGGCCAGGTTGGGTCGACCCATGATTTCTCACGAGCGACGCAGCGACCAGCATCAATCCAAACTTCCAAGCAAAGGCGGCACCATGCCTCGTGTAAAAAGACCCGATCCCGTCAGGCTGTGGGATCATGACCTGAAGTGTACCAACCGGCGTACCGATCCAGCTCCCCCTTTCCCCCCTCAAGTTCCTCATAAACTGGTTGACGATCTCCTGTATCGTTTGAAACGGATTACCGTCGGATATCTCCAGCAGAAGGAGCTTGACACTATCACTAAGGAAATTAACACAAGGTACCGTGATGAAATGAAACAAATGCAGTTCAGAGACTGGAACCAGACTATCGACAAGATATCTGCCGAACTGTGCGAAAAGGATGGTTGGGGATCCCGCATGGTCAAGGTCTCAGTCGAACAGTGGGAGGTAAAGGTTCTGGGAGAGATTGACTGGGACGAGATAGAACAGCAGCACGGACCCAGCACCAGCACCTGGTGTTTCTGGTTATCCGAGAGTCTTGTACCTGCTTTGCAACCCGACATTGGAGCCGGCAGCCAGCTCGACAGTTCCCAAGAAGTAGCTAGCCTGAAGACCGAGAACGAGCAACTTAGGGAGCTTTTGTCTCAAATGCTCGAGAGGACAAAGTCTCTGGAGACCGAGCTCCATTCCACAAGAACAACCCTTGCTAAGATCAGTACTCTATGCTCTACCAGGTAAGACCTCGATATGGACACGAACGGGGAAATCCGAACTCTTCCTGTGTCAGTGTACACATCCGACGCTAGTACTTGCACGTTGGAAAAGTCTGGGCCACGATCCAGAAAGAAGAGGTGTCGTACCTAGCACAGGTAGCTGACTTAGAAAAAGAGTGATTCTTCCGAAGAAAGACGATTGACCCATGTTCTTGTCCTGGCCATCTTTTGGGCTTGTCTCCCGCTTTCCAGTACAAACTCTTTTCTTCGTGGCCATAATCAATGTCTCAGCTTCCCAAGGCTTTGATTCATACTGATCTATGCGCAAGCTCGTTCGCCACATACAGAAGTATGTCGATAAGCCACGGCTGGTGTCAAACAATATGGCTGGGACTACCTTGATCCACTCCCATCGCGGTCGTCCAACAATACGAACGATTCTATTCTGAGAACAGATGCTGATATGCTCATGATGATCTGCTATAGCGCAATAATGACTCGATTAGGCGTTTCCGGCGTGATAATAGCTGTGCATACTGTATTGCGATCCCGGTTATGTTCGATTGTGTGTTCATAAGGCGCCGGGAGGAAAAAAAATTAAGGCGGACTTGGCCATGAACGGGTACAAGGGAAAAGAGTATGACAGCTATAGTTAGGTAACATAACAAATTGAGACTGATCGGCCTTATTCAGTCACTGATGCAGATGGCCGCTCAGTAAAAATGGTAAGCGACACGAAGGAGCGCAGATTTTGCGCAGTAACGATGACGTGACTGTTCTGATGACCTTTTCAATGTAACGTTCAGCGATACAACGGCACGTGATGCCACTGACACCATCGATGATGTCGCAAACTACCATCACGCTCTTCATTTCCGACTTTTCCCGACGTCTAGAAATCGGTTGCTAAGCACGCTGCGTGAACGGTTTCCACTAGCTGCTTCTCGCCTAAAGGCCATTGTGTGCTGTCACGCAATATGATACTGGTCAGCTGAGCATGACCCTCACCATCGTCGCCTTCCTTTGTTTTGCTTCTCGGTGGATTTGCCACTACAGATGACTATATATACAGGATGAGTGTGGAAGGAATCGTAACGAGACCTAGGGCTAGAATAGGTGATCTTCTCAATCAAAACTCTGCACCTGTACCCCTTCCCTCACAGAGCCCCAAACGTACGACTATGGACACCACGCACAGAGCTCCTCCTTCTCAACAGCTAACTCACACCCTCTACTGAAAGTATAGGCTCCCTGGGCGGCCTGCCAATCAGTCTGAATTCCCTCAAACGTTGGCTGAAGATTTCTTGAAAGCCTTGAGGAAAGATGACAATAGGTATCTTCATGCACTGGATATCTACAAGCTAGGACTTGAGGTTAGCATGCAGTACCGTACTGCTCAAGAAGCTGAAGCATCGTCTTCCGAGATTCGCACTACCAACAGAATCACTGCGATTCTGTATCAAGTGGGCGACAGTGGCCCTTTGATGTTCAAAGTGATCGTTAATCAGTGGGAGAAGAACATTATCGAGAAAATGAACAAGGATACTCTGGATCAGCTGGACATCGCGCATGCGAATGGCTATGGGCCTAGCGATTGTATCTGGTGGTTCTGGGTATCTGCGAAGCTACAGCCCGCAGATCCTGTGGGTCTGGAAATGAACCCGGTGATGCGAATGATGCCACCCGATTACAACTCCGGAAGCCTCACTGGCTCCTTTACGGAGACAATCCCGCCATCTATGCGTGATACGTCATATTCTACCCGGTATGGCGGCACGAGCAAGCAATCTTCGAGGAGGACGAACCCGTCTGTGGGAAGCGACGGTATACCTTCGAAGCGGAACAAAAGGTTTGGCGACATCATCGGTGGAGTACAAATCGGTGGGATGAGTGGACAGATCCATCCTCAAGAGGAAGCAGGGACCGTGAATTCGGATTCGGATTCGGATGCGAATGTATTCACCCCGAAATCGGACCGCTCTCAGTATGGCGCGAGCAGCATACAGACAGGGAGCGATTGGCACGGCCCTGTCACAATCAACTCCGGCAACCATCAGATTGGTCCAACATCCGAGAACCACTCAGGAATTCGTAGATTCTCGTTTCGAGACTGATCAGTCGTCGAACGATTCTATTCGAGAAAGGACAATTGGCTCATAGTATTGTTGTAATGATCGTTTCCCCCCACTTGTACCCTTCTCTCCGCTGTGCTTCTTCTCGTATGCCCATTTCATGTCTGATGATGCCAATTGCCTCGATATACTGGGCTGAATAGATTTACTGCAGGCTCGTACTACCTCGGACAAACTTAGGCCGATACAGATCTACGGTGCCAGGCAATATCATCGGGGCTATTATAGAAATTTGCCGTCGTGAATATCGTATCGCGAGGTGTCAAGTGGATTGACCGATGTATGGTTTTGATTGAGGGCTGGAAGTGGGTCTACCAAAGGAAGCTAGCGAGAGCCAAACACTACCGGCCATGCAGCTTTCTTGACAGCCGATCCATCGGAAATGGGGGTCAGCGTCATCTCTTGCCTTCATGTTATTGATCAGTTGATCAAGAATGTCAGTAGCCTCATGAAGGCCACAACAGACCTAGGAGAACCTTGCCGATTCCTTAGGGTTCTATACCTGTACGAAGCCTGCGTTGGTCGATCTCGTCCTGAGCGGGTCACGCCATCGATCGCGCTTGGCGAACCAACTTTGCATCCGTCGATGATCGGCGTCACAAAAGGGTGGCCAGAGCGGTGAGAGCACGGTGACATCGCCTCGGTGCTAGCTTGCGTTTTCAGACTAACCAGCGGACCCTTAGCAGCTAGAATTTTACCTATAACGGCTGTTGAAGAGGATCAAGAGTAAACGTTTTCAAGGCTCTGCAACCTCGGGTCCCGGTCGCGCGATCATATCGGTTGTAACACGTCAGAACATATCTTCGTAGCATAAGTCTCATGGAGGTGTGAAGCTCGAGATCAGGTGTGGATGTATCGCCACTCCACATCTGCTGACGACCGCTTGGTGACCTAATTTTTGCGATCCTAGCGAAACATCGCGTCATCGCCCTCAAGCAGTTTGACTCCTTTGTATTGCTTCTCAGTGAAGCAATTGCCCCTAACTGGATACGCTGTACAATGCGTACAAAACAATACGGAGACAAAGTTTTACAGCAGGTTTCTTCATAGGCATTCGATCTTCTACTCACACAGGCGTTCAAGAGAACTCGGATTGAGAGAAATGTGTCCGGGACTCACGAAAGAGTTCTACTAGGGGAAGACCTTGTTGCTTGGCGGCTGTTTCGAGTCATCTGGTCGGAATCTTTTCCGGAACCTGAGATGAGCAATGCTCGGAAGGCTTTGTCCTGGGACACCCCTCCTACAGACCTTTTCGAGAAGCGGAAAGCACTTTTGAAAGCTCAAGTGAGAGACACAATCGGTCAAGCCACAACCGCAGAGGCCAAGAAGAAGGTCGAAACAATGATTGCAGAATTTCACGGAGAAATCCCGGTGAAGCGATTCCCGGAGGATCTTCCGCAAGATTTCCGTGAAACCCATCACCTGCTTTCTTGCCTTTTCTTGGCAAACTTTCACGAAACCGAGGACCACGCATGGGGTACCTTCGTCTTCAAGCGACAGCTTTGGCGTAGCAATGAAGCCGGGGGTATACTGAAGACCACCGCGGAATGGCATATTTCATTTGACCTCCAAGCTCGCGCGCCCAAGCCTTCCTCCATAACCGCCACGGATGGTCAATCCGATCAGCGGATTGGGAAGATTTCAGCTGATACTGGATCAGGCGGAGATATGTACACAGAAGAGTCTTCCAAACCTGCGAGCCTGTCTACTTGCGACGCGACAACTCATAATCTGCGTTTCTGAATCGAGACATCGACCAGCGAGTGCGACGCCCCGAGCAACAGAGATATATAAGGAAACGGGGCAAGCGGGCGAGGAGGATAGGCTGGCGGTGAAAAATGGAGCAGAGCGAAGGAATACCTGGCGACAAACATCCTGACTGCTTTATCTGCCTCTTCGTGTGTTACACGATCTGTCATCCTTCTCGATCTAGGTGCAATGACTGGCTCGGAACCGGAACATACAGGATAGCCACCGGTTGTATCAATCTGCCTGGGTTCATCAGATATGGTTCACTATAGACTGTACAGTATATGATACAAAGTAGATATCATGCGCAGTGATCAATCTGGTTGGGGAACAGTTCTCGTGCGGCTCCTGGCCGATTTTCACAACGCTGTTGAGGAGTGATGATCAAGTATAACCGTATGGCTGATCATCAGCTTCCTATACATATATGGATAGATTACTTCTAAGGTACGGCTGCTGAGACATAGCCTCAAGTACGATAACGTCATTTCACACATCAGCTGATCTCTGCGTGGAATCCTTTGTTTTGCTTCTTCATGAGGCAATCGCCGCTTGATCAAGATGAGCCTACAGGGTATGCATATAGGCGGCACGAAAAACATAAGTTCTGGTATGCAGAGTGTCTCTCCAATGATCTACCATCGCGTTGGATACACCGGTCTTTCGCGAACAGAGCTAGTTTCGACATGATACGCTCCCAGCAATACGAATCACTCCAGTTCACCAATTATACGATACAGAGATTCATCGATGAAGAGGGAGAGAGGCCCGTGGACTCGATTGAGGAGATATCCTTGATCTTACTCCTGAAATCCTCCCCTCATGAGCGACTTCAGCGTTTCGTGGAAGATCTGAACCGCCCTTTCGCAAATCGGTTGGTCGGATCGGAAATCGAGACGAATCCAGGTCGAAGGATTGCGGAGACACTCGCCGAATTCAACAAAAAACACAAAATCATGCTAGGCCCTTGGCAACTCCCGTCGCCTTGGGGAAATTGGTGTCTGAAGGAAGAGTTCTGTTCTACCGGCCGATCGCATGACGAAGCCTCCTTTGCGTTCCACAGAACATTGTGGAATCCGCTGACAGCGTTCTCGCTTGTCGCGAGGTGGAACATACGTACACTGCAGCAAGACACCGGGGGTATATTTTTGCTGCAAGAGCTTGCCGATCCCCGTGGTGTGACGAGTTTGAGCGATCACATGTTACCGAAGGACAAAAGATCTGAATGTGAGACCCTTGAGGCAGAAGCCCAAATGCTGAGTTACGTCGTAGAGGAGAAGACTGAAGCCATGACAGAGCTCTCTGTGGAGCTCACCCGATTGACACAAGAACTGTCACGAATATTGTTGGAACTCCGCTTGTCCTCGTCACGAGGGTCTTTAGGTACCAGTCTCTCCAGCTCTGCTGTATGATATAGCCACCACCATAGTGTCTTGATGCGACAGTCTACTCGTCACCGCTTTTCTTCTTCTGCGCTCATCCTTCAGCATTACGTGCTTGTCGATTGTTTCCTTTGTATATCAATTGCCATTGAGTTTGTGCTCAAATACAGCAAATGTCGGTATCGCAAGCAACATTCTTCAATGCAGAGCGTGTTGCAGTCAGGGATTCTGCCTCTGGACCTTATGATCCATTTTTTGAGTCATGTCGTGATGCTTCGACCAGCAGCCAAGCGGCAGGGGAGACGAACCGACAGGCTTCCGCCATCCGGTGGACCCTGCGCGTGCGGATACAGCGATGCTGTACCGTGCCGACTCCCAGAAATTATGTGGCTTTATCGCGTCATTTGCATGCTGCGCATGCTGACATGTTGAAACGTAGCTTCTCCGCTTGTATAATATGCATTCCTTTGTCGCAATTCGTCATGTATAGCTACCAGCCAGTGGAAGGGTCGAATATAGTAGAGTATAAGAGGCTTGAGACTTTAGCTCGAAGCATATGATGGATAGCCTAAATTGACTCGGTCTATACCACAACGTGATTTGTGACGCAGAGCTTCCAACGAAGGGACTACCTCCATGTTTTCCTCAAGTAAGACTCAGCAGCTCCCCGGCGAGGTGCCTTTTTATGTAAAAGGCTGTTCGGGTGGCCATAGTATTTTTGGTAGCTCAACATCTGAGGCAGCTCCCGCTGAGCTGAAAGAAGCGTTGGGGACGTACCGAGCTCCTCACGTCGTCTTCAAACGCTTTCTTGAGCAATTGAGAGGTACCGTGTATCAAGTAATGAGGGAACCGTCGGCCCGCGTTACTTTCGAATATTTACAAAGGAGAGTGGAGAGGTACAACGCATCTCATAGCCCTACTTTACCTTCGACGGATTTGCCACCGCGGATCTGGATGATCTTCGCTCTCAGGTAACCTCTCAGGACAAGACGATTGAAGACTTGAGAAAAGAGGTGTCCGATCGAACAAAGCAGGTCTCTCAACAAAGCATACAGATCTCTGAATTGTCACAGGCATTCGAAAACCTGAGCGGGCAGATCACCCTCTTGTTGGCATTCTTTCGATCTCAGACGGCCACGCAAACGAACTCCATGAACTAGGCTCGTCATCCTGTGACTTTCAACATGGCATACCCTGCTGTATCTGCTGGTTCCTTTCTCTCTGACTCTTCCTTCCCATATGAACATGAATCTGTACCACATGACTTGCTACATTTAGGTGATTTCAAACATAGACTTTGTGTATCCGTCGTTCCCTTAGTACAACATATAGATCTATTGAGGCCATTATAGATGAGTAGACCTGTGAGTGCATCCGGCGTAGATACGAACAGGCTCAGTGATCCGCAAATCGCTTGGCGTATCGCCTGGCAGGTGGTCTGGCGAACTGAGCGACTCAGCTGATCGTAAGCTCAAACGGACTAGTATGCACTGAAGTGGTAGCGTTGGAGGCTCTGGATTCAGCAGGACAAGAGTTGGCAGGATGTGCTATATCATGTGATCAGCATGCGTCTTCCTTTATCATGTACGTGACACGAGTGATAGTCATCCAAAAACGACCGCCAGGATGAATACGATGGGCAGCAAGAAGCCTGCTCTACGATGACAGCTCCTCTTTATCATTTCGCATCGCACAAATTTCACACAATATGATGACAATGCTCCCAAGGAACAGCAAGTACGTGAATACCTGCACGACGGCAGGCGGAAAAAGCTGCCAGAAGTACATCGCATGGAGTCGCATGGTTGATGAGCCGCCCGATGATGTTTGTTCCCTTGTAGGGGAAGGATGGGACCCGGCCACGATCCTCGAGGAGAAAATATTGGCCAGCGCATATCAGGAGTTGAATGAGCTGGACAGTGATTTCGACGAGCAGCAATTGAACAAAGTCATCGGTAGGCTATGCGTAGAGTACACAGCAGGGCAGTCCAGTAAAACCCTCTGGAAGCCAGATCACAAGCTTCCTCAAGCCTATCGTAAATGCGTCATGAGAGATTCGGCGCATCTCAGGACGGCGGATCGATGTCTTTGCTTTGAGCGTCAAATCAGGAGGACGGATGGAAACGGTCGTCTCGTCGCGAGGGCCTTCTGGGTCATTGCCGTCTCAAACATACAGCATGGCAGCCCCGAGGCCGGTGATGACCCTTCGACACGGACCTCCAAACTCAACTTGAAAGTACAGTGGCGGAACTGAAATCTGATCTGGCGGAACTTGCCGTGCGGACTGACATGCTGGAACAGTCTCGTTATTTCGATCTCGGATTTTCTTAGTCGACAGGGGGGTCTGCTTTCTACTTTCAAAGATGGTCTCTTCTATGCATCTTTCCGTCTGTTGAGGATGTCGCCTGTAGTCCGTGGTTGGTTGTATCGTATATCTTTCTATCATACTTTTCTACCTCGATCTTCTCTCTGCCCTATCTGTTTGAGCTCAAAGGACGGCTCGTCGTGAACACGCACGCAATCCGATTCTCGACACGCACGTCATGTGACCTTTTCAACACCTACCTTTGTGCTCTAGCGAAAGGCGATAGATTGTGAGATCGAGCCTTTCGAGCGAGCCAGGCGGCACATATATACCAAGGCCGATGAAAAGGGGGATTTCAGCAGTCTCTTGCTATCCGTTTCCACCCTATAGTCAATATATCATCCCAATCATATCCTCTGAACATGTCGCTTCAGGGCAGCAAAAGTACAACATATGATGAGGAAAGCAAGACCATCGACAAATTGAATTGTGAGAAGAAGTTCGTATGGCACGATGCACCAAAAATCCCGTCCAAAGACTTGCGTCAAGCCATGGGTGGTGGATGGCAACCCATCAAGAAGCTCAGGGAATTACGGGTTAAGATGAACGACAAGTTGAAGCAGAAACCGGGGCATCCGACTCCTGAAGAGACGTACGAGAGCCTGAGTGCGATCTGCTTGCGAACCAACAACGGTATTCAGTGGTGTCATCTAATCGGTGAGGAGACTATGCCTGAAGGCTATCGCGAGGAGTACTCCACGGAGGAAACCGTGTCGCTGGAAGGAAATCTCTCAAGTCCCGGGCCTCTTTGCTTCAAGCGCTCACTTTTCAGGAGGCACAAAGACGAATTGGTGGCGCAAGCAATTTGGACTGTCCCAGTGGATATCCGTCTGTCTTTGACCCCGGAGCATCCTTCAAACAATAGTTTGGCACCAACCACGTCATCGCTAGACACCATGTTGACGAAGGTCTTCTCTTCGATCCAGTCAAGCATTGAAAATGGGCGGGGGATCGGAGAAAGTTTGGAAGAAGGAAGAAAGAGCCTGGAGCAGCTGATGAGATTGGCTGGGGAACTGATAGTCGAACCGTGTCAGTCCACGTTTGGCAGCATCGATTCCAGTGTGCCGGCCGGCCAATCGACACTGCAAAGGGACCTTTCCAAACAGGAATACGATGGCCCAAACAGGTAGTTGGAGTGCCTTTCCCCATGTTATTAAGTCCGTGCTCCTCTGTATCGTTCTGCCTAGCGTATCATACCATCGAGCATGATGACCTGTCCTGAAAGATGCAGGGGCTCGGCCGCACGGAAGAACGAACTCGCTGAAACGCGATTTCGACGTGCGCCTGTTTCAGGCAACACGTTTGATATGAATGGACGTTACATCTAAGCCCCGTTCATCTCGCTTCATCAGACAAGCATAAGCGCAACCTAGACTGCCTTTGAGCAAGCACATGTCACTGCACCTGCCATCTTTGCCACTCAGACCACTCAAGTCGTCGCCGCGATCTGAAGTTTCGACGAACTCGCCGCAAGTAGGGCGCCGTGCTCGCGCTAAAACTCGAGCCGGGGAATGCGCCGGGAATGGATCGATGACGTAGGCACACCACGTGACCTTTTTGTCTCGCAGCTCGACCTGTGTCTCTCTGGTCTGGGAAACCGATATAATCATCGACCTCGAATCTCGGAGTCGTAACACCACAACAACATTCAACCACCACTCCAAGTCTAATCGTAAAGAGCCACCTACTCACCTCACACACCCTCACTTACAACAAACAAACACACGACACTCTCTCTCACTTTACAAACATGGTCGCCATTAAATCTATCATCTTCCCCACTGCTGTCATCGCCATGATGGCCAGCTCGGTCCTTGCTGAACCCGTCGTCCAGGTCGAGGAACGTCAGTTCTTGTCCTCGATTGTCGATGGTGCTACTAGCGTTTTCGGTGATGCTACCGTGAGTCTTTTCGTCGTGAAAAAAAGACCGAAGATCTCGCGTTTAATGGGCTGTGCAACTGATCTTTGCGATGTATCATTTCATCGATTCGTGACTCGGTAGTCTGCTATCGAGTCGGTCGCCACCGGGATCGCTTCGACAATTACCGACGGTGCTGGTGGGGTCATCGGAACCGTCACTTCTGGAGCTTCGAGCGTTTTCGGAGATGTTACCGTGAGTCCTCATCATATTCGTGTCATCCCCACATCATCATATCATATTCGCGTCATCCCTACATGATCATGGTCTGAAACTTGCATAGCGTTACCTGGCACTGATCATACCATATCATACCCTCGTCCCCGTTCCAAATCATGGTTACCTATACGTCGAAATTCCTACCTCGCCTTTCCTTCTGCTCGTCCCGTCATCTCCCCTTCCCCCCCCCCCCCCCCCGCGTTTCAAATCACGTTTACCTAAACCTTCGAACTCCTACCTCGCCTTTTCTTCTGCTCGTCCTGATCTCAGTCTGCCGTCGAGTCGGTCGCCACCGGGGTCGCTTCGACAGTCACCGACGGCGCGGGAGGTGTCATTGGAACGGTAACCTCCGGTGCCTCGAGCGTCTTCGGAGAAGTTACTAGTGGAGCCGGAGGAGCTTTGTCTTCGGCTACGAGTGGAGCTGCTGGACTCGGCAACACGATTACTAGTGGGGCCGGAGAAGCTTTGTCCTCGGCTACCAGTGGAGTTGGAGGTGCTGCTGGGACCCTCACATCGGCCGTGGGGTCTGCGTGAGTCTTCTTCTTCCCTGTCCACTATACCGAGAATCAGGCTCTATGCCGAGGCTGAGACTGAATTTTTCTGTTAATGATACGCAGCGTCCCCGGAAACCCCGCTTTGGGTCAATCGGACCTCCTCTCCAAGGGATTGGCCGCCGGGCTCTCTTTGCTCGCCATCGGAGCCGGAGCTGGAGCTTTGTTGCTCTAAGCTCTGAGCGGATCGATCTCGCCCGGTCCACATCTCGGACTGGCACGGACAATCGATATCAGTTTTACTTTCCGACCGCCTCACCATTATGTATCGAACCCAATTTGACTTGAAGAAGAGAAGAAAGAGAAGAGAAGACGACAACCGACTGTCACCGTTTGAACCGTAATCCCGCCGACGTCTCTCGGATTACTCTCCATCGCGATCGCCTGCCACCATCAGGTCGAATCGTTATCGGAGGAGGGCCGAAGGCCGAGGCTCGAATTTTGCGGTGAAGACGTGACGGACGGCTTGTTCCAGTTTAGTACTTGTTATGATTATACCCGCCGTGGATGTGGGATCTGGGAAGATCGAATCGGTCGGAATGTAGCCACTAGCCGTGGTACTTCATATGATCGATTGGATTCTTCTTTGTCGCGTCGAAGCGCTGCAGATCGCGAAATCGGAAAAACGACTTGCGGGGTTACCTGACAGATGTCAGAAATTTAGTGAACAAAGGCCGAGACCGCCTTTACGCTCGGTGTATGGTTCCTTTGAAAGCAGAGGATCGGCATGGATCGTCGCGCGCCTTCCGAGTTCGAATATCACTTGAAACCATCTCACTAAGATTGCCTGTGATGACTTAGTGAGATTTTGTTGCGCTTGGTGGTCTCACAGGCCATAAAACCGCCATTTCCCGCGCTATGTAGCATCGACCTGGTTGCCGCGCAGCGCTGCGCAGCATGCGTCGCAGATCGTACTGCCAATGCGATCGAGTACCGCGGTCGAGAATACTCGGATAAAATCAAAAAAGACGACCAATTCATTGTCTGAAGTTTCAACCAACGACCAGCTGTTCGAGATGAACAACCAGAAGACGTCCATTCCAGCCCGCAGACTTAAAACCGAGACTCGTCAGGTTGCGCAATCTGTCCGAGCGCGCCGGCAGAGTCAATTCCAATGGAATTGCGGAGCAGCGTGTAATAGGTGATGAATGATATTGTTCAGAGGCATTACTTTTATCTAGTACAAGGCCTCAGATAGTAGTCAAGGTTGTATGAGGGACCATCTGGTTGGTCTTCTCGAGGGAGAGGGTTAACCTCCTGTGAGACGCGGAGGTTTCGAGAGGCACGTCTATAAATTGTTGTGTCGTTTTGTAAGACAAGCGAGGTCGTAGATGATCATCCATCTAGTTCAAGCGGGGCATGTTGATGACAATCATGAAGAGGCAGGACATTGTGGTCTTGACGACCGCGATGGTTGCGAATCCAACCGCGGGGCGGCATGTTTGCGCTCAGTCATTCTAGAGGCCGTGAGAGCGAGACCGTTCAGCGAATGATAACATCGACCAAGTGAAACACTCACGTCTTCAAGAGAGCCCTCGGCGTCCGCCGCCAGTTTCGTGCTTTTGGAGCAGGTTCCGCCCATTCGCTTAGTCTCGAGTCAACCACTTTTCTTCTTCACCAGAAATCTGTGCTTCTTTTTACTTTTTCCCGATGGTATAGCAGCACCTGCTTCAATTTCACAAAGCGTACAAAGGAAGGGTGTTCGGCTCGACCAGGTTGACCACCAGCCGAGTCCGGTAGACATGCTCACCCGTCTCTAATCTTCTTCTCTTGGCCCTCTCTCTCGGCAAGCCTCTTTGACGCCACGTCGTATTGCTGTTTCTGTCTGTCAACCAATCGGTGAGTGCGAGGACAATGGACCTTCCACTATCCCATGTATTCTTCAGCTCTAGTCTCGTCGACTTGTCTTTAGGCGAAGAGTGACACCAGCCAATAGCACAGATGGAGAAAGTGAGTTGGAGCTCTCATCAAGGTGAGACAACAGGAAGGCGGGCTCCCAAACTCACAGGTAGACGTCACGGAGGTAGCGGAAATTCAAGCTTTAATTCTTGGTCGCTTTCAGTCCCTGTTCCGCCTCCAACATGGACCTCTGCAAGAGCTGGTTGGCTTGAGGGCAGATTGTTTAGCAATAGATTGCAAAACAGCGAGAGGGCGGACGTAACCACCTCCTAAAGGTTCTCCGCGGTTTCCTCAGGGCAGCCAACAATCTAGAGACATGATGCGCTTGCGGACGGTAACTATATGTATATTCCACATGGATATGCTATGTAGGTTTACAACAAAGAACAAACTTCGTCAGGCAGTAATATGTATCAAAGTTTGGTCCAATCGGAGAGGCTTCCGCCAGCCACAGAACCACTTTCATTGGATGAACTGCCAGGCCTTAGGTTCAGCAGTTCCTCTAGGAGCTCTTTCCTTCTTGAGCAAATCTGTTGGAGGAAGCTTTCAACCTCGGATTCTTTGCTCCAGATACTCTCCAGTTCTTCTTTGATGTTTGCATAGTCGAAGGAGGTAGAGGTAGGGCATGTCATTTTGCTTGAATCGATCGAAAGAGCAGGCATCCCCAGGGAAGTCTCAGGATCTCTTGCTGGCACTACAACTCCAATTTTGGTATTGAGGACTTGCACGAAGACTTCCCACACCCCTACAGTCATATGAGCCTCAGTGTGAAGCGTCCTCTCAAAAGAGATGACGTATCCAGCTCCTGAAGGCTTGGCAGGTCGACAACCAAGGCGTTCAGACAGGCAGTTTTTGTCAGCATCCCAAAAAGCAATAGGAAGGCTGTCCAAGCTCCCAATAGGTTTGTTCCGCCTGTTTTCCTCATTGATCTTCTGAACAATGCTGCGGAGGTTGGACTTTTGGAAGCAGTCGTAAGGTTCAGCTTGGAATTTAGCCACGGCTGCCATGAGCTTTGCTTCAGGCGCCCAGCCTCTACTCAACGCTTCCGCCAAGTCGTCACTAGGGACCTGATCAAAGTGATACCATGTGGTGTACTTTGTGAAGTGGTAACCGGCCGGATTCTTGTAGTAATCAATGTTCTTTCTCCAGTTTGGGTTCATCTCTTGCTTTGCTTTGATGTTTGTTTTGTCAGCAGGTAAAGACAAACCTCTCAAGAAGCCAGACGCATGACAACAACTTAACTCTTTGTGGCATATGTATATATATATATATATATATATATATATATATATATACATTGCCCAGATGTTACTGGCATAACATGAGCACACCATCAATTGAGAACCATGACAAAGGAAGGCACACAACAATCACCTGACATGGCAAAGAGAGTGACTCTGAGACGTATCATCCGCTCCCACTACCAGGACGATACCATAGCATCATTGACGGCCGATGGCATATCAGGTGAAAGGAAGAGCCTTTTTGATATCATATGTCATCACCAAACTGGAGATTCTCAGCCATATCATCACGATCGCCGTTGCGTTTAACGACCCATTGAAGCTAGCCCGAGAGTTCACATTCGCGGATGTTTCTACACATACGATCCGGCGGGACGTATACTGACTACCTCGTACCACAGGTATGTACTTCGTGCTCTCACTACCCCAAATCTATAGATTCGATGGTGCAGACTTTTTCGCTGGACCATGGGCAGTTGCCGCTTTGGCATCACTCTCAGAACTTTGAGCAGGTCAAGGCGAACCGATGAAACATGGTCGTTCTCGATGATCGACAAGTCTCAGCTCTATCCCAATCCCACAAGTCAGGGCGACGCGTGAGAGAACCATCAGCTCGAGGGGGAATGATGATGATGCTAGAGAGAGACTTGTTCATCGGTATTCCACCTCGACATTACAACAACTCTCGATAGACTCCCGCATTCATAGTTGGAACTGTCATAGTGATACCGAAGCTTGATCTCTCGGACGAAGAGCGAAAGTCGAGTTCTCGCTGCTGCATAACATTGCAGCAACGTGCGGTTAGAGAACAAGAACCAGATCTGAGATACAAGCAACGAACGCACCGAAGAAGCTCATCAGGTGAAATTCCAATCGAGCTGGAAAAGCACGCAGTAATCAACTAGAAGACAGCGTCTCGTATACATCGCCATGTTTGGACAAACGGGAGGATTCGGCTCGACGGGTACTGGCTTCGGTCAACAACCTCAGCAGGGTCAACAGACCGGAGGTCTTTTCGGTCAGACTTCTACCGGGTTCGGCCAACCTCAACAGCAGAGTGCGTTCGCACGAAATAGGATGGATAAGTAGAGGTGGCTAATGTGAACCTTTGCTCTATACACCTATGGGAACCTGTAGCTGGAGGGATGTTTGGACAGACTCAACAACCCGGTCAGACGGGTGGACTGTTCGGTCAACCCGCTCAGCCCGCTCAACAATCCACAGGGTTGTTCGGTGGTAGCACACCTGGTCAGACCAACGCTTTCGGTAAGCTTCTAAGCTCGCCTATTCCCTCATTCGAATAGAATCGCTAACACCTAGGAGTTTACACCTCTCTTCTCATCTCTGCATCTCCTCGTGATCAGGTTCTACAGGAGGAGCTTTCGGAGCTTCTACCGGGACTTTCGGGCAGCAACAACAGGCTCGACCTGCGTTCGGAGCTACAGGGTCAACGGGCGGAGGTCTCTTTGGAGGCGCTTCTACTGGTCAGTATTTCACCTCGCACCCAGACTTTCCCCCATATACCACTTCCTGACTGTCACTTTTACGTTCCTCAGGCTCGACCTTTGGCGGATCCACCGGCTTTGGAGCGAACAATAATGCCGCACCAGCTACTGGCGGATTGTTCGGATCGACCTCGACAGGATTCGGAGCTAAACCTGCTACGACCGGGTTCGGAGCGCCCGCTCAGACTGGGAACACGGGTGGGCTCTTTGGAGCCAAGCCGGCTGGTACGGGGATGTTTGGAGGCGGTGCTCAGGTCGCTGGTATATCCGCATTTACCTTTTGTGAGGGTTGTAAGGGGGTTGTCAGGCTGATCGGGACGATTGTGATGTTGTGATCGATAGGCCCGGTAACGAACGGCACGGCTGGGACCGCTTATCAGCCTGTGAAGGAAAAGGACGGGAACACGAACAACTACACGGTCTACCAGACTATCACGTGTATGGACGCGTACAAGGGTGCCAGTCTCGAGGTAAATCACGTTTGCCATCGTTATTCCGTTGCGCACGGACTGACCTTGCTTGGTTGGACTACCCGCAGGAACTTCGTCTGCAAGATTACGAGCAGAACAGAAAGACCGCTCCTCCTCCTGGTACCAACGCTTTCGGTGCCGGTTCATCCACTGGAGGCATGTTCGGTCAACCCGCTCAACAACAATCGACGGGTCTCTTCGGTGCCGCTCAGCCTGCTTCTACCGGGTTCGGGACTGGAGCTAGTACCGGTCTGTTCGGTCAGCCTGCTCAACCTGCGGGAACCACTGCTTTCGGTCAGCCTCAGCAGAGTACCGGATTCGGAGCTCCTGCTGCCAGTACCGGGCTCTTTGGATCTAACACTCAGAGCACTGGGACTGGGTTGTTCGGTCAGCAAAATCAACAGCAGCCTCAGCAACAGACGGGCGGTCTGTTTGGCCAGCAAAACCAGCAGAGTGGCGGTCTGTTTGGGCAATCCGGTTCCACGGGAACGACCGGTGGTCTGTTCGGGTCCAATACGGGCGCCTCCACAACGGGGGGTGGCCTGTTCGGCCAACAACAACAGCAGAACGCTCAGCCGGCTGCTTCAGGTGCGTTTTCATTTGGCGCAAACAACCAGAACCAAGCCAAGCCTGCCTTTGGAGGGTTTGGGACTGGGAGTAAGTATCAGCCGGGTGAACACCGAGCTAGACGGCTCGAGGCTAATCTCGCGATGAATGTTGTTCTTGTTCGCTCCAGGCACGACTACGAACACGTTTGGTCAGCCGGCCGCTCAGGGAGCTTCGACCGGGTTCGGATTCGGTCAGACCGGCCAGCAAGCTCAGACTCAAGCTGCGCAACAGCCGAGCACTGGATTCGGATTCGGTGCCCAGTCGACCACTGCCGCGCCTCAGACGGGAGGCCTGTTCGGAAGTCAACCTCAGCAACAGAACCAACAATCTGGTGGGCTCTTTGGTGCCAAACCCGCTGGTGGTTTGTTCGGCAGCACGACGGGAACAACCAACACTTTCGGAGCGTCCGCTCAGACTCAGGGTCAGACAGGAGGTGGATTGTTCGGTGCTGCCCAACCCGCTCAACCTGCGGGACAACAACCTTCTGGAGGTCTCTTTGGGAACACGGGGACGAACACCTTTGGCGCCGCCAAGCCCGGCGGTCTGTTCGGTCAGCCTGCGCAGACGGGGACAACGGGAGGAGGTCTTTTTGGAAACAACTCGACCAATACCAGCACCGGCTTCGGTCAGCCCGCTGCTCAGCCTAGCACCGGCCTCTTTGGCTCGACCAACCAACAAACGGGAGGAGGCTTGTTTGGCAACCTGGGAGCTTCCCAGCAGGGCCAGCAAAACCAGACCGGTCAAACCGGTGGGCTCTTCGGTGCCAAGCCGAATAATGCTGGATCCGGCCTTTTCGGGCAGACCAACACGGGATCGACTTTGGGTGCATCCACTGGCGGCTCGGGCCTGTTTGGGAACTCGTTTGGCGGTGGCGCTCAGCAGCAACCCCAGCAGAACATGGGTGGATCGTTGTTCGGCAACTCGTCCACGAACCAGCTCCAGCAATCTCAAGCGCAACCTCCTGTCAATATCGACATCAACAACCCGTACGGGACCGGCGGCATGTTCAGCGTACCTCCGTCTTTCCAGCCCATCAACGTCTCGACTGGACCCAAGGTCTTGCCGCCATTGTCTAGCTCGCTCAGGCCTGCACCTTCGGCTGGTAAGATGACCCCTCGATTCCGTGGCATCTCGACTCCTGCTCGCGCGGCTAGTACGCTTCCGACGGGTTCTATCTTGGGAGTGTCTACTGCGTCGAACGGGTCGCCTGCGAGGAACCTCTTTAGCACGCCTCCTCCGGATACGCTTAGCCCGGCTGCCTTTACACCTCGACAAGGTGTCAAGAAGCTGGTCCTCCATCGAAAGACTGATTCCTTGTCCCTCAGTACTGCCGTGGCGAACAGGACGCCTCAGATCTCGCGATCGATCTTGAACCCAGAGGCCGATCACGATGGTACAAGCGTCAACGGAAGTGTCATGGGCAACACCGTGGCTGGCTCTCGCCAGGCCTCTGTCGCTCGTACGCAGAACGAGGACGCTGTCACCGAAAAGGAGCACAGGCGGACAGATTTCTCGAGAAAGATCGACTTGGAGGACTACAACGATGGCGATTACTATACCATCCCGGAGATGAGCGAACTATACAACGCTTCGAACGAGGACTTGAGCAGCGTCGAGGACTTTGTCGTCGGTCGCAAGGGGTACGGTAGGCTGACCTACCTCGAACCGGTCGACATCGGCAACAAGACCACTCTGAACCGGATCTGCGGCGACCTCGTCACCTTCAGAGACGGCAAGTGTGAGGTTTACCCAGAGAAAGCGGATGAGCGTCCGCCCGGTGAAGGCCTGAACCACCGAGCGGAGATCAGCCTCGAAGATTGTTGGCCCAGGAACAAGGAGACTCAGCAGCCCATCACGGATCCCAAGCACCCCAAGCAGAGGGCCCGTGAGCGAGCCCTGCGTCACGTGCCGGACACCACCTTCCAGAGCTACAACCCTTCGACCGGTGTTTGGGTGTTTACCGTTGAGCATTTCACTCTCTATGGTATTCCGGAAGAAGACGATTCCGACGACGAGGAAGACGAGATGGACGCACAGGACGACAGCATTCTGAACGAGAACGGCAAGCGTGAGCGATCCGCCGAATCCGAGCGTTATGGCTCTTACAACGGGGATGAAGCCACCGGATCTCCGTCAGAAATCGATCGATCGTCCGTGGCTCCGAGTCACGATGACGACGCATCCGAGTATGCACGGTCGTCTGTGCAGCCTGTCGAGATCGCCGTCCGACAGCGAGACCTGATCTTTACGGGCATGTACGGCACCCCTCAACCTGACGACCTGGACATGACGCCTAGGCCGAACAAAAAGAGGCTGCAGTTTTTTCGTAAAGCCGAGAAGGATTTAGATGGGGAGGTCGATGGCGGTGACGTCGACGTGAGTGACTTGGTATGGGACCGTTGGCGTGTCTGTCTCACAACTGACCTTGTGCATCTTTCACAGCGATCCTTTTTCGGCGCGACACGTACAGCCCCATCGAAGGAAAGGGAAGAGTGGAAGATGAAGAGGATCGAGAGCAAGAGCACGATAACCGCGGGGAAGGACAGCGCGTTCCTTGATGCCGGTCTAGCGTTGGGAAGGATACATCGCGCGACGCTTGCTTCGACAGGTCATGTGTTCAGGCTTCGACAGAATCAGGTGATCTCGTCACTGCGGCGCGAAGGCAAGGAGGCTGTAAGTCTCCACTTTTTCACTGATTGTCTGCGTCGTCACTGAATTGCACGTCTTGAACAGGCCGAGGATCGCGAAGTCATGGTGAAGCTTTTGGAGTTTCAACTGAAGCATACCAACTTTATAGACGAACAGGGAGTCCCGATTGCCGAGACCGACACGAAAACTCGCTTCAAGGACGTCGTCGAGTTGTTCCGAGGCGACGGCAGATATGAAGCCGAGCTGTGGAGATTGGGAAGGGCGTTGTTTGATGAGATTCCGACACTGGCCAATGCCGAGATCCAGGGACAGGTTCGGGTCGACGCCGAGTCATTAGTCCGCAAGACTGCACTTTCGGACTGGTTGACAAGTCATTTGGCGCCTATCGTGGATCGGGAGATCAATACCAAGGACTCGGGGCCTCAGACTGTTTTCTCTCTGTTGATCGCCAATCAGGTCGCCAGGGCGACGTCCGTGGCCATGGACGGAGGCGATCTTCGATTGGCAACCCTGGTTGCACAAGCAGGATCGGGACCGGAATTCCAAAACACGATGGAGCAACAGCTAGAGATCTGGCGCAAACAAGATGTCGACGCACACATCGACGTCTCGTATCGTCGCGTCTACGCCTTACTAGCTGGTATAATCGACACCGTCGAAGGTGGACCGTCAGCGGATCAGGTAGAGATGAGCCAGGGTTTATCCTGGCTGCAGGCACTGGGGATGCACCTGTGGTTCGGCACTCCGTTGGAGCAGCCGTTGCCAGATGTCATCAATAACTTCCGAGCGCACTTGCAGTCGGAACATCCGCCTGCGAGGCCGGTCTTCGCGAACACCGAGAATGAAGACGCCATGTACGGAATGATGAAGGTGTTCATGGAGCAAGCGACTCCAGCTGCTTGTCTCGCTGGATCGGCGGCCTATGGCAAGACCTCCATGGACGTCCGACTACAGTGGCACCTGCTTGATCTCTTGGTCAACGTCTTTGGCTTTGGCACATCGGAAGAGCACGTCATGGAGAGTGTCCGCACATTTGATAGGCTGAGCATCGACTATGCGAGTCAATTGGAAAGGGAGGGATTGTGGGAGTATGCCGTATTCGTCTTGCTTCATCTCGATAAGGAGGGCTCGTGAGTAGACAAGGTTTGTTCGTGCCGACGTTGGGATCGGTCTGATATGTTTCGTTCCTGCAAAACAGTCGACTGAAAGCTGTCAAGGAGGTACTCGGCCGACACGCCGCCGAATTGGCTCACAAGGAAGAGATTCTGCAACGCATGAGCGTGCCGAAAGAGTGGCTTTCCGAGGCTAGGGTGAGCCCCTGCGCAACGAATTGATCATACAGAGGGACTAAAGCATATGATCCTCATTTCGTTCGCAGGCCGATCTCTACGCGAGCAAGGGCGATATCTACTCGGAATTCTTGTCTTGCAAGCAAGCCGGTCTGATGGATAGGGCTCATCGCATTGTCCTGCAGCGCCTAGCGCCAGAAGTCATCTTGCGGGAAGACATCGGGCTCTTGCGCAAGCTGCTCGCCGATCTTGAGGACGCGAGGATCGTCGACTGGCACAAGGGCGGCCAAGTGAGTGTATGGTGTATGCGGGCGAGGAACCAGTCAGCTTATATATCGCTCGTCTCTTCCAGGTCTTGTTGCATTACAGCGATCTTTGTGACCGTACCAAGGATCTGTTGAACGCTTCAGGGGAGGTCTCGGACGACCTGACCGAGATCATCCGACGGATCCCGGGCTTGCTCGAGAGCTTGGAGAGGATCTATGCGGACGACCGTTCGATCGACGTCCAGCAGATGGTCTGTCGCACGCACATGCTCGCCAAGGTACAAAAAGTCGCCACGGCCCTGGCTTCCCGAGCATTGGTGAGTAGAGGAGGATCTAGAGACGCACTCTGCATACCGTCTGATCTAATTTACGTCTCATGCTCGCAGATGAGCATGCCGCCCTTGTCACGGTTATTGCCCGAAGGCGATCGACTTCAGGTCATGCAATCGGCCTCTCGGGACAGGTTGCAACGGCACCTCGAAGCGCTGACCGCCTGAGTCTCCCAAGAAAATTCGACTCCTATTGAAAGCCTACAAGCATTCTCGAAATTTCTGCATTCTATCTTCTAGCATGGATCGTGTTTGTATACATATCTAGTAAAATGGCCTCTCTGGGCGTGGAGCGTGGTTTATTCTCTTGATGGCGCTCTCGTCAATCTGATCGTCCATCTGCATGCATCGTCATCGCCAGTATACACGCCTGTAAGACTAACAGTCGACTTGGACGAAACCATGCTACCGAGGCTTACCTGCCTAAGCAGAACGTCTAGTCAGACGATGTAGTCGCGGCGAGTCTGCCCCAAAGTCTGGACGGTAGGTAGCCAGCCTGATTGAACAGCGACGAACGAGGATGTGCGCAGACTGAACGTGCGTAATCGTATGTCTACCAAGCCACCGAAGCTCCTGTCTTTGTTCGAAGTTCGAGGTTCGTGAGTTCTCGAGGTCGCAAAGGTGGAAATGAAATCGCAGATGCCGTCAGGTTCTAACCGAGCGAGGCACGCGGACGACGTGGAAAAATGCCAAGACATGGGAAACGTTCGCAAAAACCTCCCTTGCCCCTCTGGTCATCGATTTCCGGTTGATCGGAAGTGTCCAGTCTCGGGATGTGAATCTGCATAGACATAGCGTGCTGCTATGATGTCCGGTGTCCAGTATGGGGGGTCAAGATGCGTGGTCCATGGTCAACGTTGGTGGCCCAGCGGATTGCGACGTTGATTGAACACGATACCCGATGGCAGTCTTGGTTTCATGGATCTCGGTTGGACAATTGTACACGAACGTTTGATCAAGGTCCAGATATCCAGAGCGGCTTGAGCTTCGTCGTACGCGATCAGCAATAGTAAACGAGAAGATCAGTCCAAAGGACCTACCTCGCTGCGATCCGTTAGGGCGATCAGCTGCGAACACGATCAGCTAGCAGCTAGCACACGACCAAACGGAATCGATCAGTCTGACGTAACAGATAACGTAATTTGTCCTGACTCGCTGTCTCTCCTTCCCTCGTCTTCTTCCGGTCACGTGGTCAGAAAGCGCGTTGTGGCGTTTCTTTCCGATGGGTCGCCAAGAGAATTCTGTGATGAACCCTCGTTGTGCCTCGTTGTCACCTCTCTCTCCCTCCTCCTTCCTTCCTCCTTTCCCTTCGGAGGGATGGGTTCATATCGCACGTATCTCACGTACTCAGCTCTGGGACTTTTGAACGTTTCGAACGTGCGTCGGGGAAAAAAGTCGAGCGACGAGACTAGGAGGAATTGATACCCGCTCAGACCGGAGATGTTGTATATAGGGATCGAGGGGACTCTCATTCTTGTGCATATCAGAATCATGTAGTCGCTTCCGTCTCTCGTGCCAGAAACTAGCAGTACCACTCACTCTCCCTCAAACCTCCCCCCCCTCACTCTCCCCTCTCACTGGACCAGGATCAGCCAAGATGCCTACTCTTCACCAGTACGACTACCTGTTCGCTTTCGGGGTCATCTTCTGTACCCTCGATGCGTTCATGATTGGTGAGTCCTGGCTCATCATCCTCGCTGCCTCTTGCAAGGAACGCAAAAGGCTAACAATTCCTCTTTCGTCTCGCGCGTTTCAGGTGCCAACGATGTCGCCAACGCGTTCGCGACCGCCGTCGCTTCGAAATCCTTGACGATGCGTCAGGCGACCATGGCCGCCGCCCTCTTCGAATTCTTGGGAGCGGTCCTCGTCGGTGCTCGAGTATCGAGCACGATCAAGAACGGTATCGTTCCCGCCAGCATCTTTGAAGGCAACGCTGGCCTCCAACTGCTCGCTTTCGTCAACGCCATCTTTGTCTCCTCCATCTGGTTGTCGATCGCGACCCGACTCGGATGGCCCGTCTCGACGACCTACTCGATCGTCTCGGCCGTAGCGGGTGTCGGAATCGCCTGTGGTGGATTCGACGCACCCCAGTGGGGTTGGAACGGTGGATCCGGTCTCGGTGCCATCTTTGCCGGTCTGGTCATCGCCCCGCTCATGGCAGCCGGGTTCGCCTCGACCGTCTACCTGCTCGTCAAGTTTATCGTCCTCGTCCGAAAAGACGCCACACGATGGGCCCTTTACACGGGTCCGTTCTGGTTCATGGTCGTCGCTTGCGTGTGTACGATGTCGATCGTCTACAAGGGATCGCCTTCGTTGAACCTGGATGACATGTCGCCGGGAAAGACGGCTGCGGCGATCTTGTTGACCGGATTCGTCATCGGATTGTTGGCCGTCGTCTTCTGGTTGCCTTTCGTCTACGGCAAGGTCATCAAGAAGGATTACAGTGAGTCGCCGGCGTGTCCCTTAGTCTGATTCGTCTCCTGAGCCTTGTACTGACTATGGTCATCTTGCCCGCCCACCCGACAGCCCTTCGATGGTACCACTTTTTCCTCGGACCCATGCTCTGGAACCGTCAAGCTCCCGAGGATGCCGGCTCTCGATCCGCTGTCAAAGACTACCGAATTCGAAAGTCTCTCGACCACGACACGATCCCTCAGACCGGTGATGCCCCTGCTACCGCTATGAGCGCCGAAAAGGCCATGCCCCGCGCCGAGTCCTCCTCCAACAACTCTGCCATCGAGAACCCCGCCCAGGCCAAGGCTGCCGAGCTCTTGCAGGAACCCCACCAGCCCGAATCGTTGCCCAGAGAATCGGCGCTCGAGCGCGAAGTCGAGACTCCTCAGATCGAGGGCTTCCCCCTGGCTCCCCGAAACTTGTGGATCATCCTCAAATACAAGGTCGCTCCCGTCCTCTGGAAGGCCATCAGCCACGGATCCACCGTCGACGTCCACGCGCTCCAGGCTCAAAAGGACGACGAGAAGGGTGCGGCAAGAATGGCCGTCATTCACGGTGCCGCCAAGCAGTACGACAACGATACCGAATACGCCTTTACCTTTATGCAGGTCTTGACCAGCTGTACCGCCTCGTTCGCCCACGGAGCCAACGATCTGTCCAACGCCATCGGTCCCTTTTCGGTCATCTACTACACCTGGAAGTTTGGGCTCCCCGCCGGAAAGAACTCGGAGATCGAGGTCTGGATGTTGGTCTACGGAGCTTCTGCGCTCGTCCTCGGTCTTGCCACGTACGGTTACAACATCATGGCCGTTCTTGGAAACAGGATCACCTTGATCTCTCCCTCCCGTGGATTCACCATGGAGCTCGGAGCGGCCATCACCGTCATCCTCGCTTCCCAGTACGGTATTCCCGTATCAACCACCATGTGCATCACCGGTGCTACCGTCGGTGTGTCGTGCTGCAACGGAGACTGGAAAGGTGAGTCCAACATTACCTCAGAAAGAAGAAAAAATGTGAAATAGTTCTGGGCTGATCGATTCTTCCTTCTACCGCTTCCTTCCTTACAGCTACTAACTGGCGTGCGATCACATGGATCTACTGCGGCTGGATCGGAACGATCGTCGTTGTCATGACCGCATCAGCCTGCCTGCTCGCAATCGTTATCAACGCACCCCGATTGTGATTTCGCCCCCAAAACGCAAATTTTACTTCCACCTTGACTATAGACGAACTTCCAGCCCTTATAACGCCTTACCTGTAGCGTGTACTATCGTATGAATATTATTATAACGAGCTTGAAGTTCCAAGTCGAAGAATCAAGTTCATCTCTTGATTTGTCACGCTCGACTATAAGTTGGTCCTATCTCAAAGTGGGGAACAATAGCATATCGCTGTTATAGTTTACTTCCGATTAGCTTCCGATCTTGTACGCGTCTCATATGCCTGCCATCGCGATCTTGATTGTTCGACATCATCGTTCATGTCTGCCCCAACATATCAAGTAGTGCCCGTGTCAACCTTTTCTGTGAGTCATACATTCCTCTCAGTCTCATTCTGCCTCTCGCTGCCTCTCGACTCATTTCGACATTCACAACGCTTTCGAAGGACTCATTTCGAGTTGGTTCAGTTGACGGAATCCCCTCACGTTCCCCACCGATCCGAGGGTACCTTTGGCAATCTGTAACTGTAATAGTCCGTCTATCGCTCAAGGAAACATACACCAGTGAGTATAGCCAACCTGCAACCTGTTGCAAGTCGCTGAAAGGCTGCACTGCACTGCCTGTCTACCCTCCTTTAGTAGATATGGAGGCTTCCACCGAGGGCTATGAGCACATGACCGCCTTCCACGTGGCCCAAAACGAATTCTTCAAAGATCTTGCGGTCAGCGATGCTCATCAGGCGGTCTTGGAGATCACGGACTACATGTTGGCATGCAGGCACGACCCACCAATCGTGTTCCATATCGAGCTGATGGGGATCCTCGCGGAGGCCTATGAGAGATCTGGTCAATCCAGATTCGCTCAAATAGCTTTGGACGAAGTGGAATACTTGTCCCGAGATCTTCGACTCCCCGCGGACGAGGGGGACGCTAGGCAAGACGTGGACGAGGCGGCAGCTGTGCAAGACATGGGAGAGACGCAAGCTCAACAGGCCGATAACAGTTTGCCGGATGTCGGTGGGCTACAGCTGGAGGATCAGGTGAGTCCTCCGACGTTCCGGGTCACCCGTTCCCTAAACTCCGTTTGCTAAATCTCATCTCATCTCGGCCATCTTTCATTCTGTCCAAAGTCTCCCGTCGAGGATATTCCCGCCCAAGCTCCCGCTGTCGACCAGAAACCTCCTCCTGTTGACATTAAGCGACCTTCCGTCGAGAGCTCCAAGAGGGCTCAAAGTCCAAGCCAAGACGAAGGACTGGTGTTACTTCCTGCCCCTTCTCCATCCGCAATCGGACGACCTCAGTCGGACCCCGGCGCGAACTGATCCACAGCGATTGTTACGTGGCTGATGGGTAGCGTACGCCTACATGTAGTGGGATGGGGAAACAACACATTATTGATGACAATCGAAGACTCTCGATCTTTTACGACATGCTATCACAACGATGTATAGTCGAAAGGGTTACAAGGAGCAACGACATATGACATACCTTGTTTACTTTACATACGATTTTCAGTCGAACAATCTATACTAAGCGTTGTGTCTTGGTGCGATATTCGCTGTCATTTCGCTCGCGGTTCGAGACTAGCTAGACTAGGCTCTTGGAAAAGGCCACCTTGACCTTCCTGATGAGTAAAGCACGGGCTGAAGTGTAGCCATCAATACCTAAGCTTCCTATTCCCGGCCACCCCGCCGTTTTACCACCCCGTTGAACAAGTTTCTTGTATTGTTCAATAGGTGAATCTGTCAAGGTGGTAGCAGCAGAACAGTTTACTTTTTGCGTTTGAGTGCGAAAGGCATCCCACTATTACTTGATCACTAACGACTCTTACTCGTTCGTGAAGACCTGATCGGAAATTAGCGTCCGCGCTGGGAGTCCTCTGGGGACGAAACCTGTCTACATATATATAACAACAGCCATTCTACTCCCTCACAAACAAGAAAATTTCCTTCCTTTCCCTATCCACTAGCAGACGAACCGAATACGATCACAAGCAAGTCACCGCGACTTACCATCTGTTCGCCTACCCCCCCTTCGTCGGCATACTCCAGATCGGCAGACAAAACGGCACCATCCGAGATGGATGATACTTCCGGCCAGGAGACGGGAGGGGGGCCATGTGGGAATTGCCGGGTCGCGGATTATCGTCAGTCGAATGTTATCACTCCTACTCCAACTCGCGATCCCAGCTTCGAACTGTAGACTATAAAACAGCAGCTGTATTGCTGTGGCTGTTCGTCGTAGTGCGATGGCCTCGAGCGTTGTGGACGCAGCACGACCAAGAAGCTCGATTGTTCCTCCCGAGACGTGGGGCGACCTGCCAGCGCTATTTCTTATTCCTGACTCGCTACAACGATGGCACAGGTATTTGAACCATGTGTCAAGCGAGTTCAAATTTGGCATGCTGCAGGTGTTCATCAGCATACTGGCGCATTGAAGTGGAGTTGACCGTGAGACGCCGATATGCGACTTGTGATTGTTTCGCTAGATTTGACAATGCAGTTTTACTACATACTATAATGTGTTTCTATTTCAACATTGACAGGGGGCGTAGGGTAGTGTAAGGACGGCCGCAAACCGTTCGTGTTTCGATGTGACAGAGGACTGGCGTTACCGATCAATCCTGTTAGCTGATCTGCAAAGGCTGTTTGCCATGTGTTTGCCACGTGTTGTCACCCAGCCGGCATCCAGTGCTCATATGTGATGTTTTAGAGGATTGTGCTCGTCTGTGGTGCAAACCTGCCTGACCGTCATCAAGGCCCGTCATTGTTGAGATGAACCCCGCTTAGGATGGATACCTACACGGATAGCTCTCCCGCTCATATGTTGACAGGATCTCACGATCACATCCATTGAAGAGATAAGAGGTGGCGTTTTCTGCAGAGTCCACATGGTTTGTTGATGTATACCGATGTGAGACAAGCTCAACATCGTTTGGGGATATAGTTTAGTGGCAATCCATCATTCAGCAGCGTGACATTATCAAGCTCCGGGGTATGGTCTGCGAGGACTAGCGAAGTTTCTGGCTGGATTCTCACAGAAGCCGCTATGAGAGATCCTTGCATGTGTATGCACAGACGTCTACGTTGGGACAGGTCTGGAACCACAGAGCCAACTCGCTTGAACAAGGGAGAACTACCCGTGATCATCGAACCATCAGGAGATGGACATTGCTGGCAACTATTATAGGCGTCACGTGACGCGCGACCTACGGTGCGCGTCGCCTCGGGGTCTCGTTCGGAGACCCTCTCGGAGACCCTCTCGGAGACCTTTTAGGAGATGTTCTCGTAGGCGTCTAACTAGTACCTTGTAGTAGTTAGACATCCGTTATTACATCGCTATGCCTACCGTTACCTTTCCCCAGTCCCGCGACCTTATTACCCCAAGACCCGGCAGGTCGGCTGCCAGGCCTTATAGCAACACGGATGACAATCATCCTTGGCACACAGTCACAACACTCCCGTCGCCCACCGTTCACGTTTCGATGTGACAGAGGACTGGCCATGCCGATCAATCCTGTTAGCTGATCTGCAAAGGCTGTTCCCCATGTGTTTGCCATGCGTCGTCCCCCAGCCGGCATCCAGTGCTCATATGTGATGTTTTAGAGGATTGTGCTCGTCTGTGGTGCAAACCTGCCTGACCGTCATCAAGGCCCGTCATTGTTGAGATGAACCCCACTTAGGATGGATACCCACACGGATAGCTCTCCCGCTCATAGGTTGACAGGATCTCACGATCACATCCATCGAAGAGATAAAAGGTGGCATTTTCTGCAGAGTCCACATGGATTGTTGATGTATACCGATGTGAGACAAGCTCAACATCGTTTGGGGATATAGTTTAGTGGCAATCCATCATTCAGCAGCGTGACATTATCAAGCTCCGGGGTATGGTCTGCGAGGACTAGCGAAGTTTCTGGCTGGATTCTCACAGAAGCCGCTATGAGAGATCCTTGCATGTGTATGCACAGACGTCTACGTTGGGACAGGTCTGGAACCACAGAGCCAACTCGCTTGAACAAGGGAGAACTACCCGTGATCATCGAACCATCAGGAGATGGACATTGCTGGCAACTATTATAGGCGTCACGTGACGCGCGACCTACGGTGCGCGTCGCCTCGGGGTCTCGTTCGGAGACCCTCTCGGAGACCCTCTCGGAGACCTTTTAGGAGATGTTCTCGTAGGCGTCTAACTAGTACCTTGTAGTAGTTAGACATCCGTTATTACATCGCTATGCCTACCGTTACCTTTCCCCAGTCCCGCGACCTTATTACCCCAAGACCCGGCAGGTCGGCTGCCAGGCCTTATAGCAACACGGATGACAATCATCCTTGGCACACAGTCACAACACTCCCGTCGCCCACCGTTCACGTTTCGATGTGACAGAGGACTGGCCATGCCGATCAATCCTGTTAGCTGATCTGCAAAGGCTGTTCCCCATGTGTTTGCCATGCGTCGTCCCCCAGCCGGCATCCAGTGCTCATATGTGATGTTTTAGAGGATTGTGCTCGTCTGTGGTGCAAACCTGCCTGACCGTCATCAAGGCCCGTCATTGTTGAGATGAACCCCACTTAGGATGGATACCCACACGGATAGCTCTCCCGCTCATAGGTTGACAGGATCTCACGATCACATCCATCGAAGAGATAAAAGGTGGCATTTTCTGCAGAGTCCACATGGATTGTTGATGTATACCGATGTGAGACAAGCTCAACATCGTTTGGGGATATAGTTTAGTGGCAATCCATCATTCAGCAGCGTGACATTATCAAGCTCCGGGGTATGGTCTGCGAGGACTAGCGAAGTTTCTGGCTGGATTCTCACAGAAGCCGCTATGAGAGATCCTTGCATGTGTATGCACAGACGTCTACGTTGGGACAGGTCTGGAACCACAGAGCCAACTCGCTTGAACAAGGGAGAACTACCCGTGATCATCGAACCATCAGGAGATGGACATTGCTGGCAACTATTATAGGCGTCACGTGACGCGCGACCTACGGTGCGCGTCGCCTCGGGGTCTCGTTCGGAGACCCTCTCGGAGACCCTCTCGGAGACCCTCTCGGAGACCTTTTAGGAGATGTTCTCGTAGGCGTCTAACTAGTACCTTGTAGTAGTTAGACATCCGTTATTACATCGCTATGCCTACCGTTACCTTTCCCCAGTCCCGCGACCTTATTACCCCAAGACCCGGCAGGTCGGCTGCCAGGCCTTATAGCAACACGGATGACAATCATCCTTGGCACACAGTCACAACACTCCCGTCGCCCACCGTTCACGTTTCGATGTGACAGAGGACTGGCCATGCCGATCAATCCTGTTAGCTGATCTGCAAAGGCTGTTCCCCATGTGTTTGCCATGCGTCGTCCCCCAGCCGGCATCCAGTGCTCATATGTGATGTTTTAGAGGATTGTGCTCGTCTGTGGTGCAAACCTGCCTGACCGTCATCAAGGCCCGTCATTGTTGAGATGAACCCCACTTAGGATGGATACCCACACGGATAGCTCTCCCGCTCATAGGTTGACAGGATCTCACGATCACATCCATCGAAGAGATAAAAGGTGGCATTTTCTGCAGAGTCCACATGGATTGTTGATGTATACCGATGTGAGACAAGCTCAACATCGTTTGGGGATATAGTTTAGTGGCAATCCATCATTCAGCAGCGTGACATTATCAAGCTCCGGGGTATGGTCTGCGAGGACTAGCGAAGTTTCTGGCTGGATTCTCACAGAAGCCGCTATGAGAGATCCTTGCATGTGTATGCACAGACGTCTACGTTGGGACAGGTCTGGAACCACAGAGCCAACTCGCTTGAACAAGGGAGAACTACCCGTGATCATCGAACCATCAGGAGATGGACATTGCTGGCAACTATTATAGGCGTCACGTGACGCGCGACCTACGGTGCGCGTCGCCTCGGGGTCTCGTTCGGAGACCCTCTCGGAGACCCTCTCGGAGACCTTTTAGGAGATGTTCTCGTAGGCGTCTAACTAGTACCTTGTAGTAGTTAGACATCCGTTATTACATCGCTATGCCTACCGTTACCTTTCCCCAGTCCCGCGACCTTATTACCCCAAGACCCGGCAGGTCGGCTGCCAGGCCTTATAGCAACACGGATGACAATCATCCTTGGCACACAGTCACAACACTCCCGTCGCCCACCGTTCACGTTTCGATGTGACAGAGGACTGGCCATGCCGATCAATCCTGTTAGCTGATCTGCAAAGGCTGTTCCCCATGTGTTTGCCATGCGTCGTCCCCCAGCCGGCATCCAGTGCTCATATGTGATGTTTTAGAGGATTGTGCTCGTCTGTGGTGCAAACCTGCCTGACCGTCATCAAGGCCCGTCATTGTTGAGATGAACCCCGCTTAGGATGGATACCTACACGGATAGCTCTCCCGCTCATATGTTGACAGGATCTCACGATCACATCCATTGAAGAGATAAGAGGTGGCGTTTTCTGCAGAGTCCACATGGTTTGTTGATGTATACCGATGTGAGACAAGCTCAACATCGTTTGGGGATATAGTTTAGTGGCAAAATCCATCATTCGCAGCTTCAAGCTCAACATTGATGGGCCCTGGGTTCGATTCTCAGTGTCTCCATTTATTTTTGCATTTTTTCCGCCCTGTTCCCAAATTTTCCCCTTTCCGACACCTGGGGCGCGCCCGCGCGCCCCCGCCCTCGACTGATCGCCCTCGAACGATTCTGCCTCTATATGCCCGGTCGTGCCTTCTGATATCTGTCATAGGTTACCCGAGTCCCTGTCCTCTCAACATATCCCCTCCACCAGCCTCGTCCGCCTCGATTTGCATTTGCCCTCCATTCGAATCGCGCGCCACTTTTGCCCGTCCGTTTCAAATCCAAACTTCCCGATCATTGTCCATCTCCGATCTCAAGCTTGACAGCGTTACCTTTGGCATGAGGCGACACTTGCGGTGACAGCGACTGCGGTACTGCGATGTTATCGCGTGATAGAAACATCGACGTCAATGATCGAGCATGTACCCACACCCGACGCGGACGGAACTCGGCTCGCGCTCGCGAGCCCGATGTTCACCCTGATACCATCGTCATAGTACATTCGCACCGGGTGCCACCGACGCAACCGAACCTGATTTCCGTATCATTGCGCTCGGGAAGCCTTAGCTTTCAGCGTGCTGTTCGCTCGACACCAAGTTTGCTCCAGGACATATAACTTCCGTACATTCGCGTCGACCGCCGTAATCTCCGATGAAAAACGAAAAACAAAGAGCACAAAGTCCGCCACCTGTCGGGACACAAGCGGATTGCATAGAAATGCCTAAGGCACAACCCTGAGTGAACTGAGACGATTATGAGCCAAGTGAACGTCGATTCGGAAGTCCACCACGAGCCGCGTTAATACAATAACTGGCTGATCCGCGAATTGCGCGAGCAGACTCGCTCGTCCTTACTGGTATGGTCGTGCAAGCACAAAGACACCCTTTCAAAGGCTCGTACAGGCGTATCGATTGTACCTTTACAGTCGACCATTTGCGCTGTAAGACCACGAGGTCAAAGAACGGGCCATAGCAATCAGAAAAGCCCGTCGCTTTCCCGGCTTCATTCGCGCAATGGCGGTTTCGTTTCATAGACAGAGACGGCTCGCATCTAGGTCAAACATATGTTACTCTACTATTCTGTACCTTTGGGACCTCGCAAAAATACGAATATACTGCATGACGAATCGCGCCTATCATTGTGTCGTTGTATCTCGATTCTCGAACAGACCGAAATTTCATTGCCCGATGACATCGTAGCGCATTTTTGCCTACAAGCGGAAATACACCTGAAGTCTAGCGGCGTTTCTCGATGAGCTCAAAGTCGTAGACATGAATTCGACCCCGGGCAATACCTCTGCTCATATGTCGCCATCTGTGAAACTGCCGAGCGCGATCGCTCAAACAAACATTCGCCCACAGGACAATGGATGTGCTCGTTTAGTGGCGGTCGACGGGCGCCAGCTGAAACACTGGTATCCCCGTTTCATAAGCCGAGCATGATGACATGGGAACGATGTCCTCAGCAAAACCATGCTACACGTGCATCATGTCTTCCGCGTCGTTAGATATATCCGATAATTACCTGGATCGTCGATCATTCCTGTACTTGCAGACACCTCGAAGTTCCAGTCGTCGCAATTGAAAATCAACCGCATCCATTCGGCATCCGACAACAGCCAATCCCAATTCCCATATCCACCACATTCTCGACTTTCAGCAAATCCGGCGCTCTCCACACTTCCCCTTGCATCACGTCTCATGTATGGCATTTCACCTAATATGATCAGGCGAACACATCCCATTCCCCGTTCTTCGAAACCTCAAATTGCTAGCTGCTCCCGTCCCGTCTCGGGCGACCTTGACTCCGATTGACCTTATCTGCAGTCTAGACCCGCGAGCCCCTATCGGGCCTCTAATCAGGTTTTGAGCAACCCCTCGTCGGCCTGGTCATCTTACCACCAGGTATTGGGAACCCTACGTTATCAGGGACGGTTTCAGCGCGATCCACTTCTTTGATTGATCTCGCTATACTCGTCGTTCGAGCGAAATCTCAACGACTCTAAGTTACGCGAAGTGAGTTGGATGAATCCTCAGAATACGAGCTTGCCTTCCTTGTCCCCGTCGAAAGAGGCGCCAAGTCGGGCAGCATCGTCTTACAGGGGATGTTCAGTGAGGTCTCACCGCTCGGAGCGATGGTTGATTGTATGACTGAGAAACCGGTCGGAACGGCTTCGACCAAGTCGAATGAGATCCATCGATCCGGAACGTGATCATCAGTGAAACGGACAAGTCGCACAAGACGAACAGCTCTAGCCACGAAGACCAGAATTTCAATGGACCATGCGACCAACACCATGTTCAAATCATCATCTCATGATCATCGTCATTCAAAAGTACGAAATCAATAGAAAGAGGTTCCCTCAACATCCCCGACATCGAACCCTACAACCCGCTCGAAAATAGACTAATACACCGAGACAAAGGAGAAACAACGGGTTGCAGACCAGAGACGAAGGAGTTGGGAAGAAGGAGGCAGCGAAGAGCGAATGGTTGTAAAAGGGCGAGTCGGGGAAGATTGGCGCTACTGGCCAGGAAGCGATCGTCGACCTCGAGGATGGGCGAGTGGATTGTTGGGTGCGGTGAGGCGAGTTTACTAAAGAGCGAGCGAGCGACGTGTAAGCGAATGTACGAAAGAGAAATGAAAGGTGGAGCGATGACTCACGACCTCCTGCGAGACCTGGGTCTTCTTGGCCTTGGAAGCGGTCTTGACGGGCAAGAGCTCGGCGTGGATCGAGGGAAGGACACCTCCTTGCGAGATGGTGACTCCTCCGACTGCGAGTACGATAAGTAGAGTAATGTAAGCGACCGGAACCCGATCGGAACAAATCGAAGACGCCGACGTACGAAGCTTGTTCAACTCCTCGTCGTTCCTGATGGCCAACTGCAAGTGTCGGGGAATGATACGAGACTTCTTGTTGTCTCGGGCGGCGTTACCGGCCAACTCGAGGATCTCGGCAGAGAGGTACTCGAGGACGGCGGCGAGGTAGACGGGGGCACCAGCTCCGATTCGCTCTGCGAGGTTGAACGCGAAAGGTCAGTCGGGGAAGTAGATACGAGGAGAGACTTCGATGCTCACGAGCGTAGTTGCCCTTTCGGAGGAGACGGTGGATACGACCGACGGGGAACTGGAGACCGGCCTTGGAAGATCGGGAGGTCGACTTGGAAGCGGCACCTTCGCCGGATTGAGCTTTGCCACCTTTGCCAGACATTGTAAGAGCGAGTTGATAAAGTTGGGTGGGTGGTGGTAGGTGGTAAGGTAAAAGCGAGAGTGGATGAGAGCTTGTGTGTGAGAATCTAGACTGGATCGAGAATGTAGAGTTGAAGTTGAACGAGACGAGGTCGATGGCTATATACGCAGAGTCGAGGTGAGAATGGGGTGACGCGAGACGCGCGCGTCGTCAGAGGCAGGGTGGGGCGACGCGAATGCAAGAGGGCGAGAGCGAGGCGGGCTGACGAGGATGGCGCGAATAAAAGACAACCGTTGTCTTTTATTGTCTTTTATTCGTCTCGGCCGCGCGCGAGATGGGGTCTCACGTGATCCGATTCATACCCAGCCTGCCTGCCTCGTCCCCCCTTGCCCCCCTCCCCTCCTAGCAACGCGTTGGACGCGTCACACAATCCCATTCTCACCTCGCTCGCCATTCAAATAGGCCAGACCATCTCTACTTCGTTCCAATCAACCCCTCCGTCCATATCCCACCTCTCTTCACCAAAACCATCTCATCTCAATCGTCACTTCGACTTTCAAACCGCCTTCGACTTTCCACTCAACCCACCAATCAACTCTATCGAAATGGCTCCCAAGTCCGCTCAAGCTTCCAAGGTCAGTCTTCTCCGGCGACGTCTTTACCTTGCCTCGACCGAACGATGTCGTCTGACTTCCGATTCGTTCTACTTTGCTTCTCGTAGGCCCCTGCCTCTTCCGGTACCGCCTCCAAGGCCCCTGCCGCTTCCAAGGCTCCCGCTAAGGCTGCCAAGACCGCCGCCCCCAAGGCTGAGGGTGCCGACAAGAAGAAGAAGAAGTCCAAGAGGGTGAGCATTCTGAGCGACCGGCGGTTGGTCGAGATCTTTGAAACTGACGACGACGACGCTTCTTGATCTTCCTTAGACCGAGTCTTACTCTTCGTACATCTACAAGGTGTTGAAGCAGGTCCACCCCGACACTGGTATCTCCAACAAGGCCATGAGTGCGTTGCCTCCGTCTTGACATCTTCGCTCCGTTCTCTTGCTGACATCGAACATGTCTCCTTCATCCTCTTAGGCATCCTCAACTCGTTCGTCGCCGACATCTTCGAGCGAATCGCCACCGAGGCCTCCAAGCTCGCCGTCTACAACAACCGATCGACCATCTCTTCCCGAGAGATCCAGACTGCCGTCAGGTTGATCCTCCCCGGTGAATTGTCCAAGCACGCTATCTCCGAGGGAACCAAGTCGGTCACCAAGTTCTCTTCCGCCGGCAAGTAATCGGGTCGTTTTTCGTCCCATTACTTTTCCCATCACCTCCCCACCGACATCTCGCCCATCCCCGTTGGACTGGCCACCCGACGATACACACAATCTCCCTCCCGACCTTTGCTTTTCGCTCAGGGATATCGAACACGAACCTCGAGCGTGTTTTCGCTATACCCGCCCATTTTTATAACCTTCGATTGTGGACTGCACTTGCTCCTTTGTAATGCGACTGTATGATGAGATGATGATGATCAACGATCACGTATTACGAGTCGGGTCGGATGCTGGTTTTCCGAGACGTTTGCAAGATTTGGGATTATGATCTTGTTACATTGCCAGACTCGCCGTTCCGAAGTTGCACAACCCTAGCTGCCAGCTGTTCCCTGCCCCTGACTGTACACGCTGTCGAGAATGGATCGGTCGAGGTCGAGAGTCGAGAGTCGGTCTTGTCCGATCCCATCAATCCCCCAACTTCCACTCAGCTCCGAACAAACTTGAATTCTGTAGATCTCGCATCCATTCACGTCTTTATCGAGCACCGACTTCTTAGATAACCAGCTAGTCAGAGGGATACACAATTGGATATTAAGATTGGACTATAGTCTTTACGGACGGACCTCCGCGAGCATCAATAATACAGCCGGAGCTCGCGACAAAACAGCTCTGAAGGGTGAGTGACCTATGGCCTTGCACGATCTTTAGCATCACGATTGTATCTGACTGGACTATCTGCTACCATACAAGTCCATCAAGAAGGATAACGTGCCTCTGATTTGGGAAGAGATCGTCTTCAAAGTTGGACAGGCGGGAGCGAGAACGACTGAGGCACAAGAATGCAATCGACCAGCTCGAGACAATCGACCTTCAAGCGGAATGCGCATGTAGCGTATTTCAGGCGGTGCTTACAGGCTATGCCTAGCAAGGCTACCGAGGGGGATGGGAACAGGCAAGTCCAGCCTTATCGACGAGCTTCGAATAAGGCTTTGAGAGAGGGGTCGAGCTGATCATTCGGAGATGCGGGTTGGGTTTGATGATAGGATGACGCTAGGCTATTTCTGCGTCGGAGGACTGGATCTTCTTGGGTATTTCGAGGGTATTTTGGAAGGAGGAGAAGATGAAGCGAAGAGGAAGACTAGGGAAAGTTGGATAGAGTGGGTTTGGGAGATGCAAGACCGTCAGTATGTTTCTCGTCCTACTTCGACCGTCTGGTAAAAGCACTTTGTTAATATTTGATTCGGCTTGATCACATACAGCCAACGGTGGATTTAGAGGTTCTTCATATATGAACACCGATAAGGCGGGACCTTCAACATCGGCGGCGACATCTTCGAACCCGGCTCACTTACCATCGACGTATACGGCCATCCTCATCCTGGGCATCTTACGAGCAGACCTGTCCAGGCTGAACCGGAAAGGGTTATGGGAATTCGTCAACAGCTGTCAAGAACCGGACGGATCGTAAGTATAGGCCTGTCATCTGCTTCTGGTCGCTTTGTCCTGACCTGCCTATCATGTGATCTGGTCAGATATGCAACGCTACCACTGAGCGCTACGCCTGACCGACCGAAACCCTCCTTCGAATCCGATGCTAGGATGGTTTACTGCGCCTCAGTCATCCGGGATTGGATCAGATTGTCAGGACTCGAGTTGTCCGAGTTGGAACGTCGCACGAACGAGGAGGCCATCGAGAAGACGAGAAGGTGGATTGTAGCATGCCAGGTGGGGGTCGTCTTGTGGCCGCGCGAGGCATTGGACAGGCAATCACTGACTCTGTGGTCCTCTTGAAATCGGATAGACATGGGAAGGCGGGTTCGGAGGACGTCCAGGATTAGAAGCTCAAGGTGGGCGCTACCGTCCAGGCGTGCGTTCCCCAGCGTAGCTGATTCTCCTGACTTTCACTAGGCGGGACCACATATTGCTGCGTCACGGCGGCCTCGTTACTAGGCTCAACTTCGTTCGACTCGGAATCCGCTAGTCGCTGGCTATCACAACGACAAGTAAGCGATGGAGAGGGCGGATTCCAAGGCAGACCCGGCAAGGACGAGGACGTGTGTTATAGCTTTTGGTGCGGTGCGGCCATGCGGGTAGGTCCTCTTTTCGGAAGCCAGCTCTCGGCCACTCAAACTGATCCTGAGCGCTGCGGCAGGTCTTGACGGGACAATCGATGTTCGACGTCTCTGCCAACTCTCAAGCTCTACTCGGCGCACAATCTCCAATCGGCGGTTTCGGCAAGGCGGCTGGCGAGTTCCCAGGTGAATTCGCGATGCCAATCCACATTCGTTTCCCAAGTGATCTGACCAGATTGACGGGTTTACTTGATAGATCCGTTTCATTCCTACTTAGCACTAGCAGCTTTGGCTATGAATGAGGAGATCCTCATCAACGAAAGCGAGTCGGGATCAGAAAGCACGAGACTAGGTCTGCAACCTCTAGACCCGGTTTGGAACGTGACGAAGCAGACTCGGGCATACTTGGAGTGCGCTTTAGCACGTCTATAATGTTGACAAGAAGCGGGATTCGACGTATCGCTCCTTTCTTTTACGACGGGCTACGAGTTATCAATGCTCCAATACGTTTCTTACGACGATGCATCATCTAGAGATGTGTACATAATATAGGGCTAGCCTGGCAGCGGGAAACTCGCTTTGCGTAGGGCTTCGAATTTTTTATGCAGCCACTATGCTTACCAGGCGCACGAATAGGGAAGCTGCCGAGATCTGCAGCTGACATACTTGCAATATGCGGCGGTCTGGCTAGGTTGAATTCTTTCGCTTAGTCCTAAACTTATATAGGTAGTCCGGTAGTCCCCAATGTACCGAGTTGCCGCGCTGAGTTTACCAAGATTCTGTTGATGTATGACAGAAGATGAAACCCGCTAATGATAAGGCCTTCACGTAATTCCACCTTGCCACAAAAAGTCTGACGTGTCATTTTCTCCCGACCGACCCACTTTGATCACCCAGAGCTAGACGGCCCATTCATCGACCTTCGATATCAAAACGCTGACCTTTATCACCGCTTAGACCTCGCCTAACGACCTTCCCTCAACATCCTCAACACCATCCTCGAGAGCCTGCAAGAATGAGTGTGAGTTCTTTAACCGTTAGGCTAGCGAGAGGAGTGTATGACTGATTACCTGGATCGCACCTGCAGGCCGGTTTCGGTTACAACAACGGCCCAAGCCGATGCAATGCCTTTTTCACCGAGTTCATGAAGGTCCGTCTCAGCCCCCTTGCACATGTAGTCTCTGAATCGTACCAGCAACGGTGTCGATATTGATGATCTCTCATTCTTTTTCTTGAATCTGCGTGATGGATTTAGTGTTACGCCGGTGCGGAGGACCCTCAGGAGTGTGTGTTGACGAAGGACGATTACCTAGAGTGTCTGCATAGGACCAAGGAAGTGAGTCAAGGAGCCGGGCTTTATTCCGTCGTTTGATCTGTCTGGTCGTCTTGGAGCGGAACGATGTGGTGTCGGTTACAAGAGGGTATCCGACCTATGACCAGGAGAATGAGCGATTTAGGAAGATGGTCCACCTGGAACGACATCAGGGGTTCGGGAGACGGATCGGAAACCGACAATAAGGCTTCGAACAATCCTCAACCTGCTCCGAGGCCGAAAATATTACGATTTGGACTGTCCGTCGGCCAAAAGAAAGAGTGGCTCAGGTGGAATTATCGATGGGACCTGAAAGCGGGAGGTTGATGCCGAGGAAGATGGACCTCGGGCCGCGGTTTGACGGAGAGGAATATGGGATCCTCACGCAACCCTTTTCTCATTCGGGATCATCGCAACCCGCTGAAGCCGGCAGTGAAAGCGCTCGACCCACGAGTCGGGTGTCAGGGGGGAGTGAAGAAATAGGGAGCGAGGCGGGGGCGAAGGCGGATGGAAGCTCGGGTCTAGCAAACCGTTGCTCGGGGAATGAAACCGCACGTTAAGCCAGGATATCAACGAGTTGGAGTCGAGGTCACCCCTTCGCACTCGGTGGACGGGTTGAGAGTCGGCACGATAAGACGCAGGCCGGAGAAGGATATTTCGACATACGTCGCAAAATCCTGGCTCATGGGCGAATCTTCGCCGGACATCGGAAATCGCTCGGAAGCCTTTTCAATCATGTCGTACCTTCCCAATATTTTATTCCAAACCTATATTCCAGGACGACGACCTAGACATAAACACCAACCCAGAACTAAGCTGACATCCCGCACTTGCCCCTTCTCTACATTGCCACAGATCGCCCGAGCCAAGCAAATCAAGTCCCACTTCCTCCAAAAGACTGCTACGGAGCACTCTGACGCACGCAAGGCCAACGAGGAGAGCGCCAAGGGGGTCATTGTCAGTTTGGGATTGATCAAGGGAGAAGAGGGGGACGACAAGTAGATTCGAGGCGATATGATCGGCTGTACGTTATGCGATGCGATGTGATGAGAAGGGCATGATGCGGACATGGTCGGGAGATCGAAGAGGGCGACACCACTTAGTAGCCACAGGGATGGTGTTCTGCATGTATGCGACCGAGTAATCTGGAACTCTACCGTGTTCGGTTCGAGGTCGTCGACGCGGTCCCCCTCGAGTCTATGGCTCACGCGACAGCCATCTTCCGGCGGGAACTGTCCGCCGGTCTGGGCTGAGGCTATGACGCATCCTTCTATCGACCGACACTGTTCAACGTATCATTCAGACCATCTACATCCATCGATAGCCAGTCAACACATACAACAGCCTCTGAGCATCCTTTCCATCTTATAATCTAAACTAGACAAGCAATTCTCACGATGCAGGCGATCAAGCTAGCGAAAAAGTACCCTACGCTGCAGCAGGACGAGGTCATGGGCCTCGTCAACCAGTTCAAGTGAGCAGTCATTCCCAAGTCGATGTCATGGAGGTTGGCTATCGGTATCGAGGTTCAATTCTCTGTGCATTTACAGCCAAATCGATGTCGAGGACAAGGGTAGCCTGGACAAGGCCGCCGTCCTCCAGCACCTCACCTCGACCAACGCGGCCACATACGATTCCGCCCGAGAAGCACTCAAGCGGACCAACATCGACGCTTCGGGCAAGGTCGAGCTGGAAGACTGGGTACAATTGCATTCGTTGTTGAAACAGGGCGCTGGGGGTGATATGGAGGCGGTCAAGGGCAAGATCGCGGTGCAGGGGACGAAAGGGACTAATGCGCAGCATACGATTAATGAGGATGAGAGGAGGAGTTTTACCGACCATATCAATGCTGTGAGTACAGGCAGCGATGCGTTTGCAATTCCTGGATACATCGCTGACGATATGAACTGGAACTTGTTTCGCAGGTTCTTTCTGGCGATGCCGATATCGGTCACCTGCTACCGATCCCGACCGACACCATGCAACTGTTTGACGAATGCCGAGGTTAGCTTTACATGAGCCGTGCCTCTGCCCGATTTCCTGGAGACTGACCGTCTCAACATCCCGCTCGCAGATGGTCTGATCCTGTGTAAACTTATCAACGACTCGGTCCCGGACACGATCGATGACCGAGTCCTCAACAAGTCCACCTCGAAACGCAAACTCAACGCCTTCCAGATCACCGAGAACAACAACATCGTCATCACCTCTTCCAAAGGTATCGGATGCTCCGTCGTCAACATCGGCTCTCAAGACATTTCCGAGGGAAGGGAACACTTGATCCTGGGTCTGATCTGGCAGATCATCCGACGAGGACTGTTGAGCAAGATCGATATCAAGCATCATCCGGAATTGTACAGGTTGTTGGACGATGGGGAGACTTTGGAAGAGTTTTTGAGGCTGCCGCCTGATCAGATCTTGTTGAGGTGGTTCAACTTTCACCTCAAGGCGGCCGGTTGGAAGAGGCGGTGAGTGCGGTCGCTTTCAAGAAGCCAAGGCGGTTTTCGAAATTGACGTGTATCTGTGCTCTGAACAGCGTCGCCAACTTTTCGAAGGACGTGTCGGACGGAGAGAACTACACTGTACTGCTGAACCAACTCTCACCCGAAAACTGCTCTCGATCGCCCTTGCAGACTTCGGACCTGCACCAACGTGCCGAACAGGTCTTGCAGAACGCCGACAACATCAACTGTCGACGATTCCTCACGCCAAACTCGCTCGTCTCTGGAAACCCCAAATTGAACTTGGCCTTTGTTGCTCATCTCTTCAATACCCACCCGGGTCTCGAACCGCTCGAGGACGTCCCTGCGCCCGAGATCGAAGACTTTGACGCCGAGGGTGAACGAGAAGCCCGAGTGTTCACCCTCTGGCTGAACAGTCTCGATGTCGATCCGGGTGTTTATAACTTGTTCGAAGACCTCAAGGATGGTAGTGTCCTCTTGCAAGGGTTCGACAAGGTCATCCCCGGTAGCGTCATCTGGCGTCGGGTATCGAAGCCCAAGGAGGGCCAAGAGTTGTCCCGATTCAAGGCGGTCGAGAACACCAACTATGCCGTCGAATTGGCCACTGCCAACAAGATGCACATGGTTGGGATTCAAGGGAGTGATATCGTCGATGGGACCAAGACGTTGGTGCTCGGTCTGGTCTGGCAGTTGATGAGGTGAGTCGATGTGACCAGATTGTGAAGATTCTTTGGAGCTCATGTTCACATCTTTCGGGTGTCTTTGCAGACTGTCGATCAACCAGACCTTGGCCTCGCTGAGCAAGAACGGTCGAGGCGTAACTGACATGGAGATGGTCCGATGGGCCAACGAAAAGGTCAAGTCGGGCGGCAAATCGAGCACGATGAAGTCGTTCAAGGACCCGGGTTTGGGTAACGCCGTCTTCTTCCTCGACCTGTTGAACGCCATCAAGCCGGGTTATGTCGATTACGCTTTGGTCACGCCAGGCAGGAATGACGAGGAGAAGCGTTCGAACGGTCAGTGGTGGTCGTGACTTGCGTTTGGACGTAGGATTGGCCGGAGCTAATGATCTCCTGCATGTTTATAGCCAAGTTGGCTATTTCGATCGCGAGAAAGTTGAACGCGCTCATCTTCTTGGTCCCAGAGGGTAAGTCGCTTGTCAGGCTTGCAAACTGAACGTGAGGCTGACGACGACCTGCCGTTTTCGCCCCGCAGATATCGTCGATGTTCGACCTCGTCTGGTGAGACTACTGCTCGACGTTACTGCTATCTGCACCATGGTCACTTACGCTTGTACTCGCTTGCCCTCATCTAGATTTTGACTTTTGTCGGTTCTCTCATGGCCGTCGATTCGCACCAATCTTGAGGCTCGCAAATGCCTTGTACTTAGGAATGAAACCGTTTTTTGCCTTCTTGCTCAAACATTGTCTACCTTGTCTATAACACCCTGTGTCACTTCGTCTATCTGAATTTGAATTTAATATCGCTGTCTGGTCTGAAAAGATGACAAGCACGAGGTCCAAGCCAGGTTCGTCTGCTGTGCCTCGCTCGTCTCCGACGACTTTGTAAACAAAGAACGATCCTGTATGAAAGTCGGTTCATCATGAGCTCGATTCGACATCAATCATCGATCGTCGGCAATTCGACAACACATGTCTACACCGCTGCGTCTTGATTATCACAACGAGTTCCTGTCAAGCTCTCACATAAGAATCAAGGTGGCCTCCAAGTGATCCGATAAGATGACGGTACGTAGGGATAACGCTGCTGGAAATGCGCCAAGACGGCTGATCACGTTGCCGACAACAGGACAACCGATACTCCCACTTGCACTGTTCAGATGCGGCCATTCGAATGCTCGAGTTTGCCTTTGAGGACGAAGAACAGGATTTTGGAAAGATGACCGGTTTTAATGAGGGTGAGCAATAGTATCCTATTCTCAGTGACGAGTATAAGCTGATCTAAAGGTTTTGGGTCCATAGCGATCGAGGTGCCTTACGATTTCGAGCCTCCGCAGCATGACATAGATGACAGCAAGTCTGGATTCCTCTTCCTTTGCATCACCTGTCGGCTAAGCTGGATATCTTGACCTTTCAGCGACCCTGCCCTCGAAGGCACATCCATCATATCCCTTTGGCCGACCTGTTCACCTTTCCCACCCAGCAACGACAAGCAGTACAAGAGTCTCCCTGAGCAGAATGCGAGGCAGGAACGGGGTCGGGGTGCGGGACCTTCTAGGTCGATTAGGAATGGGTGCGTCGAATTCGATTGTCGTCCAGTGCTTCTTCTGTCGCTCATGACCCGCTCGATCGCAATCATAGGCACTTCGTCGTTGAAGTCGACCAAGACGATGTGGAATGATTTTGGGTTACACTCGCGAGTTGGGCACAACAATCAGGGTCTATGGGTAGGCATGTTGGAGGAGGAGGAGAAGAACGAGATTCCGACAGGAATGGCGGTAAGGACAACATTGACCCTGGACGATCTACGCCTGCCGAATCTGATCTGGCCGACTATCTTCACAGGGCGCCAAACGACCTGCTACACCCCCTAGCCCAGCCTTTCGACCGCTTGAAGAGCCCATGGCAGAACACTATTACACCTCTTCCTCCCGCTCGGGAACACCCCTATCGCACATCCCCGAAGGTGGAGAGGACAGCTTTACGAGCGCTACAGGCTTGCCCGCACACCCGGACGATGCGGGCGAGGATGATCGAACTGGATATACAGCGGATTTGTCGCCTGGAGAGGCTGCGGAGAGGAGACGTAGAAGACGGGCTAGGAGGGAGACGGTGGCTACTCGGTTAGATTCGGATGAAGATCGTGATCCAGCTCGGACTTCAACGAGGGCGCAGACCGAGACCTGGTGGGAAGGGTCTTCGCCGAGATGAATTTTGGATCGTGTATGTTTTTACATATAGTACAACCATATCATAATCCGCTAGAATCGCGTCTCGTACCTTCACGCGGCTAGACTCGCTGCACAATGTCCTTCGCCTGTTCCAGCTGAGAGCCCGGGATTGAGACCAGGTCCCACAATCAATCATCCCACAACATGAATCGTCCTTGACTATGCATACAGCTCGTTCTCGCTATACTGCAACCTTCTCATCCTCCGGTACCGGAGTCGATGGCCCTCTTTCGCCAGCTCCACGGAACGTTTCTGAGACCGGAGCCGTGTCGCCTAAGTCACCCGCTTCATTAGGCTGACTGGAGATCGCCTCAGTGACACACACAAAGAACCCTTCAAAAAAGGCCTGATCCGCCTGTCATCTTTGATCTCTCTTCGCGACGACATCGTACTGGACGATATTAGTCCAGATCTAAATGATGTTGCCATTGTCCCACAGTCCGATGAATGAAGCAGCCGATTTTCCAGGATCGACACAACTCTCGTACAGTTTCATCATGACGGCTCTGCAGTCAGCGACGCAGAAATCATACCCCCTTGCGTGCCTCCATTGCTCGGCAAAGCATTCCATTGCTCGGCAAAGCATTCTGCAAACGATGGAGGAGTCTGGTAAACAATTGAACTTGGATCAGAGCGATGCACGCATACACACCAGGTACGAGTCGTGACAGCTTACCTTTGCAGCTGTCTCACGCTATGCGCATCCCTTGCCCCAACAATACGCGACCGGTTTGGCATCTCAGCAACGAATTGTTCCGTAACTTTCGAGTCGCCTTCTGTGACTGTGTAAGAACCGAAGTCATTGTCGCGAACTGACCAGTATCCCAAGGCGGATAACTCAGCCGTGCGCGCGCTTGATGCATCCAGATCGTGATAGTCGCTATCAGGCGCATTGCTTTGGAAGAAAGATGACATGGCGTTTGACATGGCTTTGAAGTGATCAGTTTGTCTTGAAGGGATCGGAAGGGTGGAATCTGAATGGTGAAAGGCTCATTGATCAGCCGGAAAGAGACCCATGTCCACTCTTCCTACTATACCTTATACCTTTTGATCGCTCAAGTTCTACATCGCGTCACATCCCAATGCCTCCTTTCAGTCATGTTTGAACCGGCTTACCGTCGTTCGCCCTCTCTATGATGTGATGGAAGCGTCTCCAAGGAAATAAACGTTACGATAGATTAGCATGACAGCAGGCGCCCTCCTTTCAAGCGGCCATCCAGCGATACGAAACGCCATACAACAAGCTGCAAGCATGGTTCTCTAGCTGGAAACTCCACCTTTCCGCTTCTTCGTACTGTAAGGTCATCTTCGAGAGACGTAACCTATGGCTCTCGCTGCTGAGCCTTCGCGCGGTTTTGTAAAACTCCATCGACGTAACCATCTTCACACGCTCTTCGCCAGACTTCTTCGTCATTTTCTTGATCCCGAACCGCCGACTGGACGCGGCGAAACATGACTTGGAATGTAACAACATTGCCTTTGACCACAGGCAAATACCTGTCGTCTGCTATATCGCTATCTCCGTTACTCTCGCGAATGATCTCCCGCCACAGGCGAAGGACGAACCCCGCATGCCACCCCTCCACGTACTCGCTTGCGCGATTCTTTGGGAGGATGAAACCTTGATCGCACCAATAGAGAAAGTACCTGCGGATTTCTCCAGCCCATTGTTTCGCATTTTCACTGAGGGCGTTAGAGGCCCCTGACGATGTTCCTGCAGAGGCTGTTGTTTCCTGAGCGTGTTCACAGGTCAGAATCAGAATCCTGGCACGTATAGAAGGAAACATGCGAGGCATCAAATTTACCTCTTTAAAAGTGGAGATCTCGTCGAAGCCGATAACAGCCGTAACGTTGTCCAGAAGGCTGGAAGTTACAGCTCGTCAGCGGACTAGAATCGTATACAACCTCCCACTTTCGACAAAGAATTTACGCTTGCATGGCCCGGAGTTGTTTGCATTCTTTCGGAAAGTACAGGCTGCCATTGTCGGTGATAACCGTGCCGTCAATTCCTTCGCCTGCCGAAAGCGTAGATACAGTGGACATCTTCGGTCTAGCAATTGAATCACGGAAATGAAGAACGAAACTGCTTCCGGGCAGCGATTAAGAAGGTCTTCAAGCAGATACCACCCACGTCGCGGCCCAAGAGGGGCATATATGCCGACGTTGTCTGCCCCGATATCTCCCTGTCTTGCAGCGCTTAGCGAATTGCTTTTCTTCGACAAAGGAAACCCTTGCCGATCTGTCTTTGTGCCCAATCTTCCCAGCTGTCACGCATGAATCACTCCTTTCGTCCGAGTCGTGATCAGGTGACCAAGCCGTGAACACCACACAAGGCGTGACCGCTGAACATTCGAGATTCTTAATGGCCGCGTCGATGTCGTTACATGTCGTAATCAAGGTTCATCCGCCTAGTCCCAGGATTGTACAACCCGCTCATGGCGTCCCTCATACCTCCCCTGCCGGGAGCACCACCGTCATGCTCTTGAGCTTCTCTTGCCTCATCTCCTTTCGATCCTTCCTGACCTCCCTCCTCTCCGCCCTCGACGTCTGAACGTATCCCGTCTGCAGCTTGGCCTTGCGTCCCGTCTGAAGCCCGTCCACCGCCTGCCTGATTTCGGCGTTCAAAGCAGAGGTATCTAGTGGTGTCCATGACTCCTTGAGTCGCCCTCGGATGACGGTTTCTGGGATGATGGAGGTAGATGCTTCGGGAGTGAGGGATTTGCGAGCATTTCTTGTGGGGATCTTGGGTTGGCCTGGTTAGCGGCGAGGAGTAGGGACAAGTGAGCTTGCCGATCTAGCGAAATCTACCTCGGCACAACAATTCACCATTCCAGAACAACACTCCCCAAGCCTTGCCGTGTGGTCGACCGCCGGTGTGTTGAACCACAGCTTCCTCCTCGGCCAGTTCACCAAAGATGTCTCCATCGTCGTTGTCCTCCTCGAATTCGTCCTCCTCCCTAGGCTGCTCTTTAGCCTTGCCTTTATCTGCTACCGCCGACGCGACGATGGGCTTTCCGGCCTCATCCACCTGCTGGAATCGAAGCTTTGTTCGGGTGATCTTGTAGAACGAGTTGGGGTACTTGGTTTTCCAAGAAACAGGCTGGACGAGCTGTCCTTGACCGTATTTGGGCAGGCCTGCCAGAAGTTTAGGCAGAGTTGTTTTGGCAGTAGCGGACATCCCGAATGTACTATCGTCTATCCAGCAGCTGTAAGGGTGTGATAGTGGTGTTTGTCAAGTGGTCCGAGTGGACACGATACATCTAAAGTTCGAGCTTGATCACCTCAGTTCGAGGTTCACAAGGTCGATGATGCGCTTGTTCGAGCGATTGCGCTTTTGCTTGACACGCGTAAAATGATGTTTCACTTGTACATTTCGTTTAGATACACAATATGCTCAGCAGACATTGATATACAACTTGTACCGCATAATTCTAAGAGTATCACACAGCACTTTGTGCTAAGGGCTTCTCTTCCGTAAACTGTTTCGAAATACAAATCCGCGTTAGCATCAAAGGCGAGTATAGTGAAATGAACCAATTTCCTTACAGCTGCCTTGGCTTGCGTGCAATGGTCACCCTCGATAGCCTCGTCGATGGCAAGACAGATGAAGAGTGCGTCCGAACTGACAGTAAATGTGAGAATGAGCCAAAAACGACTGATGCGGTTGGCTCCTTGGGGTACTTACGCATCTCCAAGCACTCCCGCACATGCCCGTACAGCGAAGAAAGGCACGCCTCCGCACAGCAACGCAGCGAGCGGTGCGTGGCTCGCAGCTGACAATGCATGCGCTGCGTAGAGATACCCCACTACAGCCGTAGCGAGAGCGATCGTCGTTGAAGAGAGAGTTAAAAGCAATTTAATAAGGGTGTCTGTAGAAATGAGATACTGGTTCAGTCTGGCTTTCAAGGCATAACCTGAACGGTATCACTCACAGTCTAGCAGCCTAGAACCTTTCCGTCGTCCGGCCAGTCCGATAGCTCGTTTGGCGCTGGGCCAGAATGCTTCGCCCGTGACCCCAACGTAGATCAAGGCGTAGCCATTGACATAGTCCAACAGCCCTGAAAGCATAACGATGACAGGGGAAATCGCCGCGACCAGGTCGACTGGTATCGGCAACATCCCTGACCTGGAGTTCAATGCCTGAGATAGATTTCCATCAGCATCCGTGATGCTGAACCGACTTTGATCGGAAAGAGCCTTACCCTGCGCAACTCGATGGCAACACGGCCCAGGAAACGCATCACGGCGACGATCAAAGAGCTGAGGCAAATCGAGCCCAGGCTTGGTCCCGTGGCCCGGTGGATGGCGGCGACAGTCAGATCAACCGTAGCAGGGGGGTCTCGATCGTTACTTGAAGACCGGAGCGATTTGATTAGCGTCTATTACTCCCACAGCGGAAAAACTCTACTTACCGGTGAAAGTACCACTCGCTGATCACAGCAGCGGTAACAACTCGCCCAACCCCCTTGACAACGACCCATGTCCAGAGCCAGAGCAGGGAGACCACCACGATTAAAATGTCCGCGTATGGCTTGACGTGCCAAATGTAGGTGTTCTCGCGGCTAGAAGGATCGGTCGTGACAGTCAGCCAGAGGCCTACTTCTCGCCCGTCATGAAACTCACGGGTGTCGGTAGTACCCGATTAGTAGCAACCGGAGGAGTAGCGTAAGGTAAGGTATGGAAAGCACCGCGAAGACCATGAGCAGTGCGGGAGTGAGCAGTAACACTGGCGGATGATCCAGCAGGAATGAAGAGGACAGCTAAGAAGACCGATATGCTGAGCGGAGCTGAACTATACGCCTCAGTTCCGACTCGACACCCACCTCGACGACAGCAACCGTCCTTTCGAGCCTCTTTCTCCGCTTCCATACCATTCTTCCGAACAAGATAGCCAACGCGAACGGTACGAGGGCGAAAAGGCGCAAGCCTGTCGAGCTCCACCAACGTCCGCCTGGGTCTGCTGGACCTCCAATGTCGCTGTCATCCTCGAACGACGCAATGAAAGCCCACCACGACGTGACGCAGAGCATGAACGGTATCACGACAGCTGTTGCCTGTCGAATGATGACCATCAGCTCGATCGAAGGATCGCGCTTCGACAGAATGAAGCAGAATACTCACAACAAGGACGTGTCGGACGGTCTTTCGAAGTAGCAAAAGGAAGCCTAATGGAGCTGTAACTGCTACCAGTACCAGTATCGAGAGGAGCGGGATCATGTGCAAGAGGGTTGAAAACGGAGTGCGGTACCGGTTGTTCGGTTCCGGCAGGCTGGGTGTCGGAGTGAGCGTTGGCTGTCCACACGAGTTGGCACACTTTACTCAGCAGTCATTCGGTTGTTGATCCAGCGGGACTCACATCGGTAGCGCCCCATACGAAGCATAGACCTATCAAAACCCCGACAATACTGAATAACCAGAGAGCGAGCCATAAAGGATCTGATAAGGAGAAGTGTTAGGTATGGACCCCCAGGTGATTATCGATACGTCTCGGTCAGAGGGTCCCAACTTACCGTTGTACTTCGCAATAGTCTCCCTCCCATTTGCCCAATACCCCATCTTATCCTGTAACACCTCTAGCCTCGGTGGCAACTCCACGCCCTCTACCCCGAGCGCAATCGGATCGTGCAACCTTCTGGGATCATCAAATCCAGCATCGGACAGACTGTCCTCGTCCCCCGACGACCCGATATCGTCGTCACCATAAGATCCATCCGTAAAGCTCCCGGTTGAGGATGAAGTGATGGAGCTTCTTCGACCCGATCTCGATCGACTCCCATCTCCAATTGTATGGTTACGAAGCTGATGATGTGGGATCTCCGGAGAACTGGTATCTTGCAGCTTGCGGTCGGTCGAGATGGGCGAAGGGGTCAATCCCGATGCGTCCAACGGCGAAGGAGCTCGAGCGCTGGAAGGAAAGATACTTTGATGTGCCAACCATCCTCTCCGAGCCGCTGTGTTCATAGGAAGTTCGACGTGATCTTCGTGCTCTGGACCTGCAGACTCCACCATGGTCGCCCTGCCTTTCCCTTTCTTTCCCGGAGAAGACATCGGTCGAGGTGCAAGTATGGATGGATTGATAGTTGGAACACTCCCATCTGCGGCAGAGGCATATATGTATAATCAGTATTACTATGTGAGGAACACCTTGAAGACGTCACATACTGTCATCTTCGGGAGCCTCGAATAACAATGCTGAAGCGGTGGGCAGGTCCTCGGAAGCTTCAAGTTGAGGCAAAGACCCCGTTGAGGAAGATGCCAGATCATGCCTTTGATCGTGTCGAAAAGAAGATGGAGACATCGAACTCGAGGAAGCTGCATAAGGATCAGGCATATCGGACCGGAATAGCTACAGACGATCGGGACAATCGGACCTAAGCGACAGGCAGAGTCAAGACGGTAACGAAGCTTCGCCAGCTTACCGGTGCTTCCGTATCGTCATCCTGCCGCCTCCCTAGCATGCTCATCTTAGACCAATCTGGCATATCTCCCTATCAATGGTGAAGTTGTATCTGCTGGATTCCTGGGGATACAGTCTTGCTTTACAAAGGACGGTCGATAATGAGGCCGAGGAGGCGATGTTCTCGAGCCTGACCCGCCTGTGCGGTATGTCAACGGGTCGTATATTGGTAGACTGTGAATATCGATATCTTCGGTGGATAAAAGAAGTTGATGCTCGAACCTTAATCGACGTTTGATCGCAAGTCGAATCGCAATCAGTAAGCAGTAGCTCTCAATAAGCAACTCGATAGGACAGTGGTAGACGATCGGTGTTGTCCCTTTCGAGGTTGTCGGTCTCAAGCGACAAGTCAGGCGATAAGATTGCGTCACGCATGCGGTCACTATCATACGTATATAAATTAAAAAACAACCAATCTGTTTATCGGCAGGGTTCGATGCAAACGTATAACGCACTCGCCTTTTACTAGTGCGCTCCGTGTATTATGCCCTGATGCCGAGTTCGTATTTCTTTCTCCGCTAAAACGGAATTTTACCTTTTTTGCGCTCGGCACATTCCTCGCGCTCGCGTTTGCCTGTTTCATGATCGTTCAGTCTGTTTCATGATCGTTCAGTCCTCGGATCGAAATGTCCACGTTGTTTGTGGATTACATAGGTAATACTCCTCAAATGTTCGAGATCGTGGCAAACAGCTGGACAACGTACTACCACCAGAGTTATGGATCACTCGACATGGGGCAATGGAATTCTACAACTGCGCCGGGCTCCGGCTGTGAGTCGTTGTACACGGCTAGTGATCAAGTGATTTTCAGTTGCGATGACAATGGTAAAGTGATTCGCTTTTTCGTTGGACCCTCTCAACAGCTCAATTCGAGCATGACCTCAGCAAGAAGCCATGTTGGTGCATACCTGTTTCGCAAAGGTGTTTGTTCCATTACCAAAGAACTCCGCGACCGATGCGAATCGATGTTCTTGCAAGCGTTATATGATGTCCTGTGTAAAGATCAATAGCTCCTACGAAATGTGTAGCAGCAATATTGAACTCAATTCGTCCCAGGCTGAAGCGCGGCAAACTTGACGTACGATGCATTCTTTTAACACTTGAGGGTAGAAAGGCTGAGGCTACACGAATTTCTAGGCTCAGTCGTCGCGGTTTACCGGCACATGCGTGATGGCAAAAATATGACGGTCGTCTGTTATGCATGTGAGGGTCCCAGCTCTCAGAGTGTGGCCCTATGCTCATCCGTTTGGCAAGCACGTAATTGGTAGTACAGATGGAGTCCGCCCCCGCTCGCAGTATCCGTGCAGGACAAACATGGCGGAAGTTGAAAATCCACCTGGTTTATTGATCCGCCCGCGCAAAGACAACGGCTCGAGTCTCGACTGCGACTGGGCCTTCCCACACACGAGAACTGATAATGATCGAGCTCAAGAGGTTCTGTCACACCAGCACAGCGACCAGATCTGGATATTCAATATAGCATTGAACAAGAAGCGAGGAGATGCAGTGCTGCCTCCCATCACGCCCCCGCTTACCACACGGCAACGACAATTGCCTTTCGAATGCGAAATCGTCCGTCTTGACCGCGAACTTATTTCCAACCTCGTGGACCTGCAAACCATCGGTGTTTTTCGTCTCTGAGCGGAAATTGGCCTGTCTCTGTTCCCGAACGTCCAGGTGTCGATAGAGCCACTGGCTGGTTTCGTAAACGGACATCATCACAGGAGCCACTCGTCGAATCGAAGATGGAAGCGAGATGGTATGGGGTCCATAACAATGCAACGGTCGAATACAATACAACGGGAAACTCTATATCTGGACGGGTGCAGCTGGTACGAAACCTAAGGGAGCATTGGGATCTGCCCTGCGCTCCGCATCTGGCGGGACCTGTCCTCGAGCCCGTCGTTCTGCTTGCTCTCTCTCTTCGCGCTGTCGTGCGACACGACCTCGCCACCACATCAGAGTCGAGAAGCCAATGACAAGGAGTGCGATGGAGATGGTTTCCAAGAGGTCACCATCTTCAGAGCCATCCGCGCCTCCATCCATCCTCGAGTTTCTGCGCACGGTCCGACCCGTTTCCAGATAGTCGTCATATGAATCTTCCAGTTCATCCCGCTGTCTAGACCGTGCCCATGTAACCTCGTCCATCTCGTCCTCGATACTAGGCTGGCGATTGGCTTGTGCGGATTTCGAGCCAGGCAAACCGTCCTCGATCATCGGCTTGCGCAGGCCAAAGAGCGCTAGGTGCTTTTGTTTCCCTCCCGTCAGCTGAGCCCACCAGCTGCGAAGATACAGCTTGACGAGGGAGAGCATTACAGGCCATTCGGCTTCAGGATCCGTTTGAGAGCAAAGATCGTAATAGCGCTTGGCGAGGTGCCAGTCCTATGATGTCTCGAAGTTAGCTACAGTATTCAGGGCATGAAAGGCGAGCTCTAATCACCTGTGCTACGCCCAAACCGTTCTCATACATCCAACCTAGGTTCCAGAACGCTACAGCACTGGCTTGAGTGTCTGCAGCGCTCTGATACGAGCCCGCGGCCTTCTCATATCGGTTCTCTCCGTCTGTCACACCTATTCCTTGGTCTGCGGAAGGGATGAGCCTCGTTATAGCCTAGATGACTTTCCAACAAGGACAATCGAGACTTACAGTAGCAATCACCGACCTTGACGAGCGAATCGACATTCTGCTGACCAGCCGAGCGGATCCAGTGTACGAGTGCCGAGAGTGCCAGGTCTTGTGCGATATCCGCCTTGTCCGCAGGAGACAACGTATAGACCGATTTCGAAAGCTTGCCAGATTTTGAGCTGGATCGGCGGTTGACTGGAAGCCAAGCCGGCCATTTCAGCGAAAGGACCATTCACCAGTGGAGCGCTTGATCGACTCACCTTGATCCAGCAGGAACGCCACGTTGTTCTGAGCAATCTCGTAGCCCATCTCGCCCGCGATCCACCACCTGATGAGTGCGGTCGTCTTCTCTCCGCGCTTCCAAGCCGCGTCGGCCTCTCCCATCATGTCATAGTCCCAACTACCTCGTTCAACCATGCTCTTCAGGTATGAAACGGCGACGCCGCACGTACCCGTCTTTTTGGCCAGAGCCGGGTTCTCCAGCCTGGCAGCCTTGGCGTGAATCAAACCAAGGTGATAAAAGGCCTCGAACGGGTTACCATTCCCGAGCGCCCACGTATAGTGTGCCATCGATTTAGGTTCTCCTTCAACCTGGTTGTTCGAGGTGGCTGCAAGCGCAAGTCGCCCTCAGCACGACCATTCTTCGACGGATGCTTCACTTGGGCGGATGCTTACCTGCAAACTTCCCGAGGTGAACCTTGGCCTCGGCCAACTCCATCTGAGCAGCTGCCTGGAAGTACGCCTTTGCAGAACCGATGTTGATGGGCACTCCGAGTCCGTCTCTATACATGATGCCCAACAGGTTGTGACCTTCTTTCTCGCCCTGTGATCATCACGGCCTTGAATCAGGGAATTGCCCGGTAATTAGCAGCAACTTGTGTCGACTTACCAGATCCGACGACCGCTTGAGCCACATCCTTGCCATTACGAAGTCCTGCTCCACACCCTCTCCCCTCAAATACATTCTCCCTAGGTACGCCGCAGCGATCCCCGCCGGCTGTCTCAAAAGATGAGCCTCCTCGTCGGTAAGCTTACGCTTGTTCCAAGTCGCATCGAACCCAACGGGCAGACCGCCAGTCTTCGGATCCAGCTTCGGTACTTCAGGTCCCCAGTAGGCATGGGCGGCTCGAGTGAAATAGTAGCTCGCCAGCTTGTACGATTGTACCGTCTCGCCGACCGCCTCGGCTCCGCTGGCGACCCCTCCAGGTACAGAGTATACTGAGCCGACGTAATGTATCCGGCCGAGGATGACCGAGTATTCATGATGATTCCGATCCGAGTGGTACTATCATCCCGCCGGCTGGATGTCAGCGCCTCGTCGCGAACCCCTATGTATCCTGATTCTTAGGCACACTGTGACTCACCTGATAATACTGCAGTACATCGTCAAAGTTCTCGCCTCCGGCCAGACTATTGGCCGCCTTGATCGCCGGTCGTTTCGCCAAATGTCCCGTACTCGCGACTGAAGCGCCCATCCCGTAGACACCTCCTGCCAGGTCGGACAATCTCGTTGGGCTCAACGGTAATGTTTTGCCTCCAGGCGGGCCCGAGATGAAGTTCGCATAGGCTATCAAATCATGGACAGAAATCAGACAGACGGTTATCAGCCGAGCCGAACCAGATCACCTATCGCATTCCTATCTTTCCCCCTCCTATGTAAAACTCACCTTTGTGCGCCACGCTCTCGTACCAATCCAAAGACCGCATACAATCCTCCTTGACCCCGATGCCCATCCAATACCTGAATCCGAGGGTCATCTCTGCCTCGGGCAGCCCCTGGATCGCCGCGAAGGTGTAGTACAACAATGCCTGCCGTTCCGCCGATCTAGTCAGCGGCGGGATCATACGAGAATAGGAATATGCAGGCGTCTGAGGAACTCACCCGACTCTGATCTTGTTCCACGCCCTTCAAACCCGAGGCGTACAAGAACCCTAACAAGTACTGACTAGCCGCGTCCGAGGTGTTCTCGCTCATGTGCTGTAAATGCCGCATGATCATCGCGATACCCATCGATAAATACCCTTATTCTTCTTGCTACATCCGCGATCGATAGCTGGTCGGGAACAGGGGATGGGAAGACTCACCAGCAGAGAATTCAAAGCGTCTTCCAAATCCACCCGAGATCCTCTGGGCGGTAACAACCCAACCAACCCTCTCGCGCCCCAAGCGTTCCTCTGGCAGACCTCCTCGTCTTCCCCGTCCTTCTCCCCTAGGGAGGTTGGGGATTCTGTAGCTCTCCGAAGTAGTGTATGTAGACGGGCGGAAAGGACGGCTTCTTCCTTGGATGAAAGGTGAGGGGTCTTTATCCCTAAGTGTTTCTTTTCGGAGGATGAGAGGTAGTTTGAGGTATGCGCTGATGATGAGGAGGTTGAAGACGATGAAGACGATGAGGATGAGGATGAGGATGAGGATGAGGATGAGGATGAGGAAGAAGCGGAAGAGACGAGGTAGTCCAGGACAGTCGTCGGGAAATGCAGGGCTTGTCGTGAGAGTTTCTTCAGGGATTCTACGTCCCATCCCTGATCGTCCCATGAATAGGATGTTCAGATCGACATTAAGTACGTATACGTAAATCAAATGGAAAGTCATCAGCCACTCATGTTCGATACGAAATGATAGAGAGATAGGATAGAAGGTAAGGAGAGCAGACTGACCGATTCCAATACTTTCAACCCATCCACCCTTCCTTTCCTCTGCATGTACAGATGAGCGTCTTTTGAGAGGGACAGACGATCCATCAAGTCCAGAGCTTGGTGGTATGCTTGACAGGCTATCGGTTTCAAATCGAACAGAAGGTATCGGTATCGGAACCCGAATTGAGATAGATGGGAATCAGCGGTCGGCGGTATGTCAAAGGGAAGCCAGCGAGGTAAGGAACGATACATACCGCTAAGCTGATCAGCCGGTACCGTCTGATCGAGCGTAACAGAAGACGATACCATCATGAGCTACTGTTTGAATCCGTGCCTCTAGTCAATCTCAATCGATCAGACTTACTGACAAGTCTTCCATACCTTCGCTCGCCGAGGAGCTGGCCATCGCCGTCTGAGCAGCCAGGGTGAGGCATACCAGCGACCCGAGCGTGCGTCTGTTGGGTCCTCTTCTTCGGTGCTTCGAGGGCATGCTGGGCGACTGGTACTACTTCAATTATAGGCTAGGTGCAGCAGACGGTGCTGCTAAAATGATACGCAGGAATGTTGATGCGATGATGAGAACGAGTTCCACATCATCGTGCATCATCGTGATCGCTGAGGTTAGGATGATGATGACTCATCAACAATCACGTAGAAGCATCGCGACAACGATCACGTGACTCCTCCCACTTGGCTGCCGATCGATCGGAAGATGCCGACGACGAAGATATGGGATGATGATGGCGTAGGTCGTCTTCAGTTTTACGAAGAGACACAGTCGTAGACAAACCTCTCTACCGACCGTACAGACCAGCCCACACCCATACTCGTCAAGCATGGAAAAGCAAGAGAACAAGACAAAGGTCGTCATCGTCGGTGAGCACAATATCGCGTCAGAATCATCCTGCGATGAATCTGACCTGGAAGTCTTGTGTCTCTTGCATTCGATAGGTGCCGGTATTGGAGGAGTGGCCACAGCAGCTCGGCTCGCTCATGCAGGATTCGATGTCGAGGTCTACGAAAAGGTGGGTTTGAGTCTTGTTTGATTTTGTTGAGCGATCATGCGTTCGATACTGACGTTGTCGCATCTCCTTGTCTGACCGTAGAACGACTTTTCAGGGGGAAGATGTAGTCTGATCCATCATGATGGGTATCGGTTTGACCAGGTGCGGTGCTTTTACCGACTTTTTTATCTTTCACTAGTCTAAAGCCCCAGTTCTATACCATCTCGCAGGGCCCCTCGCTCCTCCTCCTCCCTTCCCTCTTCCGGGACATCTACACCGACCTCTCCACCTCACTTCCTGCCCACCTCGACCTGATCAAATGCGAACCCAACTACGTCATCCACTACCACGACGGCGAATCCATCACACTATCCACCGACCGAGCTAAACTCCGGGCCGAGGTGGAGAGGTTCGAAGGCCCAAGGGGTGGGAAGGGCTTGGAAGGGTTTCTCAGCGAAGCGGAGACGCACGCCCAGCTTTCGCATGAGCTGGTATTGAGCAAGACGTTCAATTCGTACCTCTCCCTTTTGAGGCCGTCGTTCTTGGTGAACGCGATCGCGTTACACCCTCTAGAGAGTATTTGGAGCAGGACGAGCAGGTATTTCAAGACTGAACGGTGAGTCACCCCACCTTTTTTGCTTCACAATGCAGGATAGATAGGCTGACTGCGTATTACCGTCTGGGATCATCGTTGACGATGGAATCTGTTCGTACGGTCGCGTAGGATGAGACGGGCGTTCACGTTCTCGAGCATGTACCTGGGGATGAGCCCTTTCGAGGCTCCAGGGACGTATAGGTCAGTCACAGCCGCTCACATGTTACCCGGTTCCAGCGAATCCTTTTGGCTCATGTTACCTGGGGTCTTGGTTTATCGGTCTGGAACAGTCTCTTGCAATGGACAGAGACGGTGGAAGGGATCTGGTACCCGAGAGGAGGGTTTCACAAGGCGAGTCCCATGCTGCTTCTATTCGAGCGCGAATATCGCAGCTAAAACACTTAATTCAATTCACGGTATAATCAACATGAATCAGGTCGTCGAATCGCTCCAATCCATCGCCGAATCACATGGGGCCAAGTTTCACTTTTCCAAACCCATCTCACACGTAGCCACCGATCCTACCGGTCAACGCGCCAACGGGATCTACCTGGCATCTCCCGACAACGAAAAGACCGAGTCCAAGACGAAAATCACCGCCGACATCGTCATCGTCAACGCCGACCTCGCTTACGCACACAACAACCTCTTTCTCAAAGACGGGCAGAGCGAAGATAGGAAGAAGGGCGAGTTGAAGGAACCTCGGTTGGCGAAATCGTTGAGGGGCAAGAAACATAGTTGTTCGAGCATCAGCTTTTATTGGGCGATGGATCGGGTCTTGGAGAAGCTCAAGGCGCATAACATCTTCTTGGTAAGTTTCCAGGTTGTTTCATGGGCTTGGCCTGGTGGTTCGGACAGGAAGATGCTGATTCGGACCGGCTGGACCGGCTGGGTGTACAAATAGGCGGAGGAGTACGAAGAGTCGTTCGACGATATCTTCAAGAAGAGCGATATGCCGCGCGAACCGTCTTTCTATGTCAATGTGCCGTCTAGAATGTGAGCCTGAGGTATGGTTGTGAATGTCAAGATCGGGATATTGCGACTTACTTTCTCGATCGGAAAACTATAGCGACTCGTCCGCCGCCCCGGAAGGTAAAGACGCCATTGTCGTGCTCGTCCCCATCGGTTCCCTCTTGGTCGAGGAACACCGCACGGAAGAAGACTGGACCGGATTGGTAGCCGAGGCCAAGAAACAGGTCATCGAGGTCATGGAAGGTCGACTGGGAATCAAGGGGATGGCCGACATGATTGTTTGGGAAGAGGTCAACACGCCAGTGTCTTGTGGGTGGCTCTGGTCGCAGATAATAGGTTTTCCGGTTGCAGAAGGCTTATCGGGCGATGATTGCAGGGAGGGACAAGTTCAACCTGACACATGGATCGATTCTGGGCATCTCGCACGACTTTTTCAACGTCTTGTCATTCCGTACGTGAAGCCGAGTATGGACCGGTACAGGCAAATATGGTGCTGAGTTTCTGCGCCGGTTCTGACAGGTCATCAAGCTCGGCATCCGTCTGTATATAACGCCTACTTTGTCGGGGCAAGCGCACACCCAGGGACCGGTGTACCGATCGCATTAGCAGGCAAGTCCGGCGATATAGACAGGCCTGATCATCCCATTTTTCTGATCAAGACTGCATTCTCAAACAGGGTCCAAGCTGTGTCTCGAGACGGTGTGCCAGGATCTAGGGGTACCACTTCCCGCCTCTTATAACGTGAAAGGCTATAAAGCGAACAGTTGGCTTGATATCCGGGAAGGCAATCAGCTGTGGTATGTCCTGGAGGCGTGGACGAGCACGATCTTGCTGTTGTTGGTTGGGATCGTTCTGGGGGTCTCGCTGGTTTGCGGTAGACTATAGGTAGACGAGTCTGTATTGTATCGACCTGGCCAGTCATCAGGTGTGGTCTTCATGTGTTTAGACTTTGTGCGCTTGAGGTATAGATGTACAACATGTGTGTGTCAGAACCGCCGGTCTGCCGGGTTCTACCGACGTGGGCCTGGCAGGTCGGGGCTCAACAGTGAATGCCCAGGCGGGCTCAACATCCCTTCCGACGCTCTCGGACTCATAGGTATCAGACCGATGCTATTACCAGAGGCGTCGCGACCACTTCCCTTTCGACCGATGCTACCGACATACGGTGGACTCCTCATGCCACCAGCCTGAGTCGACGTCATGGACGCAGTCGAATATGTCCGTGATCGCGCAAAGCCAAACAGACCGCCGCCTGGTGTTGTCGCTCCACGCTCTGTGGCGGGTGTACCCGGATGGATGGATCCTGGTGGTGAGTGCGGTGAGCCGTGAGACGAAGATGGGTTCGAGTCTTGCGGCTTTTGTCCCTGTGCCGCTTCTTTGAGAAGAAATTCGACAAAGAGGTTGGAAAACGACTGCAGACAGATGTGCAGGCGAGTGTATCAGTCACAATATCAGTCGCGACCCGCAAACACCTCAGCCTTACCTCATTATACGTGTCCGGTGCATTCTCCTTCTCTTTGCCCTTGCCATCCGACTTGGCAGGACTTCCTGTCTCGCTCGTCTTTCTTCGCAGACCGCTCGGTCCCCCTCCCCCTCCTACGCGTTGCAGACCCGCTTTTTCTCGCTCGCCATCTTCCCATGAAAGAATGGTCGCCAGTAGTGACAACATTTCGAAACGCTTCGGGTCCGCTCGAGGCGTCACGATGAATTGCAAGAGAATGTTCGTAACGAGACGTCTGTGCAGGAAGGCGGGGAGGAGGAAGTCAATCGCAGCCGACAACTTCCGAGGTTGGCGATGAGACTTACCGGTCAACGTTCGTCTCTGACGTGTTTCTTCTCAGTCGTCTCAACGCCTCTGTTAGATGCTCCTGCATTACCACAGCTGCCGCATCATAACGATGTCAGTCCCTAGTAACTCTCCTCAAAAACTTGTCCGAGCCCACTTACAGTCATGCCTCAGCTTCCCGATCATGGCCGTCTTGTCCTTGAGTTCCTTGTCCAACTTTGCTGATCGGCCCGCATCATTCTGCAAATTCGACAAGCGATTCTGCAGGTCGACAAAATTGAGTCAGTCGCGAGATGTCGAATGAGCATAAGGGTGAGGGCGCTTACCTCGGCATCGGCAGCTCGCGATTTGTACTCTGCTAGCGAAGAGGCGGCAAACCGAAGTTGACTCTCCAGCTCGTTGGTAGCCTGAGCGATCTCCAAATCCTTGGCTATCGATCGCCCCTCAACTGTCCGTCAGCACCTGATTTCGTGGAAGCAGACTCGAAGCTTCGCAACTTACCCCCCTGAAACTCCCCCAAGACTTCCTCCAGATTACTCGCCCGCTTTTCTTCCCTCCTCCACCCATCCTCAGCCGCATTCCGCCTCTCCTCCGCTTCGATCAACTTCCTCTCCATCCCCCGTCTTTCCTCTTCTAACCTTTCCCGTTTCTCCCTCTCCCTCCCGGCCTCTTCTTCCCATTCTTCCCGCTCCATCCTCACCCTCTCCAGATCACCTCGCAGTTCCCTCAACTCCCGGGTCAAAGCGACGACATCGCTAGAATCTTGTTCGTTCTTCTGTTGGTTCTCTAATCGGAGCTGAGAGAGCTGGGTGTCTAGGGAAGCGTTCTCCTGAGAGAGAGAAGCGAGCTCCGACTGGACGGTTGTCACCGTAGCTTGGGTCGCTTGGAGATCGGTCGTCAATTGGTTGATCAAGACTTCTCGGCGATCGAGTTCTTCCTGGACAGGTCGACAATCGAATGACGACCGGGAACATCAACCTCATATTCGACACAACCTCGCCGATCCACCGATCGACCAGCCAGAGAAAAGCACTCACGGCATCTTCCTTCAACTTCTCTCCCAAGCTATTCCGCATAGCCTGCAATTTCCCCAAGAGCGTCCTATACTGGGTGGACAGGTGTTCCTTTTCCCGTACAGTCTGAGCCAACTCGGATTCCAGTGCTTGTATCCGGTCTTGCTCCTGATCCTCATCATCCCCCTCTGATTCTTCTTCCCCTGCCTCGTCTCCTTCTGCTGCTTCGCCGTTGTTGTCCTCGGTCTCGGCTTCGACTTCAGCTTCGCGTATACGTTGGTCAACGTCAGCCGTGACAGATGCATCTTCCTGGCGTGCCACCGTATCTTCCTGAGTATCAGTTTGCGCTTCCTTCTCTTCCGTCCCCGTCGATTCAGCTACGACACCCTCAGCAGGTGATGATGCCGCTTCTGGCACGGGATCGATACCGCCAACACCATTTTTCACAGCTTCCGCAGTCCCGTCGACTGGCGATGATTTCGTTGTCTTATCCTCGTTGTCTGCTTGTGCTCCTGTGCTCTCATCGTCCGCATGGTGACCTGCCGTACCGTTGACCTTTGTTGGTTCCTCCAATTCGTCCTCTTCATTCGCAGCCTCCACCTGCTGTGAAGAGCGTGTTTCAGAGGTAGCATCCGCCGTCACTGTCCCCTCTACCTCGACAGCCTCCTTCTCCTCTACTGTTGTTTCCTCTGTCTTCACCTGATCCTCTCCCTGTGGCTCATCCTCTTCACCCAGCTTGCCCTGCGGTTCTGGTGAAGCTGGTCTAGACGCTCCCGGCTCGCGATTGGGCGTTTTGGTACCCGATTTCGAGCGTTTGGCGTTCGATTTCTTGGCCATCTTCTTGGCCTCCGAGCATGAGCTCTCTATAGGCTATGGTTCGAGCTGATAACAAGGCTGTCGAGGCTGTGGAAGAAGGAGTTGCCAGGTACTTGAGGGTGTAGTTTGACACGATGACCACTTTGGAGGTCGCCGAGCTCGCTGGGGTCGAGCGGAAGCAAATTAGGAGGAGCGACCTCGAGGAGGAGGGGGTTGTCAACTTGTTACAACTTCCTCCTACAAGTCGGTATGCTCGATAAGCTGAGGTCAAGCTATCACGTTATCAAAACCTCCTCGTGACAATAAACTATACCTGGTGAAATGTCTGGATCAGCCGCCCGTGTCGTACCCGTTGCCCTCGTCGGTCTCGGTGGAGTAGGAGCCGCCATCCTCTCCCAACTCTCTTCCCCGCCCTTGGCACAAAAGTTCAAGGTCGTCGCCATCGCCAACTCGAAAAAGTACCTCTTCAACAAGGACGGAGGGATCAAGAGTGATGGTTTCCTGGAACAGCTCAACAAGAGCGGGGTCGAGCTCGATGTACCTGGGTTGATCGGAAAGCTGTCGACTTTGGCGGATGGTGCGTTTCACCCGAAATTATGAGCGTCTTGACCTAGTGCTGATCATCGTACACTCGGGCGCTCGCAGGACCTGCCATCCTCATCGACTCGACCGCTACCGATACCTTACCCTCTCTCTACCCTACCATCCTCGGGATGAACATCCACTTGGTCACCCCTAACAAGAAGGGTTTCTCTTCCGGCCTCGAGCTGTATCAGAAGATCCAGTCTGCGAGCTACCCGAAGACGGGAAGCCTCGTTTACGGAGAGAGCACCGTCGGAGCCGGGCTTCCTATTCTCAGCAGTCTCAAGGATTTGGTAGAGACCGGTGATGAGGTACGTCCCGAACGTTTTGGATTAGACTCGAACTGGAGCTGATCTCAGGTTACTCGTCTCGTACACTGTGGTCACGACGTCGCAGATCATCAAGATCGAGGGCGTCTTCTCCGGTACCTTGTCGTACATCTTCAACGAGTTCAGCAAGGTCGAAGGTGGGGACGTCAAGTTCTCGGAGGTCGTCAAGATCGCCAAAGACAAGGGATACACTGTGAGCCCGTCGCGTTTCACCCGAAATATGGAAAGGGTGCTTTGGCGGACTAAGCCTTTGTTATTACATTGGATCGGTTGGAATGTTGATAGGAACCCGACCCAAGGGATGACCTCTCCGGCTCAGACGTCGCTCGAAAACTGACCATCCTCTCCCGTCTTCTCCCCGACTCGACCCTCCCTCACTCGACACTTCCCGAGGGATACGCTTCCCTTCCTACCCGATCGCTCGTCCCCGCCGCTCTAGCTGAGTGCAAGAGCAAAGAAGAATACATGGAGAGGCTCGAAGAGGGCGACGAGGAGATGAGCCAGTTGAGGGAAGAGGCTAGGAAGGAGGGCAAGGTCGTCAGGTTTGTAGGGATGATCGACGTGAAATCGGGCAAAGTCGAGGCCAAGCTGGAAAAGTGAGCATGGAATGTTGGTTGAATACTCAAGGAGGAAGGTTACTGAGATATTGAACCTTCTCGAATGTTATCGTTCACCAGGTACCCCTTCGATCACGCTTTCGCCACCGCCCTCCAGGGATCGGACAACATCATCTCTTTCACCACTAAGCGGTTAGTCTCGTCTGACCGGACCGTCCTAGTTCCTTCCGCAGTACTGAGCCTAAAACACTATCCTTCACTTGTAGATACTCGCCCCGACCCTTGATCATCCAGGGTTCGGGAGCCGGTGCCGACGTTACTGCCATGGGAGTGACCGTGAGTCGACTCTGATCTTATGCAGCCGAAATCCGACTGACCTGTGCGTTCACTGTTTGGCTGATGACGTAGAGCGACATGGTCAAGATTTACGAGCGAATGAGGCTCAAAGCTTGGTAGACGATGCGCTTCGACAGGCGACACAAAAGGTTACTGTACGGTAATATAGACGACGCAAGAGACAAACGTAATGGATACATGCTTGTGTTTCGACTGGGTCAGCGTTTGTGACTGCTCGCAGCGGACAACAGTCGAAGGGATGATACTAGCCTACTCCTGGAATGTTTGGCTAGTAACACAGGGTCCTTGCCGCGGTCTTGGTTCCATGGAATCACAGCGGGACACCTCTGGTTCTGAAGATCGTCCATAGTGATATTGGTGATCCCGCAATGCATAGCAAGGATCAATAAGAACGAGCCAATGTCGACGATTTGATTCTGGTCGTGTTTCATACTAAGAACCAAGTATGCGACCGCAATGGCACGGACGTGTTGGTTCCCTGGAGGAGATGGGTGAGAACTTCGATATACGCAAGCTTACGGTGTCTGATACCGCTGCTGATTAGAGTTTTTAGAGTACTACGTACTACTAGGGTGATCTGCGTACTCTACTGATTAACCGATTCCGCGATTCCCTCTGTCGCTGGTGCGCTGGTGCTTGCCATGCGGGGCGAGTGGTGTGTGCGAGAGCCACACGATCCGCAGTGCGCACGCCCTATTTCCGAAGCGGAAAGCAAGAGTTGTCGCCTTCCTCTACACAATATACGGTGCACGACAGTCGCCCCGTTGTGTGAACCGAGATTGAGTCTAGCAGCACTCCCGCCCAAGCACATGCGTGGTGACCCAAGCGATCACGATGATGAGGTGGAACTGCGGCTACTGGCCATGGTAATATTCAGCTACACCGCTAGCGGTAACAAGGAAACGCAAGACCATGCTCACCGAGACGAGTTGTTGTGGTATCACCCGGTTGATCCTAGTTGAACCGGATGGTTGTATCGATGTCATCTGAACGGTTGCAATGTTGATGTTGAGACACGATACGTGAGTTTGATGACGTCGATATATGCAGCTTATCAGCTTACAGTCTAATACCGCTGCTGATTATTACTGCCTTACTATGATTACTTGCTACTTGACTGACTGTTTGCTAGCTGGCTATAGCTGGTAACAAGCTAACAAGCGATAGTACGGCGGCAAGAGCGAGTGTGTGTGCGAGAGCCACAATCACTTGCTTGCCACATAGGTATATCTAAACAACTCGCAACGACCTCAAATCAACCTCCCATCACCCTCGCTTCTTCTCCTTTTCTCTCATCATTCGTTTATTGATCTAACTGACTACATCTCTTTTGATGTAATGTCTGTGTGATGCAAGCCCCCCTTAAGGATGGGAAGGGTTTATTAGGTGTTCCTTGAGAAGGGGGCGAGGTGAAAGACGATAGGAAGATAATGACTTGACTTTGAAGGTGGTGAGTTTCATGGATGTGTCAATCCCAAAGAAAGACCCATCATCCTTCCGCTTTGAAATGCACAGATCGAATGGCGGGAACTTGGGGTCATTCTCTTTGCTTGATACAAGAATTGTGCGAAAATGGCAAAAAGAGAGCGCAGTGCCGGGATCGAACCGACGACGCCAAGATTACTGGTGGATAAGACCATCGAAGTCTTATGGACTACCACTGTCCCAACCGCGCTTTGATGTGACTAAAAGCTTCACAAAATATATATAGAGTTTATCCAATCAAACATCGGCCTCAAACGGCGGTAGGGATAGTTTTGCCTCAGTCGTCATGGCCTGTATTTGAGCTGACCAGGCCTAGACCAGTTATGCCTGGATAGTCGCTTACAACATCCACCGTCCGCCATTCGCATTTGCAAAACATCATGTTGGTGAAAGAAAGATACTTCGAGTCACCGCGCGACCGTTCCAAGCGCTAGCTAAAACCATGTTGAATCGATCATCTCCTGCTTGCAAGGCGAAACAAGCGGCTGGTCGGGCGAATGCTACCGACCTAACACACTCGCAGCATTAGGGATGGGTTTCGAAGTCAGTAGCGAGAAATTTCGTTCGAAGGTGGGTATACGCCACAACTAACCAACGCGTCGGGGGAGGCAAAAGTTAGGCGACCTCCTGACGAAACGCGAGCTTGAAATCGAGACTACGGGACTTAATTCGTCTTACAACTTGCGCAAACTGCCCTTCCAGTAGCCAACAATAGCGAGACTCATTCCAACAATACTATCCTGTCCTCGCCTGTCTTACGTTGCCCCATTTTTCTTCGTTCAAGACCACCTTTACCTACAATGGCGATACCCACATTTTCGGTTACCGCTTGAGCCGTTAGCGACGGGATTCAAGACAGCCCTCGCGACTTAGAGCCTCAACCCCTCGATTCCGATGGTATGCAACGACATTATATAGTCCGGGTGTAGGTAAACGGCGAGCCTGCAGCTCACACCGTGAGGCAACTAGTAATATGCATACAACCAAGTAAAAATCCGAGCAATAAAGTGATGGAAGATTTCCGATGCAGAGATAAGTGAAAGTCCATAGCGCCCTTGTTCAGACCGACATTGCCATCGTGGCGACCAGGCTGACCACCACCCCCAATACTAAAGATCCCAACCCGACCCCCAACTTTCCCGTCGCCCCGCTCGTCGCGGCGCTGGCCAACTTGACGTCCAAGAACCCCGCCCCGCAACGATCGGTAAAGAGCAACAAGACGTCGGCGACCGTGTCCCCGAAACTAGGGCCGTAAGCCGATTTAGAGATATCGGAGCTGGTCTTGATTGAGGGAGCGGTAGCGTAGAGGTCGAGCAGGGATTTTGAGCATGCAGAGCAGGTGGGTTTTGTCGTTGAGGGTAGGCTAGTACACACAGGCCATTCTCTTGTCAATAAAATTAAGTCCACGTATGGTATGGACCGAACTACTCGCGCGAGACTCACGTATTACCACCAGGGATCGACCACAGATAAGCGTCGTCCGGTCGATCGGCCGACATGGCCTCGAGGTAACAATACGCTCCCGTCCCCTGATCCTGCAGACAAGCCGCTTGTTGCATCATGTCGTAAAACTGGAAGCCTGTGTCGATCCGGGTACGATTGTCAGTCCAGCTCGGTCATAGTCAGGCTTGCTTGAGATTGCTCAATACTCACCTCGATAGACGGATAAAGCTACCGTGTTCCCCTGTTGCAACTCTTGTCGGCAATTCCCCGGTTTGACCATCTCCTTGGCCATACTCTCGAAAAATGCCGAACATTCGTCCGTATCGGCGGTCGAGCCCGGATGACAGATCTGGGAGAGGGCCGGGTTGAGCTGGTCCGGTTGACGTATGCTGTAACGTCCCAAGTAGATGTTGTCAAGGTGCGAGAAGGGGATCAGTTTCCAGGGTTAGAATCGATCGAGAAAGACGAGATTGCTCACAGATCCGCCCAACTGGAACTCGACCCCAACAACAATCCGAACGGCTTACAAACCCCACCCTCACTCCCAACCCCACCCCCAACCCCTTTCACACCTGACCCGGCCATCTCCTCCGAAGTCAAGAACTCCGTGAGGAACGCCACACAACTGTTCGTCAACGAATAAGATAGTGTAGAGTCCAGCGGCATAGGGAAAGAATCTGCCAGAGGAAGTGCCGTAGTCGGTGCGGTGGGAAGGGGGGTGGATAAGTAGCCTGTGGTGGTGGTCGTGTTGCTGTTGTTGTCGGTGGTATTTATTTCAGCAGCGGTGATTGTCTCTACGGTGCCAGATCCATCGGGAACACCGGCACCACTTCCAGCCTCAGCCTGATCACCCTCCCCGCCCTCGGCTCTCCCGAAGAATTTGCCCCTCCTCCTCTTCCCCAACCCAGCTATATCCTGTTCATCCCCCTCCCTCCGCCTGCCCGTCTTTCCCATACCCACACCCGAATTCCGACCCAGGTCAGTTCGTGATGAGTCCTGAAGGAGATCATCCTCTATGGCGAGGCCGGAGAGGTGAGGGCGGACCGAACGGGCGGACAGAGAGAAATAGGATCTCAGTCCTTTTAGCCAGGTCAATGTCGATGTGGAGGACTGGTTGCGTTCTGAATCCTCCCCGGTTTCCTCTTGTGGTATGGAGATGATCGGCTCGGGGTGGAGGACCCCTACGTCCACATCCACGTGAATGTCCGATCCAGCATGCAACTTTGATGAGCTACTTGATGGTGTAGAGACGAACCCTAGTGCTGACCCGTAGCCTAGCCCGACGAGCTTGACTTCCTCTCCAACTTCAACCTCGTCGACCGGTATTGCCGGCCCGAAGGTGGTCTGTAAAGACGGAGAAGACGCCGGCGAGACCGAAGTAGAGCCGGCGGTCGACGACGACGATGATGATGATGATGTTGACCAACTCGGCGTCAAGAACCCCGACCCTGATCCTGACGCTGGGCTTGCTCCCAAACCCGAACCTAATCCTGATCCCGGTGTCAACCCCGGACTAGGGGTAGGACTGGCGAATACCGGTGTCGAGCACGGACTGAGGAGGGTGAGCGTGAGGAGGGTCGTACAGACCGTCAACGATAGTGAAGGGCGGGTCGATGAGGAAGACGAGGAGGAAGGATTTGAGGACGAGGACAAGGATGAGGTCGAGGAGGGAAGAAGGCGGGATTGACGGCGGTGGGAGATGGTCATCCTTCGACTCGTTATTGGTGCGACGTGTGCGAGGATAGCTATCGTGATGTCCGATTAAGAGCAAATCCAAGAGCACATCCGAGTTGCGATGACAGTTGTCTTGTGGACGTAGGTAGTTGAGATATCAAGCTGAGATCCAGGAAAGAGATAGTTCAAGAAGGTCGTCGATGATGATGATGATGATCAGAAGGAAGTTGTGTGAAGTGGACCGTGCGAGTGGGCGTGTGTTTGAAAGGAATGTACTGGAGATGGTGCCGTGTGGGGCGAGTGTACCTAGGTGTCTATATGTGCTATGTGTGTTTCAAGGAGAAGTAAGGAAGGACGATGGGAAGGTGAGAAGGTGAGAAGGATCGGAACGATGTCCCCCCATCAACAGGTGCATCAATCAAGGTGTGGTGTGACGCGCGACGAGTCTCAGGATCGCTTCGACCTCGAATATGATCCGCGCTTGTAAACAACCACCACCCACCCACGCACGCACACGAGCTTCATTTCGACCCCAAGCATCGGCTGGGGCCACCGACATGCTCGCATTTCTAACGCCAAAGGGATGTTGTAGACAATTCAACTGCCGCCTCGATGACCTGGCCAGCTGACCATCCACATGGCCCAGATCGGAAAGTCAACGTATGATCTCGCGAAGAAGGGCCAACGGGCTTGAAATCTCGTAGAACAATGTCTGGGTCACGTGACTCGTCTACGGGGCGACGAACACGATCGTCCTTCCTTGGTAGCTGCGTAGCTGATCATCGATAGTACCATGCCATGCACCGGGACAGAGGGTTGAGTTGGATGATGTCTCCTATATCTCCTAAATGTACCCCCCTATATATCCAATATAACATGCGACTCTAGGTCTTAGCAAGAGATTCGCGACTGGCCGACTGAACTTGCAGCAAACATAGCGATCGCGTTCTGTTCGCTGTCCGTCCTCCTGCATCGCTCCCGCCCAACTTTGACAATCCAATACAACAAATCATCCGTTTCCGCTCAAACGCATTGACGATTCCTGTATCTTTCACCATGATCATCGACTTTCGGACCTCTCGCTCCTCTTCGGACTCTACCACTCTAGCCACTCTAGTTCTTGTGCACGAAACAGCCCGTATTCTCCCTATCTGCTTGCGTTGGTTAACATCCATTTGCCATTTGACAATTTGACTCCAGTTCTCCCATATCGTTCCAATCCCGATGATCTCCTGGCTAGCCTGGCTCCTAGCTCCTGGAGAAGGAGGAGACTCCACCTCTCCCCCCCCCTCTGGAGGACCTAAGAATAGCTCAACCCCTCGGCAGAGCGTCCACGAATAGGCCTACCCTCTGGGGCTGATTACTCCCGCCTCGAGGGTGCTCCACTTTCCCTCACCTGATCACCAGGATTAGCGCGCGATTCCAGGATTGATGACACCGGGATATCGAATCGAGGTTGCGAGTTGCGGTCCGATCGACCCTGCATTCGCCTGTGCTCGTGGGCCTGTGATCCTGTGCTCTAGTGCCGACTTTGGAAAAGCCGGGTACAGTAGCTGTAAATGAAATAGGCTGGGCAGATGGGCAGGGTCCGTCCGACCGCAGCCAATGATATTCACGGGAACTCTTTCATGACGGGTTGCAAGGATTCGAAATGGACCCGGTCGCTGAATTGAATTAGCTGAATCGGTGACGCTCTTGGGATATATAAGATCGGGTCGATCCCGTTCGTCATCCCCGGTCGCTCGCTACGAATTATTCGAAGGAAGCATCAGCCGAGATTTTTCGTACCATCTCAGGACTATCGATCGCCAGGTCATCCCCAGCGACGTTCGCAAACCACCCGAGGACGACTCGTAGGACCCCCTCGACCTCCCTCATCATCCCATCATGAAGTTCCTCAAGAGTCTCAAACCGCCCGGTCGGACGCCCGATGTCATCGTCAAGCAAGTTCGAACTCCTTCTCTTGCGTATAAGGGGTCCATGCTAATCCGATGTATGCTCTTGTTTGTGCGTCAAACAGCCCGTTCAGCATCATGCGGTCGATCGATTTCACCGGATGGATGCTCTTGCTCTCCGGTTGGCTCGCTTGGACGATGGATGGGTACGATGTGAGTGGCGATTTCAGGTTGGAGAAGAGGCCGGTTCGATTCTTGTTGTTGGTTGCTGACGAGATTGCGCTTGGATGGGATGAGTAGTACTTCAGTGTCAGTCTGACAGGTGAGTCCGGACCGGGAGTCCGTAGACGATCAGAGCAGAGGCTGACGATCATATTGAATCACATTCCATGGTTTTCATCGCGACCTTCAGCCAAACGTCTTTCCGTGCAATTCGGCAAGAGTTCGACCGATATTACCACCGCCATCACCCTCACCCTTCTCTTCCGATCGGTCGGAGCGGTCATCTTCGGTGTCGCCGCCGACCGATACGGCAGGAAATGGACGCTGGTCATCAACCTGTTGTTGATCGCCATATTCGAGCTGGGGTCGTCGTTCTGTAACACGTACCAGCAGTTCTTGGCGGTCAGGTCGTTGTTCGGGATAGCGATGGGTGGAATTTGGGTGAGCGATCAGTGCAGGAAACCTTTCCGAAGCCCGAGAAGCATATTGACGTGTGTGCTGTTCCCATTCTGATAGGGTCTGGCCGCATCGACCTCTCTCGAAAACATCCCCCCTAACGCCCGAGGTCTCGTCTCTGGTTTCCTCCAACAAGGCTACGCCGTCGGCTACCTCATCGCAGCCGTCGTCAATCTGACTCTCGTACCCAACAACCCTCACACCTGGCGAGCCCTGTACTGGGTCGGAACCGGTTTGTCGGTATTCGCCGCGATCTTCCGATCATTGTTGCCAGAGAGTCGGTCGTTCCTCGAGGCCAAGCTGGAAGCCAAGTCTAGAGGTGATACCGGGACATCGCCGACAAGGGCTTTCTTGAAGGAGGCCAAGGCGATGTTGAAGACCAATTGGAAGCGAGCGATCTGGGCAGGTGAGCCGGGAACTATACTTCTTTCTGTGTACAAGCGACTTGCAGCTGATCAGAAAGAAACTCCACTCTGCGCTCTTCTCCAGTGTGCTTGATGACCGGATTCAACTTCCTCTCCCACGCCTCTCAAGATCTCCTCCCGCTCTTCTTGCAGGACAACAAGCTCTTCTCCCCGCACAACACGAGTCTGATCGCGATCATCTCCAACTGCGGAGCCGTCGTCGGAGGGATCACCGCCGGGTACTTTTCCCAGTACACGGGGAGGCGGCTGGCTATCATCATCATGCTCGTCTGGACGGGCGCTTTCATCCCGTTGTGGATCTTGCCTTCTTCGTTTGCTGGTAGTGAGTCCCGACTTGTCACGGCCAGGACTCAGTGTTTCTCGGTGATCTGACCGTGTCGCTTGCTATTTGCAGTCAGCGCGGGTGTCTTCTTCCTCCAATTCGGTGTTCAAGGAGCATGGGGTGTCGTCCCCATCTACCTCTCCGAGTCCTCTCCTCCCGCCTTCCGAGCGTCCTTTGCCGGAATCGCCTATCAACTGGGTAACATGGCCTCGGCCGGATCCGCGCAGATTGAAGCGAGGGGAGGTGAAAATTGGAGGACGACCGTTCAGGGGAAGAATGTACCGGATTACGCCAAGGTTCAGGGTGAGTCGAGGTTTTGGTTCTTCGGCGGCGGTGTTTGGCGGTAGAGTTGTCTTGATCCTGACGCTTGCCTGTTCCGATGTTGCATCGCTAGGTGTCTTGCTAGGAGTGATCATCGGCTGGACCTTGATCATGACCCTACTCGGACCCGAGAACGTAAGTCCGCTATGACCTTCATTTCGGTCCTCGACCGCCGCTAAGTAAGGCGTCTCCATTTACAACCGCAGCACGGAAGCCGATTCGAACAAGCCGTTGCCACTCGAGAAGGAGCGGGCAAGATGCGCAACGAAGATTTGGTCGAGAACCATCGGGTCTTGCAGGACGATAACGCCGAGGCAGGCGAGGTTTATGATGTCAAGGCCAAGGGTAACGTGGAGCACGTCGAGAAGGGGGTTGTATAAGGAACTCTGGGATAAGCAAAGTCGTTTGGTATTATATTGTAACTTGTTGTGCTCTGAAAAGTAATTGAAGGAAGGTAATCACGTAATACTATCGCAATTTCACTTGAAACGAGCTCGTGGAACACACGACGCCATGGCCTTTCCTCTCGAACAGCACAAAAAAGTATCGCGCCGAGTTCTACAGTATACCTCGCCCCCCGTGATCGTCACGCGCGATCCTCCCCTTTTCAAGTTCGTTCGACCTTGCTTACCTTCAAGGTCTCACTCTCCGACTCCCGGGCACGATCCCACTATATCCTACAACCGTGAGGTCTGTAGGGGGTGAGTCGGAGGGGTCGGTAATGAGGAGCAGGCAACATCCCTCTACTACGACTCTTTCTACTGCGGGGCGCGATGTGTTGGCAGGCTGGGGACTGATGTTTGGATGCATCGGACACAAGCCATGTAGCCACCTTTTGCGCGCCTGCTCAAATCCGCCTGAGCGCGAACGTACCTGGGTGGCGATCGCTTCGGTCAAATCGACAGCGTTGGCGTCATGAACGAAACGATCTTTATTCTGAGGGATGGGTTCGTACGGGACAGGCGTCTCAATCGGCATCGTCTTGCAAACACACAGTCCGGCTTTTGCCCCAAGGCTGATCTCAACTGGGTTCATAGGTTTCTAGCGGTGTATGCATGGGCGTCTAGAAGGTGTCCATTTGGTGCAAAACGGCCGTTTAAGGGAGGTGGACGATGGGCGACGATATGAACCTGAATATTGTGAAATCTCAGACCGTGAGATGCTTGAGATGAGGTAATCGATTTCTGTGCACTGGCATTTGTGTAAGAGTTCACTACTAGCGAGAATCAGGTGCACACCCGCGCCCAGGTTTACATTCGGCTTTGCAAGTTGTGCATGATTTGCCCTGGTTGCATGCAGCCGCTCGATGTCAATAATATCAACAAAGAGGGGGATGGTAGGATATGCGAGATCGAACGATTTTTCCAGTCAATTATCGGTCTGGAAGCCAGCAGCTGGATAAGAGCGCGAGCCTTTGTCGTGCTGAACCTTCTGAGCGATGTTGCTGCAGAACATCTAGAATGAGGTCGGGCGCCGATGACCGAGGTGGCTTTGGGCGGTGGAGTGATTGGAAGGAGGGGCGTCCTCGATCCCGGAACAGCCGGAACGGCCGGCGGAATAAAAGGGAAAGAGGAAATACGTCGAACAGTCTCTGGTCTGATCAGGTGTCGGACGATCACAAGACAAGGCGAGCTGCAAACTTTGCACGTCAGGTCAAGTTTGATGTCATATTTCAATAGCACGGAGGGCCTGGGGAAATGCTCATCTTGTGTTCTTGTATCGATCGTTGTACTTTGTTGCGCTGTGTAATCGAGTAGGATGTTGACTTTTTCCGTTTGATTACGATTGCACGAGGACGAGGTCGTGTGCCGGATCGATCACGCGCCCCCGGCGGAGGAGGAAGCCAAGAGGGCGAGGACTGCGTCGACGCTCTGACCTCGCCTTTCGCCCATTGCCTAGCCCGTGTTTGTTGATAGTCACCGCTACTCAGCTACTTTTGTCCACTTCGTTTAGAGCTATAGCTTACAGTCAATTGCTACCACCATAGCCACCTTGCTGCGGAACGAACTCACACGAACACTTGACAGGCCAGTAACGAACACCTAGGAGGAACTCGACGCAAGAATGTCCAAAGTAGACGAGATCCCCGTATTGTCCTTTATCCTCGAACCGCTGCGTAAGTCTGAATCGTATACGGATGAAGGGTCCAGGCAGGATGCCGGAAGTTCTGAAGGCTGATTTTGACCTGTTCTTTCACCTCGAACTCGGTTCAAACCAACACCACCCTTCAAATTCACAATCGATCAAACCTCCCTACAGTGGTCGTCTCCCTCCTCACAGCAGGTTGCCTCGTCAACTACCGCAGTGGAAATTCCCAATCCATCGTCCACGCCAGCAAACTCCTCACCGACCACAGACCGGCGAGTTTACCTATCCCGTTTGGGAAACAATTGAGGATTCCGGAGACGGAACGGTTCAGGCGGAATGTGACGAGTCGGTTCTTGGCTTATTTCCCGTTCTTGATGGAGGTCTGGTATTGGTTGTTGACGTGAGTGGCGATCCGGGGGGTAGTGCGATCGGGTGGGGTGGATGAAGTGAGCGGTGCTGATCGAGGTGTTGTCTTTTGGCTTTAGGTACTGGATTTACCGCAAGTCTATCTTCTATGAGCCGCTAGTCGAGATTTGCCTGCTGATGATCGTATGCGTTCGACCTATCCTTTAGAGGGTTTCCGAGGTAAGCCATCCCCCACATCTGACTCCTACGATCCTATCGAGATAGCACAACCACCTCTATCCCTTTCACCTGATCTGACGTATACATTTCCTCCTCTCTTCGACAGCGGCCCAAGCGGTGACGATGGGCAAAAACACCCGCCAGATCTCGCAGGACCACGCCATCTGGTTACTCAACATCGAAAAGGCCTTGGGGATCGATATCGAGTTGGGGTTGCAAAAGTTGATCTTGGATAGGCCGTTCATCCTTTGGTTCTTCAACAAGTGAGTCCAGGCCTTTCACTCGGGTTTGGTGTTTGTGCGGGTCTGGGGGTAGTCGAGCTGATCCTGAAATGCACGACCTCTAGGACCTACGCCATGGTCCACATCCCAGCGACCATCTCCTTCATCGGCTACTCCTTTTACGCCTTTGCCCCGCCCACCTTCCAAAAAGTCAGGAGGACGCTGGTCTTGTGCAACACCATCGCCTTTGTCGTCTTTACCGCCTGGCCTTGTATGCCACCGAGGTTGTTGCCCAAGGACGAGTACCATTACGTGGATACGCTGCATACGGGCAAGGCTGCTAGTAGTGAGTCCCCGCGTCGCGTTTCTGGGGAAGAGATGGAAATCCGTCGGTTTCGGGAGGAGACCGAGCTAACAACGGGCCTGCGTTGACGTGCGTGTTTGGCAGTCTGGACGACCAACAAGTTTCAGAATCAGTTGGCTGCTTTCCCTTCGTGAGTCGGCTTGTCGCGTCTTGAAGGTGAAAAATCTGTCAGGATACTGAGCAGCGCATTCCTGCTTGAGGTGATGTAGGTTGCACTTCGGATGTAAGTCTAGGCGAACTGAGGGATATCGAGATGCAAGTTGAAATGGACTGAACTAAACGAAACGATTCTCTCCTGTGTATACAGACTCGTTCGTCATGTAAGCCTGCCCCGATCTTCCTCTGCTTGCCTCTAAAATCCCGGCTAACAGTGTAATTACATCTGTGGATGAACACGCTCTAGTGGACTCTCCTTGTTCCTCTATTCGCCGCACAAGCCGGTCAGGATGGTCGCCCTCGGTTATCCCTTGTTGATCTTGACTGTCATTATGGTACGTGTGAACGTTGGTCTCGCTTCGAAAGTTGAGACGGCGTGAGACCCTGACTACAAGAGAGCTGACGACTTTTCACTCTTCACACTTCGCGCCTGATCGCGATCTATCCGAAACATATCTCTTGCGCTTTCCCGTAGGCCACCGCCAACCATTACCTCCTCGACGCCGTCGGTGGCTTCTTCGTCACCATCCTCGCCTACAAGATCAACACCTACCTCCTCTACCTCCGCCCGGTCGAAGAGTGGGGCATGTGGTTGTGCCGAACCGAGAAACCGCTGGACAAGGCCATCTTCGATCAGGCCCTCAGGGAGCACGGACACGTGACCGCCGGGGTTTCGGATTCGGAGGAGGATGTCAACGTACACTTGTTGGATGAGGAGAGACGTAGGAGGTCGAGCGAGTAATACGACGTCTTGTGAGCAAGGGGAACGGTGGGAAGGACGGATTGTACGGAACGGGGCGATAATGGCGCTTCAACGTTTGTCGTGAATGGGACAGACGTTGGGCTCATGGTGTACGATATGCAATGATAATGATACAACAGGGCTGCGATAAGAGGGCAAAAGCCAGAGAGATTGCGAGTGATCCAATAGTTGATTATGAGCGTGCTAATTATTGATCTTAGATGTACTGCTCATTGGTTTGTGTGCCCTCCTGTTGATCACGTGACTCGATCGAGTACGGAACCACCTGACGTCACGCAGCGGCACGATTGAGATGGGGTGTGTTGGACGCTACTGCTTCGACATCCCGACTTGAGACATAGTACGATCGCTTCAACCTGATCCAGCGATCCAGCTCATCTCGCATTCGATCAGGCTGATCAACGATGGCTTCACTTCTCAATACCTTCACCCGCCGGGCGAAACCGACGACCATCTCCCTTTTCGGCATCTTCACCTCGCCATTCACCCTCACTCGACCCAACTCGACCTTGACGCAGGCGAGGTGTTCCCGGTTCTTGCTCCGACAAGCTAGCGAGTTTGCTCCGAGGGAGTGTCCGACACCTCTGGTCTTGCTGAGGGCGAAGGGTCTGGCAGGCGCTGAAGATGAGAAGGAAGAGTGTGTTCACGTGGCCTGATACCGATTCAGGAGGCTGGGAGCTAATGAAGCGATGCCTGATCTTCTATCACAACTAGCTACTATGCTTGGGGAGGCATGTTTTCGGAACGAGGCTATACTGCCGTCGAGATTGATATCGATGCTCCGGAACAATCGACATCCAACAAAGAGTCTTTGCAGGTCATGGCCAAAGGTTAGTCCTCCCACTCCCTCTGCTTGATTACATCCGTAGGCTGACACATGGTGGTATCATCTATAACCGATATACGCCGTATTGTATGTACAGAGCTCTCGCAACAGATTCGTCTAATGATGATCCCCTTCCCGCCTATCATCGTATCGACCGGATCTTCCACCCTCCTCTCCCAAGCTTTCATCTCGGACCACCCGGCTTCCGCGCTCGTCCTCATCAACCCTCCTTCCAGCGCGGACGAGACCAGGCTCCTCACCCAGACCACTGAAACCCCTCAAGATGCCTCACAAGCGATAAGCGGGAAGGGATTCGACTATGAACCTCATTTCCCCATCCTGTATCTGTCGACCAAGACTGAAACGCCAGAACATCGATTACAAGCGCATGCAGAGCGAGGTGTCGGGAGGGGCGGGAAGGGGGTGACGTTCGAGGTTCTCGATGAGAGTCGGGCGCCCGGTGGAGAGAGGGGAGAAGGGACGAGGATGGAGCTGGAAAGGTGGTTGGATAGGTGTGGATATTGATAAGGGCAAGGAAGAGGATGTTAGCCTTGAGGGCAGCAATTAGCGATGTTGAGTGTGATACAACAATATGATCATTTGATATACCCATTTCGATGTGGACGAATCTATGAACAGGAGGAGACAAGGCACGTCGCTGTGACGACCTTGACGATTTGACGAATGAGTGTCAGCACGGGGAGGACCCCGCGAGCATGCAAGGCGAGCGGCTTGCAATTCTCCACGACATATTAGGGCGCGCAGAATGGATCACCGTTAGAGATCGGGAGACTCCGATAATATCGGCTGCACCTGTAGTTTGAGTGAGGAAAACAGCGCTTCTTTGGGACGGATGAGCACACCGCGATAACGTTCTGGGATGTTTTCCTTGTGCCCGCGAAGGTGAAGTGTGATGTAGACAACATGGTTAATTGAGCTCCCGGCTTTGGACCGGGATCGAGGGCGAAAGCCGGGAGGGTCGCCGCGTTTTGGCAAGCGCAGGCTGGAACATCAGGCGCAGCGAGTGAGTCTGGTGAGACGCAGATGGAACAATACGGACAGTTTAGGTTAGCAATCTTGTTACTTTCGTCTCCTGCTTCGCCCCTGCCAAGGCCGGGACCCATTTGAACGTATTCAAGCTAAATCAGCGCCAGATTTCATGGAGGTCAGTGACATCGTGTTCCGCTGTGCTTGTGGCTGTGACGATCGCAGCATACTGTGGCGTCATGATGAGACGTCATTTCGTCAGACGATGGCGCAAAATGACTTCCTTTGTGTGGCGCCTCCTGACGATTCGCCATGATTCTGCGAGAGTTGTGCACAGCGAGACACATATAGGACGAACATCTTGAGGGGTCCACACCGTTCACACTGAATCGCTCTCGGATCACGAGTACCGAACCTCTAAGACTTCTCACTACCAGTATGAGTTACGCAAGCACGAATTCCTTCTTCCCTTCCCGAATACCCTTACCCGCGTCAACTGCTGGGATTTCTAGCGGATATAGCAGCGGGTATTACAACCCCTCAGCCACTTCCAGCCAGGAGACACGCACTTTGGAGGAGATCCGAACGCTGGTGGATGGGATTCTCACGGCATTGTCAAACTTTCAGACTGCAAATTCGTCATCGCATACTGTAAGCGAGCTGACAGACCGTCTCCAGTTCGAGAACGAAACTGACGCAACGTTTCTACAGGGTGAAACGCCGCTCAGTGGTCCTCCGACCATCTCGAGTCTTCAGACAGACATATCGGGATATACCGATTCGTCGCTAGCCTCACCGAGAGCTCGACCAGACGTTCAAAGGGGAGCTTTCGATGCGACCGCGAATCCATCCTGCCAACAAGCGATCGAAATCGTCCGAGGGATGAGACTGGATCCGGATGAAGTGAAAGCTCGATGCAGGTCCTACTTGGAGGATCCGAGACAGGGGATAGATCATGGGTTCGGCGATGCGGACAAGGCTCGAGGTGCTCTCAATGATCCTGCTTTCTGGCTGTATCTAGCCCGACCGACGAGCCAGCTCTCATCCCGAATGAAACGGAGATTGAATGGTCAACGAGCTGATAGACTCACCGTCGCCGACCTCAGTGCCAGCGCATGGACGGTCATTCGCGGTTTACCCCAGGATGACGCAGGTTCTCGCGCTCCGTCCATCGCGACCACCGAGTCACTACCTGCTGAACCATCTTTGGCAGCGGCAGATCTCGCCAGTCCGCCCAGCGCCGTTGTCTTGGACCCAGAGCAGCGAGAGGTCCAGCAGGAGGACGACACGTTCAGCGCGTTGCCGTTTCCTGGAAATGCCGACGAAGTTGAAGAGGTATTTGATGCCGCTAGGAACGGTTTGGGAGATGATCATCACGATGATGGAGATCAACACGACGATGCTGATGGGCAGTACGAGGATGATGCGGCCAGGGCCTGATGACCCAACAACATCCCGGCTACCCTGGCTCGCCTCCGGCCTGCGCCTTTTGTATCCTGAAACGCAATTGTTGTTGTTATTGTAACCCCCATCTTCCAGTGAAACATCCCATACCCGAAAAGACAGACGAAAGCTGCACGGTTTCTTCCTTGTTCCCCGGTCTGTTTGCTCGTAATGGAGCAGTACCCTGTCAGTTGCCCTGATATGACCAAGACGAAACAGCTCACAATGACCTCGACCGCATTTAGACCAATACCAACATCAACGCCAGCATCGCTGCTAAGACTGCCTGACCCACTGCCATCGCGTTCCTTCAAAGACCGTCGTCCCCGAACAGCGTTTCTCATCCGAGTTTCAATCTGATTGGATATTCTTGACATTCGCATCTGGGTTACGTGTCATATCGTATCGTATACCCATACATCTAAATTTGATCTGAATTTGAAGTTGTTGGTCTTACCCCTGCCCGCGAAAGAGGGGGATATGCGGCAAGGTTACAGAAGTGTCGATGAAGAGGTGGTTGGGGAAGTTGATATGCAAGAAGAGAGGAGTGAAGGAGGAGGGAATAGCGAGGTAGAAGCGGTCGGCATTGGCCGGTAGGATGTGTGGATGTGGGTTCTACCAGGCGGTAGCTCCTCCAGACTAGAATACCAATCAACAACACGTCAAACCATACCAATCAGCTCATGTTTCACCGACAAGACGATAAATCTCGCCAGCTCGATGACGAGCCAAAAAAAAACGGGGGCTGGGAGGAAATGGTGGTCTACGAGGACTCACCTGAACCGCCTCCAACTCTTCCGGGGAGAACATCTTTGGCCTCCACAACTTCGTCGGGGCCATAAAGTAGGTATCGAAATCGGACGGTTTCCCCGAACCCTTGTTCTCCACCTGCGTCGTGCTCGAACTCGAAGAAGATGCGGAAGGGGAAGTGTCTTTCGAGGGATGATCCCGGACTTGCCCCTTGGCGGAAGAATCTAGAGATTGTCCTTTAGGGTTACTGGAGGGGCTGTCGGCAGAGGTGGATGTGCTTTGGAATTTGGAAAGGAAGGATTGGAAGTTGTCGACGATGTCTTGAGGAGCGGCGGGGTGAGGGCTCGGGGCGTGAGGTTCTGCAAGTAAAGGAGGTGCAACATTCAGAAGTTCAGTACACAATGATTTGGAAAATGGAAGTAAGGACGAGAGAGAGATGCAAGGTAGGAAGACTGACTGTATTCCAGGTTTGCACGTTTCCCGAGGAAATGGATCATGGGAGTTCGAGAGTGGGTGGCCTCGGCGGCCAGTCGGACGATGGTGGAGCGCATTTTCGGTAGGATTTTCTCTAGATTGTCGAATGCTACAGTCGAGAAGGTATACAGTGGATGATAGGGATATATGATTAGAGTATAGTTGCAGTGGAATGTATATGGATAGCCCATTGATGATGATGATCCGCTCGTCAGCTTGGTTCGGCTGCTTCCGCTAAATCCGAGCAACAGCGAGAAAAAGTTGAACAGAGGTCATCGATGACATCGTCGAGTCTACCTTCTCTACATCCCCTACACACATCTACACATCGATACATCTCTCTGGGAACACAGTCCAGAGGCAAGAACCTAACACCATGTCATCCGCATCCAGGACAACCGCCATCCTCTCGAAACGCCTGCGAACATCGTCCTCGCGACGAGCACTTTCTACCACTTCGATCGCTCAAAATCAATCTTCTTCGACGTCGAGCTCGACCTGGACCCGTTCTCTACCAGAAGGTTCCAACCCGGCTTACGACGCTTCTCTCGTCTTTCTCGCCCAGCACTCTTCCTCGCTCCTCGACAAGGCCGAACGATTACGGGGAAAGCTCTCTTCGGTACAAGATGCGGAGCTGAAGAGCACGATAGAGATCGCCTTGAAAAAGACCGAACTCGAGGCTAGGATTGCTAGGCCGGAGACGAGGTGGTTGCATGAGAACGAAAATGTCGGACAAGTAGCTGGGGAAGCCGAGGCGGGGGATAAGGAGGCGTTGAACGTGATGGCAGAGAGAAGGTGGAGGAAGATGGGTAAACTCGATCGATTAGTGAGCTCTCGACTTTCTATCTCTCTTGCCGTAGGCTTCATTACCCTCGAAGATCATCGTTAACCTTTTCTTTCTCTTCTCTCTCTTCATTCTATCGTCTTATTGTTCCCTTGGAAAACCTGTAGATGGAACGTATTCTGACGATGAACGTCGTACCCGACCTCGTCGCCCTCCCCAACCCGGAGATCGACATGTCCATCTCCTTCCCTACCGGTTCCGTATCAGAAACGGTACCGGGGGATTACTTGTTGCCTTCCCAGGTAAGTCCAGTATCTCTCTGCATTCAATTCGCCTAGCGACTCCTTAGCTTGTGAAAATACGCTCTGCTTATATACAAATTCTCGGTTTTCTCGGTTTGAGGTAGACCTTGGAACAACCCAAGATCAGCCTGAGAGCGTTTACGAATGACGAGACTGAACAGCTTTATACGCTCGTCATGGTCGACCCGGATCTGCCGGATACGGAGAGGTTGAGCTACAAAGAGTATTGTCATTGGATCGTGTGAGTCCTGGATTCGAACAAAAAATGGTGTATGTTTCCGGACTGACAGATCTCGACTGGTATATAATGTGGTGTGATATTGGACGGTGTAGACCCAACATCCCTGTCTCGAGGAACACCACCTCGATCCCGGCTTCCATCACCGCTTCTCTCGATTACGTACCCCCTCACCCTTCCCCCGAATCGCCTTATCACCGATACACCCTCCTCTTGCTCCGACAACCCACCCCTTCGCTCTCCCCATCCGACAAGGACAAGGGCGACAAGCTAGACTCGTCAGCAACCACCGCTTTCCTCCCTACCACCCCTCAAGACAGGTCGAACTTCAACCTCCGTGAATGGATGGTCGAGAACAACTTTAGCACCTCCCCCTCGGACGCGAGTTCGGTCAAGGGGATCTTCATGTTCAGGGAAGGCGGCAAAGGGTTCGGACAAAAGGTCGGGTACAAGAGGACCAGTAAAGAATGGAAGGAGGAGGAGAGGGTCGTGGATGGTGTTTGGAAAGAGGTTTGGGGTAGGGAGAGGGCGGTCTATGAGAAGTCGCCCAAGGAGGAGAGGTTTGGGTATCCTGTCAAGTATTAATGTCGGTAGGGTCTGCTGCGACAGATGGATGCTAGAAGATGCTTGTATTCGTATGCCGATCAACTCTTCGCCCTATCGAAGAACGAAGTATCAGACACAAAAGACCGTAGGGATGTCACGCGCGGGAATGTGCGGCTTGCCTTTGATTCCCTTGTTATATACAGCAGTAGGATGCATGGACTTGTCCAAGTCTGATTGATGGGCTCCTCCTGTGATGTCGATCCCACTGGCACCTTCATTTTTTGCTTCTATAGTTAAGAGATCCTTTTCTAACAACTATTCACATGCGCCCCTCGGTTCTGGGGTGTTTCCATAGGTATCTCTTGGCATTCGAGTGTACTTCATGGCGAGTAACTGTGTCCGTGTGTGTGTAAGTGCAATACAGTGGAAGAGAGACTGAGCAAGACGAATAGGAAGAGAGGGATTGTAAATTGATTGGCGTGGTCTCGCTTATGCCTTCTACAATCCGTCTTGTGCTAACCGCAATCCCACAAATATGCTTTGGAGACATTCTTACTGCGATCTTGCGCATTTTGCGAGGGCGACGGTCTGGCTGTTGCCACGGCCACGCGGTGGAATTGATGCAGGATCGCATCCCATCTTTTGTGGCTAACGTGGAGGCGATTGTCAAGAGCAAGAGCAAGGTGAAGGATCTAGCCACAAAAGACGGTCTAGACCACGTGACCAAGAGCATGGGCACCCTCACCGAGAGAGTTGACAATCTCATTGAGAGTACCCAAGACCTAACACATAGTTTCACTAAGATGGCATATAACGACCGGGCAAGAGCGATCAACAAGGCCCGCTTGAGACTCGCCAGCACTCATCCTGGTGGTGGGATCATCCCGCTGGTACCTTTGTTAGATAAGGAAGGGCTATTTGTTCCTATCCGATGGGCATCTGAGATCATGGCCGGCACCTATGCTGCGGTTAAGACCTGGGCGGCAAGGTTTGGACTAGATCCTCCCATCAACGGGACGCGCCTCGAAGGAGCGACCGGCCGATTCCTCATGCTTTAGTAAATCAGATCAAAGGGTCAAGCTGAAAACAGGCGGATTTCTGATTCAATCGCAATGAGGAGGGTATAATATGTATACGGATGGGTAAGCTGCCTTCTTTCGCGATCGTGAATGCCTTCTCTATCGTCAGGAGGTCGCCTTTGACAACAGCTCCTCCATCCTTTCCATTCCCTGTCGCATTCGCTTGATCTCGGCCCGCAGATCTGCAATCTCGAGGACCTTCTCGGAAGAAGCAGGCCTCGCATCCTCTTCGTCCAACTGCGTGCTTGGCAAGTTGACCCTCGTTGTCATCATCTTGCCAAGCGGGGAAGCCTTCGAGGTAGCCTGCCGCTTGGTCCGGCTCAGTGGCTCGGTCCCATGCTCTTCGTCGGTCCGCCCGCCAGGTGTTTCCAGGGCAGAGTCCTCGATCTGCAGGACATCAGCGCCGTGCTGGAAAACAGCACGAATGGTCGATTGCGTGCTGGCTCCGAGGAATGATCTAGACACGAATAGTGAGTTCCCGCTCAGATAGCGGTGAAGTCGGGTCCGAACGTACTCGAACATCGTTCCTCCCGAGGTAGTGCTTGTCGAGGCCTTCTTGGAAGTACCCTTGCTCAGCTGGATCCCACGGCCAGTCGGGCGCTGACGCCACCTCTCGTAAGCGGAGATGGCGAAGAGGACCGGGAAGTACTGGATGAAGGACGATATAAGATTGGATCCTCCACTACATCGATCACTCGACAACTCACGACTAGGCGGATTGCGAATACGTTGACTTGATGCAAAGCATGTGCGTCCAAGATCCAGCTCAATGGTGTGATGATTATGAGGGCTATCATGTTCAGGCTATCCAAAATTAATAGGTTTGTCAGTCGTATTCCGGCGGGATGAAACACCTTCGACTTACGGGATGGGGTAAGAGAATATGTAATCCGCCTTGACACCTTCCACCGTGTGGATGGCTTTCTGAAACATGTGCTGTATGGGAAGCCCAAATCAACGTATGATCAGATCCGACGCTTGGCGAATCTGCCCACCTCCTCTCTCGCATTCTGTAATCGCATGAGCAAGGAAGATGAGCATAAGTTGTTAGACAGAAAGAGGCAGTAACAGCTGCAGCGCGACTGACCGAGTTTATGACGGCAAACCGATTGGACAAGATCGAGATCAGGATCGTAACCAACAAGGTGTTGCTCAGAGCGCTTTTGTTGAGAAAGAATTTTGCCTTAGCAACGGACACGTGGATAAGTCGATTGACCTGGCCAACTTACGCATAGACGACCATGATAATGGGCCCCAACGTAGGGTGGAACGAATCAGCCTCCGAGAAGCCAAGGTAGCTACTTCCGACTGTGATGGGTATGAATCAGTGTAACTTCCCTCAAACATCGAGGATATTCTAACGGTCGACTTACACCAGATTTGCCTAGATTCCGCATGCGGACCGCAGGTCAGCGTTGGTCGGACACCTACCGCCATCAGACTTACAGCATCAACCAGGCAATCCGCCTGATAGTCCATGTTTCTTTTCCTAGAGTCCATAGGGTGAACAAGATCCCCGAGAAACATACAGCGGCCATGGCCATAAATCCAATAAAGTCGGAGATCATGGCTTTGAGCTGTTAGGCAAAGTTCTTGAGCGCTCGATCCGGGTTTTAGGTCGAGGATGAATTTGACTTACCGAGATGATCAGTACGTTATCCTTGATGAAGAAGAAGCATAGTCTTGGCAAGAGTATGCTGGCTCCGATGCTCAAGAGATCGAAGGCGAGAGCACTGGTATCCTCCCGTTTAGTCGCGAGCCCGACGATCCTCAAGACAAGGTACACGAAAAACAAGCCGATGAACGCGATATCGAACGCGTTCCATGTGTTTGCGAAGTAGATTGTCCATCCGTTCTCGTTCGTAGTAGCCAGCTCGTCCAAGCTGAAGCCGAGGCAGTAGATGACAAACAGGATTTCTGGCAGGTGGATGTGGTTGAAATGCTTTTCGGACCGTGATGCCGTCAGATTCCAGATGAATAGAGCGGTGAGTATAGCAAAATTGATGAATTCGCTATCAATCGATCAATCAGCGTGGATTCTTACAACGGATCTCAAAAGCTACTCACATCATTGTTCTCCATTTGGGCACCCTCAACCTGGTATGGTCCAGCCAGCCAGCTTCTCGAGCATCATAAACATACACGCCGTCACCATCGGTAACGTGGACACTCCTTCCAGAGGGAGTCGTTGACACGGCAGAATACCGCCTCTGATTGTCAGCGATACGTTGTTTCCGGTTCGAAGAGACGTAAGTGTCGTTGATGATACTACGGCTCGATCGTGAGGTGTAGACGATGGCTCCGGAGTGGATTGCGTCAATCACTCGTTGGGCGAGCGGTGTAGCCAGAAAGTGTTTCGATGAGGATACGATCGCCATCTACGTTCACCAGAGGATGACATGTTCGTCAGCTTACCTCGTCACTGTAGCCACCTGGGCTGGAAACTCACCTCTAATGCATTCCCGATCTCTTCCTCGACATCTTCCTTCTCATCGTCACTCATACTGTCCCATACCTCCGAAGGCGCTCCCTGCAAGCACAATCAGCTTTAAAATAGACTTGAACTCAATCTGCATGCAGGGCTACTCACGGAGAACGGGGAATACGGCCTGGTAAGTATGGAGACCGACTCGAGCTCTGATTCCGAGAAAGTCCGCAGCAACTTCACTATCATCCTCAAAAGGAAAGGATAGCAGGTAGGAAGATCAGATGACCTTGAAGAATAGCGAAGCGCTGTTACACGATACTTACTAGATAGTAGCTCGCAGAGGTTGGCCCTAGTCGAATTCAGAGCCTGGAATGCCAGATCGTGTTCTACAACCTGGAGGAACCGGATCCTAAGCAAAGACAAGGGTCGGTCAGAGAAACCCGGGTAATTACAGATTGGGGTCTACTTACCGGTTGACCATGAGCACGTAGATCATGGATCCATCGTTATGCTTAGAGAGCTTTTTGGTGAGCGGCCGGACGATGGAGTAGTTTAGCTCTGGCGAAGTTAGCTGGCTACCGAGTTGCGTAATCAGGACCATGATTAGCTTCATCCAGAGACGTCAACGTTATGTCCTACTCACTCCCATGTCAAAGCACCGTCTATAAATCGAAACTTTCATCAGTCGCACGAGAATTGGCTGAATTGAAGAGGGTCTTGGACGGACCTATCGTTTCCTGATTGATGTAAGTATAGTAGCAACAGTCAGCATTCGCTCGCATACTATCGGTTCGGTTCGTACAGTCTCCAGTTGTATACGCACATGCACTATCTTGTATACTTCGTGGATCAGTTGAAAGATGCCCTGATCCGGTTGTCGATCACCATGACGTGCTGGTCGATCAACAGATAACATGTTTGCCCGAGACCTTTTTGATGATCCGCTCTTGCAGCTGAAACACTCCAGGACCTAACAAGTAGCGAGGTAAGATTCGGGTACTCCTATACACCTATGTCAAGAAGGCTATTGGTAGCGCATAGCCGCTGCCGAATCGGAGAATCCATCAAGATCCAGATCTGAAGGTGATCACGACAACCTCGGTCGACGACGCACAAAGTCACGTGACTTTCGGTCAACTCCGCCAGCGCTGTTGACCCGTTTCACCGCAGGCGTTTCGGTGTCGGCGGACCAGCTTGTCAGAGTCTCGCTTTGATGAGATCCCTCATGATCATCAGACGCCAGTCTCGAGTATCCTTCGCAATCTTCAGAAATTATCCTGGAGCACTATGACATTATGACCCTTGCCCTGCATAATCGTCGACATGAATGGCAGAACGTTGCGGTGATGATTGATCCACCCGCGCTGCTGGCGTATGCGCCGGCCCTGAACGGCGCAAAGGCATGTCGGTGCCTTGTCATCCACATATATGCTATACAAGAATCTGGTTCACAGTACGTCGCAAAAATACAATCTGGCGATATCGCTGGGTCGTTAAATGGATGTCGTTGATCAGATCTAGTCTGCTACATTAGGCGCGTTCGGGTTGATTGCTTCGCGCTCTCGAAGGCGTGTACGGTGTCTATCCACTGTATCGGTATGAGAGAAGCTTCTCCGATCCGCTCAACTTTCTCTCCCCAAAGACTTCAGTACGGCGCTGAACACTCCGATGAGTAGCGCTGGCCAGAACCTTGGTTGGCGTCTGGTCCAAGTCCTCAGAGTCGTCTTCGATGATGTCATCAGAGTCCTCGAGGTCTGCTCGAGGTATTATCTGGTTGTCGTATGATTTGCGGCTGGACAAGGGGTCTTGTCTGGTGGTACGGATGGTCGGTCGGGGAGTCTTGCCGAATGCGGCGGTGGCGGCTGCAAAAGCCTTTGCGGCCGGAGACTCGGTTGGAGCGATTCTATTGTCAAAACTTCGTGAATGGGTTTTCTGATTGGCAAGGGTATTGTTGCTGTTGAGCGGAGGTCTGACAGGGACAGGTGTCGTGTTGTATCGGGAAGCCACGGGCCGCGCGGACTGAGGCGTTTTGGACTAGACGATCGAGCATTGAGTTAGCCGCGTAAGGCGGGGGAGGGGGAGCCTGGAGTCAGCATCAGGCGGTTCGACTCACCTTGGGCGTGAAGGTATACTTTGCCCGCAAGCCTCTTGCCACGGCCTGAGCTTTCGCCTTGTTGTCCGGTTCTTCATCTTCGTCAGTCAATGCTAAAACCTCCTCGTCGGCCTCGGCCTGAGTCTCCCAGTCTCCTTGAACGCTGGAGCTCCGATCGACGCCACAGACAGCTCGTAAATCTGCCCTTGAAGGTTGCCTGACGGGAGGCTCGCACGCCTGGTAGCCGGGAGACGAAGCCGCAGCCAGGATCGGTTCCCCTCTTGGAGGTGTTACGGTCAGTCTTCGCTTCTTGCTGGCGAGGCGATCCGAAGGGCTGTGTGGCACGAGAGATCGCCTTTTCCTGCTGTTGTTTGATCCCGAAGATTTGGGGGGCTCGGGAAAGTTCTCGTCCTCCTCTGTATCCCTGCCAGGAGACGAGAAGTGCGATCCATGTTGACTGGACCTCACAGGCGATTGTAAGGAAGAGCAAGCAGCAGGTGGGGAGGACAAGTCCGGGAAATTATCCTTATCCGCTTCGTCTGGCGGAATGCTAGCGTAGTCTGTAAGTTCGTCGCCTGGCGCGGAAGATTGTTCGTACGTGATCTTGATCGTGTCTTGTGCGAGGAGCATGCTATTCGTCCGCGACTTCACGCCCGTTGCAAAGAATTTGCTTGATCCTACTGCCTCGTCCGCCTCTTCTAGACCGCTCAATAAACGACTCTCCTTTAGACCTGCCTCCCGTTCGGCAGCTTCGGCTGCCCGCCTCTTCGACACGGAGAGATCGGATAGTCGAGCTGGACCGGACCCTCGAGTACCGACAGGAGCAGGTATAAAAGCCTTGCGCGCGGGAGCCTCCTTCTTGACGGGAAGACCTGCAAGTACGTGGACGAGCATAATCAACACAGTCGCCTATCCGGGCCGAGCAAGGTGAAACGAGCTTACGCTTGATGAACGCGTCCAGCGGTCCAGAGATATTTACCCGCTTCGAAACCCCCAGAGCATTGTTCTGGCACGTAAAACCGTCGCGATTCAAATCAGCTGGATGAATACCTTGAATGATTCTACATATGTCCTTACCTTTCCTGACTTGCCCATGGAAGTAGCGGACTGCGTCTGATTCGCACGAGCCGTACCCGGATGGTAATCCGGCCACAGATCCTCCAACTCCTCCTTCGTTTCCGGATGTACCCTCCCCTCAGCTATTCCTTTCGCCGTCTCTGGCTCCATATCCGGTCCGATATATCCTTCCTCGACCGCTTCCAGACCCCCTTCCCTGACGACCGGTAACAACGTATCCAACCTTCCGGTTCTCGGATCATACACCCTTTGATGCAGAAAGACCAACTCGGCCAACCTGAACTGAGGGATATAGTCCGAGGGCACGGTCAGATTACCGTCCAGCCTGACGTTCTGGACGACCTTTTCGATCGTCTTGTGTTTCCGCAGGAGCTTGTGAGCGGTCTTGATCCCGATCCCCGGGATCGAGTCGAGGTAATCACACCCTGCCAAGATCTACCAGGATTTACAGAGGGGCCTGTTTTAGTTTCCTGCGCGCACGCACAGTCCCAACCGGCACTCACAGCCATCCTCCTAAACTCGGTCTCTCCCCATCCGACAAAGCTAAACTCGCGACAAGTTCGGAAATCGTCCCTGACGATATGTATACACTCTCCATCCCCGTCCAGCTTGTAGACAACCTGTTCGTCGAAGCGACGCAAAACGTCGTCAACATATCAGCGATTGTCTCCCATCAGACATGACGAGGTAACGGAATTTTACTCACGTTCCGACAGCCAAAGACGAGCAGATCAGAGTCCTCCGTAATGATCCCATCGACAATCCCTTCCTTTTCGAGGTAAGCCAGTTGAGCGTCCGCTTCGTAAGGCGCGACGATGTAAGGGACTTGTTCCGCCTTTAGGGCCTGTTGATTGTCGATTCGAGTCATGCACGCCATATTTCCAGAATTCATGAGCATTCATTATGATCGTGCCGATGGGACCGGGTGATTTCGGCGGGAAGGGTACGAACCTTGATAAGCTGGAGAGCCATCTCAGGGGTGATATCCACGCATTTCGTATAATGATCCCTAGCCTCCTTATGCCTCCCTTGGACGGTCAACGACCTCGCCCGAGCTAGATGTTCCGCCCGTCTCCTAAGTTACAACAACCAAAACCACAAAAAGGGAAAATGATCAGCTTACGACCATACAGACTTTGGTGAAATTATGATCTGTGAATAGATGAGGAGGAGTATGACTGACGACGCTCGATCCACCTCGGTCCCTCGTTTGGCAGGTAACGGTCCTCCGTCGAAGACCATCAGTGGAGTTACGCCGTGATGCCTCAACATCCTGACTCTGTGCATGGCATAGTCAACGAACCTGTCCAGGAGTGCCAGTAAAGTGAAGTCAAGCGGATCAGATTTCGTTCCGCTTTCGGTTAAGAGGACCTTAGACCACAGGCAGACAGTACTGACGATGACTTACTTGGTGGTCTTGGACCCGGTCACCAAATCTTCTGCGCATCCGAAAGCTCCCCGGTGTAGCCAGACGTACCCATCGATCGCCAGACTGTTTCACCAGATAGCCATTAGTACCACAGGAGTGCACACGTTTCCGAGTGAAGAACAATTAGATAGCAAGGAAAGTCATAGGCGAGTCGGAGAGATCAATCAGCTTCATCGTCTTCTAACCGGCTCGGGATGACGAACGACCGTCAATTCTGCACTCACCTCTTGCCCTTGAAATCCGAGACATGCTTCTTCACCTGAACCTCCTTCAACAAAGGCAACAGCCCAGAGATACCCATCTTTCGAATGTAGCGTCCACTAAGCACCCGTCCTCTGGCCCACTACTTTCAAGGAAGATCTCTTGAGTTGGAGGTCTTCGCCGATCCGTGCAGATTCAACGCGACTTCCGATCAAGCTGAAGGCCCACAGCCGCAGGGAAGCATATCGGCCGGAGATGATTGATGGAGGTGCTATATTCAAGACTAGGCTATCGTTGGAGTTGGTAGATAAGTGTCGAGAGATGAAGAGATCAGAATCGAGCGGGTCAGCACATCTGATCTCTCTTGATCTCTTGCTAGCTTGATTTCAACCAAGTCCCTCCTAGATCTTCCTAGCTTCGAACGCGAAAACGCGTCTTGACGCGATCCCTGACGCGTCGAGTTTCACCTTCTCGGTATCTAAGCTTGGGTTGAAACTTGGCCCTCGGATCACTCGCTCGCCCAGCTGGTCGATAAAGTTCGGAAGAGCCATAGTATATTCTGGTATGATCGATATGCATTTCGTGATTTGGTGAGAAAGAGAACAAGCCGGGAAACACAAGAAGACCCGCGTTGACTATAAAATACAGATGCACTTCAGGAGAGACGTTCCCTCGAACTACTACTTCTTGGCTCGGGTCGCCATGAATACCCCGATAATGACGATCCCCAAGAAACCCAAACTGGCGGGCAAGACCAAATCCCTCGGGATACCCATCACGTCGTCCTTGTTATTGACACCACTACCAGGCTGAACGTGGACCTTTTCGCTCTGCCCAAACGTAGGCACCTTGGCCGGGTCCGCCGACTTGTCCTCCAAGGCCTTTTCTTCCACCTCGGCCTTTTCCTCGTCTTCCTCCTTGGCAGACTCTTTCAACGTCTCCAAAGCCCGAGGGTTCGAAGCTGCCGCGAGGTCCTTGGCGGCTTCTTCCCAGACCTTGTCGCCCTGGATGACGAGCACGACCCGGTCCGACTTTTGCGAACGGGCCGTCTTGACCGCGTCGGTGACGTCGCCATCCTGGGTGATGGTGACCAGATCGCCGTCGTCGTCGGTGTAGGACATGGTGAAAACACCGGGGTCGGCCATGTGGATACTATCCCCTTCCCGTGTTCCCTCGCCGTTGAAGAACGGATCACTAGAGAGCTTGCCGAGGACGATCTCGCGCAGGTTTTCGAAATTGTCGTGTCGGGCCTGGAACCTATGCGTCCTCCCGCTAGGAGTCTTGAACTTGAAGATGTACGTCCCATCGTCCACCTGAGCGACGGGCGCGGCGACAGAAGAAGGAGCCCCGACGGGCTTTCCAGCACCACCCATCTCAGACATGCCTTCATCGTCGATCGCCGAGGCGGAATCACCGGGTTGAAGCTCGGAGAATGGGGTCCCGACGCGTTCGGCACGGTGCATGTGACGGGGCACGTTCGGAGTCTGAGGTTGGTCAGGCATGTGACTGCCCGAGATCATCGATGCCGTGTCATCATCGGGACCTCCGGCTGTACCGAGATCTTCGAAGAATTTGCTCCACATGGGACCTCCGTCGGTGTTGGTCTTGTCGTCCGACATGGATTCGATCTGGTAAAAGGGGTTGGGTATATATGAACATCGTCGCGTAAGCTGGCAGGAGATTTGTTATGCTTACCTGCTCGAGCGTGGCATAAGTGAGCTTGAGAACGTCGACGATCCCGACCAATCGACCATCAGACTCGACGACGGGCAAGTTCAAGTAGTGTCCATCTACGCAAATTCCAAGCGGAGCGGTTAGCCTTGTATTGCCCCCCGCTTATCTTCCAGGCCTGCGCCGCACTTACTGTGCATCTTTCGCAAAGCGTCCTGAACGCTCAACGTAGGCAGAGCCGTATCTGGATGAGGCGTCATGACCCTAACGACACTACACCTCCCCGGGTCCAACCCAGCCGCAATAACACGTAGGACGACGTCTTTACTGGTGAAGATCCCCGCGATCTTTGTCCCCGGCGCTCCACCTCCGGAGACGGTGGATCCGACAGCAGAGCTCGAACTGTTGATCCCCCCCACTGGACCTTCCATGACGCAGACGGCGGTGGTTCGGCGTTCTTTCATCAACCTAGCGGCTTCTTTGACCGACGTCCTGGCGCTGACCATGGGCGGAGGGATCCGGGTGTTCATCACCGTGGTCAAATCGGGGAGGGCCATCTTGTCTTTGAGAGCTTCGGCGTAAGCCATCATAGCCGCCGCTTGCGGGTTGGTAGACATTCCACCCAACTCGGACTGGACGCCGGCGAGGGCGGCGGTGAGTTGGGCAGAGGCTGAGGAGGATCGTTCGACCTTGGCGAGGGCTTCGTGGAAGACTTTGGTGATATCCAAAAGACCGACCACATCGCCGTCTTCATTACAGACGGGCTAGCGGGTTGGCAAAACGATACCATCAGCCACCTGTCTAATATCACCTAACTTGACGTTCGTAAACCCGAGACTTACCAAGTGCCTGAAATGCTTCTCCACCATCAACTGCAACGCCTGAGTCGCGCTCGTCGTATCCCGGGTAACCATCGGGTTCGGGGTCATGATCTGGGAGACGAGGGTCGTTCGAGGGTCTAGACCTTCGGCGGTGACCTGCAGTGTCCATCGTGGAAGCAACAGCAAGTGATCGAAGATCCATGTTGTAGATGTCAGCGATAGCACTTGGAAGCAGCAGAAGATGTAAACGGCGACTCACCCGGAAAGCCAAATCCTTGGCGGTGAAAATCCCACTCAACCCTTCCTCCTGATCGACGACCAAAACACAATCCGTCCTCTTGGCCGCACACAACTGACTGGCATCAGAGACCGTCATGTTCTCCGGTACCGTCAACGCAGGAGAAGGTTTCAGGCCGGCGACGGTACCCTTTTGGGCTTGTCGGCGGGACCTCTGGGCGGGGTTGTGGTAGGAAGAGTTTTGGTTGGTAGGGAGGTTGGATTGGGAGAGGGAGGAGGCGGGAGGGCCGGGACGTTTGCGAGAGAGTTCGGATTCGATCTTTCGACGGAGGGTCTGGTAGAGGTGGGCCGCAGTACGTGTATGGTCAGCATGCAGTATGATTAGGTTCGGTCTGATTCGCTGGTAACATGACGGTCTCCATCGACGAAAACGACCAGACTACCACCCCCATCGGCTCAGTCAAGTCAGAATGGAAAGATAAAACTCACCTCATCTCGCTTGCTCTGCTTCCTCCTCGTATCCGAGCTCATGGGGCTGTTTGAACTCATGATATCGCCAGAAGCGGTCCGTTGAGGCGTGGGTGATTGTTGTTGTTGTTGTTGCAGGTAGGTCGGGATGGGGATCCTGGACATTCGGGGCTCGTCTCGACGGGCGAAGCGGGCAAGAGTATGTTATAATTGACCTAGAGCTTGTCTGCCTGAGGTATACTGAGTCAATAGGGTGTTTGTCGATGTCGAGGTTGTCGAGGTTTGGAATGATGAATGGTGCGTCCAGAGCGAGCTGGTGTGGCTGAGGAATGTTGTTTGTTGACATTGTCGGAGGCGAAGGGGGGGGGGGGGGGGGATGCTAAGTTCGGTTGCGCGATCCGCGGTGCACACAACTCTTCCTCTCATTGGCGGCGAGGTGAAACGCGCTTGGAGCGGGCGTCGCCGATTCGGCGATCGATGAAACGTTATAGGCCTATAGGCAAGTATATTCGATTGAGGGAGAAGACGGAGACGAGTCGGTAGACTCACTATTCGAGACAGGGAGCAGGTGAAGAAGAGCTGGGAGGACGTCAGCGGTGCGAAGTCCCGTCGAATTACGAAAGCTCCGGCGCTTCAACAAGTCTTTGAGAGCAGCGATCGAAGGGAGGTCAATTATCTTAGTTGAAGGTATGTGTGGGTATCGCTCTAGCGCCTTTGCAAGTCCATGTCTGGTATTGAGCTTGATTCAATGTCCATTGTCCCATAGCGATCGTGCCATAGCGCTCCAAAACGACATCACGCAAGGAGTCAAGGAGCCATGCGAATCCCTAAATCAATCCCTGGTGTACTAGTAGGCGCGTAAAGTCCTGAGGCGCGCGTGCAGAGGGACACCCATTCCTAGACCATTATAACGTGAAATATAGGTCGCATTCTCACAAATCAAACTGTAAAGCAGCCAAATCATATACTTAAGGTCCTGTACATCATGTCTACCAGATCCAACTTTGAACACTGAATTGCCTCACCCCTGGCCTTCCGAACTGCCTCCACTCTGACAGGCATACCATCAATAAGCTTATCAACACATCCCTGGTCTGTATCCGCTTAGCAGGCTTGCCCCTGCTCTCCAAGCATGTTTGGCATATGAAAAGAGCCTTATGATGCAGGAGATAAATGCTCACGGCAAGAACTGGGATATGGTGCAACTGAGCATGCCAACAAGTGAGGTTCAGGAAAAGGGGAAAAGGAGTGATGAGGGAAAACATCTCAGGTCGATTGCCAACGGTTAATTCAAGCAAGCAGCAAGGTAGCTCAGGACAGCCAAGTGATGGAGCATCCTGGTGGTAGAAGATGAAGCATCTTGCCATAGTTGCAAGCTGGCAAAGGAGGCCCAAACAAGATTGGAGATTTCCTCTCTTGTCTATTCCCACACTGTTCCTGATCTCAACCTCATTTGGAGCGTCCGGCACCTGCTTAAAACCGAGTTACCCCAACTACTCACTCAGACCACCAACCTAGACATGCTTTTGAAGCAAGTGCAGGCCTGCTGGGTGGACATAGACCAAGGATTTGTTGACAAGCTCATTGATGATATGCCTGTCAGAGGGTAGGCGGTTCAAAAGGCTAGGGGTGAGGTAACTCAATTTTGAAAACTGAATCTGGCAGACGTGATGTATAGGACCTTAAGTCTATGATTCAACTGTTCTACGGTTTGATTTGTGAAAATGCGACCTATATTCACGGAAAAACCCAGCTTTATGACCCGCTGCGATGCGCGCGCTGCCTCAGGACTTTCGCGCGCGACGAGTACTAACCTGATCCCTATCGATGACTTGGAAATTTGCGCTGGAACGAAACGCTGTGAGTCTCCAACAACTCCCATCATACTCTTCTACTCCAGCACTCCTAACTTACTAGCCTTTCAACGAGCCGCGGTACACCTCGCAATAGGCGATATCAAGGTGAGGCCTCTTGCATTCATCGATGTAGCCAAAGTCAAGACCTTGCAACAGGACATCGAAAGATCTGTCAATGGATTTTCGGTGTGTATCTATGCACAGGGGTTTAGGAATTTCTGAGATCGAGGTATCTGTTTCTGTGGAGATTGAGACGATGTCGAAGAAGGAGACGGTTGACGACTCGACAGTCGCGAGAGCTGGATTTTTCTCTCCGCGCGTTCTTCCATGATCCCGCGTATCTGCCTTGGTCGGGACTGTAAAGGTGGTTTTCAGCTGTCAGGTGAAGATACGAAGGTCTCAGTAGGAGGTTGTTGGTATACTGTGACTCGCAGTCGATGTCAACCCTCTCCGTCGGCAATAAAGACCGCAGAAGTAGTCCAGTCCACGCGCATCATGCTGTACGATAGATACATACCGTTGACTTCATTGAATCCCTGAACATCCGTCTGATAGTTGGTCTGCACATCAAGACTCCTCAAAGGATTGAAGACACCCTTGATATTGTTCAGATAGGAGATGTACTTGTTGGCCCAGCGCTGTCTTGCCTCTTCAACCTGCTCATCATTTTGATGGGAGGATCAGCACGGGTCGGCAGAACAAGACCTATTGTGTCTCTTTTTGTTGATCAGGTCGGTCTGAACCTTGGTGTAATTATCTAACTGGGTCTTCACAATCTTAATATCGTTAGGGGCATCGGCAAGATAGCTCACGTCGTCTTTGATCCGCTGTAAATGTCTCCTTCTCGCATGTCTAGCGGAGCCGTAGCCATAAGGGGGTTTGAGCGTATGATTAGAGAGTGAGCCCGTTTTGTCAAGCGAAATTTGGTTCATCCCACGAAACATCCTGCCAGGGCTCCTTGTCCGCGGTACATAGCATTAACATCTCAATGTGAAACATGGTGCTCAGTCAGGTGATGCTGCAGTCTCATCACGCGACCACGACGTTATTGAACCTCAATATCAAAGGAATGCTCCGAGACCCATAGATCGCCAAAGGGTTGTCCACCGGTATATAGTCAGGGACTCCGTTTGTTGCTTATCGCTGAGAGATCCCTTACCTCAGGCTTATCAAAACGAGAGTATTCGAACAAGGCCACCGAGATGCCTGCGCTTGATCTATCCGATTACAACCTGCGATCTGCTGAATGGCCTACCGATACTTCCGGTCAAACTGCGAGTACTGCGACTCATGCCTCGATTGCCAGTTCGGTCGCCACCATGTTCAACTCGTCTGCCTTGCCCACCGAATCTCACAGTGAATTTGACGAAAGCTGTAGGAAGTTAGTCTTCGAGAGCGCAGGGAATCAACCTTGGGTCAGTCCCCCATCAATATACAATCCTCATCATACCGTGTACTCGCTAAGAAGCTTTCTCGCTCATAGCTCTTCTCTACTTTCCATAGGCACAAATGAAGAATACTTTACCCGAGGTCATCCATTTTCTGCGCCAGGGAGTTTCCAGGGACTTCACCGACAGGATGGTCGATGTGATGATCCGTGGCGGAGGACTTCTGAGACGATGGAATCAAGCATGCTCGAACAAGGCCGCCAATCGATGTGAGATCTTGGACGAAGTTGCAGACATTGTCATGAAAGAGGACGTGGCACAAATTTTTGTGAAGGCGTGCAAGAAGGATTTGAAACTGGGGGAGGGGAAGTCGGAGGAAGACCTGAAACAAATTGGCAAGATGCTGGCGGAATCGTTATGTCAGCATGAAAACTGGAAGAATTTGTGGATGAGCCTCAGCTGTGGGGAAGCAAGGGCCCAAACTGTAGTGCATTTCTTTAGGGAACAAGCGCGACGACTGAGAGATGAGAGACCTCCCATGGCTGCAGTCGGTCCGGCTCTGGGGGACTGTGATATCTTACTTACAAGACTGTCCTGTACACCCCAAGCTTAGCCAAAGCAGATATGATCCGTTGTTATCTTCTTGAGATGTGAACCAATGTCGATAAGATGCAATTTCCCCCAATACAAGCTGATATAGCTCGGCCGAGATCATGTAAGCGTGCCGTCAATGGTGGATTAAGTTCCTCCTGATTTTGCAACCTTAAAGACCGTTGAACTGTCCGTTACCGCAAAGAACTATCAGCTTGCCGGGGAAGGGAAGACGCAGCTTATCATAGCTAGACAAGCTGCCGAATCCTTCCACAACAATTTTCGTGTCGTTAACATGGCTTTAGTATAACTGGTTTGACCAAAGCACTTTCATCTTCTTTACGGTATCTGGGTACAACGAGCGGGGCCGTGTATCAGCTGCTCAGTAGAATCTCAACAGGTCCGCCGGCAATCCATACACGAAACGAGAAGAAAAGTCATGTATGCATTATCAATGAAGTATCACTCAGTTCCTATAATCGATAGGCCTCTAAAGTCGGGCCAACGAGAAACTGCGCAGCTTACGATCGGGGCATCATGCGTGATTCGGATGGTGGTATCCGCTCCTCTTGCGGGCTTTTGCGTATGATAAAGGGTAATATCGAGTTGTACAGTATCGGCAAGGGTCTCGCTTACATGATCGATCAATGGGATGCCTTGACCTTCAAGTCGATAAGTACTGCTTCTTGATCGTAAGGTGCCTCAAGCCTCTCCAAGACCTGCATGACGCGTGGGAGCGACGCGCGAGCAGGGTATCATCTAGGTTCTTGGTTCTGACTGCTTCTCAAACCTCGGAGCGATGAAGGGAATGTCAGGGTTCCTTATCAACAGCATCTTATGACCAATGATCCTCTATGGTTCTCGTCGAATAAGTCCGAAAGGTAGAGCGATAGACGCTCAGCATGAGAGACGCAAGATCGTCCTTGTCCGCGATCCAGCCGAGACAACCGAGTGAAGCCATGTCTCAACGCGAGCCACGACGACCTTGAGTTGGCCACGTTGCGCTCCCGTGGGACGTATCAGGTAACGAGATCCAGCTCTATAGGATCCGGGTACGCCTCGCAGAGTTAGGCATTGCTATTTGATCGGAAGAAGCTCGAGTCGTCAGGTGTGTGTCTACAGGTGGCTTGTCAGCAGCATGAGTGGATGGAGCTGCTTTTGAGTATCAAGAACCTAAGGCTTCCTTTGACAGTAAGCGTCGGACGCGCGATAGATGCGGCTTCATGGCTCTCTTAAGCATGGCCGATATTCCCACTGATGCTCCCTTAGCCGCAGCATCGCAAGAACCTTATTTTATGGTCATTTGAGCAAGGGGAGTCATCAAGGCTTCCTCAAGCACCACCTTTCATCAGATGGATGACGTGCTACGGAGAAGCAAGACATCAATTCACCTATTATGCGTATAATGGTACGGAAACTGTTATATATCGCTAGCAAATGGTACTTCGATAAACTTATCCGACGCTTGGAATTCAAGTCAGAAAGTACCGCCTCCGTGCTTCCCTGCCATGTCAAGTTACAGCCAACGTTCGCATGACGACACTTCGATTGACTCCTTCCTCCTTTTAGCAGACGCTGGGTGGAAGGAGATAGTGGATAGTCTTGTAGATGATCACGCCCTGGACTGGGTATGTTGAATTCGTGCTGGCTTCATGCATCTGTAGGCCGGAATATACTGAGGTTTTTCTTGATAAAGTTGACGTTCCGGACTAACGACCACGAAGTGAGTTAAAGAGCGGTTTTCACCAGTACCAAGCTAAATTAAATGCTTACACATATCCCAGGGGATCTCCGCCACGGTAAGTATATACGTCATAGTCCCAGTAGACTTTGCATCGCTGAAAATCAGATTGTGCGATTTCGTACAAGTTGACGTTCTGGAGCCATGCGCGTTCTGTACCTGGGACGATTGATCTCGGCGATGAAGACAGCACCTTCGAACATGTCAAGGTTCCAAACATGTGGTCAGGTAGCAAGGTGAGCTCTGTCTGAAGATTATCAGAATATCGGTACAACCCATACCAATGTCGATATTGTTGCTGCTTCAGCGCCTTGAAATGGCAAAGCTGTTCGAAGCAGTCACTTGCTATTTGCCTAGTGGTTTGGGAAAATGTTCCAGTCGACTGTTTCGAATCGACCTTGTCGAAGAACTTCTGACAGAGGGCCAAGAATACATACTCGATCAAGATTATAACGTCCGTTGGACTGACTACGTTCACTTGAATCGCCAAATCTTCGCACACCTTCTGACTCGTGCCATAGATGTGGTGTGGTCGAAGACGCTCAATGCGACGATACTAGCTATTTTGCAAGACAAGACTTACAAGCCATCACCGACTCGATGGGAGACAACACATATTCTGAAGGTAGACTTCATGAGCGAAAGTATATCTATCTCAAAGTGGGCTAAATGCAATACACTGGAGGCGAGAACGCAAATGATGTTGGATGTTATGGAGACCTATCGTAGATACTGGAGGATCCTCTCCCGCACACCGCAACAGGCAATGGAGTACCAAGGTCTATCGGAAGTCCAAAAGCTCATGGCCAACGCAGGCTATAAACATTGGCTATTCAAGCCTTGATCGAACTTCTAGCGGAATTGTAACTTTATGTTTCAGTGCAACCTGTACGGTGATCCCATCGTTCTGCGTTGAAGCTCTATTTAGTGTACTACCCGAATGTCTAGCCATTCGGTTCAACACAAATCAAACGCTAGAGTTCAAATCAGATGAGAATGTGCATACAATATCCTTGTCTCTAGCTGAAAATGAATTCCCTAAAGATCTCGCCAGCAAATGCTGACGTTCGACACGACCCATAGGGAGCAATCTGAGCATGAACCCAACATAACTCAGAGCGTGATCGCTTTGACGGATTGACGTAGGCTCCTAGGGAAGCAAACAACCAATGAGCCATTAATGATCGGCAGACACAAGAGAGAGAAGATATCAAGTGTCGGCTTTCCTTTGATTACTCGTGGCTTTCCGTCCATGGTAATAATTGCTTGCATAGCGAGCATAAGGAGAGAACCAAATGACTTGGCTCAAGCCTCTCTCGTGAACCGTTGGAGTGCGCCTAGCACAATCCACCTCTTGGGTGCTGGAAAAAGTCCGGGGACGGAGCGGAAACCTGTCCCCCTTTCTGCCATAGCCATTCCGGTGGACGATAGCGTCAACTGATGCTATTTCAGACTTTTCTTGTTTGCCAATCAACTCCTTTGTTCTTGGTCGATTTGCAATACCGACTTGTCTACCTCTATAAAGCTGGTAACGGTCGCCAGAAGCATGTGAAGGGCAGGGGATGATTCAACGTCCACCGAGCATTGAGGATCCCAAGATTTTCGCTTCGAGCAACCGCGAAAATGCAAAACCAAGCCAATACTATCGAAAAACCTTTGTCCTCTTTGACATGCACTCGTTCGGTGGTGTCTCTTGCTACATTCAGCACGAAGGAGGAGGAAATCTTCTCCCAGGCATGCAGTCAAGTCGACTCAAAAGTTTGGGTATGTGCGGAAACATCATTGATTGCGCATACTCAATACTGATCATGCCTCTAATGTTAGTCTGACGCCATGGGGGATATGTCGGTATGTTCTACCTGACTTTCCAAGCCATATCAGAACGACACGCTGATTTGAGATGATCATGGGCAGCTGATAGTAAACATTGCCTTGGAACTATCCGCGAACCTCCTTCGTTGACTCGATCCGATTGTTTTCTTCAGACATACTTGAGCCCTGAGACTGTTTCAGATAAAGATGGGTTATCGCCGACCGGTGTAAGCATCGGTCTCCAGCTTCGTTTTCAATCGAGAGGCTATCAACTGCCCTAAAATGGATCTTTCTTCTACTTGCAGTACTGCGCCGTGATAGCGCTCATGCGTGTCATGGAGAGTGGCTACCCAGATATGCAGGAAATCTTCAAGAAAGCACTCCTCGAAGAGCTCATGCGGACTGGATCTGATATCTCCAGCATTGGAAGGCCATACAAGGCGGAGTTTACCCTATTGGAGGATGGAAGGGGTATTGGGATATCTTGAACGTAGCTATCTCGTATGCCATCAGAGTCGGCGTCTATCGACGGTTGAGGACCGCCGGAGGATTCCACGACCGGTTGAAGACCGACATAGAATTCCGCGACTCCTTGACGAAATTCAGCATTTCGCTTGCCAGACGCATCTCTGAGGATCCTCTAGAGCTCAAACGCTGGATCTCTGCACGCGAAGAAAAAGTACTGTCTCAGTGTATCGATCGAGCCTTTGCCCACACCTGGAAGGATGTAGATGAAGCCAGGAGATGACCGATGACGAGAAAGACATATTCAATATGCTTTGGAAGCGAGACGGAGCGGAATCGGAACGTCAATACAGGTCCAGTCAAGTTGAGGAATGGATCGACTTGGATAGTGCATGTCCATCGACCGACTAAATCGCCTAGAACTTTGATTGGAAAGGCTTATAAGCTCGTTGCATCGGCGATCTCTACTTTCAGTACTTCCGCCCAATCGACGCCTGCCGTTTATGATGAAACGCAGTTTGTATCCGCGCTACGGCCCTTGACGCCCACGACGTCCGCATCGAATCATCATTACGAAGCAGAATCTTGTAAGGTGGTTCAATTAGTCGTTGGATGGCCAAGCCTGATGTAACTTTGGCGGTGCGACGTGCGTCAAATCGAAACAGGAGATCGCATTGCGTATTTCCCGTTACGTCGTGGCTTTCCGCCAACCACAATTCCTAAGTCACAGTGGCAAATGCATGCCGGTAAACATCCGCCCGAGCCGACTGGTTCAATCTCCATCTGAGAAGGTAATACCGGAGGCCACATTTCGTGTATATCGTTTGTATCTGTACTAGGCGCGACCCAGCTCACCTTGACAAACCGAAGCCCGATCTTTTGGGCTGAAAACAAGGGGCGAAGCAGGACACGCTGAAAACAGGCGGCAAGCCTGAAGACAGACGCTGTATGATTACGATGTTTGGACTCGTCTCATCATGGCATCATACGTCACATGATTAGCTACGTCTCTCCAAAATTCACCATCTCTTCCTTTCAGTTGTTCTATCACGTCATCCTCTGGTCCCAACGACTATAAATTCCAGACAGAACGGTGATGCCCGCAGGTCAGCGCGCGCACTTCATACTGCCTTTTGCTCATCGACCCTCAGACGCCGTCAGGAAAGCCCCGGTTTTCATCTCTTAGCCATGGCGAATCGAACAGTTTCCGATGATAGGTTTGAGGAGCTGTTCGGCTCTTTGCATCCTACTGTTCTGACCGAAAATTCTTGGCCTTGCTTCATTTCGAGCTCCCCGGTAGATCCGGAAGAGTTTCTCAGCGAATGCGTCGACGTATGCACAGATTATTGGGTAGGAGGTCCTCTTGCTACATCGTATCAGCTTCAGGGTATACTCATGATAGCGTTGTCGATTTTGATAGCAAGAGCCCGTGCGAAGTTCTACTGTGGGTTTGCTTGGTCTTGCAAATTAAATCAGGCGAGGAATAGTAGTCCTTTACACTGATTTTGAATCCCTGTGCAGATCGCCGTAAATCTTTCAGCGAAAACATCCTGTTAGCCGAACTCATATACTCATGTGATCAACTTTTTTCTCTGTATCAGAGTTGCGTAGATCCTGACTATCGGAGTGACTTAGATGGGGAGGAGCCAGAAGAGAAGTCTCCTGAAGTCAGTAACGTGGTAAGCGGTCTCGTTCCAAGAGTTAAACTGACCAGGCTCAATGTGTATCACAGGAATACGTCGTCGGGGATCTGGATATGGTGATCGAAGCCTGTGCAGAGGGGAGATCCTGGGGAAAAGCTTTTCGACAAGATCTCCTCTCAGAACTGGTTCGATCTGAGACACCATACCCCAATCAATGGAAGATTGCCCAGCGTATTGCACCGCGTGCATCTTCAAAGGTAGACCACTGGAGAATTTTCTGGCGAATCATGAGCATTGCGATCTGCAAAGCGGTCACGAAGGGGGTACACGAGCTCCTCGAACACAGACTAGGTGTCCCTGATTCTCCGCCAATGCTGACTGAGTACCTGGCGAAGAAGATTGTCACGCAAGAAGAGAGGCTGAATGACTGGACTTTTTATCAAAACTCGCAAGATAGAGTTTTGTGTCTACAGGATGTGCTCCTCGATGATACTGCAGATGCTGGCGGTAGACTAAGTGTATCAGCGAAGTTCATCCTCGATCAGCTCATACGACGCGAAAATGATGTATATGCATTAGGGATGGCTGTGGAAGATACCCAAGAAGAGCTTGAGGCTGAAGACCCAGCACCAGTCAAATTCGATGTTTAGAACAGAACTTTCCTGCTTGTACTTCTGTCGTTAGGGTGTATTGTACTTTAGACTACTCGATTAAAAGATATCGCAAATCATAGCAGGATGAGCTGATACGGTTGTCTACCTCGGTATCTGGAACTTTCTCCCCATGCAATATACAACCGTCCCAGAACCCGATCGCGACAGCATGTTTGGTGTGTCTTCAGTCCATCGAAAGCTGCGTACTCAGACGGTATGGTGAGGAAGACTTGCCCCTTGCTAGATACTGCGCGTATTGTTATAGCGATATCAGATCACGAGCTGAAGGATCTGCTTCTTTGTCACCTGACACGGTCATTGAGAAGCTCAAGGCGACCTAGGACCACTTGCAATCTGCCTACCACCTTCGCCCCACGCACTGCAACCTTTCCCTCTTGCCGAGGACCGATCTCATGTACATAAAGGAGTGTGATGAGCTGATTCTTTTCCTCACGAGGATGAAGTCGATAATCCTCGTAGTGGTCTCCTTGACACGTGACCTACATGGAACAAACGCTGCTAGCGTGGCTGTATCTCCCTCCTGCATTCTCGCTCCCAGAACGTTTCCTTTCATTCTTGATTGGGCTCGCGGAGGCGATAGCTCTTTCGGATTGACGTATATATTGCGCGGCAAAACGTGAAGAATGTGCTTATGCGACTGCCCGCCCGACTTACGGCTGTCGTGAGTTTAGACGCCAAACCGAGCTTTCTACGTCTCCGATCTCAAATCACATCAACATGAGTCAGCGATCGCTCTACACTATCCACACAGATGCCGGCAAAACCACTTTCGAGCATGAGTCAGAAGCTCTCTTCAAAAATGTCGATTGGACTGTTTGGGTGAGTCGAATTCGCGGATCAAGCTACATACCTCACCCTTTGCTGACCCATCGCTACTGTCAGAAATCTTTGCAACCAGGCACAGGGCAGACTGGTGTGAGTTATCTCTAAATGATCAGTTTGACTTGTTACTGACAGGCTGTGATCTCATGACATTTGTATAGCCCATTGTATTTTGAAGTCCCTCTCCACTCATGACATGATGACTCTGTCCTTGCTGATATCATATATCATATGTTCGTGACAGGACTCGATCCTTGGCAAGGCGACAGAGATTTTGAGCAGTGAATCCGAGCAGAACCTGGACGCATCGACTATTCTGTCTTCTATGGTCGGGTCGAATCTTGAATGCAATGGCAATGCTGTACGTTTCTTTTCAGCAATACCGTCGGCAGCTTCCCGCTGATTGTGGAGTTGATTCATTATATAGATCGAGCAAGCACATATTCGGGTTGCGAAAGCAGTTTCTGATCTGCTCAAGAATATGCAGATGGAGATCGTCGGAAAAGCTAGCACGATGTTTGAACTTGAGTTGGTAGCTCAAGTCTGTCGGGACTTGAGCAAGAAGCCCGGATGGGGCAAGCGTGAAGTGGTTGGGAAGAAAGGGGCATTGAGGGCAGGCGCTTGGAACGGATGGCGCCCTTCGGAGCTTTTCCTAACGATACAGAACGCCATTCCGACGACCGTGAGCAAACACGCTGATATAGCACATCGCGAGGTTCTTCATCATCAGGGCGAGTTTCCGGAGACTGGGTTTGAGATGAACACCTTCAACCGTATCTGGCAGAGTGAACAGCGTATCAAAGACTGAATGATGTTGCGAAGCCACGGCGAACGCTACGAGGCCGTGTCTGCGCTGTTGAATACTTGCCGGAGCTTTTTGTTGGATTTCGGCCAAGGAAAGTTTGAAGGAAAGCTAGAGCATGGAGCGGTCTATCACATCAGTTCAGACGTCTCAGAAAAGCTCGAACGGGGAGACCGCATGGCGACCTACCAACAGCTCACCAAACCAGATTGGACCTTGCTGGTTGAGCTAGCTCGCGAATGGCTCAGTTGGTACAACTCGATCAGTTATCAGATCCGGGAGTTTATTCAGAACTCCATGTAATAGCATGACATGATAAGCTCAGGCTACCGATCCATATTCCTCAATATTTCGTTGGAACAGATGATGCCGTTTCTGTCAGAAGAACATTTTGTCGATTGCATATTCTTCCCGTTGCTTTCCACGCTGATGTATCTGCCAGTTGGCGGAAAGACATGGAGAGCCCGGATGCGTTTTGAAGGTCGGTCAAGCGAGCCCGGAATGATTAGAGACTGTATAATGTACAGGTCGTAGCTTGAAGTGGTAACGTTCGAGGCTCTTTGTGAGGAGGATCTAATGGATGTAGATGCTCATCAGCAGGGAATCACTAGGTGACTGCATCTTACGAATCCGAAGTGACCGACCATCTGTGGTTACCTTGTATCAGTGACACAGTGACGATGGAACTAGAGAGAGACACTTCTAGATTATCATCTCGAAGAAGTGGACTCTGTTGACTCGCTAGCCAGGTTATACAAGCCGCTAGCGAACTCAATACACGCCTCGCTATTCAATCTGTTGTGGCGATTCACCATTGAGGCAGATTCGCGATACTATGACGTGATTTCTGTAGAAAGTAAGCGCGCGCGCGGGATGATTACTGGGATTACTCCTCAGGATTACAGGTGGGTGATGCTTAGTCAGCATCACCTTGGGAGACTTGGGTGGTGCTTAGTCAGCATCACCTAAGTTGGGACCTCACCCCGGTGATGAAAATCTCGGACAACTAGATCATCAATATACATCACTTGACTGTTAGATCTCAAGCAATATCTTGAGTTCTAACAGGTCAGTACCTTTGTATTGACTGATAGAACATGCCATTGATAAAGCAATATCTTGAGTTCTAACAATTTCTGATAGCCCACTAACTGCGAGTCTCTTCATATACCTTGAAAGGAGTTCACCATAGCAGGAGATAAGACGGCGATTTGTCTGCACTTGCTGCAGTACCAGCGTACTGTGGACCAAGTCAGCTAACCCGACAGGCTGTACCGTATACGTCATCTGTGTGTGAAGGACACGGGGCTGTCGCCGCGGCTATGGTATGTTCGTCTGGGTTCCGCGACGTGCTCTCCTTTGTAAGAGATTCAGGCTGACAGCGTGATGATCCTGCTACTTCGATGTATATAAGTGCAGGAAGAATGAGCGGGTGGCGCGCGCAGGCGGACGGCTGGCCTTCGATCTGATCAAACACATCTCAATCTTTACCTTCAACGGCAAGTCGAGATAGCACCTATCCTTTACCCGTGGAACAAGTCATCCTTGCATTCGAAGTCACCCGAAATGAGTCAGAACGACAATACTAGCCTGACGGCCAGCTCCATTGGCCCGACATCAAGCGCCTGGGTGAGTGTTTGGACCGTCTATGACAGGTATAAATCAGCACGTCTCTAATCATACTCGATATACGGCAGGATTCGATCCAAGACAGATCGGTAAGAAGTATTGTTCGACGTGTGAGTCTTGTACTAAGTCGATGCTCATACCTACATGCGAACTCGGCATGGATCTAGACCATGGTAAGACTTCCCTATGTGATAAGTCCTTCATTGCTATTCTCATTGATTCAACATACCTCCCTGGCAGCAAACCATCGGGACTGAGCTGTCTCGAACGGCGATGGATTCCACGTCTGCTTCTGAAGTCATTTCGAAGATGCGTGATGAGAACCCACATTCCGTAAGTCAGCATATATTACTTCCCGATTAAAATTCATACGTATGTAGCGCTGAGATGTCACGGTTCGCCTCTCAAGTTCGTTGGACAAGAGCAGGCGGTGCAAGTTATAGAGATGGTTCTCGAATGGCTTCAACTCGTCAAAGATGACCTTCCTTGCATGAGCGGTATGAACGCCTTGTTTGCGGTTGAGCTGGCCACTAAAACTTGCTGGGTCGCATCTGAAAAAGTGAAGCTTTTGGTTGAAGTTTGGCAGAATCGCAGCGACGCAAAGCTCGATCCTGAGCTCTCGCAGAGATTGGTATCATTGTTCCAAGGAGCTGTTTATCATACCGTCAAGTCAGGGGTCACGAGGGTGTTCCGCCAGGATCCCCCAGTCATCGAACTCAACCGGCACACCTTGGATTTAATGGCCGAGGTCTTTACGGACCTGTACTTCCGGTACCCTGCCTGGCTGAAGGAATGGGTACAGGCAGTCACGTATGATGATCGCGACATGGATGTGATCACAAAGTTCGGATCCGAGGGGAAGATGATCGCAGGTGAGTGCAAAACCTCTGCGGTCTACAAGTATTCTCAGTTCAGTCAGGATGGCTTGACGAACGAGCGTATATGCAGGTCGCATCAAAGACCTTGACAAGGTCAAGAAGGCCAAAAGGCCCCAGGAGCAACAGGAGGCCGAACAGCCGGCTCCGAGTGCGAGTTGATCATATCGTGCACCATGCATCATATCGACATGGGCGATTGTCGCATTGTGGCCAAGGCAACTCATGAGGCTGTCCATGTAGCTGTACAGCTGTCGTACTTGTATTGCTGTCTTGACCTGCTACACGAAACACGAGACTGATTTCGAGATCCGAATGGCGTTTCAAGATCCCACACGCGCTGCATGCATCTCGGCCGAGTCGGGCGAGTTTCACCGGTCTGACCTACCCGTTCGATCACGTGATTTCCAAGTATTTGCCCCGCGCCGGTCAACGCCGTGCCTTTCGGCAACGAGTGGGGGTCTTCCGATACAAATTTGGATGTCATCAACCTATTTTACCATTCTCTCTTCAAAATCTCCTGAATACTCAACTAATAGTAGTGGCTGTGCTGGCATTGAGTCATCTACCGTCCACCTCGAACGATCGCACCGAAAGAGTTACTCTACGCAGAGCGGGGAGGATCGAAGATTACGCGTGATCTCATCATAATTCCATAACTCTGGCAGAAAGGAGAAGAGGATCTAGGAGTTCGGCATTGAACTCGAAATATACGTGCAGCGTGCACACAGGTTATAGATCTATAGATCTTATAGGACTATAGAAGAATATAATACAGGTCTTCGAAGACCTGAGGACATAGAGGATACCGCATCAAATCTACGCATCTACGCAGAGTGGTACACAACCGAAACAACCACGGAACCTATACGAGCGAACTCCGCAACAAAATGTCATTATCAGAAAAGAGCACATCAAGCTCACCCACCCGTCAACCTTACTCGGACAACACCCCTCTTCCTGTCACACCAGTCCCTTACAACTCGGAGGAGACGCATTCCGTCACTCTCTCCGATGCAGAAAGAACGATTCGCAGTTCTAGCGTGGATGCGGAAAGAGCGGGGACTGAGACTTTGGGAGAAGCCGTCGGAGGAGGAGGAGAAGAGAAGAAGATGGACATGGACCCGAATGAATGCAGGTTTGAAGGGGAGGATGATCCGGATGATCCACTGAATATACCGTTTTGGAAGAAGTGGGTTGCGGTCATCACCGTGGGGACGGGGGCGATCTGTGTGTGAGTATCGATTGTGGTTTACCCCTATCGTCTTCCATCCTCAAGAAACCGAACGATCATACTGAAACGTATCTATTGGTTGACGTTGATCGATTGACAACAGTACATGTACATCCTCGATGGCCTCCTCGACGTACGCCGGTATAGAACGGGAATTCGGGATAAGTCAAGAAGTAGCCATCCTCTCCGTCAGCCTGTTCGTGCTCGGTCTAGGATCAGGACCACTCTTGCTAGGACCCGTCAGCGAGTTCGTAGGGAGGAGAAAGGTCTATCTGGCTAGTTATCTGGTGTTTTTGTTGTTCAATATACCGGTTGCTTTGGCGAATAATATCGGTGAGTCTCCAGATTGGGATTCGCGCAGTATCGTACCAGAGTGGATTGCGAAGCTGAACATCCCGGATGACGACGATGATACAGCGGTCCACCTGATCTTCAGGTTCATAACCGGATTCGCCGGCTCAGCCTTCCTCTCCATCTCCGGCGGTACCGTCAGCGACATGTTCATCAACTCCGAAGTCGGCCCCCCGATGGCGTTCATCGCCTTTTGTCCTTTCAGCGGACCTGTCTTGGGGCCGTTGATAGCGGGGTTTATCAACCAGAACACGTATTGGAGGTGGACTTACTACTTGGTGCTCATCTGGGCGGGGGTGGAGTTGCTGTTAGTTTGGTTCTTCGTACCGGAGAGTTATCTGCCGCAGGTATTGAGGCTTAAAGCTAAGAGGTGAGTTTCCACCATGTCAGGGTCATCGTGTAGGTGTGGAAATTGAAGCTGATGATCCGTATTGTTTGTGTCAGGGAGCGAAAAGCGCAAAACAACCCGGAGATCTACGCACCGATCGAGAAGAGCAACAAGAGTTTCTTACAAGCCGTCGCTATCAGCTGCAAGACTCCCTTCAGTAAGCCAAGCGCCACAAGATTATCTGGCATTGATGCTATTATGGTTGAAATCGCCTAGCTAACGGCAAATGATGCTGCGAACAGAGATCATGGCGACTGAGATGATGGCTCTCCTCCTTAGCTTATGGACCGCCTTACTGCTGGGCATCTTGTACCTGTTCTTCAACGCTATCCCGTTGGTCTTCAGGGGGAACCACGGATTGTGAGTCAATCTTCTATCTAGGTTTGGTCGAGGTGCACGTTGCGAACACGAGCTAATCGCAATGGACCGGTGGTTGTAGCTCGTTACAGCAAAGCGGGTTGGCTTTCCTCGGCATCGGATTAGGACAGGTTATCGCTGCGGCCTCGACACCGTTCTGGAGCCGGTAAGTCCCACTCCCACTATGTTGACTCGCGGTCACCTCGAGCTGACATCACACTATATGAACGTTTTGTCAACGAAACCCAGGGTCTACCAAAAGGAATCCGCTAAAAACGGTGGAAAAGCCCCTCCGGAAGCCCGACTGTTGATGGGCATGGCTGGGGCGCTGGTCACCCCGATAGGCATGTTCATCTTTACGTTTACCACGTACAAGTCGGTACCCTGGATCATACCCATCTTGGGAACGGTGTTTTTCGGGATGGGGATCGTATGGGTGTTTACGAGCGTTTTTACGTATCTTGTCGAGTGAGTTCCGACCGTCGGGTGGATATTGGTAGAAAAGACGCTTGGAGGACGACGGTGCTGATATGGAATCCATCTGTTACTGCTGCAGCGCATATCGACCGGTCTCAGCGAGCGCCATGGCTTGCAACTCTGCCCTCCGATCTTCGTTCGCCGCAGGATTCCCGCTGTTCTCCAACCAGATGTATCACCGACTAGGGACGGTCGGCGCATCAGGGTTGTTGGCTGGGTTGACGGTGTTGATGGTACCGCTGCCGTTCGTGTTTTACCGGATCGGGGCTAGGGTAAGGAGTAAGAGCAAGTTCGGGAGCGCCTAAGAAGGGGTTACAGGAAGGGACATTCTTCTGTTCTTGAGCGAGGGATGTATAGCAGCATATAGGGTAGTCACGTAATCATTGCATAGAATAGCACTTGTAGATCGATACAACAGGTAACGGGACATGAATATGACCGTTGAGCTAGGTCGTTATAGTTGTGGTTGTCACCGCCAGACTAGCATCATCACAGTCCACGCTCAAAGTCGCTCACGATCCCCGCACGCGCGCTCATCAGCGTCGATCAAGGGTCATCCTTATTGAATCTGATCAGGATCAGCTAGACATATCGTCGTCTTCGACATCCAAGACACCGTCTACAAGGTCGAAGCGAACATGTCATGGTCTACGCCCAAATTGCCAGCCTCGGAATCCCGCAAAGGCCTCCTCTCATCGCCCAAGACGCTCTTCGGCACCCCGTCCACGGTGAACAATCAAGGTCAATCTCCCGAAGTCGATCATCATCACGACCGGATGGGCAGTTTCGGACTCGGTCAGGGTGACACGGACGAGGCGGGGAGACGGTCCAGTGTGGGGAGGTCGAAGTTTAGCACGTTTGCTAGTACCAAACGATCGTTCCCGGATCACGAGAACGATTATCCTAGGGAAGATGATACAGACCTCGATAGGGATCAGGTACTGCAACCTGACTATGGACGGGCGAAACATATCAGCTCGATGTTCCAGACGAACCCTATGCTCAACCTGTATTCGGACGATCAGGCGAATGCGACGGCAGCCGGAAGGGCGCCTTTCGATTCGCCTAGTTCTCCACCGCACGTATCTGGGGGTATAGGTCAAACACCTCGACCGGGCGTAGCTACAGGTGCAGGTGGGCTGGGGGAAGAAGACGAGATCGACCTCCGACCTCCTCCGAGCGTACATGATCCTTATGTCGCTTCCCAGAAAGCTAGCATGGAACAACTTCGAAGACGGTTAGAGGCCGAAAGGACTGCGGCGGCGACTTCGACTTTACCTCGACAGGGTCCGGATGGAGAGGTCGAGGTCGAGGTGGAGATGAACTCGTCGATCGCCATGCAGGAACAACTGGCCAAGATCTTTGATCTGCAGATGCAGTTGGCGGATATGCATGGGGCGATGGAGGGGATCAACGAAGTCGTGCGGGATGAGCATGAGCATGAGGACGAGGACGAGGAGAAACCGAAGGATGAGGGGAAAGAGACGGGGAAAAGTCAAGCGCCGGAGCAGAAGGATTTGAGCAAATCGCCGAAAGTCTCGGTCGATTCCCCTAAGAAAAAGGCTGGACAAGCTGCCTTGTCGCCTAAATCGGCCAGAAAGGAGCTGGGCGGTGACAAGAGCAAGGGAGACGATAAAGAGGAATTGGGCGATGCTGAAGCGGTCGATCAACCTGGAGTCAAGAGGGAAAAACAGATCGGGGATATCGTCACCAAGGCAAGCCCCAAGTCTCTCCACCTTTCCCTCGTAACCTGCCGCCTGACCGCCGTTTCTCCTTTTTCATCACTCGAACAGCTATCAGACCTCTCCGCCCTCTTACACCAGTTCCACTCGATGCCGCATCCTAACCTCGATTCCGCCTTCCCTCCATCACCAGCTTCGGCCAACTCGGGGACTTTCAAGCAGAACTTTAATGATTTGCAGGAGGCTACTAAGGCGAGTGGGCGGTCGCAGGCGGGGAGGGTGAGGGAGAGGGCGCAGGGGGCTGCTTAGCCTTTCGGAATCTCTTTGCCGTCTGGAAAGAGTGGATCTGGGAAGCGCCTATGCGAGCGAAGCCTCACTGTGCTGAGGACGCTTCGACGGCCAGATGATAGGTCGTCCCGCATCGCTCATTGACGAGAACGGCTCACACAACCCGCATCGCTCGAACAATCTCGATCCACATCGGTTCACCACTCCTCATCGCGGGACATATGCCTCATCACCAACAATTACCACTGCGACCTAGCGAGATGTCACACCTAGGAAGATCGCTAGGTTGAACGCCCTCAGGATAATCGAGGGTGAAGCCATGCGATTGTCGGACACGCAGATCGAGTCGATCCAGGTTGGATTCAATCTCCCGTTCTGATCAGACAAGTCAGCCGGCAGATGCTGTTCGATAAAGGACGGGGAGTGACGCCCTGCTAACGGATGCCGATGACATCGACGGACAAACGCTCTTGTATAGCTTGTCAGCATGCATGAGCTGATACCTGCATATGTGCGTCGCCACCGCTGTAGTTTCAGCATATCGTAATGAGTAGCATACCGTTGCACTTGTTAACGAATGGCGCAACCGGTCATGGAGTCACCTGCCAACTCCGCAGATGCGCTTGACAAGACGAACCAGATCGTACGGTGCACGTCTGCTTGTCTTGAACCCTATCATCTATGTATCGATCCATGAAATTTACAACATACAGCAGACATTTCCGATCCGATAATATCCAAACTGTCCACTTCTCACTGGTCTTGGTCGAGTTCATCATCAAGTTCACGCACCGCCAGATTGTTGGTCTTGTTCCCAAGCTACACGCCGAAACGTTACGAATCAGTACAGTATGACGGTCTACATGAAGACCTGCATACTCACCCTTCACAATCCGCATCTCGTATTCTGGGAGCATGTCGCGAAGGACAGCTCGGCGTTTCTTGTGCCCATGGGCTTGGGCCCAGGATTCTGCCTCACCTGTATCGATCAACTCTGCAGCCAGTCTCTTGAGTATCTCCTCCTTGCCAAGCTCAGATCTTCCGTAATCATAGTATTTCCTCCGTATCGACGAAGCTGTCTTAGATAAACCGACCCTAACAGCCTCCGGAAGGGCTTTCTTGAAGAGCTCCAACATGTCTTGTAACAACTCGGAAGTAGGATCGCCGCGAGACTTCTGCTCTGTCCAACGTGCGGCCAGCTTTTCCACCTCTTGTACATGCCCTCGGCAAGTCTCAAAAACAAGATCGAGTATGAACAAGGTATCCCAGGTGCCGAGGACCTTCTTGTTCGCGAACAAAGTTCCAGTATCAAGCTTGGTTGTCACGGTCAACAGCCACTGGTTGACCATATCCGCGATCGATAGCGCTAGTACCTCACCTTTCCTGGCCTGGTAAACTCAACAGTAGTATATGAGGCCACAGAGAGCGAAAGAACTTTTTTGTTCCCCCACATACCGTTCGTTTGGACTCCTCCAGCGCCACCGAGATGGCATTGGTTGAGTTCATCCCGTATTCAGATTCGATGACAGTATTGACAACCTCGGTTCCAGAATTGCTCTAGGAAAGATACATTATATGCCAAGCAAAGTCTATCATCACGTGTGACATCTGGTCAGAGATCAGATACATAGCTTACCAGGGTCTATGATATTGAGTAATGTATAAGAGAATGTCAGTATCGATAAGCGGACACAAAATCTACTATAGGACGAATCTACTTCGGGGTCGTCGAGAAAAGATCTCTTTGCCAACAAGCGAATTGGCTGATCAGCGGCTTTGTTCTGTATGTACAGCAACATCACATACCAGTAGGGTCCCATCGGGTCCGCCGCTGATGATGCTAGATAAGTCGGATAAGTCGGATGGTGACATTCTGTTCTTTCTTGCGCGCTTGCGATTGTTGCGAACACGGGCGCAAAGAGGGATCTGATGACTGTAAGATCAGTTGGAACGATACTCGATGCTCGAGATGAATTACTGCTAAACAGATTCGCAACCTGACTTTTTCCTCTTCTCCAGAAAACAATATCCCTGCTATATATACATGATAGAAGCCCACTAGTCAGCCGATACCACGACTTAAGAACCATAGGGGCTAACTACAAAGGAGCACAGATCGCCCGACTGCGATCATGGTGGCACGCTAGAGGGAATACTCGTACACGACCAGGCTAGCGTTACAGTGGTTTTACAAGAATGTTGTCCTCCCTATTTTGCCATTGCCTACGAATGGAGACGGGCAGCAGCACATAGAAGGGGAGCTGTGGATCATGAGTGAACAAAGGATGTTGTGGTTCCGGACGTCACCGGGTACAGGCTCGGCTGTCGACGACATGGTTCCATTGCGCGACAATTGAGAACCACATTCGTGCACGTGATCGGCTAGGAAGCGAAACGAAAGAACCAGGTTTGTATCAGCCCTGAGTCGTGTCTCTTGGACGAGATCATGCCTCCGTCAGCTGACTTCGAGATAGAGCTACCAACGGGAAGCCTCGTCTTATAGACATCCTGTATCAAACCCGATTAGCGCGAGTCTGCTGAGGCGTCTTTCCTGGACGAGGCGCAATCGTGTATGTGAAATCTTGACCATCGTAACCATCCAGATTGTCAAGGGACAATGAAGGACCGCGCAGATCGGCTCAACATGAAAGAATATCATTTACAAGGCGTTGATCAGGAGACAGGTCTTGCTCTTACATGTAACGTGCACAAGGTCTTAATAGATCGTCGTGCTGTCTGTCCCTCTCATTCAATCTTGGTCCGAAGGTTAGTGTAGTTTGCCGCACCCTCTCTCCTCTTCATATTTCGATTTCGGAGGCTAACGCTAGGACGGTAGGAATCGATTGTCTTGACTACCACAACGGTATTTGAAAACTTGAATGACATCGCCTCGAGAGTTATGTAAGTCGCGAATTACCTGACAACGCGGGCGAGCTCATCCACTTCAACATCGAGGGCGCGCTCCTCAACCTCCAGGGCACGCTTCCTGACAAGGGTAATGCGATCCTCAAAATCTTTCTGTCCCATCCATTCTTTCTCGTGTTCAACGACGTCGTCGCGTAACGCCTTGAGAAAGTGGCCTGTGTCGACCGTCAAGTACCTGTTTGGGTTGCGCTTGTTACGATCGATGCTTTCGCGTTTCCTCTTCTTCCAGAATTCGGCAACAGCCTTCTTCACACCTTTCTCGATGGTATCAGGGATAACCTGCCCCAGAAGATCCATCAGCTTCTTCGTTCTTTCAGCGTCAGGTGGAGAGTCTTCGCAGACGACGTTCTCCCATTGACATATCAGGTCTTCGACTTCTCCCCGCATACGCTTGAAAGCTTGCATGATCAATTCCGCTCGGAAAATGGCGCTCATGTTCGAGAATGTTTCGTGCTCGGTGAGTCTTAACATCTTTGCTAGATCTCCCATCTTCCCAAGTTCTTCTCTGACATGCTACAGGGAGAGGTAATCATAGCTATCAGCTGATGACCCGTTTTTGCGTGACCCAGCTTGCAACGACTTGCTAATTCCGAATAGTCACCATAGAGCGCCGAAAATATGTCTTCGGCGGTCAAATTATCCTCCTCCTCCGCATAACTTGCCGCCCTGGATATTCCGGTAGTCAATGCTGTCTGCAATGAGAATGGACTCAATCAAGGCCTCGATCAGAACCGAACAAAGTCAAGGAGACCTACGATGGTCTATTATCGAAACACGTTCATATCAATGCTACCGAGATAAAGATGAGAGCATACAAGGTTGACTCTGGAAAGAACATACTTCTTCGTCTGCCTATAACCCCTAACCCACTTGTAATCGATTTCGACTTGAGTGAACAGTAGAAGAACATACCCAGATAGTGCTCGCGGACTGAATAGCACCGGAGTAAAGAATGCTGTATCGTTGTTGTCGATCCATCATCGATTTCCGCTGCTTTGGAATGAAGGTGTCCGACAATGGAATAAATAGGTAAGCCTGTCTGAAAGCCAGCGCACCGAACAAACAGTTATCAAGGCTCGGAAACGAAGTATCCTAATAGCTTGTGCCCGGCTCCTCCTGATCTTCTCACAGTCTGAATTCTTATATACTTGGAGTGTACTTGTAAGCCGTATCGTCGGCTAAAATCTGAAGTCCAACGACACCGGCGTGACGAATTGACAAAGGATCTCGGATGGTATCATAGGGGTGAATGGGTACGTTGGGGAAGACAGAGATATAACTCGCCGTGTGGTATTACATCGATGTCTTAAACCACCACGGCATATCCCGATGATAGCCGAATACTACTGATCAAAGGACACGATCGTCTGGCTCCACCATGTTTCCATCTTTATCTCTAGGTCCGGGCTATACCGATTGGCTTGGGTCACTTTAATTCGGATCATTCGATCACTCAAACCGAAACGGGATCAAGTATGACCTTGAGCTAGCCATCCACTGAAGCTGATCACAATTCGAGAAATGAGTTGTCGATGTCAAACCTGACCGTTAGCGCGGGTCCATCGAGGCGTCGCCCGTGATGAGGCGTAACTGTGCGTCTAGAATCTCGACTATCGCCAGTCATCATATGCAGACAGCGAGACAAAGCTGAAAAGGTAGAGGGTACATTCTAGATCATGACTTCCGTATCCCCGTGGCTGTCAGACGCTTTGGACAGGTGAAAAGACGGTATTTCGATGCCCTTCTTATCAGGGTCTAACGGAAGTATGTTTCGGAAGTATATTGGTATGGGCTGACGATGTGAAGGCCGACTGTTTCGGACGTCGTACTTCAGTAGCTAGCTAGACATGGCCCTGAACGCTGGGTCATAGAGAACTTCCATAGCTCTATAGGTATGTCTGTGGTTCTGATGCAGTAGTCGCTGGGGGTGAAACCCGTTGTATGAGTTGAAGAGTGGTACTTCTGAACTTCTACAATCTCGTTGACGCGCGAATATTTTCGGCTTCAGCCATTTCTGTAGACGTTGAGTGACATCGGTTGACGAGATCAAGCTCGATGATGATGATGATATCGTGACAACCTTGTACGACTTGGTCTTTACCTCGAAGTACGACCAACAGCCTCAACCTAGCAAGTACGATCTCGCTTATAATCTAGTCTCAGCGGCCCGAGTGTGACCTAATCGACCTCGCCCTTTCTCACGTCCCTTATTACAGAACTTCTCTCTCGCAACAATGGCCAACCTCGGGGTGCCCGTCAAGTTGCTGCACGAGAGCGTGGGACATGTTGTCACCGTCGAGCTGAAGACTGGGCAGGTGAGTCGATAATACAGCATTACGAATTCTCTATACGGAGGCATCGGAGACGGGTCATGCAAGTACTGACGCAATTACGCGGTGCTCTGAATCTGGGTTATGTTTGTAGTTGTACCGAGGAAGCTTGATCGAAGCCGAAGACACCCTCAACATCTCTCTCCGGGATATCACCGTCACGGGCCGGGACGGACGAGTCTCTCAGCTCGAACAGGTGTACATTCGAGGATCGATGGTCAGGTTCTTCATCGTACCTGATATGCTGGCGAATGCACCTATGTGAGTCGCGTTTGCTAGATCTCCTTTCTCCGAGCTAGGGCTACGAGGATATCGGTAGTCGCTGGTTACTGATATTACCTTCTCGTTCTGTTTGTTTGTAGGTTCAAGCGAGTCGGACCGAATGCTATGCGAGGAAAGGGTATCGGTACAGCTCGGTAAGTACCTCTTCCCCTTCTCACCTCCACTTCCTTGCCTTTTCTCCTTCCTCCTTCCCTTTCACCCTTGTGAATATCGTATCGATCATACTCTGGGTGGCTGACTCAATAACTCGTATCCCATCTTTCCTGTTGTATCGCCCGATTGTAGTGGTCGAGCCACTATCGCCAGGGCTACGGCACGACGAGGAGCGCCGAGGTCGCAGGGTGTACGACGATGATCGGGTCAAATAGGGCTGTTCGGGTTGGACAGGATGGAGATGGGAAGCAGGGAAAGAGGAAGGCAGGATTTTGCGTTTGACTATACGGCGCAGAACGAGCATGGGGATGCAAAAAAGAGGAGGTGGAAAGACGCAGGAGGGTTAGAGAGAAACGGGAAGGGGGACGGACGGTCTATCGAGTCTTCGCTATACTCGGCGAAAGAGCCTCCGGATGAGACCACGAGAAGCGGGTCGGCGGGCCAGGGCCTGGTCTCTGATCAGAGACCGTACCCCACTCGTCATTAGTTGTGTGATTTGAAAATATATGTGTGTTTTTCTCGGGCGTGGGTATTTCATTTCGATTGATACGGATCTTTCGGAAGGGGTCTTCTTGGTGTTTCAGGTCTAGCTTGAGAACCTCGGTATGGATTGGCAGACTCTGCTGATGGAAGCATTCTCGGAGTAGTTCAAATCAGGTCTCTAACCCAGGTCCCGCCTGTCTGGGGTACGAAGCATGCATCTTCGTACTTCTGCATACTGAAACACCGGTCCAGCGGGTTTCGCCATTTTCGCGTAAACAAGAGCTTTCCGAATCAAGTAATGCAAGGAACGAACCACCCGCACATTCAATTCTCTTTGTGGCGAGAAAGAGTCAGTCGCCTTACACGCCGCATGTGCATAGACAGCTTAATCCCGCAGACAAGCATCAACCACAACCTGTTACGTCGCTCACCAATCACTTGCTCCAATTACAAGCAGATCTGCCTTTTGATGGCATTAGCTCAAGCGCTTGATGATGTGGACTGCATGAAATTCAGCAAAACGCTCGGCCGCTTCTCAGATAGGCTGGGGTTCCTCACTTCGATAGGGCCTCTTTAAAAGTCATAAGAATCCTAAAAGAAGCGGGGTTAAGAGAACTACGTGTTTTTGGAGAGAACTCGAGGGCAACAATGACAAACCGTGGCGCACACGCTCGCTTGACTGTTCGGTATGGCCGTGTTCGGGGATTGCTGCAGCCGTTTTCGTGATATTTGGTACGGAATGGATCAAACGATTGTTTGTTTATACGGTTAGAAACGAGAATACATGTTGTCCATTTTCTCAAGCGATCGCACTCGCTTCAGTCATCGCCTCTTTCCAACTCTGTGACTTCGTTTGGGAGCTGGCTGGGCTGTAATGTGTCATTTGAAAGTGAGCATTGTCATCCGCTCTGAAAGGAATGGGTAAATACGTACCCTTGTGATTCTTCTTCACATGATCTCTTAGGAAATAATTCACCTTCGTCTTCCGGCCCTTCTTGTCTAAACAAGTCCAGGCAGTCCAATGATCTCGATCTTGATAATGTGCCACCATTTCTGAGATGATATTGGCGGAGAACAATTCCAAGTCGTCATCTTAGAGCACTTCGCCGACTATTTGTTGCACACCTTTCTTGATGGTGTCTGGTATAGCTTTGAGAAACAGGTTCTCAAGAGCCTCGTTTATTTCTTCAGGAAATGCCTTAAATGTATCGGAGTCTGGAACAGTCTTGAGCAATGCCTCCACTACATGTCCAAACTCTCGGCAACTTTGAGCGATCAGTTCCACCACAAACAAGTCGTGGATCGTCTCATAGCTACTCTCCAGCGGACGATGAGGGAGAAGCCGGTAATCCACGTTGAACAGCCATTGTCGAATCCTTCGCGTGGTGGCAGCGAGGTGGCCCTATGCAACGATAACATTGCATTCGTCTGGACAAGCCTCAAGCACATAACCGAGAGCGAACCTACGTATCCTTGATCCTCCAGGCGTAATTTTTACCTGTCGCGCCCGCCGTCACTGCTTCGGTAAGGATACTCCGAATCGTATTCTGCTTGGGAAGTACATCAATCGACACGAAAATCTATGCGTCAGGTGCCATGTCATCCAGGGACCTACAGAGGACTAAAGGGATGTGTTATGAGATCACTACATATCAGGACCAGCAAGGGTTGACTGGGTGAATCGCGGAACAAGACTTACGTCTTCGCTCTCGAACGATCCCTAATTTCGCCGAGCGAATTTTATGAGATTTGATATTCGACTCTGTCGTATAGAGACTCACCAGACCGCTTGTTGCTACGATCGAGCTCGACATGAGTGCCGTGCTATTGGTGTCTGCCTGATCCATCTTGCTTCGTTGATCGCGTGCTGAAACCTAGTATGAGGCGCGGAAAAGGTATGAATACTCTTCCCGCGGGTGACGCCGCCTTGCTTTTCGCGGCGAGGCAGGCCTATCTATATAGCTTACGGGGCATCATATACCCCCAGCCGGCTCACCACCTTGACGAAGTCCGGGGACAGATGCGTATAAAAGGAACGCGAATCACATCATTGTGGAGCGGCACAAGAGGGAGAGCCAGGAAGCATGGTGATATACTCTTGTTTCATCCAGCCTCTGCTTATGCGCCGTGAACACGCCGATGATATCTCTTCTTCCATAGAGCAATCTGATAGATCAATTTAGGAGATATATGGTTCGATACACAGAAGATAAAGTTACAATGTCCGTCAATCACAGGCGCATAGGTGAACATGGCTTGAGATGCTCTGCCTATCAGCTTCGACAACCTATACTCTGGGTTGCTGGCTTTAGCGAAGAGAATTCATATACTATCGTAGTGCTTGAAGAGAAGGACGACACTTACGCAGAAAGCTCAAGAATCCTCTTTCCATGACCGTCTCACTTCGATCAAAACTTGCTCGCGTTCAGATTGATTCTTTCTGGAAGTCCAGGCCCCCCAATGCTCTCTCTCTTGGAAGTGTGCCTGCAGCTTGCGGATGTCCTCGTTCGCGAGACGCCTGTATGAATTCTTCACTCTGCGAGCAGTGTCTTCAATGCTGACCTTGATAGCTTCCGGCATAGCCTTCAAGAACAGATGTACAACCAAAAGTTTGTTTCTGTTGTCTTCGAACCCTATCGATCTCGGCAGGGTTTCATGCAACCTGATAACCTCGCGCCCTAGCAGTCCACACGTCACATTGGCCAGTTCCAGAGCGAACAAGTTGCTCAATTGAGCAAGCTCAGCACCTTTGGCATTCTTGAATTGGCTGACCGCAGCCAACCATTCGAAAACTTTCGTCATGATGACCATTGTTGCTTCCAAACGCTAAAGAGGCGAACTGAAAGTCAGAACGCGCATGCTTATCGATGTTCCACCACCCCAACTTGCATCATCTTGTCTGTTCCTGCTGAAGGCCTTCCAGATTGATCCTGTACGCTCATCGCCCCTACTGTACGGATCAGTAACATTACTCCGGATTTTGCTCTGCAATCGACAAACCGCTCGATGTCAGAATCGCATGGGAAATTCACCATACCATTCCTGACGTACCAATTCCTGTTGATCAAGAAGCAATGTTGCATCGCGACTTCGGTAACAAGCGATTATCGTCGTAATTGCGACGAAAGTCAACTCACCTCGCTGTTCTCAAAGTATGACTAGCCGTGACGAAGTCAATCAATCTCATTGGGCAAGCGCGATCTGGAAAACGCATCTAAAACTTACCAAAACATCTGTGTCCCGCTCCGTGAATACGCTGAATACCGTCTCATCAATGCTGGGAATGTCGTCTTGCTGAGACATTTTGTTTCTTGGTAAGTATGAGCTGCGGCAATCGAATCGACTGGTGTTTGCGAAAGGCTTGTATGTGGATTGAGGTTGAGTGAGGTGTTTCGTGCTGATGTACTGTGCTGTAAGCGGGACGTAGGGCTTTCGATTATCCTCGATTATCGTCCTGCTCCTGAGTATATATACCACGCTGGAGACGTAAGTTGACGAGATCTTGCAGGATCAGCAATGAAAGGAAAGTACTCTGTATAGTCACAGCCACACTTTGAGGCCCTGGGACATGTCCACGAGTAGCACGAAGAAGCATGGCACGCTGAGTAGGTCAGATGACCCCTGTGTATCATCCTTCAGGGCCTCTTCCTTTGTCTTGGAGGGGCAGCTGGCTACCACGTAGCAAGCGAGAACTAGCGTCGTCTGCCGTTAGCTCGACGTCGATGGTCGTGACGTAGCGGCTATGGAAGGGTACTTTCGGGATATGTTATTGCGCAACCAACCGAATCCTCTGTCGCTTCAATCCACGGGTGACAGTCCGGCTGTGCAGAACCCCTATCGGTGCTATGGATACCCTGTTGAGAGTAGCGTGACGATACAGCCCAGGCGCCTTCACATTTCAGTCACAACCCTGTCTGTCCTAGTCAGTCTTTCGACAGGGAACAACCTAGGGCTCGATTAAGGTAGTCCATTATAGACCGCACTATCAAACTTGTCTATTTCAAACAGCCGGAGAGCACAGCACGAGTATGCGCGTGTTGCCTGCTGTTCTGGAGACGTAGTGAGTTATCCTGATTCCAAAACCGACTGACATAGCCAGTTCCTCAGCAGTGTCACTTCATCACGCTCCGGTATACAATCCTCCCGCTCGAGAACAGGTACGTCTCAGTCGTCGTGGGGCTCGATAGAATTCAGACAGGGCTCGGCGTCAATATGATACGTACGGAAAACCTGAAACAACACTGCATTGCTTCCGCGACTGGCCGTGACGAACGTAATTCGACCCAAAATCTGAGCCATATGGTTGGCGATATGTACGACTACGTCACCATCGCCAGGATATCCGCATGCGATTAGAGCAGCGAACCTACGCCTATCCGTAGATTTAAACATCAATTGCCCGTGTCATAGCCGTCGAAGTGCCCAGGTATGAGGCCAAGATGACAAGCGCGACCACCGATATCGTTATTATGGCTCATATTTAACAAGTCATCCTCATGCTTATCTAGTACGAGGTTACCATCGCCTGCATATCCTCGTGGAACCCCCTCGACTATGCTTTAGGTTTCGGCTACAAGCAGAATCACCAAAAGTCTTATTAGCGGTCCATCTCCCGACGTGCGATACAGCCACAACCCAAGCTCGACAGGCCAAGAGCTCACCTTGCAATCATCCATGACGGTCGTCTTGATCTGGACCGCGATCCTCGTCCTCTCCTCCGGCTGCGGCACCCCATTATCGTGCTCATAACTCGACCCGATGGCCAGGTACCTGCCATCAGGCGAGAAGGCCAAGCAAGAGATCTCGTTGGCGAAGCCCGTGTACTGCTTCATACGTTTCTTGCCGACGTGGTCCCAGATCGAGACAGTCTTGTCGGATCCACCCGAGGCGAAGGTGTTGTGGCTACGAGGTCCGAGAAAAGGACGAAGATCGGTTTCTATCAGCTCCGACATCGTGCCTCCCTCGTCATATCCGCCTTGTTTTCAGACTCACGTCGGATGATAAGCCAAAGCGTTGATTGGATAGACACAGTCCACGTCGTCTACCGTCGCACGGTGACACCTGAACGCGTATCGTTGTGCCTGGGTGGCGTCCGAGGTATCAAAGTATTCTACGGCGATCCTTCCTTCGATCGAGCCCGACGCCCAGCCTAGAGAACGCCGATGATCAGATTGGCTTGTTCTTTCCGGTTGTAGGCGCGAGATGACAGGAGATGATCCTGATGTTGGACACTAGACTCACCCTGCCCATCGGCCATGACAGCCACGCTCCTAGTCATAAACTTCAAAGCGCTCTCCCGTTCCTGCTGCGGCTTCCCCAACCCCCCTTGGCCTGAGCTCAGGTTGCGCTTGAGCTCGTCGATGTCGAGGTTGTAGACGAAGACTTTACGGTTGGCCATCGAGACGATCAGAGTACGGGTTGTAGGGGCGTAGGCTAGGGAGTAGATCTTGGTTGGGAGGGTTAGGGATTCTTTTAGCGGGGTTGGGGCGGACCTGAGGATGAGAAAGACAAGAGAGCGCACATGATCGAGCGCAGAAGGCAGAACGGGTGTTAGCCCTACGTTAACTGTAGTCTGGATATCGAGAAAAACAATTCCCTGGAAGGAAGCCGGACTCACGGATCCCAAACCCTTAAAACCCCATCCCATCCTCCGGTAAAGACCAACCCATCGTCCACGACCGCCATACAAGAGATCGCCTCGTCCGACTTCCCTACCACCCTCTCTTGTCCCCTCTCAAAATCCCATTGTCGCAAACGTTTGTCTAGGCCGGCGGTATAGGCTAGAACCGGGTTTGTAGGGGAGAAGGAGGCTGCGAGGATGGCTGCTGGGGTCGGGTGGCTGTGACGATGAGAATTAAAAGCCACGCAACGAACAGGGTCAGTCTTTGCTGTGCGATATCGAGCGGAGTGAGAGGCTGGAGACTGACGTGGTAGGCGGTTTCACCTCGCCGAGATTCGTCACATCGTGTACGTCTACTTGCTGTAACACAGAACCCCGTTCAGAGGTCGCCATCAGCTCTCCCGTTTCACGACCGCTAATCCCGATATGAGAGAACCTGGACTCACCCCACTCCAACTGGCTACTAAGAGCCTACTTCCATCGCAAGACCAAGACAAGGCCGAGATTCCGTCCGTCGGGGGTTGTAGTTGGATATCTGTGCAGTGAGATCGCCAACGGGATGAAGTCAGTTCAAGGCCGTTTTTCTAGCTATTTTCGCGGGAAGATGACAGCGGGACTGACCTGTCGACATGATGACCTCTAGCTGCGTATGTTTGAGTTGGATCGAGCTGTCATCTAAGAGGAAGAGCCGAGGGATTGACCATATTCAGCACATCGACCTCAAGGGTATCACCAGGTCGACCCTTGCAAGATCTGGGTTCGCGACGAGTCTCCGGTCAAAATGTTGTCGATGGACGATCTCGCAAACAAACAAACAACAAACACTCAACCTAGGGGGATGTATCTGAACCATCACTCAGGTCGAGGTATTCACACCTGTCGAGCTACCTTGGACCACCTAGATCCGATTCCTGACGAAGATCCTTTCTCTCTGCCGAAAAAAGGGCTCGAAAACACCCACTGCGGCCTTTAAGACAAGCTTCACAATCCACCAGCCAACATGCCCAGACTAGGTTGGGGTACGGGCAAGGATGACGATCGAGGTCGGTCGGCTCCCATGCAAGGGGTCGAGTATGAACGACCTATGGATCCGGGTCCGTTTCAGGTTCCTAACAAACGTGAGTGTTTTGTCGCAGTCAAAGTTGAGATACGATCTGGGCTAGGGGATACTGATTGTATCTACATCTTGGCATGTTTCTGCTGTCGCTCATTGTGCCCGTCCTACAGGCCAACACGTAGAAGACCCTACAGGCCAGACATCTTATATCCCCAACCCCTTCTCATCTTCCCGGCCTAATCACCTCGCACCCGGTCCGTTACTCTTCTCCTCCGCCGCACCGCCTTCATCATCTTCAGCTGGGTTTTCCCGGTGGTCAGCTCAAAATAACGACAACAAACACAATAACTCGTCTCAGGGTGGCGCAGAGACTGTGGATGTGGATATGAACGCTGGGGACGAAAACGTCGACCCGAACTCAGACTCAAACGTGGGAAGGAAGGGGCAAACGCAGGTGGAATTGGAGGATGTGGAGATGTACAGCGATTCTCCACTCAAGTCCAAGGTTCAGCCATGCAACTCAGGATCTCCGGAGGGCGGTCCGAATACCGATTCGACTTCATCCGCAGCTTCAGCTCCGGCCTCGGTGCTCAGGCCCATCTCACTGAACGGGGTGAAGAAGGAATTGAAGAGACGGTTGAAGGATCATGGGATCTCGTCCAATTCGGGTTCAGGAGCGGGTTCGGGGGCTGGGGCCGGGGCTTTGGTCTTGAGAGAGACGGACGAGGATAGAGAGGAGGAGGAGGAGTTTGATGGGGATGAGACGTTCGATGTGAGTGTTCGGATGACCTTGTCTCATTGAAATAGCTATCAGGGAGCGCTGACTTTACCTGATCCTTGTTTTTTCGCTCTGAACTCCGTCAATCCGCATCGCCCGCCGTTCTTATCGAATTTCATCTCGCCCGTCTCGTATTCTTCCCACTGTCTGACAGAGCGAAACATCCACCCAACCCCCGACCCCGACAATCACCCGCCGCCGCCTCCAATCTCGACGACACCAGAATCAAAACCAGAAGTCCGGATTATCCGCTTCACATCTCCCCACCTCCCCGGACTCTCAATCTCAGCCGATCAACCAGTATACGTTGAATATGTACCATGCGCCTGGACAGTCCATGGGTATGGGCATGGGCATGGGGATGAACGGGCCGGGTGGGGAGGCAAGAGGAAAGAGTTGGGTGGACGCCGAGTTGCCTTATGTCTTTATCGGGTGAGCGTCTCTCTGACAGCTTAGAACTCGGCTTTGTTTCGCGCACTGGCATTGGCTAATCGAGAGGATGTTGTTGCCACGCTACGATCTTTTGGGGAGCAGATACGTGCAATTCGTATTCAACGCCTCGTTGACGCTCATGATCCTCACCGCGCTCTTCTGGTTCTTGTGGACGATCTGGGGGGATGTGAAAGACCTTCGAGGGGTTTATTCTACCGGTGAGCTCCAGTCCTTCTTTGAATTCGACTCTCATAGAACTATGTGGCTGACTGAGGGATGGTGTTGGTGTTCTGGCGTGGGTTTCCATCGATAGAGATCTTGCAAGAGATTAGTACGTGTACGAACATGTACCTCGTCAATCGGTGTGAACCTTCTACGAGGATCCCAGCCATGTAAGCTTCCGCACTCGCAGTCCAGTCCAGCCTGATCGCCCTCTAATGAATTATCCTTATCTTAACAACCACATTTCGCGCTGCATCATACGACCTGATAACCGCCGCCAACCACACCACGCAGGGAATCGGCCTGTCAAGAATGGGAACACTGTATGAACCGCGATCCGTCGGTCGTTAGCTTTACCAAGGTCGGAGCCGAGGTCGTCGCGGGTGTCGTCGGGGGGTTCGTAGATGCGTTGAGTTGGAGGAGTCTGGTCAGTCCCTGCCTTTAATTCCTTTTTATTCCAAGAGAGCAGGAAAAGCAAAAGAAAGACGGCTGACGTGAGACTTTACGGTTTGACGGTTATGATTCCGTTTGGGGACGGGCAGATGGCGTTGTTCGGGCTGTTCCCGCTCATGATCATCCTGACCAACTCTACCCTCCTGAACGTACGGAAGAAACACCAACCACCTGCAGGATCTGGATATCCTCATCCTCACCAGCATCACCCGCAACAGACTGGACCTTCAGGGTATGCTCCGATAGGACAAGCTCAACAGTTACATCCGGGTTATGTACCCCAGCAGGCGCAGTTTCATTGGCCACCGCCTGTTATGGGTCCGGCGCCGGGACAGGGGCAGGGGAAAGGTGGGGAGGCTGGGTTTGGGTCGTAGGATTAGGAGTGGATGAGGTCCTTTTGGGTTCATCGAGCGGATGAGACGAGACGCGAGGGAGGACTCGTCACATATTTACCTGTTTTCTCACTCGCGGAAAATCATTGCATACAACTTCATCACACGCGTTCTTCCTGTTTTTAGCATGTTTCACTGTCCCTCTTGTATCCATCACTATACACATGTTACTTTCCCCTTCTGTCGACTGCGAACAAGAGACGATCGATCGAATGTCCAATGCCCCCCATCGAGAACCTTCTCGCTAGTCAACTTTTGGGCGTGTGACGCGTGAGAAAGCACTTTTATCGAATCGAAAATCGGATCCGCGAGCGAGTTGCCTCTGAGACTGCGTGTTGTCATCATCATCATCATCGTCGAGACATCAGAAGGAGGAACGACCATCATACCACCATTACCTGTCGTATCTTGGTAAACGTCTCGCAAATACTCGGTGAGGCACTACTTCAAGGTGAGTTCTGGTGCATCGTTGCGATCTTTTCCCGTTATCCCGAGACGAGCCGGTCCTCGGAAGGGAGGTAGGAAGGCAGACGGCTGCTCGTCCGAGGACCTCCGGACGGTTTGGGAGAGGCAAACAGGTATCGGGTGGTGAAGATCAGACGGCTGACTGTTCTTCACTCTATCTCTCACATTGAATATGGATTTGTATGGACCTCGAATCGTTCGGAATCGGTGTGGACACTACGCAACTCGTCATCGGAATACGTCCTCGGGATCTTATTGTTCAATACCGTCCCACCTTCTTACGACGTTCCGACTTCGATGACCAACCTCTACAACCTCGACATCTACACACTCCAAACCTCGCTACCTTGTTACTGTATATGGGATATCGTTCGAAATAGCAAACCCACAAAACCCCTTACAAACTAAAAACACAACCGAAATCGAACTTGAAGAAAGATGGCTTTGAAGAGGATTAACAAGGTGAGCCTCCTCTTCTTTCTTCTTTCTCTTTGGGTTCCAATCTCTTCACCGTCATTCTATCGTACACCATACCGTCGGTTATGCAATCCGGAGTATGTGTCGGAGAGCGGTCTGTGGCAAGAAGGCAATACGGCTACAAGTCACACTCGACAGGGCGGGTCACTTGACCGAGGAAGGATGAGATTACAAAGCTCGGACCGGTTCCCGGGAGATGGAATGTACTGGCATGTCCTTTGGACGCTCGAGCTTGATACCGCTCGGATGAAGGACCGGCTGGGGTCGATGGGAGGGTCGTCTGCTTCCTTTGGGGATTGAGTTGTCGGCGTCTTGTCATTCGTCATCCCCTTCTCTCTCCCATCTCCCATGCTCGATACCAACACAATTGAAAAGCAACACCTGCTGAGCATACCTCTTTCTTTCCCAATTCATTTTGCTGCCCTTAGGAACTGACCGACCTCGGTCGAGACCCACCGTCTTCCTGCAGCGCCGGCCCGGTCGGTGACAGCTTGTTCAACTGGCAAGCGACCATCATGGGCCCCGGTGACTCTCCTTATGCCGGCGGTGTCTTTTTCCTCAACCTTCACTTCCCTACCGGTAAGCCAGGAATATTCCCGAGGTGGTGATTCTTTTGATCTAGTGCTAATCTGAGATATAATATACGATGGAATACTCGCAGACTACCCCTTCAAGCCCCCCAAAGTCAGCTTTACTACCCGAATCTACCACCCGAACATCAACTCGAACGGGTCGATCTGTCTGGACATTTTGAGGGATCAGTGGAGTCCGGCTCTGACCATCAGCAAGGGTGAGTCCGGCTGTCTCTTGCGGTCGTTGCGCATATTATTGCCGTGGACATCGGCTGATTGTTGTGGTTCTACACTTGTTGTTCGTGGGGATACAGTGTTGTTGTCGATCTGTTCGATGTTGACCGACCCCAACCCGGACGACCCGCTCGTTCCCGAGATTGCGCACGTGAGTCGACAATTCCGGCGAGATCAAGTCTTCTGTTGGAGATCCATCCGAGGCTGACCTCTATCTAACGATCGCTTCGATACGATAGACCTACAAGACTGACCGAGCACGATACGAGTCCACTGCCAGGGAGTGGACCAGAAAGTGAGCTCCACCCCTGCACCTCTTTCACATCGCATGACCTTGTACTGACCACTTGCGATGCTCTTCGCACTCCCGTACTTTCTTTGTCCGCAGGTATGCCATGTAAACACACACACACAAGACAGACGTGATGACAAGATTTTCTATCCATATCCCCCCTTACTCTACCTCCACCTCCTTGATCCTGATCCCAATTATCGATTCTACTATCCCTCGGCTCGCTCGGCTCGGCTCGTCCGAAGCGCTCTATGAAGTATTTTATTGACGATCGATTTATATCGACCTGCGGTCCTGGCTGGGTTTGTGGTTGTGGTTGTGGTTGCGGTCGCGGTTCCGAACGTGAATAAGGTCATGGTTGCGGTTGTGAACGTGGATGTGGTTGTGGTGTTCGCGCTTTTCCGCTGGGATCGCCTGAACGGGGTACAGCGGTATCCCTGCATATACTCGAGTATGTCTGTTCGTGGGTAGTCTCCCAGGCAGCTCTGCGCGACGGCCTCGTTGCGTGTCATTGACGTGCCTTACCGCCAAGGCGTTTCATCAGTAAGGCTGAAGATTGCATAACATCCAGTAGGAATGGTCGGATTACATATACAGTTATCCCGTCTAAGCTACACCGTGAGCCACTATTCCTCCTATTTTTCGGCGGCCAGTACTTCTTGCGCTCGATCGGCGAGATATTCAGCTGTAAGGTAGACAATTCCTGTACGATCAGTATCCGTATGGTCATTTACTGAACATCGCCTTAACGATTTGAATTGTAAATTTACCTTTCAGCTGGACAAGCTCGGTCAACCTCGTTGCCCGATCCAAGTGATCCGTGAGCGACATCCAAATTTGCTGCTGAGATTCTTCAATATGCTTCTTCAGTTCGACCATGAATGCAGTCTGGAAGGCTGGCGAGGTGTGGGAGACAAAAAAGTCATTTGGAATGTTCGGGATCGTGGCGGCTACGCCCTTCTCGACAGTGTTCGGGATAGCATACTCAAAGAGCTTTGTCAAGGTTGTCACCTGATCTGCAGTGGGTGGCTTGTCGGCAACAAAGACTGGCAAGGTCTCGGTCAACAATTGTACCTTGTCCACAGACTGTTGACAGACCTCGACCACCAACTCGACCGCGAATAACTCGCTCATCTTGGGAAGCTCTGCATCAGAAACCAGAAGCTGTCGCCATCTCTCTACCAGTTGCATGACCTGAATAAGATCTCGTGCAGCCTGGAACGGAAGATACACCTTATTATCGAACGGCCTCGGATCTGCAGTTACTGCGTCTTTGGTTGACTCACTTCTCCAAAGCAGTCGGTCATCAGGGTCGAGAAGGCTTGAGAAGCCGACCTGACATTGTCGAAGTCGGTGACTAATTTCGAAAGTCTGTCTCTGTAACTGTCCTGCGGAGGATATAGAGTTCACATCAGCTGTAACCTTGGCATCGTATCAACCGGAAGCCTTACCATGATCTGTATACAATCGTTGATATTTGATCATATCAGGTAGCGATCAGCATGTGTAGATGGGTAGAGGAACTGGCATATCCTAAAACTCGCCTCCTCGCTGTCCCGAAACGATTCCTGATAGAGGTAATCAAGGACTTCAACTAGACCCCAAGCCGGATTATCGAGACAGCTTACCCAGGACTGACCGTCCGTGGAGAAAATCGTTCCGGCGGTTTCGACGCTCATGTTGTCTTGCTAGTAGGGAAGAATGTCAGGTGAAACGACGTCTGCGCTGCGAGGATGCGGGGGTATTCGGGAAGCAAGCAAGCGAAGAATGCCTTGCGACTTCCGCCATCACACGCTCATATATATACACTCAAAGCCAGTCGGATAGCGGATTCTGAGGGCGTATAAAAGATGATGAAAGGAAGTCATGTCTCTCATCATCACTAAGGCCGCGGCCACGTGAGCGGTGGCGTGACTTCATCGCGCAAAGCGTGGCGTACAAATGATCGATCGTCATCAGGCCTCTCTATATGACGAGATCCAGAGGAATACATCGTTTTGGGCTTCGTTACGTGAGCTTCAGGCTGCAATCTGATTGCCATTCGATACTGGGCTCCTCCTCGTCTATAATCCCGAGAGCGATTTCGATGCCATACTACGTAGGGAGGCAAACTTGGCAGAAAGGAGTGGCAAAATCGCCAAAGATGCAGAGGCAAGGCAAGAATGAAGCCAGATGATTGACGATAATTACATCAGCTTCCTCAAGAGAGGATCAGGCATTGTGCTTCTCGGGACTCTGGTTCCCTCCCTCATACGTTGCCAACCTGGCTTGGCTGAGGGGAGCGGCGAATGCTCCCTTTGTGTTCAACTAGATGATCAGCGGCCTGTTGGTCAGCAGATCCAAAGCATGACTCTCGTTCTCCTGCAGCGGTGTCTGACGGTTCTGACTGGAAAGGCGATAGGTATTTCCTTTCATGTTTGATCACCTGATCTATACAGATCTCACGATTCTGCTCACGTTGACGCCTTATCTCGTGTAGTGCCGCCAAATCGGCCTGAACGAGGAAGCAAGTGAACTTCCTTTGATGATCAATCACATAGTGTGCCCACCTAAGGCTTCAGCTGTAAGTATATATACCGGGAGATTCGACAAGACCAGGGAGTGTAACGCCAATGCATCTTGCGCTTCCTCTCACTCTAGAGATATAAGGTTCATCAGACTACAACTTTGTCTACCATAGAATCGCGCACAAACGAATCGCTAAAGAATGAGCGTTGATTCTGCCGAGACTAGGTTATCCGATTTGTACAATTTCTCTATCATTGCCGAAACCGCTTGGGTCTGTGCCGTCATTTCTCAGTATCACCTTGAGCTATATCTGAAGGCTGTATTTGACCGACGTACGGATTGCGCAGGACTCAATCGAGCAGAGAGTAAGTCGGATCAGATCTCTTCCTTCGGTATATAATAATGGTTTATCTGACCGGAGGTCGAAATCGGATCAATTGTAGACGAAAGTAAGTTGGCGGGCATCAGAATCGCAAGTTGATCTAGTGATTTTTCGATGATCGGTAGTAATCGGTAAAACAATCTCGTTTAGGATACGACGCTCTCCAAGGCTCTCTCGACGATTGAAAATCAGGATGAGACATACACGTCCCCTTCAAAGATCTTTGAACATGTGGTGGCTATGGAAGACATCGAGCCAGTAAGAGCCTGGAAGCCAAAGCATAAGCGGTTGAGAGATTGTGAGATGGACGCCTTGCTGATGATTCAACTTGTTGGTTCATCGACGATATTCACTCCGAGTACTACAGGCTCCAAAAATGGCAGATGCATCAAGACACTCTTCAAAGGGATGCCCATCTGAAGGAATTCCATCAGAGTTTCCGCATAGGAGCTGAAGGTGAGCATTACTATATTCGCTGAGAGTCAGATCGTGATATATTAACAGATTGCTCAGCTATGCTGGAAGAACAACGGGCTCATGATCAAGACTTGCTTGCAATTCCCGACGAGACCCGCGCCACCGAATGGCCTTCCATGGCAAACATTCTCCCATACAACTCCAGCTCCGAAGGAGAGGGATTGATCCCTGAAGATGGAACGAAGCCATGAAAGTTGTATATGCAAGGCGACATCCTTCAGTGCGCAATGTATTGCTCAATATGATCAGCCATGTTGATGTCTCTGGATCTCTGTACACCTCGGTCGATCGGGTTACCATATACCATCATGTCTCAGCCCAAAAAAAAGGCGCGAAAATCCCGAATTTAGGATTTGACCGATCTTAACATGAAATCTGCCGTAAAAAGGCTATAAATCCCAGAAAAATAGCGGTCATCATGAGATGGACGCGAGAAACGCTGAAAATCCTAAGGTCAAACGTCGTTATCGCGCTCAAACCTACCGATTAAAGCATGGGTGCCAATGCAGTTGAGCACAATTGTTATCCTGAACGAGAGTGAATCGTTCGAGCCTCAAGCCTCTGCTCAAACTCAAAAAAGACAGGGCAATCAGCAGAACCGCCCGTCAACGACGTTCATCAACGCTAACCTACAAGACTTACAAGAATTTCTAGCCTTTTCTTGCCAAAATTCCCCGTTCTGACGCGATCTCATTTGTTGACTTTGTGACGCGAGAGAAGGATCGATCAAGCAGGTCCAAGTACAGTTGGAAGAGGCGACAAGGGCATATCGAACACCTCTTCTTGCCTCGACAACTAGATCACTTCTGCTTAGAGAGTAAGAAAACCGATCTTATGACTAGAGCTAGACATATCTAGATCGAAGAATCTTGAAAATCCGGAACTGCGGACTCGGTAGATCCGGAAAACGAAGTCGGACGGACAGTAATCGTCATCTTCCTTCTTGATCGCTCGAAACTTGCACATCTGAGCGATATCGACTTCTTGGCCGACCATATCTTGTGACGATACAAGCGGAGTCCAAGTATCATCTCCTGCATAAAAATAAAGCCGGATCGGCGGCAGACTTCTTGAACCGGAGGTGCCATATATCTTGGGAACCTGTGACATCTGCAGCTGTCTCTACCTCTACACCCATACCACACCCATTCTATCACGGCCGCGACAGCCTACCTCAACCAATTTGGGTCCCACTCCGATCCACAGCAGAAAATTACACCGAAACGCCGTCCATATAAGACAATCAGAAAGAGGTGCGGAAGGCAATGTCGGACGCAAACGACGACTTCGACGACCTCGTCTTCGACGAAGCGGCCCTAGGGCAGATCGATGAGATCGAGACGGCCGTTTTGGGGGACGGTAGCGGATGGGGCGTCCCAGTGGCAGTGGATGCGGGTCTGCATGTGAAGAATAACCTGGATCAAGTGAGCAGCAAGTACCCGACCACAAGCCATGGGGCCAGGGATGGGAATGGTAGTACAGGAGAGATGGGGAATCTGTTCAGACCGCCTCAACGGAAGGAAACCACTTTTCAGATTCGGAAACCTGGAGGAGGGAACCATAATCCGGCTTATCGATCGCCTTTACCGCAATCGAAGACGAAATCGACAGATGAACGCACGATGCAAGCCAAGACGACGGCGTCGGAGTCAACCTCAACGGGAACGTTTCCACCTGGCGATCTCGGGCAGACTACGAGGAAAGATACAGGTCCACGTCCGAACGCAGATGCCGGTCCCAGTCGTACCCGACCTCAGACTTCTTCATCTTCATCAGCAACGAGATCTAAACCTAGTTCCTCTAATCGCCCGCTGGTCTTGGGGAAATCTCAATCGTCAGCGATCGACCTGGACGGACCGATTGATCTCTGTTCAGACGATCTCTATGGGGACGATGGACTGGACAGTCTGCCGATGGAGAGTCTGGATGCGATTGATGAGATGGTGCAACAGCAGAAATCTACGGGGATGGGCCGGTTCGTGCAGAGCGAATTGGGGTTCAGGTCTGTTCCCCGTTCGACCAATACGACGACGATAAATGCACCGACGATGACCAGAACAGGATCCGGTAGCGGAAGCGGGGCTACGAACAGGAACAATGGTGTCGCCGCTGGACCGGTTTCACTAGCTCCCATCTCATCTACTACGCCTTACCAGACGCACCTGTCTTTCCAACCCCTCGGCCGTAAAAAGAAGGGCAAGACTTGGGACCGGACGCAGTTCAGCTCGACAGGCGGGAGGGGCTTGAACAAAGTCAGTGCCGATGGGAAAGGGTCGGGGAAGAAGAAGAAGAAGAAAAGGACGGTCGTGAGCTTTCTTGCAACGAATGCGAGGGATGATGGGGATGATGATGAAGAGAGCGAAGAGGAGGAAGAGGAGGTAGAGGGGTTTGATCAGTTTCCTTTGCCGTTCATCGATCCGAGTGAGTTCGAGCATGATGGAACGTGTCACAGGCAAAGAAGCTGATCCCGTGCTTTCTGATTGTTTGTGGGTATTTCAGACAAGTGAGTGCATCCTTGCCTTTGTATGTGTGTCTTTGGCCCAAGCATGCTGAACCGACTTGATTTCGGTTCAGACCTCCACCTGAGAGGAAACACTATGCACTGCCCAGCATTGCCTCGACTTACCTCTACCCGACGAACGTGCCTAAGCGAGACTATCAGTATGAGATCATCGCTAGTTGTCTCCTGGACAATACGTTGGTAGCGCTGCCGACCGGTCTGGGGAAGACCTTCATTGCCGGGACCGTCATGCTGAACTGTGGGTTAAGCCTTTTCGGCATCCGTCACAAGTCTCGCTGAGCAGCAACGTGTCAACCTCGCAGTTTACCGGTGGTTTCCGAGGGGAAAGATTGTGTTTCTGATGCCTACGAAACCGCTCGTTACGCAACAACACGAAGCTTGTCAGACGACGTGCGGGATTCCGAGTGCGGATGCGGCGACGATAACGGGTGATGATCCGGAAGGATGGAGAGATACGGCAGTAAGCAGCGCAACTTGGCTTACGAAGACTGGCCTTGTCATCTAATGGAAGGACGCACACGCAGTGGAGCACGAAGCGAGTGTTTTACGCGACACCACAGACATTCTTGATCGATATGGCGAAAGGAAGGCTTGATCCCGCTGATATAGTGCTAGTTATCGTTGGTGAGGATGTCGGCCTGGCAAAGAGCCTTACCAAGTCCGGATTGCGCTGAAATGAAATTCCACCGTAGATGAGGCCCACAAGGCGTCTGGAAACCACTCTTACGTGCAATGCATCTCGTACCTTCAGGCCGTACATCCATATTTCCGGATCGTCGCCCTCACTGCAACACCAGGAAGGACAACCGAGAAGGTTCAAGAGGTCGTGGACAAGCTGCATATCAGCAGGATCGAGATCAGGGAGGCCGAGTCGCCGGATATTGCCAAGTACATGTTCAAGAAGGTGAGCAGAGGAATTTGTTTGGAGGGCCACCTGTGCCTATCAGCTGAATCGTCTGATTGCTTTCTGCCGCAGAACATTAATCATCATCCGATCGAATTGAGCGCTGAATTCGAAAGTTTGGTCACGAGCTTGACCGAATTGATGGAACCCCTCGCCAGGTCTATCTCCTCGACGGGACTTATGCGGACACCCGATAGTCGCTACCAGCTTCGTTTCATGAAGCCATTCACTGCACTCATGGCCATGAACGGCATGTTCGCCGATAAAAGCCATGCACGGCTCATCGGCTCTGCAAAACAGCTGTATCAGTTGGCCACCGCGTTGACACATCTGGTGAGCCTCGGTGTTCTCCAATGAATTTTTACGGCTCGGGCTGACCGGCCTCGGCAGACGGAATACAGTCTCGGAATGTTTTTCACCGCGCTTAAAGCCATCAATGGGTCCGAGCAGTCTTCTAGCAAGGGGAAGACAGCGAAAAAGCCTGGTAATCGAATACAAAACAACAAGGTCTTCAGGGAAATGTACCAAAACACGCAAGACTTGATAGAGAGCGGGGGACAACATCCAAAATTTGCCAAAGTCATACAGTTGGTGAGTATAGTCACTAGCGCTGGCCTGCCTCCTTCGAACTAAGCTTGGCCTATTCCTGCAGTTGGGCGATCACTTGGAAGCCAAGAGAGTCGGCAGTCAGAGCGGAGAGAACAGCGTAACGCGATGTATGATCTTTTGCAGCTTCAGAGAAGGAGTGAACGAGCTAGTGGTGAGTAGATTCCCGATTATCCTTCCGCGAACTGTGTCCTGATGTGGCTTGCTCGGTGCAGGAAATGCTGAACAAGCATCCACTCATCCGGGCTCACAAATTCGTGGGCAGAGCTCAAGGAAAGGATGTGACAGACAAGGGACTGACGCAAAAAGAGCAGAAAACGGTGAGCAACCCGTTTCCAGGGTGAACCGCAAATACTGAGCCAAGAATATGCAGGTCATTGACAAGTTCAAGAAGAACGACTACAACTGCCTTGTCGCCACGAGCATCGGTGAAGAAGGTCTGGATATTGGGGAAGTCGACTTTATCATAATCTACAACTGTCCAAAGACTTCGATCAAAGCGGTACGTTGCGGAAAAGCGCATTAATCGGTCCAGTAGACTGATTATTGCGTTTCGGCTAACTGGCAGCTTCAACGTATCGGACGAGCTGGTCGAAAACGCGACGGTCACATCCACGTGCTTGCAACCGTAGGCCGAGAAGACCGAAATTGGGATGCTGCCATTTTCAATCACCGAGAAATCCAGTCCGAGATCATTATTGGCGCAAACCTGGAATTGTACGACGATGCCCCACCACTACTCGATCGGATGCCTGAACCCGTCCTGCAGAGGATGGAGGTAGATCCTTGGGTGGACGAGGTGAAAAATCGAGGTAATAAACGGAAAAGCCGGGCAACAGCTGCCAAAGCACCAAAACGTCAGCGTGGTGCTCCGGTCCCCGAGGGAATCGCCGGTTTCGTCAAAGCGAGCGAGCTCACCAACAAAGGCAAAAAGACTACTGCCAAGCGCGGCAAAGCTCGACAGCACTCATCCGAAGACGATTCGGATCTCGACGAAGACCTTCCCGACTTGCGCGATGTCACCCGCACTACAAATGACTCTTCCGATAGTGAAATCACCACCCCGCCCTCCAAGCGGAGGGTAACGAAAAAGACACCCAACAAACGTACGCCTCGAGAAAGCGCGACGAAACGTTCGAATAGAACATCATACAAGAACTTCTCCTCATCATCCGATTCCGAACAAGACGCCCCGATGGAACCAGAAAGAGACGACTTTTTTGAATCGGTCTTTGGCGGTCCTCCGCTCAGTTCCGTCACCTTCCCTCCATCTCTTGACGCTCACGACTCCATCACAAATGACAATAACGATCCGCAAACGACCCCCTTGCGACCCATAAATGGGTCGACCCGCCATACCCAAGTCTCGAAGACACCTGCCACAGGCCATTCGACCCATTCTGAATTTAGTCAACTCGATGACAGATGGATGTTGGACCTGGACGACGATGAGTTTCAGCCGCAGATGCCTGGCGCTCAAATCCTCGCGAAACCTTTCAAGCCACCCACGTTGAGAGCTACCTCAGCCCATGACGCCATGGGACCTCCGGCAAGCGTACAGAGAGGTTCAGCCCATACCGAACAAGCCGCAGACGCTCCGACCTCGGACGCATCTCCCATCATCGTTAGGCGACGGGGAGGAAATCGAGTAGCCATAGTGGCATCCTCGGAACCGGATACGCCGGTCACGGCCGAGCCGGCGGGATTCAGTCCAGCCAGCTTGATTCATCGTACGGCCCGGCCGGACAGCTCGCCAGCTGCAGCACCCGTGAGACGGCGCACGAAGCCGGCAAATCCCCGCAATATATTTGTTGACGACGATGTGGGGGTCAGCGATGACGATGAGGACGAAGACGAGGAAGAATTGTCTGATGTGGAAAGCGAGTCTGATCGGCGGTTTGCCGGTCACTTCAAAGCAACTCAAGCTCCCAAGGGCTACAACCAACGTCGGGCCTACCTAGCGGGTCTGGCAACCCAAGCTCCAAGCGATGGACCGGTCTTTGCAAACCGCCACCATCGCCACAATGATTTCTTGTCCAAGGCGAGACGACCCATCCTGCTCAGTCAGGAAGACTCACGACATGGTCCCAGTTCAGATTACGAAGGATCGTTTGTCTGCGATGATGACGAACCGGTAGCATACGAAAGTGCTAGTGACGAAGATATGGCTGCATAACGAACTTTAACGCGACATGAAGTATCATTCACGGCCGGACAACGGACCAATCGTAGTATCGCAAGCGTATACATCTGATACGAGCAATCGGATGAGGGAAGAAGGCGATAAGCAGATTTTGCACAATAACAGTGACTCGAAAGGCAAGACAGGTTACTAAAAACCGCACAAGAACCGATCTTTTGACATATGGGACAACATACACGTATGAATCCCGAGCATGAATGAAAACGGTCCAGACTACTACCGTTCAGGGTGCTTGTGTATGCCTTATTTGCAGGCTTCCTCATCGCTGGAAACCTTGACCGTCGAGGGAACAGATTGAGTGACCTCAGTCTTTACCCGGCTATCGGACCAAGAGAGGCCGGACCGAGCGTCTCCCTCATTCATGTTGGCAGTATGTTCGGGGATCTCAGCAGTGAACTGGGATTGACCTGGCACAGAACCTTCCAAAGAGTCCTTGTCGACTGCAGATTCTTGCACCGGCCCCACAGGATCCATATCAACCTTCCAACGCAATTCGTGCAAAACCGATACCCCTGACGCTCCGGCTTTACGCGACCAGATAGTGTAGGTGAATTCTTCTCCGTCCAGCAATGATACCACTGCGCAAGTCAGATAGACGGGTGGACTTTTGACACCAGGAAATGTCTTCTCGATAGCTTGCTGGCTCTTCTGACGAAGCGTTTCTTCCCATTCTTCAACTTTTGCACGTCGCAAATTCCAAAATCCCCAGTGATCCTTTTCGAATTCGTCTCCTTGATGCTGGTCCAGATGCTGTTTGGCTTCCTTGATCACTTCCGCAATATTGGCTTTGAGTTGATCGGCAAGAGTAGTCCATTGCTGAACCGTCACATCAGGTATGTACTGCGTAAGCTTCTCATTCCTGGTCTCGTCTTTCACGACCTCTGCGTTGATGGTGAATGTTGCGATATATCTGCCTATATTTTCCAGTCAGCACAATTGAAAGCATACATTATTTGCCATGATGTCACCAGAGATCCGCACCAAACCGGTTCCCACTCATGATTCAATTCTGGTCAAGCGTTCGTATGCGGGTGTTTGAGAATGACGATAGGGGAAGTTGTGATGTTGTACTGTGTGAATCTGTCAGTTCGCAAATCGAATGATTAGATCATGCTTTGCATATATTTCATACTTGGTTGATCCATTATATAGCCTGAGCACCATAATGCATAACGAACAGCCAAAATCGGGGGACCTGGTACAAAGGAACGCCCTGAACTGTACAACTGCTGGCTTTTATGCTGCACACGCAGCTGTCAACCAGACTCAGTGAGAGGAGGCGCGAAGCAAAGGGGAAACCGCAGACCAGCAGATCAAACGATCAAAGGAATGTGTGACGATACGCAAGTGACAGTGTCTGTACCAGTTTGATCTAGTACCACACGTAACTAAGCAACTGGGAAAAGGCTATGTCTCCGTCACCTGATCGTCCTGCGAGCGCTTTCATACGGGTTCTCGGTCCGTGTCATGTGATCAGCCTTCCCCCTTCTTGGTCTTTTGACCGCCTTATCCAGCTGATCACTCAATCCTGCTTCTCCGGCTTGGCTTGTGGACAATCCTGTCACAGTCTTTGAAGATCGATCTCCCCTGGAAGTGTGATTCTGTACATTCTGAAGCTGACTATGGGGAAAGTGCGGCTTGATCGAGCGAATGGAGCTGTGTGAGGCTTTCGCGTTTCAGCTTGATCGCGCGTAGAGACTGGCGCCAAGGAAAAGTTTCATGTCACGAGATGAGGCTATGATCACGTTGAGTCGCGCAATTTTCGCTTCTTAGGTAGACTAGCATGTTTCCACAGTCCCTTTGTTCTTCTGTCGTGATATGTCGAATATACTCTGACGTGCTCAAACTGCTCGTCAAGCGGGGGACAGGTATATATAAGCACCTGTCGAATGGGTCGTTGCACGATCGCGTGTTCCCCTTCCGCTCTGCCAGTCTCACCCATGCTCGTGCTCGCTCCCCATTGCCAATCTCTGCCTATCGTATTTGTCGTTCTCACCCAACTCAATAAGACCTATCATGTCTTCCAATGAGGGCGGATACGTCAAGGCCAAACGGGTGTTCAACCAGCTCTCTCGCCAGCACATCGGAAGGTGGCCGGAGGACAAGCCGAAATGGCTTTGGGCGTGGCCCCGGGACGAAAGGGAGTGGCTTTGGGACCCTTTGACTCATGAGGTGAACAACATTGCCGAAGGTATTTTAGCTCCTACAGTGGAACAGATCGAGGAAACCTTCTGCAAGGACGAAAAGACAGCTTCTGATCTAGCGGAGGTGAAGGAAATGGCTTTGACATCCATTACAGAGCCAATCATGACCGCAGAAAGAGTACATCGAAATTGTCGGCGAGTGGTTCGCATGGCTGAAAAATCGCTAGAAGATCATCCTCCATCGATCAAGCTCGACGGTATGGAGACTCGCGGAGTGACAGTCTCTCAGGGTACCCCTTCTCGAACAGTCATCAGAGGCCGTGAGGTCGTTGAGGTAACCACCGAAGTTGGCTTCACAGTCGAGCGGATCACGAGGGATGAGGATGCGGCAGACCAGTATGGCTACTTACGATGCGTGAGGTACATCCTGTCAATCGAACCAGAGCACCCGGACCTGAAGTGCAATGTCACCCGAAGCAATGCTAGCGTTTCCTCTGCTAGGACTTCGCAAGGAAGCAGTTTCCAGGAATCCATTTGGACTTCCTCCGACAACAACAATGTGGTGAATCTCCTCTCCTGCACACGGAGACGCGTCGTGCAAGCCACAGTTTGACAAGTGGATCGGAAAAATCGTAGGGAGCTCTTCATCTTCACTGCCTTCAGGAAGTACGCTTGAAAACCCAAGTACTTGGTAGAGTACATGGTATGAGAACAAGTTGGTCCGCATGCTAGAATTGAGCCCTGTATGCAACAAGATGATTGTCAGGGTTCACTTTCCATCGGGGAGTAAGGTCTAATCAGCAATCGCGCGTCATCGCGCATGCTACTAATAATGGGTCATGAAAGACTGTCATTACTAACAGTGTTGTTCCCACTAATTCTTTGGGTCCTCAATTGGTAGGGCACAAAGCTTTTTGGGTCCTGCCCTCAATTTCGGCAGGATGATGTCGTCGCTATGAGTCTGTACTGGCTGTGTGCAGCTTGCGTACTGGATGGAACGATGTCCCTGTCCTCGACGCTGGTGAGAGCACGACAAGAGTATTAGGATCGAGAACTTGGCCACGGATATGTTAGGATATGAATGAGTTGCAGATACACAATCGCCTGTTTTAATATCATTCAAAGTAGACTTTAGATTTAAGCCACAGATCAACCAATACATAGCTGCTCATCGCTCAGAAGTCTTTGCGGTAAACAATGTGCCGTCAGGATAACTTCCGGAGTCAGCTACATCATCTAGAGTTTGACCGACAGTGGGGGCGATCTTCCCCGTCTGCGCGCTTCCCGTCAGGCTGGATCCGGGATTGGAAGACCGTCCGACTCGCTCCTGCTCATCGCCAAGTTCCACTTGAACATCATCCCATTTCAGCGTGTCCTTGATGGTGAATCTTTCGCCATCTAGATCGGACTGGCTGGAAATCGTGTAAGAGTAAGAATACTCGTTCTTCCCCTCCTTGACGTGATGTTCCACCTTGCTGGTCAAAACGACGGGATATGAGGGACCGTCACCCCACACGAACTTGAGTGTCTCCTTGCCTGAACTGGTCAGGAGCGACCGATCCTGCTGACGTCTGATTTTCAACTCTCTTTCGGTCAAGTTTCCAATCCGTAATAAATCCTGCAGTCCATCCAAAAAATATATAGGGAACCTCCTCAATTGGTCGACTAGAGCAAGCCAATCTGAAAGGCTGACACCTTGCGGATGCCCCTCCTTCTTTCTGCTCTCATCGTCCCACAATCGCTCGAAGTTCCTGGACTTGACCCTGAACTTGGGTTCTTCCCGGGCTAGGTCTAGTATCGAAGCATCAGCTCAGATGATACCCTCAGATCGAATAAATCTCGGTACTCACTCTCGTTCGTTACTTCAGGCATCTTTCGGATTCGGAAGTCGGTGATTGATAGCTGATCAGACAGGGTGACGGCTTGTTGTGAGATCTGAAGGGCAAAGCGCCGGTGAGCATTAATCAACAAAGGTTCCAAGATGAACACGGCTTTTATATGTGATCGAACCGCCTTCTATGCAGATTCCCGTGCAGATGAGCAGCTGATTAGGGTTTTTCAACAAAGGAAGACCGGTACATCATTGCACTCGAATCGCGCCAGCGGAAACCGCAGCAGATTGACCAGAGCTGCGAGATTAGATGGTCAGCAGGGCAGAATAATCACAACAAAGGGTAGTTTGGGCTGGTTGAGGTTCTCAAAGGCGTCACTGTAAGTGCCAGTATAGCGAACAGAGCAATAGCGAACAGAGCAAAGATGCGGATGGTCAGCAGATGGGGTAGGTGATCAGCGGACCGATGTGTCCATGGTAAAAGGAAAGCCGAAAGATTGCTGAATCTTGATCGTGATGCTGCGAGAGCCGGCCGATCGCCAGACCAGACTTACATGGCAACATTCGGCTATACTCGTAGAGAGGCAGAACCAAGAAACGACGTCCTGGTATGCGAGTTTGGACTGACAGTATCACTTGCTGCTAGGCGGTAGAACCCCAGCAGCCAAATTGATCGTAATACACTCGCTGTCTAACCTCAATCATTCGCTCGCAACCTGTATCGGGCTACAGTATGCAAGCGAACTACACCGATATCGGGAACAGCCACTGTATCGAGCGGCGCGCACCAAGCGCCGCAGTAGGTTGAGATTGAAGGACATAGGCCATGACCTTGAATCCTGACTGTCTCATCTGCAACCGTTCATTTACTACCGCTAAATGCACATTGTCACATGACTATTGACGTAAATTGAAGCTTCTCCACCTTCTTTGTGCTCTACAGAACAGTCTCATGACCTTTTATTGCTGGGAACCTCAAAGTCAATCACGATATCACGATATATGGTATCAATGAGTCTGTTCCTTTCACCGCATATGCCACCGGTGATGATACAGTACTGTCCTGGTTGCAAGAGCAAATGAGACGCCAACATGTCGATCTCTTCGCCATGTCAGGTGATTGTTAAGTGCCTTCCTTTGTTATGGTTCTTGGTCGATGGTGTGCTAGTTTGAATGCAACACCAGCTGGGCAATGTATATATATGCGCCATGAGGAAGACAATATCAACCTTTACATCTGGCTTCTCAAGCAGTTTCCACCGGTTAAGCATCTGGAAACCAAACGACATTGAAAGATGAACACACAAAGTGTTACGGTCGTGCCTAGCGCTAGCAAAGGTGTAGCCTAGGTGGATATGTCGAGGGTAATTGTGCAAAGGCAAGTAAGCTCAACGATCACTGTAAGTCAGTACTGACCGAGACAGGGCTTGGATCACAGTCTGTTGCTGATCCGTGAAGTGCTTGACAAGAGCACAAGGTTGTTGAGCGTGTTGATAGTGAGGAGTAGTGTAGAGTATCAGGAATGTAACATATGATAATTCTTCTTGGGAAAGAAGAGGAAATACATGAAAGTAGAAGAGTACAATCACTCTGGTTTGGTCTGCTATATATACTAATTCAGAATAGAGTCGGGGGTCTAGCTTGGTGTGCTATGGCATGACCACAGTGCAACCGTGGTGTGGCCAAGTCGGTATGACCATGGTGTAACCATGGTCTGACTATAGCAGGGCGAGTTGGTATGACCATGGCAGTACCATGGTCTGACTATAGTAGGGCGAGTTGGTATGACCATGGCAGTACCATGGTCTACCTAATTAGGCTGGTCCGTAACAGCATCCCCCTGCTATGCCGCGAAGTCCCTTGAGCGGTTTGGCGAAGTCCCTTGAGCGGTTTGGTGAAGTCCCTTGAGCGCTTTGGTGAAGTCCCTTGAGCGGTTTGAACAGTGTGGCTATCTTGCCTGGTGCAACGTTTGGGATGAAGATCTGGTGTTTTGACAAGGACATCCGGCTTGTTTCCCAGGGAATCAGGTTGATATTTGATGATGAAGGGCGAGTGCTGGACGGTGCCTCAAAGGCATTGAAACAACTCCTGGAAGCACGAAGTGATGGCAAGCATCTTCTGGCTGTGGATTCTGGAGTAGAGTATGGTGGGATCATCTTTCTTGAGGAGATTGTGATGGGTTTGCAAATTCCACCTCTCATGTTTTGAGATAGGAAGATCCTGCAAGGGCAAAGTTCAAAGCGTCTGTCTCTAGGACTAGAGGCTTTTCCGCATTGACGTGAGGCAAGAGAGTGACTGAGGTCAAGGCGTTCTGGAGTATGTTGAAAGCCTGAGAGTGTCAGGTGGTCCAGAGGAGTGAGATATATTTCTCGGCTTTGGCAAAGCGTCCTGCTTTGCGAAGTGTCTCAAGGACAGAGGTAACATGCTGATAGTGTTCCTCTAGTGTGTCCGAGTAGATGAGGATGCCATCCAGGTAACAGATGACATGGTGATCCAGCATTGTCCTGGAGTTGTGGTTCATCAGGTGTTGAGATGATACTGGCGTGCTGGTGAGACCAAACGGCATGACGAGGTATTCAAAAAGGCCGTAGCGTGTCCTGAATGCTGTCTTCCACTCTTCACCTTCAGCGATCCGTAGGAGGTTGTAGGCTCCTCTGAGATTGATCTTGGTGAAGTATTTGGCCTGTCGCAAGCGATCCAGATGCTCTGAGATGAGCGGAAGTGGGTACCGATTCTTGATGGTTATCTTATTGATACCTCGGTAGTCCACACAGAGACGGAGGGATCCATCCTTTTTCTTGACAAAGAGGATGGGCGCTCCCGCCAGAGATTCAGAAGGTCTGATGAATCCTTTGGCTAGGTTTTCATCCAAGTATTCCCGTAGTGACCCTAATTCTTTCTCGGATAAGGAGTAGACTGGTCCCCAGGGTGGTTGTTTGCCTTCTTCGAGAGGTATGTGATGGTCGAATGGTCTATGCGGTGGTAGAATATCCGTATTAGCCTTATCAAAGACATCCAGGTAGGCGTGATACCTGGCAGGTATGATGTCTTGATCCATCACCGGAATGGGATCAGCCGCAGCTGCAGACACATTGGTAGTGTTCCCAAGGGTGACATCCGCAGATGTCGCATCCTCAGATGCCGGAGTAGGAGTACTGGCTTTTTCAAGTGGGGTCTTCTTCCCAGCTTCCCAGTTGGAGAAAGGCTTGTGTATGTTAAGCCACAAATAGGTGACATCCGCAGATGTTGCATCCTCAGACGCTGGAGCTGGGGTACTGGCTTTTTCAAGTGGGGGTCTGACTTCCCCAGCTTCCCAGTTGACAAAAGGCTTGTGTTTGTAAAGCCACGGGTATTTGAGTATGATTGTGAATACCCCTAGATGGGTGAATTTGAAGGTTGTAATTGCCAGATGAAAGTTGGGTAATTTGATGGAGGTGGTGACGGTGTAATTGATGCTGCCATAAGAGGATATGGAGCCATTGATCATGTGGAGTTTTGGGGGGTGTCGCTTCTTGCTAAGCGGGAGTTGAAGGGATTTGGCGAAGCAATAATCCATGAAGCATTTTGAAGCGCCTGAGTCCAGTAGAGCAGCATATTCCACGTTGCTGGGTTTGACAGAATTGGGTAAGGTAACAAGGGTATTGATGTGATTTCTTGTATCCAGAGTATAATCCAAAGTAGAAGTAGAATCCATTGAGTTCAGAGAGTTCTGAGAGTTCTGAGAATCTTGCAAGTCCTGCCTAGCGTTTTGGCAACTCCGCGCTGGATGGTGGCGTTCTGGG